CCGTGCCGACCACGGTTTGGAGAAGCGCGTAACTGTTACCACTATTCCACGCAAGGACTCGGAGAAACCAAAGATCCTACTAGACGCCGTTCTGGGCAGCGGTTGCTTCACGGCAATGGGCAGCCGCGGTATCGTGTGCGGCGTCTGGGAGGAGATGAAAGACAGCAACGGCGTTGTTGGCGTTGTTCCAGCTACGGGCCCGACAGGCGGCAATGTCAAGAAGTGGTGCTTCCAGTGCGCCAGTGTTGCCGAAGCAAGCTGGGTGCTGAGACTTGTTCACCAAGAAGTCATGACCATCTAAAACCTGCACATCCGAATTTCCATTTACCACTTTTCTTGTTCTCGATTACAAGCACATTCACATGTCTGGGGATTTCCCAGACTTACTGCATTATTTACTTTTGATATCCCGGTGTTGCCTCGCACACCATCATTTTTACATTTTATTCTTCTTTTCTCGATGCATAGCATGGCATGCATCGAGACTTAACGATACCACATTTCATAAATCCTTTTTTAATCCGGTTGTGCATACCATTCTTGTTGTTTCGTACATGCATCTAGACATGGGTGGGTGGCGTCTCGGAGGATTTTACCTGGGCTCCCGGTGCAATTATGGGCCCAGGGGAGTACATTATCAGCATGATTTTGGTTAACTTCTACCGAACATAGCGGAAGAGAGTAAAGGTATATGGCGAGGAGAGGAGAGGTGGTATATAGCGGATGACAATAGAGATTACAATTCACAAACCAATATCTTTGAACAAATTTCACCTTGGCAGTATTTCTTCGTTACTCGACAATTGTTTATGTGGTCTTTTGTCCAAGTCAAAGACAGACACTCAACATATGCCTACGTACAAAAAGCATCAAGCTGGAGCCATGATAAGACCATATTTACTTAGTCACATTGCTGGGCAATTTGCATAATATAAGCCAGTCATTGGTTTATCATGGTATTCATGTCTTCCAAAAACAACTCCAAACCCAACCCCGACCATGTGTGCCATGTCGTCATTGAACCCTGTTTGCTAATATCTGCAACGAGAGGTGGGATATTTTAAATGTTATACAAGAACCTCCCTGCCATCGATCAATATGCTCTTTGATGCCATCCAAAGGCAAATGTTTATCAACAACAAAAAAAGAGACCACCCGGTCTATAGAGGCGTGGCGGCCGATCATCCTAAAACACGAATACAAGAAACATCAGATTTGTGAGTGAACATAACCCCTGTTTACCCTTGGAAAAGAAAATGCAGTGTTTCATAAGCTCATGCAGCTGGGGCGACGGGCTGTGGTTTACCGCCGTCAACAATAATCTGCTCGTGTATGCGAGAAGCTGTGTCTCCGAATTCAAGACGTTTCCAGGTCTTGATGCGAGCCTCGTTGGTATCAACCTCGAATAAGCGTACGCGACGGTGGTAGCCACCGTAACCAGCGTAGCCACCGAAGCCGGAGCCACCAGCGTAACACATCCACAAGGCAGGGATCTTTGTCTCGCCCTCGCCTGTTAAAGATAGGGAGCAGTAGTCGTTGCAGTGATCACTATAGAGTTAGTAAGCGGTTGCAATAGACTCAAAGATTCCTTCAAACTTACTGTCCTGCGCTGACCATGACGACGCCCTGTTCAACAAGGGCATCGCGGAAACCGGAGTTATAGACAGGGGCTGTGACCCCCTCTTTCCAATCACCAACACGAGGTAGTTCTGGGCTAGCATATTCTGTAAGAGGAATATGGATAAAAGCGATATCCATATGTCGACCGGTGTATTCGTTGTGGTTCTTCTTGAGGCCAGCGGCTGTCTTCTTGAACCACTCTATCTGGTTGGGCTTAACCCAATCATACCCAGGAAAGTTGCGCTCATCGGGTGTGTAAGCATGGGTGTCTAGGAGGTAGATGGTCAATGCAGAATGATCTGTCTTCCCACGGGCCAAGACCTCAACATAATAGTTGCCAACACCGTCGATATCAGCTGGCCCAGCGGTAGAAAGGGAAAAGGGAAGGCTCTCCATGATTGCCATCTGGGCTTCACGAGACATGGTCTTTTCGTCGTCGTGGTTCCCGAAAATGGCAGCATAGGGAATCTTTCGTTCAATGAGAAGGGAGACAATCTTGAACATGGCCTAGAGGATGTTAGAAATCAACACTGTGACATGGAAGGGGGGTCACACTAACAGTCGGTGCGTCTGGTGCCGTGTCACCGTTGACCTGGTCACCACTCAGTACTACCAAATCAGGCTTCTCATCATCTAGAACCCGATTGACAAAGTCGAGCGTCCTGGGATCCGCCTCACATTTTCCACCATTGTAAGAATTGGGGACAGCTTCACGACATGTGCCCACCCCGGTACTGAGATGCAGATCACCGATCTGCATGATCTTGTATCGTCCATCGTTGCGGATCCTTGGTGTAGGCTTCTTGGCCTCTCGGACCGGGCCCCGGCGCACCGTCAGTTGAACGCAGAGAAGGTTACCACCCGTGTTTAGTAGCAGGGGCGTCCCCGTGAGAGAATATCCGTCTCTTGCCTCGACAGCATCATCTCCGAAGAGGACATCAATATCGGTGACGGCCTGCTTCGAATCACTAGCCTTTCTTTTGGCCGAACGCTTAATCCAGATGCCTGAAGAACGGGATTCCCAAGCATCGTCTGTTTCTCCCTTGGGCTGAGGTTGAAGCCTGCCGACCGAAACGTCCACTACAACCCGGTCGTCCTCGGTAAGGTCCTCCTCATGTTTGCGCATTACATACAGGTAAGCACTTGTAGTCCAGGTCCTTCCGAGATATAGGTCCTTGTCGACTCGGTGCCAGTCTTTGTCGAGATCGCAGGAAGAAAAGGGATTGACGCTTGAACATGTGACTATTGTGACATCGGTGACGATAAGTCCGGGGTGGTGGGATGGCATATAGCCATGGATAGAATTGGGGAGGACACGATAATTGCGGTCGAGGAAAGCGATGACGAGGAAGGTAAAAATGGCAGCACCAGCGAGCTGAGCAGCTGTTCGGACCTAAAAACAAGATCATGGTTAGTCAAATGGACCTTGATAGGAAACCAAAAGATGGAGGGACGTACAATTCGTCGAGTCATGATGTAAAGATTGGTGGAAGTATGGAGATCAACTCCTCGGTAGGGATCGCTCAAGAGAGAAGTAACTATAAAATGTGAAACACTTTAAGTAGAGATAGCCAGGCACTGGCGATGGGAACGGACATTCAAGAGCTGAAGGGCAGGCTGAACTTTTCGCATCTTCCAAGGGGTTGGTCGAGTGCTATTGCATGATTTGGAGAGGTCAAGACAAGAGCGGCGATGACAGGATGGATGCGCCCGGGTATTCCGATTAGGTTCAAGCAGTCTGGACAGTTACGACGGATTGTGTATAGAATCTGTATTTCGCAAGATGTTGATGTTGGTGTCGATAACAGTCACAGCGATCGACAAATCGTGGGGACGGGAAGAGGGGGCACGAGACGAGGCAAGATCAACTCGAGTTAAAGTTGGTTGAATTCAATAGAGGAAGAAAAGTGGCGAGCTAATACCTGTAAAACGGTTACCGAGATGAAACTCTTGACTTGAATCAAAATGAGGACAGAAGAAGGAGAAGGAGGAACCCCTCAACTTCCTGACCGCAAAAATAGGGCCAAGGCCAAGAAATCATTCCAAGTGATACTGTACGGATAGGTACGTTTTGTCTCCTTCTCCTCTTCTCCTTCTCCTTCTCCTTCTCCTTCCCCTGGTGCACCGTGAAAAAAAGGGTACCTTGTGTGGAGCAACTAGACTGGGATACCTTAATACTACTACGTAGTAGAGGGAGTCAGGCTGGCCTCTTTTAACCTCTTTTAACCCGCAATTCGGGGAATAAACTCAGGTACCTTGCCTTTAACTGGATTGTTAGGTAATTAACAGTTCTTAATGACTTGTTACGAGTAAACCGTTTGGCTCTATCAAATACAAGGGAGAACCTGCTTCTTCCTGTACCTCGGATCTGGTCTTCCGAGAGCTCTATCTGTACGATTCTCGCACAAGCACAAAAAGAGGTTGCTCAGCTGTACAGGCCATTCTGGGGTTACATTGATACATGCACTCTACCTGCGGCCACGTGAGGCCCTCGACAACCATCCGGTAAGTTGCTAGGCGGAATCATGTGGTCATGTATTATGTAGGTAGGCAACCAGCCTTTCTGATTCAAGCACCCATTCAGCAAGGTATGCTAGCCAGTGAAGGAATGGTGCATCGGACTACGGGGATGCCCAGTTTCGGGGATCGGACGGAAAGGCGCTCTATTGCATCTTTGAGCATTCTGTTAAGCAAGTATGTGTTGGAGCCCGAAAGATCCAAGTTAGCTAACAAGATTCATCATCCAAAGGCCTTCTAATCCAACGGCTCTGAACAGGCCGAATGAGGCCCCCAAACGGCTGCCGTAGGTACCAATGGAGCCTACCCTCAGGGTATCAGAAAAATTGACCGCTGGAAGCATAAGAGACGAAATTAGTAGGTCACTTTATGCCCCTTAGGCTATAGTTCTTAGACTACTTATTTTTATACCCCAAGTCTTAGGAGGCCATTTTTTCTGTTACCCAGTAGCCTACCGACAGACAAAGAGCTCTACTAAGCTCCCTTGAGTAGCCTTATTTTTGAGCTTAAGTGGTCTGTGCTCAATCATCTCCCTGCGAACAGAATGGAATTTACGACAAGAGCTAACAATAAACTGGAGCGAGAAACAAGGCAATATCGGTGCTTCTCTGTCCACAGTTTAATGTCAAATTCTGGAACCAAACAAAGGCAAGGAGTGACCCACTAAAATCTCGGATTCATACACCAAGCGTCATCCCCAACCGCGTATCAAAGCTAAGCTTCCATTCTTCTTCAATCCATTATTTCTGAGCTTTTAGTCTCACGCGCATCCATATCACCATTAAATCACTGTCCACAATCCAGATCGCATTCTCATCTCGAATACACAAAACGCCTTTTCAACTCCCCTTTCTTTCCACGCCATGGCTGAATACTCCACGCTCAAGGTGCCTGAGCTCAAGAAGATGCTGGCAGAGAAGAGCCTTCCTCAGACTGGAAACAAGGCCGATCTCATCGCGAGACTCCAGGAGAGCGACAAGCAGTCCGAGACAGACGCGAAGCCTGGTACGTCCAGCGAAGCCTAGATTCGCTCCCAATCCCTTGCGCGCAAAGTTCGTCGCATCGAAAAACAACGGCTAATTATTTCCTTTCCAGCCGACAACAAGGAAGACGAGATCAGCTACAGCGATGACGAAGCTCCCGCTGCACCTGCTCCTGTTCCTGCCGCTGCCGCTGCCGCTGCCGCTCCAGCTACTTCTGCTCCCGTTGCTGAGGCCCCTGCCGCCGAGGCCGCACCTGTCGAACCTACAAAGGCTGAGGAGCCTGCTGCAGTAGAGGCCCCTGCCGAGACCGCTGAGGCGCCTGCTGAGCCTGAGAAGTCTTACGCTATGGGACTATCATCCACCGCTGCGGATGATGAGGCCAAAAAGCGTGCTGAACGTGCTAAGCGATTTGGCATTGAGGATGATGAGGACGCGAAGAAGCGCGCCGAACGTGCGGAGAAATTCGGTATTGATGAGAAGGAGTTGGCTACTACCCTGGACTCTGCTCTCCCTGAGCGCTCTCGAAAGCGAGGCCGAGACCGTAACACCGAGACTGAGGGAAGCCGACCGGACAAGCGACAGAGCATGGACAGGAGAAACGGTCCTGGCGGTCGACAACGAAGAGGCCGTGGTGGTCGCGACAACGGCCGTGACGGCGGCGCTCGAAAGGAGGGCGCTGCGACCCGAGGTGCTATCCTTGATGACCCAACTGAGAAAGCCAAGGCAGAGAAACGCGCAGCCAGATTCGCCGGGAACTGATCCATTGGACAAGACCAGTGCCGAAACAAGGCAGAACAAACTTGCATGAATGAAGCTTCTCTAGTTGTACAACAATTTTGCTTTTCGTTTCTAAGCGCAGATTATCAAGGATACTAAATGAATAAAGAGGAAATCGGCGTTTTTTTGGTCCTGTCAACTTCACTTCCCATCAGTCATGGGCTTCTTAGCCTGGAAAACCTGAGTCCTGAGTTCATAGAGCACAATATTGTTGCGAATCAGTTTACGGTTGGGATATTATCTCCTGTATCTTGAGCTGAAGCGATAGGTTCTATAATAGCCCTCGGACTTTTGAATGGTTTACTGCCGGGTCCAACTAGGACATTGCAGTGGGTTTTAATTAATAGCTTGCCCTGCCCCTTGGCGAAGTTTCTCAAGTCTATGGTCTTTGGCTAGGTACCTTAGTAGGTAAAGGACACTTCGACAGGTATCGCTCACAACATAAATACCCCACAGCCCGAGATATCTCGGTACATTAGAATAAGAAGTCAATTCACTACCACAAATTTTCTCCTATCTTTATAATGTTCGGACACGATGGCCCTGTACTTGTACTGGGATTATCCTTTGAGGTCGGAAGGAATCGCACGATCCGAATGGTTGTCATCCAAACTAAGGATTAGCAATCCTGAATATCCATCAATACCATGAAGGTCAATCAGTGTAACCCTTTTTATGTTAGCTTGGTGGGAGACGGCTTTTCGGATACGAACCGAAGATACATAGTTAGATAGTCAGGGCCAGGCTGATTTGAAGCTTCACATGCATATCCACTACGACTCAACACCATGACCTTGCCAAGGTCCCACCAAGGATACAGCGGGATCGAGCTTCCAGGACGGGGAAGTCTCCTTTAAGCTCTAGCTCCCGAGATATTTGTGCGCCGTTGCACGACTGCCGGGGCCGCGGTGTTGGTCTTGCGATGCCCCTATTTCCAGGCTCACTGGACAACCAATGCTACAGACTTGATGGGAGGTTGACTGCGTTGTTCTGAGAGGCCTCAACAGAGATTCTGGGAACATAGAAGGGAAATTTTCTCATGCTTCTGCAGGACTGGTGGTAAGTTCAACATTCAGCTGCACTAAGAGCTCATGGCTGGCGAGGTAAGCAACATAACAGGAAAGATAGTTCAGTAGTCTTCGTAGCTCAACCCTATATTGGCCGGTAAGCTTTTTGCGTTATATATTTACGAATCACCCGAGATTTTGAGAATCAATCCTGTTGGGATCGAAGATCTATGCAAGTACCAGGGATTCGTGAATCCTTCCAGTCATTGAGCAGATCGACGTCAACGACAAGGAAAGGGGAAGGGGTAGTAGGCTTTGATCTCTGGGATCTTGTCTGATTCATTGATCGGAACCAGGGAGCACATGATGAATAGCCCCAAGACGTCTGGAACCAACGAGAAACATAAACCCGCGGCTGCGCTAATATCGCAATCCTCAATAGATTTATAGTGCGTTGAAGGACGCAAGCCACTATCTCCGTTCTCGGACGACTTTTACTGTCTACCGAATAGTGCTAGACAAACGTGCCATGGCTCCCATGGCTCAATGGCCAACGGGATCTTGCAAGAAGACATTTTAATGAACGGAGGGGGGGTCCAACACTATAAAAGCGAGATAATACAAAGATCGCCAACAACGTGATCCTCTGGTTGTCATGTTTCCCAAACGCTTAGCTTCAAGACGAGTCTCAGACTGTAGACCAATGGCAATGGCGAAACCCCTGCGCACCCGATAAGACAACCCTTGTCGCCGAGCCGTCTGGCGGCTATGGTTGGCAGAGAGGCGGCTAAGGCAATTGGGACTCCAGCTTGTCTCCAGTTTCTGTTGGACGATTCAGAGCCTTTCAAGCCGACCCTTTCTGTACATAGTTGTTCGGTGGTGTCCACATCCTTCCAAGCGAAATAATGGCTTTCAATTAGTATCAACCTATGTAATAGGCAGGGCTGGAAATATTTGCAAGCTTGATGAGTTGTCAATGAGGCAAACTGCACAGGTTCTGCATTTGCATTTGCATTCGCATTCGGCGGTTCTCGCCATTCACCGCTGCCCAAGGTAGAGAGTACTTTGATGTTGAATTCGAATGACTTTGCAAGGGTAACCTCAAATTCAAGCATCAAGTCGTGTCTTATTGGCTCGGTCAACTGACAAGCCACACTGACAGGGGTGAGGCTCTCATCGTCTGCCGGAGTGGCCAGCCACGAGCCATCTGCCACGTCAGTTGAAGCCCAGAAAGCAGGGACACCAGCCTTAAAAGATTTCTTGACAAGGAATACCTGTGGCGGTCATGATGCTGTTACTAGGTTTTCCTGTGGCGGAGTTGTCTACTGCTGCATCTTGTGCATAATGGGATGCCTCTCTGATAACCCACTTTTGGCAACATGTTCCTCATCGTGCAGCAAGATCTAAGACTGATCCAGGAACGAACGACATGCCTTTTTGCTAGTTATTTCGAGATTGTCCGGTAATCGACGTCAAGACGCGTTTGCCGCCTTGCCAGCGCATTCGCCTTGCCACTAGCTGACCTTTGTAAAGAGCTGTGAATTCTATTCTCAGCTTAGCAGCCAAGGCTAGTTGCGCACACCGATCTTGGACCCAACTCGGCGGTTCAGTTACAACTCTCACCGAACGTTTGGGACGGTGACCTCGTGAGATGATCTACTACCACCGATATGGAATGCTACAGGTAGAAAGAATGCCTTGTATGTCTTGGAATGACGTCGCTACGACTGCCGACCGTTTCATTTGGACTTGCTTCTGTGGTCTCGTGAGCGTTTTTGACGCTGATGTTGACCCGTCACGGGGACTAACACAGGATGGCGGTGAACTTTACGTTGGCCAATACGCAAATTCAAGAATTAACGAATTCTTCGCTTCGCTGTAAGATCCGCTTGACTAAACAGAGTTTTGTTGAAAATATCGAAAATATCGTACGTGAGCTCCCTCTTTGATCAACGCCTTTGCCGAAATATAGTAAATCCTTGTCAATAATTTAACGACAAGGTTGGCGAACGGGTTGAGGGGTATTATGGATCAACCGTTCGTAGTCATTATTTTTTACTCTCTATTGCACAGCTTCAAGGAAAAAGCACATGCAGGAGAAAGAGTCTGTGTCCATGTCCCTATCATGGAGTTCAATCTGACGAGCTGTGGAGTGAAACGAGTGCATCTTCATCATTGGTAGAAAGTCCTTGATCAACGACCAATGGAATCATGGAGTCGTTCGGTCATGGCGACTACCAGGCGCTTTGCGTATAGGATTTCAACGAATGAGAGGAAACGTAAGAGAACAAAGTCCCCGTTGTCCGCGGGAAGAAGCAAATTCTCAGTCATGACATCCATGGCTGAACGTTGAACCGGTTTTTCGTTTTCTGTTGTCCAAGTGAAACTTTGTTGAAAGCTCACCGACATCTTGGATATCATGACCACAGGCGTGCAAACTACCGTGAAAAGTACATTATTCCCGCGTCTATCTAAACGCCGCTCGGCACCAGCGATGGTTAGGTACAGTAGTGATGCTATTCTTATCCTGCCTGTGACTAGAGTGCGTAAGTTGGACAATATTATGGGCCATAGTCTTTGGTTTGGCTGCAGCTGCAACTGCAGCTCATGCAGCTGGTCTGGGGCTGGAGGAGGGCATGGGCATGGACATGGGCAAATTTCGCCCCAGGATCTTGACCCTGGTCAACGGAGGACCGACGACGGGTACACGGTTGTGTGACCTGATTCGAGCTCATCTTATTCTTGTCATCTTGCGAAATATCGAAACACCAAATACAATTCGAGATAGCCGTACTACAGTCAGATCATCATCCTTCAAAGGATTCATCCATTAGAGTTAGACTTTCCCCCATGCGGGGCGAATTATCCAACGGACTCGCCCGTTAAATCGTTAGTCCAGGTCCCAACGGCCCTTACTTCAAGGTTCAAATGTCAACATGTAGTCGATGGAACTCAACAGTTTAGGACCACTCATGACTTGATCCGGGGATCTATGCATATAAGTTTAGCAAGGTGACATTGTTTTTGTCTGCAATCGTGATGAACCTACTCGATGAGAACATACCGCTGCTGCTGACGCCCACGATAACAAAACTGACTTAGAAGGTGAGGCTAGAATTTGGGGGCAAGACATTCAGAGACATGCAGGTTAGATCGACCTGTTGGAGTGTGCCAAAGTGAGACATTTTGATATGCATGTCTAAGACATGCAGATGCCTCGCAACGACGTCGCATATTGTGCTGAAGAAGAGAAGAAAAAGGAAGAAGCGCCGGGACTATCACTGTGATGTCTTTTTTGTTTCACACGCACACACCCTCACTTCCTCGCTAGTTGTCGTTGATGGTTGTAAACGGGTTTTACACTTCGGCTCCGGAGAGATGGGATAGATAGATTTACGTACCCTTGACCAAGAAAACTGAGTCGTCAGCGAGAAAAGATAATCTGTCAGTTGCGTAGACTATTTGCCTGCTGCTCACCCCCTCTTCAACTATCTTCATCACCCAAAGCGGACACAACCAACTTGAACACCACCCACAAATCCCTAGTATGCCCCTGCACCCGCATCAGTTTTTGGTCAGGCCTTTTTATTATTTTGTTTGGATAATATATCTTATTCGATACCAAGTTTCTTACTGTTGTTTTTTCGTATTTCCAGTTTGGGGCTGTTTCTTACCAACACAATATGTTTGTCCATCCATCATCTCCTGAGTAGCTGTATCAAAGCTCAAGATTGGATGCTTGGCCATCGGCCCATCCCTTTCAGGACCGCTCCGCTACCAACGGTGCAGATCGTCCAGTCAATTCTCAACCATCCAGTCATTTTGATATCTCTATTGCTCTTCCCTCTCGATGTATCCATTCATATTGCCCCACTCATCCCAAGGGTCTTGGGTCCCTACAAAAGTGACCAGGATTCGCAGTGCAAATCTCTACCAGGATATGATGCCCAATCACCTCGTCTAGATGGCATGAGACCTTTTCTACTGGATAATATCGACATGCACCCCGAAGGAGGAACGCGGCGCAGTTGAATGTATAGGCTCCGCTTTAGCTATTTCCTGGCTGACCAAACGGATGACTCACCCTAGAAGAGAGTACCTGCCGCCCACCAGGTTAGAGGAGGGCTTTTTTTTTCCTACTGCACTCCACCCAAACCAAAGAAAGATGCTACAATGCGATGCGATGCGGATGCAATGTCAATTGCCAGACCTGACCAGGGCTATGCCTGCAGCACACTTCATTTATCAGGGGTCAGGACAAGAAGCAAGGATCATCTTTGCAAGTACGCCACAGTCACCTCCCAATGTATCCTCACCCTCTTCTTCAGGTACTCCTGTACCGCATGTCATTGTCCACTCATGATCATGACCACCCCCAGGAAACTCGTCCATTTCATTGCCTAAATACTACATAGAGTATATGCTCCCGTCTCGGCCCTCCCCGCTATTACTATATTCTATATTCATTCTCTTGTTGCCACTTCCTGTTTTTGGCTTCCTTCTCTTCTCTTTTGTCTCTTGTTTCTTTACCTCCACTTACACTCCAACCTTTCGAGGCACGCTACTACTGTACTATACACTCATCACATCAACCGAAGCGCCTACTCTCACGACTACGAGGTTTAAACGCGGCTTTATCCCACTCTTCACACCATCACCGTCGAACTAGACCTCTTCGAGCTGATTATCTATCCACACCATCACAGTGAAAGCCAATTCCCCTCCACACTAATAACGACGACGACTGCTCGCTCGCTCTACTTTTTCCGATTAACGGTCCTCGTTACCACTACTCAATCTACCTTGACTCTCTTATATACAACTCCCCTCGTTCCCGGTGAAATATGGTAACAGGTATACGGAGTCGATCTTGAAGGTTGGAAGATGGATTCTCACAGATTGGGGTCTGGTCTGCCATCTAGGCCCTCGGAACCATCTCGCATCAGACGGCCTGGACTTGGATTTGGATACGGCTCTGAACCAGCACCTTCATCGAGTGCTCCAAAGTCACTCAACAGATCAGCAAAGAGGGAAGAGGTTCCACGATCATTGCCCAAACCTTCTTCCATCTCTCGCCCAACACCAACTACCAGGGTAACTCAACCTACTCCAACTTCTTCTACCACTACTCGAAGACCTTCTCTTCCGCAACCCATATCACGACCTAGCATTGGTCACCAAGCCCAATCGTGGGGGTCATCGTCTACTTCAACATCCACTCGATCAGCTGCCAACCATCATGGAGCTTCCGGATCATCATCATCAACACAAAGCATTGACAACACAAAACCCAACCCAAATGGCTTGCGAAGGAAGAAGCCATCACTTTCTGGTGACATCAACACTACCCGCAATGGCTCTTCACGAACGGATTCTTCCTCCTCCTCCGCCCAGCACAAACGACAGGGCTCCGTTGAGCCTGTATTTGGCTTCCACTTGGACAGAGAACTTACCTGTAGCCCGGCCGAGATTCAAATCGCTGAAGTCGTTGAAGTGAAAAAGCATTCCAGGTCACCAGTCATCTACCCTGAATTGGACCGTTATCGAAACATTCGACGACCCTCGGATGGCTCAGATAACCGAATCGAGGTCCCATTTCGCTTAGCGACACACGACCTGCCGCCCCCAACTCCAGCCAGCCTATTATTCTCTGGGACTAGTGGAAGCCCATCTACAAGGTTCTCCGAGTCACCTGGACCAGGGCCTTATAGTCGCGACACCACGCCAACTTCAATTGCATCTCAATCGCCTTGCCTGCTTGCACCTGTCCGCAGTAATCAGAATAAGGGCCGGCTTCAAAGTCCTGTTCTCAACAGACCTCCTGTAACCCGAAGGACAACTGGTAATGAAATTGAGGCTATTCCTGTCGACCCTCATGGTCTAGCAGCCGTGAGGGAGTCTCTTACTTCCTCGTCATCCAACTCAACTGTTCGAGAAGCCACCATCAAGAAGAAGACAAAGAACTTGCCTCCACCTCCTCCAAGCCCCCCACCACGCAAGTCTTCACAGTACTTCAGGGAAGATACCTCGTCGCCGAAGTCGGTGCGCAAGGTGTCAAGGCCTGTTTTGCGATCGCCTTCCCCTGAGACAAATACCCAGAACTCTGCCTCACCAAGGGTTAACCCTCCATCGCGGCCCAGTAGAGATGGCACTCCCGACATGCAGTCCCAGTTGTTCAACCCGGTGCCAATTATTCACAGCAACCTCTCTACCCAGTCCCTCCCAACTGAGCGACGTGGAAGCGAGTCTGCTGTCTCGGGAGCTCTTTCACCGCCCAAGCCCCAATTCACCCATTCAGGACGGACAGCATCGACTTCTCAACTTCCCATCAAAGGTGAGGTATATGCTCAACCCGCGGCTAAGCTTGCCGCCGAGTCAAAGAAGGGAAAGGGAATTGAGCCACCTCGAATGACACGCACACCGAGTCCACATGTGTCTAGCTCCTCTTTCTCGCGATTCTTCGGTCGTAGAAAGAATTCTAGCACCGCACCACCCGAGAAGCCTGAGAAGGAGAAGAAGCTTATCCGCAAGGGTCCTGCAGCTGGCACTGGCCACGAAGGTTATGGACGACTCGGCGCTGCTAAGAGACGTAGTGGCAGTATCAGCAACGTGGCTCGCAACCAGGCGTCCCAAGAACCCCGCTCCAGCAACGATTCCTTTTTGTCAGACCGTATGAACCCAGTGGTCATTGCTGGAGGCGAGATCATTGAGAACCGAAATGCCAGCTCTGAAATCTCCCGAAATGGAAGTTCCCAGAGTTTGGCACATGATGACGCAAGGCTGGGTAGTTCTCAGTTGCCAGTCTCTTACCAGAAGCCCCGAAACACACTCTGGCCCTCGCCCATGTCACGCACTCCTCATCCTGCATTTGGATCTCGTCGGCCCTCTGAGAGCAGTGACTCCGAAGGTCCCACTATGAAGTCAACACTTGCTTTCCGACGATCAGTTCAGCGTTTGCGCTCCTCTCCTGACGACCCCTTGAAGCTACCCCAGCCTATCAACACCTCTGGTTATGCATCTTCACCCATGACTAGCTTCGACACCAGCATCATGTCTGATGATTCTCATTTTGAATTACAACGGGAGATATCGCATGAGGTAAAGTCGCATCCTGTACCAAAGAAACTTGTCAAGAGGCCGCGCTCGCCTCGCAAGTGGAACTTGTTTGGCAGGTCAACTCAAAGCCAGCAGAACAAGCAGGGTGATAAGGTTTCGGCTACTGTCAAAGTGGTCGAAAAGAAGCCCTTGGCCTTCTACGCCATGATGGACTCGTCAGAACAGGAAGACAGTGAGCCTATGGACATTCAGGATGTCCTGAGGGCTGCTGAGGTTTATTCCAAGTCGCCTAGTGTTGGTAACACCCCTGAGCTTTCCCAAGGTACACCAGAGATGCGATCATCAAGCGACTCTCTGGCACGACCTGCGGCCTACGTGCAGTCCTCGAGAAGGGCGAGCACCGAGATCAAGGCTAGAACTTGGGTCCCTGTTATTCAACACGGCGCGGCACCAAAGAAGCTTACCTTGCAGCCTAGTGCACAGCCGACCGTACCAACTGTCACCTCTGGTCGTCGAAGCAGACTTCCTCAAGTTGGAAGGATTCCCAAGGTTGTAAGCAATCGTCCCGAGCATGAACATGTGTCTCCTATGAGCTTCTCTCGACCTTTTAGAGCCAGCATGCACTTGGCTCCCGAGACCCTTGATGTTTATGATCCAGAGTCGATTGCCAAGGGCCCTTCCCCGTCTAGACCCTCCACTCCTGTTCCAGAACTCACCACCGACGATTCAACAGCGGGAAGCACCAACAATCCTTCCTCTCGAGACTCTATTCCTCCTGAACTGAATCGAGTGGAGAAGGAGTTCTTGGCCTTCTCGCCCCGCAAAGACTCTGAGAGCACCATTGGCACATCCAGTTCCAGCTGCTCTGGTATCCTCGCATTCTCTGGTTCCACGGCTGTCATTCCACAACCCCATGACCCACCTGTAGAAGACGAGGTGTGGGATGAGTACGACGACCTTCTCGAGGACGATGTCTCCAAGCCACTCCCTTCAGCAACGTCCTCAAGAGGCACGCCGTTCCACCTTGAGACTTACGAGACGAAGTTAGCCAGCAAGGAGAAGCCTCTAGAGTCACCGACAATTACCTTTGACAAGAAGGCGATTCGTCAATCCAAAGCAACGACCATTTCCAGTACTTGCAGCGCTGATATGACTGAACGACTCAGAGCGGCTTTCCAACCTCACCCAAGCCCGACTACCCCTTTCCCAGCTGCAGACCTTGTCCCGAGCAACGGCGACCGCAGCAAGGATGCTGAAGTTGCTACAGCTGTTGAGGTGTCACGACAAAGCAGTCGATCGTCTCGCAAGACAAGACGATCTGATGCAAGTTCCTCTTCAGAAGATGGATCACCGCTTGCGCAGGTCAACCTCAGAGTAGGGTCAATGACGGTAAGCAAGTGGCTGACTTTTGGTCATGTTCTCTTCAGCGATGTTCGCCACGAACTTGTTCCCGTTGAAGGTTCGCTCAAGCGACACTCTATTTTGGTTATTGATGGCCTTGGTAACGATGATTGGTCTTTCTACGCTGCCGAGACATACCCAGCTGCTACCTTCTTCAACCTGTCCCCTCGTGCCCCTCTCCCTGAAGAGTTGAAGAGCGCCTCGTCAAGTTTTCCACTGAGTCCCCCGAACCATCATCAGATTCAGTACAACTCTCATCTCGACAAATTCCCATTTGCCCCTCAGAGCTTCACTGCTGTTGTGTACCGATTCCCCGTCGCAGCACCCGAGGCTTACTACCGCAGCATCCTCACGGAAGCTCGTCGCGTGCTGAAGCCTGGAGGTTTCATCGAGTTATCCATTCTAGATGTTGACCTCAACAACATGGGCAATCGGGGTCGACGAACCGTTCGCCATCTCAAAGAGAGAATCAATGAGAAGACTCCTGATACCAGCCTCGGTTCCACCGCAGATCTCATTGTACGCCTGCTCGGTAAGGTCGGTTTCACCACAATCAAGGCAGCGCGCGTGGGTGTGCCTGTGGCAAGTACCACCACCCGATCGAGCGGCAAGGCCGACAAGGGCAAGGGCAAGGCCGCTGCCGACCAGCCGAGCCTGTCAGAGATGATGAGCGACAACAGCCCCTTGGCCGACGAGGGTATCACCAAGATGGTCAGCCGCGTTGGCCGATGGTGGTACACGCGATGCTACGAGAACGCAGCAAAAAACACTTCTGGTAAGAGTATTTGGAGCGACAAGTCTCTGCTCTCCGAGTCCGAAGAGCTTGGCACAAGCCTCAAGCTCATGGTTTGTTGCGCACGAGCTCCCCTTGAGCGCATCACCAGTGTCTAAACACATAGTTGGCACACATTTCTTTTCTTCCTCTCTACTTTTTCCTTATTGGTCACAAAATTGCGTAACATACTCAAACATAATTGGAAAGCATTAAAGGTTGGAAGATTCCATGCGGCGCGAGCCCATCACCTCAAAAAGAGGCACTACAAAAACAAAGGACACAGGATCACATTTACCTTGGGCGATACAAATTTTCTTTTCTTTCTACATCGAGAGAGTGTAGCCTTTTATCTTTCTTTATATGCTTGTTTAATATTCGGTGCCGCAGGTCGGGGTTTGACCACGCACTGGATGCAATGGTATTTTGTCCATTTATTTATTTTTGGGTGGGAAAAGTTGTTTTTAATTCTTGATGGAAATGCTGGACATTGACACTCCGCGCAAACTGGGGGAGATAGGAGTGCAAAGGAGGAAAAAAGGAGGATGAGATGCGATTATGAAATCTTGATGATTGAATGTGTGGAGGATATGACTTTTTGATGTTTGAGCATGTTGCATAGAGATACCCATTCATGCTTTGGGAAGCCAGAACGATATAGCAAGCGACATATTATTATTCTTTCACTATAATTATTTCCTACCGTGCCTATTTATGGTTCTCTTTATGTGTCTAATCTAGCAAGATGACTACTTATACAAATTTGCTGCGTTCGAGCAAGATATATGTAAATGGTGCAAGTATCGTTGATATTATTCGGTCTTTGTCGACTCTATCTCGACAGACTCAATTGCCTCGACAGACTCAATTGTTTCTTCAGTATCAGATACATTCTCTTCACGAACAGGCTCAGATTGAGCGGGCGCTTGGTCATTGGGCCACCGTCTGTAAACACCTACAAACCCACCGCCGGAGAGGCGATCACCAACCTTGGGCCGCATTACCTGAACAGGAACTGCTTCGGGGTCTGCTCTTGGAACAACAGTTTTGACATCCCATTCTTTACCGCCTCCGGTATCAAGCACACCGTCCGCTGTCGTCGATACGTCGAGTTCAATAACCCTCTCCTGACGCAAAGGCTGTTTCGTTTGCGAGATCCATGTTTGGAACCGGGCGATCTGGCTAATGGAAGGCGAAAAGACGACAAGCAGACCGTTGGGATGAAGAGCCTGGATGACAGGTGATGCGTAATCCTCGACTGAGGGAAGGTCAAGAATTGCATGAGAGAATATAGGCTGTTCGTCTGTTTCGGCAAGACGGGAAGCAATGTAGTCGCTGATAGAGCCGACATGAAAGTCCACGGTGGGATAGAATAGGGAGCGACGGAATTGCCGTACTAGCTTGTTTGCAGCATTCGAGTGTTTGGCATTTTGATCAAGAGTGTGAAGAACGGCACGGCGATTTGAGCGATAGGCATCGAAGGCGGTTTGAACTTCGTCTGATAGCTCAAGGCTGTGATCTTCAGATTTGTAGCGTGCAGTGCAGAGAGCATCTCGTAACACAGAAGGTACAGCAGGGTTGGCTGCATTGAGGGCACGAGCCAGGTGCAATGTCAAGCTTCCCATTCCTGTACCGGCTTCAAATATCTCGAGCGATGGAAGCGGCTTGTTGGTTTCTGTGTCGTAATCTTCTTCGCTAGGTTGAGACAGGTTGAGGTCGAGCAGTGATACAATGAAGCTTGCGTGGTGGGGGTAGATCTGAACAACAATTGGATTAGTTGGGATCTTTACAAGAGAACTTATATCATTCCATACCGGTGTAGCATGTCGTTCGCTGTTAAGGATGTAGGCACCCATGGTCGGTTCATGGATATCGACCTTTCGGTCAGAACTGTCAACTACACTATCAAGCACACGACGACCGATAAGATCGGACGCGTTGATGGTTGCGCCATATCCAAGACGTATACGAGCATCAGGGCGAAGAGGGGATGTAAGACGCCATTTAGGACCCTTAGTACCCTTTTGTCGCAGAAACAGGACGTCGTTTTCTGGAAGACAGCAGAGTTAGCATGATGAGTTGCTAACAGATGCCAATTGGAGAGTTTTCTAACGTCGTATTATTCGAGAAGAAGAGTAGAGCCGCTGGCAAGAGATGGAAGAACTGCCTGCAAGGGCTGAAGGGCGGGTTAGGCGCATGATGGCTGGTTGAGGGTGGTGGAGTTGCCATGATGAAAATCATGGAGGTTTAAGTTTTGTGCCGGGAATAGATCGGATATGCAAGAGGGGCATCATACTGAAAGTAAAGGTTCTAGTATATGAGTTGATGTCTAAGGTAAAGGTGATGTAGTAGTAATTATTTTGCGTCACTATTGACAGTGTTTTTTTTAGGCCCGGGGGTATCGCCTGCCCTCATTTTTTGGAGAGCTTTATTTGCATGCTTCCTTCCTTCCTTCCTTAACCAATCTCCATGCCACATGTCTCCCTCACCTTCCTAATATAGTATGTCATCGCAACTAACTTCTTTCTTGCACTGTCATCTCGAATACCATGCCTTGTTCTTCCAAACTCCGTCGTCTTCCCAATCTCGTCTCATCAAAAACTCGGTGCGCATCAGTTACTATTATACAAAGGGTGTCATTTCATAATCAACAAAAACCAAAATGTTCAAAGATCCCATATTCCTTCGCGTCATTCCAGCTATAACCAATAAACTCCGGTCCATGAGACATCAAAAAACAAAAACAAAAAAGGGTTGGTACCGAGACTCCAGGCTGTGTACATGTCATTGGGATCATGATTGAATCCAAAGGTTTCGTGTGCCTAGGCATGTGCTACACGCACAGCACAGCACAATGGCATCACGTACAGTATATATCGTGCAGTCTTTGAAGCCGCCTTCACCATCCGAAATTTCTGAAAACGGTGGCTTCGTCGAATTACATACGTCGGGTCCTGATGGGTAGGACAAGCATCAGGACTAAGAACAATAAACGGACTGAGAACCGGCTCAGATGAACGAATATTTTGAGCTCGACATGTGCTGCTCCATTGCGGCCGCCCACGAATCCTGTGCCTGCAATTGTTGTGGGCGTTGCTGCTGCTGCTGCTGCTGCTGCTGCGACTGTCGGTGTTGGTGTTGGTGTTGGTGTTGGTGTTGATGCTGGTGGGTCTGTTGATATTGGCGCTGTTGATGCTGTGGTGGCATATGCTCCGGCGCGTGCTCTGTGGTGTGAAAATCTTCCTCAAAGTATACAATGACGCGAACCCCGACGTGTTCCTGAAGAAACGAAACACCAGACTCGTACCGACGCCGACATCGCTTTGTCCAAGGATCTACCTTGACAGGACTGTGGTAGCAGAAAACATTTGGTTGCTGGCTACGGACAGGGAAGAGGAGTCCCATCCCTCTCATATGATGCCAGAAGTCGATGGTCGCTTGTTTCGTCGCGTCGGATTGAGGACGTGCTGCAAACATCAACTGGATAATTGTATATCGCAATACGAGAACGTCGGCACTTTCGACACCAAGTTGCTGCTCCATTTGCCGCTGCAAAAGTCGGAGTTCTCCCACCAGTTTCTCCAATCTCTCTTGGCTGACGTGGTTGTAGAACATGGCCAGATCGACCCATGTTCGAGCCACATAAGGATGCTTGCGCCCATAAATAGCTTCCAGTTCCTCAGCAATAGTGGTTATGCTTCCCCACAGTAGCTCCGAGAGTGTCTGTGGGCCATGCTTCTGCTGGACCTCATATAAGCAGGCAAAGATCTGCCGCAAGGGATGCGATCGCTCGAAGTTGGTCATCGAATAAGCCGAGAGATACTTGGAAAGCGCAGTCATCATGCCTGGATCACGATGAACCATGCCTAGAAGCAGCTCTATGATACCTTGTGGGGAAAGCTTCTTCAAATCCGACTCGAGTTGTGAGAATGCCTTCATCAAGAAGTCACCACCTTGATCGTGATCCTTCATTTCGAAATAATAGTTGGCTTCGAGGAGAAGATCACTGGACCCGGCTCCCCAAACCATAACCGACTGCCACCCAACTTGAGCATCTGTTTCCACCTCGAATTGCCGGCATTGTAGGAAAGCCTTCCTCATATTGGTGACGATTGTTTCTTGAGCGCGGATAAGATCCGGTGACTGAAGGTAACCTGGCGTGGGAGGTGGAGTTGGGGTTCGACATCGGATATGTGCCGGCAGATCAGCCGGTAACTCGAAATCGACCAGATCATATTCAGTTACGCCTTTCCTTTTCAGATATGTACCCAGATTAACAACTTTTCCGTTGCGAACGAATTCTGACACCTTTCCTTCAGCATCACGTTGAAACTTCATGGACAACAAGCGTTTGACTTCGTCCTCGGTGTTATTCTTGACGAATCCCCATTGTGAGAATCGAGTCTTGTACATTTTTGGCCTGGCGAGGATGAGAAATGGCACTGATGGAATGTATGTATATGAACTTACGTGGCTTGGAAACCATACTTGTCGGCCATGACTGACATGACCTCTTTAAGTGGCTTCCTCTCTTCGAGGTACAGTGTTCGAATCGTGTTTTTGAACGACTCCCATGCTTCAGCGGGAACCTGTTCTCTTGAGGGGCGGCTTCCCATTTGTGGTTTTTGGGATACCGAACTTCTTCGTTCATTCTAGAGTTGAGTTAGAATCAGCAATCCTATACCGAGTTATGGGTTACATACTGGTGAAACAATGGAGGACGTTGAGGCTTGAGATAATTGCGGCGTGGAGGGTTCACGTTTAATAGGAGGGCTAAAAGGTGCTGGTGTGGATATCGACGATCGCGAGGGCTGCCGAGTAGGCCTGGGTGGTTTCGCAGGCGGCTTCGCGGGAGCCTTGCCTTTGACATTAAAGCTGGAATTGGTGTTGAAATCCAAGACCAGCTGGCTTCCGGCGTTCATCACGGGCTTAGGTGTTGAGGGGATTGGCGGCTTTGCAAAATAACCACCAGCATTTGAGAGAGCGTTGCTACCTTGCTGCTGATCCAAAGAGGGCTTAGAGGTCGTTGGCACGGGTGGTCGCCAGATGGCGAACCCAGGTGTACCTGGGACACCTGGCGTCGCTGGATTGGACGAAGTAACCTTGTTGTTGAAGGCTGAATTATGCATCATTGATGACCCAGCCATGGGGTTTGATTCCATTGGGGTCGTTACTCTATTGTTGTTGACCATGAAGCTGTTCATACTTCCAAAGGGCCCGGACGACGACCCCATACCTGAACCGTGAACCGATGGAATATCATGAAACCCGCCAAAAGCGAGAGCGGGCGGCGGGCTAACGAGAGGACTGGTAACTCGTGAGTGGCCACTCAAAAGTCCATAATTGGGCTCTGAAGGGCTGGTCAGAGGGCTCGTAACGATTGGCGATGCGACACTGAAGTTTCCAAACGGCGAGGAAGCGGGAGGGTCCTGATGTACTGGACTCGTTACGACGTTTGATGGTCTGATAGGTAATGGTGGCGCAAAGGACTTGTTCTCGAAATGCGCAACCAGTCGGCCAACGCCACCTCCACCTCCCTCATGAGAAGAACTCATATCGTCGAGTTCAACATCTTGAGACATGGAGTCTTGCTGATCGAATCGCATCTGATAATCCGCCGACGGAGTTGGGGCCCAGTCCATACCGGACGATTCGCCGTAAGATACGCTAGAATCATGGTACGGTTGCGAATGACCCGTCGCGAAGCTGTTGGTGTTATTGTTGTTCATGGTGAACCTGTGCCATCCTTGATCGGCGAAACCATACGACGGATCCTCGTTGTTGTTGGAATGGCGAGACCCGCCTGCTGAATGGTTAAACATGTCGCCGGTGGTGCCCAGGCCGGACGTGAGGTGCCCGGTCTGTTGGCAGAGAGGCAGTCAATGACAGACTGAGGCGAGTCGAAGGCCTCGGCTGTGTCCTCAGTCGCCAATGCGAGAATTCATAACTCGTCAATGTGGCGAGCAGGAGAGCTCAAGCTCAGATGGAGGTTCGAGAGCGGGAGGATGAATAGGCGGGCAGAAGTGCCCATGACTATCGGTACGTATAATAATAATAAGTGGAAGAGCGTTGGAGCCGTACCAGAACCGAGCAGAGTAAAACAGAACAAAGCGCAGTGGCAGTCTAGCGGGCACTACTAGGACTGGGGTGCCTTGCCTGCTGCTGTAGGACAATAGTAGTGAATCGCACCAAAGCAACGGCCAGGGCTTGCTAACGTTATCGTTCCCCAGACTTGACGCACCAGTTAGAGGAGATATGGGCGGTGCTGTGATAGGACCGTCAGTGCAAAGAGAGCCAGAAAAAAGACGGGGAGCGTCGAAGGCCAGAACGCCAAGTAATGCGCGTGAGAAAGCGCCAGCAAAAGTTCCTTCGCCAAATTTTCCCAGAAAGGCAACCCAATCTGCTGTCTAGAGGAGGCTGGAGCGGATTCTTGAGGGAGATAAGAGGACCATCCTCGGTCCAGCAGCCGCGGGCATTTTATGAGAATAACGGAATTGAGCTTGGATAAAGACCATCAGCCACAGATTCACCACATTGTCATGACTCTCAAAAATATCAACTTTTAAGTTGATGGGCAGTGCAGAGGCAACTCGTCGAGAGGCTAGAGACGACAACTCGATAGAACGAATTGCGAATTCGAGATTCAGCACCACATGAAAAGAAGGGCCGATAAGGCTGCACTGAACAGACAGCACCATCCCTGGGATCGATGAGACTTGACCACTGAGAAATGAGCTTTCAGGGGTGGGCTTGTGAGAGCATGCGACCATGATTGCCTGAAGCAGAAGGTGAACAAGACGGAGCCACCACCCCAAGTTAGAAGCACCAATCATGTTTAGTCGATACGGCTCTAAGGCCTCGTACCCTTTGAAGCGAAATGTGCCGAGGGTGAGCATTCCGTTCTGTATTGTGTTTGTTAGTAGGCGGCTGAGAAGCCTGAACAGACACACACAGGTACTGAACTGGAAGCTGTTCCAGAAGGATTCGTTTAATCGCCGTTCTCCTCCAGTTGATTAATACATCGCTGTTCTTACCAAACCAATATTGTTTGGGTTCTGTCACGGTACGGCGGAAACACTGGCCAACCATGTCTAATATTAAAGACACAAAACAAGAAGAATTAGGAAAGGCTCAGGGCTTGGAAACTCTGCTGAAAGCCGGATCCCTTCGGCCGTGGCGCCGCCACGCTTTGTTACCTGCTATTTCTGAGGCCACACCAAGAGTTGGTCTTAGTGGCTAACCGGGGATCGCGCCAGATGTTGTCGTTCCCAGAGGATTGCTGCTCAACCACGAATCAGGACTTCAAACCACCTACTTAACTGAGGAACTCGGTGCCTTGACGCACTCTGCTTTATCGATCTTCAGTGAGAATGCGCCAATCAACTAACGATTGTGCTCTGACATTGGTTATCTGGTAGATGGAACAGCTGTGTGGGGGATCGAAGGCTGTGGTTCTGACTGGCTATGTAGCCAAGCCGGCTCCCGCCGATAGCCTACAAATCGGTGTTCCCTTTCATCCACTGGACTTCTCTAGGTTCGCCTGCTTACCATCACAGTACCATTTGCCGCCTGAAATAGAGCGGAAGGGCAGGATTACCAAAAGACCAAGGTTAGCAGATCTACATGGTTCAAGACTCTCATTCTCAAGTTCTCTCCTTTGAAATGGTTTGATCACTTCAGAGTCATGCTAGATTGAGTGCGATTAGGCTGTCGCGTAGCTCGACTTGAGGGAGGGTTTGTAGGTGTGCTGAAAATGGAACGTTCCATGGTTGCTGGAGCCATGACATGCCACCCAACCCCCTGGCCCGTCCGGCAACGGTTCCCTTGTCTACATTGACTCGGCCGAGAGAGCGGCCGAATCACTTTCAAATGGGCTTATGGCGTTCAAAGATAACTGTTGATATGAAATACATCTCATGATATCTTTGAAGGCTCTCACAGATCGACCTCGGGTATGACCGAGAGTGTAGCCCGTCATGCCCATAAGCCTGTGATATTCTATTTCGGGTTGCTCTGGTAGCGTAGCGTTTGTCTCGGTGCTTCAGAGCTCCTGCAAGACAGCGTAGCCGAGCCTATGCTTGCACCCGCTTTGGTCAATGCCGGCCACCCCTGTTCCCTGCTCTACTTCATGTTCGGAGATCAAGCCGCAATTCCATCTCGCGCAATCGTGCAAGCTCGTCATTATGACCCATAAGCACTCATTGCGATTTTACACACGAGTACTACTCATCGCATGCTTAATGGTATTCGACATCTGCTCTTGACTTTGTCTTTTGGCAGGGTTCAGGACGGGATCTGGAGCAGCCGCTGCCAAGGCTAAGATCAGCGATAGGGCAAACCACCTACGCGGCTGTTGACTCCGTATCCGCGTCTCAAGCTGAATGCTCCGAGACATAGCTTACAGCCCAGCCGGTGCATACTTCTCGATACGGCATCACGTCTGACAACCTTTACAAGTTGCTTGATAGCGTCTACGTGTTCTATCCCTTCTTCTTTCCTTCCTTTTCCTTGGGCAAAAGATAGGGGGGCGGGCACAGGCAGTAAGGCGTACAGAGCTGAATTAGCCTGAATACTTGTCCAAATATTGTGCCAGCATTCCATTGGCCACGCTATATCTCAACCCAGCACTTAATAGTTCATCATAAGTCATTCTTTCAGGATAATAATGCTCAGAGATCGGCTTTTGTTCCTCTAGAAAAAGCAAATCCACGAATCGGTGTTTAATGTCTCAGCTGATAACAATTACGGTCCTATTCCAAGACATCAGCCCCACGAGAGGGAGGAGCGGGAGTGGGGGAAGCAATATCCCCAAGGTCAGGCACGACGTCAAGATAAGCATGAGCACGTTCACATGGGAATGCGATAAGTTAAATTTAAAGTGAAATTAGTGGCTTCAATGCAACGTGCAGCTGACTTTGAGCCAAACCAAAATTTCGAACCGTATGGGCCGGTAACTGTACCAACGTTGAGTCAAGTAAAGTAAGCTTAAACAAAGTCGGCACGAAAAGAAGGCACGAGTGAACAGGTAAAGTTTATAAACGGCTCTTTGTTCCGAGCATATTTGTTTTGTAATGTAAACGTACAGATGAATCTCAAAAACACCTTTCTATCCATTTTTGGTATAACCTTTTTCTACTCCCAAAAGCCTACGAGTGGTATGTATGATACGAAAAGTAAAAGCGAAGAAACACAGTGGGTGACCCAAGAGTAGAAAATAAACAAAACAAAAAATGAATGAAAAAGAATGATGACCAAAACAAGGTCGAGTAAAAGGGTGGAAGGAGAGAAGAAGAAGAAGCAGCAAAAACAACAAAAAGACAAGGAAACAAATGCTAAAATTACACAACAACCAGACCCCATGATACTAATACCCATGAACCCAACACCTTCCGTTGCTCCCTTTGCCGCTCCGTCATTCTTCTTTAATTTGGCCAATTCATTGTCCATCTGTCACAGGTTCCGTCATGTAGTCGTTGTCAAAGAAACCCAGTGTACCATCGTTGTGTCTCAATGGTTCGAAACGATCGTAATGATAAGTTCAGACGAAACATCTCTAAGTCTTCGTCGCTTGAAGAAGGCGCCCATAAGGGATTGTAAGTGTTGAAAGTAAAGGAAACTCCTGCTAGTCGTGGCAGCACAGTTGGGGTTAATGAGTAGCAAGCCGAATATAGACAGTACTTGATACTACAAATCAGATATGAGAGGGCAAGACCGGTCAAATTTGGCGATTTGAGTCGATTTGATGATATCAAGAGACTTCTTCGCCGTCCTTCTCTTCCCGAAAGCGTAAACCGCCCTCGACATTGATTGCGCCCTGGACCCATGGCGTCTTTGATACCTTGTCAACGGTCCATCGACCCCTGGCACGTCTCAATAGCCCTTCAGTGATCTCCATGGCACCAAGGAGACCCTTCGCCTTGAACTTGGCCTCATCACCATCATGGTCAGTGTCATCGCCAAAATACTCGACCCACTTCCATTCGACTCTGGCAATGCGGTGACTAGTACGGCTACGCATGCGGTGCGCATCGCTCATGCCGGGGTGAGGGTCGAACGGAAGTCGTGCCTCGAGAAGGGCGTAGAGAAGTACACCAAGCGACCAAGCATCAGTGGCTCGGCCGTCGTAGGGTTGACCCATGATGACCTCAGGGGCTGCGTAGTCTTCAGATCCGCATCGAGTCTCGAGTTTCTCATCATCTGCGATACGTCTCGAGAGCCCTAGATCACTCAAGATGACTACTGAGTAGGGATAAGTCGTCCAATCGATTGACGGATCCGCAAGTTCAGAGGGGGTGAGGTTAACAAGCAAATCTAGCAACATGTTAGTTCAGGTTGTAACGTTCGAAGACAGCCGACTTACTCTCGAGTTTTATATCTCGGTGAACAATCCTCCTCTCATGAAGATAGCTCACCGCGCCGACCAACTCGGCAAATATTCTTCGCAGCAAAGGCTCTTTAAGTACAGCGCGGTGTGATGTAGCAATATCGAACATGTCGCCTCCTGGGCAATAACTCAAGACAAGAATGGCTCGGGTTGGTTCAATGCTCCACGCCTTTAAATCGACTAACGAGGGGTGGTGTATGGAGAGCATGATCTCAAGCTCGCGCTTCAGACTCATTTCCACACGTTCCTCGCTGGCACCTCCCTTTGGACCATGTTCACAGACTTTGACTGCGACCAGCGACTTGCGATCAAGGCTTTGCTCGGGTTTCGGTGTAAGCCTTCCGTGGTCAACTTCAGGTGAGTCGTCGTCGGGTTCTATCTGACTTGTTGCCAGCATGACCCTGCTGAACGTTCCCTGACCAAGCATTCGCACGGCTCGCCATCGTCGTCGCTTCTTATCATTACGCCCGTTCGCTTCAAAGTACTCGAAACTGGGTCCTATGGGTTTGCTGGTTCCGTCGGCCGAATCTCGCGATGACTCACTAGGAGGAGGGGTTGGCGGTTGGACGACCGTAGGCGCAAGTCCTCGTGATTCAGCCAGGTTGAGTTCTCGTCGGATCTGGGGCTCTCGTACAGGAGCTTCCTTATTTGGTCGTGTAGAGACTGATATTTGTCTCTTGGGTATGTTCATAGGATCAGGTTTATATTCGCTAACGCTTCGGTTTCGTGTATGGTGTTTTGGTGGCTGGTTTGTTGATGATTGTATTTGTACATGGTCGCCAGGCTCGAGAGATGAATATATTTTGCGTTTAGCACCATGCGCAATTGCTGCGTCAATCGATTCGCCCGTACTCGTGACCAGAACAGAGCCCTCCCCAACACTTGTGAGGCGTTTTTGGGGTGGTGACGAAGAACCTGCACTCAGCCTCTTCCAGGGTCCTGGAGAATCACCCGACATGAGCGGGCTCGGAAGAGGTGTCATATCTCCCATAGCAGAAATAATAGGGCTAGGTACGAGGCTACTCGTTCCACTGACTGATCCAAGACTGTTGGTCAAAGCAGCCTTCAGGCTCGGAGTTCTTGAAAGAGGGTGTAGGCTGTTGGACGAAGCCTTGTGGTTCAACGTCAACGAGCCTCGTGATGAGCCGCTGCCATTGCCGTTGTTGTTAAAAGATTCGCGGCGATCTGGGGTCGTCGGGCGCCGAGCGAAATCAGTTGAGATACGTAAGGAGCCGACAGGACTGACAGAGCGTCTCGGGACAGCCGGTGACCCGATAACCAATGTGTTTGCCTGCGCAGGCGGTAGTTCGCCGTCTTGTATGGAAGAAGGTGCTATTGTATCGGCGCGGAAATGAGCAAGCGGCGGCGTGGTGACAGAGACATCGGGAAGCGTAAAGGAGGACAGAGGACTGGTGGATAGTGTAGCATAGGCGTGGTCGTGTCGGTGGTTTGGTGTAAGGGATGCACCGGCACGGGAAGACGAATGAGCTGAAACGGGTATGGGACGGGAAGCTGAGCGAAGGGAGGTATCACGACCTCTGAAAGAGTTGTTTGCTGCGTCGTGAGAGTTATTGTCGAGGGACAGGGCCGTCGTTGTTCGGGGGGCGTGGGGCGTGTTCATGGCTCCGCGCTGTCGGGTCGTCGGGAGTCGCTTAGAACCAAATCAAGGTCTAGCGAATTTGAAGGAGGGTAGGGGGGGAAGTCAAGTAACGGTCGTTTATTTAGATGGCGAAACTGTCTGAGAGAAATTGGGCGTTAGCTTATGATACCGTCGTCAAAAGTTGAACAAGGGAGAAATCGGATGTGACCAAGTCGAAGTATTCGGAATCCAGGTGGGGTGACGAGTTGACATTTAATGGGTTTGGTGTTGTATCATTTCTTAAAACTATAGAAGCGTACCTTGGCGCAAGGGATCCTCTGGGAATGCGTCAAGGGAGAACGTGGTTTAAGGAATGGCTTGTGTCTTGGCGATGGTCGAGGGAGCGCTGATGGAGAGTCGGAGGATATTCAAGGGGTTCGGTGACGAGAGGAGAAGATAAATTGGCCAAAGGCTCTTCTATAACGCGAACATGAGAGGCGATTCGAATTGTCGGTTTATGTTTGACGGATGCAGACGGTGTCGCTCCAAAGAGAGCGAACGAAAATGTACGAAAGGAAAGGAAAGGAAAGAGAAGGGAGAGGAGAGGTCAAATGAGGAAAAAGAAGCCAGAGGAAGTCAAGATCGACGTTGACAACCAAGATTGTGGATGGTTGATCGTGGGTCCAAAAAGGGCAGCCAGCAGGAGAGCGATAGCGCAGCCAAAGCCGGAGCCAGACGAGGAAAGAGTAATGGGTAGAAACAACAGGAGAAAGCCGACCGTTCAGAATCGTCAAGTCAAATGCAGTGAGCAGCGAGCAAAAAGACCCAAAAGCTAAAGCCAAAAGCCTAGAGCAAAGCAAAAAGTAAGGGCGTGACTACCACTAGCTTCAAGTCAAGTAGGTACTAGTACAAGCTAGCACCACCTGAAGGCTAATGCTAATGCTAATAGGAAAAAGAGAGTCCAGAGATTGGGAAACCGGGGATCGGAGCGGGTCCTTCCTTGTCTTTACTGTCTGTGTCTGTGACTCCTTCCGTCTGGTCGTTTGTCTCGTCTCTGTTTGAGTTTCTTCTATTTATTTTTTGTTTGTTTTGTTTTCGTTGAATTGGACGATAATCTCAATCCACCTTTTAGGGGCTTTTTTCTCAATCGACCTCGGATTCTTCCAGCGACTGACCTTTATTAGTGACAGTGGTGCTGAATCCACTACTTGAAGCTTCAATGGGGCGCAAGTCGATAGCCTAGTACTCTCCAGTATCCGGTATCGTATCCCTGTAGCGTTTGGCTTGCCTTCCAGCTGAGCACGTTGTTGCTATCTCTCAAGTCTGGGGAGAAGGAAGGGCTAAGAGTTTGAGTTTGTGTTGAATCTGGTTCTGAACTTTGTTTTTGGAAGGAAATGAGTCGTTCAAGCGATGCGATTGTTTAGTTGGATGCAGGCTCAGAAGCGAACACTGTATATATCCGTGGTAACCGATAAACGTACAGAGCACAGTAAGTTGTAGTCAAGTCAATATTGGGAAATGGTCACTTTATGGTATGTTGTTGGGCGTGGCGTGGTGGAAATATTGGTCACGTTGAGCTGAGCCAGGTGTGCTTGGGCTTTGTAATTTCCTTCAGGATACCAAGGATATATTTCCGTATGGTCAAGGATGAGGACTGTTTCTCTGATGAAGTTCGGGAATAAGACAAGAAACGTAGACAAAATGTCTATCAAAAGATAGCCTGAACCTGTTTAAGTATTCAAGATGTGGAATGGATGAATGATTCATGAAATGAGGTGGGGAACAGGACACCCATGATATTAACGTTGCGATAGGCACCCTCCAAACGCAAGCCAAGCCAAGCCTTTTGACTTTGTTTGACGGTTACACTATGTAAATTAACAAAGTGAAAACAGTGAATTACCACCAGCCTCTCTACTACCTATCCCACAAAGACTGAAACCAAAAGTCCAACGAGGAAGTGATCGACTCGGCAAAGTCAACGGTAACCACGTAGACTAGCGTGGACTGTGAGATGGGCATCTCGTCTCATTTTAGTTGAAGACATCTTTGATGAAGAGCATTTCAAGTTTGCAGGGGCACAGATGCAAAGTAACGTATGGCTGCTGCTGCTTCGTTACACCTGCATTGGATGGTTCCATATTTCTTTGATTGTCCTTGTCCCTTTGTGGCATCCCGAAGGAGGTGAGACAGGGATACTGACTGTCCTGTACTCACTATTTCGCCTGTACCTGTACACCAACGAAACCCAGACGGTTGCGTAGTAACGACAAAAAGACTGGCTTCACTTTTTGGAACGCACTTGCATTCTATCTTACGTGCATTATGTATCGCCTACATGTATCTAGTCTAGGCTCTCACAGCATTCTTGACAAACAAACACCTGTACTTGCAGTATCACAGACGCTTCTGAAGAACCAACACCTTTCCAAACCCACTCCAGTTCATTCATTCATTAATCATTCATTCACTCTTCTTCTTCTTCTTCTTCTTCTTCTTCTGCCCCTCCTCTACTCCTCTAGGTCCACTTCAATCCCCGCTGCCACGCCTCTCACTGCCGCTGCCGACTCTGCAGAGTCCACCAAGGCGGCCACTAAGAGCCCTACAATCGCCCACCCGCTCCATTTCTACGCATTTTTGCGATCGTCCCTTGATTTGAGTTGAGTGCCCTTGTCTTTTTGTCTCTGTCATGACGTACATTGATGCTTCATCATTACTCGTCGTCACATGTTCCGCTGTCAGATCAATCAAGTTGAATGTCATGTTCCTTTCTCCAATCCTTCACTTCCGCTCCGGGCCTCCGGCCTCACATCATAACTGCCGAAACCCTCCGGTCTCCTCGGCGGCCGATGTTGGATCTTTTTAATTCAACTCACCTCAACCTTGAAATTGCATAGGCCTCGCTAAATGTGATTCCCCCGCCTGTCATGGAACCTTTGTCCTTGGCCAACAAGTCTCAATGCGACTCGATCAGCGAAAGCCATCTATGTCACTCCAAGGTTCAAAACAATTGCATCATGGAAGCCGTGCCGTGCCGTGGCCGTAAATCCTACTCGGACGGACCACTCGCGTCACCGAGCGCACATCCATCATTCTTCGCTGGGTCATTCTCTTTCATATTTTGAGTCAAAGTAGTTGCTGCCCTTTGATCCATCTCACCCTCTGCCTCGACCACATGACCCATTCACTGACTTTATTGGCCAACATTCTACGTTCCGATGCCAGGTACATACAGTACAATGCCATGGCTTGATCGAGAAGGTCTATGGTCACCATATTAAGCTAGCTCTGCCGCCAGAAGAGACGCAGTCGCCTCGATCTGGCTACAAAGTTGACTCTCCGAAGTCTAGCCGTCTAATCCTTTGTAGCCATACTTGATAAAAAGTAATTAATGGAACGGTAGGAAAGGTAAAGGAATTTGATGCATTCATTTAATAGCCATCAAACGACCCGGCAACAACAAAAAACCAAATTAGTGACACAAAGGCTATGTGAAGGATCATCCTATACAGGAGATTCAGAAACCAACTATTATTTATTCATGCTTACAAAACACGAAGTTTGCGGACACCAAGCAACCCATGCAATTCTGCTCCAGGGTAGAAGTATTTTTATCCACTTTATGAATGAGAGGTAGTGGCCAACTAAAGTTACAAACTGGTTTAACGGTATGCTGTCGGGCAGGAAGAATAACAATGAGTTTAAATATGCCACTATCAACAGGAGATATAGGAATATCGCCCACAACAAAAAGGGATATGATGCATATGATAGATGCATCGATAAGGGCAAAAGAGAAACTCCGGTACAGGGAATCGAACCCTGGGCTCCGCGGTACTGATCTCTCAGGTTATGAGAGCGCGAAATGTTAGCCACTACACCATACCGGAAATCGGAATTAGTGATTATTGACAGGGGATCTGCAATTTGATAATATGACCCTCATTTCAAGATGCTGCTGCAACTACAATAGGTAGTCAGGCATGTTGTACAGCGACAGACATAGAATTGCTCCCGTTAAAGCCATGCCGTTGAGTTTATGCGGATTAGAACGATAAACATAAATAGAACGGATACGCTCTGCACTTACTTTTCATGTGGACTCAAACGGGGCCGGTGGAGTTGTATCGTTCAACGTTCTAACCGTCAGCGATTCAATATCCCATCATAACTGAGCATTGTCAGTGCGACATAAGTATAAGCTTTAATATCGGATAAAAGATGTTGGCTGTGATCATAATTCATCTCAGAACTGACTCAACTGGCCGTCCCGTATGCAAACAAGCTGATCACACGTTACATCCCAAAGCATATCGATAGAACGATCATTTCTGTAGCTGGGCTCAATATGCGATCAATGATGTCAAGTCGATGAACTTATGAGTAATGTACACAGCCCTCGCAGAGTCAATTGACCCTCGAAAAATGATTCCGTTTTCGCCTCAATACGATGTCAAATGCGCCTACCACATGTTTCTAGATCAATGGATTGATCCTGTAGAAATCCCTTGACTAATTTCGTTTCTGGCTCTTTTCTCCGTCATAACACGTAGCCAAGTCGTAAAAGCATTATAATCCCAACAGCCCGCTCAAAACTGTACATGCAAAATATGCAACTCTCATGTCAACACACTCGCGAGAGCCCGCCGTGTGCCTTGCAAGCACAGGGCTGTCAGCAACCCTGCAAGTGTTGTGTCAATCCCATCATCGACAGGGAACTCCCATGACTATCATCCCCCCAGAGCCAATCAGATACCTGCTGACCGTCCCAGCTGTAACTGCCCATAGGGCTGACGGGCGCGATAGACGTGTCAGGTATGTTGCCGGCGCTTTCTATTGGATAGGATGAGCTTGCAAAGGTGCCGGACTCTTTGGCAAAGTCAGATAGTCGTGTGAGACGAAGCTCTTGTATCTGGGCGGCCTCATCGGTGTCGCCTTTCTTGCGCAGTGCGGACTCGAGATTGGCAAGGGAGCTGTGGAGGATGCGCTCGTCTCCTTTGCAGGCGGCAATGAGGTTGGACGCTTCTCGGAAGCGCTCAATTGCTAGAGACAAGTTGCCCATCTGATAGCTGTAGTTGCCCAGTTGAATGTTTATGCCAGCTTGTTGCTCTTCGTCCAGATCCCAGTCTTGGAGCGTATGAAGGTGTTGTATAGCCTCTTCGATCTCGTTATCAGCAGTTTTTACGTTACAGACAATGCCGGTCTGGAGAATAGCGAGCTCCCGGAGCCATGGATGTCGTAGCTGGGTAGCTTCTGCTTTGGTTCGGTACATCGTAGAGACTTCCAATGCCTCTGTCGTCTTGTTGTGGTAGAAAAGACAGTCAATATGATCGCAGTATAATATCGTGGTGAGTTCATTTGCTGGTCCAACCCATTCTTCGAACAGAGGCACAAGCGAGGAGTATAGTTGCGTAGATAACTCGTAATGCTCTGAAAACTCTAGAGATCCAACTATTCGCCATATCTGTGTCACGGGATGATTCTGGCCCAAGATAATAGGTATCAGATCCGTGAGATACTTCATAACGATCCGCAGGAGGTCCCCTCTGTGGAAGCGATAAAGGTACCACAGTAAGAATGGCGTTCGGGTGGCGAAGACAGGGCTCCCGGAGGCAACTATCTCTTTGAGTGACTCGAAGGCTGGGGTAAGAATGGCACTGATAGATATCTCGTCTTTTCTCATCATGGATCTGTTGACCAAGCCAAAGCTTGTCACCACACGTTCGAATAACTCTACGCTTCGATCGCCTGTATTTTGGTTGCCACAACTGACGTTATACTCGTATTTCCAGGATCCATGAGCGAAAGATGTATCAAAGTAGTTTTTGAATAGATCAACGACCTGCTCTATACAGGAAATCTCCTCGGGTGGCGGCGGTGGTAATGGGCTGTTGCGGGAAGGTGATGGCGTATGGCATTGAACCTCGAGAGTTGTCTGGATGCTGGGCACGACACCAGCACGAAACCGAGCGACAAGCTGTGGATTGCGTCGAACATATCTATTGATGTTATCAAGATCGACGGGTTGCCCACGGATGGTAAACTCGGACGTCTTGCCCTGAGCCTCACGTTCAGTCCTAAGGATAAGAATGGCAAGAACCTCATCGCTCTTGAGTTTCTTATCCAGACCCCATTTCCAGATTCTGGACTTGTACATTTTGACTCTGCAGAATCGAGGTCAATCACCTGTTATGAGAAGAGATAGAGAGAGAGAGTTGCTACGCACGTCGCAGTAAAGCCATGTTCACGTTCGAGGACTTCCATGACCTCTTTGAGCGGTCGCTTCTCTTCTTGATATAGTTTTGTGATGATTGGGCGCTTCTTTTCCCATTCTGAGCTCGGGATTCGTCTTCCTGGTGCACATCGTGGTAGGCTCAAGTCGGTGTCATCTGAATCACCGGGTGTGGCGCGACGCCTGGCCGAGAAGACGCCTGAGGTAGCCATTATGACATTGCCTTGTTGGGTTTTTTTAAGTTATGTCTTGCTGGTTCGTGGTGATGAAGTGAGTAAATCGAGGGGCCGCGTGGCAAATGGCTGACAGATCGTGGAGGTAATGGATCGTACGTATCGTGTATAAATTGAGGAGAATGAAGAGAGAAGGTAAGGAAGAGGGAGAGAAGAAGAAGAAGAAGACGTCACATTAGCAATGATCGGAAAGTTGAAAAAGAGCGGAACCAAAAGGATTCAAAGCTAGGTAGGTAGCCTGATGATTTGACTTCTTTCTTTCCTACTCTGTAAGCTCAAACCCTGCCTGATCCCCTCCCGTCAACTCCACTCCACCAGCACGGTACGTTCCTAACGTATTGGATGAGGCAGAAGTAGAGAGGCAACCTTAACACGCACCATTAAGTTCAGCCCATTGAGGCCGTAGGGCCATTGCAGTATTACAGAGAGTGTGTGTGGTAGTAGGAGTGGGTGATATTCAAGACGGTTGAATGAAGGCGTTTCTGAGGTGGGGGCTGTTTATTGAATCACCATCATCACCCATGTTAATCAATTATGCCTTGCGATAATTTAGCGTCGTGGTACCTATCTTGTGCTTATTTCTTACCCGCCCATGGATGTTGAGTCATTTGATCCTTCTTCAATTGACTCCATGAGTCTGTGGTCTACATATGTTGAGTTTGATATGTTAGTACTTACTGAGTGATTCATTCCCATTTAATATCGCATTGTTTGTTCTTGTCGATCCATCTTTTCAGCCTTATAGAGATTAGGTGTGTCTGTTCTGTCGGGCGCCCCAGTAGTACCCGTCCAGCCATGCCCGACTCCGCTCCACTTCCAACGCTTCTTCGCCCCGCTACAGGTACCATACCCCAGGCTGTCACGAGGGGCCTCACCCTCTATTCGCACTTATCCGGTACCGAAACTTCAGCCCTCGGCCGAATCAATGGAACCCAGCCCGCCTTACATGACCTGGGCAGCAGAAGGTACCCGAACGCCATACAATCCAACGGGACATTAGGCATAGGTAGCTCGTTACGTATCTTTTAACAGGACAGTTAGGTCAAAGAAGGGAATAGCTCCAAATGATCACAAGCCTCAGGTTGTCATGGCCCCATTGCATTTCGTCGTTCATGTATTGCCCATGAAAGATTCTTCAGAGTGGTTAGGGGAACCATGTCTGTCATCATCCTCTTCAACAAGTTGTGCAAAGGTATTCTCCCCTCATTATTCTTGTGATCCTTCAAGTTGGACGCGAGAAGCCGATCCTTGAAAGGGAACAATAAAGAGACTAAGAGACTGTTAGAGCCCGTAGTAAAGTGATTAATTCATTGCGCCCTTTACTGATAAAGTCAAGGATTCAGACAATGTCTCTTCGCAGTCTGGTCGACTACTCAACCGCACCATAACTATTCATCAAGTCATCACTAAGTGAAAAGAAGTACTCCAATCTAATTAACAGTACGACGACTCACAAGTTGCTGGTCATTCAACCCCAGCTATCACAAAGGCGTCATTCATCAAAAAAAAAAAAAAAAAAAAAGCAGATGGCTTTAACACCCAAGCCAGTTAGCCTCTGTCCGTGTACCCAAGAGTGCCCAAACTCCATTCCTTTAAACCGTGTCATTAAATACCATGAGGTTGCTTTCCTTCTTATGTTTTTCGCTCTCGATTGGGGTTAAAGCTGCACCAACGCTTCTCATGGATATCCCGATTCCACTTCGTAGTGGACTTCTTCTGGCATCCCAAGCGAGAAAACCGGCAGGACAACCTTGTAATGACTCTTTTTGAGCACGCAGTACGCTCGTGCTTACCGAGGTTCGACTTACTTGAGAAGACCTTACCGCATTTGCAGGTCAGGTTGGCCATCTTAGTTGAGAATTCCTGTTGAGGGTTTGGTGGTTCACCTAACCAATCTGTTTTGCTCGGCGTCGCCCGAATGTCCTTGGATTGGGTTCTTTGGGCCGGCGCTCCTGTCAGTTGTGTCTCGGAAAACAGCGTGGCACCCGTGTCCTGAAATAGAGGAGTCAAGATGTCATCGAAAGGCAGGCTTGCTTCCTGCTGCTCAGGCAACATCAGGCTGTTGTCCTCGAAGCTCCAAAGGACTGGATCCAAATGTACTCCACCCGGAACTTCTAAAGGCCGATTGAAGCACTCACGAGATGCATGAGTATCTATGAACTATTAGTACGGGAAGTGCAATATAGCATCAAGGACCAGTACCTTTCGTGGCCAACGTCCATGAACTCATTGAGTTTTCGAGGGAACCTCCCATCCCAATACCAGAATCATAAGAAGCAAAATTCTTTCCGTCAAAGCTAATGTAATCTTCAACGATTGCCGTTGACCGATTCATGCTCGCAGGTGCTCCAAACAAGTGTTGCAATGTGCCGTTGTCCTCGACATCTTGAATCGCTGAAAGACTGTCAATCCAACAGCTGTATTTATTGAGCACAGAGGACGTACCTGACGAAGTCGCAAACAGAACATTGAGTGCTACAGATTGAAGTAGAACAATTACCTTGGGGTCAACAATTTGTACATCAGGCTCGCTGCCTCCCCTTTCAGTTGCAGATTCTGAGCCTGGTAGCGCTGTTATCCCGAAATTTTGAGTACCCTTGTGGCAACCCTGCATCTTTCGCTGTATAGCTCGTATCCGAGTACCGATAGGCTTAGGGTCAGGAGGCTTGATATGGGCGACTGAAACAAGATCCTTTGCCAATTCACCGAATCGCAGGAGGTCCTCCTGAGACCCTGGTAGTATGTTCTGAGGGAGGTAATCGGTCTCCCATATGACACACACAAGCTCGTCGAACATGTCCATGTCTGAGTCTAGTTCGAGGGCCACAGCCTTCCACCGATATAGATCCTGAGTGAATCTGTATGCTATTAGTCATTCAGCGTTACGCAACAACGGTCTGATACTTACTCGATGTCTCGCTCTCCACTATCTGGAAGTTGGCAGATCAACGCGTCCGCGACTAGAAGGGCTTGGAGAATGAAAGGGAGTCCAGGCGGTGCCTGATTTCTCAAGATGTTCCTTAAATGATTGAGCCCCCAACTAGAAACACTCATGGGGTTTGTGCAATGATCTCGAATGTTACCGTAATCTCCCACATCGCCACGTTGCTCGCAAAACTCTTCAATTCTTCTACAGTTTTGCTGTAAGCGATACATGGAGGAGTGTCCTAGATAGCTTCTGCGTTTGTAACTGCAGGTGTAATCGAGGAGCATTGGTCTTGCAGGCCATTCCTGAACAGCTCTGTAGGAGTCTTGAGAGGGCCACTCATTTGGTACAGGCGGGGGGTCGAACTGGGGCGACAAGGCAGGTGATAAGACTTGAGAAATTGAGAGATCTTGGGGTGAAATGCAAAAGTCGGGTACACTTGGGGAGGTAACTGCTGCTGAGGGGAGCTCGAGGCTGGGTGGATTAGGCACGAAATGTTCAGTAGTCCTCTGGTCTTGCCATGAGCCAGATAGAGCACTACTAATTCCCGATTTATAGCTGTTACCGCCTGGTGATGGGGAAATTGGTGATTGGCAGGGCGAGGATCTACTTGTAGGTAAAAACTGAGGAGCCTTCAGTACTGGGTACCTGGCACTCATAGCATCATGAGCTGACGTTTTCGGTTTCGTTAAATCTTCCAGGATCTCCTCAAATAGATCAATGAACCTTGTTTCGGCCGCGAGCTCGTTGGCTTTGGCCAATTCGGCATTATACAGAGCGCTCTCATCTAATAACAGACGAATTATGCCAACTTGTTGCCATAGAACTGCGGCCAGGAGTGGCGTGAAGACGCAGCCTTTGTGGTCTGAAGCATCTTCAATGTACCCTTCAAAAAAGTCGAGTTTGTTCTGAATTAGGGCGTGAACAGCAGAACAGCGACCGAGACGGATAGCAACGCAGAGTGGGTGGTACGTTATATCGGAGTAATGAGGGTCCGCAATGTCTCCTACCGTTGACCGTGTCCGCTCAACAAGGTCTAAAATGTACACATATATATTCAAGAATCCCTTGTCGAGGATTTGAGAAAGAAGATCAGGGTTGTAGATGACCCGGATATCGTTCGATCGCAGAAGAGGTTCACAGAATTCACGAAGAAGGTCCAAGTTGCCAGCCCGTGCATATTTGTCGATTTGGGCATTCTGGGCCTCCAGGTACTGCTTTGCCTCCTCTTCGCTGGCCCCTCCGAGTTGAAAGCATTCCTCAAGGTCGTTCACTCCGAGGTCCATGTTACGCTGGTGGATATCTCGAAGAAGGGCGGGAGTAACGATGCCTTGCTGGCGTAGTCGACCCATGTTGAACCCATCGTAAAGAGATCGCTCGAGCAAGAGGTCATCGACAAGCAAGCGCATCTCCTTGGATGTATCGTCGTATGGATTGCGATATACCAAAGAGTCTAACTCGGCTCGCAGGCCATCGTAATGTTGGAGAACTTGACCAATGCAGAGCGTAAATTGCAAGGCCGGAACGATCTTATACCCGAGAACATGGCAGATGACTTGCTTGAGGTCTCTGCTTCTGAACTTGATGGTGATCGTATTACTTGCCCTTTCTTTTTCGACAGAGAAGGACAGGAAGGGCAATGTACACTGTGACCCGACCGCAACAAATCTGCCAGAACCGGATGATACTGCACGGTAAACATGGCCACTAGATTGTTAAAAATGCAAGTGAGATAACGCGGGACAAACTTGAACGTACTTTTCGAATGTTTCAGTATATCCCATGTATGGCCCTTCGTCTTCTGGGAACGGGGAGGAATCCCATGGTGACCGCGGGCGATCGAGAGCTTGTGTAGGGATGTTAATTGGAATCGACATGGTTATGGATTGATGGCTCATGGAGCACACGCCCACGAGTTTCGATGGAGATTGTACGGCCTTGACATGAGATTGACGTTGAAAAGAAGCAGGAGATGAAGCAGTATTGTTGAAGGTAAGTCGGAATGTATTGATGCGACAACTCGTAAATTGTTGTAGACATCAATGCTTTCCTAATACAGAACCTTGTGTGGGTTGTGTGGAGAAAGTTAGGAATCTGTGGTGGAAAGCGGGGAGCAGTAACTTGGACATGGCCCTCCATCACGAGACTCTTCTGCCTTGATACCTTCAAATGAATTCCAGCATTATAGTTATGCGTAAACATCTTTGAATAACCGGACATGATCGTTCAAGGCCTTCTTGTCTCTACAATTTATATGTGACCCAGATCCTCGGACTTCTCCCATTCATTCTCATGTAGCCAGCAACGTGGGCATTGCCTTTTAAGTCCGCGACTGTACCAATTGATAGACGGACCAGCACAATGCAGTTGCCTTTTAGTACATGTTCTATTCATCTCATTCGTCCACCATCCTCGTCTTGTCGGGCGAAACATGCTGCAGTCAACACACCAACTCCATACACGACTTGGCCGCCCATGAACATCTCGTGGTCGAAACCTTCCAAGGAGTTCCTCCATGTGCAGACACGAGCACGGCCCTAAAGGGTTATCCAAGCATTTTAAGCTCCAAGGTGCGCCATGGTATTTGCGGTCAGGGACTGACAGGTTACACAGCCTCCCGATGGCGAGCATCATCTTACAGCTCATGGCTAACATAACCTTGTCCACCAGTGGGGCTTGTTCGAAGATCATGGTAAGGATCTCGGGGGGCAGTATTGATAGCAAGGAGGAGTCTGAGACGCAGTCCATGTTGAGCTGATCGTGGTAAGTTTCCAATTGATTCATGTACTGCATGTCAAGGCCAGGAACTCACTATTGGCGGGGTTATGAACGTTATGGTACGAGAACAGGCGACAGGCTCTGATGGCCCATGCCTGTTTCTCAATTGAACTGGCATGACATAAACTGAGGGATGTTCTTCTTAGTACTTCCCTGTGGTTGTATCGTTTGCAGAGAAGAAGTGGAATTGGAGATGGAGGATGTGCAATGGCTCTGAGCTGAGGTCATCGGTCTAAATCGTACCGCACTGGTACATATTCATCGGTTACACAACAATACTTTCCAACATCGGTTACAAATGCAATTTACTAAAGTAGCATAAACTGACCTACTGATTTAGTCCCTTATGCTTCCAGGAGCCAACTTTTATAACACCATGAAGCCAGTGGTAATAGTACCTATTCTCGTAGTCCATACCTAGCATTTGAAGGGTTCAGTGGGCCTTAAGGCTAACATCACCTGGGGAACACCCTACGCCATTTTATGACCTGTGATTGGCTCGCAACCTCTTAATTACCTTCCGCCCCGCGACGCCAGACGCGCAAAGTCGCGTCTCCCACTTTACGCCTTTCATTCTTTCACACCTTGTCCGAATTTCGTCTTCACATAACATAATACAGACACTCCAACGATATTGACATCGACATCGGCATCATGTTGCGGCAAGACTTTAACCGAATTGACCCTAAACGGCGCAACGTTGTCGACCATCGCAAGAAGCAGTTTGCTTCACCTACGTACAAGGACCTCGACTATCCCTATCGCCTCAACTTTTACACGGATCCTCCCACGACCGATATTACCCTCGAACAGTTCGAACAATGGGCCATCGATCGACTACGAGGTAGGCAATATACAATCGAACAATAAGAAACGACACATCTAATTCTCGATAGTTCTCGCCGAACTCGAAGCATGCGCCTTCCGCAACAAGTCACCCGCCGAGACAGCAACCCACATGAAGCCCATTCTCAAGCAGCACTTGAACCTTGAGGCCAACAGTTCAAGCTCCAAGAAGCTTTTCGAGCAGCGACAAAAAGATCACTACAGCCACTTCATTCTACGACTAGCCTTTTCGTCCACCGAGGACCTGCGCCGTCGGTTCACCCGTGTTGAGACAATGCTTTTCCGTATGCGACTCAACGACGACGATCTTGCGGAACGATCAGCTTTTGTCAAGACCCTTGGTCTGGACTGGTGTGAAGATGTGACGGAGGAGGACAGGAGGGAATATGCCGCGGAGCTAGCTGCCTTTACTAGCAACCGAAAGGGCGAGAATGATGATGACACTTGGTTCAAGGTGGATTGGGAACGAGTTCCTGATCTAATTGAGAGCCGAAGGGTGTTCCTCAAGGCTGGAAAGGCATTTGTACCTGGTCGCGAGCAGGCCGGTATGGTGATTTCCGAGTTCTCTTCGCGCTTAGAGCGACAACTCGAGGTACGACGACCCGAACCATGGTGGGTGACCTGAATACTGACTGGCTATGAATAGTTGACTGCCCGTGCCCTTCCTCGACTTGACGAGGACGACCGACTTACGCCCATCCTCGACCATCTTTCCAAGAACTTCATCACTCCTGACGCCTCGTACATGTCAAGTACGGCCGCAGTGCCTGGTGCTGAAATCAGCGCCGCCAACGTCGACAACCTATCTCAACATTTCCCGGCCTGCATGTCCCACTTGCATCGCTCACTGCGTCGGGATGCTCATCTGAAGCACTTTGGTCGACTGCAATACTCGCTCTTCCTCAAGGGCATCGGTCTTAATCTGGAGGAGTGTCTTGTGTTTTGGAGAAATAGCTTCAACAAGATGACAGATGATAAGTTTAACAAAGAGTACCGCTACAATATTCGTCACGTGTACGGCGATGTTGGAGGCGACTCTAACCGAAGAGGAGGTGGTTACAGTCCATTCAGTTGTCAGAAGATCCTCACGGAACATCCCCCTGGCCCTGGTGAGGCTCATGGATGCCCGTACCGACACTTTAACCTGGAGAATCTGTCGGCACTCGTGCAAGCCATGGGCGTCAATGATCGGTCTGTTCTTCAGGGTGTTAAGGAGGATAAGGATAAGCAAAAGTTCCACATGGCGTGCAATCGGTAAGTTCTTTTCTAGTAATGCTGCGTTTACATGTACTAACTATCTTCAGTGTATTCGAGCACCTACACAAGCAAGAGATCAAGAAGGCAAAGGACGAGGGCGTCATGACTCAATCACAGCTCGAGACTATTGTCCATCCTAACGAATACTTTAAGCGCAGTTTCCTGCTAAAGAACCTCGGCAAAGAGACGGACGTGCGAATGGAGGGCTGATAGCTTTGATGCTCTACGGTCCACGGTCATTGGTTATTTGGTTATATGAATATAAAGCTCGGATAAGACATTGTAATTCTGATTGTGGGATAGATTAGGAGTAAGGCGTTGGGACATAGCCTTGGCATGGAAATGTATGTACAGTTGGATACTGTACTGTATGGATGAAACCCCAGTATGTAATGAGAAAAAGGTATCTCGACAGGCTGAAATGGAATATTCTTAGAAACAATGCAGAAGCATCCTTGATTGATCGCCAAGATGGCAAAGGACAGCCCTATAACCACCGCAATTAAGCTGAAGATGACCGTTTTGGCCGTCAGAAAAAGGGTCCTTGATCATCATCTGCATCATCTTGCATCGGATCTCACATCGCATACACACGCCTCAGGAACTTTTCCTTCTTGGTGCACCGTTTTGCTTCAAACCCTTAATTAACTGTCAAATACCTCAAAACGGTCCCTAAGCGATGTCACGCCCCCCCCCATCTCCCGCTTGTTTCTGATGTTTTTTATAGACCGCCTTGTTTTTTTATTTTCTGTGTGCAAATCAAAGCGAATTGGAGTGAGTCGTGGGGCTGCACGATGAGGTCAGTGTGCGGGATGACGAAAGAGGCGTGGGTCCCTTACCTTGTCGCTGGTGTCTTGTACGCGTGCGCAAGTGAAGGCATTCGCAGGGTCTTTGGGCGGGAAACATGCAGGTTGTAATGGTGTGTACAAGGGAATTGCGCGGAGGGAAGGAAGAAAGGGGAGCCCTTGTTTTGTTGGTTTGTATACGAGGCAGGGGAAAATGAATTACTATTTTTTAACTTGTTGTACATGCAAAGATAAACATTTGTTCTTTTATTCGAGATTGATCTTTCCAAGAGGCTCAAAACTGGAGAACATATGTACAATTCTTTGATGATCTCCCGTTTCATTTCTCCACTGGGAAACCACCTCGCAGCCCATAATTTACCAACTCGGTGGTTCAATGATTCTTGTCATTAATTTCTTTCTATTTTTTATTTGTTTTCCTCCTTCCCCTTCATTTCCATTTCTTGCTCTATTTTGCGGTGTGGTTCCTGTCACCCAAACCCGTTTGTGACATCAAGGGCAGCAGCACTAAGACAAGACAGAAGAGAACCCTTGACGCATGAGCCAACGTCATCCATTGCGGCGAGCTAAAAGGTCCTTCCGTACGGGCGATGGGGTGCGTTATGACATCGGGGCTGTAGCCCGTCTGGCACAATTGTTTATTTCAGGTTAGATACAGCGGTTTTGTCTTATTGGTAGCCTATTTGGGGGTGTGAGACGGAAGCTGCTGTCGCTGACCGACTTGGAAGAAGAAAAAGACCTCAGCTTGTAGTCGTAGTGAATTGAAGACCTATGCAGCTGAGGGTGAGGGTGAAAGTCAATGTGACGGCAATAGCACCATCACGGAAGTCATGGAATGACATTGACACTGCCTACCGGGAAATTCGGCAGCCGTGATGCGTATGGACCTCATCTAGACACCGGTATTAGAGCGGCTCTGGCGGACTGGAGCTTAATCCGACCCTTGGACACAACTTTTAAATCCAATTCTACGGGAAATATAGCATGGGGCGGGCCGGGCTCGGCATCTTGGTTATCTTTCTAGCTTAATTGTCCTCATCAAGATCCGTTGTTGCCGTCGTATACGGTCAAAGATGCCGAACGACGGTTTGAACTCAAGTTCGGGGAGTCGGTTCTAAACCGGTGTGCTTAGCAATTTTGCTAATTACGGATGATGAGGCTTCCGTGCTGTGTGTCTTACAGTCTAGTTGACCAGTCTCTTTCTTGTTCCAAGACAGGGAGAGAGACATGCATTCAGTGATAGGTACTAAGATAAGGTCTTGTGTTCCTGATTGCTTGCCAAGACAAATGCCATTTCAACAGATGGCATTATAGTCTCATATAGTAACCACAGCTGCAACTCTCAGACATAGGCACGGTTACAATGCATGTCAGCTTCTGGGCCTGAATTGAGGTCAGAGGTCCGTTAGTTTTTAGATACGGGCCCTGCCAGTTCCTGCCTTGAACGAAGCTTGTGCAAAACCCCCGGTTTCGCTGTAACCTCACGGGCCGAAGATACTATTTCGAGCTTGGTTTACGTTGGATGGCCCCGGGCAATGGCTTTAAGCAAGGAACCGAACAGGAAATCAAGCTTGACACGGGACTTGCAAAATTGTTTACTGCTTCCGCAGGTATCTACATAACCGTACGGATTAGGCGTACGAGTGAGGCACTGATGATGAGGAGGAGGAGTATGTCGAGAATGGAATTGACAGTAGGCAATCATTACAGTGGTCTCGGGCTGTCTTTTCCGCATTGATGCCATCATGCCACCTGCGCCATATTTTCTATCTTTATTTTCCCCTCTTAACAAGTACAGCAGTCCTGAATCTAGACCTGCATCTGAAGGATAACGGACGGGACGGCATATGTAGTTATGCTACACAAACGAGACAAGCCCATGTAGCGTATTCCAGTGCCCAGCCCGTCCATCTCCCGCATAGCACTTTTGCTCCTGCAAGCCTCAAAAAAGTCAATTTAATAGGTAGGTAGCCTAACAAATTTAGACGGCCACTACAACTGCCGCGAAAGCTCAGAACTTTGATTCCTTGCAGGCCGCGCCGCGCGCAGATTGAGTGAGAGGGAGGAGGGGTTGGGTCGGACTCCGTAGTTGAGTGAGGGGAAACTCGCACCTTAGCCTCTCAAAACTCTCCATATTGCTGCTTGAAAGCCAACTACCGTGAACCAGTAAGCCGGGGTTGTAAATCGACGGACAGGGAGTGAGCGAGTCGTGAACAAAAGCGAAAAATAACAAAGTGTAACCTAGGTTAGACGTTTGGCGCATGGCTTGCAGAAGCGTCTTATTAAGGATGCTATAGCTAGTAGCTTACACACACTGGAATTGACTTTGGATCAATGTTTAGTTGTGTTTTGGTTGCAGCTGTCTTCAGGCTCTTCAAATGTCATTGCCTGACGGGTATAGGCAGGTATTACGTAGAGTTTATGCAATGGCCAAGCCCAATTCCTCTCTGATCTGCATGTAAGCTGTGCAAAACAGATAACATCTTCTTGTCCTATGTCTGGCTAGTTGACATGGCGTCCATATCCATGTCGAGTAGTCGTAATCTTCCACGTATCTCCGAGACAATGAGCCCTTTCTAGTCTAGACTCTCACGCACAACCAAGTGGGACAAGTGGGAATAGCCTCAAATGAAGGAGCGAGAGAAAAGACCAAGGCGGACGAAAGAAAAGGAATTAAAAAATTGCTGTAACTGTAACTACCAAGCGAGGTCCCCACCAAAACCCAGCAGAATGAAGCAAGTAAACCGAGGAGTGGATATACCTCATCTTTTTTTTTTTCTTCTCCTTCGATTGGGAGAAGGACGAAACCCTAACCGAGGGAAATCTCCAGAACTCCAGTCCAGACCAGACCATGTCCGGGATTAAAAACCTGGAGAATCGAAACGAAGGAACAAAATCGGTAACAATAGAAAGGGGGAGGCGAAAAAGGAAAGACAGGGAAATGAACAAGCCACGGGAATAAGAAATGCATAGAAGTGAGACGAAATGAACTGATACGAGACATGCACCTCCTCCATTTGCATTCCACTCTGTGAATCCAGCCAGACTTTCGACTACTCCATCGACGAGTATCGCGTCTAACCCGGTTGAAGTTTTTACGACATTTGCTCATCTGTCGCATGTACAATCTCCACGGCTTGGCATGGAAATGCCATACAAGAGTAGCAACAAGATGGGGCCTTTAGACGTCAGTGGCTGGGTTTGCGAGCCTCGGCGCCAACATGGTCAAGTTGGACTGGGTACAGTTGGACTTTATCAGCCATTGGTTATGGAGAGGGTCGTAAAAATGGAAATTTCAACGTCTTGATGCGAGAAAGAGCCAATGGTTACATCACTGACCCTGGTCCAAGACACTTTTTGAACGCATGCTAGCCATGCAAAGCGGAGAGGCGGCTCGTGAGGGTAGCGCGGAGAGAGCGTAGAGTTAGACAGCAGAGGTCAGGTGTTGGATGTAGACCAACGGCATAGTTAATATGCAATGCACAGACTACATTGGTCAAGACATGGGTGAGCAAAGGCACAAGGTGTCAAAATGATCTGATAATTGTAATGATGGAAACATAGATGAATTATCATGAATAAATAAAATACTGTCCAATCGGCGTTTGCCAGGCTCCAGGCCGTGGTCTCTCTGCGTGTTCTCAATTCCACGACGATACATAATGATACAACCAAAAAACAAAAAAAGCCCTTTCCACATTGCGCCCGCCAGATAATCAAATAGAGGGTATCCCTAGGTATATAATAAGAAATGTTACAATTCCCATCCCAAAGAAAACTCCATATCCATGATGATTGATTGATGACATCAAAAGTCGTAAAGAAGAAAGATAAAATAAAAAATGTGGTCATAAGAAGAAGAAAAAAAAATAAGAAGCGAACCAAGCTTCTGTGGTATTTCACAAGAGGCAGTGATGTGCTCGCTCCTTCTGAGAAAGGTATTGATCTGATCTTGATCTGGGTGTGATGGATGTGCTCCAAATCTGCATCAGCTAAAAGCTGGTAGGCTGTGCTGATCCGGGAGCTGACGGGGGTCCTGTTGTTGATCCCGGACACGCCGCGCCCAATCACTCGAATGCCCTGAGCCCTTGAAGAAAGTTCCCTTTTTAGGGTTCTTCAACGGTCTCGCAATGGTGAGGAGTAATGGGGTCGTGACTGTTGATAAGTATCGTGGGGGGGTTTTGCGTCAAGAGTATGCCCAATGCTTTATCGTCCAGGTGCAGGTTGTGGTCGTATACATCTGCGATGGCGGCGATGAAGAGGCTTTGTTCTCTTGCGTTGAGCTGCCCAAGGAGGCTGCTCATTTTCCATGACGGAGGGTGCGGGATGTCGTTGAGTGCGGCAATGTTGAGGCCGTATATCCATCCTTTCCTTTCGTCCAAGAATGTTACTGTGTTGGTTGATGATTTGTTCCCCTCCACCAAGAAAGAAGAAAATAAGAAGCTGGAAGCCAGTGTCGAAGGTAAACTTTCGTGTGCTGTTTGTTTTCGAAACTCGTTTTCAAGCCTTTTTGCAGTCGACGCTATCCATTTATTTGTAGCCGACCATCTTTGCGCAGCGTTCACAGTAGTAAAGGTTGTGGGCGATGCGGACCATGCCCATTGTGCTGACGTCGTCGGTAGAAGTAGCCTCGACGGAGCGAGCGCATCGCATGCAGCGAACAACCTCAACTGAGGCGATGGGGAGAGCAATGGCGTCCATGCTGTGTCTGTAACCCGAGTCGGAAGAGGATGATGATGATGAGCGAGAAGATGATGTTGAGCTGTTTGATCCAAAGTGGTGGCTTGAAGGTCTGGCAGACATGATGAGAGGAGAGAAGAGAGGTATGATATGTGGTGGGTAGTGTGAATATATATGTAGTAGGTAGCAACAGTAGTTGTTCTTTTTTAAGAGTCCAGGAGATTTGGTTATACAAGGGGAAGATGGGAGCACAAGCAAGGAAGCTAAAGCCTTTTTCTGTTTGTTTCAAGTGGATGGGGATGTGTTGGCGCTTTGTACTTCTGGTCTTGGTTTACTTCGCCCGGGCTGGTTTTCAAGGGGATGGGTGCTAGTTTAAGAAGGATGAGAAAGTTGACCAGGGGGGGTCTGTCTCTGTCTCTTGGACTAGGCTTCTGGAGCCTTGAGCAAAAAAAAGAAAAAGAGAGATGTGAGAGTTCCAGGGGAGGGGTGTGTGGAACAGAAATGGTGGAGCTTCTTGTTCAGTTTCGATTTATGGATAGTGGAGATGCGTATGTGCTTCCTTCAGAAACGGTAAAAAAGGTACGGTAAGATACGGTACGGTAACACGGCTCTGCAGGTGGCTGAGGCTTATTCCGGGTTGGTTGCGGAAGAGAGATGAGCCCTTGTGGTTGATGAGCGAGAGTTCTAGAGCGTCCAGGAAGATGTCGTCGTATCGAGTCGTCTTATTGTCGTCCGTTTATCCGATGGAAATTGATGGATGTGCAAAAGTAAGTTCTGGATTCAAACCACGATTCTGGGGGGGTGACCCGACCTTTTTATCAAAATGGTGAATTCATATTTCTACTACCCACTGTACTGTACTGTATGCATTACATCTAGTGAGAGGGAAACAGGGCACACAATTGCACGTCTCAGTTTGGTGTGTGTGGTTTTCCCAGGCTACGTAAGTCACATAACAGTAGTGCTCATTGCTAGAGAAGAACGAAGTCCTTTGGGGATCGACGATGGCCATCGTTCTGTTCTTGCACCTCGGAGGTGTCTTGGCAAGACGGCGTGCTCGGGGAGTAAGGATCGGCAATGACAGAATCCAAAATCTCAGTCAGGCCAGGGGCCCAGGACATGCCAAGCATACGAAACGGAGAAGACATACACACACGCCCCGAAAATGACTGCTAATAAACTCCCTACTTCTTCCTCGTCTAGGCACCCAGCAAACAAACAAGCCTGGGCATAAGACAAGAACAAACGAGACGGCACGGCAAATGCCAGTACAGTCATGGCAGTACGAGACACGTACAGACAAAAGAACACAAGCGGGCGTCTATGTCTCTGAGGGAATTGTCCGAGCAACATCTGTACCTTTTCATCTTTGGACTGCTGCGTCTTGGCTTGAAGCTTGGCGTTCACCTCATAAGTTACTGTGCGTGCTGCAGCAGTCCTGCAGTGCGGTGCAGTGCAGTGCAGTGAAATTCCGTTTTGGAGAAAACGGAGAACAGAACAAAACAGAAACCAAGAGGGGCGTGGGCCTGGGCTGGCCTGGGCTGGGCTTCTGCTTGGCCCGATGCAACGTCAGTCCTTTTGATCAGGCGAAGCCCGTAAGACCCAATTCGATCCCCAGTTTTGGGCTCTTCGCTCCGTTACCCCCGTTCGATTGGCAAAACCCAATCGCTCCGTTTTCTATCTGGCACCGCTACTCCGTTTATGCGATCCACCGGGGTTTTGTTTGCTTAACAATTCACAAAATGGTGAGACGAGACTTGTGTTTGGCTTGTGATTAGTAGCATCATGTTGATGTCCTTTTGAGTAGTATTGAGCGAGAGATGGTATCATCTGCAAGTATCTGATTGATTGACTAATTGTATCTTTGATACCGTGACTCTTTATCCCCTGCGACATCCGTGATCACGATGGATGTCTCCTAATTCGTCCTTGTTGAGAGGCTGGCTGAAGCCAATCTGCCTGTCTCGGACATGCCTGCAACTGCGCTGTAATATCCCATCCATCTTACGGCAGACTCCAGCTCCCCGAAACTGCTTACGACGACGACGGGGGCACAGCGTACACAAAGGTTAGTACAAAATACGGTACATACAGCATGTACATGTGTCACGGCTACCTACAGGAGGTAACTAGATGCTGTAATACGCGGCTCGGGAGGCGCCAGCAGCGCAGCAACCAGCCTTGCCCTGCATGTACTGTACTACAGTGCTGTGGTCGCACAGCAGACGAAAAAGCAAAACCTTATTCCGTGTTGCTGTCAGTCAACAATAGTTACTCAGGGCTGGATCCCAGAGCGGGCGTTTAACGGGGTTATCCCTTGCTCAACGGAGGCCTTGTTCTCTCTTCCGTCGTCTTCAAATTAGATTACAGATTGTCATATTGAATGAACGGTCAAGGGAGTCCGTGCTGGGGAAAGAAGAAAAGAAGACCCTGACCTGTATCACGGATGTTTACGGTGGCTTGGGCCAATTGATGAGTTGTCCTGTGTTGCTCTGGCAAGATGAGTCAAACTTTACAGGCACGGCTAGGGGGAAGTGAGTGAATTGTAATTATGCTCGTCGTCCGCCTCATATTTTTTGCATGAGTTGGGATTCACCGTTAAATCGAACCCCGGATCAGCCAACTCAGCCCAGCGAGGGTTCAGGCACAAGGGTCAAACGTTAAAAATGGTTGAGCGGTTATTGTTAGTAGCTATGGTGCTACTTTACCCTAAACATGGCTGAGGGGATGGATTCTGATACGCCCGTAAAAGTGCTGCCTGCTCTGCTGATATCGGAATTGCATTCGAAGCTAGAATGGGACTTTACGGCTTTTGCGGCATGAAACCTTGATAATCAATGTCGGTGTTTTGCTTCAACCGCGCCGAGAAGCCGCGCAATTATTTGGTCTGGACTACATGTAATCAATTGATGATATAAGCATCTTATCTGTCACATTTTAACTAAACAAGGACGGGCGTTCGCATCGGGCGGAGATGGCGGCAGACAAAACAAATAATGGTATAGTAATTGATTCTTTGCTGAATGTGCGGACCCGCGGATGGAGACATTTTTGAGCCTCAAGCGGGTTTCACGGAATACGCGGGCGCCAAACATAAAGAAAGAAACCCTTCTCCATGCTTACAATTTGACAGACATGTGTACGTCAAAGATTGAGAAACATCTGACGGAGCTGCCATTAGACGCTGCCAAGCCATTGCCGGATTGTCATTGTGCAGAATTTGCTCCTAAAGGGAACTCACTCAGAGCGCCATTGGATGGATGTCACTTACAAGCCTCAATCTCAATGCAACGTCAACACAAAGAACAACAGAATCCTAGCTGGTTAGCAACCAAGCATGTCCTGTAGAGAGGCTGAGTATCCCGTAGCGATTCCTAATATCCACACTCAGACTGGGTTGGATGCTTGACAGCAGCACGTACCCGACAATTCGGATCTTTTTGGTCCTTCTTTGCAGAAGTTGCGACCGTGTATGCAGACTGGATCCAATGTATATCTGTAACTAGTTGTCTGACTGGATGAATTGTTTGTTGACCGAGGTAAAAAAGAGTCAAGATGGACCCTTAATTTTCAAGTCTGGTCTGACCGACGAACATGAGCGAGAACCCTGTCCTTGCACGATAGCCTGAACCGTTGGATTGGGCTCTGAGCGAGAAGCTAAGTGAGAGAATTCGATACTACTAAGCTATTAGCGCGAGAGAGCGAGACGGAAATAGAGCCTAGAACTATTGTTTCCATTGAGGGCATACCGCATTTGTAAAAATGCTACACGATGAGTAGCATGCATACGAAATTTGCATGATTTCTCTTTGTTGTCTCGTTTCATTGTTGAGGCCACGTTGTTGATAACATTTGAGTTGCAGGCTCTTGTTAAAGCCGCCTTTTTCGCTTTCTAGGGGTGCCCTGGCGCTGTGACTCACCAAAATAGAGGCCCTGAGCCCTGCTGGGCGGCAATTGATCAACACATGCAAAAAAGAAACATCCTCACTATAAGCATATACCTCTTTATCACCATCTAAACGGTATCCGCCCACATAACGGAGCTCATCCACACAACATTCCGTTCCGTCGTTTTGGAGATTGACAACGAAACGGAGCTAATAGCTTTTAGGGACCTCCTTTGATGACACACCCAATTTCCGATCTTCAGGGCCCAAAGGCGAAACTCTTGGTCGGACCACAAGCTCAACCATCGGGGGTCGGGATCAGAAACAAGAAACGACAGTTTTTCTTTTTTTCAACTGCTCCGTTCTGCTCTGATCTGTCTTACCTCATAATCAACTGGCCATTGAGAAACCTTGTCCGGATCAGCTCCGTGGATAACGGAGAAATCTGGGTGATTTCGATCTTGTCTTATTCTTATTTGCCGCTACTAGTAAACTTCTGTAGTTGACAGCGGAAAGTCAGTATGTGGTGCATTTTATCTGACCATCGAGTCTTTCTTCTTTTCTGACCAGCCGATGCACTGTAACCTACTCTCTGCATCCCTTTTTTAAATACTACTGGGACATTAAAAGCAAGACAAAACAGCAAAGCAGACATGGCATTAAAGTTTAAAAATCCATGAGGTGGTAATCTGCAGGGTAGGACAGGGTAGATATCTCGATGTCGTCCGCTTCGGCTTCACGGATTGGCCCCCGTACGAAAAACAAGTGTCGCCAAGACCATTAAAACCAGTGGCAGAAGCACATACGCTATGAATGAATAGGCACAGCTGTCCGTTATTAGACGGCTCACTACTCCTCCATGCAGTAGCGTCCGGCATTGCACTTAGGGGAGCAGGGCAGGGTAGAGCATGGCACGAAGGTGGCATCGGCATCGGAAGATTGGTATCAGCATCGCGAAAAGCCTCGGAGTGGATGGTATGGCATCAAGATTTGCCCTTTGTTGTTTGGGGTTTCATTTAAACTCCGGACCAGCTCCGGTAGGTTGCTCTTGCTTTCTTTCTTTCTTTCTTTCTTTCTTCCTCTATAAGCTCAAGATCTAGTGCACTGTGCCTGTGAATGACAATCCTGCGGCTCATCATGATCCTTAAAATCGAACGTTCATCGACTAACATGGCATGATAAACAGGGTTGTTAGTGCATGGTTGAGCTCTTGCTGTTGTTGTTTTCGATCGCCACAGCTTATCATCTAGTGAGTGACTCTAAGCATCGCAGCTGTTTTTCATTCATCTTATCATCATCATCGTCAATGCGGAGATTCAGACCGTTAAACAATGATGCAATCGAGGTGCTCCGTTTCATTCGTGATGATCAACTGTCAACGTCAACAAAGGACGAGCTTGTGAAAGAAACTGACGTCGATACTTACGCAACTCCCACGTGGAAATTTGGATCTGTCGATGACCAGAGCCTGTCTTGTTCAACTGATCAACCAGTGAAACTGTAGAAGCTTGATCGCCGGATGTCCGCTGACGGGTTGGCGGGTAACGCGTATCAAACCCGTCACTGATAGTCTCGATTGACGGATATTCCGTCTATCAATGTAAATCATTCATTTGTTTATCAATTCTTTCTTTAGCATTTCGCCTCCCGACACCATGTTACCGATCATCAGGAAGGATATGTGGGGTTTGGACTAGGTCAGGGGGGATCTCAATCGAAACGCAAACATTCAACTAGCAGATCCATCCCGAGTCAGACCAGAGATTGGCGACGACGACGACGGGTGTGGGATGATAAGAAGAAACATTGGTGGGATTTATCTATCTGCTTCAAGTTTCGTTGCAGAAGGACTGTCAACATCGAGATGTATAGGTTTTAATTAGAGTAGTTTCAAGCCGTCAAGTTATGCTGTGCTACTGTAGCATCTCGATCCTCTAAAGATTTGATCACTAATAATCAACTGGAAACAAGACAAGTTTCTCCGTTTAATGCACCAATGTAAAACCGTTTTAAACTGGACCTGATAGGGCTAAACTTGGGGGCAAAGGGAGAAAGCTTCACGAAGCCTCGGTATTGGGGTTTATGGACTAGAAGACATAAAACGACCACCATTTATAGCTGATGGGACCTCGTGGACAATGGATGGGATGGAATATAAACACCCACAATTACCCATAAGATGGGTGGAAGGATGGGCAACCACGAAGAATGCCATATCCACACCCACGTCCGTGGATCAAAATACGGTATTAGTTCAGTATAGAACGGTGCAGCAACATGACAGTCTCTCCCTTTGACTCATAGCACCCGTACGGATAAGGAATATCGTATGTAACATGGTTCATGAAATGAAGCTACTGTGGCTAGTAAAAAGGACCCTTTTGTTGAATTGTAGATCGATCTGGAACCCGGACTTTTCTTTCAAGTCAAGTGATGGAGCCACATCGAGATGCGACGCCACCGGCCGAGATCCTCTGCCAAACCTTCGATGCCCGCCGGTTATGTCTCTGCCCGGAAGAGCTCCTGTCCGACCAATAAAGCTAGGGAGAGCGCCACTGGAATACAGTATCGAGATGTCCACTAACACGCAGCACCCGTGCCTCATGCTAATCTAATAAATTCTCGATGCTCTACAGGGTGGTGATTAAGATGCGATTTCAAGGGGGCGACTTTTTTTCTTGCCAATGAACACTTACGTGTACGCGTATTGTGAAGCCTCATCAGCCATGTAAGGAAGGGATCGAGTCAAGCCTCTTATTTTTCCGTCGGAGGATCATTTCCTAGGTTCTGTCCCGTCTGTTCCGTCTGTACTGTACAGTAATCCCATGCCGCAGTTTGTAATCTCATGCCGCGGCATCCTCGTTGCATAGCGCTGTACTCTAGCTAACGTTATGCCCTTGTACGGTTACTGTTTCGATTCACTATTTTCTTTGTCAGACGACCACTAATTTGCTTGGCAATCCTCTGACTTTGGGCTGAGTCTAATGCTTGCTGACTTGAACCATCTCTTCCATTTCCGCTCTGGCGAGGAAATGTGCCGCTGTCTTTTCAAGAGGAGTTCGTTCTAGACCTCTCAACTGACTCCGTTCTGTTCACTTCTTGGCAGGGTCCCTTATTTCTGGTGTCTTTTTTCTTGCAGGGGTGCGGGGGGTTTTGATCCCCTTCCATTTGATCGACCCGCTTGGACATCTAAGTGAGACGAGCAGTGTGTGTTTTGCATACGATGGATGAGGTGCTTGTGAGATCTGTTACAGTCATTGCAACCGTATTTTGATTACAGTTCCTTATTTCGCTTTTTGGGTCATCCCCCCAGCTCAATAAGTGCTTACACTATGGGCACGAGCACAAATCGCATGTTACATTGCAACCCCAAAGAGAGCTTGGCAGCGTTGAGGGAAATTAAAATCAGATTAACAGACGGAGGGCTTGCTTATCCATCGTGAGACAACATCGAAACCTTCCAGAACACATGCGCTTGGATCTCAATCTGGACATATCGCGAAGCCAGGGTCCGGTGATCTCCAGTCAGGGCTGAATTGAAGAAAAATTATGGAGCGAGTAAGCTTTCAAACACAAATTAAGGATCCTTCCTTCTCAGCCTCCAACTGTACTAAGGCACTTTTAGCTGTGTCAGGCAAGAAATGGAAGCTCAAGCTATTGAACATTCATCTATTCATAGCCAGAACATGGACTCTATTCTCCAAGGGTCCAATGGTCAAAGCTCTGGCGTGGTCAACGTCCGTGTCTTGTTACGGTCAAGGTCGCTTGATGCATTGTAACTGAGCAATATGCACCTGTTTCTTTTTGATTCGAGTGCATTCGGAGTCACGGCATCGCATTCATTCAACACTCCACGAACGAACATGACCCTTTTGCCCAGGGGGGTAAGCGGGCCTTTTTTTTTTCTTTTCGCGTGACGAACCCCTCTTATGCATCTGATCAGTTATTCTGTCAGTTATTTCCATTTTATGTTCCATCAGGTCATGAATGGAGTGCCGGAAATGCCGGTACGTAGAATGAGTACAAGTACACTGCAAAGGCTTGGCTCACCTGAATTTCCTCTCTAAGAAAAGGGTCCCTACATAACTGCCTATCTGAGCACGGGTCAACAAAGATCCTTACAGGGAGACACATTTCGGCGCAACTTCAACTTCTCAACTCTGATTTGCGGCGTCTGTCGTATGGTATCAACCGGTAGTCAATCGCTCGTCCCTTGGGCCATGTTACGCCCCCGGAAAAGACCGTTATCAATAGCTCGAGATTTGATACAACGTTGCTCGAACTGAGGCCCTGCCGATTGCCGGCCGGGTGTTCCTGGCTAATTCGAGAACCATTGCCATGTCTCTGTGCAATGCCATTCGCCCTTCATTCTTCAACAACCTTTTCTGTTTTACGCCTCCGTCCAGAGACCTAAACATGCGAATCCTCCAATGGCAATCTGAATTGGGCACGGGAAGTTCCAGACCTAGCGCGGAGCTGCTCACTGGGCACTGAAGCTCTGCACGTCTCCTTGGAAACGGGTCGGGAATACTCATGATCAGCATGAGATGGATGTTCTAGACCCTTAGAGACCCAAGGGCCTGCGTGTCCTCGTGCCCTGAGCCACAATGTCTCTTGGCAGAACAGAGTTATTGATCTTCGCGGTCTAGAACGGGCTGTGGCGCCCTTCCGGCCGGATGCTGCGGCGTGGGTCGGTGTTTGATAGCAACGGCTTTGCATCTTATTTTATTAGTGGCTAACCTTGATGGACTCAAGAATTTGAGGCGGGCGACGGACCGTTTGTGAAGCCGCCCGCGATGCATTCGGTGGCATGAGCATGGGGGAGGGGTGTTGGAGTTGTGAGGTTGGGGGGCTTTGTTTGAGACGTGAAAGGGTCTAGGCCGTTGTGTTACGATTTTTGTGATTGCAGTCACACGAGACATGGCTTGGTTGGGCTCGGCTGGGCAGTGAAGCACAACCGTTTCTTTCTTTTTGTGAACGTGAACGTAAATGTAAATACGGAGTGAGGATTGCTAGGCTGAGACTGGACCTTGTGACATGGGATTCTCTAGGGTATGTATGTACTTAACAATTGATTGTGGCTGGGGCGACTCGTCAGTATGAGATTGATGCCTAATTAGACTGCATCCGTAGTTTGTTTGGGACGATGTACATAGTAGGTAGATACTGCATTATGGGTTCTACTTTGTGAGAAACACTTACCAACTGATATGTCAGGCGCTGTAACCTGTGTCTGCATGAACTACTTGTAGTTTTGCCTGTGAAAGATGAGACTTGCGCTTGCTAGAAGGCTGCTTGAGAGTATTTGGTATATTGGTCGTCTCATATTACATCCAAACCAGAGAGCAAACCCAACAGTTGTATGCTCATATGGCCAAATGGATATTGTACCAAGATAAATTGCTTGATGTTCCAAGGCTCCATTGGCTGTTTTCATGCAAACATCTTGCGAGTCAGTATAACTTACTTACTGAATGTGAAAGACTTTGTGAATGTTTGAGCTTCCCATTTCTTTGTGGGCAAACTATTTTGTTTATTTGTGCTTGAAAGTAAAATCTCGACAATTGTCGTCCTTCAGCCTAAGTGATCGCCACAGCGCTTGAGATAAGAAGATATGACTGGTCGGTCTCCTGCAGTGCAGATGACGTGGAACAAAGTGGAGGCATCCAACTCTCACCGTCCCTCACTTCAACAACTTCAGCTTGTCTGATTTACAACATCCGCCCTACCAACATGGGCAAAGAGTACGATTTGATAGACTCTATCCTGATAGATTCAATGTCGACATCATCCAGCATGGACGGAACTGCCACCCCAACACATACCGTCATGACAGAGACGCTCACAGATTACACCGATTCTGTTCCCTACCCTGGCGCTCAATTCATCATTCGCCAGCGCGACACGAACAAAGTCATCACTCTCGTCTGTGGTACTCTCAAGCTTGTCGATGGTCTGAACCCCAAGGGCGGTTACCACTGGGAATGTATCGAGAAAGACAGATGGCTCGGTTTCCGCAACTGCGTGTCGGGGACCATTATCGGCCACAACAACAGCAAGAAGTTTGTTGCAAGAGCAGAAAAGCACCAGTCATACGAATACATCACACTCCGACCAAACCCTCAAGGCGGTTATGAGCTTATGACCAAGCACAACCACGATGAGCTATGGAGCATGAACGTGGCAGCTGATGAAGAATCACTGATTGAGACCAAAGGACAAGGCGCCTTGTGGGACTTTCTCAAAGTCTAGTATCATTGTTTGGACAGGAAAGGCTCGATCGTTCATGGAGTTTTGTTGTTAGCCCAGTTACGTTGGTAGTCCAATGCCTTTATGTGAGAAATCAAAGCTCGACCTCGACACATCGCAAACGTGCCTCACAAGCAGCGATGAAACATTCGAGATGGGAAGGAAGTCGCAGCTGATGGTGTTTTCGGAGGTCTTGGCCCTAAGAAAGGCATATCGTCTCGCTAAGTTGGGTTGGATATTGGAGACTGGATGGTGACAGTAGCAGAGCACCGACACTATCTTTCTACCCTAAGCTTCTGGCACTGAGTCCTAAGCAAGCAAGCAAACAATCTTTTTGCAGTAACATCATCATGATACCGATTCTTCTACACTAATAATACCGAACAATTTATCGTGATATCTTCGCCCTTCAGCATGACTAACTGGGAGCGTTTCTCAAAAACCACTACGCGCTATCCTTGGAAGGTTTCTTTCTTAGCCCTTGATCAACATCGATAATTCCTATCCATGGATTCTCTTGTCAAACTGATGTTGCTGCGTTGAGCTTTTCATCTATGTAACCTAACTTTTTGATGTTCATTTGGATACAATTGCTATGTCTTCCACGAGTTGTCGTTACGCCAGACATGGATGACATATTAAAACCAGCCATACTAGAATGATATAACTCTTTCTTGATGCTTAGATCAGATCTCTCGGTAGGGCTGAAAGTTGGGCTGAGCGGCACATTCCTGCCGGCACCAAGATCACGCCAAGACGACTGCCCCTTAACACTGAGTCGCCAAACACTCGTAACAGTAAGGATTAACTAATGCCCCGATTCAGCTTGACTCAGCTGGGCGAAATTCACCGAGATGATATGCTAAACTCTGGTGGGGTCAAGCTGGAGCGATCTTAAACGAGGCAGACCGAGCATCTAAACGCGGAACGAAAAGAGCGAAGACTTTAGACCCGGTAGTTCAAACTTAGTGTCTCCATCAAGCCACCCACCTCAAAGAGAAACACGACTACGCCGTTCTGGGAGAAGGTTTAGAAGCCAAGCCACTGACAGTCGTCAGTCAGTCCTTCTTAAAAATGATACTTGGCAAGAAGAGTTTGCACATGATCATTCTTTGAACAATTCTCGAGACCATGTCGAACCAGAAAGAGAAATCAGCAAAGCAGTACGACGCCATGAGCGATACTAAGAGCGAACTTGATGAGTCTTTGGATGTGCCGCCTCCATATGAGCTGCATTCATCTGGCACGGTGCTCGCGAGCTCTGCTGCCGTCAATGGTGCGTAGTTAATTGCTATAGATGCCCAGATGGAACCATTGCTGACTATACCTAAAAGAACATGGATCCTTGGATATTACGTTCTCGTCTATGGCCCCTGAGGAGGTTAACCGTCTCTTACCTCCTCTGAAACCTTATCAACCAGAGTCCATTGCAGAGTCCTCAACTACTCCACAACAGCCTTGTCCTAGACTCAATGTTGTAATCCAGGTCGTGGGAAGTCGAGGTTGGTTTTGCAGCAGGAGTCGCCAAGTTGTTTGCTAACTTCGATAGGCGATGTGCAACCATTCATTGCCCTTGGCGTTGCTCTCAAACGGTACGGCCATCGGGTAAGACTTGCCACTCATGATACGTTTGCCGACTTTGTTCGGTCGTCTGGCCTTGAGTTTTACCCGATTGGAGGAGATCCTGAAGATCTAATGGCTGTGAGTCTTGGCACATCCCAATTTTGTCTTGATTATTGACCCAGCATCACAGTATATGGTCCAGAACCCAGGGCTCATCCCGTCGATGCAAAGCCTTCGTGGCGGTGATATCGGTCGCAAACGCGTCATGATTCGTGAAATGCTCAAGGGCTGTTGGAAGTCTTGTGTTGAGCCTGATCCTATCTCATCCCAAGCTTTTGTCGCCGATGCCATTATTGCAAACCCGCCAAGTTTCGCTCATGTTCATTGTGCTGAGGCCTTGGGTATTCCGCTTCATATCATGTTCACGATGCCCTGGACGGCAACACGATCATTTCCACATCCATTGGCAAATGTTCAGTCACAAAACATGGACCCGAAGGCTTCCAACTACCTCAGCTATGGTGTCGTTGATTTGATGACCTGGCAAGGGTAAGGATCTGGTCTTGCTTTGTTATAGTGTATTCATCTGCTGACTTCTCAACTTATAGCCTGGGTGACGTGATAAACGCATGGAGAGCCAAATATCTGGAGCTAGAGCGACTCCCCGCCGCCGTTGGTCCAGATATCGTTGAGATTATGAAGATTCCCCATACCTATTGCTGGTCGCCAGCTCTTGTTCCCAAGCCAGCCGATTGGGGTGATAATATTGGTAAGCGAGATATCAGTTTTCTTATTGAAACCATACACTAATGAACCTAGATATATCTGGTTTCTTCTTGCGCGATGAGCCTTCTTACACACCACCCAGTGATCTTGAACGATTCCTTTCTAATGGCCCCCAACCAGTTTACATCGGGTTCGGCAGTATCGTCATTGAAGACCCGGCAGAAATGACAAGAATCATCAAAGAGGCTTGCCAACGGGCTGGAGTCAGAGCCATCATATCGAGAGGCTGGAGCAAACTTGGCGGTACCGAGTCTAGCACTGACTCAGTATTTTATCTAGGAGATTGCCCTCATGGTTTGTTCACGGCTCAGGTATCAGTTGACATCCTTAGCTGAATATTTTATCTTAGAATGGCTTTTCAAGCGCGTTGCTGCTGTTGTGCACCACGGCGGAGCAGGTACTACGGCATGCGGTCTTATCAATGGACGGCCAACGACCATCGTTCCATTTTTCGGCGAGTACGTGCTTGCTCGATCTTTTACTTGGGATATACTGACATATAACTTCTAGTCAACCTTTCTGGGGAGGTGTTGTTGCATCTAACGGAGCAGGACCACATCCCATTGCCTATCGCAGCCTCTCGGTTGATAACCTCAGCGAGGCCATCCGGTTTTGTCTCAGCCCCGAAGCTCGAAACTCAGCAGAGATTATAGCATCTCAGATGCGTCGGGAGAAGGGCGTCGAACAGGCTGTCAACTCGTTCCATCGACATCTTCCTATGGTTGACATGTCTTGCAACCTACTCGAACAGCGTGTTGCACGATGGCGGTACAGTAAAGCCAAAAAAGCCAACCAAAGTCCTATCCGGGTGTCAGACGAAGCACTCCAGATCCTACTCCAATCGAAGAAAGTCAAGATGGGAGACTTTAAGCTGTGAGATACTCGCTGTTTCTTTATTGAATTATTTTGCTAATCAGATGCAGACTTCGGCCCAAGGACTATCGTATCGAGAATCAACGTTGGGATCCTTTGACCGCCGGGGCTTCCTCGGTCCTGGGCACAATGACAGATTTTACGACCTCTCTGGGAGGTACCTTTATCGACCCTTTTAAAGAAATGAAACGTGTTCGACAAGATGGATCGCAGACTTCTGTAGGAGCAGCAGCGGCGTTAGCGGCCGGTAAAGGAATGCAGGGCATGACAACGGCTGTGGTGAAAGGGAGCTTGGTCGATTTCCCCTTAGCTTTAGCCGATGGACTTAAGAACGTACCTCGCTTATACGGAGAAGAGGTTCGAGATCACGGCCCAGTCACTGATTGGAAAAGCGGTGGTACAGTCGCAGCCAAGGTATGTGCCACAAATAACCTTTTCCTTCCTTCAGGCGATGAGGACTAACCGTATTTCCAGAATTTTGGCTACGGCTTCTATGAAGGCATCACAAATATTGTCACTAAACCCATGAAAGGCGCCAAAGAGGAAGGGACTCTGGGTTTCCTAAAAGGAGTTGGCAAAGGTTCAGTTGATATGATTACAAAGCCAGGCAGTGGTAAGTTTGTTGACATGTTTACTCGTCTAATCAATCAAGCTGATAATCTATAGCAATGTTTGGGCTACTCGCGTATCCGGCTCAGGGTATCTACAAGAGCGCGAAATCTCAACAGAGAAGCAATGTCAAGCGGTCAATGGAAAAAGGCCGTACCGAGACCCTGAAGGCTTCGCAACATATTAGTTCTCAAGATCAGCATGAGCAGGTTGTCAGGAGGTTTCAAGAACTCAACACATAGGAGCTCTCAAACGCTTGGGTCAATATCTCATTTGTAACTATATTGTCCTTCTTCTGTAAATTGGTTGTATTATTCTATGTCTGATCTGTCCTTGGTCATTACTGCTATTCTCGTTTAAGGGTTTATTTCCTACAGGCCTAGTTGCTTTATTTATTTAGTGTTAGGACGAAATTTGTGGGAGAAAGGTCCACGTGTCATTTAGTAAGTTTTTTATATTATTAAAACGTTAGGCAAGTAGCATGCATCTCATTGCACACATTGGTTTCGTTCTCAATCGGTAATAAGATATTGAGAAATTATTTTATTATTGGCCATTGCTCATGAGATGGGCGTCTCCATTTCACTGGCACTTTCCCATCTGACAAAGTTCATAGCAACCTGCTCGCGGCACCATGCAGTATAAGGTGCCCAATAATCGCCCAAAGCATAGTCGACGGCCGATACTATCTCTAATGCCCACCCTTCCATGAACCAAATAGTATCGTATGCAGATAGCATCGCACCAAAGAAGGACAGGATCAACAGAGCTGGTGGCTGCCGCTGACATAACTTGTCAACATACTCTTCTGATACTTCTTGCAGGAAGATCAATGGGGTGATCCAATGCGGATTCAGTCTGGTGAGTCTTGCGTCGTCTGTACTAACATCCCCTAGAGAGGTCATATACGGACGACAACTTCTGAGGAGCTTGATAGTTGAGTTATAAAGCTCAATATCCGCAGAACTGCATCCCTCGTATGACACATGTAGACCCAGTAGTTCGTCATCTCCACTAACTGACCCATGACCAACATTACAATCCTCGTAAGCCTCGAGGTTTTCAAATTCACTCAGGCATCCCTCTCGTATTTTGTCATTAAATGGCTTGAGAAGGGCTCTCACACTTCGAATATCGCGGATCCAGTCAAGTTCGAGAATATGAGAGGGACGAGAAGTAGGCTCGGATTGGCGAGAGAGGGTGCCGTATGTAGCAAAAACATATATGGTGTCGATGATAGAAAAGGCAAACATTGCATCGAGAGTCCTATCGTTGTGTTGAGAGGTCATTGCCTGTGTGGCTAAAAACCTTTGTACTGCGTTGGCGTGGTAGTCTGTGGCAGCCGCTATATGGCCTTGGATGTCCTCAGGATCTGAGAGGGCACGCTGGAGACTTGCCACACTGAGTGCTCCATATAAAACAAACGGGTACTGAAATCCCAGCTGTGGTATTGTTATATCCCATCCTTGATTTGGAGCAAGTTGGGTACACATGATTTGGCTTGTGATTGTAGTCCAATGGTGTAGAATATCGAGCTCGTGTAAAGTGAACATGTCTATTGTCACCGCAAGGGAGTCAAGAGAAGTTGGAACTGAGAGACTTCTATTGCATTCAGACAACGCGCTGAAGCAACTTTCATGATCACTCTCAAGCTTGGGGGCTTTTCTCGAAGACTCCCCCCTCAGAGAGGAACAGCGATGATGTTGGTACAGACATGGGAGGTCACGAATAACACAAGATCGACATTGAGGCTTCTCTTCCCCACACTGGGACATATTAGTAGGGCTGCATAATACAAAGTACGGTTATAGATACCTTGATGTGACGCCTTTTGCACTCGATACATCCACCTCGAGATTTCCTATGAGCCTGTCGCCCTCGCCGTTCAGAAGTGTCTTTCCGCATTTTGGATACCCAAGACTCTTATGTAATTTTAAATGTGAATATCGCTGGGGTTTAAACTGTTGCAAGTGGTAAAGGACTGGTTGAAAGTTGGCTCTGGGACATGGAGACTTGGGAATGAGTGAGATATAATTGGCATTTGCAATGAAACCATAGCGGCATGTCACTATAAGGGCAAGTTTTGGTAGCTTCGTTTCTTTACGAGGCTCGCTCTCCAGGAACGAGCCTCTCATTTAGGGTGGGTCATGGCTGACTCGATGAAAAGGGCAATAAGCTACCCTTGTCTTGACACCTGACTAATTGCAAACCAAGAGAGATAGATTACGCTAGAAGAGGCTTTGTGATTTTGATTGTTCCTTTAGCAATAATAGTGTCACTCAAATCGCGAGTTTATTTTGTGTGACTATGGGTAGAAAACTTAGATAGCTGGTCACCAGGCCAATTCAATTATGTATGCTCTCCTTTCTACCGAGGGAAAGTCAACCGATCGAGAAGTATCACGATAAATTGGTGCATAAAATGAACAAGTTATTACTCGATATCTTCTTGATAAAGGGCACATCCACAAGTTAATACAAGAGAATGAGGACAGAATAAAAACTTGTGAACGGGCAGGTCATGAATATGAAGGGCTTTTCGAGGTTTACTCAGTGAGTTTCAGAGCAAAAAATTGACCATTGATAAGGGCTATTGTGCAATTTTGACTTTATTTGGTGATTTATATAACGTTGTCTTTCCCATAAAACCAAATCACCTCTATCGCCTTAGCTTTCCACACCATCTGGCCAACTCAACCTTGAACGCTTCCTCCATATCTTTTCCACTTCACCATGATGGCGAAAATTAAGGACGACATTTTCTCCAGTCTCCCGGTCAAGTTGACTACTGAGATATCCTCTTATCTATCCCCCAGGGAAATCTTGTCAGCCGTCAATGCCTCTCTGTGTCTAGCAAAAAACTTTTCAGAGATGCGCGATCGAATTTTGCTTCCCCACGTATAAAACTTCTATCTTCGCTTTGGACAGATCGACGCCGTCCCTCTGATTGAGTTTCTTTCAGAGCCTCGCTCAATTTGGGAACAACACACGACAATAGCTGATATCGAGAAGTATTTGGAGCCTGTCCTTGACGCCATGATAGCACTCAGAGTATTTGAGGAGCCAGAGAGATGGAGGCCGACTCTATCTACACTCGCCAAAGCAGAAGTACTGATACCCACAATGCGGGAGATGTTTATATATCACCGTTGGTGGAAAGCGGCACAAACACAGTTAGAATCAGAAAGCCAGTGGGTGGCATTTGACGAGATACCTTCATGGTTGGTTTGGTCGTTTGCAAAAAGCTATATGGTCTTTGAATGTCACTGCAGCCTATTCTACCATCCGGACAGCAAGATAATGAAATCAAGAATGGTAGGCGAAGACGTTGTTTTCTTGGGCGATAACTTGTATGGGGATCGGGGGCTTGATGGAAGTGTCTTTGAAGAATTCTGTCCATGGGAATGCCTTGGGCACAAACACCATGATATCAAGAGGGAGGTAATCCATCGTGGACAGGTTACGTCGGTTGGTCACCTTCAAAAAGCTTTCTACAAAAGAAAGGCTATTAAGATTGGAAAAAATGGCAAAGGACGAAAAATGATGTATGAGTTTATTGCTATTTGGAATACACAGCTTTATGTTTTGTTATGCTCGCTCAGTCGTCATGACCACTTTTGTGGATTTCAAGATGAACTTCTGACTATCATTGTCATCTAAACTCTGCTTATCCCGACTATGTGAGATCCTCGTCGTTAGATTGGTCTGAAAATCGTTCAACTCCGTATCCGTAATCTGATTTTGGGTCTTCTTGTTCGAAATATGTGCTAGGTTCATGTGGCTAGATGTTTGGTTTGATGCACCACCACTCGCATATGTGCTTCGACCGAAGAATGGTAGGCTGAGAAGAGGTCGAAGGGCAGGCATGGACCCAGCAATGATACCGATACCTTCTTCAAGAATAGACCATAGACCAATGGCGCCTGTGCTGTAGACAAACTCGGTTGGGTCGTTGTAGAGTGTGAGATAACCTAATCGGACGACTGTTGCACAACTTGCACTAGAAGGTATTAGTATGGTGTCGATCGAGGATAAGGGTATGGTAGACTAACAAAGCGCCCAGACCCAGCATAACAATAACAGGAAACTTGACTCTCTGCTTCATCTGAATATTCCATAGGAGAATGGCGGGTAGAATAGCCAATGTCCAATCTGTAAGAATCGAGACAGCCGAAAAGTAAAACCCGACGCTGCTGTTTACTTTTGTATTGCATTTGCCATTTGCGTCTCCCCATAGCGTCTCGATCGGATGGCAGATGTTGGCTGTAGCGATGATGAAGACGATAGCAGTAAAGACAGTTATTGCGATGATGCCCCAGAGGGTCCAAACGAAACGACGTCGAGCGTCGCAGATTCGAAGCATGGTGACGCAAATGCTGGATTTGATCGGGACGGAGCAGGCCGAGTAGAAGAACTGGGCGATGAAGAATAGCTGACACTATTAGTATTAAGAGTACAACAATCCTAACGAACATACCTTTGTTCCCATCTTAATGTCGTAAGGTTCGAGATCCTTCCTCTTTTGGCCGGAGCCATAGAAGCAGCATCTAATAACGAGTGAACAGGTGACGGTGTACAAAATCTTTCAGGTCAGTCAGTCAAGTCGCAGATAGAAATCAGAGTACTTACCAAACCAGCAAACATCAGTGCATCATCCAGTCCAATATTCTTTCTCCATTTTCTCACTCCAAATCGTAACGTCGCAAAGATCCATGATAACGAAAGCATAGCAATCGTGGCCCACAGAAGAGCCACGCCATCACCTGCCACGCGAGCCATCCTGAGCGATATGTCGAAAACAAAATCCTAAAAAGAAGGATGGATAAACAAATAAACTCCCCGTGGAGAAGGCAAAGGTTAATAATAGTCGGGACGAACGACTATATTTTTTCCTGTTCTCGTGTGGAAGGGCCGTGGATACGCATTGAGGCGAACAAACGAAATGATGGACATTATGGCGAGTTAAGCGATGGATTTCACTGTGAAACTCCCCAAGCGGATCTCTTCTGTCAAGAAACATGCTGATGCTTGTCAAACTTGATAAGCCCGAGGCTAGACCGCCGTTAGTAGTGGAATAAATCAACTAAATTACGGAAACCGTTGAGATGATCGCTAGTTTTGAGTCCGTTCATCTCCGGGCCGACACTCCCGTTTAATGGTTTCCATAGGGGCTTTAGTACATATAGGGATGGTAAATATTGATTGGGTTCTGCTGATCCCCCGGAGAAGATCTTCCTTAGTATCTGAGATAGAATATAATATATCACATTGCAACAACAGTTCAAACAAATGACATGCATTGATTCAATAAATCATTTCGGCACCATGAATCCTTCGCCTCTGGTAGTTCTTTTTCTTCTGCTGACCATCCAACAGAAATGGATCCCCCAGACTCTATCCAGGGGCTTTTTGCAAGGGTCCCAGACTCAAGACACCGCCTTAACCGAGTCCACTTGTTCATCAACTATGGAGATTCAAGGTCTAGAATCTCGCCAACTGTTCGTTGTCAAAGATAGTACACAAGCACGGTTCAGTACGCGAATGAATGGTCGTATCACGATGTTGCGGGCGTAGAGACAAATTGTTCCGTTCCCACCCAGAACGCTAGTGTTTTTTGTTTGACTGACTTGTTCAATGTACAACGCAACCTATTTCAGCTGTTCCCCCCTTGGTACTTTTGCCAAGTTTTTTCTTTGCTTTTTCTGCTTTTTAATTACTTCCTTTTCTCCGAAGTTACATCATAATGGCTGAATTCGTGATCCAAGACGACAAGCTTTCTGCCCTCAGTGGCAAGGTTGTTATTGTTACCGGTATGAAACAAATACAATCCCCACTCGATGTAACCGAAAATATTGACTTTCTCCAGGTGGTTCTTCTGGAATCGGATTATCTACTGTGGATTTCCTCCTATCCTTGGGTGCTTCAGTCGTCAGCGGAGACGTCCAGCCTCCCCAGAAGCAACACGAGGGTCCTTTCACCTTTGTCAAGACTGACGTTTCCGCCTGGGCTGATCTCGTTGCTCTTTTCAAGAAAGCAAAGGAAGTCTACGGTCGCATTGACCATGTCTTTGCCAATGCTGGCCTCGGACCTCGTGCGGATTACTTGTCTACTCAGGTTGACGATAATGGCGACCTGATTGAGCCCACACACGCGCTCATGGATGTGAGCTTGAAGGGTGTCGTAAACACATGTACTCTTGCCATTTACTACCTGAGGCAACAAGCTGAGGGTGGAAGTATTGTCATCAGTGGTTCTACCACCGGTCTGCAGCGTGTGCGAGCTGTTGATTACTGTAAGTAATGAGCTAATCGCATCATAACCTGATACTAATTATTTTAGCAACTGCCAAGCACGGAGTCCTGGGCTTCGGTCGAGGTCTTGTTCCTCTTCTCGGTGCTGCTCAACTTCCTATCCGCGTCAACACTCTGGCGCCCAGTTGGACAGAAAGTAACGTCCTTCCTGAGCTCAAGACAATTCTTGGTGCCATCAACGTTGAGCTACAGCCTGCTTCTGTTGTTTCTCGATGTGCCGCTTTCTTGATGGCTGATGACTCCAAGAATGGCCAGCTTGTACATATCGAGCGTGGCAAGTATGCCGAGATTGATGAGGCTGTCTTGCTGCCTGCTTTCGGAAAAATCAAGAGTGATGATTACCCTTGGGAGGATGATGTTTTGAGGCGTCTGGGCGAGCTTGCATAGTTATCTTATTAGGTTGGGTGGCTAAACGCTCGCATTTAATTATGAAAACAACTTTAAGCGTTCTATCTGAGTACCGTTGCAATAAGAGAGATAACGTGCTTGGCCAGAAATCTATCACTATATGAGGCAACTGCGTCTTTTCATTATGCAAGGCTGAAGCTGGGGCTTGTTCACAATCATCTAATTTTTTTTGTAGCAGCCGACACCCCGAAAGGAGTCGCACGCTTAACAGTAGATTCAATAACTCAACAGTGTGTAAACAGTAGTGGTGGCATTAACGCCACAGGGCTCAACATCAGATCCAAACCTTATATTGAAATATAAGCTCTGAACAGATGGCAATCACTCCCCCCTCATGTCACACAAAACTTGGCATTGTCTACTTATAAATACCACAGAGCAGTAGTAATCTGAGTTCATAACTCTCCAACAGCAAAGCTGCTTTGGTATAATGTGGTGCTGAGAAGACAAATAGTTGGCATTTTGTTTAGGAAGACTGAAGAAAATCATACCGAGAGCATCACAAGTCTATCTCTCAAGGTATCAAAAAATAATATAATAATAACTTGCCTTTGCCAACAAGCCACATTCACTGACGATGTTTTAAATAAACATAAAACTCTTTAGATCTATTCTTTTCTCTTTGTTTTTCTCATAAGAGACAACTAGACAGATAACTATATGATAGATATATCGTTTTCATTAATAATAAGCAAGTCTTGGATTCAACAATCCAATTCTAGTTCAAATTAGATACCTTGACTATCCATGGGTTTCTGCGGATATTATCTTCTCTCCCGATCCGAGGCGATGAGTGGTCCAAATAAGTCAAAGGCTCGAGATTCAATGGGCGGTCAACATTCTCAGGTTGTCTACTGAATTGAAATGTTTTCTACTTCTCTGGCACATTGTCGACTTGGCACTTATCATCAGCCACACCGCCTTGTTGTCCACGACTTGTTTCAAGACAATAGATGTTGGAGTAACTTCAAGGAATTACTCGTTAGTGGAATAAAACAGACTGAGAATTTATGCGTATTGATCAATTTAGACCTAAACAGGCGATGCCCAGGTAAATAACGGTCAATGTTTGCGATCCCAATTTTGAAACACCAAACTCTGGGCATCACCATCGTAAGTTTTCTCGAGAATCAGTTATTCACAGCTATATACGATAGTTTTAAGTGTAAAACCATCATGGAAGCCTCGCAAGAGTATCCATAAGGAGATTTTCTTGATTCTGGGGCATTGGATCCATGATCAGCGATAAGCGACCACCCGAAAATCATGATATAGACTCAAGTTACCGTGTACGGAAGGATTAATCCGCAGTATAAGACAGCCACTTACATCTTATCTTACCAAGAAAATAGCACCTGGGGTTGAAACAAGTATCTGCAGGTACGATATCATGTATGGATAGGCTCAGCTGTGCCGAGACACGCATAAACAGGAACAAATCGGAAATCTAGGAGGATGATATGACGATCAAAGCATCCATGAGTAAATGAAAGCGAGTACCTTTTCAGCGAATCAGCCAGCTCACTGTGACATTCCGTAGAGCAATGACATCGGCCGAGCAGTAGCATTCCTAAATTAGTTCTTAACAAGTCCACTATAATCAGACGAAAGCTCAACCTCATATAACTTGCTGTGGCGATTTCGGCAGTCTGGCATCCCTTTCAGCGATACCTCCGACGACCCAGCCAATTAAAAAGGTCAATTAGCTTCGATCGTCGAAACGCGTTAATGCGTTGCTATCCCCTGCTGAGCTGGCGTACCTCTCCACTGCGACGCTACAACAGGTTTCTAGGCTCCATTTAAGTCGCGATATAGACTGGGATGTCTAGTTTCAAAACGTCAACGGCTTTAACATGATTTTCATCATTGTTGAGTGGCAACAGGTCATTGAGAGATGACGACAAGAGTTTGCTTATATTCACCTTATTAAAAATGGACGTGTATGGATGTTGAGTTGTATAAATACAGAGACGCCGTGACTGGAAATCACTTTTGAAATCATCCTCATCCTCAAAGCCCATCCATTACAGTAATCAACATCTTTACTCTCTTAATCCACTTACTCTATTCACCATGAAGTTCTCACTCGCTGCTGTTACCCTCATGGGCGCCGTCGTCTCTGCTCTTCCCGCCAACGAGAAGCGACAGGCTTACGTCCCTTGCACTGGCCTCTATGGCTCTTCTCAGTGCTGTGCTACCGATGTCCTGGGAGTAGCCAACCTCGACTGCGGAAACCGTAAGTAATCATGTCTACCAATTGGATACCAGACTAACATAAGTAGCCCCTTCTTCTCCCGGCAACGCCTCCGACTTCAGCGCTATCTGTGCTGAGATCGGCCAGCGAGCTCGATGCTGTGTTCTCCCCATCGTGAGTTTATCTATTTCTTATCTCGATGGCAAAGATGCTAACATCTATTAAGCTTGACCAAGGAATCCTCTGCAACACCCCTACTGGTGTCCAGGACTAAAGTGTCACGATTTTGTGATCTTTTGTAATGTGAATACGATATTGATATGGATGGATGGGTTATATAAATTGGGCTCTGACTTTGTTATAATATTAGTTCTAACAAGTTACATATTTGAATCAACATTTTAATCAGTCTTCGTCGTGCCATTCTATGTCTTGTTGTTTTGTGATGTTCATATCCGAAGACTTCCCATCTTTACTCTTCACAATGCAGGTACATAGCCAGCATGCTCATCTTAAACCCGATGCGATGTGTGTGCAGGATTGAGCCCTTCATTGAACCCCACGACGGAGACGTTCATCCGGATACAACATCAAAGGCTTGGTAGTTTGGCTTGACAACACTGGATCAAATACGAGAGGTTTTGGGGTTTCTAGTATATTTGACAGATTTGTCCACCTAATTCCGACCTGAACTATGCACAAACAAAATGAAACAGATCAACCCCCACACCAAGTTGTGCGTTATGATATTGGCTAAGATTGTTTCAATGCTTACATCTAAAGTTTGGACCCCCTGTTCTGACGCTCCCTGTTCTCTACTTGAACAATTTCCAAATCAGGATCCTTGTCGTCCCCAGGCCAACTCTTCACAAGGCCATCCACCTCCCCAAATACAGGGTCACACTTGGGCTTTCGAACCCTCCACGACTTGCCATAGTCACCACCACTCTTGACAAAATCCCAATTTCCGCCATTGTAAGCTCCCATCATGGTATAGCCCGACAACTCAATCTCTGACAAAGCCTGTCGTGGATCATCAGCTTCGATGCCGTGTCCAACACCGGGTGACATGAGCTTGAACTCTGCTTCGGGTTTGGTGTTGTACGTTTTGTGAGCTACCCCTGCTGGAATGACAAAGACATCTCCTGCTTCAGCTTGAAGCTCAATACCGCCATTCTCCCAAGACGAGCCGTAGGTGTTTTCTTGGAGATCGTCTGAGGTGTCACCTACTCCGAAGCGAATAGTTGCGGTTCCTGAAAGGACTGCCATGCACTCATGTGCCTCTGAGTGGAAGTGGGACAATTGAGTCTGGGGGTATCGAAAGATCCATTCGACGTCCCATCCATTCTTAGTAAACATGTCCCAGACCTCGGCAGGGTCGCAATGCGTGGTACCGCGACGTTTGGCTAGTACATTTTTATAGTGCAGAAGCGGTCGTGGTGAATTTGGAACGAGGTCTGTTGGGAGGAGATGGTATTGCTTCATGTTCGGCATTGTTAATATGGATGTCTGTATAGTAATTTATGTTGAATATGTGACTGATCATGCCCATAAGTGTTCCCCGCAGCATCCGGGCTTGATATAAATATTTAATTCGGCATTGCATCCGAGTCGGAATTGGTAGCCGGGCGTGACGCTATTTTGGACGGAATCTGACGGCCCAGTTCCGCGATCTAATAATTTCACATTTTCAACCTTTCTTGATTAAAAGTTTAACGCTTAATTGATCGAATTAAAACCAAACACCGGTTATCTACTCCTTGCCACCCTTCAGGCTGAAAGTGTATCTAGCCTGGAGAACATAAGGATCACCACCAGGTTCGAAGAATTGCTTCTCATCACGCATCCACTCGGGGTGGTTAATACCATCAATGTAGTCCTGAACCTCAAGAACAACACATCCGTACTTGGGAATAGTTCGAGGGAAGTCCTCGTTATCCTTAAGACCCTGGGTGCGCTTCAGAGGGAAGTCACCCTTTTGTTGCGTGCAGCTGTAGAACTGGAAAGCATCTTGGTCTGAGTAAATGTCGACTTGGATGCCAGACCAAGAAGAGGCAAGGCTTGCAACGGGGCCCTCAGTGCGCCAGTCGTAGTTGCCGAGCTGACCACGGTTAACGGTGTAGCAGTTGTCTGAGATTTAACGTTAGTCAGGTAGTAGCAGAGGCGGAAATGAACGTGACTTACCATATCCGGTACAGTTGAATCCACAGTTGTTCTTCAGCTCCTCGTTGTTCTCTTGATCACCAATCATCTTTCTCTTGCTCCAGAAATCATTGGCAGATCCCTTCTTGTTGGCAATGATATCACCAGTAGGGATAAGAATGTTGTCAACATCCATACGCTGGCCACTGTAGGGCATGTGGAGAGAGTGGTTGGAAACAGTGTTTGTCTCGTTGTTGGCGAAACCGTCGAGGTTCCAGTATGTGTGGGAGGTCAACATGATGGGAGTCTTCTTGGTGGTAGCCAATGCGACAATCTTAATATCCCAGTCCATGCCCTCGAGAGTGTATGTCACGTAGGACACAACCTCACCAGGGAAACCCTCCTTGCCGTCGGGGTCGACGATGGAGAAGGTGATACTGGAGTCGGTGTAGGAAACAACAGTGAAGTTGCGGTAGTCCCAACCATCGGGTCCTCCGTGGAGAGTATCGGCGCCATCAGGAGACTCCTTGGTAGGGTTGTCGTTGGGCTTGACGTGGTAGTCCTTGCCGTCAATCTCAAAGGTGCTGTTTCGGATACGGTTGGCGTATCGTCCGGGCACACCACCAAGATGAGGATGGGCCTCGTCGATGCTGTAGTGGGTGGCGTTGTCGAAGCCAGCAACGATGTCTCGAGAGATACCGTACTGGTCATCGATCAAGAGGTTGGTGATGGAGGCGCCATATGGGATGAAGGCAGCCTTGATACCGTCTCCGGAGAGCCAGTATTTACCATCCTTATCAGGACCCTTGCCCTTGGTCGCAAAGACCGAAGGGAGGAGAGCGGCAATGACGGCAGTCTTGAAGAACATGATTGCGGTGGTCGAGTGGAGACTGATCAGCAGAAGGTAGTAACGAGCAGCAGCTCATGGGAGCTTTATAGAGATTTGCGATGCGAACAATGCGGAGTCAATAACAAGAAGAGACCTCTCTTGAAGGATGTCAAGTCCCGTAGATGCTCGCATGACGAGGAGTCAAGGTTAATGACTGGTGCGGTTGTCGATGAGCTACGAAAAACTTGTCGTTGCAACTCCAGAAGTTCCTGGGGTAGCTTTGAAGCTAGACCCTTCCCCAGGTTTTCCATTGTGCGCCAAGTCGCGATTGGTGCGCGTGGTTCGGGTATATTAGCGAATGCTTAGCGTCAGCATCCATTGTACGAGTTCGATTGTGATCATCGTGCGGGGGAAATCAGGCTGTTTGTAGAACAGACTAGAGGGTGAATCCTTTGACCGAATTATTGGCTGGGATGGTAAGCGATATGGTCTAGTTGAGAGTTACAGCTTCCCACCAATCAGTAGAAATACTAGCTGTAAATGGTCTAGAAATGAAAGGAAATTAACCCGTGTATTGAATAAAGTGGTTGAGGATATTCTACAGGCTAAGTTGATAGCAATTGACTCTTTCCTCGGCGCAATTCAGCCCTGTAAACAGAAGAGGAATCCAAAGAGGCTGGGCGAAACTTGTTTACCATGGGTATGGATTTCTTGGTGCGGAGAAAGTGTTTACGTCACACCATACCCTGTACCCAAGCACGACGTTGCACTGAGTGATACCACGTGCAATCATGGGTTGATGATCCTGGCCGAATACGGACAGACGTTGGGAGGGTGATGAAAAGGTGAGAGACAAAAGACAGTCTAAACTCAGGAACAGAGGATTTAGTAGACATCAAGAACGCGAGACGCATGTATAGTATGTATTAGTGATCGTCAACGCTTGATTGTGTGAGACATGATTGGGTTCCGTTTCGTTGGAACGGCTTGCAGAGGGTGACACCACGGCCTGCTTTGAAACGAAACGTTGACCGACATAGTAACGGTTGTACTGGATCGGATAGGTTGCTACTGGGGCAGTTTGAGTCGACAAGGCATGCCATGCTAGTGTGATTTCTTGTTCTGATAAATTTGTGAAATCAGATATTTCATCCTTCTTTCCATAGCTGTCTTGGTGAGATATCACGGCGCTGAACTAGAAGACACGAACAACTTTTTAATTAATTTCGAAGTGTACTCTACGGATTCAGACGCTAAAGTTTACTTATTCCACCACTCAGAGGTGAGCGTTAAGAAGATCCATCAATAAGAGATGATGTGAGACACGCTAAAGCAGGCGAATTAACTGAGTATCATTTGGTGATGTCTATCCAACAACATCTATTTCGAGGCTCAAATAGAAAATCTATGTCATAAAATTGGTATCACTATCTACTCGTCTAACGTGTACTCATATACTAATTCACCACAAGTAAACAGCTGCTGCAAACATCGCGACTCCCAAAAGACTCCTCGAAGGCATTCTCAAAACACCTTCTGACATGCCTTCTTCAAAACCCTTCTCTTCACCGCCCAAATACTCAGCACCAAGCTTTGTTAGACCTCCATTGCTGTTGAACAGTGATACACTCTTTCCGGTCCATTCGTTGGCATCGTTTGTTCTAAACGCTCCAAACCACGCATACGCCTGAACATCATCTCTGCTGTCCAAATTGGGCAGAGTCTCGTTCATCATGGCAAAAGTTGCTTCTTCATCCTCTTGCGGGAGAGCCATTTCGGTGATCCAGAATGGAGCGTCGGGTGCAGTCTCGTTGTAGAATTCGCGAAGACTGTTGAGCCAGTTGTCCAGGCCCACAGCGTCGCCGTACCAATGGACAGCGATGAAATCCGTAGGACAACCCTTGTCGTCAATGTCGTAGCATGATTCGTTAAAATCGCGCAGCCACTCTAAACCTCGTGGTGAGCCGGTAACGCTGGGATGGCTTATCGACCATTCACGCTCTGCATCTCTCAATGGAACAATGTTTTCCATATAAGACTTTGCTGCGTCTTTGGGTGAAATGGAACTTCCTCCAGTGTCGGTCTCACCATCTGGTTCGTTAAAGGCGAGAAGGTGAGTTGAAGATTCTGGAAGACTGTTTAAACGCTTCTGTAGTTCTGAATCTGATGCATCATCGAGGCCGTGGATTAAAGGAATGAATGGTAGAGAGCTTCCGATTTGTTGTGATGGCCATAGTGACCAGGTATAATACCATGCGATTTCCGAGTTGTTTGAGGTTAAAAGGTTGTTGTCTGATTCGTGGTCATCTCCATGGAATGCGAGACCTCGTTTAGATGATAAATCTATGCCTTCGACTGCTCCACAGAGATATAAAAAGTGATAAAAAAGTGACTGACGCATTGTATCTCAGACAAAAGGTGATATAGTAAAACAATCTGTTGCAGCAGTTAGTTGAGAGAAAAGGCTGTGTTAAATAAAAGGGTATTACCAATTACAAATCAGGATTAAACATATCAGCCTTGTAGTTTATGTTTCAAAAAGTCAGGGATTGCCTTGGAAACTTCATCTTGTCTTTCTACGTGTCGTTCATTTCTTGGAGTGGCCATTTCCTGACGCTGCTGATGATGTCATGGCATTGCCAAGGTAGCCCTGCCACGATACCAAGACTTGGCAGCGTCAAACATTTTTACTTTTAACCTTTACTCAGAAATTACTCACCGCTTAATACTAAACAAGGCGAATTGAGCAGAATGAAAGATAAATGAATATAAACAAAAAGATATGATCGCAAGAATAATAGATGGACATGTTAGTCGCTCATCTATGGTGCTAGTTTAAAAATACAACCTGCTCACCCTTCACTCGAGCAATAACTTTACAAGACATTCAACAGAACGAATATAAATTCCAGCCCATTATATCTAAAACGTCTCAGTATTTAAAAACGCCAAAATCCAGAGTTATTCTACCTCTTCAACTTGGTCGTCATGTGCAGCCATCATGATGGCATGCCCATCCTGGTCATATCATTCCTACAAGTAAGATGCCATCATGTTCGTATTCAGGCATTCTCTGCAGCTTCTAGCCTGGCATCCTCAACCCAGGTCAAGCTGTTCCAATAAGTGAACTCCCATATTTTCCGTGGCTCAGCCGCCAGAACGTCGGCCGTAATTTGAAGCACTTCCTTAGCCGGGGGATCCCATACTTCCCTTTTCTCCTGCTCTGGGGTCCGGTACAGGTCAAGTGCATGTAAGAACATGGTCCCTCTCTCATGTATGGTTTTCGCCCGCCTTCCCTGGTGATATTCTGGATGATTTCTATCACGGTAGGTTCCGTACATGCGGTTCTGAGCCTGCCTGAGCCTTTTATCAATCTCATCAAAGGCACCCAGTATGGCCACTGTGACGGACGCGTAGTTGATGCTGGAGAGGGGCCTAAGTGGTCTCGCTAAAGCGAAGCCGCATATATCGTCCAAGAATTCCCCATTAGCCCAAGAGATGACATCTTGATCGCGTTCTTCTGAATCTGGCCCTGGCCGGGGGAGATTGGGTGGTCCAGGTGCCGGCAATGCACCATCATCACCCGTCGCTTGTGTAGTTGTCTCTATTGTTGAAATCTCCCCCGCGGGCTCAGTTTCCTCCACCGCCCCCGACTCCGCCCCAACAGTGTTTTCGGTCGATCTAGTAATTGCCGCCTGTTCCTCCCCATCGTCCCCTCTGTGTAGCATGGCTAGTAGAACCGACAAATCTTCATCCGAAGACTGATCCAGAATTACTTGACCAGAGTTCCAATTCGCTTTCTGGTACGCTGATAACGCAGATTGCCTGTTGAAGTTATGGCAAGCGGTTATGTCAAAGGATTTGTGTATGTTTTCGCCTTCAGTTAAACTTAACGATTGTCGCATGTTTAACAATGTTGTTAACGCCTTACCACTGTTTGTTGTGTCGTTCTGATGGTCTCGAAACACGCCTCTCTTGAAAAGAACTGCAAGAGCCTCCCATAACGGGATAGGTTTGTCGAAATAGTTGTGTTGCTTGAGGAATTTATATATGTGCAGTATAAGTATCGGCTCGCGCATCACCTGCCATAACCACATCATTTGTTTATATGATAGTGATAAGGCCTCTTCAAGACCGGCACCGCAAAGATAGGGTGAATATTTGTGCAGCCCATTGGCATCGGCTGTACCAAACCGAGATGGTTCTATACCTTCCCAAATCATTCGTTTTTCATTGTTGGCATACACGTGCTGGCCAAGATAGTCATGAAAATCTTCTCCAGATATGAGGATGTGGTCAAGAAGTCCTCGAAAATGCGGGACATCCTCGCATGATGACACCAGCTTGGCTTCCATATTGTTAACCGAGACACGGTAGCCACCAGATACAAATTGTCTTTGGCGGTCAAGGAATATATCGATATCCCGCGTCGTCCGGAAGTCTGCTGGCTCTGACAAGACATGCATAGACCCCTCCATGGGTATGAACCATCCCCTGGAAGTGGTAAAAGAGTCCACGATGCACTGGAGTTGAAAAACATGATGTAGCTGGATTAACGTTTCGACCTGAAAGTTGCCCTTCTGCATCGCCATACGTGTAATGTCAACCGCAAATTCATTGAGACCGAATATGGTTCGTTCGTTACCGGTCCAGTCAACATGTTCTAGACTCTTCGGACCGCGAGACTCTCTGTTCTTCTTCAGCTGTGCCGCCGAAGAAACATTGACGAGATCGTAGAGCCAATTGATGATATAAATCCGTCGCCAGGCCATTCGCTCGTCGCGACTCAAGTTCGCCAATATCACTGTAGAATCCCAAGTAGCAAGCGTTCTTCCCAGCCTGTTTGTTGGCCTGCCAGTCCTGTTGAGCCGAAAATCGTCGAGAAAGTCTTTAAGCGCCATGTAGGTATTGTAAAGGAATTGCTCCTTAACATCTGAAATTGTTCTATTTCTCACACCACGACCTGCTTCATTGGAAATATCGACCTGAAACGTTCCTTGGGCGTTATTGATATCCCCGCGAGCAAGTGCGTTCACGATAGACAGATAAGAGTCATTTCCCGCAAAATCGGCGAATATGGCGGCATTAGTTCTTTGGACCATTGAAACAGCTACTTTGGATGTAGCAGCTGCCACCGCGGTATTAAGATCTCCGTAAGCGACTTGCACCCATTGGCGTTGGATGCAATATCGAAGCTCAATCCATTGCTGAGCTGCTGAGTGTACAGCAATTAGATAGTTGATAGTCATGGCGTCTTGGCCGTCAATATTGCGTAAGCTCTCCATAGAAATTACTTGGTAGACTTGTTCCCTTGCTGGCTGCTTTGCTTTGCCCTTGTTGGACTTTCCTTTCTTCTTGCCCTTGCCCTTTCCAGGTCTTCGTTGTTGCCTTGGTCTGGAACTTGACGCTTGTTCTTCTTCCTCGCTAGATGCTTCGACAACTTGGACATATAGGGCTCTGAATCTGCTGGACAGCTCTTCTTGGACTCGTTCGATAGAAGGTTCGACCTTAGCCCGTATGTTGTCGGCCACCCAGCCGTCACCGCCGAGGATGCTACGACAATGGGCTAAAATATCGGTAAAGTGTTGATGACTAGCATCGCTTGCCGCTTGATTGGGGTTGACTGGAGCCCCTGCTTGTGCTGTGTAGGATGCGGTAGCAATGGATCTCTTGTGGATGGCCGACGCTAGAGCGCTGAAGACGTGATAAGGGACTGGTCCATTTTGGCTGGCTATGTACGTGGCCAGAGGGATGAAATCATTGACTTTAGGGGGGTGTCTAAAGTCGAATTGTGGCCTTTGTGGTGTCGAGCCCGGGTTTCTTTGATTTGACACGAAGAGAGTAATGTATTCGTTCGCCAACCAGTAGCTGAAATCCTGGGTATCCTTCTTGTACTTCTCATAGAGGGAATGCGAGATCATTTTCACAACTGTTTTGATATATATATATAGTGAAGAGAAACAGCTGATAACAAAAAACCAAAAAAAAAAAAACAGTCCAAAATTCGACGAACAGTGGGAACGGTAGTGGTTGATAATGGACAACAAGAGTTGGCGACAGCCGACAACCAACTTAAAATATTTCGTGGTGATCCATAGCGGGACTGGGGACAAACAGAGTTAGCGCCGCCTAATGTTTAGACCCGAGAATGCTCAGCATATGGGGCCGTGGACGTCTGGTCATAACAAAGAACTGTATTGTCCCATCACACGTTATCTTGGCCGAGTCCAAAATAGATCCATTGAACTAGAAATGACGGGACTAGGTGACAAAGACATGGGACATTTGCTCAGTCGAGGCTGGCCAAGTGGATAACTAGGTCGAGGAGTTGCAACATGGAACAAAGAACTTGCAAGGCTTGTCTAAACGCCACCTTGTTTTATTGACACGACAATAGACGATGATCAATAGCGACCACCCATGCAGTGGCCAACTACAGTAAGCTTGGGCTTGAATTAATGTTTCGTGGGTTGCCATTGTCTCTTTGACCTCCTCTCAAGAGTTGGTGGGCATACTCGTCAACTTCTCACCGGTACTAGCCTCGTCCGCTCTCCAAAGCGAAGTCACAGTCTTCCACTGAGTGTAAAATCTCAGTCCGTCCTTTCCGTAAAAGTTGGCCAAACCAGTACCAGCCACACTTCTCTTGTTACCCGTGAAGGAAAACATGGGCAGAGGAACGGGAATCGGCACGTTGATACCAACCTGTCCAGCGTCGATCTCCTGCTGGAACAAAGAAGCCTTGGCGCCGTTGTTGGTAAAGATGACCGCACCGTTGCCCCAAGCGTTGGAGTTGATGATTTCGATTCCTGATTGGAGGGTGGCGGCTTCCATGCACAGGAGTACGGGACCAAAGATCTCTTCGCGGTAGCATTCCATCTCTGGTGTGACACCTGCGATGACTGTTGGGCCGACCTACGATAGTTAGCGTCTTTGTCTTGCTCTACTGATTGTTTCACTTACCCAGTTACCATCGGGGAAACCCTCGGGCTTCCAACCTCGGCCATCGAGGAGGATCTTTGCACCCTCCTTCTCAGCACTGGTGATAAGAGCCTCACAGCGGTCACGAGCTTGCGGTGTAATGAGTGGTCCAAAGTCAGACTTGGAGTCGAATCCACTTCCGGCGACATGATCCTTTGCCTTTCTCACTAGATCATCCAACCATTGTTTCGCGTCGCCCAGAGTGATCAAAACACTCAGAGCCATGCATCGCTGTCCAGCAGCGCCAAAGGCAGCCCCGGCAATCGAGTCGAGCGCGTGGTCTTTGTTTGCGTCTGAGCTGAGAAGCGCATGGTTTTTTGCGCCTAGGTTAGCTTGGACGCGCTTTCCATTGGCTGAGCCACGTTGGTAAATGTATTCTCCTGCTTTGTTTGATCCAACGAACGAGATAGCCTGGATTTCTGGTTCGTCGAGGAGGAAGTTGACCGTATCCTTTGATCCGTGCACAACGTTGACAACGCCAGGTGGGAAACCAGCCTCTCTGCAGAGCTCGGCAATCATCATGGCTGCTCCGGGGTCACGCTCTGAAGGCTTTACAATCATACAGTTTCCAGTCACTGTCGCCAAGGGGAGAGACCACAGAGGAATCATAGCAGGGAAGTTGAATGGGCAGATGGCGGCAGTAATACCAAGAGGTTGTCGGTAAGACCTTGTTTCCATATCCTTTGCAACCTCAAGAACCTCTCCAGTGAGCTGGGTGGTAATTCCACACGCCGTCTCGCAAACTTGCAATCCACGGAGAACATCACCCTTTGCATCCGCGAAAGTTTTGCCCTGTTCTGTGACAATGCTTGTGGCAAGGTTATCCATGTGCTCACGGATCAGATGTGTCAGTTTGAACATGATCTGCTGACGCTTGATAATGCTTGTTCTCTTCCACGCAGGAAATGCAGCCTTTGCCGAGCGAACAGCTTCTTCGAGTTCATCTTTTGTGCTCTCTGGGACACGAGTAATGATGTTGTTTGTTGCTGGATCATGAACATCGATCCATTGTGTTGTCTTTGAGGAGACGAGCTTGTTGTCGATGAAGTTCTGGGTATCTTTTGGAGAAGATAGTTTCTCGTGATTGCCCGGGTAGATGATAGACTGGTAGATTGAAGTTGAAGGCATTTTGAAGATAATTGAATGGTGTTTGATGGGAAAAGATAAAATTGAAATGGTTGATATAAGAGAGGCGGAAGGTTCCTGAATACGTGTAAGATAGTCGGCCGGCTCCGGAGACAGACCGACAGTTCCGTTTATTTACCCCGCACTCTCCTGAGTCTTCTCTAGAGTCTTGGTCTTGTGACGGTTTATCTGGTACCAAGTTAAGCGGGGCCGATATCCGCTATCAGTTGTCTCTGAGTGTCATTGAACGGAGGAGGCCTATCAAAAGTCACGATTGAAGACATTGTCGTGTTTGTGCAACTGTTGTTTACTATGATACGTGGCAGAATACTGTTGTCGAGCGTTCTGCGGGTTCCGGTTGGCTCTGGGAGCTGAGCAGATCTCACTGTGAAAGACGACCAGCGCTAATTCGATACTGAACACAATGGTGGAGTAGTTTCATCTGGACCGGTATCGCTTCCGACCTCATCTTCAACGTTGCCATATTTCACCCTCTATGGGCATTGAGTATCCGCCGATATACCTACTCTTGGATGCATATACCAATATACTTTTAAACTCAGAATGATTTGCAACACTCGTAATTGACAATTTACCTGAATGAATTCTAAGTCTTGTCCTCACTTCAACGGTGTTGCACGGTTCAGGGCGGTGAGCTATAAGTAGACAAGCCAGCGAAAATGGTTGACACCTGATAAATTTCTGAAGAAACTGAAGAAGGAATAAGCTCCTTAATGGGGAATGATCCTTTCTATATATCAAGAAACTACAAATTCATCTACTTTTGCCTTCCTAGGCAGCTATAGATTGCCAGGCCCTTTGCCCTGCAGATTGGCAATTTTCCTTTGTGATGGCAGACACAATCTAACAACATGGCAACTGCACTGAAATGTTTTCAAACGTTATCAGGCAAATTCAGATATCAAAGAGTTAATTGAAAAGATATCATCGACAAAACTGGTTGTTCTTCAAATGCGAACAAATAGTTGTGTTGCAACTAGAGAACATATCACAAGCTAATACCATACAAAGATGACCAGTCAGGGAGCCATGGCCCATATATGAATTGCGAAACTACAAGGTGCTCTGTATCTATAATCTCCTAAGCCTATCAAAAAAGTTGAACATGTTTTTTGTCTCTCACAATCATAGACCTGTGTAATCATGCAGCATTGCGTCACGTGCTGGAAAATAATCTAATCATATCAAGATCACCCGAGTTTTCTTCCAAAACATTAACGTGAACACCACAAACTACCGCAACCATGGACGCCAGCCTATTACCTCTCAACGATCAAATATCGCGCTTTCAAGATGCGGTCAAACACAACAGAACCCTCGTGACGGTTTTATCGCTCGCTGCCGAGATGAAACTCCCCAATTGGTATCTCGCTGCCGGTGCACTCACGCAAACCGTCTGGAATGTCGTCACAAACCGAGACCCAGAGCAGGGCATAGACGACTATGACTTGATCTATTTTGACGCCTCAGACCTGTCATGGGAAGCTGAAGATGCCGTTATTCAGAAGGGAAAAGAAATCTTCAAGGACATCCCTGTTGAAGTTGAGATTCGCAACCAAGCGCGTGTGCATCTTTGGTATGAGAAGAAGTTTGGACGACCTTGCCCTCAGCATCGCTCTAGCGAGGCCTCTATGACTACTTGGGGAACTAATACGGCATTGATCGGTGTGAGGTTGAGAGACGACGGAGAGTGGGATATCTATGCGCCTTGGGGTCTTTCCGATATGTTTAGGCTTATTGTGCGTCCCAATCAGCAGATCATGACTGAGGAGACATACACGAAGAAAACAACGCGATGGATCAAAATTTGGCCTGAAATCACAATCATGCCATGGAAATAATCGTGTATCTATAGACTTTAAAATATTAGAACGCGCTGGTCTCAACGATTGCACGAAAAAGGGTCATAAAATGACAATTTTGGACACCAATACCCATCTCGTCCCTGAGCTTTAGATTTCAACCCGTCTAAATTTCCACCTTGGGCCCAACATACACCTTGTTGGCAAACAAAAAGTAGTAGATGGTAGCAATAATAGCAATTCCACCAGTCATTAAAGGAGCATAATTCATCGTCGCAGCATCCACTGGAGTTTGAGGTGACCACAAGCTAAAGAACCAAACAATGAAGATGAAGATGCATGCAAAGATGTTGTTGGCAATACCGACCATACCCTTGAGATGCCAAGGTCCCCATTCAAGAACTTGTCCATCGCCGGCGATATTTCTGATCTTGTAATCTTTGTCGCAGCGTCGATAGAGAAGTAGTATGGCGGGCATAAAGTAGGATGCGTAGAGGCCAGAAATTGCAACTGAGATGATGGCATTGTAGACGACTTCTGAGCCGAGGTTGATCAAACCGATGAGGCAAGAAATAAGACATGTGATGGAGATGGACCAGACAGGCATGTTGGTTCGAGGTTCCACCTGAAATGTTAACCAAGAAGCTTCACAAGGAACAGGAAAAGTACCTTTGAGAGGGTGCCTGAAAAAGGCATGGCGTTATCACGAGCAAAAGCCCACAGCATACGTGATGTTGAGGCGATGACACCAACAGTAGCTGACAGGGTCATGAGAACAATCAATGATACCATTCCTGCTGTTCCGTTGATGGACCCTGTCGCCTGGTAGAAGATCTCCATGAAGGGATATCCGGTGGGAGACTCGACCGCTGCGTCGATGTCGGTGGCACTGTAAAGCATGGCGATGATCATTCCAAAGCCCAAGAGGCCATTAATAGTGATACTGCCCATGATGGATCGAGGAACCACTAAGGAAGGGTTTCTGACTTCTTCACACATCTTTAATTGTTAGTGGTGTTCGTAAAAGAAAGAATTGACTTACATGAAAAGAACAGTCAACACCAGTAAAGGAAAAGACGCAGCCCAACAATCCTACGAACCAAGAGAGACCTTGCGTAGGCCACTCACCACCGTTCCTCCACTCTGTAAATACTTCAGTGCCGTTGTCGTTGTCTCGGAAAACAAGAAGAGTGATAAGAATGGCAAAGAACCCAATAAGATGTAAGATCAAAATCATGCCCTCGAGGATAGGAAGCAAGGCGCTGACAATAGTATTGATGATAATGGCAACCAAGATGCAAGCCCAGATCAAGAGAGTACCATGCCATGTCTGCGCATCGTAATCGGGGCGCGTAAAAATGACAAGACCCTGTATCATTGTCGCCGTGAGGAACCCAGCTGCTGCAGAGGTTCCTTGCCAGCCTGCAAAGTTCATCCAACCGGTGATGTAACTAAGGTATTTCGAGTATCGAGGAGGGGCAAGCATGGCGACCCAGTGGTACTGGCCAGCTGCCATGGGGGCGATGGAAACGAGTTCGCAGAGGGTCGCGAAGGAGCTGAGGACACCGATCCAGACGAAGATGAAGCCGTAGATTATACCAGCGCTACCACCGTTTGTGAGGCCGGGTGCGAAGTTCATGAGGGTTCCTTCCCATGTTACAAGGACAGCGCAGCTGAAGCCTAGGATTGTCCATCCTCCAAAGTTTCTCTATTGATTGTCTGTCAGTGGTTGAATTGGCGTGGACAGAATGGTGTTTACCTTGAGTACTGACTTTTTCCCCAGCATGTTCAATTGAGCGCTGTCCATGTGGTCTTGGTCACTAAGTTGTGAGACATCTTCCACTGTAGGTCGGGCATGCTTGCTAGCAGCCATTTCGTCGAGTTCGTATCGATTCGCCATTTTGAAGGTGCCGAAATGGCGATTTAGAAGTCGAAGAGGACAAAACTAAGAGAAAGGGACACCTCAAAAGCGAAGAAGGCGCAAGTAATGTGACAAGGGAAGAGAATTGAACGAACGACGGACGACTGTTTAAGACAAAATAAAACCCACCTTCACATGCATGCAGTTGGTTGGGTCTGACCTAAAGTTCTGTGAACAGTAGCGACGTATCCCTGTATAACCCTGGCATATACTGTGTTGCAGGCATATCATTCTTACATGGGACAATACATCGACCAACAGTCGATGGAAAAATAGAATGTATGCATAAGACCACTTCCACACACTGAAACTTTCCATGTTGATCATATCCCTGTCCAAACACAGGCCAGGTCCTCATTTAAATCTCACTCTGGCTAGCCTGGAAGCAAACGGGCCGCTGCAGACACCATTACTGTAATCGTTACGCTACAAATAACTCTAATTCCCTGTACCAGCAGAAGGATCGACAAGGGCTTCCTGGCTGTTCTGCCGTGCCACATCCGTGTCCCACATCCTACCAAATTTTGCCGTGCTCGGTCTACCTGTCAACTCAAAGGCCTGCCCCCGAGATGAAGTTCCCCCGCTCTTGGTATTGTCGCTCCTGCTCAATGCACCGAAAATATCACCTGCTCCCATTTGTCCAGACTCCAAACTCTTCAGAAAGCGCCACCAGAAAGGGATGCAGGTTGTCATGACGCCGAGGCATTGTATCACCTGATTGATGATTGTTGACATCCACATGTCAAATATGGGGTTTGATGACTTCAGCGTGCGGTTGTAATAAACTATATGAGATATCGTTGGTGGGATTGTTCTAGACTGTTAGCGAGTGGCCCAAATTGTAGTCAAATTTGCTTACAGAATGCGAGATCCAAACACTCCCACAACCATGGCTTTGGTCCCCATAGGCATTTGTAGATGGACCATTATCCCAAGAGTGAAAGCCGTAATCAGAAGATCGGTGGCAATATTCACCGCGTCGACATAAATCCAGAAGGCTACCTGTATATCATTAGAAGCATTTGATGAAAATTTGGGAGAATATACCATATTAATACATCGTCCATTGATATAATCCCATGGACTTGACAACGAGCAGGCAAAGCTTCTCACCAATGCCGCAGATATGACCCAACCTCCAATGAGTACCTGAATCGACAAGATCTTCTTGTGTGAGAGAGGCGACATGTTCCAAATGGTGGTCATGGCGGAAAGCTTTGACAACCCAAGAGTGATGAAGAAGAGTACATCGGATCCGAGTTGGCGCTGTGAAAATTAGATACGCTCTCATTTATGCGAAAGCATCTCACCGTTAATATGTAAGACACTTGCGATGGCGATACATCAAGCTTGCCTAACCCATTAGAGCCCTGTAAATAGACTACTGTCGATTGAGCAATTGCAAAAATCTGGAAACTATCAGTAGGCTTTAGAAACACTGGCACGCTACTAACCATTGCCGTGAGTATCATTATCTCATCAGAAGTAAAGAATGTGGAGAATTTAAGCCTCTTGACGGCAGCAAGTCGAGTAAGAAGGCGAATAAAGACTGAGAAAACCGTGACTACCATCAATATCATAGACACCGCCCGCACGACGGGAGACTTGTTGGATGGCGTCTCATGCTCGCGTGCGAATAGCATTTCGATGTAAAGTGAATCCCAAGACAAGAATTAAGAAACGGACGTCATGGACCAAGACACAGAATGGGCAGGTCTGCATTGATATGGCTTCTATTACTACTGCAAGGTACGGATATGATTTCTCTGTGATGACTGTACCATGGCCCCGGTATGTATGACAGTGCAGGATATCACTCAGCGCATTTTGTATTGGGCACCTTTGTCAAGGCTGCAAAGCATATAACACGCAATTTTTGCAGATGGATGTTGGTTACACAGCGCATGAGAGTGGTCAAGGCCTGTAATTTTGAGACATGATTACGGTATTGGTTCAGCAATCATGCCGCAGGTCATAGCCGTCATAAGCTATCATCACTCAGCTAATACCATACCTCCAGGTAGTATGTGGAAGGATCGCATCCTTAATAATCCTCGCATAAGGAAAAACAATCAGAACATGTGTCGAAGATTATAACATGCAGATCGTATCCATGTCAAACCAAGTATCTTGCGATCTCTCTCGAACCATCCATGTCTGAGCCAAGATGGGTAAATCCTCCTCACGGGTCGGAATCCACATCCGACGGGCCTATTTCGTCGATCCGGGTGTAGGAATTAAACCTGGCAGTTAAAGTCTTGCCGACCGTTTTGCAGATCTTGGCTTTACTGGAAATGTCACCGGGTAACATTCTTAGTGATCCGCGTTTCGGTTGCGCCATTCATTTTATGTGCCTCTCAGGGGCTCCTGATTGACTGTTTTCCTCGGACGATGTTATGGATAATTTGCTTTTTATTTTCATCAAGTTTGCGCTCGCTAGAATATGTGGGCTCATGCTTCCCTGCATCCATGCAGTCACTTTCATTATCAGCTAATGCCTACACGAAGCCCGTGGACTGAAAACCCTTCAGTGCCATTACTGAACACCTTTATCGTCATTTTGATCGGGATATTGAATTAAAGTATCTGAAATTGCGTAGGTGGCGCGATTCTGCAGTAAGACATTTCCTTTATGGAATTATGGCCAGGAAAGCTTTGTCAGTTATCTGTCACTTATCACGAAAAGAGGACGTGGCCAAGGGTTGGCACAACGTTGCATCTGAATAACGAAGCGATCCAATGAGGGCTTGTGAACAGGGTTGCAATATTCAGTACCAACAACAACGTACATTATTTAGGATCAGATTATTGCTTACAGAATGGCTACCCCTTGTTGAAATTGCTTGAAATGTACTTCTTGGTGTTATCTCAAATCGGTAAAGATTTTAAGGAATGCAACTTCACAAGTCATACTATTTGACGGTTCTTGGTAGGTAGGAAGAGCTTTTAAACCAAACACTGCTATTTCTTTCTGATGAGGCTTATTCCAATAAAGACAGTGTTTCACGATCAAAGGGACCTATAGTAACAAGAAACACGCAGATATCGATACTCATACCCTCTTCACAATAATAACCGCGATTGCAAATCTTTCTGCCAGGCTTGACAAATCCAGTGACCCTGCATTCTCTTCGGCTGCCTCTCGCAGCTTATTCATCAAAATCCTAACAATGTCGTCTTTCGTTCCAATCAACTCAGGATTGGCTTGTTGCCAACGATTGACCGCCCCAAAACTATTGACTAGTTTGTCGAACCTTTGAAGTGCCTCGTCTAGTGGAATATCACTAGGTTTACTGTCCATCATGTAGGTCTTAGGAAAATACCCATCCTTGGCACTGAGTTCGTGGCGGGTAGACGATTGACGGTCATACAATGAAGCAGTGGCCGGGTCGTCCCAAGGCATGACGAGGTTGACATATCCGTCGTGCGTAAGTTGACTGCCCTCTGAGTTGTACGGAGCAAGCACATTTTCTCTCAAGTCTTCAATAAGAGCCTGTACTTTGTTGTCACCAAACGTATCTAATAGTGTTAACAGGATAGCTAATAGGTGAGTTGCTTAGCATACCGGATTTCCTGAAAACTGTCCATATGGCAACGGTACCACCCGGTTTCAACAACTTGGCAGCTGCTTCCCAGAATTTTGGCATTTCAAACCAATGAGCCTTATAGAAGTGTCAGTCACATATGTTTCAAAATCAGGAATCTGAGAAGCAAATACCGCAGTGGCTGCTGTGATGAGATCGACCGAAGAATGATCGAGACCATCGATCTTGTCAACTTCTTCAGCACTACTCATCTTGTATACGATTTGAGTACCGGCTTTGGATGACCCTCCGATCTGTTTAGCCTTCTCGATCATACTGTTCCCCGGGTCGGCGCCATAAGCGACATCAAAGTGCGGTGCCAGCATTCGAGTTGCTAGACCAGGTCCACATCCGGCGTCTAACACGACTCCATTTTGACCACCAGTTGAACTATGCTGTTTCAAGACGAACTCAATGAGGTTGTCTGAGTATCCAAGTCGTCCTTCGGCATAGTTCGATGCTTGTTCGAAAGAATAGTTCCGGAAGATGATGTCACGTGGCTTGTGTTCTGTTTTTGATACTGAAGCTGCCATTCTGAAGCGTCGACGAGGGAAATTTGCAAGAGTTTGATTTATTCTTTCTATGACAAATATTCATCGCAACGGTGTGAGTATTTGTATTTCAACATCAAGAAGATCGGAAGATATACTAAGCACCGGTCCGGGTCGATGACGTGGCTACGGATTATGAATTTTGGCCCTACGGAGTCGGACTACCCTATCAACCGGAATATACAAATCTGTATAACAATTGAGTCGTTCAAGGGTCACAGTACACTACATAAGAAGAATGCAGAAGAAATTTGTGAATGGAAGCATAGTGTGCATCTGTTTATCTTGTTAGCCTGAAAAGAATGTTCTCTATAAATCAAGGGACTTACCACTGTCATGCCAATGCTCTCACTGTCTCTCTCGGCCTCTGCCTGCGCGTCTCGTTCTTCTATTTCTCGTTCTTCACGAGCCTTGATTTCTGTTTCAATCTGCTTCTCGAGTGCTTCACTTTTGATCTCATCAGGAAATTTCGCTTCCTGGCTCACATCTTGCAACAGGTAGTCGTTAACATCATCTCGGCCGTGATGTCTGACAATATCTAGTCGAAAGATACAATCTTTAACCAAAATATCCTTTTGAACATGCTGAGATCCTTTTATCACCTTGATATTTTCAGCCAGAGCAGGTTTCCAGCCGTCTTGGTCTTGTGACACGTCACTCATCATTAGAGTGTTTGGAAGAGATTCGGCCTGTTGACAGAGGCTTTCTACTGGCTTGAAGCGAGGCCGGGGTAGTCTCATGTATTTCGCAACCGAAAATAACGCATCATGGGGTAGATGTCGTGATGATGGATATGTTCTATTAGCTTAAGTTGCAAATTATCGCCCATCTATAGAGCGAAATCATACTATGAGATGCTAATTTAGGTTTTATATATTTGTTAATCGTATGCACCTGTCGATACCAGATTTTGAGTAAAAGTATTGTATTTCATGACGAATATTAGGCCAGCCTCGGGGTCAATGGAAAGTCCGCGGACCCAATAGAGTTTCGTTTTCGTTTTAACGACATTTGTGTGTCCAATGATAAAGTGACTCGTCAAGGTAAATATATCAGGGTCCATGCTTGCTTGGCAGTGAATCTCGCTTCGATGCCTCGGCAAATGTGGAATCTACTACTCTCATGGTAGTATTTTGCTGAAGCCAAAGTTTCGTCTGTGGAGCTTTCCATGCCAGAACTGTATTTCATGACGAATACCCTGCGCAAGGATCAATCGCCGCGTTTTAACGGCCATATCAGCGACGATCATTTTTTCAAGACCCATTTATCATGTTGAATTTAGTTTCGTTGTAACCCGAGTATCCGAAAATCGGTCATCGGTAATGTCCGTTGTAGCGACAGGCAGGTCACATACAAATAGGAGAGCATCCTTTCAGCACATTAATTATTCGTACTTCTCATAATCAGAACGTGTTCCTGCTTCCGTCCTCAACACACTAACCTATTTTGAAATCCCTTATACAATGGACAATTCGAAGCCTAAAGTGATAATTGCAGGAGGAGGCATAGCCGGCCTTTCCCTCGCCAACATGCTTGAAAGGGCTGATATAGACTATGTTTTACTCGAATCATACGAAAGAATTGCGCCGCAGGTAGGCGCCAGTATCGGCCTCCAATCAAATGGACTTCGAATCCTTGATCAGTTGGGATGTGCGGATGAGCTTTTGTCACTGGTTGATCACCCACTGAACAATTCCTACATACGAAATCCCGATGGCTCTATTATTAAACATCACAAGAATGTCCATCAGCTGCTGGAAGAAAGGTGTGTCTAGTGAGAGCTAATAATCTATCATTTATTCTAATTCCGGGTAGACATGGCTATCCAACCGTCTTCATTGACAGGCAGTCCCTTTTGGAGATCTTGTACAACAATCTAAAGTCGAAAGATTCGATACATCCTGGTCAAGCTGTCAATTCTGTCTCGGAAGTGGACAAAGGTATCGAAGTTACAACCGACAAGGGCAAGGTATTCAAAGGAGACGTCCTCGTCGGAGCGGACGGTATTTACAGTACTGTGCGGAAAGAAATGTGGCGCATTGGCAATGAAGCATCGCCTGGTTACTTTCCTGACGACGAATGGTCAAAGGTACCGTGCTATTACAAGTGCATCTTTGGTATCTCACATCCTATCGACGAACTAACAAAAGGAACGCACTACGTCTACAACGACAAATTCTCATATCTGGTGATGAGTGGACCTGGTGGAAAGTGGTACTGGTTCCTATTCGCTAAATTACTTGTTCCTTTATATGGCAATGATATTCCGAAATACACGAAAGAGGATGAGACAAAGCTTGCTCAGGAGCATGCATCTGATAAAATCACTCCTGAAATCACCTTTGGTGATCTATACGAGGCCAGGACCAACTCGACACTAACGCCACTACATGAATGGGTTTTCCAAAAGTGGCATTATAATCGGATTATTACCATAGGTGATGCAGCTCACAAGGTATTGTCTGCAAACTTCTCATTTGCTTTCACATACTAACCAAAGCTTAGTTCGAGCCTTTGACTGGCCATGGAGGAAACGGTGCTATCGAGACCGCTGCATCTCTTATAAATCACCTTCTTTCTGGATGCCCTAACTGGAGCGACTCCGAAATCAAAGCTGCGTTCAGTGCGGTACAAGATGAGCGCTTTGACAGAGTACAATGGCTTGTTGACGATGCTCACAAGAATCAACAAATGCATGCTATGGCGACACCCCTCTTTGCATTCATCGCCCCAAGACTTTCTGGCCTCATTAACACCAATACTGCGATGCGTCTTGCCGGCCGCAAGTTTGTTGATGGCACTCACGTGCACAATCTTCCCATACCTGAGAAAGCACACTCAGTACCATTCACCGATCAGCTGCCTGCCAGGCCCTTTTCTTCGACTTCCCTCTTAGGCCTAGGTGTATTGAGCCAAGGTGCACTATTCAAGCTAGCGAACCAGGTGCTTCTTCCGCTACAAATACCAACTAGCTTCGCTGGTGGTGCCCTGGTGACTCACTACACAGGAGTAGTGGCAATAGATAAGATTTTGGCGGCTCTGGGAGCTGTCTTTGGAGTTCTTCTTCAACCAGAGAACCGGACCGCAAGATTACAGTGGATCGCCTTCACCCCTCTATTAGTATCGACTACTCTTGACTGGACTCTAGAAAGTTACCGGGTCGGTTCAAGGGGTCTTCCTACCTCGTTGTAAGTTACAACACACAAACCCAATCATGGAAATACATTATTAACAGATTCAAATAGCCCATCCATCTTTGGCTCCATTTATCAGCTCCAGGGAATTGGGCGAATTGCGCCTTTGTATCACATGATATCAGTATGCGAACAGATTGTCATCGACGGCATCTCCACTGTCACTGGCCGCTCCATTGATGTTGAAACCGTTAAAGCTTCTGTTCCGGGACTGGCACTTGGACTCGTCATCCCTACTGCACTCATGATATGGCCATGGAACGACAAGGCCACTTGGCAGAAACTGATTGCCTTCTGGCAGCCGTTCCCAGTTTACGTTGGTTTGATCACTGCTGGCGTAACAACTGTTCTACGAAAGGTGGAGGGCAGCTCAGCTACTCATTCCAGCCCAAACGAATCAAAGGCAAGTGGCAAGGTTACAAAGGAAAAGGACCCATCTCGTTCATTGTTGAGATATATCTATGCAGGCGGAGCGGTGACCGCTGCAGGCGTTCATCTCTGGTCACTCTATCAGATATGGTTTGATCCGAATCTTAGTGTCTCAAGTGTTTTTGGCACTATTGGATACCTGGTCTCTGGGAAGACAAGTTCCAACCCAAACACCAGAATTGCGGAATTCTTACAGCGCGATATGTTCCTCAATGGCGTCTCTGTTCTCGTACATAGTATCTATCGTACGCTGGATCTCAGACGTGTTGGATACATTACAAACAAGGAAACTGTGACTGCTTCTTTGGCAGTGTTAATTGCACAGCCGATTGTTGGGCCAGCTGCTGCTCATATCGGCTTTCTCGGATGGAGAGAAGAGATGTTCTACCGAGTCAACAATAGGATTGAACTTTGATTATATCGTAGAAATTCTTATCTTATCTTCGTCGCTGGTGTCACTCATGTGTCCTCACCAAGTGACTTATCCCAAGTCATGTATCCGGAGCTAAGCATACAGAAACTGACTAGTCGGCCAAGGAATAGATTGATAGGTAGATAAGAACTATCAACACAGCTTCCTCATTCATCGTTTGAACTACGCAATCGCGGTCAAAAGTTCCTCAACCAATCATACTCGGAATACCTTCTCGTCAGCCAAAGACATGGCTACAAGAACCATGTTTCAAACCCCGCACCAATGCCAAGCTTTGACAAAGTACCTCACTAAGTGATTAGCGACCTGCCAGAATGAGCAATGCCGATGCACAAGCGGCCCGTCAATACCACAGACTCTATATAGCAGAGACACTATCGCACGGCATTGAAGGAAAATAGAGGAAGGTCCACAGGATTGTTATGCTTATTCTGTAGATCGTCTAACTGGAACTTGTGAAGGTCACATTGGCAAGACATATGAGGTCAGTGTCTCAATTGGTTATCCATTGTTCCTCCTGCCACAATGGACTCGGCGATGTATTGACGCTCGGGCTCTTGCTTGTGCGCCTTCCTAACGTAGATATTCGGAGGAACAAACATACTTTCCATATATACTCAGTCTTATCTCAACACATCTCAAGTCTACCAAGTCAAGTTTCTCTAGCAACTTCGACTCAACTTGATTGTCAACCTCGCTTTCTCTGCTATGCGTGCCACTGTCGCTCTTACCGCCCTTTTGGGGCTGTCAAATGCTGCCGCCATTGAGCCTCGCCAGTCTCGTGAGACCAAGCTCTACAAGATCGAGCTCGGACCCGATGACGTCCGCACTGTTACCCAAGAGGAGAAGTGGGCGTTGAGAGCTGTTCGTGACACTCTACCTCATACCGAGTATCCTTTCTAATTATTACAGGAACACAAGCACTTTATCGACATCACTGACCTCGATGAAGTTGGCTATAGCCTTCAGTTCCTCGCTAGCTTCCCTAGCGCTGTCGCTCAGTCTACCGCCGTCAAGGCCTTGTTGCCCAAGCTGAGCCAGGCTAACCTGCGCACCACTCTGACGACCTTCTCCAACTTTTACAACAGATACTACACATCTGCCTATGGAGAACAGTCCGCCGATTGGTTGTTCCAGCAGGTCGAGTCCATCATCTCTGCTAGTGGAGCCACGGGTGTTAAGGTTGCCAAGTTCAAGCACACTTGGCGTCAGCCCAGTATCATCGCTACTATTCCCGGAAAGAGCGCTTCTACTATCGTTGTTGGTGCTCACCAGGACTCTGTCAACAGCCGCAACCCAACTGCAGGTCGCGCTCCCGGTGCTGGTGAGTCTTAATCCATATCTCACATGACAATAGCTCACTAGTGTAGATGACGATGGTTCTGGAACCGTTACCATTCTCGAGGCCTTCCGTGTCCTCTTGAGCGACTCCCGCGTTGCTTCGGGTCAAGCTCCCAACACCATCGAGTTCCACTGGTACTCTGGTGAAGAGGCCGGTCTTCTCGGTAGTGGCGCCATCTTCAACCAGTACAAGCGTGAGGGTCGCCCCGTCAAGGCTATGCTTAACCAGGACATGACTGGTTACGTCAAGCCTGGTACCAAGGCTGTTGCCGGTATCATCACTGATAACGTCGATGCTGGTCTCAGCGCCTTCCTCAAGAAGGTCATTGCTGCTGTAAGTAAACTCACAAGCAATAAAGGATTACCGACTAACTTGACGGCAGTACTCTTCTCTTCCTACCGTCGACTCCAAGTGTGGCTACGGTTGCTCCGACCATGCTTCTGCTACCCGAGCTGGTTACCCTGCAGCTCTCGCATTTGAGTCAAGCTTTGAAGACAGCAGCCCTTACATCCACTCTGACAAGGATACCATTGACACCGTGAACTTCAGTCACATGCTTGAGTTTTCCAAGATTGTTACTGGATTTGCTTATGAGCTTGGATTTGCTACAAACCTGTAGTTGGCTCAATGAAAAACACGCATCCTTATCTTTTGGCTAGGAGGGCGCGGTAATTGAGTAGGTATCCATTCAGTTCTAGTTTAGCACGTATAGAATACGAGTTCAACATTGCTTTGGATCTATATCATCTAGTGTGCTCTAAGAATGTAGCGTTCATGAGAAGTAAAATAATCACGCGGTGGCTCTAGCTCACAAATCATCGTAGCATATGATTGCAAGATGTATTCCCATTTTTAGAACACACTTTGAGTAAATACCGTTATCTGATAAGCTCAATTGTTGTCGTGTTACTGGGCCAAGATCCATGCTCCAAACCGTCCCAGGAGTTTTACCAAACACTGATCGACATGCAGGGTAGCACTCGGACTGGAACGGATCATCAATTGCTCAGCGTCACACTCGGCATCTAAGCAATATTGCGATACCAAGTGTCGTGTCCATGCCGTTTCTGTCAGCCCAACGTCCAGATACCAAGTGACCAAGCGCTCTTAGCCTATTGGCTAAACGTCATATGATCTGCGACGGTCAATTTGTAATCACTCATGGTTATACTTTGCGATCTGCATTATGTGTCCGCTTCACCCTAGCTTTGGTAAGATTTGCCGGTGGCTGTGACATTCTAGCGGGCACTCAAAACTTCCAAAAGCCCGAGATCAACTCTCTGCTCTTCCCTTGTCGGTGGCCGCAATAACAGTCAAGGCAAGATATCCTATTATAATTGACATCCTGTCATGGGTATTTGATACCCATGATTAGGCTCATGATCTTTCCAAGCGCCTCGTTCCCATTCGGTTTCATCCGAGCACTGACCAGCATCCCTGAACTAAGCGGCGCCTTCGGCACTTGAGGTTCAGCCCGTCGAAGGATTACTTAACGCACTTATAGTTTCCGCGGAGGGCGAAGCTCAACTCTTGAGAAATAGTTTATCCCACTGACAGGCCGTTAGAGTCTACTATAAAACATCCCTTGTCTGATGTTGGGCTCTAACAGCGTCACCCTGGCCTCGTAAGATGAATCAATCATTCAAACCCTTGTTTCGGCACTACGAAAACCAGACTAAAAGATGTGAAGCTCAAACACCACCAATCATAAGGTTAAAATCTCAAACACGCCCGCAGTCTAATTGCATAGCTCCCCTTTGGAAATAGCATCCTTTTTAAGGTTAGCAGTAACATACGTTTGATGTAACGAAACTTTGTTTATCTTTATGACCTCTCGACATGTTCTGCTCGATTAACGAGTGCCAGATTAATAAATCTCCAGTTTTCCCCAGTATCTATTTCGAAAAGCATGCCACTCACTAAGAATCATTTCCTATGTCAACATCCTTGACCACAATGCCGTCTCCGTCAAGCCCTACAGCCGCTAAACGCGAATCTCTACCCACTGCAGGCAGTGTTTTCTTTGTGTCTTCTAATGGTCGCGTTCTCAGACTACCTATCCCGAGCAGATCCTATCGTGATCCACTCACTTGGTCATCGACAAAGCGACTCCTAGCGTTTTGTGCTTTGCAAACCCTCTCTATTTCTGCGTCTTTTGCTTTAAACTTGCCTGGCCTGTTGATTCGGGCAATTACAGATGAGTTCAAGAACAAGGTAAGATTAGTGATAACTATGTGGTTTCCCACTAACATCTATAGGACACTGCTCCGTTTGGAGTAGAGTCACTGTCCTCCGCCATGACACTGTTCACAGGCTTTGGGTTTCTCATCAGTATTCCTTTATCTACAGCGATTGGTCGACGACCGGTTTTAGTCAGCGCGGCTGTCATCACAGTCCTCTCAACCTTGTGGGCTGGGTACGTGGAAGATTTTATTGAGTTGCTTGCTTCTGTTTGCCTTCAAGGATTGGCAGCTGGATCAGCGACTGGCATGGTACGTAACGAGGTTTTGTTGCAGAAGAAGGGTAGGACTAACTCAGATAGATAATTCTGATCCTTATCGATGCCACTTTCATACACGAGCGCCCTACTGCGTTATCTCTATTCTGGTGTCTTGGATCGGCTGCCATTAGATTGTCAACCTTGGTACTGCCTTATACCACGGACTTGACCTCGACATGGCGATGTGTCTACCGAGTCTGGCTCGCTCCATGCATTATTGCTCTCATACTGGTTCTCATCTTTGTTCCAGAAACCTTCTTTCTCCGACCGCCTGTTGCACTGGACGGAAGGGTCTTGATCCAAAGCGGCTCAGAGAAAGTAGAAATCTATGGAGGGTGGGACGAGGTTGAGGCTCTACGAAATGAGAAACCTTTACCTGATATACCCTCCACTTCGTCGTTTTGCTCCCACTTCAAAGTCTCGAGAGCGCCCGGGACGAATTGGGAGTCTGCGGCAGCTACCTATGGACAAATGCTCTTATGTATCCTCAACCCCCTCACATTTTGGGTCTCACTTCTCGCAGGGGTAATCCTTAGTGGTGTGATCTTCTTAAATCTTACTCAGTTCACTGCCATCATGTTGGAAGGAGGAATCAATGATCCAAAGGCAATTAATGCCTATCTTTCTGTCTCAGGCATACTTGGCTCTCTGTTGGCTTTCCCAGCGATGGGTCCCTTTGCAACATGGTTTACTCGCTATCATAGTTTCCGCACAGGAGGCGTTCGACATGCGGAAGTTTACCTGGCTCTATTCGCTGTCCCTGTCATCACTGGAATGGCTAGTGTCTTGATCAATGGTCTAACAATCATGCGAGGCTGGCCCACAACCTGGATCTATGTCACTTCTGCTCTAAGCATTATCAGCTATCTAACAGGCAATGTCGCCTTTACTCTATGGATCACCGAAGCATTCCCTAAATGGGCTGCAGCGGCTCAGGCTGTGCAACTGTTCACTAGCAACATGGTCGGGTTTGGAATTGGTACTGGCATTGCTCCTTGGGTCCAGGAGAACCACATTGTCGAGCCCACTGTTCTTCTTTCCGTCCTTATAGGTGTCCTTGGCACTCTTGCTGTCCCCGCTGCATTTTGGGGGAAGACAGTTCGGCAGTACATACATGGTCGGTGGAGTGATTCAGAAAGGACTGCTCTGCGTCCCCAATAAAGAAACCTGTTGAGGGGTGATCCAAATAGTTGAAATTATAACTAGCTCTAATACAATTATTTGTTCAGTATGCAAGCTTGCTGATGTTATAAATCTCTAGCCGTGAAGACTTCGACCTCGTACGTTAATTGTAGGCAGCCTTTACAGATGGAAGATTGTTAAGACGTTCATGCCAAGCTGAAAAGTTCGGGTATTGGTGCACGACATCATGTCCCTCCCACAAAGATGTTTCAAATAAGGGATGCTGGCTAATAACTCGGTTCCACGGCAGAAATGCTAGATCGGCATACGTCCTGTTCAATGCGTCCATTAGCCTCAATTGTAGAGTTACCTACGAACGTCGATACTTACAGTTTGCCATCAACAAGATATTTCTTGCTTTTCAAAATCTTATCAAGAACACTGATAACACGGAGGATCTCTCCGGCATAGCGTTGCTTCGCAATAGGGATGTCTTGAGGACATTTGTGAAACCACATGGCTTGGCCATAATAAGGACCCTTGGGCAAAGCGGGTTAACAAATATAACGGATCATCTTAGGGTTGACGATATACCTGACCAGACATTTGGAAGTTTAGATACTGTTTTATCTCCCATTTACTTGAAGGGTTTGTAGCGCACAACCTTTTGTCAACGTCGTATGTCTCAACTAGATATTCCATGATGGCGCCAGACTCCCAGAGCACGATATTGCTGTTGGGGTCATTGATAGCCGGTACTCTACCGTTAGGATTGATTGCAACAAACCAGTCCTCTTTCGGGTCATCGACGACAACCTAGTAATGAGTGAGCCACTTGACTGATATGCAATCGAAACAGTGGCGCACCTTTGCGTATGGGAGAGCTAATTCCTCCAGAACGATGATCACCTTGAAAGGGTTGGGGCCAGCACCTAGCCACTAAATTAGAGCTAGTAATCATTCTCAATCAAAACTGACATCTTACTGTGAATATAAATTGTGATGGGCTTGAGCTCAGACATTGTCACTGCGACTCTTGAGGGTAAATAACTGATTCATTCACATGCACATCAGTCGCGGGTGGCAGCTTTATACGTCTAGCTATTAAAGTTTTCAATCGCGTATGAATCATTACTAAAACCCACTAGCCACTCTCGCGATAAAGGTGAAAACACAACAGGTCGGAATTGAACTTGGTCTAATACCTAGACGTCGATCATACGCCACTCGCGTCGGAGTCGGAGGCTACGGCTGCCGATAGAGATGAAACTCAATGAGGAAAGGCTTCTTGATCATTGTCACACTAATTTAAATGGGGTTTGGATGGGTGATTCAGCAAGTCTTGGGTAAACGCGTCACTTGACTGTCATACACCTGGAGAATTCAGCAAGTAAAGGTCCTTTGAAATTCTGATAAGATATCATGAAGACCTACCCAGGTTACTAGTTCTGAAAAGATTGCCTATGATTCAATGCTGCTGCCGCTGAAACTAACATTGTGATTCCTAAAATGTGTTTTCATCATTCGTGATTGAATGACAGTAAGTCGTGAGCCTCAAGGTATATAACGACCATAAGACCCAGACGGAACACATAAATCTACACCAGTCCCTGCTACAACCAAGCTACTCACTATCATCGACAAACTTAACCTCAAGATGCTCGTTTTAAAGATTCTCTTCGTTATCGCGACCACCTTCAGTGTCGCCTTTGCGGAATACGGCTGCGGCGAGGTCAATGTCGTCTACATGTTAGTCTACTCTATCATTAATGAACAAGCAGTTTTTTTAATCTGACCATGTATCCCAGCGGACTCCCTGGTCGACACAAGTATGTGAAAGAACAAGGTGCTGACCCTATTTTGACGGAGAAACAAATTGCGGACAACATACGTGAGATGCGCGAAGCAGGATACAATGTTCGAGGTGTGAATTTACTGATAGTCCTTAGAAACTGGTTATTGGATTTGCTAAGCGTTACCAAGGAATCTGGCGAGGCCCTGAGATTAACGGATCTTAATTTGCCGAGAATGTTGAAGGTGTTGACTGGCACGCCGCTGGCGTTGGATTCGGGATCCGTGGATCCAACATTTCTGAGCTCACAGGCCTATTTGAAGGTAAATACGGCTTTATCCACCGGAATAGGGTAATGTTAAGCAACTAAGATTTTCCAGAGAATCTTGCCATCTATCGTGAAGAAGCACCCGATGCGAAGTTTGTCTTCAATTACAGCCCTATTAGCTTTCTATGGTCTGTTCAGCGATATTTCCCTCTCTCCAGCGACTGTAAGGATCATCCGGGGAAGGACTTAGTAAGTAACTCTGGTCGCATTGGCCGAGTAAGTGCTAACAAACGGCCTGTAGGGGTTTATCACTCTGTGCGATGAAGCCTGCAGTTGAGCTTTCCTGTGTTTTGGTTCTTTACTTCATATAAAAGCATTGTTCAGGGTCCAATCACGACTTGTTAAAACAACAAATATCTTCGGATGAACCACAACCATGGGAACAAATATATCATTTCTTTTGTCATTAGAATCAATAACACGATACACATTCTTTATCGTTATCTTCCTGAGGTCATCCTGTGTAATAACCTTCCACTACAGCTTGTATCGGTAAAGGGGGCTATGTTCACCCATATCCTCAAGCTCATCGTCCGTGTACTTGCTTCGAATCTCAGCCTCACTCACCTTGGCCCTCTTCTTGTTAATCATGACCAAGGCTGACTCAAGGGAAACAGCTGCAAGGATACCAGCAACAGCAAATCCCAAAGAGGCGCCATATCCAGTGGTGTACTTGGGTTTCTCGCTCTCGATATAGATGTAACTTCCGTATATTCCACCAATAGTACCTGCGCAAGCCAAATATGCGATGCTGATGGCTCGCTTTGTCGGGTTGAGGGTATTGTCGATGTTCCAGGCGCTGACTCCAGGTAGAATAGGATACATGCCCGAACAAGCAAGACAAACTGCAAAGTAACAAACTCCAAGATTCTCTGTGATAAACTCCGCCTTAGTCATCAAGATTGAGAACGCAATGATGATGCAGAGTTGGGGTCCCAGGATAAAGGGCATTCTCCATTTGTAGCGATCGGCAGCTCGCGCAATAAGATATGAAGAAATAGCTCCACACATGTAGGGAGGAATGGTCATAAGCTGAGCGTTACTAGACGAGAAACCCATGCCCTTGGTGATGGAAGGCATAGAAAACTTGAGACCATAGTTGGGTGCAGCGTTGGACCAGGACATAATCGTCAAAAGGTAGATCTTCCAATCCTTGATAACGGAGAACAAAGCACCCTTGTCAAAAGTCTTTTCTCGGTACTCTCCCGAGTTGGTGACTCTCCTAGAAGCTTGGCGGAGTGTGAGATATCGTTTCTCCTCGTCGGTGAGCCAGTAGGAAAGCGTGGGTGAATCGATGAGGAAGAAGTACGTGACGAAGGACATGATGACTGTGAAGATACCTTCAATGAAGAAGATCCACCTCCAGCCATTTTGACCACCGACACCGTCCATCTTGGCAATTGCATAGGCGAAAAGTCCGGAGAAAGCACCACCAGTGGCTGCCGAAGTGTACAGGAGGGCGACTCGTTGTTGCGTCTCGTTTGGAAGGTACCATTTCGAAATGATAAGAATCGCACCTGGAAAGAAGCCGGCCCTAAATTGTTAGTAGATGAATAATATTGTGAAATGATATGCTTACTCAAAAAGACCAAGAAGGATTCGAATAGCGCAAAGTTGACCAAAGTTGTGAATCAAGCCAGTGCATACCACAACAATACCCCAGATAAACATGATGGTAGCCATATACTGAGAAGGCTTAGCAAACTTGTTGAGGATCATGTTGCTAGGAACCTCAGCCAAAATGTCTGGTTGTGTTAGCATTTACTGAGGATGAGTAGGCTCTAGTTGAACTTACAAGGAATAAAGTAAATGGATAGAGCGATGTTGTATTGCTCTCCGGTCATCTTGAGATCTGGCAACATTCCTTCGATCTTTGCGTTTCCAATATTGGCCTTGTCGATATATGTGACAAGGTACAGAATAGCCAACATGGGCATTAGTCGCCACTGCAAGTGTCAGCTTTGAGATATTAATCGACCTGTTCGCGAAACATACATCGATCTTTGACAAGACCTTCTTCTTCTTTTCCTCGGGGAAGTTGGCGACGAACTCCAAGTCTTCAGCTGAGAGGCCATTGTTGTTGTTGGCCGGATTGACATTGTCGAGGTGGACGGCCTCAATGTCTTTCTGATCAGAAAGCGAATTGCTTCGTGGAGCCATTTGAGCAAATTCTACTTGACTCTTTGTTTGATGGCTGATGGAGGCTGAGTCCCTGTGTTGAATGAGATTGAAAGTCTGGGGTATCAAGATGTTAATTTATGGGATCCAGAAAGTTGGACAAGAACCACTTGGTGTGTGCGGGGTATGGGGTAACGAATCTGGGGAAGGATTGCCCAGGGCCAGGGAAGCTTGTTCTGCACTAGGGGAATATGCTTCAGGTTTGAGTCATGGTGCCTCCATGAACAGAACTGACCAGTAGGATCGATGACCGAACAACGCATCGTCAGTTATTGTTCTACTGATGATATTGCAATATAGTTGTAAGTGTGCATCATTGTAATATGGTATCATGAACGGACATATGACCGGTTCTCATGATGCGTCGTTTATAATTGAGATGGTCCGATGAGTACAAGGCATGTGTCCTAGCATGCGGCAAGATAGGCAAGTAATCCTAAGCCATGACTTTCAGGATCTATCATGGTGGCGAGTCTATCTCAGGACCAGACAACATCATGAATGTGAATGCGTTCGGTCAATTCTACTACAAGCATTGCGATATGTCGTTTAACAATCACATTACGTCCATGGCACGCCGGTATGTAAAACATGGAATTTTTATGATCAATGACTATTGCCTACTTATTATCTCCTTTGTTTCTCAGTATCAGCAAGTACACTAAGGGTCTTAAGAGTCCACTCCTTTGCCTTATCATCCAGGGGCTGGTATGGTCTCCTCATCTGCCATGATGTCTCATTGTCGACACCGATCTCCCGACCAAAGAAGTGCCATGCTCCATATTTAGTATTAGCAATCCCCTTCTTACAGGCCCACTCCGCATGAGCCACCAGACCTTGAAGCTTGTTCGCCTCGTCATTCTTTCCGGCCTTCCACAGGTCATACACTCCTGCTGTACTGGCAGGGAATATGTTGCCCATGCCTGTCACGCAACCACTTCCGCCACCGTAGAGGGTGGGCACGAGATAATCGCTGCTTCCACCGTACACGCCGAATTGTCCGTGGGAGAAGAGAGCGGTTAATCTAGTGACCTTGCCGACGTTTCCACATGTAAGCTTGACCGCTACGATATTTGGCTCAGCAGCTAGCGTAGCCAGTTGATCGGTGTCCAGATCAATCCCTGATGTGACCGCTGGGAAGTTGTAGATAACGATAGGGATCGGCGAAGCAGCCGCCACCTCCTTGAAATAGGCGATGATAGCAGGACTGGGGAGTGCCTTGGCCCAGTAACTTGGAGGGAGAAGCAGGCCAAAGTTAGCACCGGCTTCAGCTGCATCTTTGGCGTTCTGGATTGACTCTTGAGTAGACTGTGCCGAGATTCCAGCCACAATTGGGTAATTTGGTCCGCCAACAGCAGCTGCAGCCTGAGCAGCGGTCTTGATGATGGCTTTTCGCTCTTCTCGAGAAAGGAGGACTAGTTCACCATTGGTTCCCAGGTAGACAAGACCATGCATACCAGCCTTGATCAGGGCCTGGCACTGTATGTGCATAGCTTCATGGTCTACCTCTTGACTGGGGTCATCTGCCTTGTAGAGTGTGACGACCGGAGTATAGACTCCTGGAGGGAGAGGCTTTGACTTGGCTTGAATTGTGCTGCGTTCCATTTTGATGACTTGGTGATTTGAGATTTAGTGTTTGCTCTAGCTAGATGTTAGATCAAGATACTGCTTTTAACCGTGATTGTAAAGAATGTATGTAGCAGATCCCCGCCCTATCTCCAAAGTTCTTCAGTGTGAGCGGAGGGGACCGGAAATCCGGGGTCAAAGCCGAGAGGAACAAACTAACCAATAGGAGAGCTCTCCGTGACCTCAGCGCGAGACTCGGTCAATCTAGGGCAAAACAGGCCAGCGGCATTAGGAACCTAGGATCTAATTCAGCTTCCGAGATTAGCTTATTTTCGAGCTCAGCTTAGCTTTAGACGATAACTTGTGTATTTGTTTTCTCCAAGTTTGATCATTGTATTATCGGAAAAGCAGACATAGTCGAATCGACCATCATGGAGACTTCAATGGAGACAAGAATTGTATCCTTGGCAGAGATCAAGCAGCACAATACTGTTGACGATTGTTGGATTGCTGTACATTCCAAAGTTTGGGATATTACACATTTCATTAATCAGCATCCGGGTGGCCCAGATGGTAGGTTCATGAGGGACGCTTCGTACTTCTCTAGACTAACTATGGTGGACAGTGTTATTGAACTCTGCTGGCTCCGATGCCACAGATATCTACAACGATGTTCACGCGCCCGACATTATCGAAGATCTACCCAACGACAGATTAATTGGGTTTCTCGAATCCACTGCCTCAAGCCTCCCAACAGAATCCAAGATAGTCGAGGTCGATCCCGTGCCACCCCCAACATCACCAGCACAGTCGAACGAATTCCCAACCACACAAAAGACAAAAACACTCCCTCCTCTTGACTCAATACTCAGTGCCAGAGACTTTGAAGAGGCAGCGAGAGACAGCATGTCTGCTAAAACATGGGCTTTCTACTCGTCCGCCGCCACAGATCTTATCACCCATGGCAAGAACAAAGAATTGGTCCGGAGACTCATGATTAGGCCGCGAATCTTGAGGAACGTCTCCAACATCAACTTCAAGACCAATATTCTTGGTCTTGATAGCAACGCACCTTTCTTCATCTCTCCTGCTGCCATGGCCAGGCTTGCACACCCTGACGGAGAGTTAGCACTTAGCCGTGCTGCTGCCAGTGAAGGTATCATACAATGCATATCGAGCAATGCCTCCTTCTCCTTAAAGTCTATTGTCAAAGCAGCTCCATCATCACAACCATTTTTCTTCCAGCTTTATGTCAACTCAGATCATTCAAAGACTGTCGAGTTGTTAAGGACTGTTAGTGACCTTGGTGTCAAGGCCATCTTTGTCACGGTTGATGCGCCTGTCCCCGGTAAACGAGAAGCCGATGAGAGAGCAGCACAAGAGCAAACAGTCAAGTCAGCCATCAGTGGCGGCGAAAGCAGTAAGGATAAGAAGGGAAGCGGATTCGGCCGTCTTATGGCGCAGTATATCGACAAATCCCTTTCATGGGATGACTTAGGATGGATTCGCGAAGCAAGTGGAGGTTTACCAATTGTTCTCAAGGGTGTCCAGACGGCGGAAGATGTTATTCAGGCCGCTGAATATGGAGTAGAAGGTGTTCTTCTAAGTAACCACGGCGGGAGATCACTTGACGGGTAAGCTACTCTCCATTGTTGTCCGGGCAGAGCTAACTTGTATCCAGCGCCCAAGCGAGTATCCTGGTCTTGCTCGAGCTGAGAAAGAATTGCCCCGAGGTGTTCGACAAGCTCGAAATCTATATCGACGGGGGTTTCGAGCGAGGTTCTGATATTCTCAAGGCCATCTGTCTTGGAGCTACAGCTGTCGGAATCGGACGTCCGTTCTTGTACTCTCTTATTCACGGTCAAGATGGTGCTGAACATCTGTGTCATAGTATGTATTCTTTTACTGCATTGGAGCTGCTTGCTAACCATTACTAGTTCTTAAAGATGAACTCGAGACTTCGATGCGTCTATGCGGCATCACTTCTCTGAGTCAAGCCAAGCCTAATTTGATCAACTCACTGGATGTTGATCACTTGGTGGTGGGTAATGGATCGGTGGAGATGAGCGGGCGGTTACTATCAAAGCTTTGAGCGTTATATCGTAAAGGCGATTCCATTAGCGATAGACCTGTCCCTGTTAGCATACATCGTTTTATGACATATATTAGTAGGTAAAACATCTTGATATACCAAGCAAAATCATCCGTTCATTTGTATTTGTGTATGTATCGCGGATCCTTAAGGAGAAGTCATGCATATCAAACCCCGTCGCCGAACTTAACTACCAGGTAACAGCAAAATGATCGGATTTCGATGATGTTGTCTCAACGAAGCAAAATGTTTAGTTTTTGATAGCAAAAATAACCAGGCAACAATTACAAGGATCATGTGCCACGCTAGAGTAACCAGGCGATGCAAACAAAGTGTGGGAAATTGACACATTTATCATGGTGCTGGCACTTTTGTATTCGATTAAGCTATGCCATCTTTGCTTTGAACGCTTTAACAGCATCTAACACGGTCCCATCGGCATCAAGTCCAAGTCCGTATGCTCTGGAAACATCAAACCTCGCTGGCCAACTAGCCACAATCGCCTCAATGGCGGGGTCATTCTTTTCCTCGATCTGAGCCAATGCGTCTTGGCCACCAACTTCTTTCAACGCGTCGAGAATCTCCTGCACTGTGACCGTAATACCGGGGAAATTAACGATTCTTGAAGATCCAAACTTCTCCGCGGTAACATCCTTGACCTTGATCAAGTTCTTGATCACTGTTGCCGGGCTACAAACCCAGAGTTCAAGGTCGCGGCTGACAGGAAGAATGTTCTTCACACCTTGTAGTGATTCACGCACGATTCCTGACGCAAAGCTAGATGCAGCGGCTGAAGGTGCACCCGGGCGTACAATAACGGTGGGTAGCCTGACTATACGGCCATCAAGAAGCCCACGGCGAGAGTAATCGTTGATGAGAAGCTCAACCATCAATTTCTGAATGCCATAGGAGCTCTTGGGCTGAGGCAGGGTTCCAAATTCTGTCACGAGGTCTGTCTTGCCGTATATAGCGCAGGAACTAGCGAATATGACCTTGGTGCCAGGATGCTCGGTCCTCAAGACATCGAGTATTGTCCGGACAGAGTCCACATTAATCTTGAGACCGAGATCTAGATTCGCCTCTGCACCACCTGACATCAAGCCATGAAGGATATAGACATGACTGAAACGGTTGGATAGTAATGACTTGACAGATGAAGGGTCGGTCAAATCCGCTTTGAGGGAAGTAACTTGAGATTCTGCGCCTTTTGGAACGGATGGGGTGATGATATCCGTCAGAGTGAAGCTGGCGTTGGGTAACTCTTTTAGAAGGGAGACAATCAACTCTTGGCCGATGAAGCCTCCACCTCCAGTGATGAGAATATTGTTTTTTGTTTGAGCCATTGTGGAATTGATTGGAGTATGAGTTTTTGTGAATGAAGATGTGTATGATTAATGTTGATGTGAATTGGTTGTCGTTATGGTTCAGTCACAACAATAGTTGATATATAGCCTAGAGGCTTTGTTCCAGGCACTGCAATCTACCTATCCGGTGCTAGACTTACAGCGGAACTGTTGCCGCTGTTGATGCCCTGTAAGCCGCTATCATTTCGGACCAACCGAGGTGCTAGGGAACAGTTTGGCGACGCGGTGAGAAATCCAATTGGCTCAATGTGACGTGGATTCAAACCGGCCAACACCCCGAACATAGATCTAAACATCAGAAAGATAACCATAACAGAACTACAGCATATTTTCTAAGTAAAAATCATAGCCATCAAGTATAGGGTATAGAGTCGCTGAACTTCGTGTCTTTTTGAGTTGCCTCAATGATCGTCAAGAAGTGATCCGAAGGTAGACAGTCCACTTCATAAGTGCATGAACATTTTTCTGGTTTGCAGAGTGGATAGGCGTGCCCTACGATAGTTGTTACTGTGTATTGACTGTTAACAAAGCTGCACACTTTTCGAGGTCATCGTAGCTGTGGAACAACCCATCAAGCATTGATTCTTGAAGTAGCTTGGATTCAGTGGGATTTTATTAAATATATGACTTAAAGTCCTTACTTGGACTTAACCCATCCCTCCACATCCTCAATCTGAACATACTTGATATGCTGTCGATGCCACGTATACGCCACATGAGCTACATCTGTCTCGCCTTTTTTCTCAATGTAAATACTAGGATAACTCAACTCCCTATTCTCCTGTCCTGAAGAACTATTCGTTCCGCAGAACCCATCACCGTCCTCGAGCACACGCTCGCTCCAAGTCAACCCCTCATCTTGTGAAATCCCAAGTGTCAATGTCTTTCTGGGAGTTCCCCAAATCGCATCTTTTCCAGACTTGGTAACCTGGTTCGGTCGCTTATCGTCTTCGGGGGTGATGTCATCATAGAGACCTTTGCGCTTGAGCGTATCTGCCGATGCGCTAGATCTGTTGAACACAAGTGCAACATGGCCTGAGGAGAGACGTGCAGCACAGATGCCACTGTTGGGGTTGGGAAGAGAAGTGGCTTGTGGTTCATCCCAGTCTATTCCGTTCTGGGATGTTGAGCGGTAGACGTTGTCTGCCCACCGGCTACGGTAGAAAGCGGCCCATGTTGACTGGCCAGAGGCTGGAGGGATGATGTTCATGTGAACAGCTCCAACACTGCCAGGCGCTTGCTTCTCTTTCCATGTAGCGCCATTATCCTGAGAATAGAGAACGCCAGAAATATCATCACTTCCGATCCATCTATGTCCAGGCTCCGTGCGACAGTAAAAGACCGGCAGGACCCAAGCACCTTCGTTGTTGATGACAATGGGTTGTCTAATAAAGATGCCCGTCATATCTTGAAGCAAACGACTGGCCTCGGACCACGTTTTACCCTCATCTGATGATGTGCGCTTAAGTATAAAAGCTCCGTCTTGGTTACCAGCATCTTGGGAAGTGTGCAGCAACCATAGTTCTCCGTTGTGTGGTGCTCTGAACAAGACAGGGTTCTGACAACTCCTGTTCTCATCGGAAGACACCTTTTGTGGGGTACTCCAAGAGGAAGATCCTGGTTCAAGTCGAGATAGCCAGATACAGATATCTGGAAGACCTTCTTGAGAACCACCGAACCAGGTACATAGTACAGTCTTGTCTGGAAGTTGCAAAAGGTTTGAGGCGTGCGATTGCACTGTGGCTGAAGGGATAGAAAGTGTCTGGAGATTTGGTGCCATGGTGAATTTGACTTGAGTTGGATGTAAGCTCCTTGTGTGGTACAGGATTGCAATATCGGTCTTTGGTGTTTAAGACGACAACTCCAAACGATCGCTTTCTAACTATTTCCCCACGATTTCGGCGGATTTGGTCCCGAACGGAAATCCACTTTGCACCAGCAATTGACCAATTGGAGCGATGGCCGATCGTATGGCGATACGGAGATCAACTTGTTACACGATGCGGGGAAGAGGAGATGCTCGGTGATATCAGCGTAGAGCGGAGTCATCCACAAGGCAATAAGAGATCAGCAGCATTTAATATTAATAGCAATCTATCTGTGAACGCATTCTAGAGTCAAACTTGTACACACCGTTACTTGGAACAACAATTCATCAAAATGGACAAGATGGAATACGTCAAGTAAGCTACCCACCAACTGCAATCTTACCTCCCACTAACAACTTCAGGCTTGGCAACACAGGCCTCAAAATCTCAAAGGTCATTCTCGGTTGCATGTCCTTCGGATCAAGTAAATGGCAAGGATCACCATGGGTTCTTGATGAAGAAGATGGTCTGAAGCTTCTCAAGGCTGCTTATGATAATGGCATCAACACTTGGGACACCGCCGACACATACTCCAATGGAGAATCAGAAGTCATCATTGGAAAGGCTCTCAAAAAGTTCAATATTCCTCGACAAAAGGTCGTCATCCTATCCAAGATCTACAACCCTGTTATGGATGATGGTACAAGACCTCCCAGTGTCAACGATGGGCCTCTCGTCAACCAGATGGGTTTGAGTAGGAAGCATGTTTTCCATGCCGTTGATAAGTGTTTGGAGAGACTTGGCACTGATTACATCGGTAAGACCTTTATCCTCTATATATTTCAACTTTACTGACATTTACAGATGTTCTCCAAATTCACCGACTAGACCGTGAGACGCCACCAGAGGAAATTATGCGCGCTCTTCACGAAGTCGTTCAGTCAGGCAAGGTGCGCTATATCGGAGCCTCCTCCATGTACACCTGGGAGTTCGCCCGCATGCAATACATCGCCGAGTCCAAGGGCTGGACCAAATTCATCTCAATGCAACCCTTCTACAATCTTCTCTACCGCGAGGAAGAGCGCGAGATGATCCCCTTCTGCGAAGCCACTGGTGTTGGTATCATCCCTTGGAGTCCCATCGCCCGTGGTCTACTCGCCAAGCCTCTTTCCAACAAGGATGACAACCAGTCAATACGCAGTCAGAACGATAAGAAGACTGATACGTGGTTTGCGGATGCCAATCTCGATATTGTGAATCGTGTCGAAAAGGTGGCGGCAGACAAGGGGTTCAGCATGGCTCTCGTTTCTACAGCTTGGGTGCTACAGAAGGGATGCTATCCCATCCTGGGCTTGAACTCTGAAAAGAGAGTTATTGAGGCTGTTGAGGCTTTGAAGGTCAGATTTACTGATGAGGAGTTGGAGTATCTAGAAAGTGCATACCGACCTCGGGGCATCCAGGGTGGTGTGTAAGATAGTCACAACAAGGGGAGTTGTAATGGCATTAGAAATAGTTAAACACATAGATATGGATACCACTGTAAATCAGAATTCCTTCTCTCATTCCGCGTTCGGAAAGATCGCCATTGACTGCATATACCCATCGACATCAAGGAGAGATGGATCAAACCCAAATATGGGCGATAACCCAAAGTGAGTATCCCAGGTCGGTATTGTGCTGCCATCTATACCCGAGAAAATGTCATTTCCATTGGCATACATATCTCCCAAGCCATTTCCATTTTCAATCCCTAGCGGTATCGAATGGACCGGATTCTGGACCTGGCTCTTTTCAACGCCTGATGGGGTAAGCAAACTCGTCACTGTCTCAAGTCCACGGATCATAAGATTAGCTAAATGCCACTTGCCCATTGACAAGGAACGGAAATGGCGGATTAAGCGTGTAATCTGTTCAAGAGCCTGTTCACGTCTAAACAGATCATTGCCGTATTTATGAGATACTTTAGCTAAGAACATGGCTGCGAACGCCGTCATTGACAAGAGGTAAGATGGAATTCCGACAATACTTGTTGAGAGGTCGGGGTCGGTAAGGAGAATGTCGATAATTGCCGATGCTGATGTGACTGCCATTGAAGCTGTATCGAGGAAGTGTGCTGGTATTGTGTTGGATTGTCCGCGGAAGACGTGTGAATAGAGGTACAGCTGTGCGAGATGAAAGTGGAAGAGGGCCCCTTTCCGGGGGAAGGCTCCAATTGTGGGGTGTCCCTCTGTGAATTATTAGCTGAGCCCAAGTTATATAGGTGAGTTCCATACCTGGTAGTCTAGCTGTCCACTTCGCGATCCACTGGTCTAGCTGTCGATGGTAGTGTCCTATTTGACTGAGATACAGCCTCGGTACTTCCTCTCCTTTGTCGGGACCGAACAAGCGTCGAATATTTCGCAGGATACCCATCAGCTCGACTTGACTCATAAGTCTTTCGTCTTGATCTGTGGCTAGAGGACAATTCAATATGCCTTCCCAGTCCTGGGTAAGCCAATCATCCTGTATAATTGCTGGCCTGTCATATAAAATCGCGAGGTGCTGATCACAGATGTAAAGAATCGACCAAATACGCGCAGAATCCATTGTTTCTTCGGATTGGTCTTTGATGGCAAGGCTATAGCTGTTATGGATGTTGCATTCCGCTGCCCTGCGTATCGCATGGCCCGACAAGGTCCAAGAAAGATCACTGAGCCAGTACGATGCGATGGCCAGAGCTCTGAAGTAATCTCGGTCGCCTTGTCGTTGGAGCATGGACTTTTCAGTCAATCGACGTAATTCGGAATTGCACACGCCGTAGACCTTGTCAGCTGCTGGATCGTGAAGAGCTGCAATGGTGAGAGTCGCAGCGCAGAGTATCGTAGACTTGCGACGAAGCTGGTCCAGAGTTTTATAGGGACATCCAATAGAATAGATATAGCCGTCCAATCGGTCTTTATAGATACTGAATAATCGTTCAGCATCAGGTAAAGTTACCAACCCTTGGGATATAAAGTCATTGATGACTTGTCCTGAGTTATCGTTGCCGCTTCCAGGTGATCGTAGGGCGCGCATCCGCGTAAGGGTGTAAAGAGAATGGATGGGCGCATGTGGCAACCTGTCGTCTTCTGGTGTGAGCTTGGGTGAATTGTCGCACGAAGGGCCGTAGTTATCCTCAAGTTGCGGTGTGTGGTTTGATGCAGTCTGCATTCCCGAGCCTTCTTTTCTTTTTATCAACGGCGCGACTTGCAAGGGTGGTAATTCAGGTAAACCCATGAGACTTCGCATCTCCTTGACTGCTGAGTACATTTGATCAAGATCTGAGAGCATAGCTTCTGATAGCCTGTAATCTGTGAGCCTTGTTTGCGGGTATCTGACGATGGACCTACTCTGTCTTCTCATCAATGATGGTCTGCAGATTCTTACTGACTGCGCAATTACTAAGCTTCTTTTCGCGACATCTTCGACACGGAGGACCAGCATCGTCCATGTAACATTTTATCTAAAAAATTGTTAGGACTAATGAAATTGCTTATTGACCAGGATTTATCACCTTGTGCTTGCGACATGTTGTGCATGCTCTGATGTGTCTTGAGATGTGAGCGACTGGTTGATCCGCGTTTGAAGCTATCGCGACCCGTTTAGGATGCTGCCACCTGTCAGTTACTTTGAGAGTGTGGAGACTTGAAATTTGCTTACTTCATTCCTATCAAAGTCTTGGATCCCTATGCTTCCGTTGCGCTTCGACATGATGACTTTCTCCTATCTTCTTCCACTGAGTGATTCGCGAAAAACATGACCAAGTTGTGCAAACCAACAAGGCGGGGAATTTAGTCCGCGCGCATTCGTTCTTCAGACTAGTTCGAATAGAGAAAGGATCAATGGCTGGGGAAATGCGGAGGTGGCACGGAGACGATATTAGTCCGAGCTCCTCCTCACTGCGAGTCATGGCATGTCAAGTCTCTGTTGCAGATGATCATCGTACGGCTGTGGAGTTTTCAAAACGGTTATCACATGTGAACGAGGTCTATGAACCATCTTCTCGAAATTATACAGTTCCATTGATAGCCTATTTGACGTATAGTCGTCTAAGCTATAATGTAGATACCTGAGGCTTGCCCTAACTGAAATCTCCTCAAGATTACTTTATCGGACTGTTCGACCATCTGTCAGAATAAAAATAGGCCGTTTAGGTCCTCTTAGTTTCTCCGCCTTGTCCTAGAATGCCAAGCCAGGAGTCAGAACGTGGAAAATGTCGAGATCTCTCATCGCAATCAACACTACATCTGCTATATAATGACAGTCTGGTGATGGCCTCAATTTCCAACGTCCATCTAACGTTAAAAGAACTGACAACAATCATGACCATCGGCAAAATGTCTTTCTGTTGAACCAATAGGAGCAAAGACCGATGAATTCGGAGAGGCGGCTAACGGGTGTCGGCTAAGAACCCGTGGAGAAGCGGCTACCCTAAACTGATTCGGAAGACCACAGTTGTCTCTAACTATAAACACCAACTGCCTGGTTGTGCTGTTCAACTGTCTTTAGAGAATCACATATCGAACAAAACATCACATCTATCTACGAATCATGGCACAAGAAGGCGTTATCAACTTGACTGAGACCCTCTCGGCCTTGCCCCCTGTTCCCGCTTCGCACAAACAACTCCGCACTCAGACAAAATCAAACATCCAATCCAGGACATCCCCGGCTCCCGTGCTTGTTATACTCGATGATGACCCGACAGGAACTCAAACCTGCCATGATGTCACCATTCTCACAGTTTGGGATGTACCAACAATTGTTTCAACGTTTAAGCAAGTAGGAGCCGGCAATGGCTTCTTCATCTTGACAAACTCACGTGCTCTTCACCCCCCTCAAGCTCGAGATCTCATGATTGAGATATGTACGAACCTCAAGGCCGCGTCACAGGAAGTCGATCTACTGTATGAAATTGTCTTGCGTGGAGACTCTATCCTTCGCGGTCACTTTCCCCTCGAGCCGGAAGCCGTAGAGCATGTCAATGGTGCATTTGATGCCTGGATCTTATGCCCATTCTTCCTCCAAGGTGGACGATACACTATCAACGATATCCACTACGTCCATGAAGGCGACCATCTTATCCCAGCTGCAGATACACCGTTTGCCAAAGATGCCACATTTGGTTACAAGAGCTCCAATCTGCGGGACTATGTGGTGGAAAAGTCCAAAGGACATATTTCTCAGAGTAACATCGACTCTATCGATTTGGAGACAATTCGAGTGGGCGGACCAGATGCTGTTTACCAAAAGATAATGGGGCTTCCAAAGAGAGAAAAGACTCCTATTGTGTTGGTTATCAACGCCGCTGCTGATGAAGATATGGATGTGGTCATCACAGCGCTTCTTCGGGCTTCGCAGCAAGGAAAGAGATATCTCTACCGAACGGGCGCTGCTTTTGTCTCGTCACGATTGGGAATCTCGTCTATACCACCTTTATCTGCGTCTCAACTAGGTCTATCCAAAGAAGTTGGTGGCCTGATCATCGCAGGCTCATACGTTCCCAAGACGACTGCACAGTTGGATTCTTTGGTCACCAAGTCAGGAGACAATCTGACAACTATTACTCTAAACGTCAAAGAACTTCTCGAATCGGACGAGTCAGCCAAGCGAGACGTATCAAATGCCATTGAACTCGCTACTCAGAAGATCAAAAGCGGTCACGATGTACTCGTCATGACGAGCAGGGAACTAATAGTCGGCAAGGATGAAGTGGAGAGCTTAGATATCGGCTCCACGATAGCCAAGGCTTTGGTCTCGTTCCTTCAGAACCTGGAGCAGAAACCACGGTACATCATTGCTAAGGGAGGTATCACATCTTCTGATATGGCAACCAAGGGATTGAGAATGAAGCGAGCTCTCATTATTGGCCAAGCTGCACCTGGAGTGCCGATGTGGCGATGTGATGAACCAGAATCCAAATGGCCAGGGTTGAACTATGTCGTGTTCCCTGGAAATGTTGGCCATAATGATAGTCTCTATGAAGTTGTTAGGCAGTGGAGAGAGTTCAAGTAGTTATAGCATAACGATAGAGAACGCCAGCGCATCAATTAGGAAGCATCTTAAAATGAAATATGAAAGTGTATTTAGTATATCTATTATACAAGCTTCTTCATTAACGTTTCGAAGGCCCCCGAATGATAGCCAGCTCCTCATCTTCCTCTCGCGAAGAGTTATCATCCACTTCAGTAGCTAGGTCAAAGGTCTTGTGCACACATATACCTCCATCAAATTGCTCGCTCCTGTGAACATCATCCAATGGAATGCAGTCTGAGCCCGTTATATCTTTTGGCGCCATCGACGAACCAACGCCTCGTCGAGCATGAGACGGCTGGCTGCTATAGTCTGTGGGATCTGATCGTCCGCTTCTCGAAGTGGTGTACTTCTTGATGCTCCGAGTGAGCAGGCTTTTAAGGGCTGGAAGTGAGCCGACGACAAGAGAAGTGGCTGTTTCGACTGCACCCCAGATAGCTAACCCGACAAGATCGACTTGTCTTTTTACGATGACTTGGGACATACGGACGACGGCGACACTGATAATAATAACGCCCAGGGAGAAGACAATCCCGAGCCCTATCTTCTTCTTTCTGTCGAGTTGTAGGGAGGGGAGTACAGCGATCGGGAGGGCCATGATCATGAGGTCCGAGGTAACGTCGACCGTGGTAGAGAAGATGACGTTGAAGTTCTGTCGCCATTGTTCTTTCGGTGAGTCGCAGGCTCCTAAGCAATGTTAGTCACAGCAAGTTCGATCATATGGGTATCTTGAGTCAAGAAGAGAGATGTAGTTACCGTAGAAATAGTCGGATGGTGTGTTACATGTAAATACACTGCAGACAACACAAACAACCAGTGCAGAGGCGGTAAAGAAGCAGACAAAGTACCATAGGCGTCGAATGATGACGAAAGGCTGCACGAGTCGCCAGAAGATAGCCAAGAAACTTGCCTTAACAGACCAAAGAATAATCCAAAACATCTTGATGATCGGGAATTGCCATTTTGCCAACTGGTTGCGTTGTGATAGCATCTCCTCGGGCTCATATGCGATACGACCGGCTTGGAGATGCGTCATGTACCAAAGAGCTTCCATCTGCTCAGTCTGCAATATCGCCATGGTCAAGGTACACAACCATGCGAAGAAGATCCAGCAGTCATCTGCCAGGAATCGCCTGTTCTGTTGCCATCTGACGAAAAGCCGCAGTGAGACAAATAGAGTAGCAACAGTAAAGCATACCCATATAATGACGACGAGTCCCTGGCGGTCAACAGTGCGGGCTGCCCCGAAGAGCGGAGCGTCTGGGACTGGTTGTGGTGCAGACATATTGACGGTGAGCGTGCAGATTGTGGCTTCCAGCCTGGCGGCGCTGGGAGCACTATTAAACCTTTCATATAGCAGAAAGATCAGGAGTCATTATGATAGATAATAATGATAGAAATCCTGTTGGGTCCTGGGCTGAGGTTTGCACCAAGGAGGAACCCGCAAGAAAAGCAATATTGTCTGTGGCATGGTATCACGTACAGCACCAGTCGCATTAGTGGTTTATTACAGGAACGAACAAAGAAACGAATAATTATGTGCATGAGTGGCAAGGCCGGGCTCTTGCATCGAGACAGAGTTACCTCAGTGGCTGAAGTCCTTATTGATGCAATTCCACTGACATTTAACGAATGGCCTCAAAACAAACAGATTTGCAACATCAGTCTCTTGTTCACCATGCCGGGAACATGTGATAGCTTATTGGCCCCGCGGATACCCTTTCAAAGACCCGTCCGTCTAGGCGAAGCAAACTCCCGTCAATTCTCAGCTCCAAAGTGTCGTTTGCTAACTGCATACGAGAGGCAAAGTCCAATAGTGCTACGCAGAAATGCAAACAGTGGGCAAACGAGGCAAACTCGCCTACAGAAGCGACAAGTGGGAGAAGAGACAAGTTGCCGTTACATCGTCTTTTTTTGCTTTTTCCGTATTCTGGTCAAGGTCTGGAACGAATCAGAGGATCCCACTGCCCACGATTTGCTCACACGCATTATGCAGATCTTGTCAGTTCCGGCTCTATTGGTACAAACATGGCAAGCAGCATTTTTATTTTACAGCTCATATTCACCACTTGAAAGGATTTAATGGATTTCGCCTCTTAGTTCCCAGTAAGAGCTAATTTGTTCCCCGACGGGTAACTAACCATGTCAGGAAGCCTATCTCCGGGCCTGGAAAATCGTGGAGATCTGGGCCCTTTTCCATGACTGAGGTTGGCTATCTAAGTATCTATCAAGTTCTACTTTGTCCATTGTGGACATTTGCCTGCCCAGTGCATGTTGCCGTCCCGTTCCTCCCGTTGGAGTGGTTCTTGGCGTCGATAACCGGACGACGCCATGTTTCACGTTAAATTGACAGGACGAGCTTTTTATTCTGTGTTTTTGACAGCTCGAATACGCCAGCGATGGTATAGAGGGTAAGTAAGCACTACCGGGGTGAAGTAAACGAATAGATTGGACTATCACCTGGAGTTCAGCCCAGGTACGGCTATGGTCATTCGACAAATGCTGAAAAGTGATACATCTTACAGCATTGGCCATTTGCCCGTCCAAAAGAAGTGTATAGAACTCTTGGCATTGGTTTCCGATCAAAGCCACCAACCCGATCATACAATGCAAAGAATAAATGTCTGTCTCGCTTTCTCGCTGAGTTCCGAGACAGCGAGGCTGATGGCCTGATTATGAAGCAAACAATTCGCAAACTCGCCGCTGGTTGCCTCTTATATGACATCTCACTTTTCTAACGAACCGGCGCCGTTTTTAATTTGCTCACATACTCAGATGAAAAACGAGGTCACATCGAATATGGAGTAGTCGACCGTTGATGCAGGGGCTGATGTGCAGGGGACTCCCATGTCTTGCAGCCAACTCAACTGTCTTGGTTCTTCACCCACCAACAGTAATTCTTGACATCTAGATTGCATTGATGACCTGCCTCAATGTCTCTAGCTACTGCGAGATGAATGTCATAGTAAAGCGATATCCGGGCCTTAATATAGCTTCGCTTATTGCCACGATTCGCATATCGGCTTCCGTAAGGTGAACAGGGTTGTACAGAATTGCCCCCACAATGACCATGACACTGTAACCCATACAAAAAGGAATACTCTTGCTCTTGCTCTGGATAGATTAAAACTTATCAAGAGGCCACCCACTTAGCTGCAGCCTCTCTACTCAAAACAAGTCGTTTATTTTCTTTTTCCTGGCACCCAGAGCAAGTAGACAATCTGATTTGTCGTCCAATATGCAAATCAGTGTGCTTCTCCCCTTCCTCGCCCTTCTTCCTGCTGGATCTTGGGCCAAGGATATAATTGATTCGTCAAAGCGCGACTCCCAGTGTAAATGTGTAAGTTTGGGAAGGGTTTTAAACCAAATATGATATGTCTGTGCCCTTTTTGCTGACATGCTGCACAGATTCCAGGTCAAAGCTGTTGGCCTTCCTCTTCTGATTGGCGAGCTTTCGACGAGCAAGTCGACGGGGGCCTCATCAAGACGCAGCCTATCGCACAATCCTGTTACCCTGGTCCGGCCGAGGACCTCAAGCACTGCGCCTATGTAAACAAAATGTGGTCTGATCAAGACTTCCAGTCTTCAGACCCAATTGGAAGGCCTTATCCCCATAACATTACATGCGCTCCAGTGGACTACAGCGCTGGCCAAGAGCCAACTACCTGCAGTCTGGGATCATCGCCCGTTTACGCCGTAAATGCTACTACACGATCACAAATCAGAAATACCCTGGCCTATGCTCAAGAACGTAACTTGAGGCTGGTCATCACTGGCACTGGTCATGATCTCCTTGGCCGCTCGGACGGCTACGGTGGGCTTGAACTGTGGTTACATCAGTACAAGAACAAGATCGAGTTTCGAAAGACTTTCAAGCCCAAGAGCAGCTGTGATAAGTCTGGCTGGACGGGAAGTACCATCACAATTGATGGTAACTACCAGTGGCGCGATGTCTACAAGGTAGCCAAGGCTAACAACGTCATTGTTGTCGGTGGTGGCTCTATCACTCCTGGTGCCATTGGTGGTTGGGCATCAGGAGGTGGCCATGGCCCAGCTACGAGAAACTACGGTCTCGGTGCTGATCAGATCCTCGAGGCAGAAGTAATGCTAGCTAATGGAAAAGTCATTACCGTCAACCACTGCCGTAACGCTGACCTCTTCCGTGCCATGCGTGGCGGCGGACCAGGTTACGCCATCACCCTGAGCAGCACTGTCAAAGCCCATCCCAATGTCGACACTGTCACAGCTCACCACTTTGAAGTTGCGCCACTTGAGAAGACTGAGAAGAACAAAGATCTTCTCGACGCTGTATCTGTTTTGCTACAGAAACTTCCTGATCTCAATGATGCTGGGTTCGCAGGATACGGGTACTGGTTCCGCAACTTCCCTACCGTCTTTGTCGGCAACGCCACATCTGGTTACTCTCACGGATTTTGGGCCATCGGAAAGACTCGTGAGGAAGCTGAAGCTGGTTGGGCCCCAGTTCGCAAGGCCTTGAGCAAGTTCAAGGGCCAGCTGTACATGAGTGAGAGTTGGGCGACATACTCCGACTACTGGTCTTTCTACGAAGCTGAGTCGGGACTGTACAATCCCACTGGTGACACCTCAATCCTCACCTCAAGACTGATTGATCGTGAGAGCGTCGAGAGCTTCGACAATGTCCGAGATGCTGTTGAAGTCATCAGTGGCAAGCCTGATGAATTCGGCACCAACGTCATCCTCTTCTGCTCCGGGGGGCAGGTCTTTAAGGACGCTGCAGACAAATCCAGTGGTCTTCACCCAGCCTGGAGAAAGTCATACTACGCCATCGTTTCAAGCCAGGGTGTTTCCAAGACTGCGACTCCTGCTGAACGCAAGGCTGCGAATGATGAAGTGACTTTCGTCAAGGGTGTAGCATCGAAGAAGCTGGCTCCCAAGACTGGAGCTTACATGAATGAGGGTGATCGCAATGACCCCGACTACCGACAGGCTTTCTACGGTAGCTTGTATCAGACACATTTGGCCTCAAAGAACAAGTGGGATCCTACACATTTGTTCTACTGTCCAACATGTGTTGGGTCAGAATATTGGGTTGAGACTGCAGATGGAGCATTGTGCAAAGCCTAGGGGTCTGCTATATAACAATTTCTTTGATTTTCATAGTATATAATATAAATAACACACAATTTCAAATAGAAAAAAGACTATCTAATAACGCTTCTAAATCTTGTCTCTGGTGGATCCCAAACAATGTCTTTGACAGACAACCTCTGTCGAGCGGGCACTTGTATCGTCCTCCCTTGTGGTGATTGGATCTCGATGTTCTTTTCATTCTTGAATAGAATCATTGACATGAGATTCTTCTTCTCTTCTATACGGCTCTTTGTCTCGTGACCGACCTCCGAAGGTTTAATCGCATCCATCGCACGAGTACTAACAGTTTCATAAAGCAGTTTCGCATCATCCGTCTTACCCGCATGAAAGAGTCCAACGCCCCAACTCGCCACCCCAAGAGGGTCCCCAGTCCCATACGGAGTAAACGCATTACCCACGTTGTTGACGGACAAGCAAGCCTTGAGTCTATACTCCTGTATCATCTTTGGTACATGCAGGGTGCCACATTGGCGGCTGAGTGGTGTGTCTTGCTCTGATACACCATCAGAGTTTGGCCGACCCATCATGAAGACGTCGCTAGTAGGCAATCCAACAAAGTGAAACGGCAGTTTTGTCTCTTGAAGCCTGTCAGAAAATTGGCGGAGCTCTTTGTGGGACGCCAGCGTCAGTCTTGTGGCATGTCCGAGAACGACAGTAGGGGCGCCAGAGTGGGTAGGCCATTTGTTGTCAACGAGTTGGTCAACAGTATAATTGAACAATTCCACAGCATCTCCTGCCTTCAAATTGAATTCTGTATGGAAGTCGAGATTCAGGTTGTACTTTAGTGCTGTTTGTATAGCCCATCGTATGTTCTTTCTCTCCATATCGTCATTCTCTTCCACGTACGGCGTGGTCCCTAGAGCATCAATAGACGATCCGAACTCTTCCAATGCATTTTTAAGGATATCTCGATTCTCATCTCCATACTCAGTAGAGAAAATTGGATCCTGCGCAAAAGCACAAATCTGCAAATCCACGAATCCTTCAAATTCCTTCTTCAGCCGAAGCCCTGTTTTCAGAGGTTCAAGTTGCGTGACATGATCAAGTTCAACAAAGCCTCTGACACACGTGACACCTTGTGCGTAGCTCGTGGCGAGGAGCTGGGACCCTCGCAGGTACAAGTCGTCTGGGGTGTAACGTTTCTTTGCTTCGGCCGTGTTAGACAAGGCTTCGTCAAAGCTTCCTGATTTTGGAACAAGATCCGAATAGTCGGGGTGGTTGTCGGAAGAGGAGTGATTGCAGGTTAGAAGGTATGGTTTATCGAGATGGATATGCGGATGACACAGTGAGGGGAGTAAGAGACTTGGGTTTGGAGAAGGACTGCCAGATAGTTTCATGGACGATACGACACCATCTTGTATTTGTATGTCCCATTGCTTCGATGAGTCTTGTAGAGGGAGGATGACATTTTGCAAACTCATTTTGTCCAAAACTTCAACGATAACCAGGATCGTGAGACTCGTTAGGTGATAAAGCACTCAGTCCATTACAAGCTGTCATTGACTCTCAACGGTTAGGTTATCGACCAATCATGAGTCTTGACGACTGGCTTTGTAAAGGGAAAAAGGTTTGTCCGTACAAGTACATCGTTACATCATGTTTTAGCCGGCTATAAGCATTTGTTCTGCATTATTACCTGCAATTATTCTGATCCCATTGACTCCGTCAATTCTATTATGCAACGGTTACACTTCCCCTCTCTATTTCATCTCTCTTATTCGTGCGCCTGACGACGACGTCATGACAACCACTGGATAAAGTCCCGAACGTGGAGAATAACGGCCGATCCTCCGCACGAGCAGCGTCGATCGTTCCTTGAAGGAGCAATGTTCGGGAAACAAATGCCAGCAAAGTTCATCGTCTCCTCCAAAATGCCCAGTTTTCTCCAAATTATGATCGGTCCGACACACTGTTGAGATGCGGGATCGTAGCATGATGTTACTTTATGGGCGAATTTAACCTTGAGTTGATCTTGCTGATCTAGGTTTGCGCTGTGAGGAGAAGAACTTAAAAAGCTTGTGTCTGCCATTGAATTTTTGCCTTTTTCAATAGCTGTGCAAGTTATCTACGGACGACAAGATGGTATTGCTCAGGTTCAAGCGTATATCTACGGCTGCGGTAGTCCTGGGCCAGTCACTCTCCGCTCTGGCTCAAGGTTCAAGTCGTAAGTTTGTTAATCTCATGATGTCCCAACGCTAACAATTGTAGCAATCGATGTTGATGGAACCTCCTTCGCCCTCAATGGAGACAATGTCTCGTATCGCTTCCACGTCGACAACACCACAGGTGATCTAATCAACGACCACTATGGCGGCCCCGTTGCGGGAGATACTATTACGGCAGAAGTCGGTCCCGTCCAAGGCTGGGTTAATCTCATCGGTCGAGTCCGACGCGAGTTTCCAGACCATGGAAGAGGAGACTTCAGACTACCAGCTTTTCAGATCCAACAAGCCAGTGGCACCACAGTCACCGATTTCCGCTACAAGTCGCACGACCTCGTACAAGGCAAGCCTGGGTTGCCTGGTCTTCCAGCCACGTTTGGTGATTCTGAGGATGTCTCGAGTCTTGTTGTGCATATGTATGACAACTACAGCTCCATCGCTGTAGACTTGACATATTCCATCTTCCCCAAATATGACGCTATCGTGCGAAGCGTGAATATTACTAACAAGGGAAACACAACTATTACTCTCAAAAAGGTAGCCAGTTGGAGTGTTGACTTCCGACAAGAGGACCTAGATCTTATTGAGATCAGAGGTGATTGGTCCCGTGAGGGCATGCGAGTGCGTCGCAAGGTTGATTATGGAACACAGGGGTAAGTCCAAGTTTGTTGATTAGAAATTCATTATACTGACAGGAACTGTAGCTTCCAAAGCTCGACTGGTTACTCTTCTCATCTCCATAACCCTTTCCTCGCACTCGTCTCACCAGATACCACTGAATCACAAGGCGAAGCTTGGGGTTTCTCTCTGGTTTACACCGGCTCATTTGCAGTTGATGTCGAAAAGAGCTCGCAAGGTCTTACTCGTGCACTTCTGGGCATCAACCCCATCGACTTCTCATGGCCTCTCAAACCTGGTCAAACCTTCACCACGCCTGAAGTCGTGTCTGTCTTCTCGAGCAAGGGTGTCGGTGGCATGTCGAGACAGTTCCACCGGCTTTACAGAAAGAATTTGATGAAGAGCAAGTATGCCGAAGAGACCAGACCTGCTCTCCTAAACAGCTGGGAGGGCTTGGCATTTGACATCAACGAGACATCTATCTACAAGATCGCGAAGCAATCTGCGGACCTTGGTATCAAGCTTTTTGTCATGGATGACGGCTGGTTTGGCAACAAGTATGCTCGAACGATTGATAAGCTCGGTCTTGGTGATTGGCAGCCTGACAAGTCTCGCTTCCCCGAAGGACTTACTCCCCTTGTTGAGGACGTTACCCAGCTCACAGTAGCCAATTCGTCCGAAAAGCTCAAGTTTGGTATCTGGTTTGAGCCAGAGATGGTCAATCCCGAGTCAGACCTGTACAACGAACATCCTGACTGGGCTCTCCACTCGGGATCTTATCCCCGAACTGAAACTCGTTGGCAACTTGTTCTCAACCTCGCTTTGCCAGAAGTCCAAGAGTTTATCATCGACTCTGTTTCCAAGATCCTTAGCGAGTCACCAATTTCATATGTCAAGTGGGATAACAACCGTGGCATTCACGAGACTCCTGATCAGACCCTCAATTATAAGTACATGTTGGGCTTGTATCACGTTTTTGAAGTTCTCACCAGTCGTTTTCCTGATGTTCTTTGGGAAGGTTGCGCATCAGGAGGTGGTCGATTCGACCCTGGCGTTCTTCAGTGGTTCCCCCAAATTTGGACATCTGACGATACGGATGCAGTCGAGCGCATCGCAATCCAATTTGGTACTTCTCTCGCTTATCCACCTTCTGCAATGGGAGCCCATCTCTCTCATGTCCCCAACCAAGTTACTGGGCGTACAACATCCGTCAAGTTCAGAGCCCATGTTGCCATGATGGGCGGATCATTTGGTGTGGAGCTCGATCCTAGTGATCTGGAAGCTGAAGAGAGGGATCAAATTCCGGGTCTTATCCAGCTATCTGAAAAGATTAACCCAATTGTCATTACGGGTGATTTCTACAGACTAGCTCTCCCTGAGGACACCAAGTACCCGGCTGGACAGTTCATCTCTGAGGACGGCAAGAAAGTTGTCTTGTTCGCTTTCCAGACTCGTGCTACCATCAACTTCTCCTGGCCCTGGTTCCGTCTGCAGGGTTTGGATTCGGATGCCAAATATGTATTGGACGGCAACCAGACTGTATCTGGCTCGACTCTCATGAACCTCGGTATCCAGTTGCGGTTCGAAGGAGATTTTGACAGCCAGGTCTTGATATTTGAGAAGCAGTGATTTACTGCTGTTGATAGTATTTTAATTTCTTAACGACTTGAATGAAATGCTATTTCCTTGCATGATGCTCACAGCTGCCTATTGAAGTCGACATAATGCCCATGATTATCCATTCTGAACCGCTTGCTATCCTAATTCCGTCCAACTTCGTATACACAGAAACAGCCCATACTGGTGCTCGTGGAGCAGTTAGCTTATATGGAGAAGACGCCGCAATCATCTCGGGCGCTGCCAAATGTCCATTTCCATGCGTGTGAAGCACGATATGATATGGGTATCTACAATGGCAGATGTGCGTTGAGAAGCTGCTGTAACTGACGAAGTGTATCGACACTCATCGTCACGTTGACCATCTCGGAGCCTTCTAGTCCGTTGGAAGTAGCCACATCAGGGTTGGGATAGTACCAGCATGCAATAGCAATAATGGCGTAGATGACCTGCATATGTCAGCCTTTGTTGATTTGCGAGGTCAGGTTATACATACCACGAGAAGAGCTCCTTCCAGCCAGTTGGACTCGCCATCGCGGAGAAAGTTGCCTACGACCAGAATAGAAAGAACAAGCAATACAATCATGAAGATCTCAAAGTTAAGATCCATTGGCTTTCCGATGGCCCAGCCAACGAGAACGACAAGCGGACCATTGAAGAGGGCGGTCTGGATCGAGGGCCCCAGGCAGTGATACAGGGCAACATTGATGACTCCGTCTATAATTCATTAGCGACAGCGATTTATTAGGTACCAAATCTTACCGTAAGCTTCATCAATCGCAGTCAAATGCTCAGCCGCCTTCTCGACAAAGGGCAGAAGAATAAGACCCAAGAACTGATCGGGTACACCGCTTTCAACAACATGCTCGATTTTCTCAACAAGAAAGATGAGAAGGGCGGTCACAAACACCAAAGCGATAAGAAGAGCGACGATGGTCTCGGTCATGGTGAACTTTGGCTTTTCCATGTCCGCTTCACGATCAGCGTCCCGGTGCTCATCCATTTCAATAACCTCGTCGAAGATGCTGTGCTGACTACTGGCCTGGTACCAGATGTACATGAAAAATGCAACGATCAGTGCGACAGAGGTTGCTTGGCTGATACGCACAACGTCTTCTTGTAGCTTGTCCTCTGTGAACTTTTCGTGTAGCACTCTGAAACCTGGAAAGTCAGGTACAACCTCGGCCTTCAGAGCGGAGTAGAATGCGCTTGGAATGAGGAGACCAAAAGCAGCCACAAGTAGCAGACCGGTACCAACCTCTGATACGATGGCGTGGAATTTCTGACTAGCTTGCTTGAGACCTCCAACGAAGAAGCAGAGACCGAGGCAGAGGAGCAAGTTGGTCAGAATACTGCCAAGAATAGCGGCTTGAATAATGGGAATGAGGTTTCCTTCGTCTCCATTATTGTCGGAGGCCTGATTCTCATGCTTTACAAGGAGGACAAGGAAGAGAATGATCTCAATGATGGACCCGAACGTCGTCTCAATGAGAATGCCTGCTACCTTGGGCATCTTTCGTGCAAATTCCTGCCCAGCAAAACCCAGAAGATTGGCCGTCGGGATGACAGCGATGTAGGCGGTAGCAAACTTCCAGAGATGCATGCCAGGAAAGAACTGGAGGATGATGGCGACGGGGACGAATGGCCACAGAACGTTCACCCACATGGACGCAGTGCATGAGCTTCTCCAGAGCACAGCAAAGAAATGACGCGGATGGAAACCGCTTCTTCCACTTTCGCCTTCATGTGCAATGTGACTAGAGAGCTGAGGCAGAAGCGGGGTTGATTCGTCTCTATGACCAGAGCTGTTGTGTCCATGCCCATGTCCTGGGAGGATGTTGCTCGCCATTGTGGTTGACGCAGAGGAGATAGGTCGAGGGGAGCGATTCTTAGGGTAGCAGAATCTTGACAGAGAAAAAAAGAGTTAAAGATAAGGTTAAAAAGGATTGCAAGAAGTGCTCGAGAGGTTGGAATCGTGATAAACCTGCTACCGTCTTTACGGTGATGGTGGCGCAGTCCAGCCAATAATGTTGCGCCAGTGAGACATTTGACAGGGAATCCAGCAAGGATTGAGAGCTGAATAAAGCTTGTTTTTTTGCGGGCGTCTCTACGTTTTCAGCAGGGATCACAAATGGGCAGACACGACAGGTTGAAGGGAGTCATTTCTGTGGACTCCAAAGCGTCAAGAATGATAGGGAACTGATATTCTACAATTGATCAATGGGAGAAGCCTTCTCCACTATAAAGAGTCGATACTCGTGGAGTCTTCTTAGGACCAGAAGATGTGGGTGATCAAAGCACGGGGCAACAAGAGGTTCAAGGTGACCGATATGGTCAAGTCAATTTTTCCGGATCGGAGGGGAATTTGATTAGCGTGAAGGGTGGATATTTTTTTGACAGAAATAAGTCATCAACCCCTCACCAAAACAGCACTATAACCGATGCTTTGTCCCGTTCTTTTTTGTCCTTTGCTAGTAAGGAATTCTGGGGTCTCTAGAACACGTCGGTGAGACGCGTAGGCTGGGACCGCGATGGGCCAATCGATGTTACACGACCTCTTATCGATAAGAGTTTCAGTGTAGTTTCACGTCGAGGTGAGGATGCTACAAGAAGCCGTATACGGTCTCCTTCAACAGACTTGATATCAGCTCGGTTGAGACGGCAAGAAAAGACTTGGCCCAAAGTTATAATCAGTCTCCGATTCATCACCATATGCAGATCTTTTAGCAACTTCCCTCGCTTATTGCGTCAGCTACCTTGTTGAGTCGGGAAATTGTTGAGCTTGTAGTGTCTCTCTCGGCAAGTAACAAACTCGAACGATAGTCGATGTTCGAGACTCTAGAGACTCGTAACTAGTACATCCTTCATTTAAATTCAATTATAAATATTAGCAAAGAGGATACTACTCTATACACAAGCCCTAAACCTTTTGTTGGCCATGTGAGCATCTACAGTGTTTATATGACAAATGATAATATGTATCTACCCTATTGTCTCACACGAAGCTGGGAGAAGTTGTTGGTGGATCGCCCCTAGTCTAGTCTAGCAAAGAGGATTCCACTACCACCATTGGCCGAGCCATTATGTAAAAATTAGTCCTACCTTGGCTGACGACATTCTGTGCCCTCGAAAAATATTCTCTGCTCATAAGAAACTGCATCTCCATTTTTGATTCTTGTTTTTTTCTAAAATAAGTAGAACAAAAAGAAAGACACAAAGCAATCATACTTTTGAAAAGAAATCGTTATGAAATCTCCTATCCCTGACTACCTGAACCAAGTGCTGGAGAATGCCCGCCCTATTGAGGGTGGCAAGCCAGCCAGCTACATTGAAACCCTGGCCAAAGCCGACACTTCCAAAGTAGCGGTGGCACTGGCCATGGTAGACGGCCAGGTATACTCTGCCGGAGACGACGACATTGAATTTTCCATTCAATCCATCTCCAAAGCCTTTGTCTACGCGCTCGCAATTGAAGATGCTGGTCTTGACAAGGTCCTCGAAAAGATTGGTGTAGAGCCTTCTGGCGACGCGTTTAACAGCCTCTCCCTGGAACGCGGCAGCAACAGACCCATGAACCCCATGATCAACGCTGGAGCCATCACAGCGCATTCTCTCATCGGAAAACCAGACTGGACTTCTGAGCAGAGAACAGAGCGTATTCTGAACGCGCTTTCACTATTGGCTGGCCGACAATTGCACGTCTGCGAAGAGGTCTACGAGGCTGAGCTACGAGGTGCTGACCGAAACATGGGAATCGGATATATGCTCAAGGCAGCCGGCATCATCACTGGTGACACGCAGCAAATTGTTAAAGGATACATTCGCCAATGCGCCATCAACGTCAACGTGCGCGATTTGGCCACTATGGCAGCCACTCTCTGCAACGCAGGAATCCACCCTATTTCTGGAGACAGAATCATTCCCCAGGACAGTGTCCGACAGATTCTCTCCGTTATGAGTACATGCGGTATGTACGATGCTGCAGGCGATTGGCTCTCGCGAATCGGCATTCCAGCCAAGAGCGGCGTGGCTGGTGGTATCATCGGTGCTCTGCCTGGTCAAATGGGTATTGCCGTCTTCTCCCCCAAGCTTGACAGCCGAGGAAACAGTGTACGAGGTGTGGCTATCTGCGAACAGTTATCGAGCGATATGGGTCTTCACATGATGGATGTCAGCCAAATCGCCCAAGCGACTGTGCGCACATCCGTGGCTACTATTGTCGCAGGCGACAATGAACCTCACCACTCCAACTGCAACAAAGAAATTCTTATTTTTAGCCTGCGTGGTGTCGTCCGCTTCGCAGGATCAGAGCGCCTTACTCGCGAGATTACACGAGTTCTCGGCGCACCAAACCCTGATGATCCTGGCTGTGGAAGCAGCCGCCATGCATGCGCCATCGTCTTTTCATTCCGCGATGTCTTCTCATTCAACGCCGTCGCCCAACGAATTATCCAAGCTGATATTACCCGTCTACTTCTTGACGGAAGAACTATAGTCGTTATTGATCCTTCTGGTGTTTTGACCATTGACACAGCGCGTGCAGGCAAAAAGCTCAAGGTTGTGGAAACCGAGGGAGAGGCAAGGGACTTCATTGGAGGAATTGGATGCCATACAGTCAATAAGAGCGATGAATGGTGACTAGGGGCGTATTCCTCAAAGACTCTGGTGAGGAGGCTCTTTGAAGGAAATGGCTTACTTGATGTTATATCTGCAGCTGTCGGGCACAGCATGGACTATATTCCTCGCGTGCCGGAAGGCTGGTAGAATTTCTGGTGGCATAGATAAAATTTTGGCGACGATGAACGGTACAATGTTAGGGGCGCTCGGTGTTTATCAAGGTTTAGATATGAATATAACGATACTGATGAAGCTTCCAATATTTATATGGCTGTCCCTTTTCATCCATCGTCCGTTGACTGTTGCAATGCCTGCATGTGCACGTTTTAATTGGATCTGTGAAGATTACTTTGTCGACTACCAAGGATATGAGCCCTGGTGCTTGGGTAAATATTTCAGTGGCCTTTATAATAGCATCATATCCGTTCCGCCCATCTCCTGGATCCCCGTCTTAAGCAAGCCGTCGCGGAAAGCATCTCCTCTAATCAAGTCAGAATTCATATACAGGAAGTAAGTGCTATATCCATGTGTATTGTCTTGATGGTCCATGATGTCGTTCTTTTTTTGTGGTTTCTAACATATGAATTCCGCAGCAATCCTCCTTCTGGCCATTTTGAGGTTCTTTTGTGAATTGGTCAGGACAAACAATGATTTGGCCGATGTATGGCTTCCCCATCGTTCGAACAATCCCCTCTCCGTTGTAAAGTTCACAAACCTCATTAGAAGTTGAAGACATACTCAATTATAGATGCTGCATGGTTTTCGTCGTGCACGCCTCGACGGCCTTAAATAAGCTGCCACCTTGAACGCGGATAGCGCCTGAAATCGCAGTTATTACACCCAACTGGATGCAAGCGAAGATGATATTATCTTCCCAGGTAAAGGTTTCGCCGAGAAACTGGCGAGTGGATTGTTCCCCGAAAAGCGCTAGAATTCTAAGATACACAATCAATCTTGCTACGAACAGTGATAATTAGAGTGGGAGACATACGAGCCGATATTAGAGAATATGTTCAGCAAGAAGCCAGTATTGTCCTTTTCATCTCCGACAGTAAATACGGCCGTGGCTGATAGAAGCAGCAAGACCACCAAAAACGTAGAGACGGCACAGTTGACACTGCATATGGATTCAATGTATCATTGCCTTGGATTCTTTTACTCGATGGAAATTCAATGGACATTTCCACCCAATATTTTAATTAGCCACTCCATAGATCGACGCATCGACCACTGATAATTCCACGGAATAGTTTTTATTTTTTTATTTTTTTACCACATATCCTGCCTTTCTGATGGCTCATATCATCCAAGCGCTGATAACGTGAGGGTAGCACGAGATATGCGTGAGCCTATCAACTTGACATACAGAATTGATGTCAGATTGTTTTTCATTACCTCCAATCGGACAGTCGTAACATCAAATAGAGGGAGGGGATGACTAACCAGTAATTAATGTTGATGGCCAACTAGAATGAGAGCATATACGTACAAATGAGGCAATGACCTCGACGATCACTACAAAGTACCATATCAGGTCCTTGGCAATCAGGCTGTCAGTTTGTTTGCAAAATGTTGACAAAATCTGACATCTTAAAGCCTAAAAGCGAGTGTACCCGAGCTGTGACCCAAGCGCCGATCTGGTGCACAGCAGCAATACAGAGTGATGTCCCTTTTGACCAAGAAGGACCCATTAAATCTTCGTGGATGCTCTTCCAACTTGATTTCGCTGGGATGCCTGCATGATATCTCATTCGATGAACCCATGGCTCGATTTATGAGCTGAAAAACTCTCAAACCGTACAAAACCAGCATTACGATCCATCGGCGAAACAGGTCCCACCCACTAATCCAATAATCTCGCGATGTTACAGTTTATCCTTATTTTCAATGCCTGTCACATGCAAGTAAACAAAAGAGTGCCTTACTTTAAGGCTGACAATTAGTCAACTGCCCTTGCAGAGACTTGATACTATACCTCAACAGGGATAGATCGAGGCAGATTTATCTTCAACACGAAATGTCCAGCTAATGATATAGCCTGAAATGGATTAGTGCTGTCAGTGAGCCTTGATGTAAGCGGAGTTACCGAAGTGCCTTTCAGACGTATTACACAAGTCAGATGTCCCTGAAGCTAGGACTCGTGCAATTAAGATGATATAAAGCTATGGATATTCTGTCCTGTTGTAATTTCCTCTCCATCTTCCTGTTCCCATCTTAATATCGCGACATCCACCCTCATCGAAAATCATCACGCGCAATTTCCAACTACAATCAACATATCTTTGTTTACATAAATTCACAGAGCCGGCATGTCGCACCAACAAGGATATGGTCAGCCCTCTCAGCAAGTCATGGCCCCTCAAAATGACTCTGGCAATTTCCCAGGTGGTCGTTTTAGTATCGCCCATCGCGACACCAATGCCGTTCTCAACGTCGAGCTGCAACAAGGCACCACGGTGCGTTCCAAATCTGGAGCCATGATTCACATGTCAGGTTCCGTGGAAATATCGGGAAAATCCAAATTCTCTTTCGGAAAGCTCTTTACCGGAGGTAACATGTATGAGTCCTTGTACGCTGGGCCGGGTCGTGTCGCACTTGGCCCAACACTCTTTGGAGACATCATCTCCCTACACGTTGACGGTAGCCAGTCCTGGGCTATTGGCAAAGACGCTTTCCTCGCCAGCACTTCTGAAGTTACCAAAAAAAGAGAGACTCAAGGACTTGGCAAGGCCTTGTTCTCAGGTGAAGACCTCTTTGTCTTTCGTGTCGAGGGTCAAGGTATCATGTGGCTCACGAGCTTTGGCGCTGTTGACCGACTAGATGTAAGTTTCTACAACACTTCTGTTGCTCACACTACTAACTCTACCGCAGCTGCAACCAGGCGAGCAGCACATTGTAGACAACGGCCATCTTGTGGCATGGAGCTGCAATTATTCGATCGAAAAGGCTGGTGGTGGAGCCATGACCGGTCTGAAGACAGGAGAGGGCCTCGTGTGTCGCTTCACCGGTCCTGGTTCGGTCTATGTACAAACCCGAAATATGGACGAGTTCCAGTCTTTCATCAAAGAGACTGTCGGAGCTTCTTAGAGTAGTCAAGAGTAGTCATTATGAGTTGAAAGGCAGGATAAATTGTCGGACTGTCCATAATAAGCAATCATTCTAGTTTGTAGTGTTACCAGAACAATCTTTATGTGTCAAGACGCAATATCATTCAACCAAATTGTCTACATCACATATGGCCCCTCGAAGATTACAATAAGCCGCGAATATAGATAAACATAATTTCGCCATTCTTTCTATCGTTTTATATTAGGCAAGCTGTAAGGTAATCAGATACATTTAACTACTTATATACGAAATTTGCAATTATTGTTTCTTAAATTAATTAATGTACAGTTCCAGTGGTATGAGAATATTGGATTGTAATCTGTTAGTTTAAAATTGTATTTAGGTAGTACATCAATTCTATCTAGACTTAAACAATAGTACCAAAAAGTCACGTTACATTTATGTGGAATCCATGTGATAATAGCTTAATCTGGAAAGTATTGTTCTAAGATTCGGGAGAACGTTGTGCTCCGCGGCCATTTCCCGCGCTGAAAGCCCGACGATCGTCAGTGTCGTCGACAACTAACCTTGTCGATTGTTTAACCCTTGTCCAAATCGGATTAAGTCTAGAAATGAACGGTAGATATTAGCAGAGTAACAGTAGACGCGGGGAAGGTCTGGGGTTAATTGTTGGATGTGGAGATAGCTAGATCAGTGGAAAGAGGAAAACCCGGGGTAGTTTGTAGCCGAAATTCTATATAATGTGGAAGCTTGGCTCTATGGCAAAAGAGAAGAAGCAGGGCGAAAACCAAATCAGCACTGATAAGTATACAACAGAAATTATTCGTTATGCCTACTCTTGAGTTTGCAAGCTCTGTGGGAAACACCCTTCACCACTTGGTGACCGGGTCTTACACCAACACGACTCTCTTTCTTCTTGCTTTCGATACTGTTGCTCGGACTCTGACTCTGAATTCCACTGTCCCTGGATTCGGACTTCATCAGTTTGTCACCAGTAATGCCGCCAAGGACAGGGTCTATGCCACCGCTATGAGCGAGCCTCCTCAACTCTTTTCTTGGTCAGTCGATGAGAACTACAAGTTCACTTATCTTGATACTGTCAATATTAGTAAGTTAAAACCTAAATGGCAGCAAATCAGCTTCTAACGTGGAACAGCCTCTTCATCTTGTTACATCTCCGACGACGGCAACCTGGCTTTCTCTTCTGGCGGCTCAACTGCCCACATCCATGCCCTCACTGAGAACGGAGGACTCGGCGAAATGGTTGATGAGCTCTACATGGTACCAAAAGAGGAGATTAAAAATGTTAACAAGACTCGCGCGGCTGTGGTAAGCTACTCTCACGCTACTGTCACCCTGGTCGGTACTGATTAATACGCACAGCTTTATGGTGCTCATGCTTTTGATGTCAACATCAATCGTAAGGGCTTTGTTCCTCACTTGTAAGTGTCGCGCTTTCTCTCGCGTGTTTTGCATCTAACAAGTTTCACAGGGGTATGAACTCAATTTTCATGTACGACATTGCCGAGAATGGTACCGCTACTCCTTTATCCATCAACCTTAGCCCCTCTGAGGGTGATGGTCCCCGTAACTCCCTCTCCAGCAAAGACGGAAAGCTTCTATACGTGGTAAGTGGCGGTTAGATCGAGACACAGTTATTGAATGACCGCTAATTGAAGGTAGATGACTGAGCACAGTGAGTAACGAGCCAAGGGTATCGCGAACAGTTGTACTGACCCTTCAGACCAATGGCTAGACGTTTACAAGGTTCATGACACTCAACTTGAGCATATTCAGCGAAGCAGTGCGATTCCCGATGGTAAGATAAGCTCATCGGTGTTATATCAAGGTATCACTAATATGTTATTGGTAGATGTACGAGGCACCTACACGTTCCGCAGCAACACTGTCCAGATGTCCCGGGATGGAAAGTATCTGCTTACTAGTACTCGCAGCTGGAACAACACCGAAGCCAACGGATATGTCGCTGCTTTTGCTCTGGATAAGCACGGCAAGCTTAAGAAAGAGAAGGCCGTAGCTTTTTACGAAGCTCCTGTGACCCTAGGCTCTGCAGGTGGCCTACGAGTTCTTCCATGGGGTGACGAGACCACTCAGGACCCGAAGGGAATTAGCGACTACATGTATCTTAGTGACACTTCTGAAGGTTGGATGTTCATCTTGGGCTGGACTCCTGCGAACTACACCCTCGATGTCGTGGTTTCGCTGCATTACCCCGATAACCAAACTCCTTACGAAGCTACCTGGTTGGACTGAAAGCCCCGGATGGATACATGACTTTCTGGAATATGTTTTTGAGTCATAGAAGACAATTGATCTCACGGGTTTTGTCATACATAGCAGGCAACATTATGTCCAAAAGGTTTATACCAAGAAATTTATCAATAGCGTATTCCGTGGCGTCAAAACAATTACTTATTTTCTCGTAGATGAGCTACCTTCCATCCCTAGAAAATTGATTGTAAGAAACATGACGCCAAGGCGACGCAAACTGTTTATTGTGAAAGTTGTTATATTGTCTTCTACTTGGCTAACATTCGAGAGGTTCACCGTGATACCGGCTTGTTGTGCAATTCACCTTGTTCTCCACACTCACACATATGCTGAATCATATCAATGGAAGTCGATGGACATCAGTACCCTCATTCTATCACATGTCAGAGTAGTCCAATTTGAAGAATCTGGGAGCCAATTGTTACAACAAATTAAATTAAATTTAATCCCCTGACAACCTGATCTCTTCTTTCGTTTATGAGGTCTGGGGTAGCTCCGGAGCAGTGCCGTTTCTTTCTCCAACTGTAATATGATGTCATTAGACACGACTCCAAACAGACTATAACTTGGTGTAATGAGGGGGGAACATACCATCTAAAGCCACAAGAAAGCGGCTCACACAATTATAACATGAGATCTACATCAGTGTCAGAATTAGAATTTTGTGAAAAATTCAGTTTGACCTACCGTTGCAACAATTTCAACAATCTCTTGACTGTTGAAGAAAGACTTGAGCTTACGGAATGTTTCATCAGCGACCTGAACATTCTTGGTCATTTCGTCGGCCATGACACAAACTGCCCATTGCTTCTCTGTAAAGCCTGCTGGGATATCACTAAGAACAAGTCTCTCTTCTGTCATGAGATTCTTCATCGCGTCTGAAGACACGCCTCCCTTGACTGCTAGAGGAGCATGGTGCATCCATTCATACCAAGCCTTATTGACAACAGCGATTCGGCAGATGGCAAGTTCTCGCAAATCATTGGCAAGAGAGGTTCGTGTCCGAACTGCCCCCACAAACGTGTTCCAACCCAAGGCAACTTGAGGGGAATGGAGAAGCGCCAAGTCAAGGGGTTGGAGTGGGCGGGGGTGACGTCGTGCTTCAATGGCAGCCACAATTGACTTCTCTTCTGCGGAGGTGGTTGGAGGAGGGTTTGATACGTAAGGGACTCTCATGGTGGGTGTTATTGGGTAAGGGTTAAGATGAATTCCTTGATGAAATCGTAAGTTTGGTATAGTAGTCTGGTTCGTACAAGCAGCTGAAGTACCTATCTATTATTAATAAAGACGGTCAGTACATTTCTCCATTAGCATAGTTGAGCCATTTGGCCATCGCTTGTGGTTGCTCGATCTTGCCGCAGATCTCCCCGCAGGTCTCCCCGCAGACTCCGCGGCAAAGCACCGCGGAGATCGACCGATCCAATCACAGGACTCAAGATTCACTAGGCTTGCCCTCGCTCACTGATATCAGTCTGCTGGGGGCAGGCTTGACGTGAACCATCGCGTGTGAGAATTTCGGCGCTCGAAAACCGTTCAGGACGTCTCGTGTCTCTATCGATCGCCAACTGATTTTCGCTTTCTTATCATTCCCTGATAATAATGGATCCAGACCAAGAACATGGGTTGGAGGGAGAAGGACCCAGCTCAACCAATCGCGCCAAGAAGCAGCGCCTCTCACGCAAGTATCGTGGATTGACATGTGCCAATTGTCGCATCAAAAAGGTAACAACAATCGACTACTCCATTGATATGTATTTGTATCGACTGACGATAAATCATGCTAGGTTCGCTGCGAGGGTGGTCAGCCAACCTGCAAGACATGCGAGATCTATCATGTCGAATGTCGTTATGACAAACCACCACCACTCTCTCAGGTCGTCGCCATGGCCAAGAAGCTACAAGAGGCAGAAGAAAAACTTGAGCGTCTTCAAGGGGCCGAATCAACGACTGCTCGTCCAGCGATCAGGCCACCAAGTGTTGACGGTGCAGTACCTCACACAACTCAATTCATAACCAACATTATACCTACCAACGCACAATTAGTACCAGCGCATCAGACGAGACCACCTCCAATTGAAGTTCCGTTGGAACCTTATCGCCGCCAAAGCCACCAAGATATCGAAAGCTCTGCGGGTTCAGCACCAGCAATCACTGGCACGCCCCAGGAATCACTAGCTAGAGACATAAGCCTCGACGAACACGGAAAAATATGCTATTATGGCCCAACCTCTGCCGTACATGAACCAATAGGTCTTGCATCCCCATCGACCAATTCTTTGGGTCTCGGCGAGAATCCCAGAAGGGGTAACTTACGCGATTATTTGGTATCACGAGCTAGAGAATCGACAATCTGGGAGGACTTTGCATTGGGGAATGCCGCAGTACAAGTTGGTCTTCCTCGTCCAGTCATAGCAAAGCTACTTCATCTGCATTGGAGTTGGGTTGCCCCAATGTTCATGTGGGTGTATAGACCAGCATTTATGCGTACGTTCCCAAAACTGTCTTGTTATATCTCACCATCCTTCTCATATCAATCGTTACTAAAATTAGTATTTATTAGGTGACATGACCACCGGTGGGCGTTACTATTCTGAGCTTCTTCTACTCGTGCTGTGTGCCCATGCCTCCAAATACTATGATAGCAGCCATTCTCAGCTTCTTTTCAACCGTGTTCGACTACTACTCGGCGAAGAAATCCAGAAGCCAAGCTCGATCCCCACTATACAAGCCCTCCTTCAACTAAGTGCTAGAGAACTCGCACAAGGAGCCATTTCACAAGCGTGGCTGTATAGTGGCATGGCGTTTCGCATGTCCGCCGATCTTGGCCTACAGCACAATGGCCCAGATATTGCTGATCTCAAGGGACTGGACCCTGTGGATCTAGAAATACGAAAGAGATTGTTTTGGAGCTGCTATTTCTGGGATAAGTGAGTTCCCCATAGAAGTAGGAAGAATGATCACTGATCAGATCTCACAGAGCCATTAGCCTTTATACCGGGAGACTACCGGCAGTTACGGAGCTGCCGCAAAGTCCAATTGACTTTAGTATGTTGCCGACGGTTGATCACCATATACTACATTTACTAACAAGTTGAAGTGGATGACTCGGCAGAATCTGATACCTGGTCACCCTACCACGAAGATACTTCCCCTCTTACTCGACTACCGCCCAGTCAATATCCCGCTATGCAGAGTCATGCAGTCTCTTGCTTCGCCAATTCATGTCGACTATCTGTCATTATTAACGACATAATTGTGCAGCTATACGCTAAGAGAAGCCGAGAGATGACCGAGGCATCCTTGAACGACATCAAGGCTCGGCTAGATAGTTGGCGAAATGAATCTCCAGCACATCTACGCTATGATCCAGAACATTTACCTACAGCCTGTCCACCCCCACATATTATCTCGCAAAAGTCAGTAATTGATCAGCATTCATTCCCCGATTCCTCTATGCTAATACCTTTCTAAACAGTTTACTGTATTTCACTACTGTCATCTTGGCTCATCGTCCTTTTTGGTCCGCTCCAGCCTACTATCAGGTGTGCATAAGTGCAGCTTTGAGTATGGAAAAACTTCTCCTACTACTAGAATCAACCTTTGGCTTTGAAAACATTACGTATCTGATGGGGTATTGCATCTACACTGGCGCATCAGCGGTCCTCGAAGATGCTAAAAACAACGGTGGTGCATCGCATCCCACTATGCAGACCTTTCTCAGGGCACTGAATGGTGGCATGGCCAAATGTCCATTGCTGGAGCGAAGCTTGCACATCATCATCAAAGGCCTCAAAAGATCCCCCGTCTATCGAGCACCAGACGAGAATTGCCTGTCTGACAGTACCACCACCGCTGCTGCCGTCAACAGCTACATTCCAGCGTTCCCCTATCTGGATCCCGTAAGTCCTAATGATTTCGATATGGATGCGTATCTTCACAGTATGATGAACATGGATACGATGACTTCCCTGGACTGTTACCCTGAATTGCAAATTGATTTGGACGAGATGATAAGACACGCACCACCATAAGTTCTCTTGAATTAACAAAAACTCAATCAAAAGTTTCTTGTTGCACTCTTGTGCAATGGTTGATTAGTTATGTGCATGACTATTGTGTATGGGGTCACGGTGTATACAACAGTAACCACTATTGTAATATAGTTATCCAAGACATGGCTATGCTGCTTAGTCAATATGTTAAACTCAACCAAGACCGATGAGAAGGCTTTTCTATAGGAGAAGAAAAAAGAACGAGCCGTATCGGTGGTAAGTGGGAAGAGATTTGTTTCCTGCAACAATTTCTACGAGGCTGATGTGTTTCGCTTGGTCTCCTGCTAGCGTTGTGCATAAATATGATAAATGGGAGTAATTGGTGCTGTATAATTTGTAATTGCTAGTATCTATATCCCAATCCACAGTGTCAATTCTATTAATTCTTAATACCAGTATTCTCTGCTGCCAGATTGTCGGCCTTCAATGCAGGTCTATCAGCCTTACCCGCGGTGGTTCCTCCGTCCACTGGCATTATGAGACCAGTAATCCAGCCTGCTTCCTTACTGGCCAAGAATAGGATAGCTGCACGTGGTGTTAGATGTTGCGCTTCTCACAACTTGGGAATGAACTTACCATATCCGACATCCCAACCAGTGCCCTCCTTCTTCATTAGGTTCTGGTTAATTCTCGCTTGTCGCATCTCATCTGTCATGCCTCGTCCCCTTGTCATGGGAGTGTAAACCATGCCAGGGGCAACACAGTTGACACGGATGTTCTCTTGGCCGTGGTGAGCAGCCATGGCACGGGTCATCTGAATGATTGCTCCCTTGGTTGTGGGGTACAGCAAGCTGGGGTTTCCACCAAGCACTAGTTTCATCAGCTTCTTTCCATCTGTAGGTCAAACATGGACTACTTACATCCGCTTACAGAGGACATATTGATGATGGAACCGCGGCCTTGCTTCCTCATTTCAGGGATAGCATGTCGGCTCATCATAACCATGCTTGTGACATTGATACGAAAGTCTCTCTCCCAAGCATCTAGGTTAATATTCGTGGCATCACCAATTGCACCGCCAACACCAACTACAGAACCTGTTAGTCTGATCCTACAATGCTGTTCCCGGGTACTTACCAATGTTGACGAGGATGTGAAGAGCTCCCCACAGTTCCACCGTCTTGTCAACGGCATTTTTGCATGACTCTTCTTGCGTTACATCGGCCTGGATGACCTCTGACATACCACCCTCCTCGTCAATCATACGCTTGGTCTCTTTCGCCCAGTCCACGTTGAAATCGACAAGGGCGACTTTGGCACCAGCGCGTGCAAGAAGAATAGCGGCGGCTCGTCCATTGCCAATTTCGCCTTTTCACGAAAAGAGTTAGACCGATCATTACCCACAGATATTTAGAAGTTAGATAGAACCTACCATCCATTCGGGAGCCAGCGCCAGTAACAATTGCCACATCTCCAGTGAAGTCGAATGCTCTTGGAGGAGCCATTGTGAATATTATGAATGGATATGGTTATGAGAGACAATTGCAATTGTGTGCGTGCTTTGAGCGGTGATGATTCCTGACAAGGAGATATGATGTTGCTAAGCTCATATATATGACTACATGAGATGTAAAATGTAATAGTCCTGAGGCAAACTATTCACGATGGTCTTTCCAAGCTTCGGTGATTCGCCGCGGATAATACCCGTGGAAATCACTCGACGTAGCTCGACCCTCAGCAATGGACCTTTAGTGGGTGTCATACACTATAACCGTCAGTATTCCGGGGCTCAGTAGCCTCTAGAGCGGCGGCCAAGACAGAGGTCACTGATTGTGTTTTACTATTTTGAACGCCAGTCGTCCTACGAGGCACAGACACATTTTTCATGAACGCCTATACATGGAGTGCTCACTCAATTCGTTTGTAGTAAACAGTAGATGAAAAATGAAAACGACTTATTTGGTTTTTCTAAGACACTTTGAGGCTGATTTTAATGATCAAGAATACGTTATCTACTAATGTGTCTCATTGTGACAGCCAATAATCGAACCATGACACTATACCCGCAAGACTCTGCTCCTTGACCCATCCTAAGCCATGTTAGTGAAAGACAAGTTGGATGGATAGAGGGTAACCTACTCTGATAAGGATCACTCTGATCGCCCCTTAAAGCGAATCCATGTTCAACACCAGAAAACACCTGGTAATGGAATACCTTTTTATTGGATTGTAAGATATCCAATGCGCGACGTCTAGATGGGACGTCGAATGTGTGGTCAATTTCGGAGCATGACAGAAATAGAGGTTCTATCGATATGGTTTAGTTAAGAATCTTGCCACAAACCAACTTAATGGGACTCACTCTTTAGATCCTGAAAGTGGTGTTCCTTCAGAAACGCTGGGTGAGCAAAAGCACCGACTGTCACGGTGTCACCCTTGAGTTCGTTGCAGACATACGGAGCACCAAAGCAGTAGCCGACACAGGCAAACTTGGATGTGCTTGTTCCGTAACTCTTCTTCACGGCGTTCACCCATTTGGGGACTGCCTCATCGGCAAACGCTGTGTGCTTGCGTTTCCAAGCCTCGTAGTCAAAGTCTGGATTTCTGTTGTCATGGCGGTCCTTGCGATGCTTCCAGACTGGGTCCTTTGTAATCTCATTAGTTATGGATCCATCTTGGCGGAGGGAGAGCGCTAACCCCACGAAAGTAGTCCAGGCCTAGGACGAGATAGCCTGCATCAGCAAAGGCGTCCATGACCAATAGGCCATTAGGAAACATGCCCCATACATCAGGAAAGTACAGAAGGATATTTCCATTTGCCTTTCCATCTGGGGGTCTTGTTATGTAGGTTTCGACATCTGCAATTGTTTCCCAAGTGCCTCTGGATTCGCCCTCATGAATTGTGCCTTTGAGGCAACAAGCACCACTGGGCTTAGCCAGGTAACTCTCACTCTTGGGCTCTGCTGTGGTTGACGTTGACTGTCCCATGATGTTCTGCGATTGATTTATGATTTGTGGTTTAGATTTGTGATGATTGACGCGAAGTGTAGTCTTGCAAACGTAAGAGTCGCTTCATCTTAATAGTGCTATTGATGAACTAGGACGGACATGTCAGTTGTGGCAATATAATTATTCGGCTAGGAGCCGCGGAAAATGACCGTGGGAATAATCCAGCTACAGATGGATCAATCTTCGCTAGCTATGAGGAGAATCTCCAGCCCCCGTGGGGTAACCAGATGTTACCCCAGACTTAGTCACTCCCCACAAAATATCCCTTAGGAAACCAGCAACAATTATATACAACCGCCAAGTTCCTCTTTTCGTTGATCCTATCTTCCCAGGCTCACAACTCACAAGTCCGACATCGTATCACAAACCCGTCACTTGAGAGACCAGATCGAAAGCATGACCGACATGCCCAAGCCAGCCCCCGAGGCTCCCCCCAGCGTCACGGCCGTTGAAGACTCTGAACTCAAGGGCAATCGTGCCGAAATGAGCCAGAACCAGCAGGAGAATGCCGTTGGTTACAACGAATATCTTGAGGCTCGGGACATCGAGTTCTCTGACGAAGAGGTACACTTTTGTTACTCCTCACGACTCCCGATTGATAGTCTAACAGGAGTTTAGGCGAAAAGACTTCGCTGGAAGCTCGATCTTGTCATCCTTCCAATGTTCTTGATCACACAAGCTTTGCAATTCATGGATAAGACGTCCCTGAACTATGCAAACCTGTTTGGTTACCAAGAGGCTCTGGGTCTCAAGGGCAACCAGTTCAATTATCTCTCCGCAAGTAAGTCAGACCATCGATTTGCGTCTGGTTTGCACTTACTAACACGCTTAAAGTGGTGTATGCAGGTTACTTCTTCGGCCAGTACCCCTGCGGTTGGCTCATTGGACGATATCCCGCACAAAAGGTCATGGCTATCAGTGTTTTCTTCTGGGGTCTGATGGTTATTATCATGACTCAGAGCAGAGACTACTCTAGCGCATTGGCAGTTCGATTCATTATGGGTGTTTTCGAGGCGGCTGTTACCCCTGGTCTGACTCTCATGACCGGCTTCTGGTACACGAGACGCGAGATTCCTCTCCGTCAGTGTATCTGGTACTCATCCCTCGGTTGGGGTGGTATTGTCGGCTCCTATATTTCCATGGGTGTTTCCAAACTCCCTGTTGATCTGAAGCCTGAGCGATGGGAGCTCATCTTCTTCATCCTCGGTGGTGCCACTTGCCTCTGGGCATTTGTCATCTGGTTCCTCCTCCCCGACTCGCCTTCCAACGCCAAATTCCTCAACCATCGCGAGCGTCTGATTGCTGTTAAGCGTGTCGCCTCCAACGAAACCGGTATCAAGAACAAGGCATTCGACAAGAGTCAGGTCAAGCTTGGCTTCATGGACCCTAAGACTCTTCTACTCTTTACTTCTGTGTTTGCTGCCGCCATTCCCAACGGTGTTGTCAATTCTTTCTCTACTGTTATCATCCGTGATATGGGCTTCAGCACTACCGAGACCACTCAGCTCAAGTCTGTCGGCGATGCCATTCAAATCATTGGTCTTCTCATTGGCGGAAGCATCATTCTTAATGTTCCCAACTCTCGGTTGCTTACTGCCACCGTCGCCAACCTGATCTGCACTATTTCGGCTGCGTGCATGGCGTACCTCCCACAAGAAAACACCTGGGGCAGACTTGTGTGTTTCTGGCTGGTTAACGCGCAGTCCGTTGGCTTCACCGTCTCTTTAACAACCATCTCATCCAATATGGCTGGATACACCCATCGCTCCTTGGCTAGCGCTATGGTCTTGTAAGTAACACGTATGTCTAATTGTTTTACTTGGCTAATACTCTCCCAGTACTGCTTACTGTTGGGGCAACTTCGCTGGACCTTTTGTTGTCAAGAAGTCTCAGGCTCCCCATTTCACGGGTGCCACCATTGGTCTCCTGGTTGGATATGCGATCAAACTTTGCTGCCACTTTGCCCTTCTCGGTATGTTTAACCATCGCATGATATACTGTCAGTCGAGCTAACTGTTACTTTCAGTCTACATGTACCTCATCAATCGCCACCGCAACAAGACCTATGGAGCCCCCAACAAGGAGCGAAGCAATGAAGCAGGAATGAGAGACCAGACCGAGTTTGAGAACAAGGACTTCCGATACGTGCTGTAGATAGGACTCCAAGTATCGTTTTGGGACTCTTGACGGCAAACAGTGGATAGTCAGATGTTGCCACTCTAAATACATATAGTTAATCTTATTTGGACCCAAATGTTCCACAATATTTCTTTCCATGCCTTGTTGATGCACAAAACATCATGGTGAAGACGCTATATGCCTGGTAATGAATCACGTTGTACGACTTAGAAGAATTTGCCTTCTTGCGAACAGATGCGATGTATTCCGAACTATCAATGAGGAATGGCGTAATGTTAAAGAAACTCACAACTATTGTACTTGCTCGCAATAATACACAAATTATGTAGAGCTCCAATCAAATAGCAACATATTCTGATCCATCTATCAGGAGCCGACTGTCTTATCACGGGGTTCACACATGATTTTAATTATATTGTACATGCAACAAGTTGCTCGTGCCTTTCATAAAGAGGTGAAAGAATAAGGTCAAAAGCAATCATGTTACAAAGACTTGCTAAACCACATGCGTAATTGACAGCCGACTTGAACTAAACACTACAGGCAATGCATCAACCAGTAAATACTTTCTTGGTCTATATTCAAACCGGCTTCTTTTATGAAGCGCTCCCAGCAAATGCTTCCACCGGTTCTAGTAATGAAGCTTTGCCAACTGCGCCATATCATGAACAGCAATAAACTTCGGTACATTGACGTGCACCTGCAGCTTTTTCCCATTCTCAAATTCGACTGCAACAAAGGCTTCATGATCGCTGACCGTGTCGTCGGTGGTGACGTGAACCTTTTCTTGTAGGGCGATGACTGTCTTATTCTGTACCGCCTCGTCGGTGAACTGGCTAGGGGTAGCTTCACCGTACAGAAGGGCTACAGCAGCAGCGTGGTAAACACTGAATTTTCCAGCAAGGCCATTCTCAGGTTTAGGATCGTCTGTCAAGAACAAGACCTGGGGATGGGTCCTAGCAGTGACATTGGCAATCTTGCTGATATCATAACCCTTCTCCTTGGCTTGATCATGGATCTGAATCCAGCCATCGATAGCAGCATGGATGATGCGATCACAAGGGAAAGGTTTGAAGGTGTTCTTAGTCGTCTCCCAGACTTTTCCAAAGGTTGAAAATTCCTCGGTCAAGTTCTCACGAGTGCTTATGACATGCGACCAGCCTCGCTTAGCCTCAAGACCTTGGAGCGATCCACCGAACCCATTCTTTGCGAGCAATGCCGATGTGAGACCAGCCTGTGCGGCGGCTCCAACGTGGAAAGGCTTAGTATCTGTGCCGAATGACTCGTGCATTCCGATGACCTGGACTGACGCGATACTAATGGCTCTCTGCATTTGCTTAGCGTCGAGGCCAAGTAGCTTTCCAGCTGCCACAGCGGCACCAATCGATCCAGTAGTACTAGTGATGTCTATGATTTGTTAGCTAATGTTTGTCATGCGTCTGAGGTTACTCACGCCAGCCAACATTGTAGTGTTCCGGGTAGACGGCAACTCCAAGCTTGCACTCAGTCTCAATGCCTGCCACAAATGCTGCTAGAAACTCTTCACCAGTAACATCACCCATCCATTCAGCCAGAGCGAACAAGGCTGATGCCACCGGGCCTGATGGATGCACTGGAGTGTCGACATGCGTATCATCATAGTCGTCAGCATGAGAAGCAATCCCATTGATCAGAGCCGCGGTTCTGATGTCGACATGTTGTCCGATACCGAAGATGGTTGAATTGCCATCTGAACCAGTGAAAGGCGACATTGCTTCAAGTGCTATACTAGCAGGAGGCAGAGCATATCCTCCAATAGCACACCCAGCCCAGTTGTAGACACTCTTAACAGCCATGTCCACAACAGGCTCGGTGAGGTTGCCAAACTGAAGGGCTAGAGCCCAGGTAGCTAGGGTTCTCGTGGCCATGTTAGTGATGTGAGCAGTGATGTTTTGGGGGAGCCTGTTCGTCACTACCGATGGCACTATACAGACTGATATTTATACATGTCCTTCCTTTCTCGTCTCACGATGTGAACAGTGATCTACATTTCAAATACTGAATTAGTTCAATGAGTCAATGTAACTTGTGACTACGTATAACAAAATAGTACCACATACTGAAAGGCTGAGACATCTATTCCCCCGCATTATGTGATAAACAATTTGGATTAAGGGCATAATCTAGCCGATCATGACCACCACATAGTAACTTTGTCTAAGCTAGGTTGGCCCTGAATTGGGGTTGTTACGGGTCATATCCTTGCATGTTGATTCCATGCGCTTTTAGCCCGGCCCATGGGCAGGTTCCGCGGGAGATGGCCGACAGCACTAAAGTCTAGGGCATGCGAGCCTGGGGTAATTATTCACTGTTTTCTTCACTTACAGTTCAATCCACGGAGAGACTATTGTGTTGTTTTATTAACGAATTCCAATACCATGACAGGTTGCGCAATTTTGTGGTCTGTAACAGTCGTTTTAAATACCAAAACAACGGCAGAAGATATGTTCACGCAATTGTCTCATCTTGGGTTACTGTTATTCTTCGGATAGAGCTTTAGAAAAATGAATCGTAATTATTTTGACTGCCATTCTTGTGTCAAAATACACTATGTGCTTCCAAAGACGTGCTGTAAACCTCTGGCAGCATGGGCTCCAAGCATATCAAGACTACCCATTGCCATCATCTCAAGTACGCTAATGTCAAATTGGAAAACAGTCTTCCACCACTGTCGCACTTCAATCGCTACCAGCGAATCCATTCCCAAGTCGGAGAGAGAAGAGGCTGTTTGCAAGTCCTCCACAGGTTTGAGTAAGAGGCCATACACCTTCTTTCCAATCTCTCGGGCGAGCAAGCGAGATGACTCCTCCTGCTTCAAGATTGAAGGGTCTCGCTTAGCCCTCGAGATGAAGGACTTGAGTTCATCATTTGTTGCACCCGTAGAGGCCTCTGTAGCACCCCTGTTATTGTGGAAGGCAGCCATTCTAATGTCTTTCTTCCAAAGAGAGCGGTTGGAAGGATCGCTAAGGGAAACGTCCGGTCGGAATCCAAGACAAAAGTTATCAGAAGTCTTAGTCATGGCTGCACCGAGTGCATCGAGGAATTCGTGCTCTGACACAGTGCCGTTGAAACCAGTTACTTTGAGTTTCTGCATAATGGACTGTTTTTCGGCCAAGTATCCAACCTCTTCCACCGCTCCGATGTCGATAGAACAGGCTGGGAAACCTCGGCTCTTTCGATAGTTAGAAAAGGCATCGAGGAAGGTGTTTCCACCGGCGTAGTTCACCTGTCCAGGCTGTCCAATGACACCAGAAAGCGAACTGAAAAGGATAAAGAAGTTGAGGTCTGCATCAGCGGACATGGTCGCTTTATGCAAGTTCCAAGTACCCTGGATCTTGGGGTCAACAGCAGTATTCCACTCCTCCATAGTCATCCTCGAAAAGCTCTGATCCGCGAGAATCATGGACATTTGCAAAACTCCCTTTAGGCGACCATCAGCTCGTGCAACTGCAGTAGTAACGTCGTCAAGGTTGTTGATGCTGCCCTGAACAAAGTCTACCTTGCATCCAAGACTTTCTAGTTCTTGCTGTAGGTCGAGGTGCTTCTCATTCGTTCCCGCACTACGGGAGAGATAAATGAGGTGACGAGCTCCTCGCTGAATCAGCCATCTGGAGATGGATCGACCTAAGCCTCCGAGCCCACCCACAAGCAAGTATGAAGCCGTTGAATCTAGTGTGACTGGTTGCTTTCGAGATTCGACTTCCAAGCTGGGCCCGGCTGTTGTGTCCATGGAGACTACAATCTTGCCAAGATGAACGCCCTGCTGCATGTACCTGAAGCTGTCAAGAATTTTGTGAGGGCGGTAGACTTTAATGGGACGAATTGGTTGGATGTGCCCGTCTTTGTAGAGTCTAATGACATCTTTGAGAAGCCTGTAAAGTAAGTCAGTCATCGATCAGAAGATGTGGTTGTCTTAACTCACTCTTTTGCGATAAGCCCCCTCTTGAAACAAAGCTGATCAAGATCGACACAAGAGTAGGTACGGTTGTCCAGGAAAGGGGACATGTCAAGTTTACCAAACCCAATCAAGTCTCGCTTCCCAATCTCTACCATCCGACCGAACTCCGCAATGCACTTCCAGGTAGCGTGTAGAAGCTCGCCAGACAGGGAGTTGAGCGCCAAGTCAACACCCTCGCCACCAGTTTCATGCATAATTCGCTCGACGAATGACTCGTCGCGAGAGTTGAAAATGCATGAACGATCTAGACCAAAGTTGTCTTCGAGATATTTGATCTTCTCCTCGCTGCTTACGGTTGCATAGATCTTTGCGCCAACCATCTGGGCCAGTTGTATAGTAGCGATGCCAACACCGCCGCAAGCGCTGTGGATCAGTATGGACTGGCAATGTTAGTATCATTCCCCAAACGTTAGAGGTACCATAGCGTACCTGTCCTTTCTTGAGATTTCCCATGTTGAAGATTGAGTGATATGATGTTGCAAACACACAAGGTATGGTTGCTGCGTCTTCGAAGCTCAGATTATCAGGAATTCTCTCACAGAGGTTCTCGGACATGACAACATGAGTGGCGAAAGAATCATGAGCTATGAAAAGAACACGATCCCCGGCCTTTAGGTCCTTGACGTTTGGTCCGATACGATTGACAACACCAGCACCCTCAAGACCGAAGCCGTTGCCGCCGTCGACAATACCCATGGCACATAAGACATCCTGTAATATCGGTTAACACAAAGTCCAGTAAAAGCAGATAAGAGAATTCACTTTGAAGTTTAGACCCGCAGCTTGCACTCTGATCTCGACATCATCGCCAGTTAGTGTGGGCGACTCGTAGCTTGCCCAGTGCAAGGCGTCGAGCCTGCCAGGCTTGCTTGTTTGAAGCGCCACTAGATTCTCTTCGCTAGACATCAACAGATTATCCTGGGCTGAGAATGGATAGATGCGACCGACATGGACGGTGTTGTTGACGATCGCATATTCGTAATCGGGTTTGAGAGTCTCGTCCTCTTTTCGTGTTTGGAACCTCTCAAACACGTCAACGATTCTCTCTGATGATGCTGTCACATTGTCGACTTCGCAAGTGCCGAATTCTAACAGCATCTCAGATCGAAGAGCTCTAGATATACCCAAGATCTGGCCGAAGCGAGGATCCAAACACCCCATTTGCGAAACATGAGTGATCCAAAGGAGACTGGTATCTTTGAGGCTGCTTGTCAAAATCTTGAAAGCGTCAAATCTTTCGCTATTAATATCCCCAAAGAAAGGCTCATCTTGGTCCATAAGTGCAATAATGCGGTACCCAGTAGGAGCTGACTGGTCAAAGATTCCTCTTCGATGGACAGAGTAACCCCGTTTCTCCAAACTTTGACGGAGTGTCTCCTCTCCCTTGGTCTCAACATCGGACATGGTCAATAGCTCAACATGCCTGTTCGTGTCCGTTTTGATTGCTGGTCTAGAGAGAATCATGGCATTCAAGTGATTAGGCCCCACTGTGTCAAGTACAGCTGCATCTGGGGTCTCGAAACCAGCAGCCTGCAACTCTGCTCCCCAGCGCTCGACAGAGATGTATGGCTCATGAGACCGACCGTCTGCCTCGCCGTACCACCATCCTGGCAGTGTCCCAAAGATGTAGTTGATCCATTTCGAAGTTGGTGTGAGCTCGTGGAGTAATAATCTTCCATCGCGACTGAGAAGCTTTCGGACATTCTTTAAGCTTTCGTTGATTGACTTTGTAGCGTGAATGACGTTAGTCGCCAAGATGAGGTCGTACTCACGCCCATCAAACCCTTGCTCCGACGGATCCCGACTGATATCCAGTGTGGCAAATTCCATGTTCTGAAAGTCTTTGAAGCGCTTCTTGGCATTCTCAAAGAAACCAGAAGAGATGTCCGTATATGTGTAGTTGGAGAACAATACTTTGCCAATTGGAGCCAGGTACTTCAAGAGTTGAGACGTTGACCCACCAGTTCCAGCACCAATCTCAAGGACACGTAGATTAGGCTTGCTATGGGCCAAATGCGTGAATAGTTCCGATTCGTCACAGTTGTCCATGAATGTGTAGAGGTTATTCAAGGTGCCGTCGGACAACAGTATGTCAAGAGGCTCCTTGCTACCAGTAAAGATATTGGAAGCATTGGCAAATACTTTCTCGATAGCGATTGCAGCGTCCTTTGCCGAGGTTTTCTTCAATTCTTCCATTAAGCCATTGATTTGAGATTTGAGTTCATCATCGTTCAGAGACTCGAGACTCCCAATGCCATCAATCTTGATCTGGCGGTTAACCCATGCCTTGTATTTGTGCATGTGCTCAATGGTCGTGTCCAGCTTAGCGATGTTGTGCTTCGTGTGCACCATACATAAGTGAGATAGTCGTGTAAGATCTGGCATATGCTCGCTGCGATCAATTGCGGGCTTGATGAGGGTCTTCGGATCGAGAAAGTCAATGTGGGGAGCCCATTCTGATCGGGCGGTCGGTTCGACGGGCTTGCCTCCATTTTGATCGCCAACTGTGGTGAGCTTAATGCCAGAGGTTAAAAGTACCAACTGGCCTTCGGCATCGACAATCTGACCGCCGCCCGCAACAGAGCCTGTGGAGGTGTAAGATGCGTTTGCTCTGATGTCGAATGAGTTGGTGAAAGTTGGTCGATAGATGCACATCTCATCAATATGAGTTGGTACCATTGTTTTGTCAAATCGGTCGGCAAATCCTCTTGAAACAGCGACACTGAGAAGTTGTAGTGACGCATCAATGATGGTCGGATGGAGATGATAGCTGATCTGTTCGCCTGGCTTGCTCAAGACTCTTGACTGTGCCTTTTGTTCCACTGTATCTGAGCGGATCTCGCCAAGTCGTTGGAAATCTGGTCCAAAGTTCAATCCAGATTTAGCCAAAGATTCGTAACAGCGACCAATATCTACTTTGCGCAAGAAAGGCTCCTGTTTTCCTGTTGTCGCAAGTTTGTCGCTTTGTGATGTGGTTTCACCAGAGCAATGTTTCGTCCATGACGTGCCATTGTATGATGCAATTGTGAACTCCCACCATTCACTGTCGAGAGAGTCGGTCAAGCGCTTTCGCCGAATTGTAGACATAATTTCTACAGGCTTGCCCTTGGTCAGGACCAAAGCCGTACTGACCCTGACAGCTCGCAGCTTGAAGCCTTCGTCGACGTGGGTCAATTGCCTTATGGCCTCACCAATCATGCCAGCATAGCCAGCAAACGGGAAAATAATATCATCTCCAACCATGTGGTCACGGATCCAAGGAGCGTTATCAAGGTGAAACAGGTTCCGGAAAAGGATGTTGGAGTCGGTACTCTCTGGGACGCGAATACCCAACAAGTCATGATACTTGTGCTCGCGATGTCTCCACTCGTTCGTCAACCTTGATTCGTACCAATGCCTCTCAGAATGATTCCAGGGATATCTGGGTAGATCTGGCAATACCGTGCCTTTAGCGATGACCTTGGTCAGGTCAACGCGAGCATTGAGGTTAAAGAGACTGCCAGCGCATGAAAGGAAGCATTCAACGTCGTTCTTATGGCGAGTAAGAACTGAGACGTAAGGGAATGAACTAGAACACTGTGCCTGAATTTGTCGCAACGGGCCAGCAAGTGCAGAATGGGGTCCAACCTCCAAGAAGAGTGCATTCTTGATGGTTCCCTGATTGATGATTTCTGAAATAGCAGGACTGAAGCGGACTCTGGACTCCATGTTGGTTTGCCAGTAGCGTGGGCCGAATTGGTGGCTTTCAGTGAGTGTGTTCCCTGTAACGCTGCTGTAAAACAGCTTGGTGGGCTTTTTAGGCGAGATTTTGTCTTGCATAAGGGCAAAGTAATCATCACCTATCTCTTTCATGTGATGGGAATGATATGCCATGTCAACTTGTAGTAGTCGCGCCATCGCATCAGGCTTCGAAGCTTTGATCACTTCAATTGTTGACTCTACCGCTTCCGTATCACCAGCGATAGTGACGCTGCTTGGGGAATTCTCGCAGGCAATAACGACGCCCGACTGCAAGTACTGCTCAACGTCTCCAGCACCCATTCCAATAGCAGCCATGGATCCAGGCTTGGTTTGACGCTTGGTAACAAGTCCACGGTAGAAGGCGATTGTGATAGCTTCCTTCGCTGTGATGGCACCAGCTGCATAGGCACCAGCGACCTCGCCACTGGAATGACCTACCACAGCCTCGGCTCTGACACCGACAGAAGCGAGGGTATCAACCAAGGCAACTTGCATTGCAGTGCAAAGGGGTTGTGACAACTCAGCCGAACTGAGTCTGCTCGTTTTGGGAGGTTTCTGAAGCTCCTCCTCGATAGTCCAATCTGGTCCATCTTCAAGAGATTGGAGATGAGCGTCCAAGGCAGCGATAGTTTGTCTGAATGTAGGAAATTGAGAGCTATACATCAATTCTCTTCCCATTTGTGGCCATTGAGCGCCTTGGCCAGTGAAGACCATAACTATGTTGGGCTTGTTTCCTACTTTGGACGGGGGTGAAACCGTGAGAGGACCAAGAGGGCTGGCGATAGCAAATGCTCTATGCGGCAGATACTCGCGCTTGTGACCCAGTGTGAATGCAAGATCATCCACCTTTTCTGGGTTCTTCTCGGCATATTCTTCATAGTTGGTGATCATCTGTCGAAGTGAATCCGCACCATTTGCGGAGAATACTAGCAATTGTGGTGATGTGGTCGCGCGTTCCACAGGAGGAGCGATCTTGAAGCTGCGGGCGGAATCAAGAATCACATGGGCATTGGTACCACCAATGCCAAAGGAGTTGACACTGATGCGCTCATGCTTTGAAGGGGGCCATGGTGTGGGTTCCGTGGGAACTGATAGCCCGCAGGATGTCCAGGGAATGTCTGGGTTCGGTTGGTTGAGTTTGATGTTGGGTGGAATTGTACGATTCTCCAAAGCCAGAACAGCCTTGATCAGTGATGTAAGACCTGAGGCACCTTCAGAGTGACCGAGATTTGGCTTCACTGACCCAATGAAGACACCTCCGGACGGGCCAAATACTCGGCCCACGGCCTTGGTCTCGATCGGGTCTCCAATAGCTGTTCCAGTGCCGTGGCACTCAACAAATGCCGTCTGAGAGTAGTCACTGATGCCGGCCATCTTGTAGGCTCTTCTGATCAAGATCTCTTGAGCAATGTCATTGGGTACCTGTATACCTCCAGCTGTACCTCTGCCGTCGCTGTTGGAGACTGTAGACCTAATGACTGCTCGGATGGGATTTCCATCGCGAATTGCATTGCGTAGAGGTTTGACGAAGATGGCTGAGATTGCCTCTCCTCGAGCATAGCCATTAGCGTCAGCTGAAAATGTTTTGCATGAACCGTCCGGTGAGAGAACGCCCTGCTCGGTCATTGCCACAGTCATTCCAGGTGCCATGATAAGATTAGCACCACCAACGATAGCGCCTTCGCAATCACCACGAGACAGCGCAACGCATGCTTCGTGGAGAGCGACGAGAGACGCTGAGCACCCTGTGCGGACCACCTGACTGAGACCTTGTTATTGACGGACAGGATTGCGAGATGGAGGAATTTTGCCTACCTTGGACCCATAAGATCTAGCTCGTATGAGACACGATTCGACAGCATGAAGTCACCGTAGCCCATAACTCGGTATAGTCCATACTGTTGAGCCTCTTTGGCAAACATCTCTACCCAGTCCTCGCCAAAGCTACCCATGAAGCAGCCGATGGGTCTACCTTTCCAGTCAAACTCGCCTGCATCTTCGAGGCACTCTCGCGCAACTTCTAGCATCTGACGCTGCTGTGGATCAGCGCGTTCAACTTCTGCTTTGCGCATGGTGAAGAATGATGTGTCGACACTAGCGATGTCGATGCTTTCATCTAGAAAGTAGCCATACTGTGTCTTGACTGTCCCGGGTTTCATGGTTTCAGACCAGTAGGAGGAGGCATTGTATCTTGACTCGGGTACTGGGCCGTGGGCATCGCCTTTGGATACCAAAAATTCCCAGAGGTCCTGTGGTGAATGTAATCCACCTGGGAGACGAACTGACATACCACAAATGGCAATGGGCTCAGCAGGAAGTGTGTTGGTAGAGTCTCCATTGACTGTCGCATCCCCATTAGTCCCAACAGAATGGAAGCCATTGGTTGAAGCATAGCCATTTTGTTTAATCGCCTCTGGGCCAGTGTCGTTGATCATGATTGCTTAGTTATGGATGTTTAGTACTTTCGTATATGGAAACGATAAAGAGATTAGGCAAGAACTTTCGGGTCACCTTACTGAGGAGGTGATCAGATATACCCTTATTTTCTATATGTGAAAGTGATTGCCGGCGCCGCGTACGACTGTTTTGAGATCTTACCGGCGTACGGGCCTCAATGGAGTAAGCCCTTGAAATGCACCTTGGCGCGCAGCCCCCAATTCACAGACATTGACCTGTTTTAGCATAAAGAAACGATAATGGAGTTACACTGGACGTACTTGTTTATACCACTGTCTTGGCGGCTGAACTCGTAAGCACTTGGATGCAGGTCTTCTTGTTGCCCTACGCCTCACTAAAAGTCCTGATGCTACCCTCCACCTTGATCGGCACATTTTAGCTCTGTCCTCCCGCATCTCTGCTTACGAGGTGCATTATCTAAACGGGTTACGAGTCGTGAAGGATGGACTATTTACGAACCTTCTTGCATGAGTGGAGCAATAGCGACCTATGCTGGTAAGATTGAGGCTGTGTTTCCTCATGGTATGATGGCAAGGTTTCCCTTTTTGTATATATGAATATTTAAACCCTTTCAATAGCATCAAGGCTTTCTACCAAGAAAATGATTCCTCCACAAATCGAACTACCGCTCCATGTCGTGTAAGTCCAGCACACACATTCCTAGCTTCGTCGCACATCTGTTGTGGACCACAAACAACAACTGTTGTGCCTCCTGTAGTGCTCTCTAACTCATTTTTGAAAACCTGTTTTATGTCCATGCGTGACCCAATCGTAACATGTGCTTCAAAGTGACCCCAGTTAGAAGCGTGGCCGTTCCCTTCTTCATCTTGGTAACCATCTCCCTCAACAATCATTCTCTTGACTGAATCGACAAGACCACGGTTCTTGGTTCCCCAGTACAGCTTACTTGTCCCAATTGGTCGTGCATACATAGACAAAGAGCTTTGGAGGGCCGGTAACACTGCAGTTACACCTACTCCGCCAGCGATAGCGAGCGTGTTGGGGTAATCGGTAGTAGGCATGAACTTTGTTGGGTCCTCGTGGCCATAAGAACATTCCACAAGAATCGGGATAGGGATTCCAATATCAGCTTTTTTAGGGAGTCTAGAGGTTAATCCACATTCAGGAGATACAAACAAGGTGATGCCTGGTTTGATGGAGTTGTTAACAGTTACACTGCTGGGAGCTTTGACTGCAACCATACCGACCTCCTTGAACAGCGAAGCCTCTGTGGGCGACGTGGTCTTGCCCTCAACCTGTGAGCTTGAACTTGAGTGTGAATTCTCTCTCTCCAACTGCCCCTTGCTACAATTAACAATTGAGAAAGGATGGTTCTCCCATACTCGCAAGGAAAGTGTAGGGAAATAGACGAAGCAATGACCATGTGCATCCACGTCAGGAATGTCAATCTGTAGATACTTCTCATCAGCTCTCGTGATGTAAGCCTTTTTGATGCCATATCTTGAGATACGAAGGATGCGCAACAATCTTTCGTACCCCCAAACAGCTATCGCTATGATGAGCCAAATCTCGAATCCACTGGTATCTTCAAATAGATACCAGATATGGTACCAAGATCCAACCAAAACGACAACAGCCAGGCAAATGTGCACAATGAGGAAGATCTCGTATAGAGCGCGTCGGAAAGGGAGAATGGAGAAAGGTAGCAGCAGGGAGAAGGCAAGCGTTCCAACGATACCCCATTGCCAATATGGTAATGTAACCACCTCTGCATGCGAATGAGCCTCAACCATTATCTGGAGCCACATCAGAGAGTGAAGGATGACTTGAACAACGCATACCATTGCGACCCATCGATGGAGAAGAATAAAGGTAGAATAAGACCAGTTGGTTAAGCGAAGCAGCAAGCTATTGCGACCAGCATAAAGTATGATAATCGGGATATTGGCGAATGCAATGATACCAGCCCGGTTGCCAATGTGCCGCATCAACTCATCTCGTCGGATTGGGAAATAGGCATTGGGGGTATAGCGAGGGTAACCATCGAATGTTGCTGCCACATTGATTGCGATGATGTAAAGAATGAAAAGAGCTTGACCGCGAGTAGGGACAATACCCAGTCCAAGGGTTGGAACACTGTGTCTCTTGCCCCAAGCAGGAGGATCGATGATATACGCGTAGAATTTGCTTCTAACACTTTTCGGGATTGGTAGGAAGCGGAGTAATGAGAAACCGATGGGTATAGCAACGCAAGAGAGAAAGACTAAGAGACTGCGTGTGGCAGAGCATAAGTATTTGTCTTCGGATACATATTGGTAAACTTACGAGTACTTGGATTCGTTCTTACCGATAGCTATATACCCCTTGACAGAGTTTGAATAGCTTTCGTAGGTTGTATCTTCGATAGAGATGGTTCGGTTGAGTACCGTTTCTTCTGCAGACATGGGCTTTGGGAGGGTCTTGTTGTCTACTTGAGCTAAAGCCTCAGCGTATGAGAACTTGATGCTTTGGACTTGGTAAATCATCTTGGTCCCCCAAAACACCTCGATCTTGTAGGGTCTGGTATCTTTCGAGCAGTATGAGTCAATGCACCAGGCAATTGATGTCAAGTACGAAGTGTCATTTCCCATGCACGCTGCGGATGGGTAAGCAGCCGCACGCTCTTCTGCCGACATACTGGCATATTCGGGACAGTCAAGTGTAGTAGGCATTGCCCAAGTGCAGGCTTGTGCACATGGCAGCTCATAGTCGTTCCGGCCATAGCCTTGTAGAAGCTCGGTGGCTGATACAGTGAAGGGCAGTGTCAACAATGTCAACAGCAAGGTCGCTGGTAAATTAAGGCTAGTAAAGACCCTCATAATGAAAGGCACAGATCCAATGCAGGCTAAGTCAAGAGAAAAGGGCAAGTGTAAAGAGGAGGCTTAAGGAGTACAGGCCAAGGAACAATCAGTTGTTGAATAACTCCAGGGCAAGGGCTCCGTCGGTTTATATCAGTATCTGTCTTTAAACACATGCCTTTCACCCGGACACTAAGATTGAAAGAAAACCCTGTTTGGGTATCCAATAAAGCCGCGGCAAAATTCTAGATTGCTTCTGAACTTCAATGGTTCGATATGAGAACCAACACACGATCTAGTCTAGGAAGACGTTTCTGCGAAGGGCAGGTGGCTCATCTATCAAGTCTCGTTCCCTGCAGACTTTCAGAAGCAGATGCATCCCAAAATCTCTCGGTATCCCGTCTTCCGTGGGCTGATCTTAGGACTAGGGCTTAATACAATTCTACCAGTCTAGACGAGAGAGGATTCTTCAACGACTCACATCCTGCACATACTATTTGTGAGTCTTGGCTGTAGCATCCACATCTACGCGAGCATCGGCACTTGGTCCTTGGCCCAGACCACTCTATCAGATACCCGTATGCCGAGAGACCCCAGTTCCTCCCTGTGCAAAATCTTCTTTGGCTTTTAACCTTACCTTTTAAATGAGAAAGACCCGCTACTATTGATCATCCAATGCGATATAACGGCTATCCGGCAACTAAACTACGCACACTATACCCATAAAGGGAATCTAACGGAACAACAAGGTTTCATGATCGACCCAGCTGATTGATAAGATGATTGATTAACTGATTGATAAAAAAAATCTCTAGCGTGGTGTGGCACATTTTAACGAGACGAGGCAAGGCACTTACTGCGGAAATTTCCGTACTTAACAGCCAGCCATTGAAACTGGTTACGATAATATTATGTAAATGTTTGCGCGATTTGCATATAGAAGGACTTTTAGTCGGATGGCGGATTTTTGCAATGCAATTTTTATACATATTTTATCAATGTGTTCATAAAAAGAAATTTGCATAATTCATTGGAGAATTGTCAACAAACTAAAGACGAAAAGCCTGACTGGGAGCGAAATAACTCATCTTCCGCTACCCTAAACCTCGACGAGAGAACATCAGGGACATGACAAACTGTCTCATCTCTCCAGTGCTTGAACAATACTGTTCGAAAGATTTAATGGCAGTATTATATGTTTACTTACCAATTTTGAAAGTGGGTTACTGTGCTTATGTTTGAACCTCGTGTGGAACTCTTTGATCTCGATATATATTGTTCAATCTGACTCAACGAACATTCTGAATTAAATGGATAAAGTTCAGTGGAGAAGTGGAGCCCATGAGAGCGTGTGTCTACTCGGTAACCACCTTCATCGTACATAAAAGACTGTAAACTAGTCAATCTCAGACCGTTGTTTCCATATATCTGGGTTAAAAACAGTCCCTCCTTAACCTTACAAAACGTTGGTACACATAACAGAGGATTTGGACGGAATAATTCGACCCGAGACCCACCTGGAAAAGGGCCCAACTCAACCTTGGCGCTAACCAGTTCTGGACCTCTTCGAAACAATAGACCTCGACGCGAATCCAAAACGCGTATAGAGTATTGACATATTATTAAATAAAAAGAACCGGTTTGCAACACAATTCATGACCCACATTATTACCGTTCCCGCCTTCCATAACCTATCAGCCATCATAGGCTTGAAGGTTTGCCGTCTTCAAGACTCAGACTACATGTAAAGTTCAGAGCCAGATAAGTCAGCCAGTCCTCTTGGACAATGCTGCCGTTGCGTTGTGTGATGATATTATTCATTTGATGGGTTGGCTTCAAAATATGACGACTTTGATGATATTATTCCTGTTGACTGTAAAAAACAAAAATACGAGACCGCCGATGACTACTGATGGGATGTCTTCCATTGGTTGAGACTTGATCGGTGAGATCAATTAGGCGCTGGTGCCTAAAATATAGAGCCGAAGGATTCGATTCCATCACTCACCTACTTGACTTATAAACGCGAACTGAGTCCAATATAATCATAGATGAAAAGTTCCCTCAAACATTCACTACTTCTAAAATGGTTTACCTTCCACCTGCAATTCCGGGAGATCGCCTTACGACATATCTTGTCACAGAACTTACAAACGACGAGCTGAAAGTTATCAAGTCAGCTTTTGAACTTGGTGCTTGTTCCAAATTTTCACCCCTACTCGAACTCAAGATCGTGCGCGCACCTGAAGACTATTGGGGAAAGTCTCACCAATACATCCGCACCAAAGAAAATGAAGCTGGCAGAGAAGAGGCCTTCACTGTTATCGATGATGAAGCAAAGGAAAGAGGCGCTATTTGGTACATTGATCAATTCGCCGACGAAGAACAGGTTGAGGATGGCGAGGCTGAAAGTACCGATGCTGTCTTCAAGATCTTGATCCAGACTGAAGCCCTGGCTCTGGCTCAGGTCAACTACGCCATCGCCAATTCTAGTATCGGAGAGGACCTCGATAATTGTGCTGTGGATTCACCCCTCACAAACGACTTCCATCAGCCGGATCTACATGATTGTGGTGGATTCGACTGGGTCGAGCAGCAAAAATTTCAGGATGCATGGGTCACGGCGGAGCCTGGGGAATACGAGGAAAGCACCGATGATGAGCGTCGCAATAACTTCATGCCTCGTCCTGACAAGGTGGCAAGACTCAAAGAGGATGTGGCTCAGAGCGTTGGACTGGTCAGCTCCTGGTCGATTCCCAGCGAAGCCAGGTCTATTGAGTATGAGGATGGGACGAAGAAAGAGTTCCCCCCGGGGAGTGTTGTACTGCAGCAGAGATACGATCCCGAATTTCCCTGGCCAGAGTATCAGTGGCCAGAGGGGTCTTTGTAGGGTGATCGCGGGTGCTCTTCTAATATACGAGTATGCAGTCAATTCTTCGTTCTCTTAAATAGAACTTCAATAGCATTCACAAGTTGACGTTGAAGGTCAAGTAGAGCTCGTCAGGTGGACGAAATACGAGCGATTGAAGTGTGCAAATAAGCATCTTACACAAAAACATTTCCAACACTCGTCAAACTGAACCTCCACTTGGTAACCGATTCCCTTCAACCATCCATCGTGGCCAGTAGACATCAAAGCAACTTGCTACTGCTCTCTGGTCTTCAACAGAAGCTCGTAATTGGGATCGGGAGAGCACTTTACAAGTCAGCATCAAGTCTCGCATGGTGGAGGTTCCGGCGTAACTTACAAGAACTTCGAATTCGATATTCGGCGGTCGGCTTGCCCCATCGCACAACTTAATATCATAGTTCATCAAGAGTTCGGACATGATGAGCTTGATGTTGATGGCGCTGAGGTACCTCCCAGGGCAGGCGTGTCGTCCAAAACCCCATGAAAGATCCTCTCGGCCCACACTAGAGTACTGGTACTTCGCCTCTTGTCCAGGACCTTGGCGCATCTTGTAGAAGCGAAGACCATCAAAGTCGCTAGGGTTTTCGTAAAGATCTTTGTCTGCGTGAATCGAGCAGGTGTTAATCTCTAGTTTGGTGCCTTTGGGGACGAAGGTTCCGTCTGGGAGTGTCATATCTGCGATCGCTGCTCGCTGGAAAGTGGCTAGAGGCTGTTAGTGGGAATCAGGTCGAAGGCCGGTGCTGCACTTACAAAGGTCGGGGGAGTGGAGCCGCTGACTCTCCTTTATGAAGCTGTCAAGCTTCTCCATTGCCAAAATTGAATCCCGACTGAAATTTCCATTCGGACCTCGAGGCAGGGACTCAACCTCCTGTCGCAATATGGGAACATATTCCGGATGAGTGGCAAGATCGTAGATAGCTTGTGTCGTGGAAGAATATGTTGTGACAGTACCAACCGCGATCAAGTTCATCTGGTGAACCAGCTGCATCTCAATGTCGTCGGCCATTGGTGCATTCCTACCATTGCTCAAATGGTCCAACATCGTTGGTGGATCTTCCAGATTTCCTCCTTTTTCTTGCCTCTCTCTCATGGATGCCATCACGCGTTTGCGACCCTTTGCCCATTGATCTTTGATAGCAGCTCGTTCCGGAATGAGCCTGTAGACGAGTGGTCGGAGCCACGGGTGCCACTGCTTCAAAGCTCGTATGCAGTCGAAGCAAGCCAGCACGTAACCGGTGGATGCTGAGAGCCATTCTTCATCCTCGCTGGCAGCAGTACCTTGGAATGCACGAGCATTGTTTGTTGCAACGAGGCGGAGTACTCGGTCATGGACTTTCACCGGTGTCCAGTCTGTCTTCCCGTTAGAGGGCTTTAGGAATATCAGAATAGTTCAGAAACTCACCTTTGTATACACCCATGATTTTGGGCATATTTTTGCGTACCATTCCATGTAGTAAGGGTGCAAAAGCGGCTATAAAGATTAGTCTCAATGGTCTTGATCAAATAGTACTTGATAGGGATTTTTACGCAGTGATCCTGTGAGATTGGCTTTGATGGCATGGATGACATATTCTGGTGGACCTCCGAAATATGTGTACTCGATTTGCATGTCCTATTTGGTCAGCTTAGATGCTCTCGAGTGGTCAGCCAATTTCACCCACGTTGTCGATCGAGGCTTTGAAGCTGAGAGCGGGATGACTCTTCAGTGTATCCAGATAGCTTGGAGGTATGACGAGTTTGAGCCCTATCAAAAGTCAGCGCTGGTAGTGAACTGTCAAGAGACTTCTCATACCGTCTTGTGTATCAAGGCCAAAAACTTGGTTTTTGAACTGAGTTGTTAATGCCGCGGTGCCGAAAGTAGGTGACTTGATTTACCTTCTTGTACCCTTTCTCCATGACCTTGCGAGGGTTGAAGCAATACTCGAGAGCACGCTTTCTTGCATTTCCGATCTCGTCTTGAAGTAGGATTGGGACATTTGGGGCCTTGCTACGACCGAAGAAACTCACAATGGCCACGAGTATTACAACCAAAGATGACCCCACCCCGGCCATAAAGTACCGGCCTAGGGGATGATCAAGAGTCTCGCCAACCCATCGGTCGAAAGCAAGGTGAAGTTCTGTGAAAGTCGTGCCCGCCATGGTGTCGCATGCGTATATGGTTAGGATTATTGTCTTTCCACGTCAAGTGCAGTTATGCAACCATTGAGTTTAAATTGCGAACTTCCAGGACTTATATGCTGGGCAAGGCCCGACTGGTAGCATTGCTTGGACATGACGCTAGGTATTGTTCGAATGGTGCGGCTCGGCTTGAACTCACGTATTCATGAAACGAGGACCGACCATTCTACCATGCCCGTGTTCTCCTATTGTCATCGAATGCGGGATCCTGATTGCTTGACCAACAGTTTGTCTGAGCGTGCGTTTCTCTCATTGACAGTCAGCATTAGGCCACTCTGTATTGATGCCAGTTGTTGGCTGCTGGGTTGTGACGCTAAAGCCATTTGAAAGGTTTGTGGCTGCGACAACAATACTGAGCCGGCTCGTTAGCGGCCAAACTAGAACGCTTTGACAGCAATCAATCTGCAAATCTGTAGCAGTCGAGTTGACGGAAGACTTGCCTACCAAAGATTGAACATGAAATCGGAAGTATTCAAGTCCGAATGCCGAAGTCTGTCATCCATATACATCGTCAGCTTCACGCGTATCAATCAACGTACAGATGCATGGAATTTCAGTACAGCAATAGCCCCAGCTGCTGTGAGGTCAACAAAACACATTATTCATTACAATCTTATACTATAAAACTATTCAATGTGACTTCGATCTTCTTTTCGCTTGCTTCTTGTCGTGTTGCTTGTTGACATGCTCCACATCCATGTCTTTTCCAACGGCAAGCAAATCTCTCCTAAGAATAGCTCTGATATGAGCAGCCGCGCAGACAAACCACAGAGCAACAAGAACAATAGTCAAAGCTGAGGCAAATGCCTGGATGCCTCGCGAATTAAGGTTCTTTCCCACGTTGATAGTCGCAAGAGCAAGTCCAACGTTGGGGAAAATAAGTGCCCACCATGTCAGACTAAATTCCATGCTGCGGACACCTCGGAGAACTGACAGAGTCGAAAGAGCGGAGAACCATATGGCCATGAGCCAGATGAAAAGGCCTACAGGGACAGACATTCCATACCAGAGTTCTCCGATAGGAAAGCTTAAACTGCCGAGGAAGTCATCTGGCAAAGAGGACTTGGCTTGTGTTCCGAGTGCGATGAGTCCAGCGCATGTGAACGCTGCAATTGTTAGTAAGATCTCGAAAAATAAAGAGGGTGGGAATTAGCTTACCTGTAGGTCCAACAGCGATGAACATACCCGGCCTCTTGGATGGAGCCGGTAATTGATGCTGGATCAGACGCGACAAATACACAGCGTAGATAAAAAGTGCGAGCATCCAACCAAGTCCTTGTCCCATGAGGCCTGCGACAATGATCTGGATTGCGCTCCACTGAGGCTGACTGCCCGCTATCTTGGCAGCCAAAATACCAGTGACCAAGAATGGATAAGCGGGAAGGATCCAAGCAGGTAGAGCCTCAGAAATGTCCAGTCTCTCAGTCTCAAAAATTATATGGTACTGAGATACAGCGACAATCATCTCACAAGCGTAGTATATCCAGAAAATTACTCTCATCGCGGTGACGAACCATTCTCCCGTAGCAGGACCTCCATAAGATTGCGCGCCATTGAGGATCAGGGCAATTGAAACCCAAAATGAACCGAAAAAGAATGACTCGGATGGATGATGCAGACTTGTCGCAAAGGCTCGTGGTTTGATGCAGAAGCGCGCGATCATCAAGCAGGTAAATGTTACGAATAGAACAAGATTTAGAATGAAGACAACCTTGCCAATTGTCTGTAGCCCAGTAAAGGTGTACGGCTGCTCGCCTAACAGATTGGCCAGACCACCTGTTGACATTGTGCAGGGAAACCATTGCCAGGTCACTCGCACGACGCGATCTTTTAGACGTAGTGGAGGCTCTTGATCGCCTGGAAATGCCTTTTTGCGGGCATCGGCACCCAATTCGACATCGACGTGGTGGCCATTGAGGTTTCGCGCGTAGCCATTTTGGTGTTGGGTCGCGTGTTCGTGATCGTCGCTCGTAGTGTCGTCGTTATTGGGAGACATTTTGTCGTCTCTTGATTCGAAGCTACATTTCTGTGTTTTACACACTGGACTGCGTTCAACTATTATATCTTGATAAAAATTACCAGACGCTTTCTTCCTTGTTTTTACATGTCTTCATCATTCTTGGCTTCGTGACGCAAGCCAAGGGGAGCTAGGATGCCGTCACCCGTGGGCCAAGGTCCACTTGATGGAGCAAATGGTAATCTCAGATTAGAGGTTTTATCAGTGGTTTTGCAGCACTGAAGAGAAAGAAAGTTTCAGAACATTACTAGCTGGCTGGAGATGCCGAAGCCTAGGCCTCGTAACCCTGATCGGCAATAGCGGCGGCATTGACGATTCGGCTTAGTGGACATCAATCGCAACAACCACACTAACCTAATCACCTTCGTCGGCGATGAGAATCTGACACAGCACACATTGAAACTGAATGACTACTTGAGTCTCGAACGTCTAAAAACATACTCTGACGCCCTAGATACGTTCTAGTTGCTGGGGGTCGCAATGGTATCGTCCCTTTTCGTGCCGCTCATGGACCCTGTAGCGACTACCACCCTTCTCTTATTCTGATCCTGGATAAACTTGATGGGTCCTTCAGGAAGACTCTCCCCAGGCAGCGCCCAGTTCATGTACTTCCGAAGCCCTTCGTCGAGTCTTGGGGTCATTCCAGGCTTGTACGTGAACTTCCCTCCATACTCAGTTGGTATGTTCTCAATATCGAGATAAGGCGTCAAGGTTGACAGCGAATCCTCACCAGAGGAGACGATGATGAGTTTGGCCGCTGTGCGAGGATCAATAAATTTTGACAATATGCCCCAGATCTTGCCAAAGTATGCCGGCGCGTTCATAACCTAGACTCATTAACATATGGCTTTCAAGTTGCTTGAGGTGCTCACATAACAGCGGTCTACCATCTCTGGAAAGCAGACAGCCAGAAGCTGGCTGACATCTTGCGCATACCCCTTCAACGACCAAGCTTGCCTCAGGCCAAAATTGCCAGCATTAACCACATAGACAGAGCTGACAACAGATGGGCTTTGGGCTTTGCAGTCCGGCATTGACGCACAGAGAGGTAGAACGAATCGCGTCATGTAATCGTGATAAACCATGGTGTGCTGACTTTTTTCCGTGGCAGTCTGGCTTGCGTTGTATTTGGACATGGATTCAGCAGTTAGTTGTCCAATGTCGAACATGCAAAGAGGCAGGCCGCGCTTATCTCGGCGACCAGACCAAGTGGGATACTAAAGAACGTCAGCAAATAGAGTATTGAGAAATAGTTCTTCGGAGAAAATACCATTTTACGCGCTTCTTCAAATTCATCGACAGAAATAGTGTCATAGGCTTTGATCGCTTCCGTGTCTTTGCGAATGGCCATGGCTTCTTCGTACTGGTTGAGGGCACCCTGAGGATCGAACCCACGACCTTGCAGAAACCTCCTGATAGATAGTCAGTTCATGTTTGAGATGCAAACAGAGAAGACTGAACTCGTACATGAAGGTAGGATGATCATTGATACCGTCAGGTACGTCTCTTTCCTGTAATTCTGGAGGCCGTTTGAGATGACCTCGCTCCTCAAGGAACTTTATCAACACGCTGAACGAGCTTTGCTGTGACACTGTCGGAGTTATCACAGCCGGCGGTTCGGTCTCAGTCTCTGTGGCCATGGTGGTGATTCGGCAATGAGATGGATGTGAGCAATGGTCTTTCCCGCTCGTACCGACGTGACAATAGTGGATTCTCTGAGATCAATGTGTCAAAATGATACCTGGGAGAGAATGCAGTAGAGTCATATACCTGTTTATAGAGCGATGATGAAGTTGCCGGTCTATGGATATGGACAATGCGGGTGCTACGCTAAACAGGTGATATTTAAACAGAGGAAAATCAGGAAAATTTAAAAGAGGAAGCTCATTGATTTTCTCGGCCCCTGGAGGTTACCTAGTCGATTCCTTCATGGCAAATCTTGGAATATTGTCAATTAACAGGCCTTTGAAGGATTGCATGGCGGGTCAGCAGGGAGTCGCCATTGGCTGATATGTATGTCGATCTACTCAGCTTACCCCCGAGCGAGATCCTTCGTTCTACTGATAACACCTGTTCTTATCTTGGCTGAGACACAATAGTCTGATACCTTGCTGTGGCGGGATGTTTGTCTTCATAAAAATATGAATCATCCTTCACAAATGACGTTGTCTCCATTTGCCGAAAGTTCGTTCGCCTTGTTGAGCTCACTGTCATTGCGCGCTGAACAAGATCGTCAGGCCGACCTCCACATAATTAAGATATGCACACAGACTATTGACCATGCTCTGGTCTGCACCCATGGAAAGTTTCAATCTCCAATGGATCAACAACAGAATGATTGGCTCGAGACAGAGGCTAGGATAACTAATACCATAAAAGCGATCCAGCTGCGTTCAGATTTGATAAAGCATATTGGCCCTCTCCATGAATTCGGAGGTTGCAACCACATCAACGGTAACTTCTCTGCCGTAGTGCTGCCGCTGTGTAGACCTGACCGCTTAGAGCTTATAGCATATGTGCTTGAGTATAAGTCGAAGCAAGGGGAACACCATGTTCTAGCGCTAACAACAAAGACGCATTTCTCCACGATTCTGTTCTTGAGGCTGAAGACACCTCTACGGTATGTTCTGGCAAATCAAATGGCCTAGGATATGCTAATTGTGAGTTTAGGAATCTCAAATGCAAGCCGAAGCTGGTCTACGCCTTTTGTTTGAGCGTTGCATACGTCGGCTCCTGCAAACTGACGAAACATGAGCCAAAAGGATTGCAAAGGCATGGAAAAATTCGATCGACACAACCATAAAGGAAAAGCACGTCGAATTCCAGTCCTTCGAGGAATACTTGGAGTTTCGCATGATTGATACTGGTGCACCGTAAGTTCGAAAAGTGATACTCAAATTGTAGTGAAAGATTGGCTGATATTTAAAATCAGATTCGTGGAGGCTCTCATGCTTTTCGGTATGGCCATGACGCTCACGCCGCAAGAAGATGCTGAACTTGGTCCCATCATTCGGCCATGTTTCGCCGCTTTGGCTCTGACGAACGACTACTTCTCGTTTGATCGAGAGATGGCAGAAGCTGACACTTCTACCCTTATCAATTCGGTTTCCATCGTAATGCGTCTTCAGAACCTATATATCTCGACGGCGAAGGAAGTCATCAACGAAACCATACAAAAGTACGAACGAGAGTTTCTTCGACGCATTGACGTGTATAAGAGTCAGAGGAGCCAGTCTCGGAAAAGATTCAGCAGTAATTGGAGGCCATAACATATCAAGTCAGTGGAAATCTAGCCTGGAGCCTCAATTGTCCTAGATACAATCCATACTTTAGTTACGGTTTAGAGGCATGTCAACAGAAGGAATGATCGTCGGAGTCATGTCGCTGTTTTGAAGCAGGTAGTTGTGATACAGCCAAAGCAAATAAACTCAATTGGTATTTAGAAATAAAACATAAGTAATGTATAACCTAACGCAGGCTGCCGCTTTTAAAGTTCTTTATTAGCTCTCGCTTATTATTCTATCCGCCTTACATGACTAGCTTTCTTCAATCACGAAGCAATCCAAAGGGACATAGACACGAGGCTCGCATTTCCCACAATGACAGCCCCCCCATCGTCCCTCAATCTTTGCAACAACACCAGATCCTTCAAAAGCTGCACGGAACTCTTCTTCCGGCGTCTTAAAGGGCTTTGGTATCTTGTGCATATGTTGATCGTTCCAGTCGTCATCCCAACATCCCCGGAAGCGTGAGCCAAGTAGAGGGATTTCAGCCTTGACTGTTTGAAGCCCTGGGAACGCCCCTTCCCTTGCCTTTTGACCAAGATATATAATATCATCCCAACAAATCCATCTCATATCATCGCCCTTGATTAAAAGAGTCAAGTCGCGGATTGATGGCGTAAGCAGGTCCGTCAGGCACGTCTTTTGATGGCTAAACTTCTGTCTACCGAGGGTACCTTCGGAAACGTGTCGACAGAAACACAAGGGATCAAGGGTCAGAGAAGTAAGATTGGTGAATCGACTGAGCTGCTCTCTTGTGATGATTGTAGAATGAAAAGCTGGAGGATCTCGGAGATCAAAGTATGATGCTAATCCCAGGATATGAGGTCCTGTGGATTCAAGCTTGAAATCGAGATGAAGCTGTTGTAACTTCTCTGAGTTGAGATATCTTAGTAGTGTTTTGGGTGCAGCGTGATGGACTTGAGGCCTTTCTTCACTGTACGAACCTGGCCCCTTATCGATGACATACTTGAAGCTTGTTAATCTTTTCGCCATATGAAGTATTTTAAACAGCGGATGCACGTCGTTACACCCTTCTCGGAAAGACCATCCATGAATCTGCAACTCGTTGAGATTTTGGAGAACAATGTTGCATTTCGGATTATTGAATTCAGGACCGTAAGATGGGAACTCAGCTTGCTCAACACCTCTTAGCACCAAGGTCTCGAGTTGGGGAGATTGTTGTAGGAGGAGAGATAGACCAGGCCCGGCCGTGCTGAACGTCACAAAGTCGCCCGCCTCGAGTTCGAGATACTTGAGGTTCTTGAAACTTGACTCAGATCCACGCTGCGTCAGGATCTTGCTGAAAAAATCGAGGTTTATCCCTTCATCAGAGAAACCGATGGTCAAACCCTGTAAATTAGATGCCAAACCCAGCAGGGTATTTATTTGGATATAATAAGGATCCTCCAGGGCAAGGCGAAATGACATCGAAGTACCAGCCAACCTGCAAGCTATTTTGTAAAGTACCGAGCGGCACTCGTCCGTCATATGGTATGGCAAATGTAGAATCTTGACGTCTTGTGCCAGGTCTCGATCGCGATCCAAGACCTGCAACTTGTAACGTGTCGTTATACCACTGCCGACTAGGTGAAATAGTATAGGCATAGCGGCTCTGCGACAGCGTTTGCTGGTTTGAGTAAGTGCTAGCAAGTCCCTGGGGCCAAATCCGAACTCATATTCGTATGCATGGTGAATCTCGGGATATTTGACAGACTCTGGACTGTGACAATGAGAGCAAAAGTGTGAAAACACACAGTTGAGAAGTTCAATGGGGAGATTGCTGATGAGGCTAAATTTGGGATTTGTAGGGTTTTCCATGGAGGCAGCTGGTGTTGACATGAATTTGCATAGAGGTTGATGCACAGTTTACATCTTCACATTTATATCCGTGCCCAGCAGAATGCAAGGATTGATACCGCCAACCAACGCCGTCTGACTCATGCGGCGGTATCTAACGCACGGATAGCCTCGAATAATGGGTTTTCGAAAACGTCTTTTAATTCCTTGGAGTTGTCTCAATTCAATTGGCCAGTAGGTTAAATAATTGTTTCACTATTACTAGCTAGCTACCTTTATATAAAACATTTGGAGGGACAATCTTACAGGGGTCTTCGGCCAAAAATTGGGGCACCCCTGTGATCTATAATCTTAGAAATGCTATCTCCCCAGCCCCCTAACGTCGCTCAGCCCACCTTAGCTCTAGGAATGAGAATGGGTTTTGATGCGCTTGAGTTTCGTTTGGAGTTGAGTGGTATCCACTTTGAACTGTCATGTCCAAGACGTCACAGGAACGAAAGTGGTTTATGGTTAGTTAGTTGGTATAGCAACACAAAGTCTCAGGCTCATGGTGACGTGCTCGACTCTGGCGACATGAGCATATATGAACTTTTTCAAACATTTCAATTCTTCGAATACTCAGTTACATCACAACTTCAATCAGTACCCAAGAAATACCACCTTGACGAAAATCAACATGTCAGCTCTTCGCGCTTATCAACCTCTTTTTCGCCGCGCCGCACAGCGCACAGCGCCTACCATCAACACTACCACTCGTCGCTTCCTCAACGTAGAATCCGCACCAACACTTTACTCGGCACGCGCAAAAGCAATTGGTGCTCGCAAGGGTCGTATCGAAGGCGAGAACCTCAATGTCGAGCTCACCATGGCCAAGGCCCTCGGTGGTCCCGGCGACAAGGGCAAGACGAACCCAGAGGAGCTCTTCGCCGCTGGCTACGGAGCTTGTTTCCAGTCTGCCATGAACGCTTGCGCAGCCCAGATGGGTATCGAAATGCCTACCAATGTCGAAGATAGCGTGGTCGATACGACAGTGCACCTTGTGGGTGATATGAAGTCGCTGGATATGGGTCTACGCGTGGATATGAAAATCATGGTTAAGGGCCTGGAACAGGAGGAATTGGAAAAGGTGGTTCAAAAAGCGAAGGCGGTTTGCCCGTATTCTAGGGCTACAAAGGGCAATGTCTGGACAAACTTTGAATACGTCCAGGGTTAAGTGCGAGTCGCGAGCGGTTACGTGCATCGGTATATTGAATACAGAATATTCAACATCTTTAATTACGCGATGAGGTCTGTTGATCTGTGGACGAGAAACCATATACGTGAAAGAAAACGAACGCAACCTCAGACAAGTCTGGTCAGATACCAAACGAATGACATGGGCCTCTGAATCGACTAGATTCCTGAATCATCCCAATCCTCGCGAATCAACTCAGCTCCCTTTTCACCAATCATGAAAACAGGCCCAACAATGTTAACGTCAGGCAAGACAGGTATAATGCTACAATCAACGATGCGAAGGCCATCAACACCATAAACTCTGAGACGCGGATCCACAACACCGCCATCAGCCTTGGGGAGCATCTGGTTAGTACCAGAAGCATGCCAGTTTGGGATGCTGTTCGCCTTGACATAATCGAAAATGGCGTCTTCATCGTCATCATCAACAGCTGCACCAGGGCTTACTTCGCCATGGTTTGCACCGTAGGTATATCGCGAGAGGGCAGGATGGGCTAAAATCTTGCGAAGATAGTGGAAGCTTCGGATAGCAATTGCTCGGTCTGCGTCATGAGTGTAATACTATACAATAGTTAGGACGTGAAAAACCATGGCAAACAAAGACATATCATTTCTGTGGACTCACATTGGGGTTGATCTCAGGAGCCATCATCATTGAGGTACCCTTGAGCGAAATATTGCCACGCGATAAGGCAACCATACTACTCGCCGTCAATGAGATATAAGACTCATTGGCGAGTTGCTTGTAGTAAGGTGTTGGTCCAGACGGATACCATGTTGATTCAAAGAGATACTCAATATGCGATTGGTCTCCGAGGCCGGCTTCTACCACGGGACCTGCTCCAATCTCGAACAGCTCTTGTTCGGAAAGTCTTTGGAACCCATTGGTGATTCCACTTGGGGCAGTGTACGGGCCGGTGCCATTGCTGTAAAATTCCTACTCGGGTGTCAGTCAAATTCATTTGTATTCCTCGACAAACAATCACCTCTTGAGCTGCCTCTAGCAAAGTAAAGTCTGATGACAATTGGGATGACGAGTATTGGAGATCATCCTCTACCCTCGCCATTATGCTGAAGACACTATGGTCGTTCAAGCTGTGAATATTAATAGGTGAAGCCAGAAATATTCGGGCGTATCTTACTTTCGACCAATGTTCTCGTTGATAAGCACGGGCTCAATCGCAAACTTTTCAAGCTCAGACGAAGGACCAAACCCCTACATTCTTGAGTTAGCGACATCATCAGTACTCAGAATCGCTCACTAACCGAAACCATAAGAAGTTGCGGTGATTGAAAAGCGCCCATAGAGACAATAACCTCTTTGGAGGCGTGTACCTGATGCGTTCTTCCAGTAGGATGATCCATAAACCGGACTCCCGTAACTTTTGGTCTGTCACCACCGGTACTTGACAGGAGTTGCTGGACTGGCGCATAGTACAAAACATCAAGATTCTTCCTGTTGAGAGCTTGCTTCAAATACCCGTCATAACTAGAGCTGCGCAAAAGATGCTTGTCAAGTGTAGCTGTACCTTGTTTAACGCCTGTGCTATTCCCAGTGTTGTAATCTTCGACAATGGGAATGTTGGCAGCTTCGCAGGCGTTCATAAAGGCGATGCTTGTTTCTGGAACATAGCCCTGGTATGCGATTTCAAGAGGACCATTTCCATAAGCTGTGCTGTTGTAGGTCTTGTAAGTATTGTCAAATCCCTTCGATTCATTCTGAGGGTTAAAATGTGTGCCCTTTATTGTCAGTCAGATTCTACGTAAGTGGAGTTCTTAACTCACCTTGATGAAGAGTGGATAAACATCGTCCCATGACCACCCTGGATTCCCTCTCTTCTCCCACAGATCGTACACCGTAGATGTACCACGTCCATAATAGAATCCATTAATCATGCTACTCCCACCCAATCCTTTGCCGCCTGTTTCAGTTAGCCAATGCTATTCAGATGAAGAGGTAACGTGAGACAAACGATGATAGGTAAGGATTCTTCCGTCAAGACCCTGCTGGGGTGCTGTGTCGAATCTCCAATCAATCGACGAACCTGTTACTTGTTAGCATGTAATGAGTAGCATCGCGCTCATATATACCTGTTATCAGCGTATTTCCACCCAATGGCTTATATGCTGCAACGACGTTTGGATCAGGCCCAGCTTCAAGAACAAGAACGCGAAATTTTCCCGATTCGGTGAGTCGGTTTGCCACTACGAGGCCTGCAGTCCCGCCTATAATTCTTGTCAGCACAGAGCCTTGAGTTGGAGTTGAATGTCTTACCTCCAGCAATGATGAAATCATACTCGTCCTGGATCACAGCCCTTTCGATGCCTTTGATTGGATGAGCCAAAGTGCCATAAGCACAGAGGAGACCAATTGTTAAAGTGAGTGTAGAACTGAACATGATGAAGCGAAAGTATTCGTGAAAAAAACGAATGATAGTGTATCGACACCTGGAAGTTGCAAGAACGGTAGAATGAAGGGCTGAAAGATGGGCACAGGCTACTGTTATGTGATTGCATGACCAAGCTGACATGGTGTGTTCACGTCTTGGAAAACGCGGGACGTCATCCTGATCTCTGATCTCGATTGCCTATGAGACACGACTGGAAGGAATCAATAGCCTGCATACGGGAGGCTCGGAGAGCAGACAATATTGACTACCCCGCATCACAATTCCTTGTTTTGGTAATTTAGCTACTGCTAGTGTAAGCCTTGCGGGAGCCGATGTATGCTTAATTCTAATTCTAATAGATTGATTTAGCCAATTCTAATTTTCTGTATTGGCTGAATGACGTTTTGCCAAGGCGTTATCGCCGTTTCGAAGCTTCGGGTATAACCTTTGACGTTGATCCATGGTGGATTGGATTCCATTTGCACCGAGACCAGATGGGTAGTAGTGTGTAATCCCCAATTCGCTTGGTTCCCTTCCATGGCCTACTATTGACCATAGAGGAGGACCTGTGAATGTTCCTTCATTGCTTGATCGTGCAAAGTAAGCTGTTTCTTTTACAGCCGAGGGATGAAACTCACACCGAGATGTAGTCCAGCCGGCAGTTCATTGAAGCCGAGAATCTTGCTAGATCGATGGAGAGACTGCGCAACCTGATCAATCGGAACCCAGAACTTGGACAGCGCTGTAAATCTTTGTGCCTCGCTTACGAATAAGTTAAGGTGCCCGTTCCTGTCACAAACTAGAATGTAGACGTTGGATGGACCTCTCTCGTGCTCCCGCGGACTGGTGGAGTCACGCGTTCGCGAGGATATCCTCATGGCTCATGGCAAGTTATAATCTGTTGCATATTTGGTATTGGCTAAGACTAACATTGAATCCCCAGGATGGCGAAGGAACAGCACCCTTCACAAGACTACTCACTGGCGCAGACACAGATCCTGGCATACTCCAGGCTATGGTTGCTTGGCCAAGACGACTTGAAAGGCTGGCCTTGCGAACTAACCCGTCGCAAATTACTACCGCTTGGAATCGCGTGCAAAACATACTTGACGGGCAGAAAGATTCTCTTACCCACCTCCGATTTCAGGGTGAGTACCAAATATGGTTGACAGGTTTTGACTTGAGAGATTTCCCTTGCTTGGAACATCTTGCCCTTTGCAGCGCAACCATATCCAACCGCGATCCGCATCGGCGTGACGGCAGTACCTTGCATGAACTTGAACAACGCATATTAGCCCCTCGTCTTCGCAGCCTCCTGTGGGTGATGCCGTCCAAGCAACCCGGATCCGAGGACTTCTTTGGACCTGAGAACCAGAGCCGAGTCGAAAGCGTATTGTTCAGTCTTAGCAGGAAACGAACCGAATACCGGGAATCTGGAAAAGAACGGACTTTGAAGAGAATATGGTTACAGACTTTAGCGGCGCCGCTTGAAAGACTTCCTACAGATGCTCAAGACAGCTTTGCATCTCATAGGAGATGGATCGCACATTCTGACCAATGATGTCGGGGACCAGAGGGTCCGACTTTACAACATGTACCGCTCCCCAAGGGAGGCATGGGTGCTAATGCCGCACCTCGCGGACCCTTTCCTCCGCTGGGCGAAGTCTGGTCATGGGATAATCATGCTCGAGCTACCTAGAAAGCACAAGATATGGGACAAGGATGGTGGTCCCCGAAGTTACATGTATTACATTTGTATCAAAGTACGAATTTAATAGGGCTCTAGAATTTAATACAATGTCTCATCATGGCATCCGCCATCATGTTCCTACTATGGATATCCTGCCATCCTTTCCAGCCGAGTCCGGCTTGGCGAGCTGCTTTGAAATGTCCATCAACAACGATATGTTAGACGAAGAGTTCAGCTTCGACCCACTTTCAACATCCTCAAGCTGATATGTCGTTTGAGGCTGCTTGGCGGCGCCAAATGTGGCAGGTCGATTAGTGAGTCAGCCCGCACAGGGCACACACATTTTGGTGAAGTGCAGCGTGGTATTTAGAAGTGAAATCCGATCAAAATATTTGTAAGCCCAAAGACGCCAGACAGGGAGCACTCTTGATCTTGAAAAAAAATCGTATCCTGGCCGGAAAATGAGACCTATTGCGCTGAACGACCTGCCACTTGTGTACAGCAAATGACGGATGAATGATTTTCATATAGTTCGCCATGTTTGCCACATGTTTCTACTTAAAGACGCCAATTACTATTACACCTAATGACCCTGACAACCATGAGAGGAAATATAACTAAGCATAAAACGATAGAAAACCAGATATTGGGTATATTCTCTTTCACTTGAAACAGAACTTGAGCAAAACCTTGGTCTGTTCATGACGATCTGAAAGAGGAAACTGAGCACGTGTGCTACCACTGAAGGATTGGATTGATCAACACAGTCAGCAGCCTTCGGGGACCTTTTCATGTATTCTGTAGATCCCGATGACACACATCAGGGGTTCCTAACTACTGCCAGGCACAATTCCCTGCAACGGCCAACGATGCGAGATGACACAAGTCCTCAGAACTTGGAACGATCTTAATAGACTGTAACAGATCGACGATCTGCATGGCTTCGTGTTGTGCGATGGGAGAGTTGAAGGCTTCGTTATCGGCCGTCTCCGACGTGTAACTGCGAAGCAACACCTATTTAGGAGTCAAAGGTTCCACGACTTTTCCCAATCTTAAACAAACAAACACTCCCCAACAATCTGAGCAAACTCGTCTTAAGAAACAAACACTCTACCATTAACCATGAAGCTATCCACTGTCCTGTCCTCGGCCATCGTTGCTGCGCTTGCAAAAGGCGCAGCACTAAACAAGAGGCAGAGTGTTGCGACCTGCTACGGGGACCAAGGCCCCAACTTGAATGACTGTACGTTGTCGGAACATCTGTGCGATTCCCATTACTCACATTAGATAGGCGATAGTCTGATTGCGCTTCTCGGCTGGACCGGTACTTCGACTGACCAGATCGAGCCTGGTAAGCTTTTTCCAAAGGTCAGTTCATGAATAGCTACTAACTTGTCCTATAGATCCATCCGGTGGTGTGTCTTTCTTCGATGACCACCACGCCTTGAACTGTGAGATTGGCATCGGTTGGAATGACCCAAACAACCGTCTCACCATTACCACATCTTCGCTTTTGCCTTATATCAACATCATCAAAGACAAATGCATCATTCCCAGCGAGGCAGGTGGCTATTCTGACAGCGTCGACGACAACTGAACTGTACGAATTACAAACGATCCTCGATACAACCCCCCAGCCAAGCATCGACGACAGGCTGAAGGCGACGTGAGTACCCGGTAAAATCACTAGAGAATTCGTGCTGACATCTGAATAAGTCGTTCAACCTTGAGGTTTTAAGCCATGCCATCGAACGCCCCGGCTTCCGTCAGAAGGTCGGTCCTAGCCTTCCTAGCGGCAGCTCTTACACTGTCACTACTGGCGAAGCGAACACCGTGTCTGTTGGCGCATCCTTTGAGATCAGCGGCGGATTCTTCGAGATCTTTGAGGCTGGTGCAAGCACGAGCTTCGAAAATAGCCACACAGTTGAGAACTCCGAGTCTACTCAGATCAATGTTGACTGCGGTCCCGGAAAGAATGGGCAGATTTACTGGGTGCCTAAGTGGGACCACTATGAGGGAACTTTCGTCCCTAGCAACACCGCCGGTGATGTTTGGAATCCGCTTGATGACAGCGCTGGTGACTACATGATCGAGTGCCAGGGTTAAGTGCTGCATGAAATGGCTATCTCACCCAGCAGGCTGTGACAGGTCCTTTAGTCATGATCACACCTGTCAAGATCAACTTGGGTTATATTCTTCTCTTCTACAGATGCTTCCAGTATCTCATACCTTTTTATTAATTGCTATTTATCATTGGAGCATGCACGCCTTACGGATAGCAAGACATCCAATACATATCTATATATACACCACTATCCTTAATTTTCAAGATTCTATACTTTGTGACCAATCATGGGTTGTTACCTAGTAGTCTGGTATAAATACAATGGTATATCATTTCTTTGCGTGTAGTCTATCACTGAGTGCTTACGTGAACAGTTTGTTGCTTGGTTATATAGGCATGCACTTCAAAGTGATAGTATAGTATAAAAGCGTGGTATTATTCTGTTTCTGTGCCCATTTCTTAATCTCCCTAATAACAACGATCATAAAAACCTCAAGATGCCAAAGCCGCGATCCTGCTGATATAGTGCTGCGATATGATGCGGAGCAGAACTGCAATGCTGACATTCATGAAGATGTCGCCCATTTGGCCAACGGAAGCAGGACCATAGAAAATAAACTCTCCAAGTGCAGAATCCTTCTCGAAAGTATTTCCACCGGCTGTTTCAAGACTAGCCGCCGGTGCGCCTTGTCCTGATGCTGGAACCAACTCCCAACTTCCAAGTTTGCTTTGAGACATTGACCCAATGAACCTCTTAATGGTGGATGAACTGTCAACCTGTCTTTTCCTCCACTGCCATGTCTGAACCTGCCCATTCACATCGACTTCGAAAGGCCAAGAGGCACCCTCCATGAACATGCTCGTCTCTCTGAACTTGGACTCAAATCCATTGAAGCTAATAGTACTCTGCTGACTGAAAGTGTGGCGGCTTTCAATAGTGCATATAGGCTGCTTTTCTGATTCATATGGGCCTTCTTTGATCTTAAGCCTACTGCTGGAGAACATCTTGGCTGAATAGGCAACTGGCCCTTTAAATTGAGGGCCGAGCTCAAGGACGCTGGTGCCCCCACTTGTCATGACGTTCCAAATTTGAAACCTTGAAGGCAATCTAGTGAAGCCCACGCGAGGGTGATAGCCTGGCGGTCCTGAAGCAATGTTGGGAGCTTGCTGGTAGCCTTGCTGCTGGTAACCGGGAGGCGGGGCGTGGAAGTTCTGTGGATAGTTTGGCATGTTGGGAGGTGGGGGGCCTGACTGGTATAGAGGTTGTTGATACAGCTGTTGAAAAGCCTGTTGATTAGGCTGCTGATAGTATGACATGTTGATGTTGTCTTGCTAGGTCGACACCCGCTATGGGAAAGAGATAATGGATGGTGGTGATAGTGAGAAAGGATGAGAAGATATTGATAAGCACAGAAGAGATGCGGTACAAATAGAATGATTTTATCTTCGCAAGCTCCTTAAAATCTGTATTTACAACAGAGAAAGACCAAGAATGACGAATGTTGTTCAGGAATACTGTTGTCCGATGGGCCTTTTATGGTTAAATAGAAACTAACAAGAGATTACTTCTATTTCGGCGCTAACTCTTTTCAGCAAAATCGTGCGCTCGCAGCAATCAGCGTTCAGCAATGGATCATGCTACGCCAGATCCATAATTACGCCTCAATTAATGCGGTTCATGAGACACTGGAAAATGAGGCTTGGAGCTTCAACGATATCCATCATAATCACAGACGATCAGTTGCGTCATGGTTGGTAACTTGGTTTATTCTGTTTAGTAATCCCTCTCAAAGAGGCCTTGGCATGTCTCGATTAAAAGTGATACGAATACAGTCTGATGTCAAATTCCCAAAGTCGTCTGCCAAACCTGCTATTATTGTGCCTTATCCTCCTCAAGTACCCAGTGTAGATCAAGGGTATGGGGTTCCGTCGATGTGGTCACAATCATTAGTATCAGTGCACTTTTGGATATGAGACTGTGGGAGTGGTTTGAGGCCTGCTTCGACAGATCCAAGGACTTGATAGCTCAGCAGCCACGACATGCCGAGGATCAGTGCCGATCGTATTGACTGCGATATGGGGATTTCAGCTATCATATGCACTAATACGTAAGTAATTCAGTTGACTGTTCGAGATGAAAATAACATGTTACACAACGATGCAAGTCTGGGCCAAAACGAGTCTCCAGCCCGAGGGCAACACTCTCACAATATTCTGCAACTCATTCCAAGGCAAGGTAGCAAAGCACAATCATTTTACCAAAGGCAAATATCAAAATCAATAAGATTTATTTACAAACTAGCATTCATTATGAATTGCAATGAATGAAAGAATATCCAGCGCAACGGTATGGGAACCGTAGAGAAGCTGCCAAGAACTTATTTCTCGTCGAACTCTTCTGGATCAGGCTTGGCTGACTGTCTTCCTTCCCCAAACCCGCCCCAAGAGTTCATCAGCCTTTGTAAACTTAAGATCTGGCAGCAGCTGATTCCATTCATCTGAGACATCATAAACCCCACGGTGGTAAGCATTTAAGATACCAACAATGGCCATCTTGGAAAACGCCTCGACTCGATCTTGTGGTATAGAAGGCAGGTCAATGCGAGGGTAATTGTCCGTTTTGAGCTCGCCCGCAGCGACGTCTTCCATTTTGAGCCACTCGATAGTAAATTTGTGTTCTAGACGGTTAGTAAAATGGTCAAAGATGGTAATATCGTGAATACATACCTCGTACCCTTTCTCCGATATCCAGAAGCTGACGGATGGTAACTCGGTCGCCGCTAATTCCCCCAATTACCGGCCATTCCCCGCTATAGTCTATAGCTGAAGTGACCACACTAGCGATGTCCGTGACGCAAGTGTACACCATCTTGTCGTCCATTGTGCCCTCAACTACTAGCGCACTTCGCTTTTCGTAATCGATATTGGCATTCGTGGTGATTAAGTACTTGGATGTCTGATGAGGGTGACAGAAATAATCCATGAAACCACCAGGTTGAAATCGGCAATATTCGAGAACCTAGTCAATACTTAGTTCACCAGCAACGAGTCGAGCTTGCGGGTTTGGTCACCTTTCCCTTCGCATTGATCTCCTCCAGATAGTTTACAACTTCAATCTTGCCGCTATACCAAGACAGTGCATCCAATGAATCTTCCAACTTTACTCCTCTACTATTTGTCAATAACCTTCATTATCATTTCAGTGGGAGGTACTAACGGCCCCCACTCGGACGGAGCGAATCGCCTGACTCCCGCCTCGATAGTTGCGTTGATGAGACGCTTTTGGTTCTCAGAGCCAGGATCAAGGTGTACAGCGAAAAAGCAGAGGACAGTGTCCACACCCTCAAGTATGTTGACCAACTCCGCCTTGTCCGAGAAATCGGTTTGAATCCACTCAACGTTCTTAAGCTGAGGAAAATCCGAAGGGTTCTGATCTGTCTTAGCATAGGTAATTTTAGGCAGATGATACCTGCATGGAGGAGCTGGTGTACCTTTCGAACAAGGGCTTTGATATCATGTTTCCCGGAAGCTACAAGCTTGTCGAGAATCTCTCGGGCAAGTCCTAGAATTGATTAATCACCGCGTTGTATTTGACGTGTGGGTAAATTACCGCTCGAGGCTCCGGCGATAGCAATTTTGACCATAGTGAAGAGGTTGAAGGTTATGGTAAGAGTTCTTTTCTTTAGTTAGAATGGAATGATAAGATGTTTTTCCTTCATGTCTGGAATACTAGCTATGATGTTTCGCTTTATATACATAATCTGGTCCATATTGTTTGCTTCTGTTGATAATTATTTGATAATCTGCTACAAAATACAACCGAAGTCACGTAACCGTTATTTAACGGGCTATGGATTCTAAAACAAGTCGGCTCTGGAGCGGGCTTATTGATCTCCGACGGTTACGTGACTCGGTTGACCAAAGGTCGAACTAACTCCGTTGGTCAATTTTCCGATGACAAATCCAGCTTGCATCTTGCTTACTCTGCTAGAGCTTGCTTGCCTCTCCTGAAGCCATCAGACTTAATCGCATAACCGCTTCTTGAAAACATGGTAGAAACGGGAATCAAAGACGAGTTGACCGTACGTTTTACATAACTTCCCCACCAGGCGTCATACTAATTATTCGCAGCGCCGCCGAGAGCGAGGGCGACGCTCACAGGCAGCGTTCCGTGAGCGTCAGGCCAAATTCGCCCAGGCACTGACAGATCAGAATTCTCGTCTACGGAAAGGTGTCAAGTTACTGCTTGATGAAGCCCAGGGTGATGAAAGACCTGAGATACTTAGCATCCTGCGGGACTTGGCTGTGGCGGCCGATCTCAACATCCCAGCGACATTGTCATGTAACAAAGCTTCAGAATCAACAAATACTTTGACAGACATAATTTCTGAGAGTTTTGTCACTTTCGATAAAAGCTTGTTACCAACCAATTCCATCGAAATGCCGGTATCCTGGGATTCATTTCCGACAATCTCTGCTACTCAATATCGTCTAGACTGTAGTGTGTGGCTAGACCCTTTGCACTACCTCCGTGTCTCATTACCACCACAAGACCTTCTCCCATATCTTGGCACTGGGGCAGAGACTTTTGCAGGGCTTCTCTTCTGGTCCGTCATGGAACACAGTCAGAGTGGCTGCTCGTATCATGATGCTGCGTCCATTATCGAGACTGGCCTCGGCCACTCCACTGTCACACGCGATATCAAACCGACTTTTATCCAAACAATGGCGAGGGCAAGAATAGAATATAAGAAGACTGGTTCGATCAGTCAAGAGCATGCAGTGGCTGGAGAAGACGATCTTGGTCTGGTATTGTGCAAACTCGTGGAAGATGATTATCGGTCCAAGGGTAAAGACCCGAATCAATGGTTGTCATGTGTTGCTATCGAGAGAAGGATAAAGAGGGCAATAGGCGGTTACAGGTTGAATTTGCTGACGCTAGCTGCTAACGGGCAGGCAAACTCGACTCTCCAAAGCTTGTTGGAAGGTGTTCTGTGCAAGCTGTATGATAGCTCGGTTTGCTTTGGGGACGGGCCTCGTTGGAATATCAAGGTCATAGATCAGCTATTTGCACCATTAATAATACAGGCACTTCTGGTCTAACATCACATAATGGTGAGGTATCTACAGATAGATCGAGGTTTGGATTATGCTCTAATGCTGCTATAGTTATGTGACTGGTCATTAAGCCTACATGTAGATCCGGGATGTAGCTAAACCTTATTCAATGACCCATCAAGTAGATAATATCACCATGTTCTCTATAACTATTATCTGTAATGTTACGGTGATAGTCTGTTATACTAAGACATGGCAAAGCCCGTGAGTAACTCGTACCACTAAAGATAATGAGTGATGCGCGTCATACAGCATGGCACTGATTTGCCGGCTTGCCGTTCGTTCCGGGTCCCTTGCAGTTCATCAGCCTATCAACGACGCTGTTGAGGGACACGCCCAAGTCAAGGACACTCCCAGGCTGGCCCATGTATCGACTGATCATGGCCAGCCATCCGATGGCGGTCTGCGAATATCCGCACCCGCCAGCGAGGTTGGTAGTGACCATGTTTGTAGTGATTTTGTTGGTGATAATGTTTCTATAAACGCTTCTTTTTTTCCCCTTTGTTGTCTTATTCGTATCGTACAGCAAAAATGGCGGCCCGAGCATTAATTCACTGTAATTAGTCAGCTTGCCACTAGCAACAAGCAGTATTCACGACCATCTAGACTAGGTAGCGATGCTAGCGAACAGAGCCACTATTGCCTGCCAGGTATATTCATAGACGCGATTATTCTCTATCAGAGGAAGGGTTTTGTGTCAACCCACGGGGCTTCTCGCATACTTTGAAAGCCGCGTGGCCCTCCCTGGAAGTGCTGTTGGGTTGGGGTCTTTGTCTAATTTTCAGCTTGTCCTTAACTAATTTGGAAACGAATAGCTCACGCAAGTAGTGCAGGCATAACGGTTTCATGAACTTTCCGTTTACCCAATCAAACTATTCATTACTTCGACAATGGATGTCTAGGTTAGTACCCTATGTTCCTGTCTCCTGTCTCCTGCCTGATTTATGCCTGGTTTGTGCCTGGTTTGTGACATATGCATACGCTATGTGCCTGCCAGGTGCCAGTCACTGCCAAAGGAATAATAACCTATAAACAAGCAAAGCAAACAAACTCACCACCCTTCAGAGTCTGCATTTAATTTCTGCCTCTTCTCTTGCCCCGAAATAATTTTCCCCTCTACCATACTCCTTCATTACACCATTCTTAATCTTCTAGGGCCCAACGCTATTCAACCTCCCTTGGATCTATCTTAAGTACGACTCTGCCCGACCGGGCTTCTTCAAGATGGCGGCAAGTCATTCTTGTACTGGCATCGATGCCCTTCTTCTTGAAGAGGCTCCCCGACTGCCTTGGTCCAGCGGCTCCGATAAAACTATTCACGCTATTGAAATGCTTGAGAATTTTGCCTACAATGACATGGAATCGCACGTGCCTACGGAGTTTCGGGGGATCACAGATCCAGATCTAGAGCGGCCCTTCTCCGGCTACACATTCAAGAGGGTACTTCTACTGGCTGCTTCGACAGTCTTGTCGATAATGTCAACTCTATTACCAACGCCGTCCTTCCCGAAGTTCGTCGAACAATAGAGTCTGGCGCCTTTTCACTAAGGGATCTGATAAACTTGCGTCATGTCTCCACAACTTTCCCAGGACAGGAAACTACGTGTATTTACCTACGAATCTATGCCAATCAAGACAGAGGCGATCAACCCTTTGCAGATGGCACTCAGGCAAACATTGACAAGACTGTCGGTCTTTATATCGGCAAAACAACGAACATGGAGAATCGACTTCGTATCTATCAACAGGCCCTGGAGGATCCTTCTTCAACATCACAGCACGTCTATATCAATCGACGATCCTCACCGGCAAACCAGCATATGATTCCACTCATGGTTTGGACAGGCAATGTCTCACCTCATATTGTAGCAATGGCAGAGCAAATTATGGTTCTTTTGTTCAGGACTTACCTATCTTTCCTTTACATACCAGAACACAAGGATTCCAGGACAATCCTGGCTTCCGAGCGCGCAAAGTTCTTTAGTTCAGTCATGAAAACTACTGCCACTGCAACTGGCTGGCCATGTCTGCGCCCCAAAGGATGCAACTTCGACAGCCCTCTGTTCTGCTTTGGATTAGCTACCGACATCATCGCCATAGGCGCAGCACCAGGTGATCCGAATAGTCGGGCCCTCACTAGCTATCGACTGAAACGAAACCTGAACGTTCGAACTACCTCGAATGGTTATATCTCGTTTACTGTCTCACTCTCTTCAGATAACACCCATTCATCCGGTACTTCTCGCCGCAGATGGTGTTTTTCCATAAACAACGAGTATTTAATTGCTCAACGCCCGAAATATGTCTATCTCGTTTTTGAGATAATGAACGACAACAAACCCCATCCCCGACCCTGGATTGGAATGCCCTTTGCGTCTCAATTTGAAAATTTCGAACAAGCGTCAAGTTTAGGAGTTCATGTTGAGTGGTATAATGATTCTACTGAAAGTTGGTGTAAGGTGTCGTTGCAGAAGCAGTTGGTTGGCAAACACGCTAACTGGATTCAAAATCGCGACCACGATGCGTTCTTGCGCCCCTATTACGATTCAATGGCCATGATCCAAGGCTTGAGGGGATTGGAGTATACTGGAACTCTGAATGGTCACCCTATGCGAGTCAAGCTTTCAAACCCGGTGAAGACGCTGGAGACTCTTCACCTGTCTCAGCATTATCGCCTCCAGCCTCGACCTACCACCAAATGCTCAGCCCCATCTAGAGCATCGTGGGACTACAATTTCCAGCTAATGTTTCAGAAGTTCTCGGGCCCACATACGGTAGTTGGACCTTCAACAGCACCGCTGGCCACTTCTGGAAGCATGTGCGTCGCTCCCATGGATCTTTCAATTAGTACCACCTTAGGCCAGGAACGGCGATGTTGCGATACATGCTACGTCTCTTCGGCAGGTAAAGCTGTCAGATGTGAACCAGAGCCGGGGCACCCCCATGGATGCTGTCGACTATGTGCATTGTACAACCGCCCTTGCACGTTCACCCCTTTCAGTCAACTCAGCACACTCTGGGGTAATCGCCTACCTCATGTGACGGCTACGCGTGCACTGGCAAGATTCCCGAATGGGCCATTTCGCTCTCTTGCTTATCATCGCACCATGAATCCCGAGGAAATTGCCGAAATTTGGCCTGTACAGGTACCATTGAATGAAAAATTCGGGGTTTGGAATGATGATGAAAATGAAGAGGAAGAACAAGAGGGAGAGGGAGAGGAAGAAGACGCTGAATAAGCGTAAGCTGTTGGAAATGGCGGGGTCATATCTATGACTTTTGGCTGACAACATCAAGCCTCATGCATACATATTGCATTCTTTTTTTCTTCTCCATCTCACCCCCAGTTCAGACAACACAATCATGATGACCGTACCCATGCGGAGTTTTGATGCCATTTAGGCTTGGAACTTGGTACAAACACATCACGTCCAGGGGGTTTTGATGCCTGTAGAAGGCTTGCAAATGTTTGATAATACAATGGACAGAGAAGACATGGGCGGTCGCGGTCATCATGAACCTTACTACTGATAGATAACTCTCAATTCACTCCACTCAATTATATCTCCTTCCTATCGCACTATTGTGACTGTGTTTATTATTAATGATGGATTATCTAAGATGGATGGATGACTGCAAGGCCGACCGCACCTAGATTGGAGAAGCGTCCGTGTAGCCAACACAGACCTTGGTCAGCCAGGTACGATGGCATGCGCCTTTGCATCTCAGTGTAACATCAAAAGAAGTAGATGCTTGGAGGACAAATCAAGGTAGGCCATGGGCTAAGGTTATGTTCTGATAATGCGTTGCCGTGTACCACACCGTTCAGCAACGCTTGATCACCCCTTGTTCCTGCCATCTTACCATACCTACACATCCCATGCTCCTACATTCAGGAAGGAAGACCCTGGCACTTCAATAGCCATTGGTCGAGTCGCTTACCAAGTATAGTTAGTGGATAATCCAATACGGGAGCTAAAATTAAGCTTAACCTATTACTATTTCGGCCGACTGAATTCAGAAGGTGTCAATTCTATTGTTGCATTGCATCTTTGCTGTTTCCAACAGCGCAGTATCCAACAACCGGGCGTCTCATTCTCATAACTATCTTCTACATTTATATAGAAGAGGGATAGTAAAGTAACATCATTCGAAGAATATTATAAGAAGAACAATGGAGTCGTGGCCCCATAGAGCGCTCCTATACGATGATGTCCAGGAAGCAAGCTAACAGTAGCATCAACTATGGTAATCATTCAACCTGTACATAGAACTAATATATCAATGCCACCTAATATGTTGAGTTTGATTACTTATACTTGACACCTTTGTTAAATGCATTGGTAAAAGTGAGTATTTAATGTCCTGTGCGCGACGTTGGTTACGAAATGGTTTTGATCAGCTACTTGAGTCATGCATCTGACATGAACCCATATACACGTGAAAGAAATGGTGATGAGCTTTGAAGGAACCGATTTGTTCTGTCAGTCCCATCCAAATACAGGGTCTTTTACAGCGACGACCTTTACACCCACGCACCTAACCGGGCGCATCTTGAAGAAAACTTCTTCCAATTGTCGTGCAAATGTTTAGTTAATAGTTCATTAACGTAATTCAATATTCTCAATTCACTTTACTCAATTGTGTCTGTTTACTGGCTCCTGGAATTGTAATGTGGGAGTGTTGCCTAAGGTACACATACCCAGGGGCTCCTTCCCAAGAATGAGGAAGGAGCCAGCCAGCTAGCTAAAAAAAAAATGGGAGAGTATGGGGGGAAAATGCTCAAGTTCTTATTTTGCTCTATAGATACTGTTTAACTGAACTGTTTAATTCTTTGTTTTATCTCCCAGATTTCTCTACCAATTTCTCTGCAAAACCATGGCTCTATCAACAATTGCTGAGGGCTGGGAGTGGCCCGATGACAGTATGGCCATTGACCATCCTGCCCTGGAACTCCCTGTTCCAGCTGAGGAGCCGCCGGTTCCTTATGTTCCCTGTGAGTTACTTACACCAATTGAACTCAATGAGCTCTCTATCTACTCTTTGTAAGTTGGTAAATCTGACTGTTCTATAGGGGAGGAGCTACGAAGGCAGGAGGATCGCAAGTTGGAGAGGATGGAGGAATCGGGCAACGAGGCTTCTTATAGCCATCTTTATGCCCACCTCGAAAATTCAGAGTTGGATTGGTCCCTTGAGGGCCGTTTGGTTTGTCGTGTTCCGCGTTGTCCGTCGTTTGGGAAAGAATTTCCCCAGTTAGATGAATTGAAACAACACCTGAATACCAAAGCGCACAAGGTAGCTATATCAACATTGGTTGAATTCTCTCTAATTACCTTGTAGGCACTTGATGAATGGTATGGGTCGGTGGCTGTTTTCTCCCCGGGCCCTCGATTCCCGAGGGTCCCTCCACTGGACAACGATGCTGGTGCTGGTAAGTATGTTCAATCAGATCCATGTCTCAACTAACGAAACAATTTGTCCTAGATCAAACAATTGAAGAAATGCCCGTGCTGAGCATGGGCTTGACAGTACCATCAATCCCGGGGCCTCGGAGCCCAACTCCCGAACTCTTTGGTGCTGGCGTCATAACTCCGCCGAATCCTCCTCTCTACGCATAGGATGCGGAAATCCCGGACTCGGAACCTGAGAGAGAAGAAAAACGCCAAAGGCAAGTTCGAGAGGAGGATCGGCGGCGGCGTGAAGAGGAACTCCTCAATGATGAACCACCATCCCGACGGACACGATACCAGCGAAAACTCAAACAAGACTAGACACGCCATGATCACATCTCAAACCCCATCGGCCATAGTTGCGCGAATACGAATACGCTGAACGAATTAAGTCTGTACCGAATGTCTCATCAGGGGCGTCCGTAATGGATGAGGACTCTGACAAAGGCCACTATGTCCCATCTGAAAAGGCGATCAAGCACTCCCTCAAGCTCTCCATCCTTGACCTCGCTATTTCACTTTTTACATTTGCACTTTTTGTTAACTCGGCTATTCTCATTGTAGCCGGTGCATCACTTTATGGTGATGCATCCGCCCTCGGAGCGGACATCTTCGGCATTCATGGTCTTCTCAGCCAGTCTATTTCTCCAGCTGCAGGAACCATATTTGCCCTAGCGTTACTTCTCTCTGGTGTTTCGGCTGGAATTGTTTGCACTATTGCCGGTCAAATGGTAAGCGAGGGCTCTTTGAACTGGAAGGTCAAACCATGGCTGCGTCGTCTGATGGTACGCAGCATCAGCATCACCCCAAGTATCATCATCGCGGGAGCTGTAGGCCGCTCTGGACTCAACGCAGCACTTAACGGATCACAGGTGGTTCTGAGCGTCATATTGCCGTTCGTGACTGCGCCGCTCATCTATTTTACTGCTCGTGACAAATACATGACAGTCAGAGACGGTGGATCTCATGGAAATATTGTAGACGGAAACGGCATGACGAACGACGTGGATGGAGAAGAAGCAGGAATTCAACCCGAAGGTATGAAAATGGCCAACTCATGGTTTACAACAATTATTGCTATTTTGGTGTGGCTCTTCATAGCAGTCATGAATCTTGCCAACCTGGTCTTCCTTGGAAAATAGGGAGTTTAATCACCCTTGGTCGCTTGGTGAGAAGCGATTCAAGTAGCGTGTCGTAGAACCGACTCGAGTACCAATTATTTATCATCAACCACAATCTCGTGGTCTTCCCCTGTCGGTCCGGAGGCAAGCCCATTGTCTAGAAGATCCGCCTCCTTGGGAGAGAATGAAAACATGAACTAATCAAGTTACACTTGAATTTTTTTGAGTATCTTGGCAAAGCTGGAAAGGGTACGATCTCTTGGGAACCCGGAGTTGGAAGATACAGTTCGAATTCTATTTGATAAACTCATAATAATTCTATTCATCCCCAGATGATGGTAGCCTCATAGCCATTGCTTAGAGACTGTTGGTCTCACTAGCTCTTCTAGTAGAGGCTGCAGATAGTGAATGCTACAAATGCAATAACGGCAGTGAACTCGAAGTGCTTAGCAGCGCCATTGACAGCAACACTAGAAGGCTCGGGGGTCGAGGTGGCAGTGTCGACGGAGGTGCTGTCAGCGCCAGAAGAAGCATCTGGTGTTGTCATGGCTGGATGAGTCGACACAATAGTAGACTCGATTGCGATGATAGTCGACGTAGCCTCAGCTGGTGCTTCCGTGGTGGTCTCTACAGGGACCGTGGTTCCCGATCCATTGGTGCCAGAAGAGGTAGGCTTCTCGGCGGCAGCACCAGAAGGGCTGGGAGAAGGAGAAAGGTCACACTGTTCGGCGACCTTGCTCACGCCACTGCCGTAGTACTTCCATATACCATAGGTTTCTGCGCATTCCATGCATTTATCATAATGCTCATTCCATTCTTGGCTGTCGCAAAAGTCTTTATCTTCACGCGCGAGGGTGATGAGAAGGCCTTTGCAGGCGTTAGTATCTACCCCAGTGTTTGCATTTGAAACGCTGACTTACCGCAGTCCTCGTGGCACGCATACTGAGGGGTGCCGGGCTGTTGACGCTTGACAAGAGGCACGGTATCAGGGTACTCGAAGCGAGGGTCGACAGCGACGGAGAGAGTGGCTGAAGCCAGAAGAGTATATGCAAAGAGTGAACGCATTTCGAGCATTCGAGTGACAAAGCGAGTGTGATAGATATTAATTTCGGATTGGCAAAAGGAAACGAGCAGACTGATGTGAGAAATGGGTTTCAAGGACTTTATACAGGCACTTTATAGCCCATGTAATGCATGCTTGAACTATTCAGGTTACTTACTCCATCTGGACAAGCCACAACTCATTCCTGCAGAAATGGCTCACCGGCTTTTAAGTATTTCACAGGCCGATTCCAGTCACATTCTAAGGCTACCAAGGACCAGCATCTCACAAGACTGCCATGATTGGTGGTTCGTAGACTCATGGCCTGATGCCAAGTGCAACTAGACGCTCAAGATGCATTCAAATCCTCGCATCCGATATCGCTCAAATGCAACCAACCCAAAAGGAGACTAATCACGGTAACAGTGGCTGTATTTAGGCTTTGTAGTGGAAACGAGGTGCTCTTGGCAGACCAATGAAAGTGTCGGGATGCATCAAAATCTTATCTGATCATCTGATAAGCCGGGGTCAGTTCAGAGTCGGTTGACACACGAGCTGCAATGCTTGACGAGTGAGTCAATCGGATCGCTTTTACACCATGAATCATGCACTTCTGTTCGGATTCATTACCTCCAAAAGGCCCAGAGTTATCTTGGCGGTTCAAAAGTCCCTCACACACATGTGAAAGCTGGACTTTAGGTACAGCCATCTAGCGGTATATCACCAAGACCATTTTCCCCTCTTTGCTCAAGTCCGAAGGCATTTCCTCATCAGTGCGGCTCTAGGTGCTTCGTTCGACAATGTTCAACAAACTGCTCCTTCTGGGTCTGGCATCTTTCACCTTTGGCCAGGATGATGCACCTACAAATTCCAGTGTCATCGATGAGGAGATGGGCCCTGCCGCTTTCATGTGGCCCCCAGACCGTGTTTGGTCGGGAGACATGGATAATAGAGCTCCTTGTGGCTCACGGGCTCCTGCAGGCAACAGAACCGAGTTTCCACTGAGTATGTCAAGACCTGCCGCGTCTCGTCCGGTTGGTTTTATCTTACTAATTCGCGATCACAGCTGGTGGTGCTGTTTCCCTTGTCGCGCAAGATGATTACTACAATACCAAGATTAGTATTTCATACTCAAATGGTAAGTCATCCATCGATCAGTTAACGACTCCCTTAGACTAACCTACCAAAGACCCATCATCAAACGACGATTTCGATACTCTCATCCAAGAGAAGAGTATTGCAGACCTCAACCCAGGTCATAGCTGTGTAAAAGTCTCCGACGCGCCATCGAGCGTTTCAGCAGGCGATAATGCAACGCTTCAGATTATTTACCGCGCCGACTGGGACGCTCCCCACAACCAAACATTCTACGCGTGTGCGGACATCACATTCGTCTCAAAGGCTGACTTCGACTTTGCCATTCCATGCTTCAACGTTACTGAGCCAGGAGACGATGACAAAGCCGCCGGTGCAACGGCTGATCCTAGTCCAAGTGCGACACATCTTCATACCTCTGATGACGGCTCTGATGATGAGGATGAGCAAGCGAGCGGTGCCAAGAAATTAAGTGGTGGTGCTATTGCTGGCATTGTTGTGGGCTCTGTGGCGGGTGTAGTCTTGATTGCTGGCGCGGCTCTGTTCATGTGGCGGCGAAAGGAGCAGGCCAAGAGAAACTCACGGATTGCGCGTATGGAGGATAATGCTCGTAAGCATCAGCTCGCGACAGACGGTTCACAGCCAAGTATCTGAGAAGCTGCCAAGCTCTGATGCTGAGTGAGGCTGTCCATTTTTTTTTTACTACATAAGAATGGACTCAAGAAGTACATAATGTCTGTCTTTACAATAATTGTTCTTCTCTTTTCACGATTTATGAATTACATTTCACTACTCTGTAATTTCCTTCCAATTGATGATTCCGAAACTGCAACGCGATAGGCATCAGATATGGCTTCCGTTGAAATGCATTAAATGAGACATAAGAAGGGATGACTTTATGCAATGTTATGCCTACGTACCGCTGCGCTAGCAAGCATCATAACCCAAGCAGCTGACGACAGCCAAGACTTACCGAGGTTTGATGACCGACGGATGAAAGGTAGTACTCGCAGCGGGGATAGTGGACACTGTCAGTTGAGAGCGGTACGAAGCGTTGGTCCCGGTGTTATCCAGAAACTTTCACAACGGTAACATCGTTGTCCGGTACCTTGAGTCTGGACTGAATCCACATCCCTGAGCAGTACCAGGTCCTTGGGAAAAGGTCGTGTCATGGTGGTAAGACATGGATATGGCCTGTTCCCTTAATTTCCAAGGGCTTTTTTTTGGATGGCCTTTTGGGGGTGATGAAGCTTTCTCATCGCCGATTGCTTTTTGCACTCAATTCAATTAATTCAGCGGATATTGTTTAGCAGATACAGTTGCTAACGGGTAATCTACGGTTCGTTGTCTTACCTTGTCCGTGACGCCAACATGTTCGGGTATTCAGCATGAGAAGGTGAATGGTTTGCCAATTGTATGAGATTAACATTCTCATGCCTGGACATTGAAATTTGACTGAATTATAAACTTCTGGTTAGATTTCCTATACATGATACCACCCATAGTTATACAGTTGACGTTATTGATTCTAATGTACAACGCTCCATTCTCCTCCCAAGGTCACATATGTACCCTATATCCCTCCCGCTTATTCTTGTAAGCACAACGCCATTTCCCTGTGATAATTCCAATTGCCGAGTTAACGTTTCCTTTTCGAAAGGAGATACCACTTTGGGATTTTGCCTTTGTCTTACTGGAGGTTGAATCGTTCACTTGTCCTGCACTCACTAGACACATCGCCATTAAAAGCGCCTCGAGTGGACTTTGTCGGCGATTAGATGGGCTGTGGATCGTGCAGATAACGATGCGTAGCCAATAAAATGCAACGTAATACACCTGTCAGCAAATCCTACAAGGGTATCCCAAACAGCGTCATCTAGTCTGTTCCTTAGACTTGAGGCCATTGGACAGAATTTCACGTCTTCAAACAAATGAAGCGCTTGGCAGCCCAGAAAAGCTTGTCTATATGGATAATCTTCCTATTTAGGATTACGGCCTGTGGCTTAGGGAAGATAGATCTTCAAAACACTTGCAATATGGCATCAATTTGTAGCCCTACGACTTCGATTTCTCATGCAGAATTACCGCTTACGGCACTAGACTAAGCAATCCCACGTCAGCACTATCTTACTGTCAAGCTGCGCCCTGAAGGTGACCAAGTATTTAACTGTCTCAAGTGCCACTTGTGAATCTTCATCAGCTACCATAATCTCTATTCTGCCAAGATAAAACGCAAACACCAAACCACAAGTATGAGCGAGACCAAGAAGCCGTGGGTTGATGGCCCATTTACATTGATTAGTCCATCCAAGTCTGGTGACTCGGTATGTCTCTAGAGATACTAGAACGGTGACCCTTGACCCACTAACCATAGTAATGTAGCCTGATAAGCGAGCTGAAGGAGCTAGGAGATGTGCCGCGGAAATGACAGTTGTACATAACCTTCTACTTCGGGGCGTAAATGCCATCTATCTTCAAGCGGTCAACGTTGCTGCACGAGGAACACAGAAAGACAAATCAGATTTCGCCAACTTTGCATGGTCGTGGAGCCAAGAAGTACTGGAGCACCACAACGTTGAAGAAACACAGATCTTCCCCGAGATAAACAGACTCGCTGGAGTACCTGGCCTGATGGATGCAAACATTGAAGAGCACCATCTATTTCACACAGGGCTGGAAGTTTTCAGGACATATGTCGACAAACTACGCAAAGAAGAAGAGGAGCTAGACGGTGAAAAGCTCAAGAGCCTCATAGACTCGTTCATGCCCACTCTGAGAACGCACTTGGAAAACGAAATCGATACCCTGGTCGGACTAGAAAAGTACGCCGACAAATGCGACTGGGGAGCGTGGTTCGACAAGGTGGCAGCTAACCTCGGAGCCCAAGGTATGAAGAGTGCATCTCACCGCAACGAGATGTTGCCTCTGGCTATGATCCTTCACGATAAGACGTTCGAAGGTGGGCTTTGGAGTGCCTTCCCACCGCTTCCTTGGATCGCCATGGTGGCAATCCGTTGGTTGTTTGTCAAAACGAATCAGGATTGGTGGAGGTTCGCGGGTTGCGATTCCACATCGATGCCAACCGAGTTGCCGTTTGCTTAGGCCTCTAAATTATGGATTTTAAGCACAGGGAACTTAGCAATGGATGGCCTTGTGAGCTACGACGTCTGCCTCGAGATAGTGGTATACGTAATGATCATCTGGATATTTGAACCGATTTGGAACACGATGTGATACCCAGGCGTGGAATGAAGTCAAATCCGAAAACCATCTTGTTCAAGCTCATCGTTGAGGTGATGTCTTGAGCTCATGTGTCTTGAAGCGGTCTGTTGCTCTCTACATCAACCGAAATGTGGTGTCAGGTAGAACTTGTTGGCTAAATCGTATAACAGATAATCTTGTTGGTAATAAAAGTTTCACTACGATACTGGATCTCCAATTTCCCATGTTACATGGACTACAACGGGGCCATTTGTCAAACAGCCGTTAGCGCAAACAAGTCGACCGTTCGACGGCTCGTGCAAACGGGAAGACGGAAGCTTGTATTTGTCCCAAGGATCAGCGAGTTTAGGGCTCGTCTCGAGAGTAGCCCGCAAATTTGGCCTATGAAGAAATTTCGCATGCGGGTTGATCCGCTCGGAATGTCGATGCAAGTGTCCCGGACCCAGAGAACTGGGATGATGTTCGACTTGGGACCTGATACCACGTCGTTTCCCCTTAATTAGATATTCATTCTTGTAAACGAAAACAACGGACAGTAATCGGAGCTGTATGCAGATGGTGACCAGGGGTTTCCGGTTGCAATACGGGACCCAACAGCTGCAAGACGGGTTACAGTGCAGTGCCAAGGAGCATGCACTCACTACCGAGACAGCGATTAGGAAACCGCATGATTAAGAAATAACATATACGTCGTATAATGAGAAGCTGCCGCGGAAAGTGGGATCATGAATCATCAGACAAGTCATATGCCGACAGTGAATACTATACATTGGAATGTCTCTGGAAGCACAGATGGAGCTCGATTAAATTGCCGAGAAGATCCTCCCTTCTTGGAGGGTTCTGGATCCATCTATGTGTTGATCACTCCTCAATCTGATACAGAACACGGTCGCTTGGCAATGACATGTAACGGGGTCCTGGGGCGACACGGACACTTGAAGAGAAAACAACACAAGAAAGACACCATGATGTTGGGCAACGGTCATTGTTTAATGGGGTTGTCGCGGCTGGGGATGATGACGCGACCCCAGATAGATATGCCAATGATAAATCATTTTACAGGGTAAAGGGAGATCAGGTGAGAACTACGATATCCCACAGACTCACATCGTAGCTGAGGCGAGCAACAAAGCGTACGCAGTAAATCCAACGTGACCGACGCCTCAGTAAGGAATGCGCAATGCGTTCTGAGACACGGCACTGTATGACAATCGTATTTATGCAGTTTGCAGTAAGGATGAACGGTTTGGCAGCAAATAAACCTTCGCTAGAGCAAGCGTCAGGGGGCTGTTAGCGTTGTTTTCTCGCTTTGCATCAGACTAGCAAGCCCATTGTCGTAGCATCGGGGGGACAGAATGGGACTTTTTTTTTTGACAGTTTCAGAGGCAAAACTGCCATTCTACCACTTGGTCTCATCTCCGGTAAACTGTGTCTCCTTCCATTTCGATCAATTGGAAGAATTGTGGTGGAGCAGCGTTTCATTTTGTTATTTGCGCGAGGCTGCTCAAAACAATCCCACACTCCACCCTCCTCCACCAACAACCCTTGCTGAAGTGAATATGTTTGGCTACCCAACTCTACAATCCCTGCGAGGCCCTTGCCGGTCCAACGGCTTTTCTCCTACGTCGCTTTGACTTGTCGTAAAGGAAGCGAGAAATAGGAACAGACCGCTCATTTCTGCCGTTTTTCTACCATGTAACCTCACTAGAACCAAATCGACATCATACGAGACAATCCTTTAAAGACTGTCATTTCGGCACTTGTGACTTTTTCCTCCCATCTGATATTCGTATCTATTTCATCCCAACTTTCTATCCGTCCACTTCGATAACTTACTCTAGTCATCGTTAGTACGAACCTTCAACAGCTTTACACATACACAATCACTATGGAAACAATGGCACCACTACGACAGGCCCTGCCCTCTCTTCAAATCTTCCTCAGCCAGGAACAGGCTCAGGAGCTAGGCATGACGCCATGGTTCAGTTACTCTGTTACACTTCCCGAGCGCCCCATACCTGGCGCCTCCGAACGAAAACCTCTCGAGACTGAGCGTCTTGTCGTCCGTCCCTTCACAATGAAAGACCTAGACGCTTTCCATGAGCTCCGCAAAATCCAAGAGCTCCAAGTCCACTCAACAGCACGTGGCCGCGCCAACAAAGATAAGGACGAGTCTGAAAGACAACTCCACGCTCTAGTACAAGATGACCAATGCCACTGGTGGTTTGGTGCGTTCCTCAAGTCCACCGGTGAGCTTATCGGCGAGGGTGGTCTGCCAGATGTTCTCAGCATGTCTTCTTCAATTTCCGGCTGGCCTGAAGCCGAATTCCTTATCAAGCCTGAGCACTGCCGACAAGGATACGGAACAGAGCTCTGGACAGCCATTATGGATTCCTGGTGGAATATCCCTCGTGAGAGAAGACGTCATCAGCTCATTCCCCTGGTCGTCCCTGGTAAGGAGCCCGGTGACAAGGTGGATGAGTGCGTCGTTTTCCAATGGGAGGCCAGCAACGAGGTCGCCAAGTACTTCTTCGCCAAGATCCTGGCACAAGCACCGGTTGCTGCGCAGGGTGGTTGCGAGAGTATGGATACCCGAGAAGGAAGGGTGGGAAATCTTATCACATGGTCTGGTACTATGATTTGCAACCCCAGACCGCCCGTTGAGGAGGATTCAGACTCAGAATAAAGACTCCAATCGCATATACAATGGATTTGTAGAGGTTGGGAAGGATATATCAAGGCGGCAATCACTGATTTTGGGACATGCGTAGCATCAAAAGCGACACTTCGTTAGAAATGATAGCATTAATTCATTTAGACAATCACACATTGACTTAACTACGTCTTGGGTCCAACCGATACCATGCAACGTCTTTTTTTTCTGTGATAATAATACGTGTCATATATCGACATGCTTAAAGGGGGACCTGAAACAGGAGTCAGGTTGTGGATAGGCATAAGCTTGAACCGTGGTCCTTATCCTTCAACGCTATGATTCTGTCACATGTATAATAAAAGCATAGAATTTTAAGACGATGTATAACTATGACCTCTCGATAATCTTTCAACATGATACAGGTATTTTGTATTAATGTAAAACCCAATTAAAAGTTTGCGGGCAATGCTGAAGCATTGAGCAGTCAGTAGAGAAACCACTAGTGTGTGGGGAACGAGACAACAAAAGTGAAAAAGTGAGAAAAAGGCTATCAGTTGGATTAATTGGGTCTGTAACACATCTTGAGGGGAATTGACAGCCGGAAACATTGATGTTCCTATCCGAAGCGTGAAGCAATGTATGATGCGCCAACTTCCTTTACCTTGGAGGGAGTATGACTTTATAATGTACGAGATGAAGTGTGTTAGAAAAAAACGAGTTAATGCCAGACTCATTGTAATACTACAATCATTTGTGACAGCAGGGTCTATCCTCCGTAACGATGCTATGAAGACGATGGACTGTGTTCCATAGGATGAATGCAGAGAAGGATTGAATTCAAGCCAAATGGTCTCAAAATCTATAGGATATCGAAAACCGTTGAGCAAAAGAGCGGGGGATCAGCTTGAATACCACAAAATGTATCCGCACTCAACGTGCCGATCCATACGTTGATAGTCGTAAGCAAGTTTCCCTTCTGGACTTGCAGCCGAGGCAAGATGTAACCCCATACCCTAAGACGTTTTCTACCCTCGAACAGGGAACGGGCTAATCGAGATCATGCAGAGGTACGGCTTTTGCTACAGAGATATTCTGTCACTTCAAATCGAGAGCCGTACTCTCGAATTTCATTCCCGATCACAGTGTTCTTGATGTATCAATGTCTATCTGCGGATACAGTAAGAAGTGCGAGTCCAGCTTTAGAGCTAGGGAATAATCCTAGTCTAGTAAGTTTGAGACTTGCACCAAACTACTTACATAGTACGGCTCTCAAGGCTTGCTGTGTGTATGGAGCCTTTATGGTTTAGCCTTACATTTATCTGCATGGCGTAGAACTTGATCGTGATTCCTTGCGTGGGATCACATGTTCAAAGAAAGCAGCTCATAAAATACAAGTTAGGTGTATCATCTCGAACAAAAAAATCAAACCGCAAACCCGCAACTATAATTCCGCAATTCCGTACTTCCGTTGACGGACCGCCACGGTGTTTATAATCAGATGACAGCTTCGGACACAAGTCCGAGATAAGATAACGATAAGATAAGATAAGATGCCCCTCTCAAGTCAGACTTGATATTGGCGACTCTTGCTCGAGAAGACTTCCAGAGGTCATTAAAGAACCCTAGCGAACATGTCGATAAAGCACAATTCTACAGTCCTTGTGGATCTGGGTTCATATAAACTCGAGGTAACGGTCCACGGTCCGCCCCGACGCGCCCACAACCCGATTGTGATCATCATCCCCGACATAGGCAGCAGTATCAAAGAATGGACCGTCGTCACCAAAATGCTAGCAGATTCCATGGCTGTGGTCGACTACGAACGTGCCGGATACGGGAAAAGTGAATATATTCCTTCGGGAGACTCAAGAGCACCTGCGGCCCTAGCTATGGAACTACATACGCTCCTACGAGCTGCGAAAATCGCACCACCTTACATCATGGTTTGCCACTCTCGTGGTGCCAGCATACTGCGGGAATTTACAAAGTTGAGAAACCTGGCCCAATTCAAGGGTTTTGTATTTGTGGACGCAAAGACTGGGCCATTGGATCTGTCTGTCGAACCGAAACTTTCAAGGTCTGATTCGTTAAAGCTGTGCTATGGAGACTGTCATCGTTTAGTCGAGTCGGCATGGCAAGCTTTATTGGACGAAGAGGCTCGTGCGGGTCATCAAGCAGCAGCTGAAAGGGAAATAGCCGAATACCGTGTCAGTGGAGAAAACTCTTCTGTCATGGGCCCGTCGAGTGTTGAACAGCCTGAATACGGACGTGTTCCTCTGGTAGTTCTCCAGGCGGATGCTGCAGTTGATACGAGAAAGATAAATGGAGAAGTAGAGTTAGTAGAAAACGAGACTGAGGCTGACGTCAATGACACGAGAGAACTGAATGGGTTGGGACAAAAGAGTCTTCTGAACTTGTCTGAACGATCACAGTACCGATATATAACTGGAGCTGGAGAGAGGATACACTTGGCCTCGCCGGAAAGAGTTGCAGATGCTATAACGTGGGTCTTGATGCAGTATAGATGTTGAAAAATGAGACAACACTAATCGTTTAAGGTCGTTGCTGAAAATCCTACCTGTCTTTGTGTTCCATATTTGATATAACGCGTGGTAAGACCCTGTTGATCGATTCCAAGAGTGACAAGTCCAAGGCCATAACTTTTCATTAAAAATATTATTATTCTAAATCATACTCTGTCTTCTACTATGAGGTTTTGTTATCCTTTGCTGTAAACTTGGTAATTCCTTGTTACTCCCGGGTAGTTCAAACGCTGACGCCATTGCCCGTTGAGTGGCTTTTTCTCCAAGGAACCGCGCGCTAACCAACCATTTTTGATAAGCGCCAATCCTACGCCATTTGTTTCAGGTTACGTTTCCGCACAAAAGACATTTCACTTTCATCTCATCTCAATGACGATCTTTAATCTCCAAGACAATTTAGGCGCTCTTTGACAAAGTACCTTGAACTCTTTTCCTTTGTCACTGAGTCTGCTCGGACTTCAAGATGCCGACACACCGAAACAGAGTCAGTAGATGTCTAAGAAAAGAATCACCCCGCTCTTAAACAGCAAAACTCAAGTTTTTCTTTTCTGAATCTTTCTATTCCTAGAGTCCATCTCGTATAGTGAATGCTAATGCAGAGTCCTTGACGTGGTGAGTTGATTTCTCCCTTCTAGACTTCCTTGGCCGCAGAGCCCCAATCATTGGAGGAGCAAGCTTGCAGGGATGAGACCTAGGTCGTGAGTGATGGGCCAACCATAACCTGCATTAGATGATCTGTTTATAGCCGCTCAGTGGCCAGACTAAACTAGAGACGACAAGAGGTTAGACTGAAATGCCAATTATAGCACACAATCACATCACCCCCAGTTCAAACACGAGCCATTGTGCAGGTTTTTTGGTCTTGACAGACGAAACATGCTTCTTTGACAGACGATTTGAGTCAAGACATTCTGTATGTATGTTCATTATTAGAATTTTTCATGCAGAGCCAACGAACTACTCCATTGTTGGGCAACTATCCTTTGTCCAATCACCCCTTGTCATAGGCAAGACAGGGTAGAGAGTGATTATCAAAGGTGCCGGCGGTCCGACCACAAACAAGGCCACTTTTTCTGCCCACTTGCACATTCATTCATGATCGACCGCGAATCGTCTAGGACGTATTTTTGGATCCTATTGACAATCGACAGTAATACCCACTCCTGATCTATACGCGCTTTCAGCTCATCCAACCACTGACCGCCCTATCAATCCCAATTAGGTATCCCTGAATGACCTCACCCTGCCATGTTCAACATGCAAGCGCCCGTATTCGACGGGGTCTTTCCAATTTTGGATGATTCGATGGATTGACACGGAATAAACCAAGCAAGCTGAGATGGATCAAACCTGGCAGTCGATCATTTTCAACATTATCACGTCCTTTGTATAAAGATTCCTGTCCGTCTCAGCTTCAGTCAGTCCTCAGCATCAAACAACAGAAACAATTTCTACTTTCGTTTTTTCCTTTTCCATTATCTCTTTTCATTCGCTACAACATTCGCTGAACTGTTCAAAATGAGAGTCTTCTACCTTCTCGCTGCTGCCATTGGCGCAGCCAACGCTGGCGTTTTAGACTTCCGTCGTCACCAGCCTCAAGGTTACTCGACATCTATCGTTCATGAAACACGAAACTTCGCTGTTCCTGCTGAGAAGCGGACCGACCCTTACCCTCCTCCCGCTGACCAGGGATCATATCCTCCTCCTGCCGATGAGGGAAGTTATCCTCCTCCTGCCGACCAGGAGAGTGATCTCTACCCTCCCCCGGATGTTCCTGAGAATACTGAGCCTGCTGCGCAGGAATCATCTCAGTATGCCCCCCCTCAACCTACTTCCGAGGCTCCGTCTCCCACCTCTGAGGTTCCCGTCCCTCAAGAGCCTACCTCTGAGGTTGTTGAGAAGGATACCACTCAATATGCTCCACCTCCTGCCGTCCCTACTGTCGCTACTACCGAACTTGAAGATACCACCGACTATGCTCCTCCTCAGTCTGCAGCCACTGAGACTGTCAGCAAGCCTGCCGTAGATGAGACAACCGACGCTGCTACTCCCACTGACGTTTATCCTCCTCCCGCCAACACCCCTTCGGATGCTTATCCTCCTCCCGAGAATGTTCCATCGACTGAGGGCGGACAAGAGTCCACTGCTGAGGCTACTTCTGCCACTGACGTCCCTGTCGAAACTCCTTCTGTTGTTTACCCTCCTCCAGAGGGTGTGTCAACCACCGAGTCTGCACAAGAGCCTACTGCCGATGCCACCACTGCTGATGCCAACACCGCAACTGACCTTTACCCTCCTCCCGCCAACACTCCCTCTGATGCCTATCCTCCTCCAGAGGGTGTCTCAACGACCGAGTCTGCACAAGAGTCTACTGCTGATGCAACCACTGATGCTGCCACTGCTGGTGTCACTACAGCGACTGATTTGTACCCTCCTCCTGCTCAAAGCGATACCACCAAGCCCGCTCAAGAGGACTCCACTGAGGCTCTTACTGCTACTTCCGACTACGCTCCTCCCGAGAGCACCGATGTGACTCAAAAGGGATCTACCGTTATTGACAGCTCCACCGGTACTTATCCCCCACCCGAGGGTACCAACACTGAGTCTGGCTCGGCGGCTACTACCACTGAGGTTTCCAACGACACCAGTGCACCTGCTTTGCCAGAGACCACTGAAGTTGAGAGCGCCTCTACTACTGAGTGGACTACCTCAACCGTCTACACCACCAACGTCTACACAGTGACATCGTGCCCTCCTGAGATCCCTGACTGTCCCAACAACAAGCACGTCACCACCGAGACTATCGCTGTGTCAACTACCATCTGCCCCGTTACTGAGAAGGGTGAGACTCCTGTTTCTACTCCCGAGTACCAGGCCCCTGGAACCACTGAGTCCGAGCACCAGAACACCGAGACTGTTTCTCTGCCCGTTGAGACCGAGACTGCTCCCGCTGAAGCTGGATCTACTCAACCTGCTGTCGAGCCATCCACTGGTGTCTACCCTCCTCCCGAGGCTGGAACTGAGACTGGCTCTGCTTCTGTCCCTGTAGAGACCGAGACCGAGACTCAGAAGGTCCCTGAGCATACCGAGACTGTTACTTCCACTGGTGTTTACCCTCCTCCTGCTCAGTCTACCATTGAGACCACTGAGGGCGCCGAGACCGAGACCGAGACCATTCCTGCCGAGACTGAGTCTGTACCTGCCGAGACCGAGACCGTGTCCGTTCCCATTGGAACTGAGACTGCTCCCGTTGAAGCTGGATCTACTACACCCGCTGTCGAGTCATCCACTGGTGTATACCCTCCTCCTAAGCCCCACACCGAGACCGCCGGTACTGGAACAGAGACTATCACCGAGAACCCCAGCCAGACTGAGCCAGCCATTGAAACAACCAGCCAATGGACCACCTCGACCGTGTACACAACTACCGTCCGAACCATCACTTCTTGCCCACCTGATATCCCTGACTGCCCTAACAACAAGCATGTCACCACCGAGACTATCGCCATCTCCACAACCATTTGCCCTGTGACTGAGGCTCAGCCTACGAAGCCTGTGACCGTCACCGAGGACCAGCCCGCCACTGAGACCGAGGACAAGCCTGCTACCGAAACTGGAGACAAGCCTGCCACCGAGGTGTCTACTGTCCCCGTCACCGAGTCTGAGGAGCAGCCTACCAAGCCCGTCACTGGACACGAGGGATCCACCAAGCCGGCAACCGAGGAACAGCCCACAGAGACTGAGACTCAGGCTATTACTACCGATGGCAACAAGTACCCCGTTCCTACCGAGAGCGGAGAGCAGTCCACTCACCCCGTTACTGGCACTGAGGAGCAGCCTGCGCCTACCGAGCCTGCTAGCACCACTGACTGGACTACCTCAACTGTTTACACAACCAACGTCCGCACTGTTACTTCTTGTGCTCCTGATGTGCCTGATTGCCCCGTTACTCCTCATGTCACCACTGAGACGATCGCCATCTCTACCACCGTCTGCCCTGTCACTGAGGTTGTCCCTTCCAAGCCTGTCACCAAGGTCATCATCACCGAGAACGGATCTACCAAGACTATCGCTACGACTGAGGAGCATGTCACCAAGCCCGCTACCCAGGAGCAGCCCACTGAGGTTATCCCTACTCAGCCTGCCACTGAGGAAGAGCCCACCAAGCCTGCTACCAAGCCTGTGACCGGAGGCCAGTCCGAAGCTGGATCTACCCAGCCTGCTTCTCCTTCTACTACTGAGTGGACCACTTCAACTGTCTACACGACCAATGTCCGCACTGTCACTTCTTGCGCGCCTGATGTTCCAGATTGCCCCGTCACTCCTCACGTCACTACCGAGACCATTGCTGTTTCTACCACCATCTGCCCCGTGACTGAGCAGCAGACCAAGCCTCATGCCACTGGTCCCAAGCCTACCGAGCCCAAGCCCACCGAGCCCAAGCCTACTGAGCCCCAGGCTACCGGACCTCAGCCTACTGAGCCAGCCAAGACCACTGGTTACACTACCTCAACTGTCTACACTACCAGTGTTCGAACTGTCACTACCTGCGGCCCTGAGGTTCCTGACTGCCCATTGACCCCTCACGTTACTACTGAGACTATTGCTATCTCTACTACCGTGTGCCCTGTCACCGAGGAACAGTCCAAGCCTACCAAGCCTGCTGGCGAGCAGCCTTCTGAGCCTGAGCAGCCCCAGGAACCCGAGCAACCTGGACAACCTGGCAAGCCTGAACAACCTGAGCAACCTGCTTCTACCAAGCCTGCTGGTGGCAACGAGCCTTACCCAGTTCCTACTCAGCACATCGTGACAACTGGTTACTCCACCTCTACCATCTACACGACCGCCATCCGCACCGTTACGGCCTGCGCTCCAGGTATCGCCAACTGCCCCGAAGGTCCTCACGTTGTCACCGAGACCATCGCGCTCTCGACCACTCTCTGCCCCGTCACCAAGACCCAGATTGTCCCCGGACCCGGAGCTACTTATGGTCCTCGTCCTGGTAACATGACGTCCACTCTTTACACGACCAAGTACTTCACTGTCACTGCCTGCCCTCCCCAGGTCACAGACTGCCCTATCGGCCAGGTCACTTCCGCCGTTTACGCCACAGCCACCACTCAGATCCAGCAGTGGAACCCTTCCCACTCTGGCGTCTACCAGCCTCCCGCTCCCACCAACGTTATTCCTCCTACCGTGTCTACGACTTATGTCCCTGGAAACCACGGTGACCAGGAGACTACCTTCCGCTACGAGACTCCTGTGCATACTCCCAAGCCCATCTCGACCAAGCCCATCGAGACTCCTCAGCCTGTTGAGACTCCCCACACAACTGCTTCCGAGAAGCCAGCTGCTCCTTACTACCCTCCTCCTCCTTACTAAGGGCATGAAAATTAGCATTCCATGAGTCTGGGACCAGGATGCTACCTTGCATACATTTAGAATGACATCTTATCACGATCTTCACGACTTGTTTTGTATTTAGATTTCTGTTATATTTTGTACATGAGAAGCATTTAGCTTAGATAGCAATAGCGTCAATACGACATACATCTTTCCTTATTACACACTTACTGTCCCCGCATTGAACTCGATTATGTATGACAACTTGGATTCTACGGTGTTTAAACTGAAATACAAGCCTTAAATACGATCTCGACCTCCACCTATAACGTTGATCTGACAGCGCAGGTCAATAAATCGGATCACACATTGTATTTTACTATAGCCAATTTTTTCAACAAGAACGCATACGCTTTAACCAATAGAGATTTGCCTAAATATCAACAAAGCAAAGACTTGAGCAATATTATCAGGTTATCATTCTCCGATGTCAGCTTCTGACGTATTGGGTACCAGAACAGGCCATTTCCATGCATGTCTTACTTCCCTAAAAGGGCAGGTAAAGCGGCCTTTTTACTCAAAACACAATGTTGTATGTTTGAAGCACCAAGGTCGGCTAGACCGTTGCATTAGGATATTAAATCACTTGTTTAGTAATTTCAACAAAGATGACAAGTTACAACAGCTCACCATGAAGAGTTATTTCAGCCTCCATGTTTGGCCCATATTACTCAATCGTTATCTAGCAGTGTGCCACCCCCAACCTCAAAGAGGTATTCGAAAACAGCCCGGGCTGAAAGTGTATGTATGGTGATTGCAACGCAAACATGTCTCACTTGCAGGAATTTCATTGGTGACAAAGTTTCGACTCGTACAGCAAACTGCAGTGCTCACCCCACGCAAAGTATGTAATATGTGCTTTTGGAAACTGCATGTTGGCGATAAAGACGTCAGAGGCAAGAGAAAATATTGCTATTTTGCTTTTTTTTCGCTTGGGAAGGGGGGCACATGATACACTATACTGCAGACAAGGCTGACGCTTGGCGGCTGTGTGAAGCCCTATAGAGTATATGCAGGTCTCACTCCTGCCGGTCGAATGGAAATTAGATGATCGATTGGCCAAAGAAAATGCATGAGAGATGAATTCATCACATATAACGAGGCTTAGCGCTTTCAATTATGCAGCACGTATAGGAGTTGATCAAGATAAGGCAATTACATATCATGGGTCTCTGAAATGGACTTGGTACTCGGTGGGGAAGACAATACATATAAAGGCATATGTCCAGTAGTCCATCGTCTTGGTCCATAGCAGGAGGATCTACCCTTATCATAGAACCATTTGAAAACAACCAACTGCCACGAAAAACAATGGACTTGCCCAATCTGTCAACATTCAAAACACATAGCGGCGTTGCCATGATTCTGGTAGCCCTTGGAGCCTTTTGGTGGCTCGTGACAGCGTTAATCGCATGGAATCGGCTCCGACACATCCCAGGCCCATGGTTCGCAAGATTCAGCTACATTTGGGTTGGCTGGACAGAATGGAGCGGTCAACAACACCAATCATTTCTGGACATTGACGAAAAGTACGGCTCAATGGTGCGTATTGGCCCAGAGCTTCTTGTCACTTCAGACATGGAGGTTGTCAAGCGCATGTCTGGAAGAAAAAGTACCTATAGCAAAGGAACATGGGTTGACGGTGTCCGGTTGAACCCGTACCACGAAACAATGTTTAGTATACGAGATCCTCATGAGCATGATCAAGTCAAAGCTCGTCTTGCGCCTGCATATAGTGGTCGCGACACGCCTCAGCTCGAAGATGCCGTCGATCAGCAAGTCAACAATCTGGTTGCACTCATCCGTAGTCGTTATGCTTCCAACCCTGCTTGTGGCGAGTTCCGCGAAATGTCTCTCATCAACGTCTTGTCTTATTTCACGCTGGATGTCATTTCCAAGGTCGCGTTGGGAACCGAGTTTGGGTGTTGTGCTTCAGACTCTGATCCGTATCACTTCTACGATACGATAGCTGAGCATATGCCATTTATGGCGGTGACAAGTGACGTGCCATGGATTCGAGCCGTGTTATATTCTCCTACCTTTTTGAAATACTTCGGTCCCAAGGACACTGATCCCAATGGAATTGGTCCTTTGATGAAGTACGTCTTCCCTGGCACAATGAGTATTTGTACTGATGGTTATCAAGAGTTACCAACGACAACGTTCGAGCACACTACAGTCAAGAACAAAATGAAAAGACAGATATTTTGGTATGTATATTTCGATCTACTGTGTAAAGTTGACAATTTGCTAATCTCCTATGCCTCGTTTCTTGCAGAGCTCCTTCAAAGCCCATGGACTTTCTGAAGGCGATGCCCAATCTGAAGCACTGTTTGTGTTTGTTGCAGGATCCGACACTACCGCGGCAGCTCTTCGTGTCACTCTATTCTATATCATCTCGTCACCTCGCGTTTACCGAAAACTCAAAGAAGAGATCCGAAAGGCGATACACGAGGGTCGCGCCTCTAGCCCCATTACCCTTGCTCAGGCACGAGAACTGCCTTACCTGCAAGTCAGTATTCCCCGTACAACTGAAACCAATAGGTTTGCTAATTAACGAATTGAAAGGCGGTTATTTATGAAGGTCTTCGTATTCGACCCGTGACAACAGGACAGCAGGCCAAAGAAGTACCACCAGGTGGCGACACTATCAACGGATACTTTATCCCTGAAGGCACAGCCATTGCTACCAACTTCTCCGCCATTATGGGCTCAAAGGAGCTATTTGGACCAGACGCTGATCTCTTTAGACCCGAACGTTTTATCGGTCTCCCAGGCCCTGATCTTGCCGAGATGCGCCGTAACGTTGAGATGAACTTTGGCCACGGGCGCTGGATGTGTGCTGGGAAGCCGATAGCTTTGATGGAACTGCACAAAGTCTATTTCGAGGTAAGACTGAGATACAGAAGATGTGATGTATGCTGATGTATGACGGACAGTTGCTTCGGGCATTTGACTTTCAGCTCACTGAACCACTTCAGCCTATGACTTCCGAGAGTTATGCTCTGTTCCGAGATCATGGACTTAAAGTTCGGGTGACGATGGCCGAGGACATGGAGTGAAGTTTCATTCGTTACAAGATGAGATGTTGACAAAAGGAAATGAGGGTTGGGGGTGGGTAATGCATCATGTTTCTAGAATTTTCTACACATGATGAGATCTTTTCGATGGCGTGATAAAGCTTGAATCTTAACAGAACTTGAATACTTACTGGAATGTACATGATAACCATCTTTACATTGACTTTCTTTAAACAACTCTACTGCCACCCAAAATCAAACGCTTATCTCGGTTGGGGATTGCATCGACCAGTCTCACATTCCCTCTACGTCTCATGACTTACTATTCTTAGTCCCGCAGGAATGGTCATGTGGGGGTACAAATGCGACTCGTGCCGATCTCAGGTAGCGTAAGCTCTAAGTCATCAAGTAATACAATGCGTTCTGTGGCTTGTGTGAAACCTTGTTGGCTGCAATCTCTCCAACGATCTGAGACAAGTTACGCAATCAAGGTAATACGATTACCCTTGATCTTCAATCTTGTGCAACACACGAGTGAAGTTGGTGACAGATAATGGGGTCGTACAAGAGCGGTCATACCGTATACAAAAACAAGGGACGGAATGGTGTTTGTCTGCAATTGACCCCAGCTATTTCAATCTCAACTCCTCCTTGACTGATGGCAATTGAGTTTGTCAATTGAACTATCTTTTTGCTCACTAGGCTTGATCTGCGTAAAGACGTGTCTTGATCGGATTGAACCGGCAAAACAATCTTATTCTATACCAACCACCTGTCACCTCTTATAAACTCCCCTTCCCCTTCTCCTTCTCCCGATCACCACTCTCAATCCACATCGCATCAACGCCAGACAAAATGTCGACCATGGACAAGATCTTCGCTGGCCACGCCCAGCGCCAGGCCACCCTCGAGGCAAGTGACAACGTCTACGCCAAAGGCATCGCCTGGATCCAAGGCGAGCTTGTCCCCCTCAACGAAGCCCGCATTCCCATGATGGACCAAGGTTTCATGCACGGCGATTTGACCTACGATGTGCCTGCAGTTTGGGACGGCCGTTTCTTTCGTCTTGATGAGCATCTCGACCGTCTCGAGGCAAGCGTCATGAAAATGCGAATGCAATTCCCCATTCCTCGCGACGAGATCAGAATGGCTCTTCTTGACATGTTGGCCAAGAGTGGGATCAAGGATGCTTTCGTTGAGCTGATTGTCACCCGTGGCTTGAAGCCTGTTCGTGAGGCTAAGCCTGGTGAGGTACTGAAGAACCACCTCTACTTGATCGTCCAACCCTACGTCTGGGTCATGAGTCCCGAGGCTCAGTATCACGGTGGTAATGCCATTATCGCACGAACTGTTCGTCGCATCCCTCCTGGCTCTATGGACCCTACCATCAAAAACCTTCAATGGAATGATTTTACCCGCGGCATGTTCGAAGCCTACGACCGTGGAGCGCAATACCCCTTCCTCACCGACGGCGACACAAACATCACCGAAGGATCTGGTTTCAACGTCGTATTTATCAAGAACAACGTTCTTTATACCCCCGATCGAGGAGTTCTGCAGGGAATTACAAGAAAGAGCGTTATTGACGCTGCCAAGTGGTGTGGCTATGAGGTTCGCGTTGAGAATGTTCCTGTTGAGATGGCCTATGAAGCCGATGAGATTCTCATGTGTACCACTGCTGGAGGAATCATGCCCATTACCACCATGGATGGAAAACCAGTCAAGGACGGAAAGGTCGGGCCTATCACAAAGGCCATCTGGGATCGATACTGGGCGATGCACTGGGAGGATGAGTTCAGCTTCAAGATTGACTACCAGAAACTGAAGCTGTAGCGGGATGGGATCAACGTTGTATTATGCCTATACTCTTTACTCATGCACCCTGGGTACGATGGTATGATTATTTAGTTTTGCCTGTATCAGACCGCTTCTTTTGCATTTCCATTGACATTTGCTTTAACAACAATGTTACTTATACCACGGACATAACGATAACGGTACTATGTACCGGTGTCGTTTCGGACTCCGGTGCGGGGAAAATCTGTCCGCGGCACGTAGAACTGTGGAGTTTTAACTGTAAAGCCAACTGTCCCTGCAGACAACATCCATGTCCGCGGACAATCCGCGTTTCTTGAGCAACAGATTCGATACCAGAGTTGGTCTCTCTGCATCCGTTCTTAAAACTGAATGATCTGCGTCATAATGATTGGACTGATTTTGGGCAATACTGTAACGTGGACTTGCGACGTGGCCTAAAAACACCGGGCATGCCGGAAACCTGAATCTGATTACCTCACCAGATCTCTCGTCAATCTCCCATAAAGACTCTAGAAAACCCGGTATCATCTTTGTTAGACGTAGATAGAAATAAAGAGTAACTTGCTTCATATTGTCCTTTACTAGATTCACAATTTTATTAACCACTGTCGCATTTTATCAGTGAGGGTATCATCATCATCATCATCATCATCAAGATGGCAGACAGCTATGCACAAATTCCCTCTGGCGCTCTCGTCCAGCCAAAACCTTTCAAAGTGTCAATTGAAGATGAAAAGGTTGATGAGCTCAAGCTGCTTATCAAACTTGGCAAGATCGCACCGCCTACCTATGAGTCTACGCAGAAGGAGAAGAATTTTGGCATCACTCATCAATGGCTCACAGATGCTAAAGCTGCTTGGATGAAGTTCGACTGGTATGTTTATGAGAACAAGAGGGTGTGCTTCACTTGGAACTCAACCTGGTAACTGACCATCTTCAAACAGGCGAGCTGCCGAAAAGCATATCAATTCATACAACCACTGGATAGTGCCTATCCATGATACAAAAGGCGTCTTTGATATGCACTTCACTGGCATCTTCTCAAAAAAGCCAGACGCTGTCCCTTTGGTGATGGTTCACGGCTGGCCAGGTAGTTTCCTAGAGTTTCTCCAGATCTTGTCGATTCTGAAGAATCGCTACACTCCCGAAACGCTCCCGTACCATGTTATCGTTCCATCCTTGCCAGGGTTCGCCTTTTCAAGTAAGCCACCAATGGACAGAGACTTTGGTGCTGAGGATTTTACACGCGTGATCAACACTCTCATGGTCCAGCTGGGCTTTGGAAGTGGTTATGTCGCCCAGGGCGGTGACCTCGGGAGCATTGTAGCTCGTCAGCTCGTTACAAACTATGAAGAATGCAAAGGTATGTGACAATATACTTGACAGTTGCAAGTCAAGCTAACGGTTTATGCCCAGCCATGCATATTAACCTGTGCATGATTCCTGAACCAGCCGATGTCACAGGCGAAATAACAGAAGCCGAAAAGAAAGCCCTTGCACGTGGCGAAGAATTCGTGAAGCGAGGCTCAGCATACGCCATGGCCCATGCCACCAAGCCAAGCACAATCGGTCTCGTCCTTTCATCGTCGCCCTTGGCACTCTTGACTTGGATCGGCGAGAAATTTCGCGACTGGACAGACGAAGAGCCTCCTATCGATGAAATTCTAACCTCTGTCTCACTCTATTGGCTCACTGACACGTTTCCAACATCGATCTATGCATACCGCCAAATTCCTGCATTTAGTAGTGTCCCTGCCAGACCGGAACCAAAGATCACCAAGCCGTTTGGCTACAGCTGGTTTCCACAAGAAATTGCGCCTAAGCCCGTCGCCTGGGCCGCGACTCTCGGAAATTTAGTGTATCACAAGAGGCACGAGCGTGGTGGCCATTTTGCTGCCCTAGAGAGACCAGAGGAGTTGCTGGAGGCTGTGGACGAATTTGTGAAACAAATTTCTGCTGATGGAAGTTTGAAGATTTGAGGTATTGGTCAATATGGTTAGCAAAGATTTCAAATCACTATGACGGCATTCTACTGCACAAATCACTTCGTAGCTGCAGATCTTTGACAATGACACAGAACTTAACCGTCACTCTAGAAAAGGCCGTTCAACGGAATGAGCTGGTTGTAAGCCATGTATTTCACTTCCGATCTTGTCAAGACATCTGAATAGAGTATCTAATGCCATTGAAGTCCTTCGTATCCGAAGCCCATAATATCTAGACATGATTGTCATACATTACTTCTGCTTTCACAAACTTACCATATGGCTCACGCATTGCTTTGGCAGCTCAGGAGTGACCAGTTCAGTCCAGCCGCTTCATTTCACGTGATTAAGCACCATCTCATACCAATGCTTCGAAGAATGATCAACCCCGGTAACGACATGGGGGCTCAGGGGCTTTGCAGCTGATGAGCTGGATTCTCGTATAATCCAACGCCGCCAAACAATAGTCTTATCACTGGAAAAGCTTAGAATGCTACAGTTGTAATTATGCAAGGCTGGATTCACTCATATCCATCCAGTCGTATGAAACATTGCAGGGCTTTGGAGAGACTGCACAGGTGCTTTGGGTGCCGCACAACACTGACAGTCCGAGAGCGCGACCTTCTCTCTGTGCTACCGATGTCGGTGAATAACTGCGTCACCAATGATCTGTAATAAAATGGATCTGGTAGTTGTGATAGTTTCCTATTGCGGTAGTGGTCTAAGAGGCGGAGACTCCGCAACCGCCAACTGCAAGCGGATATGTCTTTGGCACTGTACCGAGATAGGTAATAGTCCCAACATTACAGTCTTCTCTTAAACTGCCCAGCACAGAAAATGGAGTGAGTAACACTGTGTGGGGCCACACGTCGTCACGATCGAGCCTTCTGTCATTAAACCCTCATTGACCTCATTTCTCCATGCTGCAGTGATCAGGCTTCACTCTTCCTTGAACAATTCCTCCCCTCTTCTCTGTTTTCTATCTGCCATATCCTAAAATCCTACCATCCTGCGAACAAAAAACCATCGCCTCAATTCTCTTCCTACCTCACCAAGTTGTCATATCATCATGGCCAAGCAACAAAAAGATACAGAGATCATTGAGATCGCAAAGACCCTCAAAAACACACCCTGGTGCGAGGAGTACGAGAAAATGATCTCGGGAATGCTGTTTGTACCATTCACTCTCACTTCGCAGCAGTAGATCTAATCGTGGGATAGTTACAACCCTCTTCATCCAAAGTTGCTAGAAGGCCGTCACAAAGCTCGTGGTTTGACCCACAAGTTCAACAATCTTGATCCAAACACTGGAACATACCTGGAAATTGAGAAGAAAAAGTCCGAGATGCTTACCGAGATGCTCGGAAAGGTTGGAAGCGGCACCTTTATCGAGTCGCCGTTCTCACCCGATTATGGAAGCAATGTCTCTATTGGAGAGAACTGCTTTATGAACTTTGGGTCAGTCATTTTCATCAAATTCATTGGCCTCTATTGTTGGCTAACTCTCTCGTCAGCTTGACAATCCTAGATACTAGTCTCGTCATCATCGGCGACCGCGTACAAATGGGCCCCAATGTAAACATCTATACAGCTGGCCACGAGACAAGTGTTCTCTCGAGAATAAAATTCGTCGAGTTCGGACACCCCATTCGTATTGAAGATGACTGTTGGATTGGAGGAAACGTTATCATTCTTCCTGGAGTGACTATCGGAAGGGGTTGTACCGTCGGTGCTGGTTCAGTGGTCACAAAGAGTCTGCCCCCTTACTCAATCGCTCTGGGTGCTCCTGCAAAAGTTGTCAAGACGATACAGAGTATTGAAGAGGAGATGGCAGATCCCAGCAACCCTTATCGAAACATGCCTGATCGAGAGTAAATAGTATTGCAACTTTGAGATGGAACTGCATGCATATATTACATGGTATCACTACCTATTTCTGTTTTACTCAAAGTCGGAGCCGCATTGTCGGAAGATATATGTCTTGCATGCCGACTAAAAGTGACGGAATTAAAATGATCACTTTACTCCGTCCTTCGCGAAAATGATTTAAAGCCGATGACAATTGATAAGCAATTGAACTATGATTGGCTGTGCAACCACGTCATCCCAAAAATACATGAGGTTTCAAGCTAGGCCTCGGACTTCGGACTCGCTGATATTGTAAGCACTAATAAGACACGGTGATAACATCATCAATTACTTCCACAATAACCAAATATATATATATATCAATTATCTGTTGTCTGTCTGTCGAGACTATCATTGCCACTTGACTTTGTCCTACTCATATCCATCAGCTATTGCCTCTATCGAATTCTCACTTTTCATCTAAAAAGAAAATAATTCCTATCTCAACGGAACTTCAAGCCCTAAAAAGATCATTATGTCGCATCCAATCCTCTTCAACAGCTCCCTTGGTCTAGGCCTCTTCCTTGCCGGTCTTGGCTTCAACGCATCTTTCCGTCCCAATGCCCACCTCAAGGCCCTCGAGTTCCCTATCCCCAAAGATCCAGAGGCCAAAAAGTTCAGCCGCGCCCTCATGCGTATCTGGGGCATCCGAAATATCTCAGTTGGTCTCCTGGTCGCGCTCATATGGACTACTGGTGACGAGAACCTAATGGCAAAGGCTTTGGGTGTTACTATTGCTTTGCCAGTGACGGATGGGTTTGTGAGCAGAATCGTCATCGGAGGTGGTGAGACTCAGCATTGGGTATTTCCACCTCTGTTGGCCGTTTTCAGTGCTGGGCTATTTGGGGCGTTTTGATCATCTTGGCATGAGTTGCTGGTTTGCGATTGCAAACTAGCGATCGGGGAGGTGTTGGGACTACTACGAGACGGAAGGCTCGACAATGGTTTGAAGAGCGACTCAGTATCATTATCCATAGTTATACTCAGCTGATTTACAGATGATGTTTCTCTGGATAGAGACCCAAATGGATATTTCCGAATTTTCTCTCGCTTCCAAATGATCATTACTGTGCTGTTATCAGCTATCATCCATCCGTATAGACTGCTATACTGAGAGACGCAATTGAGGCATTCCTAGGTGGTTATAGACATAGAAATGGGACACGGGAGCTAGAACTACCGGGGTATCGACACTAATCTTCAGCTCAACTCAAGCGTCGCCGATATCGGCTAAACAATATGAATATTCCCTTATGAGCCTGGTTAATAATTGAATGAGTCAAGTCAAGATAGAGGAAATCCCGAATAAGGCCGCATTTAACCTTAAGTTAGCGCCGGCTTCCAACGCACTTAAAGGGCAAACGCTCGCGAACTATTTACTATAGTACAATTCTTATTATCATTTACACTCTAAAAGCTTTTGCTTTATTCCTCAAGCACGTCTATTCCAGTCCCATAAGTTACAGGGCCTGCCTAAGTTACTTATTCTCGTTACGATGACAACAAAGCTGGGGTTTATACCCATCAAAACCACACTCACAAAGCTTCCATACCCACGATTAGAGGACCGCAAAGTCATCAGAACAAAACGCCTGATCCTCAAACCATTCTATGAAGATGCAGCAAAAGATCTCTTTCCTATGCGTGCCCAGCAAGAGGTCATGATGTGGACGGCGCAAGGCGCTCCTGACAAGGACCTTGAGCAAACTAGAAGTTGGGCTTCAGTAAGACTACCGCCACACCATGAAACAGACTTCAGTTACGTGGTCAGTCTTGTCGAAACTGGCCAAGTTATTGGTGCTGGTGGTACTTATCGACGAGCATGTGAGCTTGGGTGGCCAGCTATCGGATACGCGTTTCGCAAGGAGGCTTGGGGGAAAGGCTACGCTACCGAGTTTCTGTCCGCGTTCATGGAGGTTTGGTGGGAGCTGCCACGAATCGAGGCTTCGATTGAGGTGGATCGTACAACCCTCAGTGAGGAAGAGATCAAGACCAGCCCTGATCGTGCTATCGTGGAACGATGTGCGGCGGAAACTATCAAAGAGAATGTTGGCAGTAATTGTGTTTTAGCCAAGGCTGGTTTTGAGAAGGTCAAGGAATGGAGGAATGAGGAGAAGAATTGGTCGATATATGGGTGGACAGTTACCGCTTCGAACGCACCTGTTCATTAGTCAATTCACAGGTTTAACCTCGATAAATGTTTATGAATATTGCGTCAGCAACCATTATGTTTACGGTTTCCGGACCCTGACACAAGTAAAATGGTAAAAACAGGGCAAACGATGGATTGTCAAGGCAAAGAAGCCGTATAAATCAGTGTCACAGCCTCCAAAGACGGCGGTCGAGGATGATTATCAAGGACTTGCAGACCAACTAAGGGGCTTCACCCCCCACTAGTTGAAAGGAGGTGGATGGTGATGATCCGTGGCAAGGCTTAGGAAGTAGGTGAACACAATGCTTAATGGGATAAATCGGCACATCACTCCTTGGCGTGTAATCGCCGCTTATCAGTAATTAAACTAGTGGAGCCCGAATGTTTCGTACTAAGTTGCTGATCATTAGGGCTGACGTTCCGGTGGAACCCATCGCGAAGACCGAGAGACAGCAAAGGGTGTTAGTTTCGGGTAGTTCAAGGCATAAATTAAACATTGAGCTATCAGAAACTATCGATGCTACATATAAATCTATGAAAAGAGGTAATCGGATAGACATTAACAAACAGATCTCAAGATCAGATGGCTTCATGAGCAACTGTCATGCCTGGCAGTCGTATGCGTTAGGCATGTATGGTGTTCACAGTTAAGGGACGTGCATCTTTCTAAGCTAATTTCTTCTCAAGTCCTTCTACCTATTGACTGGCTAGGAAAGTGGACAATGCTCAACTTGGCGAGCATGGAAGGCGCCTGGTTATGTTCATTCTACCTTGTATCGTGAAACGATCCTGTCAGCTTCCGCGGTCCTTGACTATCAGTAGATGATTTTAACTTCATAAGACAGCTGGATTGAATATATATGGGGACCATCACCAGATGATTGACTATATAAAGACCGGACGGGAAGCTCTCTTCATCTCAAAATCAACCACATTCACTCAACCATCTAATCTCTAACAACCATCTACCAAAACACATTCATTATGCTCGTCCAAAGCCTTCTCGTTTCTTCCTTCCTTTTGGCCTCTGTCCAGGCTGGACCAACCACTCCTGCACAGGGTCTGGCAAAGCGTCAGAGCAGCCTCCCTGTCTGCGACGACACTTCCAGGACCTACGAAGGTCCCTACACCGATGGCGAAGGAACATACGTCACTTCAGACCGAACCACCCATCCTTACAAGTTTCCCAAGGTTCGCAAGTGCTGGTACGACTACTACGTCCTCGAGACCTCAGTCGAGCACACCCCATGGCAGAAGGCATCCGGTGACATCTACTGCACCGGAACACAAACATGCACAGCCACAAAGCTTGTTGGCAAGGAAGTCTGCCAGGAGAGGTCAGAGAGCGTCAGCGTCAATGTTGGCGCCGAACTCGAGGGTATCTCTCTGGGCCTCAGTTTCGAGGTTACAGACTCTGAGTCCAAGTGTGTCCAGGGCCAGGACCTTACTGCTTGCGCCTGGGATGATGGAGCTTGCCACACCGTCTGGACCCAGCAGCAGGTCCTTAAGCAGAAGGGATACCGCCGCCAGCGATGTAACTGGGGTAACGGTGATGAAACTCAGTGCATGGACAACTGGGAACAGACTACTCCCTCCGACTTTGTCGACTACGGCTGCGGTTCCAAGTGTACTGACACTAACACCTGCGGCAACACTGATGGCACGCCCTGTTCTAAGTGAGCTTTAAGCTGTCAGTTCAACAGGGGATGTTTGGGTTGATATTCTTTTCGTATTCTTTTTGACATATTCTTATTCAAGGATTTTACTTTCTCTGGAACTGAAGGCACCGACAGACCAGGTGACTGTGGAGGATTTCTTTATCATGTGTAGGAGGACGGACACTGTACATACTACACTCTACTAGACAATTCTAATTCAATCGTCCTTGTCTGTTCAGAATGTCTCTCACATGATAGCATAATTGCTTATGATACTTGCCTGATACCAATCCATACATGATTAGACATGATATCAATGGAACAAACTAAAAACATCATGGCTCTGTATTCACGGGCAGTGGTCTTGAAATCTGGGTAGTGGATCTCAGGCAAATCACTTCCGTTAATTCACCATGGTTGAACTAGTTTTACAGAGTCCGTAGTCCATATTGTAGGGCATGCTATCATTGCTTTATAAATACAAGTCATATCGTGATCATTATGGGAAACGCCGTCCCCTAATTAATATTATAATACAGTTCCAGTTTACAAGTATCCCTGGTTCAACCACATACCCTCTGGAAATAAGCCTACATCCTGCGCAAATGAGAGGGACTGATCGTTCTGAGCCCAGTTTATTGCGCCTTGCAGACGTTGCAGCAGATCCTCCGTCATACCCGACATTGGGGCATCACTCGTCCTATCAACAGTCTCATCAACCTGCTCATCATCTCCCTGAGAACTGTCAACCTGCGAGTTGTCAGAGGGTGACGTTTCAGTCTCCTCAGTGCTGACTGAGTAAGCCTTCTGCGCCCTTTCTGTGACTTCCTGTACCACCTGGGGTCGTGTGCCAACGTCGATCCCCATTTGAAGGGCGAAGCTGACCGTTGGATCATCCTCCATCCAGCGCGAAAAGCTTCTTGCATAAGTATTGGGCGATAACGGGCGTGGCGATGCTGGACAGGGCAACACTACTGGTCTTGTCATTTGCATCGGTATTGGAATGCTGGGTTGGCCCAGAAGTATGGGCATAAGTGATTGATTCCTGCTGACGAAACGTCTCAGGGCAGCGGGAAAGTCACTGTCTTGTACGAGACGATCTTGGCTCAGACACACGTCGATTGTCAAAGCAAGCCGTAGATATTGGGCAGGACTTCGTGCGAGTACATCGCTCTGGTCGTTTGTGATCATCATTTGCGTAGGCTCGTTGACGCCAACGCATTCCATAAAATACCGAATTGTCTTGGAGATAGAATGCACGCCGTCGTATTTAGGATGGAGTTCTCTGAACACTTGAATGAGGACATTCAGTCGTGACTGTTTTGAAGCAACGTCTGGTCGGGACCAGATCTCGGCAGCGGAAGAGGCCGCGGACATTTTGATATCTACCATGTGCATCGCGAGTGGGAGGGCTGTGCATGCTACTGCGCTACTCGGTAGCCAGCGCGTTAGACGGTGTGGATGTAAACGGGCAAAGCATTCGGCTATGGCTTTCGTAGCGCTTCTCAGATCTCTTCTGTTGTTTTTGAGGAATTGGGTTTCTTTCGGTCTCTGTGTGATGAGGCCAAGGACGAGACCGAGGTGAAGTTCATAGTTGCAAAGGGCTACTTGGCTCGCGCTAGAAGATGTTAGCAACTGTGTCCATGTTGAAGTAATAAGCAACTTACTGGAAGTAGATCCAGACCAGGTTCGTAAACAGCACTGCAGAATCTTCATGTGGCCCAGCGTTTTGTGTGAGATCCTTGAGTGCCAAAGGTGGCCTTGTAGCAGTAGCCCAAAACCTCAGCGATCTCTTGTGCTCTTGTACCTTCACATACGCTGATGAATGTGCCTCGGCGTCCAATATCGGTATGCTTTCAGTTGGATAGACCAAACTGAGGATGTCCGTCAACGTAACACACAACTCTGTAAGTCTCTCCAAAGCAAGAATGAGCTTGTGCTTGGTGGCAATATTATAAACGCGTGACGACTCGAGCTCATCTACCAAGTCATCATATCCCAGTGGTGAGCAAGAAGCAAAGTCAAAATGCGAACTTGAGATCTGAATATTCCGTCTCACGCAAATCGGCATGATACGATCGCGGATAATGCAACACCACCAGACACGCTTGAAGACATTTCGTCGCTTCATATCCTGCTGCGAGACTGTTAGTCCCAAGCTGGGCATGTCGTATTGATGAGCCCCACAGGACTTGGCGTGCTGGATTGCTATTCTGAGCCATCTACTGTTTGCCTTTCGAGGACCAGAGCGGAAGGTTGGGCACCAGTATGTTAGGAGGAGTGCGGCTTGTGCGATAGAGACGGGGTCGGGGTCGGTGGAGAAGTCATATAATAGCTGCGACAATTAGACATGACGAGAAAGGCGGTTATGCATGGAGACGTACTTTGGCCTTTGTGTAAAAAGACTCTTTTGCTTGGAGAATGGTTGAGAAGCCAAGAGTTTGAAGACTTTCTTTTGAAACGAACTGTGATTGTTAGACAAGACTCGGAACTTTGTCGCGTTGACGTACAGTGCATGATGCAAACATCATCGATTGCAGCAGAAGCATCGATACAGGTGTACCAGGATTGGCATTATCTGAGGGCGTTGGGTCATAGGCACTCCAGAAGTCGGCTTCGTTTAAAAGAGGTAATAGCGGGTGGATATATAGAAAATAATGTTTCATAAATTGATCGAGGATGGGCTTGGACGGAACGCGTAGACAGCCTTGGGTGTTGAGGTGATTGAAATCGCAATCGCGCATATTTAACGTTCTCAAGAACGGCATCGACGAGTATAAGGCTTTTAATTCGGATCGTACTGGTTCGCATGGTTCTTCGATGGTTACGACTGATGAAGCGGATTGGAAAGACGCTGGCGTTAATTCCTCTATGCGCTCGACCTCGAATACATTTTCTGGCGTCGGGTTGATTGGTGTAGCAATATCTGCCCGGTCGCGATGGTGTGGAGATTTGTATTCGCTTTCTTCGAGGTTTAATAGGGCGGAGGAAGCCTCTTCGATGGGACTTGGCGGGCTGTCGTTGCTGGAAGCTGGTGATTCGGCTGTCGTGACGGCCTCGCAATCGCGTAGGATATCATTTGAGGCGATTGACGAAGGGCCATTTGATTCGGGACTACAATGCGACAAGTCAGTAGATGAAACAACAGAAAGAAGATCAATATACAAAGCATCTGCGCGACGAGCAACGACGCATTCGCAACCATCGAGACGACAGTTGGTGCAAGGTGTCGAGGTGCGGGTGACATCACACCTGACCTTGCGTTTACGGCATTTGAGGCATGCCTTTGTCGCTCTCTTCCTCGAGACCTGCTTCTTGGCAAATCGAATAGAATGTTGCTGGGAGTTATTCATCCTGGCCTAGGATAAGAGAGCGGAGCACATTCGGCGGCAAATGGTAATGCTACCCGAGGTTGAAGGTGAAGAGTAGCAGAGGGAGAGGGGAAAGAGAAGAGATCCGACGCGAAATATCGAGGTTCAAGGCCCTGAACCCCGGATTTACCCCAACTAATGCCCCTGTAAGGAGTAAATTAGCGGCATTCGATTTCCCGTCGGGATCCTCGGATTCCAGGCCCGAGAGGCAGAGAGGGGTTAATTATGTTGTGGCCCCGTGGGGAAATTGCTTGTCGTTCTTGGTATATAATGAAGAGATGGAGAAGTAATCGTTTATCTTCTCTCTCCTTGCTGTTAATTTCTCAGTTTTCGGTCTTGTGGTATCACTCACGTATGTGATGTGATATGCATGGATAAATCAGTGACGAAGCGGCGGTTAAAGTGGCAAAACGGCAATTGCCGACCTCGCAGATCTGCAGAAGATCTTTCGTAAGAACAAGAACGACTGAGCTGCACATCAATCGTCGTAGACGGAATTTGTTGTGCCAATCATTGATCGCGATTGAATGTATGGTAGACTTTCTCCCGTGTTTGGAACATCAGGCACAGAGTTGCTGTGTCTTTTGGTGTCTCTTGGTGTTGAATATTGTCTGGAATTCAACATGTTGTTTGTCTCAAGTCTGTTCTAGACCACCAAAATCCCGTATTTCCCGCTGCTCTGATCTTAATTGTTTTTTATTGTTCACAGCGTTGGTACTGCCTCTTATCTTCACTGTCATGGTGCTGAATTATTTCGCATTCTCATACCCTAGAGCAGAAACTCCCACGCAGCTTAGCGGCGCGTTGTAATTGGATCGCCAGTTTTAACACGGATGACTGTACATAACAGCCGCGCTGCTGGCTATCACCTCTGCTACCTGAAGGGGACTATAATAGCCTGATTGGCTTCACTGGCTGTTTCCGGCCTGCTTTTGACAAGTGTAGGGTTGTTTATTATCTGATAGAACATCTGTGAAGCCTCTGGTGTAATGATAGTTAGCCCATTCTTGGCACGGTTCTTTGCTTCAATTTGCTTGATTGGCCCATGTCTCTCAATAAAGTGGCCCATCCAACCTTGGCTTAGTGGTCGGTCGTCGCCAAGATCTACCAAGAACTTTGTAACGAGCCCTGTAATCTGCCTCATTGTAGGGGCAAGGCCAAACGCGTCTTGCAGCACGTACCAAGACACGATCAGCTTTTCCTCTGCGACAGAGATGCGTTGACTCGCCTCGTGGCCCTCTCTTCGACTTTTACCACCTCTGAGGCGAACCATTAAGGTGGTTTTTGGAACATTGTTGCGACGAGCCGCACACTTGATGCTGAAGCCGAGGAACCTGACTTCGTGGATTGCCAAGATCAGTTGTTGATCGGTATATTTCCGTTTGTCTTTAATATTAACGGGCATGGCGAGAAGTTAGGGGAATAAAAATAAGATGGGCGACTTGGTAGGGATACGCGACAATTGCATAACGCGGCAAAGCACGTGTCTGATCACGTGCTTCATTGAGTGAGCCTTGGACGGTTTAGAATCCATTTTACTATCGACGGACATTGTCTTCGTACATATATCAGGACAATTCACTAATTTATCTTTTGTCAACTCGAATAATATTATACCATAAAGGGGCTAATCACTCTTTGAATATTGTTTGTCGGTCTCCATGGCCTTGAAAGTAGTCAAGGGGCATTGGCCAGTCGTACTCTTTATCTGACTACCGTACACAAGTAATTAGTACTTATTGGTCCAGCGTCGACTCTGAATCCCAAATCCTTTTACCCTCCGAGTCGTAGATCTCAATGTAAGGCTTGGTACTAGAGAACACAAGTCGAACGGGACCGTTTCCGCCCCCTGGCAGCCGTTCTGCAGTCCCATCATGATTCTTCAAGCTTAGACTTCCGTCAAAACATGACTCAGAAACTACGGCCACATTATCTGCCCGAGTGGGACCTTCGTATACCATACAAGTAAGCCAAAGATCGGCCCTTTGGCAAACGAAGTTGATGCCGTTGTCGAAGGTCAGGAAAGGCCGATGGTGAGTTCGAAATTTGAGGTCACCGGAATCGAAGGTACAACCTGAGTTTTCATTCTGTCAAAAACATTTACTAGTATCGGGGTCAGATTAACTTATGTGGTATCTTCAACCCCGATGCCATTAGGGAGATCGGGTTTCTCAACCCTTGCGTTGTGGTCGCGTCCGTGTCCTTGGTACAATCAATTCCTGGAACCAAATGATTGCGCAGTTCAGCAAGCTGATAATACTCCTTGAGAAGGCAACATTGACGTTCTAAACCGACTGTAGCATGAACACAGCTGTCAATCTGGTTGGTGAAAAACACGACACCGGTCTTCTCAACACCATTCCAGTTCGCCCCAAATAATGTGTCGTCGAAGACAATACACTCTTCATGAGTAAAGTCATTCTTGCAGCCTTGACTGATATGCTTCTCTACCGTTCTGAGTTGGTCCTTGGAATTATAGATCGAACCACCATAAACAATAGCGACAAGGGGAAACTTTCTCCCAATACTCTCGCGGGATGTAACAATCGGATGATCCGATGTTTTGCTGATGTGAACTGATTCGCTTGACTTCTTACGGTAATTGGCTGAACAGATGCGCATTGATCCGGCACCATACTGATAGATGAAGGACAGATTCCAGCCAAGGAGAGGCAACTCTTTCTTGTATATATCTTCATTTACCAGCCCCTTGATTGCGTCGATTCTGATTGCCATCTCCTCATCTATGACAAGAGCTTGCAGTGTGGATGTAACGTCGTGGATCCCACATGCCGCTGCAAGAATTTTGAGATCATTCCTTGCTTGGTTGTGAGATGCTGGTGAAGCTTTACGGACAGGCAAAAGTGCTTCCCATACTTCGGGTGCAACAAGCGCGTTCATCTTCGTCTCAAAAGAGCGAATCGGAACATCCTATCCGTTTTCCTCCTGGTAGATCTCGTTATGAGTCGCAGAGTCTACATCGCTCGTGACTGTGGCTCGGATATCCTGAAAGCCTGTGGTAGACACATCTGATGAATGACCGCTGGTTGTGCGAAAGGACTCAGCTCCATTGAGGCGCAAGATATCTTTGAACGTGGGCGATGGCAAGAGAGCTTCGCCGATGATGTTCTGAACTAGTTCGTTCTTCGTTGTTTTGGTAAAGCTGTCGACTGTTGGACCTGCAGATGTAATTTAGAAACGTTTTTAGTATGGGACGTTAGGACCCACTGTATTGGTCTTGTTGGAAAGCATATCTCGAACATTTCCGATAAGACTCTTGTACTTCATAAAGTCATCAAAAAGGGTTGCCGTATAGCGCATGACAGGACTGGAGTCTAGGAACTTCATACCTGGAGCCTTGTGTAACCGGATACGCTCGTTCCAGGTTCGGGATGCATTGTGTTTGGTCAGGATCGCCCTTGAAGGATGAGAAAACAACTCCATAGTGCATAGATGCAGAACTTACCAGGTGTATTGTGGATGAACGGCAACTTGGCCTGGGAATTTAGCAGCTACTTCATACACAGCATGGATGTCCTAAGGGCGGCCGATAGCCTGGACTTCCCCTCACCCGCGACAACGGACTGAGATAGAAATCTCTGTGTTTTCAAAAGTGCTGTTGTCGCAAAGGCGCTTGGACGCAGAGCTGAGTGTCTCGCTCAGATCACCAGGGTTGTTATTGGTCTGTGCAATCTCTCCGATACTATCAAAGTCATTCTCTTACATTGTTCTTTGATTTCATATATTCTTACGCCCGTATAACTCTGTCTTTGTCGTTTTTATCTAGACAGCGGATTGAAATAATACTGGTAAAACAGCCACCTTGGATACATCCTGAGATAGTAGTCAGTGTTTACATGGTATTCGTATTGGTGCTTACCAGAGATGTAAGAGTCCCCAAAAGAGTCATGAAATTCGTTTAATCCGGGATCAAATCCATCAACCCCTTGAAAATCATCAGGCTCTGAAGATATGTAAGTTCGAGTCATGAGTCTGACAGAGACAAGAAGATTGACATCCGCCGCCATAAACTTTTCTTCGTCGATGAACGTCCCACCACCTGAATGGTCAAGAGATCCTTCAAGGATAGTGCCGGCTGGCGAAATTTCCAGAGCCGTTGCGATGTCTGAAACTCGCTCGATAACCCTGGAAGAGTACATGAACGAGTATGAAGATTCCTCGATAATGTATTTACCCCCGCTGGAATAGCCGACGTCATGCATACAGAGCTTATGGGTATAGGAGTTAAATCCCATGCCCTTGAAGATTGCTAGTACGACCTCGAAATTCTAAAGTTCCACATATCATGCGCATGGAATCGTTGTAGGGCACGAATGAGTGGGTCATGATCAAGGACGGTTTTGACAACCGTTACGGGGAAAGAAAGAAGAGTTTAAACAGATGTATGACGATACGGCGTGATATTTATGGGATGGAAGGGAAAGAGGAAAGTCCCAAGTCCAATGAGAGGTAGGTTTGCGGCCGGACCTATTCGGAACCGACAGTGGTCGGCCTCTTGCAGGCTGCCCAGTCAGTGACCATCAAGCATGAGATCATCTGAGCAAACACTTTCGTATTCCAGACTGCAAACAGGGCAATTGTGTAACATGTAATAGAATTCAATTCCACATCTGTCTGTTGGCTTTCACCTCTGCAAGCCTTCTGTATTTATGTCCTCTTTGAGTTCAACTGGAAGAGATTCGCTGATACAATGCAGAATATTGACAGACCCTTCGATTAATTCACCGCCGAACGCCATCAAACTCAAACAAAGGAGTCCCAAGAAGTTCCATTCGTACACAAAGAGAAGCCTACAATATCCCTAATTATATCTGGTCAAGCAATATATATACTGACAGATCTTTTTCAATAGCGACAAAAAGAGTACAGACTTGATGCAACATTATTCTTCACTTTGTGAAAGCGTTTCTATGGTCTGTTTTTCCTTTCCAGCTGAACTGTCTACAACCGAAACAAAGCCTTTGTAGTTAGCTAGGCGGTGTCCTTTGATACGTAAGACATATCATAAGTGCTAGAAAGGCTCGTTCAGGTGCCTTGCATACCCCCAAGTTATCGTAAATGACCCGACAAAGTCCTTTATCAGAATGTGATCTGTGAGCTGCTAGAGCTGTATCCCCACCAATGGTAAAGAACGAACTGCTAAAGGATGATTTGAAACAACAAGAATGGATATAGATATCCATTGTGAGATTTTCTGTCCTATTTAAGGACCATTTCCGATCTGAATTTCCCAACGAACTTGATTTCACAAGTCTTCACCCAAAGTACTACACTTGATCCCAGAACGACAACACTCATCTCACTCGATATCGCAAATCACGGGTAGCAGAACCTTCTCTCACCATATCTTCTGCGGCAGGTATTCAGATCCCTTCTGTACGGTATCACCTAATACCAGTAAACACTCAACCAACACACTGCATTGGAGTCTTCGGCTTTAATCATCCATCACCATGTCAGCCCAACGCCTTGATGCACTGGACAGGTTTTGCTTGAAGAAAGCTAATATAGAAATTGCCAAACTAGAAGAAGACGTGGGCTTTCTGAAAAGACGAGCGGCGACCCTCGGGTGCTACCATAAGCGTTTCCCTGAATGGCCCGAGACCCCGAGCCAATTTGAGCACATCCAAGCGTTCATCGACTTGCTTAATGAACTTGGGAAAAAGGGTGGAAACTCGTTTCAAATCGCGGAGCTAAAGTGTGATCTTCACGCCCAATTGCGCAAGCATGGTTGTGGCGAGTCAGAAGTCCAGCACCGCTGGTATCTAGCCATTATGATCCAACGTGCGGTTGATGCTACGATATCTGGTCTTCACGGTCAAATTGTTGAGTTCGAGGATGACAGGAAAAGGATTGAGAAGGAGCTAAGCAATCCCGGCAACAGCAACACTATGCCGACGGTTGTTAAAGAGTAGCTGAGAAACTTGTAGATTGAGGTTGTAGTAGCGTTGATGTTTATAGCAGAAATGAAGAATGATACCTTTTGAAAAAGGTGAGTTCTGGTTTTTTCGCGGGCGATCGATCTTGTCTTTTATGGTCTGAAACTCCAGTTCTATGCTTATGTGATCTTAGTGAAAATGCGGCAAGAAATTGACTGTTGGAACACTCGCCACGAGTATTCTTGAAAGAGAAAAAAAACATATGTTCCAGAGTATGAACTAAAACAATCTCCCTAACTCTCTCTACATACTAGAAAAATTGGCCTCCCATACGTATCATTCCGACAACAACCTTCAATCTAATTATCGTCCACCCCAGCCTAGATGCTCCTGGTGACAAGCATCCCATCCTTCAAAGTAGGGATATCTTTCTTCACCACCGGCCTGCACTCCAGCTCCTGCAGATCGCGCAAGATACTCCAAAACCATATTTCCCCACAGCCAACTTAGTGCTCCTGTAGCAGGATGCGTACGATCTGCGTAGTGTTTTCCGAGTAGTTGAATCATACGCGCCCATTCAAATATCTCGTGTCCATACTTCTCCGCCATGGCTCTTCCGACACGATCCATCTCAGGCATCATGGCGTCCGACATTCCTGTGTGTTGGTGATAAGTCAAAGTTCTGAACATCATGGGAGTCTCTGGAAACTCCTTGACGAGTAGTTCTACATAAACTCTGAGACGAGCTGTGTAAAACTGCAATTCTTCCCACACCAGCTGTCGGCTCCATTGACCCACATTTTGTTTGGGATCGTGATGTTTTTGGCCACCTACCTGGAATCCACGCTGGTCCCATAGGCCATTCTGCCATAGAAGCAGGTCGGGCCGGCCATTCGGTCCATGAATATCTTCCTTGTGTGGCGTCCAGAGCTTTTTCCAACGTTCCTCAAAGGGAATGATTCTCATTTCCTTGTACCAAAACCATTTGGGCCTATAGGTAAAGCCACCAGCAGAGTGGAAAACCACAAATGTAAGGTTGAAAGATGGTATCTCGCAGATACCCTTGGGAAACTTCTCGATAGGATGTATCTTGGGGAAATACATCTCGCTTCCGAACTCCATACAGGTATACTTGGCTTCATATCTATCAACAGAGTCGCCAAATTCCACGACTCGGCGTCCCCAAAGCCATCCAAGACCACCGTGATCTTTCATGGAAACAAAGTCTTCGACGGTTGCATGCTTATTATTCACGGCTTTGACTCGACGCCGGTGCTCAGCAGTAGCTATTTGCATCCATTGCTTTGGCATCCCTGGTCCGTTAAGCAACTCTTTCGGGACTTGAGTATCGTTGAAGATAAGCTCTTCCTGCTGAGGGGGGTATGCTGCAGATGCTGGGTCGATGTCCAGAAACTTGTCGGTAAAAGGCATCCACTGAGTCTCTCTATAGTGCTTCTTGTCTGGTGGGATGACGAGGAAGCCAGGTCGCCGATAGGGGTCTTGACAATTTCGAGATTTTCCGTTTTCCGTTTCGTTCTTTGCCCTATTTCAATAATGGTTTAGCGTTTGCCCAGTGAATAGTCTTCCTTTATGCTTACACTCGGCAGAACTCATTGGCTTTGGACTCCGCATAATCCAGAGGTGACCTCAAAAAGTCGGTATAAAAACCAGACAGAAGGAACAGGATGAGGACAGTACCAGTAGTCACCACCCATAATCGGGATGCCAACCTGGACTCATGCGCTGGTTGTGGAAGAACTGCCATTTTGGTGGAGTTGTGACAGGAAAGACCAAGACCTGTATGTAGCCGAGAATTGCGAGACTTAATAAATCCAACTTGAAAATTAGGGATGAAATCCTCCCTTGTGGCGGTAAATATTGGAATGAGGTTAGGCAGGGGTTGGTCAATTGTGTTCAGCCACGCATCATCCCTTGCATGAGTAATGCGATAACAAGGGCAGACAAGCTTTAATATTGGGTATGAAAGGATACTTTGCATTTAATTTGACAGTCGGCTGAAATTCAATCATGGGGTATGTGCCGCCAACCAACAGGTAAATGTTCCTTCGAGATATATTATCTCTAGTCACTGTAAACAGATTGTGCCAAGATTTGAACTCGAGCCAAGAGTTAAGGAGTCGATGTTTTACTCGCTGTTATTCTATCGGAATCCCATGAACTCCTGAACACAGGGTATCAAATCAGCGTACACCTGGTCACCTGACACCGATATTATACTGTTAATGTTTGTCTCTTGACAATCAAGTCCAATACATTATTTAGCCGGTCTCTGGATCACCCCCTTGACGTTTACCCAAGTTTCTTATAATAGAACAATTTGCAATAGCGATACCCATTTTTACGATTTGGTGCAGCATTTAAATATATATCTAACATTGTCGCCTTTATTCATTTCAAGTGGTCGACGTCTTTACTGATACACATAGATGACAACCTGCATGACAACTGCGTACAACTTCTTCGTGGCAATGATGGTATAAAATCACCGGGCTTACTCTGTAGTGTTGGTTGTATTGACCGATGGGGTAATCGTCAAACTCGGGGAACACAATATCTAGATGCATTCCACTTTGACCAGAAGCAGTAATATCTCTATATAAATTAGATTATTATTTACAAGCGACCGGCATTTCATGATCACAAGTGTCCAGAGTAAGGTTTGTGATAGGTGCGCATCCTTGCATTTAAGCCGACCATGCAGAGAACCCAGTCAATACCGATGATGCCGGTGGGGGATCTACGTCCGGTGGGGAAGGTCCCTTTGAGATCAGGTGAGATGAAAGGAAATAGAAGCATTAGTATCGAGTATTCGAAATTCTATTAAAGGCGTCCTCCGCTCTCTTGTAGTGCAATAGGTTGAGTGTCGAGCAAGTTAAAGCTTATCCAACCAAAAACATTGCCTCAACCATCCTGTTTATATCTAAACATGTACCCTAAAAATCTTACAGCCGTCGTGTCATTGTCTTTAATCTCCCATGTTGCCTCACAAGTGCAAGGCACAGCAACTGTCGACCTGTCCAGGGAAGTTGGAAAGGCCCAGGCTCTTGGTTCAGGGTTTATCTACGGCTGGCCTGATAATGGGACCAACGTAGATAACTCGATTCCAGATTATCTAGCAACTGACATAAAGTTCAACGCAAACCGTGGCGGTGGTGCGCAGATCCCCTCTCGTGGTTGGGCCACCGAAGGCTACAAAGGCTATCTCGGTCGTTTCAACTCAACCCTATCCAATTATCTCACCACACGCAAGTATGGCGCTGATTTCATCTTGCTACCTCATGACCTTTGGGGCGCGGATGGCGGACAGGACTCAGAGTCTCCTTTGCCAGGAGACAATGGCAACTTCACTGAGATGGAGTTGTTTTGGAACCAGCTCATATCCGACTTGAAGACCCACAACATGCTTGAGGGACTTGTCATTGATGTGTGGAATGAGCCTGACATTGACATTTTTTGGGCTCGCTCGTGGCCCCAGTTTCTTGACTACTACAATCGGGCTACTAAACTTATCAGGCAAGTTATTACGATGTTTCATTGTTTAATCCTCCTCTGCGATAATGGCAGGCTGGTTACCCCAAGCACCGTGAACTGAGACTAACTGGCTGAAAACTGTAGAGAAGAGCTTCCTGGCGCAGTTCTCAGTGGTCCAGCCATGGCAGATTCTCCAAACCTGACCAACGACAAATGGCAGACCTGGCTCGAGTCTGTAGCAGGTAACGAGACGATACCTGATCGTTTTTCGTGGCATCAGATTGGGACTTGGTCGCGTGAGCCCGACACAACCATGCCTGACTTTACTACCTTGCGAGAAAGATACGGAGTGCCTGAAAAGCCAATCGACGCCAATGAGTATGCAGCTCTCGACGAACAGAACCCGGCCAACTCTGTCTATTATCTCGCCCAGTTAGAGCGCCACAACATCAGAGGTCTCCGCGCAAACTGGGCTAGCGGATCTGAACTACACAACTGGATGGGCAATCTAGTCTACAGCACCACTGGCACTTCAGATGGCACCTACTACCCCAATGGCGAATGGCAGGTTTACAAGTACTACGCTTCCATGATAGGCGAAAAGGTCTTGACGGAAGCTGCCTTGGATTTGAAATTTGACGTTTTTGCTACCAAGGATGCACAGACTATCAAGATACTAGCCGGCACCAGAACCATTCAGGCACCATACAACATCACTGTCGATGGATTGAGCGTAGTAGGGCTTCCCAAAGAGGGAGAAGTCAAAGTACAGATTTATCGATTTGACTGGGCTGGGCCGAAAGGAAAGGTTGACGGCCCTGTTGATGTTGGAGAACAGGTTTACTCATATTCGTCTGACATGGTAAGAAGTTCCTTGTTATTAAAGCGTTCGCACTCGGAAAGCAAATGATTGAAGCCAAGTTTATAAATCGATCGAACTAACTGTTTTCTTCTAGTTGACGATTGTGGCTGATCCGCCTACGAATTCTACAGCCTTTGCCTACGAGTTTTCGATTTGATGGTGTGGCAGACTAATCCAGTCTGAGTAGCGTGGTGATGTCACGAAGGACGGACATACTTAACGGCTGGGCCGATCACTCGCTTCTGCACAGCCCAGCCCAGCTCAGCCTTTTTTTATCTCGTGTTAGTGGATGTTGCCGCTGGCCAGCCACTAAAAATAAACTTACCATGGACCCAAACTAGCCTAGCAACATGCCCATTCCCCAAGTAAACAACGTTACAATAAGTTTATTTACCTACTCGCATTTATTCTTAGTACAAAAACAAAAATGGCGGGACTGGGGGGTACGAAGAAATGCGGTCACGAGCGCACGGAATGCGATTGACGTCCTTTTGTCTAATTACTACAATGTTTCCTCACTATTTCTTGCTTGTGCTCCCTGGAATGATTCAACTTGTCTTATTGTAATCTCATCCGCATTTCCCACACTCGTTTCATCTGCAAGTTTTCTTCAACGGCTCTTGCTCTTTTATTTATTTTTCTACATCATGCTTCATCACTCATGACATTTGTGACTATGGTTAAGCCATTCAATGGATTCGACTTTTGGGAGCAGCGGATTAGAGCTCAGCAGGGTCACATTTCTGAAGTCGAGTCTGGACCCGAATCTGAACTTGAGTCCGATATCGAAAGCGAACCCTGCTCCCCTGTCGAAACTCCCGATATCCACATCGAAGCACTATCACCAGCAAAATCACTACAAACATGGTCACAACCAACCAAGCCAGATGGAATTGTTCGATCTCGTCCCATTCTAATCCAAACTGTTGGAGTTCACGACGTCCGCAATTCCATGTCCTTCTCGCCCTCGCTGGACCACCATAGCCATTCCGTATCCGTCTCGCACCCCAACAGCTACGAAGAAAAGGGAGAATTCCTCACAGTCATCAAGACAAACGATTCATTCTCCAGCAGAAGATCTTCATTTAATGCAAGCCCGATGGAGAAGAGGAGGTCTGAAGTCGGCCCTTCCAATAACACCACCAAATTACGTCGATCGCCCCTCAAACTCCAAACTACCAACCTCTCTCGAGTATCACGTTACCAACAAAGGCATTCGGCCTTACCCAGCCTCCCCACTTCCACAATCACCCCCTCCGAACACAGGCATACATTCAATGCCTCAGCAGACTGCACCCCATGTGTAGCCAATAAGACCGACAAGGCGTTTGAAGCGCTTGCTAATGCACTTCAACCAAAACAAATACCAATAATAGAGCCCGTCACAATTCTTCGACCAAGCAAGGACAGTCCTTTACCTATTATTCGATCGCCAACACCGATTCGTCCTAAGATTATATCACAGCATCTTGAAAAAGCGCAGCTATGGGCAGAGAGCCAAGAGGATTTCGACAGCTCGACCGCAAGCTCTCTATCTAGTCCCATGAGTCCAATGATGTCGTTTGACCTTCCCCTTGATAACAAGAATGGGCCCGTCAAGACGGAGATTGTACCAATGGGCTGCAATCTGGATCACGATTTGGATGACTTTCTCAAATGGGAGGCTAAGCATGTTTGCGCATATGGATATGGCACCAATGGATGGGCCTTTTCTCCATAAATGTACTAATAATGAACGAACACACACAAACAAGATTGGGATATATCATACTACTGGATATTCTAGAATGATAATGTTTTATAATAATACCAACTAAATCGGAAATAAATCTTAAGTATACTCAAATCTATTTCTATTCCCAGAGCTGAGTTCCTGCCGCTTTAGGCTGAGCTACCGTTGAGCGAGGCTAACCTGAATTACATTAAATTATGAATTATACTGGAGGACAAATGAGAATTCTGAGCATCCAAGGAGGTAAACAAGATTCTTACCCAAACCAAACTCCATGTGGTTGCATCAAAGGCTGTTTTTCAACAAGTTGAATCTCTCCCTGTGCAGGCTGTCTAAGAGTGATGATGTCTCTAATACTCTCTGCAGCCTAACGCTTTGGCCCCTTTCCATCCGTAACACATCCACCCAGCTAACAAGCTGATTGAAAGCTTGTGACAAAGAAGAACAACAAAGTCAAGAAGCTGAGAGCAGGCGGAATGATGAAAATGAGGACAGTGATTTCCACCTAGCCGCTTTACATCAATAGTAGCATCTGCCTTGCCTTTTTTCCCTCCAACTGCATTTGCTACAACGGCATCATCAAGAAGACCCATTGTAGACACAGCAATGGCAGAAATAACACTCAGGGTATCTTCTAGCCCATTACCATTGTTACTAAAGGCGTACGGGGGTTTCCGGTCTGTAACAGCGATCTACTTAACGCTGGTAAAACATCTATCGAGATTGTAACCTTCCATGGTCATCTTATAAGCTGATGTCCCAACTGCAGCGAAGTGAAGGTTATTGACGGTTTTCTTCGTAGATGTGCATGACAGGCCTCTATTCAAGAGACGACTGTAGGCTGCAGGTCGAGAGTGACAAGTCGATATTCGAAAGAGTCTTGGGGTTTTTGGTTGTTGATATTGGATATTTGTGCCAGGACGCGTGAAGATGGACAATCTTTCAGCCAAGAATAGAAGAAACCTGTGTCAGTCGATGTGCTCCATCCAAAGACGCCTTGAACGGGACCCTTTGTGAATCCCGCGCATGCGTTAGAGGTTCTGTTGTCAGTAAATGGGTAAGTCGCACCTGGCACCAGAGGCTCATAATTGATGATCTGTACCAGCTGTTGAAGTGGAGTTAGTAATAAGAGCTGTTGTCAATATACAACTGAGTAGATATATCAAAAAGATATGCTGAGTGTGTCATGTCTCTGCGACGCCTTTAATTTTAAGTACCCCTCGCCAATTTCGATCGAGTAAGCGCCTTTGAAGGAGCTGTTCAGCTTCTGTTGCGTTACTGATGCTCCGCAGCGGTGCTTCAAGGTGTCGCATGAAACCGTGCTGAATTCGGCTTTTCACAACTGAGGTGAACAAGGTAGCAATATCAGTGATGGCTGCTACAATGAACGACGGTGTTGTTTGAGTAATGATAGGCGAAGCAAGAGTGACCCAGATCATACCGGGGATTAATGCAACAAGACATCTAATGACGCCCAGATCATAAGCGACCTGAGATACTGGAGGAGCCACGATACAGAAGTTTGATATATTTCGACATTGAAGAAACATCAACTAATGTAAACTCCAGTATTTATAGAACCCCCAAGGGTTTCCAAGTGTGGGTTCCCTGGGAAATAGTGACGTGGAGCTGAGAAACCACTGTACCCAACGTGAAACTTATGACCGCTGTCAGGCTGCACTTTTATACAGTCACAACTTGTGGTTTCGTTTCCGTAATAAAATGGCCAATCTTCATTTTCCTCTCCTCATGTTTGAATCCAAGTTGCTTTATTTAGCAGAAAGGGCAAGTAGAATATGAGTTCAGCCTCAATGGGCTGAGAAACTTGAATGGATTTCATTCCCCCGTCTCCCTTACTCTTAGATGCAACCTCAATCAGGCTCTCAGCGTGACTCTCTCATTCCCTGGTTGCCTAACGTCTCGGTCGGGGTAGGCATTTCCATTCTCGTGTCAAATTCATTGACATGCAGGCGTTCACTAGTTGCATTAGCGGTGTCATATCTCTATGCGTGGCGTTGGTGGGAGATGAAGCTCCAGGGGTAGCATAGGAAGGATGGCGGCTTAAGAGGAAAAGACAGCATAAATTTGGGTTGCACCCATCTTCGTTTTCCTGGTTTCTATTGTTCTTCTTCCCTCAATCTACCAGATGGCGGTCTACAACTTCAAAATGATACGTCTAGGATGGCTTTTATGGGGTTTTGCTTGTTTGCCAGGCCTGATTGTTTCAACTTCGCACACTGACCTCGAGCAAAGCATCCAAGATCTCAATATTACAGACGTCAAAAAAGTTAAATTCTTTGTACAAAAGTGGACTTGACCAGAAATGATCAAACGACTTGAATCTGCTCCATTGGCATCCCAACTTCCGACCTGGGGTCTTCCTCTCGTTCGTCGCCAAGATTCACTGATTCTTTGCTTTGGAAACGACAACGGATGCTCTGATGACGCCCCTCAATGTTGCGGTACCCAAGCTGATGGCTGGTGTTGTGGTGCCAACCGGGATTGTTGCCGAACAAAGGACACAGGCGACTGCTGCCTTGAAGGACAGGATTGTTGCGGTACTGCAAAAGCTCCAGGTTGGGGAGCTTGTTGCGATGCTGGTGCGACATGCTGCGATTCTTCAGACGGGAAGCCATTTGTGAGTTATGGTCAAATTATCTAGACCATTGCTGATCTCGTCATTGCTGCGATGAAGACCAGAAGTGCGACAATGATGCCCAAACATGCATCAACCCTACGTGAGGCGGTCTTTTAACATTCAATTGATGCTCAGCTGACACTATTCAGAGAAACTGTGACCAAGACAACAACTTCATGGGCGACTGAAACCGACACTGAGACCGTTACGACGGATGGCACAACTACAGTGGAAACCGTGTCGACCAAAGAGACCTTCGTATTTGTGACGGTATCCCGAGGCGCCACAGAAGAGCAACAGAAATAGAGACAGTCTATGAGATGGAAGAAGCGACCATAACAGTTACCGACACAGAAACAAAGACAGAATGAACAAACGAGTACTCAGCCTCGATCACAACACATAAACAAACCTTCACGGTTTTTGTTCAAGGCCAATCCACCGTCACTGTAGGGCCCGTTGAGACAGCAGCAAGTTCTTCAGAATCAGGCTCCGACAATGGTCCATCCAAAGTCACTATTATCGGTGCAGCCGTTGGTGGCGGCTTAGGCTTGATATTGATGGCTTTGCTTGCTTTTTTCCTGTGCAGGCGACGCAAGCCCGCAAATGAGACACAGCCAAGCCAGGCCTATACAGTCAGTCAGCGAAGCCCCTGCAATGGCACAGAAGCCAACCCCTTCCATGTCCCCAACCCCTATTTCATTCGCACAGGCCGGGACACGCGACACTTGGGTCTTAAGCCCCAGCCAGGATATCAGAAACGACTATTCCAAGCCGCCTGCATATTCATCTTCCCCGCCAGAAATGGCAGACACTCAATTTGCTTATGAAATGCATACGTCGCCGCAACGGTCTCCTCAAGAGCTGTATCATCCCCAGTACTTGAGTGACTTGGGATTGCCGGAAATGAGGGATCAACGGAGGGGTTAGTTGATGTGCAGAGCGATGTGGCAAGGTTTCACTGCAGTTCAGCTAGGGAGATAAGCGTGAGGCTGAAAGATTTCGGTGTGATTGGCGCTACAGTGAATGATTCGATGCAGGCTGATAAGACAAGGATCTGAATGAGAGCGTAGTCATTGTATGATGAGAGGGCTCTGGCAGTATTGTATCTACTATGTCACCGAGAAATTGTCTTTTATGCTCCAGTTACTTAAAATATGGTTACTTTTTTATTGTTCGCCTCAATTAATCTTAGATGGTTCCTATTAAAAAGAATATAAATTACGTCAAGTTCTAATAATGAACGAAGATATACAGAAGAATGAGATATGTAAAACTGCTGGATATTCTAGAGTGATAATGTTTTATAGTAATACCTTAATACCAGGTCTATACTAAACATACCAAGGCACTGAATCCAAGACTGGCGTACCGTACATTTCCACGAAATAGAACACCAGTAGCGCGACGACTAAGGCAGGTCACTAGGTCTAACTGTATTAATTACCTATATATAATCTAATCTAGATGACAAAGGAAAGGGGGCGGGAAATCATCGGATAAACAAGTCACCTTACCTGCGCCCTCTCTAATAGCACGCTACTGGTGCTCCATTTCGTGGAAATATACGGTATTATAGTGACTCTTGAAGTTCAAAGACAACAATCTATCTAGCCCAATGACTGGTAAAAATTCAGTGATGGGCCCATAATATCGGTAGTTATGCCCACTCTTGGTTAGAATAAAAGTACCCCCATATTCAATGACGTCTTGATAGAACTCCGGGCCAAAGGACCTGAGACTGGGGTCAACGTTAAACATGTCCTTGGTCCCACTTCAATAGCGTAATGGGTATGGCCTATACGTTATTGATCGTGTCAAGGGTTCTTCTTTTTACGGTCTAATTACGTGAAATCGCCTTTACTCTGCGCTATTACTTAGTCACGGAGCAACTGCCAAGATGGTACAGTAGTGAGGGGTTCCATGAATATCCTCAGAAATATGTAGTATAAAGTCTCTCATTGCTACTTGCAACATCAGTTTTACACCAACACATACAATACATAAAATGACATCTGCTGCATCATTTCGCGAACTCATTGGCGTCCAGCCCTCCACCGCTAGTCCCACCGACAGTGTTCTCATCATTATCGATGCGCAAAATGAATATGCCGAGGGAAAGCTCCAAGTCACCAACGTCGCCGAGTCGCGCAAGGTCATTGCTGCGCTTCTAGAAAAGTACAGAGCCGCCAATGGAAGCATTGTGCATGTCCTACATGCCACCCCAGAGGGCGCTCCTGTCTTCACACCTGGCACCAAGCTCGCTCAGGAATTTGATGAGCTAAAGCCCAAAGACGGAGAGGCTGTTGTCCAAAAGAACTTTCCTGGATCTTTTGCCAAAACGGATCTTCAGGAGGTTCTTGACAAGACTGGAAAGAAGAAGGTTGTTCTGACTGGATACATGGTAAGTCATTGAGAATCATGAATGTGATTCAAGCTAATCGGAGGTTAGGCCCATGTTTGTGTCTCAACCACCGCGCGACAAGCTGCTGAGCGTGGCTTCGACGTTTTGATCCCCGAAGACGCCGTTGGTGACCGAAACATTCCTGGTGTCGATGCGGATCAGTTGGTCAAGGTTGCCTTGAGCGAGATTGGCGATGCCTTTGGAACTATCATCAAGAGCAGCAGCATTGCTTAGATCTTTATAGAAAATCGGACAATGACAGAAGGTTCTTGAAGAATATTGTATTTATTATAAAGTCTAGAATTATTTTTCTGAGAATTCTGGCTGAACCAGTTCTCTTCTTGTGAATCTCACATTAAAGTTAGTCTGCTTGACAAACCAGGCATTAATAGTCTTCCACTCCTTGCTTGGGTCATCAAAGCCGATCTAAATTATGTTAGTAAGATGTCGTAAAAAGGCATGAGGTTAGTAGAGCTTACCTCGAATCTTCTAAGCAGACTTGGCACAACCTTGTAAATCTCCAACAAACTGATGTTCTTGCCAATACATGTTCGGCTACCCATTCCAAACTGGAACATCATACCGGTCATTTTCTTGATTCGCTTCTCCTCCTCTTCAGGGTTAAGCTTGGGATCAGGCAACCAACGCTCAGGACGGTATGCATCTGTATCGGGACCAAAGATCTCTTGGCGGTGGTGAATCAACCAGGCTGAAACACCGACAATGGTACCGCCCTTGACAAACTCGCCATTGATCTCAGCACCTTGGGGAGGTACGATGCGTTCTAGAGGCAGACCAGGAGCAGGGTGCACACGGAAAGCTTCTTGGACACAGGCGTGAAGGTAAGGGAACTTTTGTGCCTCAGTGAATGTAACAAGACCACTCTCATAGTCTGAAAAGACACCAGCCTTGGCAGCATCGTCAAGCTCCTTCTTCAGTTTCTCGTAGCACGCAGGGTTTCGAAGCAGATAGTAGAAGACAGATGAGAGGGAGATGGCGGTTGTCTCTGAGCCAGCAAAGGCCATAGAGACGGCCATGGTCTGAACAAGGGTATCGGTCATGAATTCGGGACGAGCCTCGCGAGCAGCGATGAACTTGGAGAGCAAGTCTTGGCCAAGGGGCTGTTTCTTGATGTTGCTCGTAGGCAAGCCATCGCTGGAATGGAGCTCAGGGATGAGACGCTCAGCCATTCGAGCACGGGCAAACTTGGCAACAGGGAAAGTCGAGTCGATCAGACCCCATTGGGAAAGCTTGAGGTAGATGGGATTCTTGAGGAATATCAGATCAAGGAAGGGGATCTGTCCAATGGGCGCAACATAGAGGAACAGCTTGGAGAGATAAGCCACAATGCCCTCTACGTCCTCATTCTTCTCAATGAAACCGTGGCGCTTGCTATATGTAATTTCGCCTATGACGTCAAAGGCATAGAACTGTAGCCATTGTGTAAAGTCGCAGACCTCAGACTTTTGGGCAAAGAGCTTTTCTGTCTGGTCGAGGAAGAGCTTAGTAGTGTTATCGACGAAGGGCTCGTATTGGACGAGGGCGCTCATGGAAAAGGCAGAGTTGACACTGCGGCGAAATTGGGAGTGGAAGTCATTATCTGTTGTGCTGAAGAGAGATGCCAGACGGTGGCCTTGGACAACTGATTGTTGAACAATGTAGAAGTCGGACTATCAAGAGTCAGCACAATCCAAATTTCAGAAAGAGGGCAACATACCTTGACATAACCCTTGCTTAGACCATAAATTTGTTTAAGAACGGCAGGGTCAGAAAAGGATAGAGTGTTGGGTCCAATTCTGACAATATCACCATGCTTGGCATGAAGTTTCCTCAGTGTAGCTTCGGGTTTCTGTCCATAAACATCAAAGAACCTCCACCAATTTGTAAGCGAAGCCAGAAAAGGTCCGGGGTATTTATTCAGGCTGTGATGATATCTGTTTCTCACGAGCCAGGCAAAGGTTACTGCTGTAAGTGCCAACACCCAATGCTGGGCGAGGGCACTGAGGAGAGTTTCAATCAAGCCGCTGTGCATGTTGAAGGCACAATAAAAAATGGCAAGATACAAGAAAAGAGATTGTTGAAAGAGTTAATGAGTCTAATTCATTTCTACTATATGCTGCTGACCTTTGTTCTTATAACACTTTGACTTAGACCAGACCTTGATATCTCGGCTTTGGTCTCGCCCCCCACAGAGTCTGTTCTGGGGTAGTTTGGGGAAAGTGATCCACCATGGTTCGGCAAGTGAACACGGCAAATACGCCAGCTATGCACAAAAATGAAGCGCAAAATATGCTTTGATACATAAAAGCTGTCAGAATTATGTGCATATGCCGTTTCATTGAGTAACTGAGGCGAGGAGTGGTTATTACCGACGTAATTTTGCAACATGACTGTGTTGGAGCTAGCAATTGTCGTCGGCAGATGACAACGGGAGAGATGAATTGACAGTTGAAAGAGACTGATAAAGGCTTATCATTTGTATGCATCGAGATGAATTGGTTGGGTCTCTCGGGTTGTGGATTTTGACATCGTCATCCCTCATTGAGCAAGGCGCGTCTCTCTACGTGGCCCTGTATCTATCTTTGTTTCTGGTCGCCCTTTACTCCAATCTCCGGTGCTACATTTTCAAGTAAAGACCCCACGTAAGTAGTGACGTCTGTCTCGTTATGCTCTGCATTAATGAAAGCTACAAATAAACCTAATATTGTCATGGTTTCGGCAGTTCTCGTTGCGAATGGGTTACCCTGTCTGACAATAATGATGGAGTGCCATATTCTGATGATCCACCGTATCATAAAGAATCATAATGTTTATAAACTGGCATGAAGTGATTGGACGTCTTGATACCTAAAACAGCATCGTCGTTCATGCTCAAAGCGCTACCTGCTATTTTTAGAATATATGATCTGGTTGGATGCTAGGCAACATGAATCGTCGCACCTAGCCGCACCACAATGCAGGCTCAAGTATGATAGGAGCTATCTTGCTTAGGCTACCCTAGCACTGCGTTTCATTGATCCTGTTCGTTCTATGTTATTCACCTGCGCTGCCGGTAAATCATTATGCCTTACGTAAAAAGATTTTAACTATAAAGGTGTGTTCGACAGCTAGGACTGACTTCTTTAAACACTCCAAACAACTTGTTCTGGACTCTTAATGCTCCTCATTCTCACTTGTCAGCTGATAACACCTTCCTCCATTATTTTGAATCGGTAGTTCTCAAATTATTTTTATCCAAGGATCATTCCAATTTGTACCTATTTGAGGAAATCACTTCTGATTCTATTTTTATTTCTGTACTTTACTAGCAAATGCAAGTCCAAGCCTCTCACTAACTCTAATATTTAACAAAATATCCATATAGATTAAAAACTCATCATATTAAATCAAGGTCCTCTCAATAACTTACTTTCCCACCAAAAATATATGTGACTGTCAGGGCAATAACCAAACATCTGATTCTATATGTTGATGCAAAACCATTTTCCAATGGTTCCTAGATGAGTATGACAAGTCCTGAATTGTGAGGTTCTGCGAACTAGATATATCTATACTGAGAAAGCACTCTGCGTAACGGAAGCAGCTCTACAGATCCAGCAAATGGGCCATCGCTTTGCTTCCTTAATGAGAAAGTATGGCCTAGCGACCCAGATACCAGCTCATGTTGTCGTATCCATCAACTTAACAACAGCCTCTCGGTATGCTTCTGCCTCATACATGGTTTAACCTGACAGAATGTTGAGGATATATATGAGTAATTATCAACATACGTTGTCGCACTGCTATTCTATGCACACTGTCAAATACCTAGTCATCAACGAGCCTCAAAGATTCTGTACGCGAACTGGTGGAGTGACGTGGCAAGCAACCAGAGGTTCGCATCATGCTGCTCCACCAAAATATCTACCACAGGAACGACAATCATTGACTCTTGAGCCTGTTAAAAAGATGGAAATAATGAGAAATCAGGACTGCATTACCGACAAGGCGGGGTTGCGAATACAGGGCTCCGGCCATACCGATGTAACGTGACTGCGCTGTCAAATAACACTCAAATTGTTATATATCAAGGTGAGGTCTTTTGTTTACTAATGTTTGCCATACATCTTTGAAAATACTCTTGAAATGGTAGAACGCCCTGCTGAAGTGGAGGGCTCTCCAGAAGTACCAACCCCTGCATCACCTGCTTCAGGACCACCTGCAACTGCCACAGAAGAAACCCCTGCCGAAGCATCAACCGCACCAGACGAAGACTTCCACAACCCTGAGCACTGGGCCAGTTTGACGGGAGAAGTGAGTCAAAGCCAACACCGCTGCGATTTATTTCTAAAACTATGTAGAATGTGCCAGGAGACGATGATGCAGATTCAGCTGTTGGCGACGATGTTGCAAGCTCAACCGAGTCTATATCCTCAAGTATCCTTCACTACCGGACAATCAATGGAAGAACATATCACTCTGAGCGAGGGAACGCTGAATACTGGTAAAGAAAACCGCGACAGGTTGGTAGTCGGGGCTGATGATCGATAGGACGCCGAACGATGAGCATCATAGAGAGTCTATGGACATAGGGTAAGTAGGATCATCTTATAGAGGGGCTATCAGCTCACTAGGAAAAGGCATCATCTCTTGTCTCTGTCGTTAGAAGGCAAGCTTTACTTGGCGCCATTAAAAGATGACATCCAGGTACGTGCAGTACTCTTGGGTGTGGTACTCTGCCACTAAAACCAACATAGACGGTATTGGATGTTGGGACAGGAACGGGTGAGTCCTGCGTGTGATTGGAACAGTAGAAATAAACTGATTTTTGAATAGGTATCTGGGCGATGTAAGACTGTTCATCTCATCATTGGAGGGTGGTTCACTAACTGGTCTAGTGACTTTGCCGATGAGTATCCCAACGCCGAGGTGACAGGAACTGATATCTCTCCAATTCAACCTGACTGGATCCCTCCCAACCTGAAGTTGTAAGCAACTGGATCCAGCTGTTTTATGTCACCATCTAACATTACTAGCGAAATCGAAGATTGCACTCAAGAATGGACCTTTCAACCGGGAATTTTTGATTATATATATATGCGCTACCTCTACGGAAGTATCAGCGATTGGAATGCTCTGTTCAGAGAGGCATATAGAGCCTGCAAGCCTGGCGGCTGGGTTGAAAGTTATGAGGCCTCGCCTAGGATGGAAAGCGACGACGGCAGTGTAACTGAAGGCTGCGCTATTAACGAATGGGGAAAGTTCTTTATCGAAGGCGGCAGGAAGCTCAATCGCACTTTTGAGATTATAGATAAGGACCTGCAACAGAAGGGCATGGAGGAAGCTGGATTTGTCGATGTTCAAGTTTGGGATTTCAAGGTATGTGACGCGTTGCTATTGTTTTGTTTCCAGTATTGATGACCGTCTAGGCACCTATTGGAAGCTGGCCAAAGGACCCTCGGCTTAAAGAAATCGGCCAGTTTGCTGAAGCTGCTCTGGAGCAGGACTACGAGGGATATGTCATGTACATGGCTAACATGGTTCTTGGGTGGTCGAGAGACGATGTTGTGCTTTACTGTGCCCAATTGAGAAAGGAAGTTCGTTCAGGGAAGTTTCATCCGTTCTACCGACAGCGCGTTGTATATGGTCGGAAGCCGGAGTAGATATGTCGTGTGCTGATCAATCTTGATTGTGCGGACGAGCGGCTCATCGATGATAAAATTATTCACTTTCATTCACATAATTGTTTGTTCTCAGTGAGTAAAGCCTTGACATTGAGATGAATCGGGGGAACGGATGTTGTGATTGTGATTTTACCATGATCGTGGCAATTAACATGTGGCAGTCATAAATGACTTCATAAATGTCCAACCTCGGAAGTCGTGATGATACTGACTCGCAGGTGATATTCTCAGCCATCGAAAGGTGAGAATATCACGAGACTGTACACTGCAAGTCACCTGACCGAATTCCATTTTTTTCTGTTCTGTTCCTACAGTGGGCTCGGCTTAATTCTGGCCTTTGTTGGGAATGTCTCTCAACAAAACCTGGTCTAGAGACAAAAATACCCTAGACAATAATAAAGCTCTGACCATTTATTGATTGCATGGATTATTTAGAGTCGGCCTCATTTATTGTCATTATCACAAGCCATTGGAAGCCCTTATTATTGTTCTCACGTGCCACTGCAATTGACGTGTACCTTGTACGAGGCCTGGCCTGTCAGAAACAGAAATAGAGCAGACCAAGCTGGCGGTGCATTTAAACGAACTGCAGATGGTGGCTGCTATTTCCGCAAGGGGGAATTAGTGGAATGATCGCCAAGCCGTCAGAGCGGTAGGCCTGATGACAGCGGCAGAAAAAAGAGTGTCTGGCCTAACCTAATTTCTTGTTCAGTGGTAAGATAACAAATGACCGAGGCAGCAAGGGAATATCAATAAGGCTATTACTCAGTAGACATACGATACACATGTCTCAAATTGAGCACAAATATTTAAAGCCACCAAGGATAACTTGACCGTGGCGTAGCCTAGAGATACTCCTACTCAACCATCTGGGGCGTTTTTGTTGATCTGCAGCCTCATCTTCTGATTGGTAGCCTAAACCACTTTTCATTCCAAAAATTGATCTCACCATCAAAAACCGACGAACGAACGGCCCGCGTCATAGTGACTGTACCCATACTTCAACAAGGATATCCCACGGACCAAAGGGGAGACCCTCTCTCTTCTCTTTTCTCTGCTGACATAATATTCCTCGACCGCCCCTTTTTTCCCATCTCTCAGCCTCTTCTTCGGGATAATAAACAATATCTCCCCCCGATTTCGCACTACCGAGACACTTGTACAAAACCTTTTTCCCTTCTTCTTCTTATTCCCAGCCTTTTTATTCTTTACAGTGTATTCACAATCCAAATACCGCCTAATCATGCGTCAAAACCTACCGACACAATCCGTTGCCAACGGTGATGGACAGGATTTGTGTATGTTACCCACCCCCTATAAAAATTTGCTTAATTCTGGACGATTGAACTGACTTTGTATCTAGACCTTCCCGACAACATGCTCGCTCGTGCGTTGAACCACGGAGTTTTCAATTTTTAAATGCATGCTGACAGTGAAATTAAGGCCACCCCAGCAAGCCTCATATCGGCAGTACGTTCAATTACCCCAAATATGAAAATTTGGAGACACTCGAGCTAACTTTCGCGTTTTAGGCCTGGAGGAGTACCAACAGATGCACCAGCTCTCCGTGACGGAACCTGATGCTTTCTGGGGAAACCTCGCCCGCGACCTTCTCACGTGGGAGCGTGATTTTCACACCGTCAAGAGCGGCTCTCTCATCGAGGGCAACCCTTCTTGGTTTCTGGGCGGAAAGCTGAACGCTTCTTTCAACTGCGTGGACCGCCATGCGCTCAAGAACCCCAACAAGGTCGCCATCATTCACGAGACTGACGACGGCACCAATGGCAAGTCCATCACCTACGGAGAGCTTCTTAAGCAGGTCAGCAAGGTTTCATGGGCTCTTAAGGATCTCGGCGTGAAAAAGGGCGACACCGTTGCCATTTACATGCCCATGATTCCTGAGGCTCTGGTCGCCATCCTCGCCTGTACCCGTATCGGCGCTGTTCACTCTGTCGTTTTCGCTGGATTTTCAGCTGGTTCCCTGAGGGATCGCGTCGAGAACGCCAAGAGCAAGGTTGTCATTACCGCTGACGAGAGCCAGCGAGGTGGCCGAACGATCGGTATCAAGAAGATTGTTGACGAGGCCCTGTCGACTCTCGAGGGCGTTCAGACTCTCGTTTTCAAGAGAACCGGTGCCGATGTCGCTTGGGTCGAGGGACGGGATCACTGGTGGCACGAGCAAGTCGCCAAGTGGCCCAGCTATATCGCCCCCGAGGCCATGGACGCTGAGGATCCTCTCTTCCTCCTTTACACCTCTGGATCAACCGGCAAGCCCAAGGGTGTCTTGCACACAACTGGTGGTTACCTCGTCGGAGCAGCCGCCACGGGCAAGTACGTTTTCGACATTCACGACCAGGACCGATACTTCTGCGCAGGCGATGTTGGTTGGATCACAGGCCACACCTACGTTGTGTACGCACCTCTTCTCTTGGGTGTCTCTACCGTTGTTTTTGAAGGAACACCAACTTTCCCTAACGCTTCTCGTTTCTGGGATGTTATCGCCAATCACAAGATCACTCACTTCTACGTTGCACCTACTGCTCTCCGCCTGCTGAAGCGAGCTGGTTCCGATCCTGTTGATCACGACACCAACAGCCTTCGTGTTCTGGGCTCAGTTGGTGAGCCTATTGCTCCCGAGATTTGGAAGTGGTACTACGACATTATCGGAAAGGGCAACTGTTACATTGTTGACGTGAGTTGAATTTCATTTTTTTGTTTTGACGAGAGCGACGAAACTAACTGGCATGGCAGACTTACTGGCAAACTGAGACTGGTTCTCATGTTGTTACTCCCCTGGCTGGTGTCACGCCTACCAAGCCTGGATCCGCATGCTTGCCCTTCTTCGGTATCGACACTGTTCTGATTGACCCCGTCTCTGGTGTCGAGCTGCAAGGAAACGGCGTCGAGGGCGTTCTCGCTTTCAAGTCTTCATGGCCTAGCATGGCTCGCACAGTCTACGGTGACCACCAAAGATTCGAGGAGACCTACCTCAAGGTTTACCCAGGTTACTACGTAAGTCACCATCTCAGTCAACAAGATGATAGCTACTAACGATGTCACAGTTCACTGGTGACGGAGCTGCCCGTGATGAGGATGGCTTCTACTGGATCCGTGGCCGTGTTGACGACGTCATCAACGTTAGCGGTCACCGTCTCTCAACCGCTGAAATCGAAGCCGCCATGGTTGAGCACGCCGCTGTTGCCGAGTCCGCCGTTGTGGGTGTTGCTGACGAAGTCACTGGTCAATCCGTTATCGCCTTTGTCTGCCTCAAGGAGGCTTTCCGTTCCAAGGAGACCGAAGTTCACGCCGAGCTGAGACTGCAGGTCCGCAACAGCATCGGCCCCTTTGCCGCCCCCAAGAAGATCTTTGTTGTGCCCGATCTTCCCAAGACTCGATCCGGAAAGATCATGAGACGTGTCTTGAGAAAGATTGTCATGGGTGAGGAGGATCAGCTTGGCGATATCAGCACACTTTCTGACCCTTCGTGTGTCGAGAAGATTATTACTATTGTCAAGAGTGGTTAAGTCACGTAATGGGAAAAGAAAAGAAAAATGGGTTTAGAAAGGGAAACGAATTGTTTAGAGAAATGTCTATATCAGTATTAATTAACACGTTTATTTTCTCATGAAGCTCACAACGTTCACTTTGGTTCTCTTCCACATGATATCAATGCCAGGTTGCCATTTAGTGTCACAATGGATGTATGTCTATATTCTTGTTACTAGTGTTACGCGTATCTGGTTGCAATCGATAGCCGTTGCTTACATCTCAGTTGCTACTCTTTCCCTTGTCCCATTTCTCACTAACCGTCTTATCTGCCCCTTCAGACTCATCATCTTCCTCTGAATCAGACGACAAGTCCTAAGCTTCTTTTGCAGACTCCGCACTACCAACTCTCTTCATGCCCATGACTCAGGACTCATGTCTCTTCTAAACAGCTTCAAAGCGCAGCTTCCCAAGTTCCTTGTCGAAAAACGGCCAGATGCCGACCTGAGCTTCTTGCGCAAATGTCATATCAAACGAAAATCGAAGAATGAGCTAAAATATACCCTCAAGCTTCTAAACGAGTGTCTTTAGTGTCTACCAGAGCGTGATATAGTTGTCATGAGAATCGACGGTTTATCTCGTCTCACAGGTGACAAGAATAAGGGATATATGATCATAGCCAGATTGGCAAAAATGGCTGTCGAGTATCCTCATCTCACTGTCAAGATATTGATCACTGATGACTTGGCGAAGAGCTCCCACGATTGAGATGATTGGTGATTAGATATACTGACGAAAAGAAATTTATGAACGAAATATATTGATTTTGAATAAAACTTCGCATTCACTTATACTACATGGAACTAGGGATAATCTACTGTTCGAAAACTGAACCAAATACGTTTCCGTCGCCCATACCAGCCTCGGTAACCTCCAACCCCTCAAGAGCCTTCAGCACCTTTTCAGGTAAAGGTCCCTTCTTAACAGCCGCAACATTCTTCTCAAAGTGCTCAACCTTTGATCCACCCAAGATAATGGCATCCTGAGACTCAAGCTTGGAATGGTAGTAGAGCCATCGAATAGCAACATCAGAAGTGCTTTCAACCTCACCATCCTTGATGAGACCATACAGGTCCTTGACAGCCTTGTGGAAGGGCTCCTTGTCATATATAAACTTGTAGATGGTGAGGGGATGGGTTGGCTCGCCGTAGCGTGTGCCGGCTGTATCACCGCTGGTAGGCTTTCCAGTAAGAAAACCTCCTGCAAGGGGACTGTAGGCGTGCAGAGCAATATTATGCTTTCGAAGGAACTCTAGAATCTTGGTTCCTGTTCCGCGCCAGATATAGTTGTACATGTACTGGGCAACTGAGGGCTTGATATAGCCCTTAGCATCGCAGATCTCGATGTACTTCTCAATCATACTGAGAGGCCAGTTGCAAAGACCCAGCTATGATTCGAGTTAGTTATGGCTTGCAATAGTAAGAATTGTGTGTTCTTACCTTTTTGAACTTGCCATTTTTGAACTGCTCATCAAAACCTCTTGCCTGATCTTCAAGAGAAGTACCTGGATCAGGCATATGGGCTGAGAGAATGTTGACTGAGTCTTGGTGAAGACGCTCAAGACTTGTGTTCAAGCTCTTCTCAATAGCCTCAGGTGCCAGGCAGCCGAGGAGGTTACGGCTGATGGCAACTCTGGTGTCAATGAGCCAGTTCTGCTCGCTGGACTTGACCTTTCCGAGGAGAACCTCGGTTTGGCCTGTGGCTTCCTCGGTAGGATAGCTAGCAGCAGTATCAAGTTGCTTGACACCATTGTCTGAAGCTACCTGGAGAAACTTTTGAATAGCATCTTCCTCGGCGAGAGAGCCGTAGCCAATTGAGGCCGTGCCAAAGATAATCTGGGGACCGTTTTCGGACATGACAGAAAGACGAGGGTGATTTTTCGAACTTTGACAGAGTGGAAGAACTATGTCGGTCTTGTTGTGAAGAATTGTCAACTAAGCGACTGGAACTTTGCCGTCACATCATTTATACCAGACATTCCGAACTTGGAGATGTATCATGAAAGATGATTGCGGACCTCCGCTTACTTGCTGCGTCATCATGTTCCCCGAAGGATCTCAGACCTTGTGGTAACTTTTTTATTGCTGTGCCATCGTTCCTGAGGCGTGAAAGGTTCCGTGCGGAAACTAAGCAGGGATCGTATATGCTACGTGGGGAATCTTACGTCCCCACGCCAAGAGGAGTATTTCTAGTAAACAGGTTGCTCCTTCGAAGGATCCGATAACGCCCTTGCCTTGCATGGGAAGTGTAACCTTGCTTGCCACCGTAGATGATTGACTTCGGGAGCCTTGCCATGAATTCCAGCATGTGTATATGTTGTGATATGTAGTTATACCCTCTCCAGTCTCGTTCCCATCACGACTCATATCAACTTCCTCACTTACTCTTTGTCTATTCATTTTCATCATGCGTGTTGCTGTTGTTGGCGCTGGACCTGGAGGTCTTGTTACGCTCAAGTACCTCAAAGAAGCTACCAAGTTCTTTGACATTGATCCCATTGATGTCCGTCTCTTTGAGCGTGAGGATGAAGTTGGTGGAACTTTCACCAAGCGTACCTATGAGGATGCAGAGGTAAGTACAAGGCGGAAATCTCAAAACATTTTCATTAATATGGTTGCTTAGCTTGTGTCTTCAAAGTATCTGACATGCTTCTCTGACTGGCGTGCAGACCTTGAAGATCCAGATTTTCTGAGCGCTGAAAGGTTTATTCGGTACTTGAAAGAGTACACAGACCACTTCAACCTCTGGCCTAATATTTCCCTTTCAACGCCTGTTACGTCTGTCAGGCGAGGTCAGGCTGGTGGCCACATCGTTCATTACCGTGGTCCTGATGGTATTGACAAGACTTGGGAATGTGATGCTGTCGCTGTCTGCAGTGGCCTTCACGTCACGCCCAACATTCCCGATGTCCCTGGTATCGAAAAGGTGAAAACCGTCAAGCACTCTTCCCAGTTCAAAAAGAGAGAGGAGTTTCCTCAAGGCGGCCAAATTGTCGTTCTAGGTACTGGTGAGACGGGTATGGATATCGCCCATCTCGCTGTTACCTCTCCTACGAAGCGTGTTGTTCTATGTCATAGACAGGGCTTCCTTGGTGCCCCAAAGGTTAGATGACCATGAATACTCCTGGAAAACCAAAACTGACTCACGGCGTAGAAAATCCCCAACCCTATCTTATTTCCAATCTTAGGAAACAAGCCCGACCCTAACGCCCAGGAGCTACCCATTGATGTCAGCTGGCAGGCTCCCCTGCTTGACTCTTACCTACCGCCTTTCTTGAGAGATCGTCTCTTCACATGGAGATTCCAAGACATAAATATTAAGCTGGCTAACTGGCTCTGCTCTGGGACTACTGCTGGAGTTGACCAGTGGATTGGAGGTCTTGATGCTGACCGATTCCACACATCTCAAAGTAAGTGACCTTGATCCCAAATGTCAAAGAGCTGCATAGCTGACTAGAAACAGGCTTCTTTAACAAAGCTGTCTGGAGGTGTCTTCACTATATCAGCGAGCCTTACCGCCCTACCAACCCAGGTATTGTAGAGCGTATTCGCCGTGCAATCGTCACGATTCCTGTCAAGGAGGTCCCAGGTAACAAGTACATCGACTTGGCTCCTTGGCCAACTCACATCGATGACCAAGGTGTCATGCATTTCAAGGAGAACGGTCGCCCTGAAGCAGAGCGCATGAAGAAGCTTGGCCCAGTGAAGCCTGACATGGTTGTCTATGCTACGGGTTACACTCAAGAATTCAAATTCTTTGAAGAAGCCAACAAGAACGGCGAGAACTACCCGACCTGTGCTGAAGCAGATGTTCGCTGTATTTGGCGTCACAACGATCCCACCGTTGGCTTCATCGGCTTTGTCCGTCCTGGCTATGGTGCTATTCCTCCTCTTGCAGAACTTCAAGCCCAGCTTTGGCTCATGACTCTTGTCAAGCCTGAAGTAGGCAGATCTCTCAGCTCAAGAGAGGAGTACCACTTCAAGCTCCATGGTCACAAGCGTATCGACTACGGTGTCCACCACGAGTCTTATGCATACCAGCTGGCCCTTGATATGAATGCTGTTCCCTCTTTCTGGGACGGTGTTCGAGCTGGCTGGAACGCAGGTGCTAAGCACCCTGGTCTCTGGTGGCGTCTGCCTATCTTGTGGTTGACTGGTGCTCAGTTCAACACCAAGTTCCGTGTGGTTGGACCTTACCAGTGGGACGGCGCTGTGGACGTTCTTGGCGGTGAGCTTTGGGAAACTATCACCAGACGTGAGGGTCTATTTGGTAAGAAAACCACCTACTCTATAATTGCTATTACTAACATTTCTTAGGCGCATTCGTCATGACAATCGTTCCCATGACCATGGTTGGCACGAGCAGCATCATTATGTGGTTTGTGGGATTGTTTTCGGCACTACTGAGTGCAATTGGAAGCATTGCCAAAGGAACGTTTTGGAGAGTTGTGTAAATTCTGTCGATTCCTGCTGTTGTATTTAATTGCTGTTGAAATAAACTCCATTGAATAAATTGTATCTTTGAATCTCAAGTTCATTTCTCTACTACTTCATCTTGATCTCTAGGTTAACCATTAAATGTTACAAGCAATATCATTTTAAGTAGACTCGGTCAATTTCATTCATATATTAAGTTAAAGGAGACAAAAAATCGATTGCAGCTTATGTATCTAGAAATTCCTGATAAGTTATACTCGGTTACGTGTGCTCACACTGAAGTTCCTCCATTGATAGCGTATCTATCTTTCTCAGAATGATGACCGTCTAATCCAACATCTGATATCAAGGAGCCAACTTGCACCGCAAAACCTCACAAATTGGTCCACACAATCAGCAACCCACATTCCGTTATCTCGGATTACACAATCTTGATCAGTAATGACGTATTGGCGGCAATGAGTGACAATTCGAGGCCAAGAGTGTCGGGATGGTACAACAGGAAAGGGGGGAAGCCACATACGCGAAGCTTCAACATTCCTTCCTAATCAGTTGATTGGCAAATACTCCCTTTTCTAGCCTTAGCATTGGCAAGGAGGATCAAATTGTTCAAAAATCGAATGTTACATCCCTGTTTCTACACTTGACAGCCCCTCTTCCCCGCTTCCTTCACTCTCATCAGTCTATGTAACAGTTGTAGCAGAAAGTTGGAGACATGATCTTCCAAGTTGGATACCCTCTAACTCTTCTCAGATCTTACATGCATATCTAAACGCACTCCAAAGCTACCTCAATACCGGCCGGGGATTTCCTCCCGCCCTGATTTTGGTCCTTCAATCCTTGTGTAGAATGGAGCTAGTGCTGAATCCCGAGGCAAGGAACATAATCCCGCTTACATGGGGGTAGGGGGTGGCTACAACGCTGTGGGTCCTTTTCTAAAATGATATGCAACATGCCCTCGATCTTTCAGAAGGATTTGGCCCTTGAGGGGAAATACATCATCAGGATAATATGAGAAATGGGGAGGGCAATTTCAGAAGGATTTTTAACCTGCTTCAGTGAGGAAATACTGGAAAGACTTCTCAACAAACAAGGCATTCGCGGAGTCGACCGGAAACAGAGTACATAAATACAGACGAAAGGAGCGGGAAGAGTGGCACTCACTCAAGCATCAATCCCAAGCTGGCCCGGTAGCAATGACACTCTCCTATTCCACCATGGAACTTCCGAGTTTCTCCCTGAAGTTCGACCATGAGAAGCTGCTACCCCTTGCCATCATTACCACAGGCCTTGTACGTACATTCCGACCTCAGTTAATTACGTTGGAAACTGACAGTAGCGAAGTTGGTCACATCTCTTGCGGCCATAGCCATCTACCGTATTTGGTTCCATCCTCTCTCCATCTTCCCTGGTCCAAAATGGCTCGCCATCTCCAACGTTCCTGAGCGTTACATGAGCAACATCTCAGGTACATGGATTTGGAGAGTCTCTGGTCTGCATCGCGAGTATGGTCCCATTGTTCGCATTGGCCCAAACCGTCTTGCCGTCGATGGAAGCATTGGATGGTTCCAGGTCTATGCCATGAGAGGCAAGGACGATGAATTCCCCAAGTATCCTGAGTACATTTTCCCCGGTGATGGCTTGAGTATCCTCGGTGCCAACCAGATGAACCATAGACGTCACAGGCGTCAGTTTTGGTCTGCGTTCAATGACCAAGCTCTTGTTGAGCAGGAAATTGTCATCCAACCCTACACGGACATGCTTCTTCAGCGTCTCAGCGAGCGTGCCAAGATCGGAGAGCCCATCAACATTGTTGACTGGATCAACTTTCTTCTCTTCGATATCGCAGGCGAGCTTGTCTTTTCCTCTCCTTTTGATTGCCTCGATAAGCAGGAATACCACCCATGGGTATCCAACTTCTTCAGGGCCGTCAAGGGTAATGCTGTGAACCGCTTTGTCAAGCATTACCCAATCACCGAACCCATTGTCAACTTCCTCTTCACCGGCAAGGAGCAGATTCGGCGTGAAGCTGATCAGCGAAACATGACCTTCCATCATGCCATGCAGCGTATGAAGCTCGGAGAGCAGCCCACTCCCGGTCGCCGTGACTTTATGAGCTTCTTGATGCGACGCAACCGTGATGGTGGTGGTCTCACAGACACCGAGATCCTTGTTGACTGCCCTGTTCTGATTGGAGCTTCGAGTGAGACCACCACCACTGCTCTGTCTGGCTTCTTCTTTTACCTTGGTATCTCCCCAGTGGCATACAAGAGACTGGTGGAAGAGGTGCGATCCTCGTTCAAGAGTGAGAGTGAAATCAACATGAAGACCACCAAACAGCTTGAGTACCTCAACGCCACTGTTGACGAAGCACTGAGAGTGTATCCCCCCGCTGCTGAGTCGCCGCCCAGAATTAGCCCTGGCGCCGAGATTGAGGGCAAATACCTGCCCAAAGGAGTGAGTCTTTTTTTTTACCATTACCTCAGTCATAACACCGTTGCTAACCACTACAGGTCGTTGTTTCTGTCTACCAATGGGGAACATTCCACAACCCTGATAACTTTGCCGACCCAGATGACTTTATTCCGGAGCGATGGCTTCAGCCTTCTCACCCTCTGCACAACCCCAAGTATGACAACGACAATCGCTCTGTGTACCGTCCATTCGGGTTCGGTATGAGAGATTGTCTTGGTAAGAATTTGGCTCATGCAGAAATCCGCGTCGTTGTGAGTCGTATCTTGTATAGATTCGACTATGAGTTGGCTCCAAACCAGGAGAACTGGCATGCCAATCAGAAATGTTTCATGGCTTGGGACAAGACGCCTCTCAGTCTCACTTTGAAGCCAAGAGACTTTGCGCCATAAGAGGAACATTTTGAAGGGGCATATATCGATCAATTTCTTCATTTAAATGGCGTCGATCAGATATGAATTGAGAATAAAGTTTATTTACCATTGAAATTATCTTTACAACCTTGATAAACATGCTGAAACTCTGATGAAAATCCCATAACTTGTTTACTGGTGATACAACGTGACTGTATCAAGGGTATTGGACATAGACAAGCTCTCAGGCCGACCCTGGTGATGTTATAGCCTTGATCACTTTATACAGAAACACGAGTCAGTTTCTTCATGTCTTGGCAATTTGGCATCGAAAGTTTAGTCAAGGGAGACACGAAATATCTTTTTGAGTTGATCGTATTGTTGTCACTAAAGAATGCTTGTCCAAGGCTATCTTCGCTTTCATCACTATTATGATGTATATCTTTATTTTACTAGCAATTCATCAATTGGTATTTCACTACAATGGGTTTTCAAGTCTGATCATGGGAAATAAATAGTTTTGTGAATGAATGTGTTTTCTCTAGGTATTTAAATGAAGGACTACTCGAAGTGTCCAAATCACACTAACTCATCGCCAACCCAACTCAACCCACTCATGAACACAATTTCCCCAATATTCCAGTCAAGCCTCACCAAACATGACTCGAAACAAATATTACTTGACGGTGACGCGAACACCCTTAGAGTCTAATCGAGGAAGCGGCATCAGGTAGTCGTGAATAGCATCCACGTCAGACCTGTCCGACTCGAACAACTCAAACTTGGGGCCAGTTGGCCCGAACAAGGCCGCAAGAACAAAATGAAGGTCGGCAAGAGCCAAGCTGAAAAAAAGTAAAATAATTAGTTCATTTTCTTGGTCAGAATTGGTGATAAGGCATACCTAGATCCAGGGCATCGGCGCGAGCCACGCGAAAAGGGCACAAAACAGCGCTTCATCGCGGGTGTTACATTTTCAAGCCATCTCTCAGGCTTGTATTCGAATGGCTCAGGGAACGCATTGGGATCAGTGTGCAGATAATAAGCGTTCATGCCAACGGGAGTCTGGGGTTAACAAAAATTAGCGTACGGAGATTAAAAAAAAGGTTGGCTGTTTTATGCTTGACTTACCCCAGGAGGGATCACCCAGTCTTTGAACTGCAGAGCTGCATCGGGAGAAGTGCGAGGGAGTCGACGCATGGATCCATATGCCATTCTGGAAGACTCAGGTCAGTACGCTAATTGGTTCAACCAAACAAGGTTCCCTGACAGAGCGACAGGGATTGTACTGGAGGAGGGGTGTTGGGTCAAAAAGTACGTACCTCAAGCTCTCTTGGATGACAGCTCCCAGATAAGGAAGTTTCTCAAGCTCAGTCAAAGAAGGCTTCTTCTTGGGGTACTCAGCCATGATATCCTTGAGCTCATCACGAAGACGTTGGCCCTTCTCAGGCATACTGAGCATCCAGAAACAAGTCATGGTAGCAGTGCGCGCTGTAGTGGTAGTGCCACCGCCAAGAAGCACCATTGCTTCCTTCTGAAGTCTTTCAGTACTGAGGTCCTCGGGTGCAAGGCCACTCTCGTGAACTAGGAAGCGGAAGAGTGTGGGCTTTCCACCGACAGTAGCGATACCTTTGCGATCGTTCTCCGACTTTTCGCGCTTGGCTTGCTCAATTTGGCGACCAGCTTGCTGTGCTATTGTTAGTATCTGGTAAGGATTTAAGGGGGGTTGAAAGAGACTTACGACTCGGAAGGTCTGGAAGTGGGCAGCCGAGGGAGCGAGCCACATGATGACGCTCTCAGGGATGAACTTCAGGACACTGCAGAAAGTCAATAATGGTTTGAGTGAAAGAGGCTTTTGAAACTTACTGAACAAGCCATGGAAGCATACCCATGAGGGGTACTGACAAGGAAACATTGCGAAGCATCTCAAACCTACGATTTGGTGATTAGTTGAAGTCCAGTTACGAAACGAATTTTACTTACCACTCAGACGAAAAGTCATCGCTGTTGAGCAGGGACTCAGGCTTCTCAATGCAAATATGCTGCATGACATCGCCAGTGAAGGCCTCAAAGGCATAGTCAAGACGAGCAACCACGCCAGTACCAGAGAGCTCATGGAACTTGTGGAACAACTTCTCAACACGCTCACCGATGAGATTCTCAAGCTTCAAGACACCATTGCGGGAGAAGTAAGGCTCAATGGGCTTTCTTCTCTTACGGTGAAGGTCATGGTCCTGAGAGGCAAAGAAGGTGTCTGGTTAATTAGCTAGGTGATTGGGGGAATTGGATTGAGATAAATATACCTTCAATACCAAGTCCACCACCGAAAGAGTGGCCGAAAGACTCAGTGCGTCGAACGTTACCGTTGACATAGACAGTGTCATAGTAATCAGTGTCGTTGATGGAGAGCTCATCAGGCGTAACGCGAACGAGAGGTCCGTAGACCTCATGCATACGCTGAATCACTTTGTAGTACTGTCCTTTCTTCCAAAAGTCATAGTAAGACTCATAAAGATGTGTCGCGGCAGCGAGCTTGGGGCCAGGGAACTTGGAAAGAGGAGAGAAGTAAAGACGATAGATGACAATGCAAGCGAATCGAAGAACAACAAAAGCAACACTGGCTAGAGCAAAGAGCTTCCAGTCAGGAGTCACTGGTAGGTCTTTCTCGAACCAGTCGTTGATGTTGATGTTGAGGTTGTCCATCTTGAGCCTTTCCATTTTTGTCTGTCTCGGTAAACGATAACAGGCACTGGAGATTAATGTAAGAGGAAAGTGTAAAGTGAAGGGAATTGTGTACACAATAATTAAAAGCACTGGCTATGAAGGCCTGTCTGTAATACCAATGATTCTAGTCGCCATTATCGCATTGTTTGTTTTTCATGACATTGCAGGTTATCTACCTACTTGATTTGCCGAGAAGGAATACAGGCAACTTCGCCACCTCCTCAGTACTTCGTCCTCATTCCGTCACTAGCTTACTGGTGTGCAATCTCACTCCCTCTTGGAGGTCCTCAAGACTGGACTTGGCTCTTACAAGAGGTGTGGGCCACTGCCGGTCTGAAGGATTTGGGCGGATTGTGTTCCTGACTTACCAATAGGAGCAAACACGCCCTCCGCTTACTTCATGATCTTCAAAAACATTTATTCTCTGATGCATGTAATCCTCAGTCGGAGAAATCTCACGACCAGAGATAAATCAGCAATTATGTATGGAGGGTGGAGTCTTGTATCAGTGGAATTCCTTCTCCGTCAAGACGCGAAACAAAGATCACGATCCTTTAATGGGAATCCTGGCACAAGGAGAAAATCGAACGTTATTTACTCATGGACTAGGGTAGACGACATGAGACTTAACTAGATTGTCGTCTAGCGCGGCGGTAAGGCTGGTCCTGCTTGACTGAGGCTCAGCTGTAGGGATGAGGGTGTGTGCATTCTCATATGTCTAGTTAAAATTTGCATGTAGAATCCTTCTTGACCATCCTTGTTTCCCGCCGTTACGAGTTACGAAAAAGGGAGAGACGTCTAGGTAGTAACACACACGCCGGTAGGCCAGCCACCCGTCCCGGACCGTACCGTAGCAGGGGAAGTGGATCTCGAAGGAAGAGGATGCATATGAGCTTGCATGGTTGAATCTGTATCATGATCGCCGTACACACCCTGTTCCACAAATCCTGACAGCCAAGCTTTTCAGTCAGTGCAGGACCTTGCTCATGGTATGCAGGGGTAATGGCCATGGAAAAGGATCACCACAAAGCAAGATCGTGTTGGTTCTTGACTCGCAATTCAGCAGCCGCGGTGCCGTGGCGCCGTTGCACCGATACTGCCTTTCTTATCAATCGCCGATTACTGTAGGTCTTCCTTCCGGCTTTCGTCTTGCCAAGATGATAACTTGACGAAGGTCCAACATGCAAATCCTTCGATACCTAATTGTCCAATCGCCATTGAGTGTTAACGACGCCGATCCCACGTCCAGCCATTCTCAAGTTTGTAAAGGGGACGGTTTACGTGTGTTGTTTGGCGAAGGAGCCTTGAGCAACGCGCGCTTTATGTGGTATCAGTCTAGGCACTTGTTTTTTAAGATTTGAAGCTTGAATAAACCTGATCTGTTAATTGCGTAATACCTGATGACGTTTGTTGTCAAGCATAATTATCCATGGTGTTCCGTACCGGGTAAGTCTCAACGACCGGAGGTGTGTCCATTGTCGCGGATTTACCGATACAGGTTGTGAAGTATTATCTCTCACTTCGTGAGTACACATCAATTCGTAGGATCACAGTCAAACTGGCAGTGTAGGGTAAACAAAGTTGAGCTTAGTAAATTTGTCTAAGTACTTTTATGACATTCATCTTACACCAAGTGTACATATCTCATCATTTCAACCTACTGAGTTGTTTTTCACTTTAACACACTTGATGTAAGGAAAGGGACGCGAGTATGTATTATGTGTGTGAAGTCTTAAACATGTTTTAATGTCGATTTGTCTTGACATCCAATAAGAATTCCACGCATATTTACTCCTCACATATCAAGGTCTTTTAGGTGTAGTTGTGATTCACCTTATCGATTATTGTGGCGTGTAACAAAAAAAAAAAAGCATTGTGCTAAATTCCAGTCCGTATTCTCGTTTATACTAAACTAATCTAATCTATTCGCAGCATCTCCAGAATAAGTTCAAGCTGGTGATTCTCCGCGCCAAACACACCAGCCAACCTCTCCAACTCAGCCTCCATCTCACCATAAAGCGAGTGGAGCACCTTCTCAGTACCCGAAATTCCACCAGCCTCCTCAATGAGATTCAATGCCAGCACCTTTTGTTCGAAGGTAAGACCGCCGTTAACACAGCGCTGCATCATGAGACCTCGCAATTGAGCCACGGCTTTGGGAGCCTTGTTGTTCTCGTTGAAGGCGATGATGAGAGGGAGTGAGAACTTGCCCTCGTCAAGGTCTTCGCAGAAGCCCTTTTGTTCGGTGTACTGTAAGTTGTTAGTGATGTGAGTAAATAGAACCGGACAAGGTGACTTACGTCTGCGAGCTTGAGGTTGGCGTAATCGTCTCGGATCTGGAAGTAGCGACCAAATAGCTGGCACAAACGGCTGAAGTCAACATCTACTCCAGTAGTGGACTCGGCAGCCATGAGACGGGTGAGGAGACGGAACAAGCCACCGGTTTCTGTCATCAATGTCAGTATACCGTGCAAAACTCAGGATATTGTGAAACATACTTCCGTCAACCATTCGCAAATACTCCTCCAAAGGTGGACAGATCATGTTAGAGGTCCACTGAAGCTCGTAAGCCTGACCAATGAAAAGTTGTCGAATCTCGTCTGTGAAACCCCTGTCAGTTTATGTCGACCCAATTGCGTGCAGCGATGATTTACCAACAAAGATGCTCAGAGCCTTGGGGCTGTTGAGCTGGCTAATCAGACTAACAGACTGAATGTACTGAAATGTTGCAGAGTTGATGGTCTGCGCCTCGCCGAAAACAGCATGGGCTGAAGGCTTGCCACGTCGGAGTTGTGAATGGTCCTCAATATCATCAAGCCTAAAAAAAAAAATGTTAACAAAACACTCCATTATGCTTGAGAAACGACTTACATAAGTGATGATCCGTGCAGGCTTTCGGTGATAGACTTGATGGTGTTGGCATTTTCAGCAGGAACTCTGAGCCAGAAGTTGAGAGCGTCAATGGTCTTGTTTCTGACTCCCTTTGATGGAAGAGAACATAGATATCGGTATGGCTCCATGACGACCTGTATCTAGTTAGCAGCTGCAAATTAAAAAAACTGATTGTCCTGAACTTACATCGTCTTCCATGGGAGGCAATTCTTGCAACATGATATCAGACAGTGTCTTCTTGTGGTCGGCCCCACTATCCACCTTCTTGTGCGCTGTCCAATTGGTATCGTCCGCCGAGGTAGCTCGCTTGATTGAGGCATGTCTCTCAATAGACGGACGCTCGTCAACTCCATTTGTGGCTGAGTGGCCGTGCTGAGCAGACTGAGACAAACCGTTGGTGACTCTGTTGGCTCCATGGACACCATTCGTCTTGGTGCCGTTGACATAGCTGTTGCCATTGTACTCCCCACTGCCATTAACCAAGGAACGAACAGCAAAGCTCTCCTTAGCAGGGCTATCGGGAGTAGGTAGTCTGTGGATCTCAGGACGAGTAGAATCCATCATGGCCTCCTTGGAAGCCTGAACAGGGTTATACGTGGAATTAAGCTCCTCTTTGGTTTGCTTGAGTCTGGCCTGTTGCCTCTCATTGTAAGGCGCGTTCATGTCATATCTTCGGCACTGAGTACTCCAGATAGCGTTTCCGCTGACACCAAACAACATGTGGTATAGGTAGTCCTTGAGATCCTGAGAAACGTCTGTTCGCTCTCGTGTCTCCTTTGTGACTTGGAGACACTTGGCTACTTCGATCTTGTTTCGTGCTCTGCAGAGGCGCTCGGCTTCTTCAATGGAGCAGTTGTGCTCCCTCATCAGAACAACGAGAGCATTGACAAAGTCTCCGGGCTTGCCGGACTTCTCAGCTGCCTCTGCTTCCTTTCCATATGACCAGATATCATTTGTCAAAGTCACGGACATGATGGCTGGAAGAGCAAGTTGATGGCATAGCTCAATCTCATGTTCAGGAATTGTGATAGCACATCCAAAGATGATGAGAGCGTGCCAGAACCTGTGGCCTGTCAGTGATTGCAGAAAATAAAAAGTCAAGTAACTTACATGTAACCGACATCAGTAGCTCTGTAGTGGAGATACTCGTCAAGTGTCTTGAAGTTTGTATCATGGGCGCATCCTGCACCAGTGTTGATAAAGGTGGCCCAAGCGTTCATGGCTGCCACTGCTCGGTCTCGGTCAATGGCCACCATGGATTTGAAGATCCAAGCCTGGAGATGACGTTTTCCAGACTCACGGCTCTGGATATCACCGTCTCTCACACCCTGTTGAAGTGCGTCAAGGAATTCATCGTTCTCAGCAGCAACCTTTGACTGTTAGCATGAGTCAATGGTATATATAAGGTAAAAAATCTTACTGTCTCGGCTGACTCAACATCAGTGATATCTATACTGGTTAGAAATGATGTGTCCAAGGCTAAAGTGAAACTCACCATCGTGAAGAAAGGCAAACTCATTCGCATAGGAAACAATCTCTAGTCTCTCGGGCAAACACTCTGGTAGAGTAAGACAGATGAAGTTGTGTCTTGGCCCCAATGCACCTCGGAAAGGCAGCTTAGGACCAACATGCTTCTCCCAGTCATACTGAGCCTTGAAGATGGCAACCTCATCCAAGTCTGCACCCTTGTGCATACGCACTGGAACACCATCACAGAGACCGTCAGTGTCGTAGTCCGTAGGCTCAAACGAGTAGCGGTATGTGAAGTCCATTGTAATAATGTTTGTGGGGGAAATGATAAAAAGATAAAAACGGGGGTGGATAAGTTGAAAACGAATATTTCCGCTTCTTTTTGAGTATATCGATCGTACGTTTTGGTTCTATTTTGTTGCTTTTATGTCTTCCAACTTCGCCATTTTCTCTCTTCGACTCCAAGATGCAGGCGTTTCAACATGCCTAGAGATTTGCTGCTCGCAATTCCGTCAGAGGGTGTAAATGTATCGGAGGATCATGAGGAGTGGAGGATGGCGAAGGGCAGTATCCGCTGACAAGGGTCGTGATCCTGAATCCCACGCGGCACGCCCAAGTGCATCCAGCCCCTGTAAGACATTATTATGGGAGTGTGAAGAAAAAGTCCGAACTTAGTGTTTCGGAATCAATCTTTTATCTGGTCGCCTAGAAGAACCAAGTAAAAGTCTCATCCTGTGGTGGTGGTGCAGTGTCGTTAAACGATCCATGTTTACCGTCACAGGGGATTGGAGAAGGATTCTGCGAAATCTAGGCGCAGCAGTCCATAGAAGGATGGTGGGCACGGCAGAGAAGATTATAGTAAAATAAAAGGATCCACTAACGAGAATCGCCGCTTGTGATCGGCGACTTGATGGGTCAGTATGTGCCGAGAATTGCTATCTTGTTGGAGTATCAGGACGACCTTGTATCAGATCCTTCAGTACCACCATGGAAATCTTGGTTTTCCATTTGTCCGCCCGTAAGACATCATATCGCATTACTAACTGTCCAATTGTCTTTCCATCTTGGCATTCCGTAGGCGAACATGGTCTTGGTCATACTCCACAGAAAAGACGTAAGGGGCTTCAGTTGATCTATCTTAGAATACTACCCAAACGGCTATTCCGCCTTCCTAAATCTCATTATTTTCACACTCGTCAAGGTTATCAGATGCGAAGATGCATTTGCTCATGGCAAATCTCAACACCCCAGCCAAAACACTTGGTCCCATCCAAGATCCTCCGACCTTCTCGCCCTTACACCCCACATAGATAGACCCATTTTGCGCTATCTTGAGATGCGGTTATTCTTGATACTAGTTACTTTCGCTTCCAGGCTTATTTGCCAAGTCGCCGCTCACAAGTCTGCATCTGGAGGATTGATCGACAAAACCAAAACCTGCACCGTAAGGAGTATGGCCTCGTTGTTTAGGAGTAGAAGGTCCTTCACGGTCTTCGAATTATGACGTATGAAGGTGAAGACCGAATCGATCCTTTTACCTCTGAAAGGAGTGGCATGTAACCACAAGGAGTCGGCCCCTCGTAGATGGTACGTAATCGGGCAGGATTCTTATCATGGCCTCCCACATGATGATGGCTTTGTAGAGTTTAGGCAGAGAGGGCTGGCCACAGAGGCAATCGTATGATCCAAGATCTTGACCCCATTTGGCCACATCTCGTCTAGGAATATGCTCTCTGTGGAGACATTCCTCATCCCCTTCGCTTGACAAAAGCGTGGAGCAGGGTTTATCACAAACAAGAAAACGGAGGTCTTTTACTTGATGCTTAATGAATCGTGAATCTAGCAATGTTAGTGAAGTTGAGGGAAATATGACGATTCAGAATACTACGTACCCGAGGTTCTTCATTTCCGTGTGATGGGAGAGAAGAAGGGTCATAACATTGCGACTAGTAAATTCTGCAGTATATGTGATATTTGAACGAAAGCAATTTCCATTAATTTTTTACTATTGCCAAGATATTTCTTAAACAATAGAGATAATTTAGTGCTTATGGAGTAGTTAACTTAAGGTAGACGATCAATCAGGCTAGTCTATCAGCTCAGACACCCAAAGTATATAAAATCCACCAGACAGACCCTGATACATCCACTCTGACAAGTTCATTGTCCTGTTATCCAAATACTACAACCATGACTATCGACATCAAACCATATACTATCAACGTTTCAGACTCGGACATCGAGGTCTTGAAAACAAAGCTTGAATACGCAAGATTTCCCAATGAAGGCGAAATCTCTGACGACTGGACCTACGGTGCCAGTCTCAGTGATGTGAAGCGTCTCGCTTCATATTGGAAGGATGGATTCGACTGGAGAGCCCAAGAAGCCAAGTTGAACCAGTATCCTCAATTCACCACCAACGTATCTGTGGATGGTTTTGGAGATCTTGAAATTCACTTCTTGCACCAGAAAAGCAGCAAACCCGATAGCATTCCTCTGCTCTTCGTCCATGGCTGTAAACTCACTTGAATTTCTGTTAGAAATGTGAATTTGACTGATGATTGCTACAGGGCCTGGAAGCTTCGTTGAAGTTCTCAAGATTCTTCCTCTTTTGACTGAACCCAAAGATGGACCTTCTTTCCATGTTGTCGCGCCTTCTTTGCCTAATCATGTCTTCTCGGATGGTGTATCAAAGAGTGGTTTTGGAATTCCTCGATACGCTGAAACTCTTCACAAGCTGATGCTCAAGCTGGGATACAACAAATATGGTACTGTTCACAGTATTTCAGTTCTGTATGTACCACTAACACTGCAGTAGTCACTCAAGGAGGTGATTGGGGTTATATCATCACTCGGCTGATCGGTTCTCAATACCCGGAGCACTGCCTCGCCTCGCATTTGAGCATGATTCCAGCCGTCAGCCCTCCTAACCCTTTGAAGACTCCATGGCAGTTCCTTCGCTTCTGGCTCTCTCCTTTCACTCCTCTGGAGAAGCAAGGAATTGAACAAATGAAGCATTTCTACAACGAAGGTCTCGCCTACAATCTAATAATGAGCAGCAAACCCTCTACTATAGGGTTTGGTCTCGCTGACTCACCTGTGGCCTTGCTTTCATGGACTTACGAGAAGCTCCATGACTGGACTGATGACTACAAGTGGACAGACGATGAGATTCTGACATGGGTTTCTCTCTACCAGTTCTCCAAGGCAGGGCCGGCCGCAAGTTGTAGGATCTACTATGAAAGTAGACATGCGGACCAGGATCTAACAAAGAAGATCAATGACTGGGTTCCCAATGTTCCTCTTGGACTTTCATACTTCCCCAAAGACATCGTCTTTGTTCCGAGGACATGGGGAAGGACTTTGGGACCCATTGCCTTTGAGAAGATCCATACAAGTGGCGGGCATTTTGCTTCGATTGAGAGGCCTGAAGAGCTGGTGGAGGATTTGAGAGAGATGTTTAATAAGAGTGGATTGGGCAAAGAGGTTATCGAGAAGCTGGGATAGAACTGTCTGTCCCCGTTTTGTAGCAAATCTAATTTGGTGAACCCAACTGCATCTGTTGCCGTATTAGCACTTTGCAAACCCAATACTCAATCGAAACTACATCTGTATCAAATAGATCTTTATACTGTGTTCCCGTGATATAAGTTTCCTCTAACATTTCTAGTTTTGTATTAACATCGTTCCCACTAACAGCGCGACGTCCACACAATGAACGGGAAGTTGATCATGAGTCGGCGATATAATTCAAATTGCACAAGACATGTAGCGAAGTTTTTAAACTAAGAGTGTCGACTCCAATAGGCCTCTTCAGCCCGAAATCTCAAGGTCTGAGAACTTGCCGGGGCATAATGAAGGAGAAAGATGCACTGGGCATGGAGTCCTGGAAGACGTATATCCCATATGCGAGACTCAAACTGAGATACAGAGGTACTCAAGGCTGTCAAACTCACGTTTCTGTTATTTTACGAAGTCAGGAGGGATAGCACCAGCTGCTAGCATGTTAACCACAGTGTAGCCATCCTACTGGGTAGCAGAAAAAATGGCCTCCGAAGTCTTAGGGTATAAAAATAAGTAGTCTAAGAACTATAGCCTAAGGGGCATAAAGTGGCCTACTAATTTCGTCTCTTGTGCTTCCAGCAGTCACTTTTTCTGATACCCTGAGGCCATCCCCTGGCCTCAAAGTTGCCGATTTCTCATATTGATTGAAGGTAAAAGGCGTTATGAATGATTAAACAATGACTACGCCCTACATATGAGCGTTACACACGACCCCTTTACGACCTATTTACCAAATATCTGAGAACCAATCGAAGATAATACACTTCGTCATATATTTCGGATGATAAACCGTGACCCAGCTACGCTACTGTAAAACAGCCCCTCAAGGTCCAACGCAAATGGAGACTATCTAATGAGCCCATCGTTGAGATCGGAAATCTCCACAAAGATCCCCTGCCAGAATCGGCGATTGCCTGCTCAGTTCATGTTTCGCGCACCCCCTTTGCATCAATTTCCCATCGTCTATGGACCCCTTAACAGAAACAGCTCCCCTGGACTGTGATCAGCATGTACACGTTCGTTAATTGGGCGATCTCAATGAAAAGACACGCCGCAGTAGATCTCTTCAGCCCCTGACTCACAGAGCAGGGGATTGACAAATCGCAAATACAACTCGGTACAGCTAATGAAATATATCGAGTCGTATTAGCTCATACAAGATATCCTAACCGGTGTGTATCGATATGGTTTCCATTTCCAGGGAGACGCCTTTCTCTAACGCATCTTCCGCATTGTAATGCCCCACGGAATCACGTGGGGTCTGGAATTACGAGTGTAACAATCGTTAACTTGGGTAGCATTTCTCTCCTGCGACCAGATTGGTTGCACTTCCAATACGAAACAGAGAATGATGCAACTACAGTAGCATCCAATCGTCTGTATTAAGAGTTGAGTAGGTCAATATTGTAAGGCTGAGGCTTGTGATAGCAGTGTTGTGTCGCCAAGTGGAGATACCAACCGGCAGGCATCACACCAGCCTGTCGGGGACTCAAGGTCCGATGAACACCGCTCATTTACTATTACGTTATGGGCTTAGCATTGGTTTCACAATAATCTTATGCCTGCTTGGTGCTGACATGCTGTGGGAGCTGTCGTGGTATTATTGGAGTATATCAGCCCAAGACGGTTAACTGCATTGTACGTACCGAATCAGGCTCTGCTATCCTTATGATATAAGGTCTCTTATCCCCCAGGTTATCTCACCTACGTAAACGCCTAGGCCTAAACATTTTGTGGCGTGTAGACTGGTAGGCTTTGGGGCTTTTGATCTTCATCACGGAGAATGAATAAATTCGACAACGTCATGAACCCTGAATCCCCTCTGTCGTGACCAACGATGTAATGTTGAATCTTTATTTGGTCTTTGCCTAATTGGTTATTCTGAACATGATATGAAGTGAAATTGCTTAGTTCTCACGGTAGCTCAGCATAACGATCTGAGAATACGCCAAAGGAGCCCATTCACCATATGGCAATATTGCTTTTGGCATCTTACACTAGATGTAAGTGGAACTATCCCTTTCTGCCAACACTCGAGTTCAGTGCTCTGAACATCATTATTCAAAAGTCAACAGCGCATGACAGCCTAGATTGAGTAGCGTATAAGTTGATGGCCTCCGTGGTTCTGCCTCACGTCTTGGCGGCCGCGAACTTGTCCATGTTATGGCATAGGTCTCGTTATCGTCTGTTTGCGCACCCAACTTTATTGAATAAGCGATTACTGTCTTCTTTTTTCTATCAGACAGACTTAATTTAGAAAATATAAAAGCCATAGAGGCTCAGCTGTTTGGGGGCGGAGGCCTTGTCATAGCCCATGCCTCTTCTGCCTCGCTCTTCTATTTGACAATGATGCTTTCCTTCTTGAAATGACTTTCCCTTAAACACCATAAAGAAATCAAACAGGTATATTCATATTTCTCTCGTCTTGCGGTCGTTGAGTTGTTTTGTTACCTAGCAATTCTTGAAGCGACCACCCCAAACAGAGAGCAAGGATCTGCACATCCGTACAGCCACAATTATTACCTCCATCCTTACGGTAACAAGAGACCCAATGACATCCACTGGCTTCAGAAGGCGCGAAAGGAAACTACTCGTTGTGTCACTGGACGGTAAGCTGCTATGGTTGTCCGAGACCATAATTTCGTTGACCAACCATCCTCAAACACATTGGCCGGTAGCTTCCGCAGCTCTCGAGAAACAGTCATCTCCGTTCTACCCAAGCTGATCTGTAAGCGCCGTAATAATGTGTTTTTAATTGGAGTTCATGGTGTGGGATCGGACATCAACCCTACAGATCGCTTCTGGGGAGGTAAGTTGTCCCTTTTCGTTGCACTGTCTTTACCCAGACAACTAGTGTAGGACTTTGCGGTTGGGTAACGCAGCGCAATGTCATCACCGCATATAGTGAGTCCTTTCCGTATGCTTTTCCCCTGAATATCTATATTCTAACTTCATATCAGAGAGGATCGCTGAAGAGTATGAGCCTGGTGACAAAATCATCCTGACTGGATGCTCCCGAGGTAAGTCATCACAATTTGATGATGACTTTCACACCAGCCGACTCTCTTATCCGTGAGATAGTCCGAAGAGAACTAACACGATTTTTCCAGGTGCCTGGGCTGCTCGCTACCTTGCACTCATTATCAACGTTGTTGGTTTGCCTAAGCAAGGCGGTGATAATGAGCTCTTCCATCTCTTGTATAAGGAATGCGATAAGAATTCCAATTTCGATTTACGCATAACCAAGAAGCTACTCATGTACGAATGTGAGTGTTTACTATCTTATTCCCAGTAGTAAGTCGTGCGCTAATGAGTGATAGGCTACACCAACGTAACAATTGAGGCACTATGTTGCTTTGACACGGTCGGCTCCCTTGGTCTCCCACTCTTTGGCATAGCCAAGCCATTGGCTTTGGTCCGTCGAGGACAAAAGAAAGAGGATATGGTCTCTACCGTTGCGAGGAGTAAGTATCTAACTCAATCCTCTATCTGCTATTCTCGGCGTGCAATGTATCATCTTAAGTTTACTACTGTTGCTAACATCATTTGCTTTACAGACGCCAAGCACGCATTCCACTGCATTGCCCTCCACGAAACAAGAGAGCCTTTCTTTCCAACATACATGAGTGGGGAAAACGTTCATCAGGTCTTCTTCGTTGGCAACCACGGCCACGTGGGTTGGATAAGTAGCCAGGAAAGCTTTGTGCATGCTGCTCTCACCTGGATGATTCAACAACTTCACTTGCATACTGGTATCGACTTCGATGACGATATACTTAAAAGGTACTTCCAGAGCTATCGATGTAACGAGGTTCAGGACCCAACTCCAGGTCACCCTTGGATATCTGACCGCATCGTACCAAGAAGTGCCGGCGGTTATTTTCCATCAGATTCCTAATAATTCAAGGCTTTCATTTACTGCCCTGACGTAGTAGCTAACCTTTCTACTACGTACATTCAACCACATCAGTCATAGCTGTTTCCCAAATCTTACTCATATGTTCATCTTTGCTTCTTGAACGGGGCCATAGAATACTCACGAACACCCCTCTCACCTCTTCCCACGTAAGTAGTCCCATCGCCTTGCTCTGAGCTCTTACAATCCCTTCAAAGAACGGCCTCAAACCAGGTTCCAAGTCCATATCCCCCTCCTTCTCATGCCAACGAAGGCTTACCAGCCCAATAAACGACTCCCACAATATCAGCTCTGGAAGTTGTGATGGCTCAGGCTTTCGCATAGCAAAAGTAACATCGCGCTGCAAGATGCATAAAGAGTGAAGTAGTATCTCCCTCTTCAAGGGACACCATAGAGTCACAACTTGTTCGACATACATCTCTACCGCTACCAATAAAGCGCACCAAGACGTCCTGTACTTGAAGTCTTCGGGCGCAGTGGCGCTAGACTTGCTGGCATCGTCCTCATAGTAAATAGAGTTCATATGTGCCGAAATGATGTTGTCGTAAAATACCGAGGATCGACCATATAGCCAAAACTCATCCTGTTCTTTTGAACCCATCTCAACTACACCCTGGAGACACTCGAGGATGGGCCTATAGTCAACGTCTAGTAACTGTGCGCCGCTGTAAGGAGCTTCGAAAAAGGCTGGAACTAACCGAACGGCCTTGAGCTTGAGATAGTGGGAGAATTGGCCAGCGGTCAAGTGGAAATTGTGGAGGAGGTCAATGGTTGTGCTTAGCTCGATGGTGTATATGTCGCCATCGTGACCTTGTTCAGCGGCGACGCCTTTGAGAACACTTTTTAAGCCGTGTACAAAGGTGGATGTCCTACTCTTGTTAGTTAATCATCGAACGTAGTTGGGCGAGTATGAGAACTGACAGAAGGAAATATCGATCTGAAAGCTCTTGATCGATGGTCTTGCACTGGCCATCCTCTTGACCTCGTAATCGGTTCGAAAGAGCGTATACGACGCTCAGGTGTGTTTCGGCTAATTTTATATCACCTCGACAGACCTACTACAATCAGCATGATGTCTTCCAATCGGCGAGTGGGTATCACAAACCTCCGCAAAAGTCAGAGTAGCGATCTGTTTGGTGATCCCAGCAAGTAGCTTGATGTCTCCTCTAGACATCCACTTTCTGACTTGTTGTACAGCCTCAATCTTGTGATAAAGAAATGTCGTTTCAAACTTGGAGAGGGTTCCGACGTTGAAAGCGAAATGTATGCCCGCCATAAGTACTGCGCTTCTAAGTGCGTCGGGGTTTGAGATGATAAAGGCAAGACTATACATTGTTAGCGCGAGCACAGCTTCCAGGGATCAGATACCGTTACCAGTCTTTTGTGTGATCTTTCGGTGAAACTCCAAGCTCTGAGCCAGTCCCATAGACTGAGATCGTCAGTATGAAACAAGCCTGCAGGTGAATTCCACGTACAGTAATGAAACAGCTCCTGCGATCTCAGTGGCATATGAATGGAGGAACAACCCATATTCACCACCGATGTAGAAAGAGCCAATTGTGCTACTAAAGACTGCGAATTTGGTACCTCTGGTCTTTTAGCATATCTAGAGGTTTCCCGAGGGGTATGTTCCCAGGGTGTCGTGGCCTGCCAAGGTTGGACATCTCCCGCTGCTTTCTCTAGTGCTCTTCTCTCCCTGAGAGGGATTTTGACAGGAGGATACTCGCATATCCTCTGGCTGTTGATGCAGTTTTTGCTTGTCAATCAGTGATTTTAGTAATAGGTCGATAGATATAGTAAAATAGGATTAGATAGTAACTCACCATTGAGGTTTTTGCTCGTCACATCTCACTCTGCGGTTACGACATTCTGAGCACCCAGTTCGACTTCGCGTATGTGCGCGACGCTGCCGAGGCTTATTGGTCTTACTAGCTATAGTTTCCTCACCCTGCATGGTTTCAGTGGTGTGCTGGGGCAGTTTAACTTTAGTATCCTGTCAAGGTTGTTTCGTGCGATCCCAAGAAGAGGAGGATTGGAGGATGGAATGAGATGCAGCGACATTTGAGAAGAAGTAAGCACTAACTTAAACAGGTTTCCAATGCAGGGGTGCAGACCGGACTTGGCGTGAGGAGTAATTTGTCTGAGGGTTGGATGCAACATTACAAGTATTTTCATTAAGTTCATTTTAGGCTGCTGTGACGACAGGTATAGGCTAAGTTGATAAAATACTGATTTCTCTATGTACTGTGTACCGATTGGTCTAATAACCTATTCATGTCTATCCATAAAACCCGTTCTGTTTGCCTCGCCATATCCCTCCATTAGAAACTCCATTTCAGCCCATCCAGCCGCTTCCACGTCGCTCCCCGGTAAAAACTGTGCCATCGACCCCTCAACAGGCGCAAATCCCGGGAAGGGTAAGAAATTTAAAAGGCCATCCATAGAACCCATTCCTTGACCTTGGGGATCCTGTGGCTGCATTTGTTGAGCTTGCCATCCGGGAGGGTAAGGCATGCTGTTCGTGTTTATGCCTTGCGGAGGAAGATTCGGCATGGTCGGTGGATCATTCGGGTTATTAGCGCACTCTGAGAAGGTATCGACAACCTGAGCCAGTCGCGCCATTGAGCCGCACTTTTCGGTATGGTTGATGACGTTTCGTAGGGTTTCTACTATACGCCGGATCTTGCTCTGTAGAGCTACCTCGTCCGGCTTGACTCCTTCTACTAGCTCGCCAGGACGTAGCCGGAGTAGTCGAAGGATCAAAATCATAGCTGAACAGTAAGCGTAGAAAACATCCAATCCGGAAAGACCGTTGAGGACGTTAAAGTGGTCGAGAAGAATCATAAGGTAGCTCAGTTGGCATGCATGCTTGACACACAACGCAGCGTGTGTAGGTACTGGTGTTTTGGATGCTTCAGCATCAGCCTTGCGCATCGATGCTACGTCGCGAAGGAGCAGTGGTCGTGTAGCAACGATAGCGATGTAGTGAAACTGAATGTGCATCAGCAAGACAGCGCGAAGTTGTGGACGTGTCTTCCAAGCCAGCGAAACCTTGAGTTCCTCCATATCCACAGCGCCATCTTGGTCTAGAGATGGTAGAGCCCTGCCTTCCAACTTCATCCAAGAAACGTCCAGTCCTGGTGCTTTCCCTATATCCCTTTTCCAGCCATCTAAAGCGTTCATAATCTCATCCAATTTCGGTCCTGGGCTTCGGTTTACTCCATGTAGGAGTCTTGTTCGTGCTAGAATAGCCTGGAGTTTCACAGACCACGATACGAGTCTGGCATCAGTTCCTATACCTCCTTCAACAAAGTCTTCTCTGGGCGGGACGACTTCGACGTCAAGTTCTTGCAAGCCACTAGGTCGACCGAGACTTGATGCGAGGAATTGCTCAAATGAGTACAGTGTGCAGAATACCCATTTTCTGACTTCTCTTTCGAGCGGTCTGAATGAAGAACTCATGTCTAGTCTATGAAGACCTAGGGCAAAAGAGATGCGAGTCGCTGTGCCCGCTATATTCCACGCGGCATTTCTCTCGTTATTGTTGTGTAGGAAGAGGGCCAGTAGTAACAAGACTCGAACATTGCTTAGAGAACACTTTGCGATAAATTGCGGTAGCAGAGTTCTGGCCACCGTAACTGATCTCCGCCGTAGCGCAGAATGGTCAACGTTGGGGATTGACCTATCCGATATAGATCCAAATACGGCAATCATGTGAAGACAACCAATCCAGCCCCAGTCGGGTAGTTGAAGTGGTCTTGAATTTGGAATACGCGGATCCCGTCGAGCTTGGACGATAAACAACTCATATTCTTCTTCAAATGTTGCTCGATGGAAGAGAGGGAAGTCATCGTGGACATTAGTGAAGTACGACTGGATGAGGCTTTCCAACACTTCGTTTGCAGGGAATTGGCCGAGAATCTCTTCCATGTCAGTGGTGGGAAGACGTGTAAAGTCGCGCGCGATAGCAGACGTCATGGATCCAGGCGAGGGTCCGTCTTGAGGCCAAGCAGCATTGCACTGCGGTTGGTCATCGTCATCCGGTTCGTCGGCCTCGAGGAGTCGACTCGTGTTATCCTGAGTGAACTTGGTAACTCCCTGACGACCTTGATTAGCCTGGCTATCATTCGAATCAACCAGATTTCGCAACTGATTCCAGAAATTAAGTGTCCCTGAAGGACCAATGTAGTGTTGATGACCAGAGTTATCTTTGACCAGTGATGACTGAGGCTCGTCGCTTTGGGATTTACCAGGTGCAGCAGCCTGGTCTTCTGTAGTAATAATCTCTGGTCCTGTCGGTGGCGTTTGTGTACTGTTGGGAGGACTTGAAACCAATTCTTCAACTTTAATCAACTTGCGATTAGGGTCAGAGATATTGGGCATTTTATAGCCCATTCGCTGACCTAATTGCGCAAGGTCATTGACGGTATCGAGGGCTTCATTTGGGAATGCACCCTTGACAAGAGCTTCAAGGCAAAGGTACCTATCAAGACGCACGGTTAACGTGGGTGTAGCTTAAACAATGGGTCAGCTGGCACCTATCGCTTAAATCATCGACACTTCCATAGAAGCGTGTCTTCCGCGGCGCCGTGTACGAGCAGGTGACGTTATGTTCGACGCAGTTAATGCAACCTGTACCCGAAGGATCAGGTACACACTTACATCGTCGCTTAATGCAGACACATAATCAGCGCCAAGTCTTGAGTGGATAGATCATGTTGTGTTGCATAGAGAGAGTCTAATTAAAGAACTCGACTCACCTTGCGACAACGGTCACAGCTCTGAGCGTTTCTTTTACGAGATTCGTCAGGTATGCGCCTTAGGCGACGCTTGGCGGCTATCGCTGAAGATTCAATTGCTGTAGTTGCTGACATTGTAGAATCTGACTCTGACGCTCTGACTCTCCAACAGGAAAAAGCGAAGGGTTCATCGAATCGATGCTTCCTTTGCTGGGGGGTTGGGAAGGAATGAACGTCCTCGGGTGGAAGGGCTCCCTCCCGCGGGTGGGAACACGCGGATGTATGCTCCCGATGGGTAGACGTAGATGGCGTCAATCCTAAAAAGCCACTGATGGCGCAGCGAGATGACAGAAATTATGGGGACTAAACCTCGATCTAACAACATCTCTTTACCAACGACGATAGTTATCAAATAGTTTGATATATCATATAACCAACCTGGTTAGAGCTCGTCAATTCCGGAAGCTTTCTTTGCCATGGTGGGTGTATCTGTTGATGGGAAGGAACTCAACTTGCCACAAACTATGTCGGATATGAACGACGATATTGGAAAGATTTTCTATCTAGCGGTTTCCAAGAACATCATTGATTTAGCTGTCACGCCTAGACACTCGGAGTGATCTCTAGAATTTTGACGAAGTCTAGTTGGTAGCAGAGATGATAATCTCTAAATTTCATGGTATAAAAATAGATGACCCGACATTATCGTTGTATCATCAAAGCACCACTTTTTATAACGATCAAGATGATTATAGAGGATACTATATCAATAACGAGAAAAAGTCAATGAATAAACGGTTTCAGAGCAAAGAGCAAAGTCAAGGTTGAAACTTTCCCACGTACCCTGTACCGTCCAGTATTACCCAATCCGCCATGTTCCATGAGGTACTATGGGAATGTTACAAGTTACACATTGAACAATATACAGATTCATAAATACAATAATTGGCAGGTTAATCGGGGAACTTTTTCAAGATTATTGCAGGCACTAATGCAAGCAACTCTTTCGAGGCAATACATTGAACGCCTCTCGAACCCTTGTAAATGCATCGTCGGCGAACAGCTAAGCGAGACGGGACTATTTTCTTACCCGATGCTAAGCTTGCCGATCAACGGTGGAAAACGAAGCACATCGATGAGTTGAGTTGGCCGACGTCAACTTTCTCTCATGCAAGACAATACAAGGGTGGTAGCAAATAGTTTAGAAACATGCATGCATATATTCGCCGAGACATGGAGGATTGCCGTCATAATAGTGCCACGCACGGTTGGGGTGACATGTTACAAGAAACCCTTGTTCCTAGGTGTGTAAGTATACCATAAGATATGGTTGTATTTTGGGTATCATTAATTCATTATGACTGCAGAATCACTCTAATACAGGCCTAGCTACTCTCCTCTCGGCACTGTCATGACAGGCGGCTCCAGCTTCACCGTTCTTCCATGTTTGATCAACTCGGTAGCTTGCATAAAGAACGAATCAATCCTCAAAATGACAGGTCGCAAAAAGACCTGTGCTGCCGTGTCGTCCGTAGCACCGAGTCTCTGCAGTGAGAGGTGGAACTTTTCCAATAACCTGTAAGCCGCCTCGACATCGCGAGGATCACTGGCAAGGAGAAACAAGTATATGAGGAAGTTACCGCAGAGAATGAGCTGCGATCGGGCAACTAGGTTGTGTTAATCAATAAGACATGGTATATAGGGGTGAGATTAGAAACTTACAGCGACCCCAGAAGCTGGTGAGTTCTTGTTCGGTGATATATGACATAAAGGTGGTGAAGAGCTCGAATTCTGCGAGCGCGGTGGAGAGCCACCTTTGCAGGTTTGAACCAGGTGTCACCTTTGCGGCTCTTGTGGCGGGGAACATGAGACCACGAAACAGTAGTACTTGTGTTGCAAAGAATGAGATATGCAGGGGTCCTGATAACTGTTAGATACCATCGGCCAACTGTGTGAATGACATACCATTGTGTGCATAAGGTCTCACAGCCAAGCAACTCGGGATAAGGCTGGGCCATTCCTTGAGCGTTTCTCGAATAGGTATCAATTGTGTACGCGTCTGCGTGTTAGATCGTACACCGCTATTACATGTAAGTCATTGTACAAACATCAAATCGAATTGGACTCACTGGCTGCAATCCAAGATGGCACGCATCTCTCTCGACACAGCGATTTGCTCGAGGAATCGGGCACCATCAACTACACGGAAGGTGGCATCCTCGGGGTCAATCATGTACCGCAGATCGTCAGGGATGTCTTCACCGGACCGGAGATCGTCCATATCTGGTGGCGGAGTCGTAAAAGATTCGTAGCTTATATGCGGGGGGTTACCGTGGCAGACTGACGACCAACAGTCCGTGTAAAAGACGGCCCACCAGAGCTTCTTCCGCAACCTCTTCTCCCATGGCGCAATGTTCCACTTGTCAGGGTCCATGTGAAGACCGAGCATCTGCGCGACCGAGGTGGCTTGACACGCCATCACCCAGAGATAAGGGGTCTCGACGCTGTCTATCTCGGGTGGTATCATGTGCATCAGCAATAGAGCGGACATTAGACGACACAGATTAGGCGCATCGAGTTCCCGCCGCAGGGCCTCTTGAGCATTGTTGGTCAGCTCGTGCTGTTTGAAGGGACACGGTATCCTGGCGAGCTGGGCATCCTGGGACCAGAAGACGCAGGCAAGGGCATACACGGCACCCCGTAGTGACGAGGGTATGTCCAGTTTGGAAGTTGCATACTGTCGAAGAAAGCGAGCCTTGTGAATGACGGGGAACCCGACATGGACGTGTCGGAAGTAAAGACGAACCAGGGCTGGTCCATGAGGCCATACAATACGTTCTATAGCATCCGAAGCATGCTGTCTAGCCTCATTCTTGTGGTCGGGGAACTCATCAAGCAGAAGCAAAAAGTGCATGGGATAATCATCCTGATCAGGCCCGCCGTGGTAAACCTGGACAAAGTTGGCATCGATGCCCTCCCTCTCGCTAAGCAGCACCGACCTAAAGGCATCCAAAAAGTAAGGATCCTGCTCCGAGGCTAATGCCATGGCATGGGCAGTCCTGCCTGGAACATCTTCAATGGCGTATACAACTTCCTGATCGGGATGCAAACGGGGTGGATCAAGGCTGTGAGCGTTGATGTCAGAAGGGCTTTGACCAGGGACAGGCGGAGGATGGGGCCGGACGAGGCCGTTGTGAACAACGGCGGACGGCTCGGTCCTGTGGCGGTTGACTTCGGAAGCCGCGGATGGAGAGATGGCGGATGCAGAGGCAGAGACAGATGCCGTAACTGATGCTGTAGCTGAAGCTGCGACTGAGGCAGGACTTGTAGCATCGAAACTCCTAGACGTATCGGCAGTTGAAGGTGATGGGCCTCCAGGACCAGGGTAGATATGATGGCCAGAAGCAGAAGTAGAGACAGAAGGTCCGGCCCGAGAAGCCAGGACATCGGGATCAGAGAGGGATTGGCATACCAAGCCTCTGCTTTTACAAAACAGACCTGAATTACGAATGATGGACTGGTTAGTTGACTCAATTCACAGTACAGTAAAAGAAGGTGTTTGTGTGTATGTATATATGGCTTAATTAAGTGTCAAGGATGATGAAATAGAACCGATAGTACGGTAATGAGCGGGGAATTGGATGGATTGAATGGATGGAAATCGGACGCGTCTCACATGGGGGCTCAGCAGTAATAACACAAGCAGTCTTACGGCGACGACAAGCGTCACAGGGCCTGTTCTTGCGACTTCTGGGCTGACGCGCTTTACCAAAGTTACTGCGAATGCTGAACTTGCGGGGAGTGGACGAAGAAGTTGCCCGTTCAGGATCCACGGAATGATCCATGATCAGCCAGTAAATAGTAGTTATCCGTAGGTTATGGATGGGCCTGGTCTGTTCTGGTTCAGGTACCCGAAGCCAACCGAGAAGAGGAATAGGTACGAAGGGAGTAGTCCGGAGGTGTGTGTGTGTGTCTCCACGCGCACCATTAGCAAATGAGCAATGGCGAAAAAAGGGAATAAAAAAGACTGCAGAAAGAAGGAACAAAAGAAGCGAGTTCGTCGGCGAAAGGGGAAAAAACTGGCGTGATGGAGGGAGGGATGGGGGAAAAGATAAGTTGGCCGACAAGGGGGGGTCCCTTGGGGACACTTGGATAGAGGGACCTTTCTATGTCCAATAGTCTCGGCACTTGAACGGATCGGCTTTGACCGAATGCAGTCAAGATACCTCCGAGTTGTCTAATTACGTACTAGTTTTTATGTGTCAATTGCAGATTGTAATGACGGAAACTAACTTGGACCTTTTTCAATGACTGTTGGGCTCTTTGTCCTTCAGATTGAAACAGACGCGGCTTGGAGATTGGATCCAAATCGTGGGTGAAGATCCTTGAAGATCACAATACAGGGTCTACCCAGGAATAGCTTGCGAGCCATGTTCCTGAATCATGGATCGGGCCCCAGCGCCATGGGAATGAGTATTTTCTCAGTAATATTAATACAGGGTTGAAATTAATACTAAACTCTAAACAAAGGCTCGTAGTCCAGTCAATTAAATAAATAAATCGCTCGCCTCAACTTTCAAAACAATATCCTAATCTAACAAGATGTCGCGACGGTCGCCAAGGAGTTGGGTCCCTTACTGTGCGGTATGATGTGTTCCTGGCTCTCTGGCTCGCCCTCTGTGTAGGGCATGTTCCAGCGATCATGGTACATCTGCTGCGTGTCCTTGGCGGATGTGCCATCCTTGATGAAGCTGTCCAGCTTCTGTTCTGGCACAACCAAGTGAAGGACATAATACACCACTGCACTGATCATGAAACCAAAGAGATAATTGAGTCTATACAGCTCAATCGCGCCGTCTGAGACGTGAACCGATGGGTTCACTGCTGCGATAAAGCCTGGCATCTGTGGAACGACACCTACAATCCACTACAAGATAACAAAGTCAGCTGGAAAAGTCCGGTGTTTTCGATTGGATAAATCGGTGTCAAAGCGCAACTTACCGCTGCAAATGCACGCCAGTTGACACCCGCCTTGTACCAATAAATGCTCTCCTTGTGGCCCACATAGAGGTGATCGACGTTGATCTTCCCCTTTGCCACCAAGTTGTAGTGGGCTACCATGAGACCGGTCATGGGCGCCAAGAAGACACTGTAACCCGAGAGGACCGTGAGGAAGACGGTAGCTGTGTTGACCAGTCTCCAGGGGTTGACGATGGGGCTGAGGAGAGCCATCAGGTACGCGCCGCGACGGATGTTGATGTACCTTGGGAAGACAGAGGCCAAGTCGATGCCGCCAGATAGTGCGTTGCCTGGCAAGTTGCTGCCCATCTGTGAGATGGAAAGGGCGAGGCCAGCGAAGAAGACGGCCGCTCGTGTGCCTGAGGTGGGATCCTTGGCCAACATGGCTGCAAATAATGTAGGAGGGTTCCAGATAGCTTCGCCCATTCGTTTTTGCGTAGCAGCCGTGACCAAAATGCCAATAACAGAAGCGCCAATGCTGTACAAGGGAAAAGCAAAGGTCTGTCCCCAAATGGCAGCGCCGGGTTGTTTCGCAAGACGCGCATAATCGTTCTGATTGAGGATGCCCGCCGCGATACCTCCAACCGTCGACATAATACCCGAGATCAACAACCAAGTAACGCTATTCGGTCCACCAGTCGTCGGAAGAGGTGTGGTGTCGCTGATGGTGTCGCCAAAGCCATCCGACCCCATGGTCGCGAGAGCCCATATCAATAGCACCACGAAAAAGACGAGGGTGATTGAACTGGCAAAGTAAAAGAACTTTTGTATCTTGTGCGGTCGGATCCAGAGGAACGGGAGCGTAACGACGCAAAAGATAAAGTACGACAAGAACTGGGCCGATGTCATACCCGTCGAGGCAGGGATCGTATTAGGGATGTGGTCTTCGAGTGACGGATCCCACGAGAGGAGCATGAGGTAGACGCATTGTCCGCCAACCCATGATTGGAAGCCGTACCAGACTGCGAGTGTCAATCGGTGATGTACATCATAAAGGGTCCACGCAACAACATACCAAGAGAGAGAAAGATGCGATTCCAGATGACGAATTGAGAACCCCAGATTCCCCAAACCGCCCTGCTGAAAACAGGGAAGCCAACTGCAATTGTCAGTTAATAGTCCTCCCAATTGATGTGTAACTTTACTGTGATAATAAGCACCCGCCAAAGAAGCAAGAATCAGTGCAGCTGTCGCGAAGATATTACCCAACACAATGGCAATAATCGCCTGCCACCACGTCAAGCCCAGAGGAATAAGAGCGCTACCAGTCAAGTAGGTAGCTATGTTGCAATTGATCAAGAGCCCTGTTCCATGTAAGCGGTCAGAAATCAGAAAAAGGAAGGAGAAGAGAAGAAAAAAACTGGCTCGCTTATGCACCCACGCATGCATGCATGAATGATTTGCTGCATCTGGAGAAAAGAAGAGAAAAGGGAATAGGCAATGGAAGGAATGGATATAAACATACAAAAGTTATGGAACGTTAGAAACGTCCACGTTCTTCTTTCGCTTGCTACTGGTCTAACATCTTCATTCTATTTGTCAAAGGGAGTTTCGTGTCAGTTCAATTGGCGACGCGTTTGGAATTGGCACTCAAAGATGTGACGTACAATGAACTGCGAGCCACGCGGTAGCTCGAGGCGCCGAACAAGACTCGTCAAAGCCATGGAAGGGTCGGGAATAGCCTCAATTGAAAATAAATAGTTCAAAAGTAAGAAAAGACCTTCTAGACCGATCGAAAAACAAGCCAAGATCAGGATTTAAGGATCAATAGTGTGTGCAGTAGCTTCGCCGTTATTCGTCTTACTCTCACAAACTTCTCGGAGCAATGAAGAAAAAGGGAAGGGGGTTTAGAATTTAGATATGGGGAGAGCGAAAGCCCCCCGGGGGGAACATCCATTTCATTTTGGAGCTAATGAGGATGGTCCCTCCGAAACCTTAGTTCGTCAGCTCAGACTGAACTTAAGCTTCATCAGTATTTGTTTGCTACCAATATTGAGTCCAGCAGCAAACAATCTCAGCTAGCCTTATCTTTATTGGGGGAAACGAGATGAAATAAGACTGGACCATTCCTTACTGGGAAACACTGTACATTTTGTTTGTCTGCAACATGTACCACTACCCCAGACTCTTCACAGAACAATGATGTGATGGAATGCATGGTAGGCAGGCCAAGAAACGCATTGACCAATGAAGATAAAACAGAAAGAGAAAAGAGAAGGGAGGAAAGATCGACGATATAAGAGATGAGATTTCGATTTCGATTCTTGGGTCTGTTGGTTGGACCCAAGGTTGCCTCGGAACGAGGTGAGACACCGACGGAATGGTTCAGATTTTTTTTCTCCTTCACCTTCTCCATCTTCATGCCTCCCCTCCAGTCCCTCCCCCTGTCATGTCCAGTTCTGGCTAGTGACAGCACTGGCTCCAGGCTCACCTCAGCTGCAAGCAGCACTACAGCACCATCACAGTACTGTATAGCACCGCGACGCCCGGAGTATAAGTACCGGACCTAGAGGAAATGGAGCCCATTAAACCCACTATCTAGATCGGGCAATTCTGCACCGCTTGGCGTCGGCCAACTTGGCCCCTCCCTCCATCAATGTCTCGACCATGGATGGATAACGAAAAGGAAATCGTCGGGTTTTTTCTTCTTGTTCGTCTTTGCGTGCTTCTTTTCCTTCTCTTCCCTTATTCATGCATACCTAGTTTCGGCGTAACGGATGGACAGGGTTGTCAAACAAGAAACGAAAAAGCCATACATAAAGTCCCCTTCGAGCTTCCATCCACAACAATGCTATAACACTACTGCGCCATGCTATCAGGCTCTGGCTACAACACCACCATTAACTAAAGTGATTGGCTAACATACAAAACTTACTTGACTCAACTCTCACCAACAAAAAATAATATAAAAGAAAGAGAAACAATGTCATCCCTTTACCGAATCGGAGTCGATGTTGGAGGAACAAACACTGACGCCGCAATCCTCGACATACGAGCTACCAACAACCCCGGTCGTGGCGTCTTGGCCTCTCACAAGGCAAGTACAACAAAAGACATCACCAGCGGCATTGAATCAGCCATAAGAGCAGTCATTCGTGACTCCGCCGTCGACCAGAGCTGTGTTCTCAGTGTTACTATAGGGACAACGCATTTTATCAACGCCCTTGTAGAAGCAGACGCCAGAAGACTTGACCGTGTTGCTGTACTGAGGCTGTGCGGTCCTTTTACAAGACAATTGCCACCCTTTGCCGATTTCCCACTCGGCTTAAGAACAATCCTCGACGGAGGAGTTTACTATCTCGATGGAGGACTTGAGATTGACGGGAGAGAAATATTACCCTTGGACGAGGAACAAATTAGACGGACGGCCAGGGATGTTGTCGCCAAGGGTATCAACGTCATCGCTCTAGTGGGTGTCTTTTCACCACTCGACCACGACGGTATACATGAGGAACGATGCCGACGAATTATTATGGAGGAATGCCCAGGATTACAGGTTGTCTGCTCTCACGATATCGGACCAACAGGATTTCTAGAGCGCGAAAATGCGACAATTCTCAACGCTTCGATACTACGCACCGGTCACAGGGTCAAGAAGGGGTTCAAGCATGCCATGCACCGACTCCAACTTACATGCCCTCTCTTCCTATCACAAAACGACGGGACATTGATCGATGCCGATACAGCAGCCGAATTCCCCATCAAGACTTTTGCAAGTGGGCCAACAAACAGTATGACTGGAGCCGCATTTCTCGCTGGGCTGGATCACCACAAAAGGGCTGAGACACAATCAGAAGAGGAGGAACCACAAGTTCTGGTCGTCGATATTGGAGGTACAACCACAGATGTATGCGCTTTGCTGCCCTCTGGTTTCCCTCGCCAAGCCCCCGGTTTCGTCGAGGTGGGAGGCGTTCGCACCGCATTCTCAATGCCAGAGGTTGTCTCAATTGGTCTGGGAGGTGGAAGCAAGGTGAACGTCAATGCTGATACGGGGAATGTCACCATCGGTCCTGGATCAGTTGGTCATTGTATACAACAAGAAGCAAGAGTCTTTGGAGGCAAGACTTTGACGGCGACCGACATTGTCGTCGCGCTAGGCAAGGCTAACCTTGGAGATGCGTCTCTAGTCAACGATGTCCCCTCCTCTGTCGTGGAAAACGGTCGCAAGGAACTCAACAGAATGCTCGAGAGTCTTGTCGAGCAAATGAAGGTCTCTTCAGCGCCCGTCCACGTCCTTCTCGTCGGCGGAGGCGCCCTGCTCGTCACAGAAGCTCTTGCCGGTGTGGACGAGTGCATTGTGCCCATACATCAAGGCGCAGCCAATGCCGTCGGCGCAGCAATCGCAAAGGTCTCTGGTGAGATCGACATTGTTGAAATCCCCGAAGGACGATCTGAGAAGGTCATCATCGACGCAGCGTGCGCCAAAGCAATTGATCTCGCCATTGCCAAGGGCGCTTCCAAGAACGATGTCAAGATCGTCGAGATCAACAAGATGCCACTTCAATACCTGTCCAACGGAGCTCTTCGGATACAAGTACGCGCTGTTGGAACCCTAGCCATTCCCGAAGAACTTACGCCGCCGCCTTCACCACCCGTGATAAGTTTGCGCGAGTTTCAAGAGGACGAGGGCGAAAAGGTCAGCGTCCCTGATGCTCTGACACCGACCTACAAGCCATCTCTACGCGTGGATCTCGACGCATACAGGCCCGATGTACAAGAGGGTGCATGGTACCTCTCAGAAATTGACCTCGAAATGATCGCTACGGGATGCGGTGTTCTAGGAACAGGCGGCGGTGGACCAACACACCACGAGTACCTCAAGAGTCTGGATGCCCTACGGAAGAATCCCGAAAAGAAGATGAGGGTTATCTCGCCGAAGGCTCTTGATGATGATGCCATGGTCTGCTTTGGCTCCTGGTACGGTAGTCCAAGCGTGATCAATGAGCGAATTGCGGGAGGCAACGAGATTGTCACAGGGATCAATGCTGTTAATAAGGTTGTTGGTAACAAGACATTTGACGGCATGTATATCGATGAGATGTAAGTCAATCGCGACGAGAGACCCAGAGATGATCGCTAATTAGTGCAGCGGTGGTGGAAATGGTATGAGTGCTTTCCCTTCGGCTGTACACTTTGACGTTCCTGTCGTCGATGGTGATGCCATGGGTCGAGCATACCCAACCATGTATCATGGTGAGTTAGTCATTTCTCCGACTTTTAACTACAACTCTAATCCATTAAAGCTACTTTTAGTGTCTACGGTCACTCTTTGACACCATGTGTCTTGTCCGACGCAAGAGGCAATGTCAGCGTAGTAATGGTATGTCTCATCACGCCCCATTCAATCCCACAGCTAACAAGACCAGAGCACCGATACTCCCATGCGTCTCGAGTCCCTCCTGCGAACAACCACCATTGAACTTGGCCTTGGCTGCGCAGTATGCGCTAATCCTCTTCCTGGATCTGTGATCAAATCTCACGGCGTTCCCAACACTGTTTCTCAAGCATGGTATCTCGGTCGCGCGGTGCACAACGCTCGACGAAAGAAGACCAGCTATGTAGACGCGATTGTAAGTTGGTCCGATCTCGCTCTTGTAAGAATTATTGCTAATGAATGACAGTTTGACGTCTGCGCTGGAAAACTACTTTTCACCGGTAAAATCGTCGATGTGAGAAGATACATCGGCGGTGGCTACACAATGGGCTCGGTGGTAATCGCGCCCCTCAGCGCCGACGAGCGCGAAACACACGGATCGAGCAAACAGAGTATCACAAGCGGTGGCAAACACATGGTCATACCTTTCCAGAACGAGTATCTCTACGCCGCCCTCAGCGACGCCGACGGCTCTGAGGAATCGCAAGAGGTTGTATGCACAGTTCCCGATCTAATCTCCATCCTTGGCCAAGACGGCGAGGGAATTGGTTCACAAGATTTGCGGTACGGTTTGAGGGTGAACGTCGTTGCTTTACCAGCGCATCCGCTGTGGAAGACTGACAAGGGCATGAAGGTCGGCGGACCAGAGGGCTTTGGGCTCAAGATGGGCTACGTAGGTGTTGATAATGACTTTACTGAGGCGAGGAGCGTGATTGAGGAGTTTGGGGCATGATATATGAAAGCATGAGCGCATCTCATTCAGCATGGTTATGACATGGATTTGGGGGCATTTAGAGGCATGGCATGGCACATGGGGAGTTTAGGAAGCATTGGGGTGTGTTTACATATAGCATCATGACAATAGACATTGCGATTACGACAGTAAATATGTCTTGACATTGTGTACCATTGAAGAATTTCGGAGAATTTCTCTGGTTAACGTTTGTCAGAATAAGACCAGCCTCGAAGAAGGTAGTCTCGGTAGTGTTAGCTCCGGTAATGAGCAAGTGTTGGTGCGGCGCGGCGCGCTACGTTTAGTCTCTGCGCATAAATCTTGAGCGTCGCCGAAGCTATCGCGATCTCTTGATACGAAATTATTTAGTGAATTCTCTTAGTATTGGATTGGTGAGTTTTGTTAGATTTGAGGCAAATCATCAGGATGTTCTACAAGACATTGTCAGTATGGGATTGGATGGCAGTACTTACCGCGGTCGCAAATGCGAGAAAGAGACAGCAGTTAGCTTTACATTCAAATTTTAAGGCTACAATACTCAAATGACTGTTCCAGAGCAATGGATGGATGCAGACTTGTATGCGAATTGAGTAGTCCTCGGATCTAGGTCAAGGCTTTTCAAATTTCATGCCATCTGCCCTTGGGAACCATGCAGCTCTGACAAATGCTAGGATTGAGGACTCTAGACATGCATGGGTTGACATCATAAATCACAATTGAAAATCCTTCTGTCGGAAATAACATGGATGTTAGGCTCTTTTGTGTTTCGGGACTGGGCGACAGACCAACAGCGAATCTGCCCACCAGATGCGCTGATGGCAGGTAAACTTCTCCCATGACACTGGACCGGAGTCCCAGAAGTTGAATACGACGAGAAGGATTCAATGCAATTTAGGCATAATGCCAGGTCTCAATTGAGCCGCCAATTATTATAAATCACAGGACCCAAAATGTGGTTTGACCAAAAATCAGGCATTCTTTTCCCATAGTCTGGTCAAAACCCAACAGTGCATGTGACAAATCCCATTCTCCGCAAGCTATTAAGCTTCCCCATAGACCCAGATCAATTCTCGCTTCTTATTGCAGCGCTTGTGTTCAGTATTCGGACCTATTCACGTGTGGAGAGATCTGGGGAATATTATATACACAAACAATTCGGATCCGAAATGAATGTGCCTTGATCGTGATGTGATCGCCATGGCACCACTCGCCGAAAGAGAAATATTCTCCGCAGAGTGGATGACAGCTTGGCAAAGATGGGAGAACCCGGGAGAGATGAACCCTGCAATCGAGCACAAGGAACAAACGTTGGACAACCATAACCCTCTTCTTCTCGAAATCTACGTCATGCTCAAGAAGTAATTGGTGCAATTCTTCGGTTACCACCGTCTCATCAACCCCAGACCGTTACCATGGCCTGTCCTGTGGATCTTCCATCCCTCATCCCATCGTCCTACATACGACCAACACAGGTAATGATCTCCGGCGTCAGAAGGCTTCACATTGCAGCACGAGAATCGCCAAACCTGGTCCATCGCAATGTTCCACATCAAACGTGACCAGTAGACAAATGCCTTTTGAACAAGGTAGTATAACCCGATGCCCTGGGTTGGGGGATATATAACATGTTCACCTCCCAAGTTACACCGTTGTTCTTTACTACTCTCTATCATTGACTGAAAGGATAAACCACTCTGCAGTTCAAGATGCCTATTGGCAATATTTACGTGATCGCCGCTACTTCGGTAGTAGGCGGCGCACTCTTTGGCTTCGACATCTCCTCCATCTCTGCCCAGCTGGGCGAGAACTCTTATAAATGCTACTTCAACCAAGGTCCCAAAGGCCCACCATTCAACGATGACCTGGACTGCAGTGGCCCAACATCGTTGAACCAGGGTGGTATTACGGCTAGTATGGCCGCTGGTTCGTGGCTTGGAGCGCTATGCTCTGGCATTCTCAGCGATCGTCTTGGAAGAAAATATTCCATCATGGTTGGTTGTATTATTTGGTAAGTCAGGCTCTCATACCCTGCGTCAGAAGTTCTAACAATTTGTAGGACAATTGGCTCTATTATTTCCTGCGCCTCGCAAAACATTGGGATGCTAGTCGTTGGTCGTATCATCAACGGTCTCGCCGTTGGTATCGAATCTGCTCAAGTCCCCGTTTACATTGCAGAGATCTCGCCTCCTTCCAGGCGCGGTCGCTTCATCGGCATGCAGCAATGGGCCATCACTTGGGGTATCCTGATCATGTACTACATCTCCTACGGCAGCGCCAATATTGGCGGGCGCACTTCAGCCGACTACTCTACCGCTGCGTTCCGTGTTCCTTGGGGTCTACAAATGGTTCCTGGCATCTTCCTCTTTTTCATGATGATGCTTCTTCCCGAGTCGCCGAGATGGTTGGCCCGGAAGGATCGTTGGGATGAGTGTCATGCTGTACTCACGCTTGTGCATGGACATGGAGATCCGGATCATCCATTTGTAGCTCTTGAGTTACAGGATATCAAGGACATGTGTTCTTTCGAGGCCTCGATTGCTGATGTTACGTACTTGGATCTTTTCAAGCCCAACATGCTCAACCGGACTATCATTGGAGTGTTCACTCAGATCTGGTCTCAGCTTACTGGCATGAACGTTATGAGTAAGTTCTATCCATACCTTATGAGGCTGTCAATTACTAACGCAACACAGTGTACTACATCTCATATGTCTTTTCGATGGCAGGCTACAAGGGAAATGCCAATCTCCTCGCCTCTTCTATCCAATACATCATCAACGTCCTCATGACGATTCCCGCTCTTCTTTGGATGGACAAATGGGGACGTCGCCCAACTTTCCTCATTGGTGCTGCTCTCATGTGTACATGGATGTTCACCAACGCAGGTATCCTGGCTGCTCACGGCACCGTCATTCCCAAAGACGAGCGCGACTCGCCTCAAGTATCTATGAGCGTCGGGGGAGGCGCTGCAAAAGGTCTTATCGCATGTACATACCTCTTTGTCGCTTCTTACGCCCCAACCTGGGGTCCTGCCTCCTGGACATACCCTCCCGAGCTATTCCCTCTTCGTCTTCGAGGAAAGGGTGTTGCTTTCGCTACCTCATCCAACTGGGCTTTCAACACTGCTCTGGGTCTTTTTACACCTGTGGCTTTTGAGAACATCACGTGGAAGAGTTATATCATCTTCGGTGTTTTCAACGTCGCCATGTTTGTTCACGTCTTCTTCATGTTCCCCGAGACAGCTGGAAAGACACTTGAAGAGACTGCTCATATCTTTGAGGACCCTAACGGTATCAAGTATATTGGTACCCCAGCTTGGAAGACTCGTGTTGCGACTCATGCCACGACCAAGGCTGAGAAGGGTGATGTTGAGGCTAAGCTGAGCCACGCTACGCATGAGGAGGTGCCTCAGCGTTCTCCATCGCCAGCTGAGAAGTAGAGAATTAGGCAAATTCGGAAGACAGAAGATTTAGTTATGTACTTTGTGTAAAGAGTCATCTTTGGGTAGGGAGAATATCGAGACTCCAGATAAGCAGAACGTGGTCACATGTCGTATGCATTTTCTTAGAACAAATAATATCACTCTTCATACTAATCATGATTCCGTCAAATGATAACTCAGTTTCGTATTTATGCTATATCGTCGTGGTGGGCCTTTTTTCGTATTCCTGATCCCTCGAAACGCGTTCGTCTTTCACAGCTCGTCATGACGATTGGCTTCCACCAGTACATCGTTACAGAACTTTTGTAGCGCTCCAGGACGTTCGATAAAAGGGAGAAACTTCCACTGGTATATAAGCCTGATCCCTTCATGCGACAATAAATTATGCACCATGTATTTCATAGCCATAGCCGCCAACTTATCAACAACAGAGTCCGGCTGATTCAATAGCGCGGTCTCGTTAGCCGCATTGATAAGGACATCCACCACCTCTTGATCAGACATGGCTTTGTTCCGAAGTAGCATTTTTGCCTCTTCCCAATCCACACGTGTACTCTCAAGCGCTTCTTTTGCCTCCTTCCAATTCTTTCCATCAGGGGATAAGGATTCGACGAGTGGATGGAACGGTTTTTGATATGGGTCAAGGCCAAGGACATCAGAGAGGGAGATGGTGTTTGGGTCTTTTGACGAGAAACCGCTGTGTTGATGGTCGGTTCGCACTTGGTCTTGAGCGAAGCAGATGGCTTTGGCGTAAGAATACTCTTCGGGCAATTCTAGGCCTGTCGTAGAGGCAGCTGCTAAGACCATTGACGGATGTTGCACATGTTTGATGGCTCCCCAGCCTACAAGCGCTAGAACAAACCGAATATTCCACATGACTGGTATACAACGGACACGAGTAAATTGAGAAGTGATTTTTATTGAGACTTTGCAGGGTTCATATAAAATTTAGATTGCTTGCTTATGTGATGATGGAAAGCTTGTGGGTCAATGATATGCGTTCTCGTAGGATCAGTCTGGGATGATGAGGCTGAGCCATCCTAAGCTGACTATACACGATCCTATTTGAGTCTTTTATTAGAAGCGAAGGAACCTTACATCCTGGGGTCAAAAATCAAGGCTTTTAAATATTATTCTTTGCGTACTGAATAAGAGCGAAATGACTGATCATGGCAACATGTCTCACAAGATTCCGTCTTGACTATTTCGCTAACCCGATCAATGTTTATCTCGTGAATGGTGACTATTGGAATGGGTAAGGGACTAGCCTAGGATACGTCTATGTCTGTCGATTTCCCATCCCATAAGGGCCGGTGGCAGAAGACCAAAAAACTATTTGGATTAAAAAAGGACTGCAAAACACCAAAAATGAAATGATACATACAACAGCGGGGATTCGCTGGTCGTCACCGACCCAACTACTAATCCGCCGGTTAGTGGCTTGACTATGGGAGAGCGGACGGGATCCCGTATTTTCCACTACCTTTGGTCGTATGTGAAAGAATAAACACTCATTTTTAATATGAAGGGCAAACGTGACCGGCACAAGGACATAAGTCCAGAAGAGACCAGACTATGGCGATGAGGCAACAATGGGGAGATAGTCGCTTAGTGACCCGGAAACACTTCCTTTGTTGCCGATTTAGAACATCAAGCGCTATCTCTGCCAGGTCACACGACAACTCAGGCGAGATCAACATGGGAAAGCCAGCGCGAATGTCTGTATCTTTTGAGTTCACCCCACACGAGTCAAGCTGAGATGCCCACATCTTCGAGAATGGCATGTGTCCGCGACCCAGCCAATTGGAGCTAACCGATAATCAGCCAACCATGTATGAATAGTCGGCATTTAAGATGGCCATCTCTTAGTTATACTATGGTTCTTAAAATCAATTGATTCGCTCTAAGTACCGTTATTCAATATCTTAATTTCATACATCATGTCAAACACTGTTGTCGTTATTGGGTGAGTAAACCACTGTCTAGAGATAACTTGGACCAAGACAGCTAACGAGTGATAGCGCTGGCGTGATTGGACTCACATCAGCCTTATTGCTGGCCAAAGAGGGAAACGATGTCACTGTTGTAGGCAAGCACATGCCCGGTGACTACGATGCAGAATACGCTTCACCATGGGCTGGAGCCAATGTCATTCCGTAAGTCGCTGCGTTGACTTCAAGCTCAGTCTTCTGATACGTTGTTTATAGACTAGCACCCAAAGAGGCCAGTCGATGGGAGCGAAGAACATGGATCGCTCTTAAAAAGCTTGTCGAAGAGACTCCAGAGGCAGGTATTCACTTCCAGAGTAAGTATCTTCCCCATCGATGCGACTTTCAACAATGGCTTACCATGACCAGCAACTCACGTCCTTCGTCGAGATCGTGACATGAAGTCTGCCAAATCTGGCTTCTCGGCACACTTTTACGCTGATAACCCTTGGTTCAAGGATATGTTCAACAACTTCAGGGATAACACGCCCACTGAACTTGCCGCCGGCTACGACTCGGGTTTCCAATACCAAGGAATTTGCATCAACACAGCCATTTACCTCCCATGGTTGCTGGGCCAATGTCTCAAGTACGGAGTCGTAGTCAAGCGAGGTATTCTTGCCAACATTAACGAGGCCAAGTCTCTCAGCCATACTAGCAAGAAGGCGAATATCATCGTCAACGCGACTGGACTTGGTTCATTGAAACTCGGAGGTGTGGAGGATACGACTGTTGCTCCCGCCAGAGGCCAAGTTGTCGTCGTGCGAAACGAAACACCCAAGAATATGCCTCTCTTCATGTGCTCAAGCGCCCTGGACGAAAGTGGCGAGGAGATCTATGCTATGCAAAGGGCCGCAGGTGGAGGTACCGTCATCGGTGGTACTTATCAAATCAACAACTGGGACACTCAACCTTGTCCAAATACAGCAAACCGTATCATGCAGCGAGTTGTGGACTTTATGCCCGAGATTGCTGGTGGAAAGGGTATCACTGGTTTGAGTATCATCAGACACGGTGTCGGCTTCCGTCCATACAGAAAGGGAGGAATGAGGCTGGAGGAGGAAAAGTTGGACAATGAGACATGGGTTATCCACAACTATGGACATTCAGGATGGGGGTACATGGGATCTTACGGATGTGCCGAGGGTGTAGTTGAGTTGGTTGACAAGGTGACTAGAAGTCGACCAAAATTGTAATCTGCAGCGTCGTTGGATTGTTTCTATTAGCCTAGCATATTCTTTAAATTTCTAACCATAGTCTATAATATTGCACATTGGTTTTTGGTTGAGACTTTGATTCAGACGTTGAACAGCTGGGCCCCTTAGTCTCGTCTAACAAGGTAGCTTGAAATCTGGAGCACCTCAAGATCCAGAGATTTCTTGCAGCTCAATTGTTCTGTGTTGTGTTCTTAGAATCACACCTAGAAACTCAATGAACAGGTTCTTCTAAATCACGTTTGCAAATCAAATAAAATGTTTTCTCAGGAACAATTCCGTTGTGTCATTCATTTCTATTAACGTTCTCCTAAAGCAGGAAGCCCGTTGGGAAAGGATCCTCAGGGTCAAGATGCACATTCTTCTCACCCGTAATCCAAGCCCGCCCCTTGATGGTTGGGAGCACAGCATCAAGCTCGCCAACATTAGTCGTCCCCCTAATCTTCCCAACAAACTCGGTGTTGATTATACTCCTAAACGTAACCTCTTCGCCTTCCTTGATAAGCCCCCTTGCGTGAAGAATGGCCAAGCGTGACGAACTTCCTGTCCCGCAAGGACTTCGGTCCAGACGTCCAGGTGTCACGACAACGGTGTGCTTAACAATCTTGCCGTTAGGGCCGTCTTCCAAAGGCTCTGTGATGATGGTGTTGTTGATACCGCAGATGGCTGGGTTCTCTGGGTGTGTCGGCATGCAGTTTGCCAAGACGGCCTCTTTTATCCTCTTGCCGAAATCAACGAGACGGTCGGCGTTGATGGTCTCGACTCTGATACCAAGTGCTTCTGACTTGACCAGCACGTACCACTGCCCTCCGTAGGCGATATCGACGGAAATTGTGCCCACGCCAGGAACGTCGATTTCTTTATCTAGAGCGTAGACGAAAGCAGGAACATTATCGAAAGAGACTGATTTACACTTTCCGTTCTGACAGTCGGCAGTAGCCACTACCAGCCCAGCGGCAGTATCCAATCGCACTGTTGTGACGGGCTCGACCATGGGCACGATACCCGTCTCGAGAAGAACAGTAGTTGTGCACACGCAGTTGGAGCCAGACATGGGAACCCAATCGCCAGGGGCCATAATCAGAAACCCAGCGTCAGCGTCAGGGCGACAAGGAGGGACAACCAAGTTCACGCTCATCTCCAGCCGACCACGAGGCTCTTGAAGGAGAAGTTTCCGTAGGTCATCCTTTTCTGACATATAGTGGACAAGCTTATCGTGCATGGTCTTAGCCGGCACGTCGATAACACCGCCAATAACGACATCGCCGACCTCGCCTTCAGCGTGGCAGGTGACGATGGAGATGACTCGTTTTGATCGCATAGTGATTTATTTGGAGTGGTTGGTTTGTTGGGAAGAAACAGGGTCAATATGAAGATCGTGGCAGATGGTATATGGGGGAGAGGTTCTTTGGTTCATAATATTATTATTTCGGTATCTATAAGCATAACTAGACTATCGCAATTGCTTGTCTTGTTCTTTCTGATCTGGCGTTTTAGGTGGGATAGCGGAAAATTTCCCGATAGAGAATGAGGCTAGAGAACCCGACCACAAAATCGACCCTTTTGGTACAGTTTATCTATGATTGGCTTTGATTAATGGTTAGTTGTCTTTAACTCGTTAGTAGAATGATACATCGGGGTAATCTAGAACGCGTCGCAATCTAGTTAAGAGCCTCGTGACTTTTGGAGGATGGAAGAGACTAACACGTTCTTTCATGGTATCACCAACTGTGTAGGTTACCCCAGACCCACTAGAAATACAAATGGCCAAGAACGGAACTAAACGTATTGAGACAACGCAAAGAGTATTGGTGGGAAATGAATATATCATCTTTTAGATACGCGTATTGAAAAGCAAAATACGCGGAAAGGGAACCCCTAGTTCTATATTTAATCCATCAAAATACAGGGAATATTCGGAGATATTACGTCTCTGCCAAGAGCAAACTGTGAATCCCTTGTTCACGCAATCTACAGCGCAAGGTTCCAAACGCATGATAACAATCTAAATCGTCTTTACCCTCAAGCAAGCTTAGAATTGTACGATTTTATGTTACATTCAGTGTTATTCTCTATGCTATATAGTGTTGATCAATTGAAAGCTCAGCGTTTAAACACAGTTGCCCAAGATCGCTTAGCACTATTGTGCGTAGTTGGAAACACGGAAACCTCCAAATACAGCTACGCCCCTTGTTTCAAAACTTGATCGCAGGGTTGATGCTTTCAGTCGAACCATAATTGACCAATAACGCTCAACTTTCAAGAAACTCCCTGTTACAGATCCGTCCTGCGATGAATTATTCCGCAAATAATAAGACGGTCTTAACCTGGTTCATCCATATACGACCCAGTTCGGCTCGAAACAACAACGGAGATTACACTTTGAAGAAAGGACGATATTCTTATCTGATGGACTTGGCATTTGAAGTGTTGGTGTATTAAAACACCATGATTTCGTCGTGATCTATGCATTTCTCTCTTCCTTAGCTCTCCAGTTCATTCTCAGATAACATTCGTTTTTCTTTCACTATTCTTTTCATTCGTTGGCATTGACTGTCATTAAATTTCACTACACTTTTACTTTGACTTTAAACAACCCTGTCTGTATCCATTCTACCTCATCCACAATGTCTTCATCCGTTCTCTTCGCTGCTGGCCTCCTAGTGGGTGTCGCTCAGGCCTACACCCAAGTCAACGTTGCTTCCCCCTTCATGCTCAAGAACATCGACCCCATCGTGTTCCCCGGCGAGCACGGCAAGTCTCATCTGCACTCCTTCTTCGGCTCCGATGCCGTCACCGTCAACACAAAGACCAGCGCCGAGCTCCAGGCGGGTTGCACAAACGCCGAGAACCCCAACGATTTGTCCGTCTATTGGATTCCTACACCACTGTACACCACCGATGGAACCAACTACGAGCCTATTCCCGTCATGCGCTTCAGTGCGTACTACAACCTTGGTGAGACACCTGCTGAGGTCGCTATCCCCCAGAACCTGAAGATGGTGGCTGGTGATGCCATGGCCAAGACTCAGGCCGATATGCCTCCCGATGCCAAGGCTGAGTGGACTTGTGAGAGCCAGGCCGTCCCTATTGGTGCCAATGGTTTTCCCACTGGTACCTGCGACACCCACCTTCAGCAGCTTCTCTACTTCCCTCAGTGCGTCAACGAGAAAACTCTCGAGACCGCATACAAGTCACGCGACTACGGCACCGCGAACTGGTGTCCCGAGGGTAGCAAGTCCATGCCCCAGCTGCGCTTCAGCATCCGCTACGACCTTCGCAAGGTCCTTCCCAACGGCTGGCAAGGCGAGGCACCCTTCAAGCTTGCCTGTGGTGATGCTTGGTGCTCTCACGGTGACTTCATCAACGGATGGACTGAGGAGGCTGCCACCAACATGATTGCTACCACTGCTGAGAAGCAACACTTTGCTGCTGTCACTGGTGCTCTTGGCGCTCCTCATGCTGGCCCCCTTTGCGAGGCCCGGGATGCTGACCCTGCCAATGGTACCAGCGATTACAATGAGAGCGTTGCTGTCATGAGCAAGCGTGATGTCACTGCTTGGGGATGGAAGAGCAAGTCTCGCTTCGTCCGCTCGGCTTAAATTGAGATTGACCTAGGAGTGAGAGATCAGTGGATGACGTAGATACATACCCATGGAATAAATCTGAGATTCATTCAAATATTTTGCACGTTTAATGATATGTGACTTTTAAAGATGGAGTCTCCTGAACATATTTGATGATTTTTGTATCAAATGGGAAGAGATCGTCTTGACCACACTCCCGACCAAAGACAAGGGCACAGGATGAACAGTCATCATTATTCGTCTGTGGCTAGGAAGTCGAGGCACAGTAAAGATGTGGCGCTTTGTCAAAAGGTTAAACTTACCCAATGTCTCACTTTAAAGAAGAGACATGCTCAATATTTATTCCCAGAGAACGGCGCAAGCGGCGCAGGATCACGAAAAGGAACAACTCAACAGGTGGGTCAGTAGCGAAAAGACCCATTCTTTTTAAAATTAAACTAAGCTACAAGCTTACAGGCTTGACAGGCCCGTTCCCTGTTTTGGCCAGCGCAAATGTGACAGGCAGAGTGTATTTCCGGGTCTTTTCTCGTGTCTGAAACAGGAGATGAAACCGGGCAGTGAAATCGAAGAGTTTTGTTTATCTGAAAATTTGGTGACGACATTCAGAAGTCCGTGTCCAGAGATATGTCATGTTTAGCCTCATGTCTGGGCAAAGAGATAAAAACCGAGAAGGATTGACATTTGGATGCATTACGACACAGCATGCGAAATTAAGACAACCATAAACGGCGAGACGAAGGATTCTGTCAGACGCTGTCATGACCTTTTAGGTTATTTGGTCTTGAGATGTTTACCAATTCGGTCTGTATATCATACGATTATTGTCAAGACCTTTATATCGCAGGCTTATCCATATCTTGTATTTAATCTGAAGCTTTCTTCATACAAAACAAAAAGAAAATTGATATGGGATACGGATATTGTCCCCATGTTTCGTCCCTTGGGTATAAGCGAATTGTTGGCAAAAGCTTGAATTTTTATTATGGACCGAATCTGATTCGGGGATTGCCTCCTGCTGATCTACATACGATACTCGTCATCCTTTTCTTTGTCTCCACAAAGTGGTTTTATTCACAATCCATTGTTCAAGGTGAACAACGAATGGCGTCTAGATTAGAGCGTCTGGATTGATGGTTAACCACCGACTCAAAAACAAACTTTGGTTTTATCAGACTCGTCCATATCGTAAGTTTTAGACTCTCGGATCGTCATAAACTATAGGGCTGGCTAGTGAAAACGGTCCCTTCGCTTCTGTAACGCCGGCATCTTGGCTACCGGCACAAGGGTTGTTTCGCCAAGTCCATGAGCCGCGTAACAGCACAATGAACCACAACCAACAAACAACAACGCACTGCCCACTAGAATAACAATTCCCAAATCCTTCAGCCCGGACTCATGGATCAGATCATACCACAAGCATCCATTGGGGGAACAAAAGGACCCTGTACGTGCTGACTTCAGGGGGTTATGTTGGATCGTCAGCAAGAACCACTTTATTTTGCAGACAGAGATATCTTAAAACTCTATCATCCCACTGCTTGAAGGAGTCCCTATACTGTGATACTGTGTTCGTCTTTTTTTTGTTTCTTTCTCCTCCTTTTCTTACGTCTGCCATGGCTGTCGCCACAACTCTATCATCGCGCCCTGCGCTGAGGATAGGAACTTGTCTTGCCGTTGGCCTTTTCTTCCTTGTCACTCTTTGCACATTCTTTTCCGACTCTGTAACATCACCTGTTCAGTTTGCGCACCAAAAGGCCCAACAGTACTATGGCTCGTCGCAACCAACGTAAGTGTTCTCCACCACCAGACACAACTCTTTGTTAACTGACCCTGAAGTGTAACTTCCTTTGTATCAACACCTACACCTCAAAGCACAATCACTCCAGAACCTACACCCGAGTTTGCTCGAAACTGCGTAGATCCCTACCGACGTCCCGGGTACCTTTACATCCCCACAGACAAGAAGGCTTACAGGGATACACAATGGATTCCCTTCACCGAAGACTTTCTCAACTCTGAACCACCAGAGTACGCTGCGTACCCACCCACACATGAGCTTGTTTTCAACGATACCGCCGTCGAGCCCGATTTTCTTAATGCAGATGAAAACCCCCAACAATGGATGCGCATGGCCGTTGTCGAGAGTCGTCGTCGACACAAAGAAGTCAACATTCCGCCTCTCAACGCAACAGCTGACGACTTTGTCAACATGAAAGAAGCCAATAGCCTAGGTTGGCTGTGGGGCCGTCGTGTAGTCATGTTTGGTGACTCGGTCGATCGTTACATGACACAATTCTTCTGCGAAGAGTTCGGTGGCAAGATCAACCTCCCTATCCAGGATGTCACAGCCCGTCAAGCTAAAGGCCTATGTGAAGTCCCTGCCTTCAACCTCACGTTGATTTACTACCACTCCGCCGGTTCCTTCACATACAGACCAGACTGGTGGTGGATTGAGAACATGAAAGATGTCGCATGGGAGGAACGCTGGGATAAGTTCTGGAAACCCCACGAGACACCCATCAATGGCCCTGCTGGTCGTCCTGACTTGATTCTCTGGCAGAACGGATTATGGGACCAGAAAGCGTTCTGGCTGAGCGGCAAGGCGATGCACAACGAGGGCGAGAAGCCCATGACCTTGAACCATCGAAAAATGGTATGGGAAGAAGTTCGTTTCGTAACAGCGCGTATCAAGAAGATTGCGCAACGTCTCAACGATGAATTTGGCAAGGATGTTCCCATAATGTTCCGAGCCTTGACAGTCCATAAAGAAAGTGGTATGGAAGATGCGATAATGATGGAGATGGACCGTCTAGGAAGGGCCGTTGCTGAACAAGCTGGACACGAAATGTTTGAATGGTCCAAGCTGATACATCTTCTTGGAAGTTTATATCAAGACGGTTTACATCCTGGTAAGGGACCAGCAAGTTGGCTTTGGGGTAATATGATGCTTGAGTCTCTTGCGAGATCTGCAGGTTCCAAAGTTGGAGGAGAGGCCAGAGCGCCGTATTTTGATGGATGGGATGCATGTCATAAAGAGTTATCGGGGTGGGGGGGAAGATGATACAATGATATCCTAAAAGCAATACCTTTAGAGGCAAGACTAGCCATAATTTCATAAATCTGTTCAATCATCTTGCCCAGCCACTGATACCTAACTTCTTCGCCTTTGAGCTGCAATAATCTCTTTCAAAAAGTAAGAAGACACCTTTGTCTTGAAATGAGCTCACCGAGTAAAAGTGTCATGTTCTCGAGTCAAACAACCGATTCGGTCTAGTCCCTCCATAAATAGGTCAAAACACCACCGCACTGATACGGTTTTTACTGAACAAGGTCTTTGATTGTGAGATTGTTCTCGATGTGCTTTGTTGAAGGCTTTCTCAAGTTGAAATAGATACAGTAGGATTGTTCAAAATCTCTAGGTATAAGTCGTGCTTGCCAACCATTGAAAACAATCAACAACAACTCATAATCGCAACCACAAACAACACGAACTATCAACAACTAAAAACTTCTAACAACATTCAACGAATCAACACCGCAAAAATGTTTAACCATCACCAGGACAAGAACTCCACCACTCAGATCTCATCTTCAGAGATCACTCCTACTCAACCTCGACAGGAAGGGAAGCTGGCTCTTCTCCCCACCGAGATTCTTCTCCAGATCCTAAATGAGACTGAAGTAACAGAGAAGACGCCACCGCAGTCTCCAACAAACTCTGAGTTTGAAGAGATCCAGATTCTAGCAGAGTCTCCAACGCACTCCCACTTTGCAGAGCTCAAGACTCCAGAGAAAGTTGCTGTGTGCATGAACATTCTCTCAGCTCGAGACATGAGGAACCTTGCCTTGGCTTCTTCCAGCTTTTTTTATCGTGTCTGCCCCTCGTTCTATCTTGCGAATAACTGTTATGCCTTTCGCTCCGCTCTTGAGCACACTGATCTCGATGCAATGAAACGGTGTGCTAAGTTTGGAGCAGCACCGGACACGCACTGGGATTTGGAAAAAGAGTGCAAATGCAAAGGCCATAAAGGACATCTGGTTCACCTACCCATTGATTGTCTCTTAGAATCAGTCAAGAATGGCTCGGTACCTATCAGCAAGTCTATTGAGGCTCTGCAATGGCTCCTGGACAATGGGTACAGCGCCTTTGAACAAACGCCACACCTTAAGAAGAACTTGGAACTACCAGGAGGTGGTCTTGGTCTGGAGCGACAGAGTGAAGCGGAATTGAGTGCTCAGTTGAAGACTTTGAGCATGCCCGAAATTTTGATTCTTACTCTCGACAAGAGCACTGGCGACAGGGACCGCACCGAAGGGATTTGTGAGATGATTGACATGCTTCTCCACCATGGATATCTCATCCCTTACAACCTCAACGTCTACGAGACTCATCGGGGTAGTGATTCAGATGATATCTATACTCCAATGAACGCGGCCATGAAGCCACAATGCCCACCTCGTTTCCTTGGAGTTCTGCTCGAACTCTACAAACGACACGATGGCCACAACCAACGGAGAGGAGATGATGGCCACAACCGAACACTAAACGGGTGCCCTGAAAGCATGGCCAGCTGGGTAGGCTGGTCGCTGGTTGATGAACAATCCTTTCACTTTGTGCACCGGAAGTGGAAGCACCGGCCCAACTTAGGTGCATTAGCTAGGAACCTTTTTCTTGCCGTACTGGATACGACACAGGACTGGAAAGAAGCATACAACGGCGAAATTGCTGATATCTTTGAAGAAAAGATAAAGCTTCTGGAGAAGTACAATTTCATCGACGACACCGAAACGCAAGCGTTGCAAGGCATCCTTGAAGCTCTGCAATGTATCGCCGCCATGGCAGAGTCACTTGGGGGTTTAGACAGGGCTCGTGACGGAAAGAAGTGCTGGCAGTTGATCTGCGATCCTCTCCGTCTTGTCTTCTATGATCTCGTAGACGATTACGACTCTCCACCACGAGTCCATCACTTTGAGTTTGAGTATTCCTGGCACCCATGGATCATGTTCTATGAGGAAGAGTATTTACAGCAGCGGGATATCTCTGCAGAGCAGTATCCTTACCCGTGGATCAAAAAAGGGAGCTTGTGGAAGCAGAAGGATGGAAAAGTGATAGATGAGAACTTTATATCTATGACACGTGGGCTCCGGTGGTGGTACGAGTTTGACTACGATGCGTTTCTTGAGAGGATTTCACAGAAATGGATACAGTCTGAGAAAGAGTTGGAAGAGTCGCAAGCACGAAAACGTCAACAACAAGAGGCGACTGAAGCGTAAACAACTAGGCAAATACAGGATCTGTTTGCCTTGCCGGGTTCGAGCGAGGATGACATGGAGGTGGATGAAGATTTGGACGAATCCGACGAGTCGGATGTGTCTGAATATTTGCCCGATGAACGTATGGACGAAGACTGAGATTAAGCTGGCTATTTTTAGGATGATGCTACGATTCAGCACTCTCTTGATGGAGGTTTGGAGGAAGCAGATATTGGGTGATTGATTTGCAGGGTTGGTAAGTTGAAAAGTGTACTTTTTCTTCCTTTAAGGAGTTTCTGATCATGCCTATATGTGTAGCAATTTACCTTGTTTGTACCAAATTGGATATTAACTACATTCCAAGAGAGTGAGTGATATGATGTTCGTAATAAAAGTAAGTGTCTCACTACACGATGTTGTAGAAATACTTTATTGCCATTCTGACCTTTGATACAGTCAAGTAGATGATGCCCTAGGGATCGGGCAAGTACATGACATGTCTATCTATCATTCACGCTTGGTGGCTTACACAGTTCATATATATCGCTTTTAATGTCACTCTTTCATGAGAATCGAATTAAATATCTCGAATAACAATTTCTTTTGTTACTTGCTGATGTCTTCCTCATCGCACATTTGAGGCTGTGTTTGCGATTGCAAGGGTCTGATAGGTGGGTGTTTCAACCCACCACCATCAAACAGCCTGGCTAAGCCCCAATTAATTGTTACAGTGGCCCTTGTAACTTTTGCCTAGAGATCATCATTCTTTCTCTTTCTCTTCCGGGTTCCTCGACAAATCTCGGCAGTATTTGGCCATGGAAATCTCCGACAATCGTCAGTATCAAATCGCTTTGGTGGCCCCTCTCAGACAAGATTATGAGACAGTTGTCATCTTGTTACAGAATAAACACTGTGAATACGCACTCAAAAACTCTGGAGCGCTGTGTACTCTTGGCAAAATTGGTCCTCATCACTTCGTCTTGGCTGGTGGCTGCGGGCATGATTCTAACATTGCGCTCTTTGTACACAACACAGTCAGTGATCTCCTCACAGAATTTCCCTCCATACGGATCGGCTTCTTGGTTGGAGTAGACGCGATAGCACCCGCAGATGGTATTGCAAAGACGGGCGACATTGTCGTTGGAACTCCCCAGGGTATTGAACCCGGCCTAGTCCAATTCGATGCTAGCCAGACAAGCCTTCTCAATCGCCTTTCTGTCACTCATCAGATGAGTCGTCCACCATATGCTATCCAATCCGTCATCGATAGCTTGAGGTCTGCGCCAGGTCGTCGGGAATGCCAAAAAGAATTATTCAACAAAGCCATGATTACTTGCAGCACTGCAAACGAACAAGAGAACCTAGCCTGGAGCAAGTCTTTCAGGGTTCTACATGGTAAAATTGCATCCTCACAAGATCATCTGTCCGAAGATGATCTCGTCAAGACAGGGCGCGACAGCAAAGTTCTCTGTTTCGAACGGGCAGCGGCGAAACTGAAGCCCCAGCTCCCTTTCCTGACCATTTGCGGTGTAACAAGAACAACCAACACTTTCGAAAACACCACAAGAGAGCAAAGATCAGGGATGGCTGCAGTTATTTACACCATATTGATCGCCAGCAAGATAAATTCCAATCTGCTTCAAAAGCAGCACCGCTTCACAGATCTGTTCTCTTACGAGCCATTTGGACTTGAACGACTAGGCTTCCGTCTAATCCAACTTGAGCGAGGCGTCCAGTCTCCACTAAGATGTAATCTTTTCCAGGCTTACCTTGATGAGGAGGAGAGTATAATTCCTTATGAAGCACTTTCATATGTCTGGGGCACACAAAGTACGCCCAGCGAGATTACGGTAGACGGTAAAGCAATGTCCATCACGACAAGCCTGCACGATGCTTTGCATCATCTCAGACAACAAGACCAAGATCGAATACTCTGGGTTGATGCTTTATGCATCGATCAGAGTAACATCAAGGAGCGCAGTCATCAGGTTAACCACATGGGTGAAATCTACCGAAAAGCTGACAATGTCATCGTTTGGCTTGGCTATCTTAGCGGTGATGCTGCTTTGTTCAAGACGGTAGTTGATCAGTTTGCGAAACAACTTCCTTCCGAGGCATTCCGGAGATGGCCTCGCGATGATTTACGGTGGAAAGAGACATGGCATCAAGTTGAAAGCAGTTTTGGCCTCACTGATAACACAAGGCTCGTCAACGGATTGAACACATTTATGGCAAACCCCTGGTTCATGAGGGTCTGGGTCTTGCAGGAGGTTTCCAATGCAAAGAGAGCCGCCATCGAAAGCAATCTGGGCAAGATACAGGCAAAGCTATTTGCCCTCTTACCTCATATCATCGACTCACACGTCGGCGAGCAATGTCGAGCTGTCTTAGATATCATGCCTGGGCCCTCAAAAGACACGTCCTGGTGGGCTCAGGATCGGAATATCTGCACGTTGTTGTGCAAGTTTAAAGGAAGCGAAGCTTCAGATCCTCGTGATAGGGTTTACGCATTGATGGGAATGGCATCAGATATGGACAGCAATGCAATTGAAGCTGACTACACAAAGGAAGAGGAGATGGTTGTCCGGGACTTGTGTCAGTATATTTATGGTGATCGGAGTCCTACCCGTGGTTTCTCTCTAACCTCGATACAAGAGTTCCAGTCCCAGCTTTCTTCTATATCGACACGGCTCCTCATTAACATGCTTGAAAAAAAGCCCACAGAACAATCTTTGCTGCTTTTTCTAGGCCGACAGGGTATGTTGAAAGATGTCGGCGATATTGCGCTACAAAAACTACTGGATCATGGAAGCCATCTCGTAAACATATACCTGAGCAAATGCGAAACCGACTTCCTGATTACTCTCCAGGTCGCCGAGAGAAGTCTTGTGAGCTATCCTGATCTTTTCAATTATTTTTTCGAGCGGCAACAGATACCCCCGGCTATGTTAAGGAGCATTGCTTCCTGGATGATCGCCACGAACCATCATGACCTGGAATCCTTTCTCGGACGGTTGAAATTGGAAATGGATCCTGGGCCGGAGCTTATCATGAACTTGATGACATATGGCCCAAGTGAGCCCGTAAAGCTCCTAGAATTTATTTTCGAGGCTTTTCAAAAACCCGTTGAATTAGACGCGATTACCTTTATGCAAGCTATTGATGAGAATGAGGCGGTACTCAAGCTTCTTCTCCAACACTCTCAGCATCCGATCATGATACCAGACAAGGTTTTGGTCAAGGCTATCTCAGCTGGCATTGAAAAACTACGGATCATTCTTGAGACACCCAAACGTACCATTTGTATAGAGGAGAATGCTTTTGGGGCGGCAGTATCACAGGGTTCGACAACACTTCAGTTTCTTTTCGATCAATGCGACGGCGGTGTATTGATTAGTGACCAGCTACTCCGATCGGCAATCCAGACGGGCCGAAAGACACTTGAAAGAGTCCTGAAAATGTCCTCCGGAATTCAAGTTGGAATAGATGGAAGTGTTTTCATAGCAGCAGCCGCGCAAGGACCAAAAACAGCGCAGCTTCTCTTTAATTATTGTCACGACCCTATTTATACGACCAGAAAGGCCATATACACCGCTGCGTCATACAACCCGCGCACTCTGGAGACTTTGCTAAAGGTGTGTCCTTCCAAAGTTGAGTTGGACAAGGAACTCTTTGTTCGCGCCGTGGCGAAAGATCCAGCAACACTCCGGCTTCTTTTCCACCACTGTATCAGGCCTATCAACGTAACGAACAAGATGCTTGAATTGGCTATCAGGGTAGGCATACCGGTACTAGAGGTGATCTTTGAGAATTGGGCATCCGATATCGAAATTACAGAGCTTGTCACCAAGCAAGCAGCTATCGCTGGCATACAAGCCCTAACATACTTGATCAGCAACTCGAAAAGCAAAATTCAGATCACGGACAACATACTTGAGCAGTCAAGAGCTTGCGATTCCAGTTACCAGATGTTGCTCGGACTCCAAAGATCAGAGACAGATGTCACTGAGGTAGAAGCAATCAGAGCAATAGCAAGTGGCCTTGAAACATTTTTGGAATTATTCAATCGACCGGGGACCAATTTCAGACTTACAGAGAAAATTTGCAAGGTAGCTTGGGAGTATGATTCTGTGTTTCGTGTTCTAGAAAAGGGGCGGCCAAGTGAACTGTTCATTTACAAACGAGAAGTGTTCTTTCAAGGATCAGCTACTCTTGAAAGTGATGCTGATCGTATACTGGAACAAAGGGGGTTCTCGGGTTGGGAAAACACATCAGTACTCAGAGAGATACAAAGGTCATAGATATCAGGGGACCATGAAAAGTATTCTTATAAAAAGCTGTTGGATGCATACGAAATTCTTATTTCTGGACATCTGTGAAAGACTTCGGGGGGGNNGGGGGGGGGGGGGGACAGTTTTCATCTCCCGTCTGTTCCTGATACAAAAACAGTAAGAACAGTGGCATATCTGTCCTATTATTAGTTTCAATACTGGATATTCAAGAAGCCACTTACGTTGTCCCAGCAACAATTAACTCAATCGTCTTGACACGAGTCAACCCAGAGAGTACGATCAGGTAGACAACAGTCGAGAGCATTATTATCAACAGACGCATAGCAAGATCGGAGACCAGGTTGCAGATGACTATGGGAAGCAGCAGTAACATCGTGGCCAGACATATCAGCAATGCCTTTGCTGCGCGTTTGATGAACGGACCAGAGTATATGAAGACGTTTGGATCTGATGACGCATCACGACCCAGAATGTCCTGTTGCCATGTTAGTGAACGTTTTGGGGTGACGGCTGGTGGTCCTGATGGCTTGACTTACTACGTTAAGCAGGTGGGAGACTTGTGCCACTCTATCTTCTATCCAGTCTTCGAACCGGGTAGTGGCATTATCTATCTTAGGTGATAGTGAGAATAAATCCTTCTTGTTTGACAGATAGGATGTCTCATCTCTAGCCACAGATTCGTTGCCATCGACCCAGTTCCTCAGGCTTTGTATGTCTCTTGACTCAGCACGACCAAAGCTGAGAGTTCTTTCTGTTCTCTCTAATAAATCGTCTGCAAGAGTCATGAGCTTCTACCATTTTCATCATTCAGAGATGGCGCCTACCATATCCAGCCAGATTTGATTCTATGTCAGATAATACGGTGAGCCGATCCTGGTTTCTATCGATACGGCTCTTTCCAAGGAATATATCGACCGGCTCAACATCATCAATATCATCAAGTTTCTTTTCCAGAACAGCCAACTTGTCTTGCTTGATCAAGAGAAGGCGAGCTCGCAGCCTGCTGAACCGCCGAAACAGAAAGAAGGAGTCATGAGAGGAGATAAGTGAAGTAAATCTTGGATATCCTGGCCTGAAATCCTCAACTGAGGGATTGTTAGAAATGGGAATTAGTACTGGGGCTTTTGAGTCGTACTGTTTCTGTCACGAGGTTTCGCTGCATGAGCCGAAACCGGAAGGATGGGAGGTGCAGCAGTCATTTCGTCGTTGAAGGGGGTATAGACGATAAGAACACTTGATTGTGGGATTCAGTGCTGGTAATCTTACCTTGAATATGGCGAGGCATTTTTTTCAATATGCAGCATGGCGTTTCGCAGCCAATAGTGTGGCAACACGTTGGGATGCTCAGTATGGAGGCGAAGCACTATATGTATGTGCGAGAATCCCAGTAGCTGTTGGTTGTCGCTCTTTCAATTGTGATTCACAGTTAGAATGTCCAACAACGAAGAGTCAGTGTTTCTTTCTTTGACTGATTGATGTGAGTATTGATATCAATCTGACATCCTCTCCTTAGAGATCAAGATTTGACTAAAGCCATCGCTGGCGGTAAGCGCCCGCATGTCAGAGCATATGCGCAGGTATGAACCTTGATTCACTCATTACACTTGATAAGTTGACTAAAACTCTCAGGTCTCTGGTTTCACTGTTGGAGACAGTGTCTATTACAACGGAAATGACGGGTCTCGCGATGGGCCCTTTATTGTAGCGACGCCGCCAGTGGGTGGAAAGTGCACGCTCTGCTACAGCGATGGAAGACCCTTTCAAAACAAGGCGATGATAAGCCTCGATAATCTGGACCCTAATTAAGAAAGGAAAAGATGGGAGGGTATCATCGGTGCGCGGGGCTTTTAATGTGGATGAACGACATGCAGGCTTTTAGGCCGCAGTGCAGTTTCTGGCTTGGCTTGGGGGCCATGCACAAGATGATAAGGTCTTGTGATTTAGACAAGATCAGGCTGTGCGGCTGAGAATGTGATTACAGAGCAGGAACAGGTCATTTATCCCTGTCATAAGCTTAATACTTCTCCTCGCTCTGTGGGGCAGAACAACATTTACAATGAGACAATTACACATAACTCTCTATCCTCATTATAATGGCAGACGGACCAACCCATCACGCGATCTTGGTGGGAATCAATGCCTATCCAGAAAAACCTTTGGATGGCTGTGTCCGAGATGTTCAGCAGATCCAGTCACTGCTCCAAAAGCATACTATTACAACCGATATCAAGTGCTTCACTGCTACTCCAAGCTCGCTACCGGACAAACCTGGGCTGCAGGAAGATTCTGCTCACTGGCCAACCTACAACAATGTGACAGCTGCTATTAGAGAAGTCACAGCGGTCGCACAGCCCGGACACTGTGTCTATATACATTTCTCAGGACACGGCAGCAGGATAGCACCAATGAGTGAATTTTCGGATCACGGAACTGGCGACCTGGCATTTGCTCTCCTGAACAAAGATGCGACCATGATTCAGCTACTTGGTGGCCATAGATTGGCTATATCGCTCAATGCCATGGTGAATAAGGGGTTAGTTGTCACTCTTGTTCTGGACTGCTGCTTTTCTTCGAGCATCTATCGGTTAGAACGTAAAAAAGTTCGGTTCCTTCCTTTCAACGCTGAAACGTTTGTCGCCAACGATGATGAGTCTACTGAGACTACTGAAAAAGCCCGTTCGGGTTACAGAGATGTATCTATGCAACCTAGTTGGCTAATCGATCCAAATGGCTACGCTATTCTCGCAGCCTGTGGTCCTCACGAGGAAGCAACAGAGGTTATTCAGGGCGGAGTGGAACACGGTGCATTGTCTTTCTTCCTAGCGCGCTGTCTTAAGGACTTTGGGATTAATAAAAGACATCGAGACGTATTCTATCGCCTTTCGCCAAGTTTCAAAGAAAACGAACTGGACCAGACCCCAGCCTTGTACGGAAATAAGAACCAAGAGTTTTTCGGACCGCATACTCTAGCAACGACACGCCCTGTCATACCCGCCTACAAAAGTGGACAGGATGCTGTTTTTCTACAAGCTGGACATGCACATGGGTTCAGAGAAGGGGACGACTTCATTTTGTATCCTTCTGGGGTAGTCGACGACAACGACGCACTGCACAATAATGTTATAACTGCTGAACTCAGTACCATCGGTCCTCTTACATCTGTGCTGCGTCTTACCGGCGCGGAGAAGATGAAGGAGACTAAATGCGTTGCTGAGCCTCAGACCAAGCAGTGCTTCCATGATTTTGCTATAGCTTTCAGTGATGAGGTTACCAACCCTGAAGAGTTGGTTGCAGCTTTCCGGAGATATTCACTTGCCGCGTATCCTGTGTCAGAAAAACGCCCTTTTTGGTTCGTACTACAACTTGTTGGCGATGAGTACAAGATATACAACAAGGACGGCAAGCAACTCGAGAATCTGCCTGTGTTGAAACGGGATGTTTTCAGCCCAGAGGACATTGCTGCCCTTCTCGAACACATCGTGCGATACGAATTTGCAAAATCGCTCAAAAATGACACTGTATCATCCAAGTTTTTGTCGTCATTTGACATTGGCATCTTGACTCGATCCAAAACCAGCTTCAGTCCCGATACCACAGTCGAAGTCGAAGAGGATGCCACCAACAAGTACATGTTTGAGCTGACCGTGCAAAACAAAACCTCTGAAGAACTATATCTTCATATTTTCAGTCTCGGCCCTTTCTGGCAGGTGGAGAATGTGTTCTATGGGCATGCTGTTATCCCTCCATTGAAGGATGAAGAGGGTTTTACGGGACGATTTAACAAGAAGATGAGGACCATGGTACCCAAAGAGATGAGGGCGAAGGGGCTAAGGCAGTGTGATGATACTTTGAAGGTAATTGTAACATCTCACCCAACATCTTTTGACCTGTTGGAGCTTCCCAAGATTGGGGGGTTGCCAAAGAAACGAAAGGGTGAAGTATCCCGATCAGTGATTAAAGAAGCTGAGCAGTGGGTTGCTTTCAATTTTCCGCTGAGGACCTCACTCCCGATGTCCCAGATATGATTACGGACAAACAATGATCTTATTATCACCTCTAACTACCATGGTTTTATTGAAACATGGTGTATCTTCCTTCTACTTAGACTGGAACATCCCCAAATCTGATGACTATCACCCTTCCTGATGTGCAACCAATTGCGACCGTAGATTCCCTAATCAACCAACAAGATGGATGCACTGAGCTTGGCAACCACAGTATCTTCTTTCCACGCCAAGTCACCCACCTAGAGTCTTTACTCAATGCTAAGCCTGTGTTAACCAATTCGATGGTCGAATCTGCGGCGCTCAAACCTTTAATCAACAGCTGGCCAGCGTCGAATACCAACTGAGAGCCGCTTCCGTTAAACTCAATATCGCAACTCCCAATGCGAGGGAACTTTTGAGCGTGTAAACATGTCTCATCTTCAATGCGCCAGATCCGAACCGTGTCATCGCTGTGAGTTGATACGAGAAAAGCTAGGTCAGGCGCAAAGGAAACAGAGCCTATGTCTTCGGTCGATGTCAACATCTTTGCACAGATTCCGGTCTTTGTGTTCCAAATACGTATAGTGTTGTCAGAGTATGATATTGCAAGCAGTTCTCCTCCTTGATAAAACACTGCAGTGGTTGTCTCGCCTTCAGGTCCATGCAGCTTGTGCAAGACTGTTCCGTCAAGGGGATCCCAAAGCCGTACTATCCCACCATAATCACCGCAGGCAAGCATCTCGGGGTTCTTCGATACTGACACCACGGATATCGCCGATTCGTGGCCTATAAGTTCGTCCATGAAGCCATCCTCAATGTTCCACCGACGAATCACATAGTCATCACAACCTATGATGACAGTCTTCGAGTCTCGCAAGAACGTTGCATGGTTGGCAGTCCACTCATGCTCTGTGAAGTCGTGAATGCATTCACCGTCATCAACGGACCACAGCCAACCGACACTTCCAGATGAATAGCCAAGAACAAGTAGACGTTTCCCGTCTGGGGAGAACTGAAACTCGTCCACATGAAGGAAGTCACACCCTGCTGCTCTCATCTCTCTAATCATGCCCCCTCCCCGGAAATCCCACAGTTTTATCGACCCGGCAAGCTCAGCTGATGCTATTATAGAGTGATCGGGAGAGACAATAATTGCTCCTAGTCCACGAGGCTTGTCATCTAACTTTTGCTTTTTCGGAGGAGCATTTGCAGGCCACACACGAACTGTAAAGTCATGGGAGCCTGAGACCAACAGTTTCGCGTCCGGTGAGAACACAGTTGAGTTGACATAGCTGGTGTGTCCTATCAGTTCATACTCACAGCGGGTTTGCTCCACGTTCCATATTTGTATGACGTTATCCGAAGACGCAGCCGAAATTTGCTTTGAATCTGGAGAGACAGAAATCGTAGTAGTCCACGTTTGACAGTCGAATACCTGCTGACATTGCTCCTCTGCAAAGTTCCATATACGTACTGTGCCATCAGCAGAGCTTGAGGCCAGATAGGAAAGGTCAGGAGCAAAAACCGCTGAGTGTACGGGCTCTTCATGTCCCTCCAAAGTGTAAATACACACGCCATCCTTCACTCGCCATACATAGATAAGTCCATCGGCAGTCCCAAAGGTCACTAGCTCTGAATCGGATGAAAAGTCCACAGAATGAACTGTTCCCCAATGTCCTTGCCATTCGTGAAGACACTCGCGCTCTGGTATTGACCAGATCCATATCTTGCCTGATCCATCACCCTTATCTAGTGAAGAACAGAAGGTGACAAATTGGCCATCGGGGGACGCAACCACCTGATTCACGGCGCTATTGTGTCCTCGCAGACGCCTTAGACATCTGCCATCTTCAACAGACCACAGTCTAACACTCTTATCTTGGCAGCCAGAAACCAAAATGTCACCCTTTGGAAAGAATGCGACAGAAAATATCGCGTCTTTGTGGCCAATTAACTTGTGTAAGCATTTCCCGTCGCTCACACGCCAGATCCTTATAGTACAATCTTCGGAAACAGATGCGATTAGTGATGCATCTGGAGAGAATACCGATGAGGTGACCGAGTCTTGGTGACCTTCGAATACTTGTCGACTGTCATCCTCTAGAGCTTGCCGCTCTGGTTTTATGAGAATCCAACACGGAATTGAGTCATTGAATAATGCAGCTACAGTATTTTCTTGCGCAGCAAACATGACTAGTGATGAGTAGATCTGCAGTGGGCTTGAGTCAATCATCGACATGTTGCGATATAGTAATTCCAGTGCGTCTTTGAGAAATTCAGATAGCCTTTTGCTACCATCATCCCGTATGAGTGTCAGTGTGGTATAAAGGAGAAATCATCGGGACATACTTACATGCAGCATTGTTTGGAGGGTTTGGACCATATGAATACTTTCCGCAGCATTCCCAGTCAGACTTAACACCTCCAGCCAATGCAAAAAGTGGCTCTGGAGGAATTGCAATACTCTTCCGTCGTCCCTTTCCTTGACACCTATCCACTGAATATGTGTAACCCAATTTATGCAAGCGTAAACAAGAGGTTCAGGAATGAACCTACTGATCATATCTCCCGGGATAGCCGACCTATCTATGCCTGGCAGTGATATACCACAGATGTCAGGTCTTAAACACTCGCCCATTATACGAAAGCAGTTTATGGCTAGGACTTGATGAGTAGACCCTGGGTAGGCAGACTGCTTACTCGCTGAACTCAAAGCAACGCTTCTGTGGGTTGAAGGGAAAGGCTGCAGAGGGTCATCAATGGACTTTGCCGTATTTTCGGTTGGGCGAAGCACATCAGGTGGCTGGATGATGGTAGTCTCGGGGACGTGGAGTAACGAGGAGAACGAATCGCTGACCAAATGGAACGATGGCTCAACTTCAGCCGAACAACCTCTAAAAGACCTACCGAGCAGCGGCTCATGTTTATCTGGATCCATCTCAGGTGTCGCGCCAGTCGAGGTCTGTTACATAGTGAAGTCGAGTAACACTACGACTAGAACTACATCTTGGGAAGTTTCGGATAAAAAACCGGAATTAATTCGCGCGGTGAAAAGACTCCTCTTCTCTATTCGTAAGCTAGGCGCTTACCATATATGCATGCTCATTTCCAGCGATGGTGAATGGCGGCGTTTACGTGCATACAAGATGGGATTTCGATCCCTGTAGCACTTCAGGTAGCAATGCTGGTCATACTCGGAACATCCCCACCACCAGAGAGTGGGACAGCCATTGTTCGTAACCTTATTCAAGACTCCAGCTCAGAAACACTCTTACTTTTTTCATGCCATTATTGCGCACAAACAAGTATGGACCCAATCACAGAAACGATACAGGAGGTACGAAGAGCTGTGGATGCTTTCCCCGAGGACTCACCAGACCGTCCATTATATCTGGCTCGTCTTGCCAAACAGCTCAGCAGAAAGCACTCAACAACCGGCGCAATAGCCTACCTTGACGAAGGTATCCGACTTCTACGCATAGCTGCCCGTATAGCGCCTGATGAACTTCCTAGTAGAGGACGAATTGTACATAACCTTTCTTACCAACTTCACGATAGATACGTTAGGCAAAAGTCCGTGTCCGATCTTCTCAAGGCCGTCTTGGTTGCCAGAGACTCGATTGATGCAGTCGAAGATGATGACCCGGTCCTGCCTTTGTTCTGGGGAAACCTTGGTACTCTTTTAATAGAAAGATACTATGTAAAAGGCTTCAAATGGGATCTTGATGAAGCTGTGGACTGCACGCGTGAGGCTCTCGAGAAGCTTGACAAAGACAATCCTTTGCGTGCTACGCTCTTGAACAAACTCAGTGTCGGCTTGGGGCACTTACACTGGAGGGGAGGCTTGAGATCTGACCTTGAACTCCAAAGCTATATCGATGAGGCTATATCAGCAAGCCGTGAAGCCGTCGATCTAACACCAAAAAACCATCCAAGACTTGCTGGCCGATTGAAGAACTTGGGAACTCATTTGGGGCACAAGTACCATTCAACTAAAACAAAGGACGAACTCGAGGAATGCATAAAATGCCATGTTACCGCTGTCCATGCTAAGCAAGCACCAACTCTTCAACGGATTCGGGCCGCAGATGATGTCTTATCTTACTGTGCTGATGTTCCGAACTGGGACCTGGCCCACGAAGTTTCTTCTTATGCGGTTGCTCTTTTTCATAAACTTATCTTCCGGTCGCACGAACATTCGGACAAGCTACATATGATTGGCCAAGTTTCTGGGTTGGCATCCGATGCCGCTGCAGTAGCTTTGAACGCAGGAAAGGACCTGTCTGTGGTACTTACCATCCTTGAGGAGGGAAGAGGAGTCCTCTCTCAATCTATGGAGGAAATGAGGACTGATCGCGCGAGCTTACAAGCCCAGCATCCACAGAATGCAGAGGAACTGAACAGTATTCGGGGCGCACTCGATGATCCTCTGCAATACACTGATGCTCTGGAAGATCCGGAGGAAACCTGGGAGACCGAGTCAGATCGTCGGAAAGAAGCTGATGAGAAGCTGGACGACTTGCTAAACAGAATCCGCAAGGAGCCTGGCTTCGAAGACTATCTTATTCCGCCTACAGAAGAAGCGATGAAAGCTGCTGCAAAAAGCGGGCCTATAGTGGTTATCAATGTTAGCAGATTCCGTTGCGACGCGATTATCGTTGAGTCAAATCAGCTTCGTCTGTTACCTTTACCGAAGCTTACCCTATCGGATGTAGAGGGCGCGTATCAGATGCAGGAGATTGAGCCTTCTGTTTCTTTCCAGCAAACGTTTGCCTCTCTCAAGGCGACGAATGAACCTATTTCTAACAGCAACTTCAACGTTTGGGATGCTCATGTATCCAGCAAAGGCTGGGATAAGTCATTGTCAGACCCAGCTTGGGGTGGTTTGAGAAAAAAGCCGTCTGATGCTCTTGGGTCGCCACAGATTCTGCGCTGGCTATGGGAATCTATGGCAAAGCCAGTATTGGACTTTCTGGGTTATAACAGGATACCAACAGATGGCAACTGGCCTCATGTATGGTGGATCCCGACCGGCAGTCTCAGCAAGTTTGCTATTCATGCAGCCGGAGATTATTACCCTGGGACTACTGAAACAGTCCTAGACAGAGCTGTTTCTTCTTACAACTCCTCTATCAAGTCCGTTATTCAGGGTCGACGTCGAGAAATCGCAGTGCGCGAGACTCAATACACTCTTCTTGTCGCGATGGAGACTACAAAGGGATATAGCGCAAATCTGCCCTTCGCTTCTCAAGAAGTTTCCCTAGTGAGCGACATCTGCAAATCAATGTCTCTAGACCCTGTCCGACCGGGGCAGCAGAAGCAAGACATTATCCCTTATTTAAGTGACTGCACTGTCTTCCACTTTGCAGGTCACGGCAATAGTGATAACAAGAATCCTCTGGACAGTAAGCTGTTGTTAGACGACTCGAGCAGTGATCCATTCACAGTTACCACGCTTTTCGACACAAAGCTGCACGACAGCCCGCCATTCCTCGCATACCTGTCAGCCTGTGGGACAGGTCGTCTCGATAACGAGAGGTTCTCAGACGAAGGCGTCCATCTAATCAGTGCCTGTCAACTCGCAGGATTCCGACACGTAGTAGGCACTCTGTGGGAAGTCAACGACAAGTCATGCGTCGATATGGCAAGGGTATTATATGAGAGCCTCCGGGATCGTGGTATTACGGATGAAGCTGTCGGTCATGGACTACATGCTGCAGCACGTAATCTTCGAGATGAATGGTCGAAGGAGTTCAGCAATGGTTGGAGAGGACGAGGTTCGGAGACGAGAAAGAGAAAGTTGGAGCAGATTGAGGGAGATGGAAAGAGAGATATCATATCTTGCGACGATGAGGAAGATATGGGGCCGCTTTATTGGGTTCCGTTCGTCCACTTTGGTGTATAATTAATGGTTCGTTTATGTCGACTCCCTTCTTTGCAAGTTCTTGTGACCGCCAGTCAAAGGATGTTGATACGTAGAGGATTGACCACCAGGCTATTTCTTTGCTGTATCAGCTAACGGGAGGCGTAATAAGGGATCGGAGGCTAGCAAGAAGAAACTTCGTCAAATTCTTCGGTGGCATAGCGCTGTTGAGCATATTGGTCTTTTGCTCTGAGATGTTGCCAGTTTCATTTTACATGCTCCCGGACCTTTCTTTGTGCCCTGGCTTGTGGTTGACAACATGTTCAAGGCAGGTCAATAACGGGACATTATTGAGTCGAATTTCATAGTGACTTTCTTTGTTATCAACTGGCGTTCTTGTTAACACAAAGGCTTGTACTAGAATAATTTGAACAGCTGGGCTGAACAGGTCAAGACATCAAACACCAGGCCATGGAGTACAGGATTAAAAAGAGCAGTCCTCCCAGTTAATAAAAACAATAATCCAGTTTATTCTCTCGACTACACCAAAGATCTACTACTCCAAAAATGGACTCTTTCCCACAATTCACCATGGCTCCCTCCATATCATACCCCCGGAGATCCTCCTCATCATCATGAACTTCACCGATACATTCCAATGTAAGGCAAGTCTCGCTCGCACATGCAGTCCCCTCTATAGTACCCTCATCAACGAGGTCTACAAGCAAGCCTCCAAGTCCAAGTCCCTCGCCCGCGCACACATCTACGAAGCCTGTCGCGACGGCAACATCCTCGCCCTCGAACGAAGCTTCCAAGCCGAAACCCAAGGCATCTACGATTCCGTACAAGAGCGCTTTAACAGACCTCTGTATACCGCTATCAAGTTCTACCAGGTCGGCGTTGTGCAGTGGCTTCTCGAGCGCGGCGCAGATCCGAACTTTGCAAATGATCACGATGTCAGTATGCCCGTACTTTTTGACTCACCTCTGCAGATGGCTGTTCAGTCGGTGATGATGCCGGGTATTCCTCAGTGGCGCGTCCCTAAGGAGTGGAATGAGCAGGGTTTCGTGGTGCCGCATCTTGACTACTGGCGATGGGCAGGAAGGGCGATAATTAGACTACTTCGTGATGCCGACACTGATGAGAGATCTCTTGTTCTGTAGCTCAATAGAGATCATTTGGATTTTATTCAAGTTGGGGCACCATGTTGTCGTCTTCATCCGGTTTGCTAGAGTGTTTTTTGGTAGTTTTGTGTCTTTTATCGCCGCGTTTATAGTTTATCTATACAATAGACATGATTCCAGTAATTCTAAAGTCTTTTTTTTTTCTTTCTGAAGTTGCTAAATCTCCTTGCCTTGCACTGTGATATGTTTCCATCTGTTTACCTGGTTACTACGGTCGGGTACTAAACAATTCCGACCCTGCATCACCAGTTCAGGGTCACCTTTCAGAGCCCCTTACCATCTACGAATTTATCTATTCTTTTACACAAGAGCATTTGAACAGATGAAAGTGAATTTGCGTAGTTTTGGTCTATCCTCCAAATTAACATCAGGCTTGTTCCGGATCAAGAGTGCATCCTCATCCGCGTTCCTACGATCTGCAATATTGTCCAGTACAAATACTCTTTTACACGGAACAAAACATCGTGCTACAGTTATAGTTTATCATCCAGACGGTTTATCGACTCTTTCAAACGAACAAGAATCTGTTTTCTAGATCTGTCATGTTCCTCTATCACATATAAGGTCCCAAAACCCTCTTAGACATTATCGACCTCTCCATCAAACACTCTACGAAGCAGTTTACCAAGCGCACCATCTGAATCTGATATTACCAACTTACCAGACTTAATCTATTCGCCAAAGCCCGTTTGCTATTGCATAATAGTATACACACTAACGTCAACTGGCCAATCGTTTCGTCGGTATACTACTGACTGCATCAACACCCTGCCACTGCCAGACGCTCGCATTCACTCGCGGTCTATCCACCGTTTGTTTGCCTGCTCTTCTGATAGAGATTATTTTTCTCTACTCATCCCTCTTCCTACCTATTTCCTTCTACAAGGACTTCCCTATCAACGCATAGCCTCTTCGTTGTATTGTTGATCTCCTGAATATCTTCTTCATCACATCTATTGACAGAACCACGGTCGTTTATTGTATCCTTACTCGCACCTTCACGACAAACGTCAAAATGTCGACTACCACTCTTACTACGTTCCCCTTGGCAGAGCTCCCCTACGACCTCATCGTCAAAATTCTTCACACAATGCCGTTCCGAAGCGCTAGCCGTCTCGTACGGACCAACAAGAGAATGTACACTCTGCTTATCAGAGAGCTATACAAAATCACCAAGATTCGAGGATGGTTCCCCCTAGGATTCGCCTGCGCAACTAACAACCTGCGCACCCTGTCCCTCTGCCTCGATGCTGGGGCTCCTCCTGACTACCATATTCCCAAAGACTTGGGATACCATCGATGGGCGAACACCTCTTTCTATATGGTGGGGGGATGCCGTCCCCTACGAGTCTCTGTTCAGAATGCGGGTTGAGACAACACTTTTTCTGCTTCAGCGAGACGCAGACCCCAACACAACCAATGACGAGGCACAGCATTGTGATCGATCGCCTCTAGCTTACGCCTACCAACGCGGCAGCGATAGCAATATCGACGCCATGCAAGCCCGTGTTATTTGCTTTGCGCTGTTCGACGCGGGGGCTGATTTCACCACTCTGAGCGTGAAGAAGAGAGTCGAGTTCTACCGAATGATCCATGACCAGAATTACCTCCCTGCTGCTTGGTCTTAAATCAACGTAAGTTTTCTTCCGTTGGCCCATGTCATGCGCGCCGGTTGTCTAACAAATGGTAGGCGATAAAGATAGAAAAATTGTTTTCCTACCTTGTCTGGATATCCGAAATTACAGCGATGGCGTCGGGAGGTCTGATTTTGTGAGCATATTGCTTTTTGATACGAGCGTATTGACGAATACTACAACTTTTAGTTTGAGTTTTCTGGAGGATTGATTAGTCAAGACATGCATGCATTTGGGAGTTGACGGGTGTCTTAGTTGGACTGGTTGGCAGGAACTTTGAAAGACAACAGGAACTAGGAGTCAAAAGGGTCACAGAACTATAGGAATACCCATTTATTAAAAGTAGACAGAATTCTATTGCTTTTTTTTGCTGTCTCAAATAAAGGAAATCGCACTCGCTCTGATATGCTAGTCTAGTCTAAGAATCGTAGAAATTAAAAGTATTTTATCAACGCATTTAATGTAAACCGCTCTCTCCAGTCTGAGCCATATGTTTCTGGCACTTGATCATGATGTCAAGCTGGTCGCTCACGTCCTGGAGACGACCGAGAACCTTCCTGTTTCCGTCGGTGAAGTTAAGGATAGAGTAAGGAACGCCAGTATCGGCACAGAACTCGCGGATCATGACCTGCGCCTTGCGAAGGTTGTGGCGAGGCAAACGGGGGAAAAGATGATGAACAGCCTGGAACTGAAGACCTCCGTGAACAAAGTCCATCCACGCAGGGCAGTCGACGTCCATAGTGGTTCGGAGCTGTCGCTGGGCAAAAGATTCCGTCTCGCCGAGGTCAACAGTGGACATTCCCCAATGGGAAAGGGTGATCTGGACGTGGAGAGGCATGGTGATGATGTGAGAAACGAGCACGAAGATGACACGGGTGGTCCAGTCGGGGAGACCGCGCCAGAGGAGACAATAGCCAAAGAGGAACCAGTAGCAAGCCATGAAGATGATCTCACCAGGTCGAATCCACCAGGCGCGGCTCTTTCCAAGCTGAGAAGACTTCTTGGACAAAACATGGAGCCACGACAGGAGGTAGAGGTTGAAGCGCGCAATGCCCATGACGGGGTAGTAGGTGTATTTCTGGAAGGGGACGAGGAAATCGGCGGCGGCGTCCCAGACGAAGGTGAAGTCGTAGTAGGTCGAGTGGAGAGACTTGAAGAAAGAGGGGCACGTGGCGAAAAGAGGAACGTTCTGAATATCGGGATCGTGTTCCTGGTCGAGTTAGTACGATATTGATGATTCGATAGGAGCGAGTATCTTACAGGTGCATTTGTGACAAGATGGTGAACGTTGTGGCTGCTCTTCCACCAACCGATGGAAAGACCACAGCAGAAATCGGCAACGAACATGCCAATCAGGGTATCAATAACAAAGTTGGATGTAATGGCAAGATGACCAGCATCGTGGGCTGAGAACATGATTTGATGCTGGAGATGGGTTAGTTTCGTTTCTTGCGAACAACAGACAAATTACATACCCAGAACAATCCCAGGAACATGGAAGAAGTGATGTACCACTGGTTGTAGAACAAAGTACCAAAGAGAGCGAACAAGGTGGTGTAGCGAGCCAACTCCTTTCCATACTCAACATAAGGACACTGGTACAAGCCCTCATCTCGGATCCTGTCGTGAAGAAGCTGGTACTTGCGCCTAATGTCAGTTTGCACCTTGAAATCCTCTGGCGCAGGGTATGTTTCCAAGTCGGTCTGGATCTCGCGTGCAACACCGGCGTTTGCGACCTTGAGGATGACGGATCGCTTGCTGTTGGGTTCGCTCTTGATGGTGCCAGATCGGTGTCTCAATCCCTCGGTCTTGAGGATATCATCTCCTCCACCGACAATCACATCATCGGTGGCGGAAGAAGCAGAACTAGCTGCGTCGTCGAGAATACTGCTGTTGGCAAGACTCTCTTCTGTGTCTGAAGTAGCCGAATCGGACAATTCGACCTCATCGGGGACGTCTTTGCGAAAGATGCCGCCTCTAATTGGTGGTGTGCGGTTCGTCCAAGGGCCTTGCTTCCGGCCGATCCGATAGGCCTTCATTGTTCGTAGTGTCGATTCGGAGTGATAACTAACGGAGAAAATGTTATTAATAATCTGATCTGATCTGATCTGATCTGTAATGGAAGGTAGTTTAAATCGCTTTGGCTTTGATCAACCCCACGCTTGCAATGCATCTGCATTTCGGGTCGTCTCGCCTCGTCTGACAGGGTGGCCAATGGGGTGTTGTATGTGTGCATCATGGTGTTTTTCTCTTTTGGGTGTAGTGTCGTTGATGTGTATAACCTCAACTTCAGCCACAACGACATTTCTTCCTTTTTTTTTCTATCTCCGTTTTTTAGGTGTAAAACTTACGCTTTCATTTCGTCCGTCGCATCGCGACCGACCATGTGCAACACGGCCAATCGACCACCAGGATGTCTCTCCATCCAACCATCGAGCTTGAGGATCGCATCTTCATACACGACAATTGTTTGACCGTCGGCGATCAATCGCTCAACCGCCGCTGCGGTCAAGATAGTATCGCGACTCATTGTGATTTTTCGGAATCGGTCCGCAGTGTGTATGTGATTGTTTTTGTATGCTGAAAAAGAATGTCGCTCGAGGGGAGATGCTGAAGTAGTGCGGAAAGATTCGAGTGATTGCAAGGGAAGGAGGAGCTGTGAATCACCAAAGGATAAATAAGAGAAAGAGCGAAAAGGTAAGAGCAACCGGAAAGCTAAAAAGGGCAGCGACAGAGCAAACAACCGAGGCAGCACAAGAGATAAATACTCTGATTCAATCAGGGGCACAACGAGCTACCTGCTCTGCTATGGGTGTACGAAAAAGATATCCATAATTACTGTATTCTCGCCTCTTACTCAAGCTACGCCCCCAGATGCAGATTGATGGTTCGCTCGTTTCTGTACCACCACACAAACCAACGAATGGGCGCAGCATCCGTAGAGCAATACCGTTTTGTGATCCATGGCAAGCAAGCTAGTCCCTTAACCCGGGGCACGTCAAACGATTAGCTCTTTCCAAGCTTAGCTTTAACTGGGATCCTGGGTACGAACGGGCCAAGGCCCCTCAAAGGATCATCTAGATGCTGCACGGATACAGAGTAGGGTGATTGGTACTGTAAAGTCTTTCTAGTCCTTGTCCGAGAAACCTGCGCAACATACGTCAAGTCTGCTGGAAAGAGGCACAAAAAGAGGAAAGGGGAAGGCAATAAAAACAAGAAAGAGTGAGAGAGATGAGCATCGTCCATGACCCTTGTTGACGCTAACCAACGGATGGGCTGTAGCCAAGATTCTTTGTTGAGCGAACCACATATTAAACTGGTCCTATCCCATAGGACCTGCGGAGAGTCGCCTCTATAAGTGGGGAGTGACTTTGACGCTTGAAACAAGAGAATCTGGGTCTGGGTTTGGGTCTCCTGTTGATCTAGACCTTCTTCTCCTAGCTTAGTCTAGTTAAGCCTTGTGACAGTGGCAGGCAAAGGGAGTGACAGTTACTCGGTTCCGACAACCAAAAAACTTTGAATGGTTCTAGAAGATGCAACCCATGACTCTGTTGAGTTTTCGTAGATACCTACTGTTCCTGTTCCTGAGTGTACCTGAGTATGGCCGTTGAGGTGTTTGAGTATCAAGTGCTGGCCACATCCACATACATAGTACTCTATTAACGTTCAGTACACGTACCAGACCAGGATAAAAGACTCAACGCGCAAGTCATCCCCCTCTCTGGTTTAGTTGGTTCTTGTTGATACGAAAATCCCCCCTTCTCCTCAGCCTCCCTTGAGTCGACTTCCTAGCGGAGGTGACCCCCTAGAAAAGAACCCCTGTGGAGCAGGCGCAGCAGGGGGGGGCGTTGCAAAGTACCCACAAGACCCTGAAAAACCGGCCTGGGGTTTTAAGTTAGCCTCCGTCCGCGGGCTGCGAGTGCGAACACAGCAAAGCGCCCGCTGTGTTTTAGCCAGTCATAAACGAGTCCCGGCGGGTTCCCGGTCACCCAAGTACGCGTAATTTTGATGAATCTCTTGGGGTCTATTCGTTTACCAGATCTCGTAAAAAAAAGTTAAAAAAGGGGCCATAAGTGTTCTTTTCAGTGACGAGATTACGCGTTTGGTCTTTTCAACTAAAACATGTGCATGTGGATGTTATTATCATTACCGCATCAAGCATGCACGTGGGTAACTAAACTGGACTATCAACAACAATATTAAAAGGGGCGCCTAACAATATCCAAGATTGCCACTATTTTGCCTAGTATGTAGGTAGGTTAGAAACATCCCATGAATCGAACCACTCAATCTCTCTTTCTCTCATTCTCTCCTCTTTTTCCATCTCAATCTTGGCATCTAAAAGCAGCTCTCCGCATATGCTAAAGCTATCTCTTGAACTAGATCCACATGGATCAACTGGTTCCTTTTCTTTTGCTGCGCCGTTGATGGCGTCGGCCCAGAAATTAAAGAAATCGGGTGAGGCCTTTTTTTTTTATTTGGCTTCCCTGCTTTTTTCATACCGGAAGAATACATACAGAAAAAAGGAAAAAGGGGGTGTGCAACTGTTGAAAGAAGCTAAGCTTTTCTGAATCCTTGTCCTGATGCGAGGTTAAATTAGATTTGGTCTCTGGCGTCCAATCCCATGGTCAAGAAATAACGTGTCAAGATTAACTCTGGCCACAACACAGACCAGATCAGACCAGACCAAAGAGTCCCCCCACGTTGACTTATCTTATCAGTCCTTGATTGAATGCTTGGCTCTAGGGTAAGAATAGACACAATACTTGAGACACGCATCATCCAACGTAATATCGATGGACATACTACCTGGTAAATATTGGCTTATGTTAGAAATATCCTTGGCTCAGTTCCACATCGATCAGCCGCTGAATTACGCGTTTACCGTTACAAAAACTTGACTCGATGTTGTGAGCGTGATATGAGGATACATTCTTCAGCGACATGCCACGACGTCACTGTGCTTCAGAATGGGTGGCGGGTTTTACGTGCCAGCATCATCCTTGGCCGACTTTTCATTATTCATGGAATATGGGCAGACAGGAGCTGATACCGTATATACTACACCGAATGGATTGACTCTTACAAAGTAGAGCTTTCAATAGACTCTAGTCAAGCTACTCATATGTTGTAGGTAATTTACATTGCATTTCGATAACTCTCGCAAAGATCCGAACACAGTGATTGGTCGAAAAGAGACCATTACCCGTTCGGAAGCCAAATGCTGGCCCGCGATACAATTGAACTCGCAGACTTAAAGCCGATAAAAAAAATACATACTTCCTCTAGACCGTTGAATGAAAGTGTGACTTTTCCCCGTGGTTGTGTTCTCATGACTTCTGCTCTTTCTATATTGCTAGTGTATCGCCAAAGACTATTTTAATATTAGTATACTTCAAATACAGTCAATTGTAGATCAACAACAAAGTCCCCGATAACTTTCCGCGCGACGATATAAAAATCATTGACCGACACTTCCATTGCAATTGCTTCATTTGAACTCAAAATTACCCTGTATCATCTAAAAATGGCAGTCAACTTACTTCCGCGTAATACATTCACAGCCCGCAGTGGCAACGCGTACTCGTTCATCTCCATTAAACCCACATCCCACAACACGACACTTTTATTCCTCCACGGCTTCCCATCCACACTCAACGACTGGATCCACCAAATTCGGCATTTCTCTTCAGAAGGCTATGGCGTCGTAGCGTTGGACATGCTCGGATACGGCGACAGCTGCAAGCCCGACGATGTTACCCTGTATCGTCTTAAACCAATGAGCGATGAAGTAATTGAGCTTTTAGACCTTCTCGAATTAAAGACTGTCGTTGGAGTAGGTCACGACTTTGGCGCGACGCTACTATCACGGATAGCGGCCTATCACCCATCGCGATGGGAATCCCTCGTTTTCCTCGCTGTTGGACCGCCACCGCTTGGAACGTCCTTTGACGTAGATTTGATCAACCAGATGACCAAGCAAATGCTGGGTTATGAAATGCTAGGATATATACCGTGGCTGGCAGACCCTGATTCTCAAAATATCCTTGAGAAAAACGCAGAGGCGGCCATGAGTTTGATGTTCTGTTGTGATCGGGAGGCGTGGAAGGAGTGGTTTCATCCTCTCGGGAAGATGCATGACTTCGTGCGAGAGAATCGCAGACTTCCCATCGCATTGTGGTACACTGGAGACCTTCAAGAGGCCCACCTCAAGGCCTTTGGCTCACCAGGTGGATACAAGGGTGTTTGTCGATGGTATCGCATGTGGAAGGATAATCTCTTTACGCCCGATGAGAAGGGTTTCGAAAACTTCAAAATCCGACAACCAGTTCTTTTTGTTGTGCCTTCTCACCCTAAAGAGTCAATGGCCCAGCAACAACAAATGCTTTCATCATGGGCCTCAAACCTCCAAACTGTTACTCTCGATACGAGCCACTGGCTTCATCTTGAGCAACCCGACCAAACCAACACATCCATCCAAGAGTTCATTAACTCAAGCAGGCATGTTTAGTACTTCAGGCCTTAACCAATCAAATGTGTCCAAAAGATCAAAATTGAAGTCCAACTGCGTCGGAATGTCCCAGTCCAGCGTATCCAGCGCTCCACCGCCGGCGATGGGAGCGTTGAGGTTGTGGTCCAGCACGCCTTGTAAAACAGCTTTGCAGTCTGCGCAGAGGTCTGCGTTAGGAGCTGGGGGTCGAACCCAGTCAAGAAAACCGATAAGAAGACTGAGCTTTTGTATTATCGCTGACCGGCTTAGTTTGGGACAGTCGGGGTGGGTTCCGCGAAATGTTGGGCGGAGTAGTTCAAGGCAGAGGATGCCTCCTCCTGGTGCAGCAAAAGCCATTAACTACTATGGTTAGCAGGACATAATATGACGCCATGAATTACTGTACTTACCAGCCATTCAAAGTCTCGCCTTACTCCAGCGAAGCGGTCTTGATGTGTCCAGAATAAAAGCGTCAAACACACCATCTCAAAGCTAATCACCAGTAACTTGTTCTCATCAACATGTCCTAAACGAAGCGATAACCTCTCGGCAAAGAACAAGTTTTGTAAATGCTCCAAGCGAACAAGTATCCTCACGTATACATTCTCCACGTTGCAATTCGGATCATCTAGTTCGTCTGCTTGATGGATGAGATTCCGGGGGAATCGCTCGTATGTTCGTTCGCAGCGTGTCTTCAATTCACTGCAAGTGTTAGTAAAACCCTGGAGAGAAACATTCACCTTTAAACTTACGCCAGTAGTTCAAAGGTCGCTTTCACACTACTCGCCAACGCCATCTCAAGAAGTTCACCTTTTATAAGAGCAATCTGTACACGAGCCCTTATTACCGCTGCACCAAGTAAATCTCCATCTGGTCGAAACCCGTTGTCGTCTAGCCTTTGCATCGCGCTCTTGATAGCAGCATCGCCACCCATGAGATCCTGATCATCTATGTCTATCGCCAGAGGGCCCGAGAAGTAGCGATGGCTGAGAAGTGGTGGTCGACCCGTGAAGGAGACGAGGACTTTGTCGAGAGCATAGACGCGGGCTGTTATGCGGCGTTTGTGTTCCGAGCACAGGGAAGGCACGTAGTTTGGGTCTTCAACGCCGACGTGAAGACCGAGGAAGGTTAGAAGGGCGACCGTCTCGGCAGCGTAGCTCCAGCATGTTAAACCTGGAGACATTAGCGATGAACGAAACTTGGTGTGTACAAACTCACCAGCGTCACCTGTTACCAGCGACTCAATGGTTGTTCTGCGATAACATAAATAAAGAAGTATATCGTTGGCAGTTGTGAAATGACGAACAAGCTCGACACAATTGCCTAAACACTTGTTCACGGCTGCAGCTTCCATACCGGGAGCGCCATTCCAATATGTCCAGATAAGTCCGATGGACTCCCAACGAATGTTACTCCCTGTGAACTGATCGGTCCAAGCCTTTGCGCTTGAATGTTCATCACGAATGGGTCTCGAGGTATTGTTGCTGATGCACAAAGCCATCTCTTCAAGCTGCACGTCTTCCCTTGCATCCAAGTACTCACCCCAGTCCTCCTGAAGAGTACGCAAGATATCTTCAATGACCATAAACATCCAATCATCAACGCGACAGTGAAGCTTATTGGGCATGACATCGTCGCGAAGACCGGGCAGGTGACGGAGGACAAAGAGGCACATCTCGCGAAGATGAGATGGCATCTCAATCAAGCAAGCCCTCGTCCTCGGCGGCCTCCTTGGACTTGGCTCAATTTCGAGCGCAGGTCCATGGATGAGCGAGAGACTGTTCCTTGTTTCTTCAAAGACTGCATTGTGACTGGTGAAGCCAAGATAGCCAGGTGCTATCGAAGGTGAGGGAGTTGACGTGGACTCTGCACTCTGACCTACACTCGCACCGGCAGTAGTTGTGTTTGAAGGAGAGATTGTGTGCGTAGAAGTGACTGTACTTGATGGGGCTATGACTCGGCTTGGCGACCGAAGCCGTTGCTTCTTGACTCTTGGCTCCGAGATGGTGTACACACACGACTCTTTTCGTTTTTCGCACCGAGAACATATGGGTTGACCATGATCGCACGCAACTTTCCGCGCTCGACAAGGATCGCAAGCCTGAGGACGACCGTTTAAGCGTCGCAGAAGAGGGGCATCTCCCATGATGCAATTCAGTGTTGCTTTCAAATCGTGATGATTATAAATCTCGGTCTCGGCTTGGAGATAGTATGTTTTGGTGAGGATTGGTGTATGTCGGCTTGAAGATTCACGGTCTCGGCTTGAAAAGTAAGACGCTCGGCTTGGAATTTAATGGGCTCGGCTTCAAGATTATGGAGCTCGGTTTGAGCTAAACACCACTGAAAGCGACTCTACCCCACATGGTTCAGCTCGGCTTACAGGGGTTTGACTTAATTGAGCACGCCGAAGCATGTTAGCACGTTGAAGTGCGGAATGTGTCACTCGGAGACGGAGACGTTTGGCTGCAGGGCTGACAAGATGGAAGTTTGTTAAGGGCGTACTCACCGTCGCTGTGACTCAAATTGCGGGCTGCGGCTGATGGATCGAACACAGGTCAAGCCGAGTCATCATGTAGAGTTGAGTATAAGTAGATCTGGATGCCCCCTCGACGTTTGGATCATCAATTCGATATACAATCACATTCAATTCAATCAAGGCATTGAAAATTCGATACTACCAAATCGACTACACTACTATTTCGATACTTCAACACTTCAATACAAACTTCAACATGTCTCAGCTCTCAGCTACATACAAGACTTCCAACATCTCCGAGACAACTCTCGTTGACACTTCCAAGCCTTCAACAAGTACAAAGCCTGGTATGCTTCAATCTTTTCATCTATTAAAATCACGATCTAAAATATCCAGGTCTTGAAACAACCCATAAACCATCCCTCAAGGAAAAGATCCAGAGGAAGCTTTCTGGCTCCGTCGATCCTACAAAGAAACCGGCTGACCCATACAAGTCATGGGAAGCTCGATCAGGTCAGTACAGCACAGAAGATAATCACTAGTCAATTGGTGAGACACATGCTAATATGTTGATAGTAGCGCTGCTATAAATTGTGGATGAACTTTTGAGAAGGATCTGGACCGATTGGAACACGCCAATAATTTGTTTGGGCGATTAGTATTGGTTTATTGTTGTACTTTGATGATGACGATGGAGATATACCCGTGTTAGAATAATAAATTTTGTCAATTGTAATAGTGCTTAGTCTCAATGCTGAATTAGTGACTGATGTTGCCCGATGTCAGCCTTTAGTACCGTCCGTTGACCACACGGATTGTCTGGAACTTGGTAGTGTGGTCAGAGTTAGGATCCCGACAAAGAGTCAGGATTTGCACTTGAGCGAATGTCATCCAAGAAGTGACAATCATACGATCAACGGAACGTTACTAATGGTAGGAATGCTAGCCCTGTGGCCAAAACAATGGACGCAAACATGAGATCGAGCGCCCGGCATTCCTGGGACTTACTCCGGCTGTATTCAGTGATTGGAACCAGGTAGTCCATTTACCATCATGCTTATATCTACTGCGCGCGCCTGCAGAGACTCCGGTAGTTGCGGGCGTAGTATTCCTTCTTACAATCCTTTAATTCCGGTAGTCGTAAGCTGTATATGATATCGTACTTCGAAAACATCAGCATCCTCAGCCCTGCGTTTGGCCGTAAAAATCTGACCACTCTGAATCGGTCGGTTAGTGCTTAGATCATAAGCCTTAACTCCGTTGATAGCTTGACAGTTACCACAGTTGGGATTGCTGCAGGCGTCGCCTGTCCTCCATAACCGTGGCTGAGGTTCCCTGACAGCCCAATTGATTGCCGTTGTTGGTCGATTGTAGGTACATGAGAGTTTCAGCCGAGAAGTAATGGTCACCCCGCCTGGCCTCGCTCAGAACGACCTTCCGGGATAGTGACCTACATGACATATCGTTTCTGGACCATGGCATCAGGAATATCCATAGGGAGTCGACAATGCTTGGACGAGCCAAGAATATCATCTGGAACAGGTCTTCCATTGCGAGATAACGCAATTGAGCTCGAGGAACCAGCGTGGTATCAGGCTTTAGCCCCCAGCACAGGAGCGTCGTATGAATCTTTGTAAGCCCATGCGCAGGAGATTGTCGAATGTTAAGTGATATGACAGACGACGAAAGATTGCGTTTGCGGTCTTGGAGTCGTGACTTCAGGCCAGTCAAGGGTGTGCCTGAGCTGATATAGAGTCGTGATTGTCTGTCATGTATGTAGCTTGAAGATGTTCAAATAAACCGCTGGTCGAATAGAGTATCTGGGAAAGTGGCATCCTTCATCCGCCTCTAGATCAATGAGAGTTGTTGTAGTCAGCGCTCAACATCATCGAAAGTAGAATAAAATATTCTGGGCTGTACCAGAACTAACTTACACAGCAACGAATTTTGACGTTCAAAACGCATATGAGTTCTGTACACGATATGAAGACATTTTTTATACAGACTTTACAGAAGCACAAGCACACGATAGATCAGATCATCGCAGCGGTCGGGGACGCCTGCAATTACCATCGATTCTATCCCGGAACAAAAGGTCTATAGCGATGCCCCGAAAAACTTTCGCTGCGATATATGCAATGTGGTAGCGTTGGTATAGAATCATGTTCTGGTGTGCAACCCCTTCTGTTCTTGGCTAGAAGGTAGTGGAGGCCTTGGGTTATATCTCTGCAGAGGACACTGCGGCAGAATACGGCCATTTGTCTGAGCTGAACAAATCGTTTCGTTGTCTACCCCCTGCGACCACTCCAGCCCTGGACCTCGAGGGTGACCATCTTCACGCAGATAACGACGTCGTGACTCCAGCTCAAGACATTGAGTGTAACCATCTTCGCTCACTGCGGAGAACGACAAGTCATGTACGAGACATGTCAAGGTCCTCATCTGACTAGCGAGTGTCAGGTCGACGGCGACAAAGTTCCTAACCAAGCAGGTGGCAAGCGTCCCACTATCAAAGCGGCCAGAGAGACAACGACGTCGTGCACGCTAGTTCTCGGCACATTAGTAGTGATCTGCGAAATTATTTCGTGTCTACCCCGAGATAGACGAGATAGACGCCTGTATCTGATGGCCTCCCTCCCGCTGCTAAACGGAACAGTATTTCACGTAGGACAGCACCTTGTACAATCATGAATGAACTGGAACGGTGAAGCCACCGCCAAGGACGGCCTCGAATTCGGTTGAGACTGCGTTATAGCCCAACTATACATGGTCCGTCAAGCAATGATATGCCCATCTCCACGGTCCATAACATCGGGCTTCCTCACAAGAGCCTTCTTCACCAGATCCTCCGCATTTTCAATATCAGCCCGACTGTAATATCCCCACTGCTTATTAGATCTTCTGCCATAAAGCCCATGCCAGTACCTGACCCTGTTACCAAAATGAGTGGCAGTAATCATATACACCTCCTTGACATAGTCCTCAACCGTTTCTTTAGTCCAACTAGCGTTGTGTCTGAAAGCAAGACTGAAACCTAGGAACTTGTCGCAATGCGTGGCGTCGGCGGGTATTTTAGGAAGCCCGGGAAGCATGAAGCAGTAGAATGCTGCTGCGTTGGTCGGAGAGATGGCGGCATGGTCTAGACGAGGGGTGGCAGGGGTGATGAGAATGCGCTTGTCAGCGCTTAGAGCAGATGGTTCGACTCGACCTTCGAATTTGTTTGATAGAGTGGTGAGGTAAGTGTTGTAGAGGTCGATGGTGTTTGGGTCGTTTGGGTCGAGAGGCGGGTAGACACTGAACCCGCAGTCGAATTCGAGGACACGCATATTGAAGATATCCTTTGAAGAAGAGATGGTGACGACGATGATGATGGTGAATGGCCTGCAGAGTAGATTTCGTGTCGAAGAGGTAGAATGAGTTGCTTGAGTATTGGACAGAGAACAAAGGAATTTTGAGCCAACTTATACTTGGACATCAAAGAAAGACTTTGTGATGGGGAAGTTTATTCTATGCCCAGAGATCATGTGAGCACCGTTTCGTTATTTAAATTTGCCAAATAGATGTATAGCAATAAATTATAACATTGAATCTTATGCTGTTGGCTTCGAGTTCCCCGCGTTAGTAGAAGATATCTTGACCAAAGATTATGGTCACTTGTAGCAGAACTCCAAACCTTGAATAGAATAAACATCATCGATAACACCTGACTTGTGTCATTTGTTTATTTAAGCTCAAAACAAAGATATTCGTTTTCCCTCAATTGGAATAGTCCAACTATACATGGTCCCTTGCACTGACACCAAACACCTTTGAACAGACTCATTTGTCTTTGATGTCCATGCATGAAAGCGTGGCCTCTCTGGCGTTAACTACACGGATCCACATGTTCGTTACCAGAGCATCGGAGTTGTGGGGTACACATGATAGATCAACTTGACACTTTAACTTACACGTTGTTACGCTCTAGAACGCAGTGACTGAGGCTTTCTACCCTTATTTTTCACTTTTATATATTCCTTTACAGCGATCGAAATGCCTTTTCTGTGAAGATCTCTGGATTTGAGTACCTTAAGCATTGGCCCCGTAGAACGTTGATCTCGTCTGGCAGAGTAATAGGGTGTCGTGGCTTTTATCATGTTGAAACATTGCAATATCGTATCACGTAGTCTCAATCGAAGTCAAGACCGTACTCAAAGATGGATTCACACTCGAAGGCGACAATCTTTTCAAGTTAAGCTAAAATGAAGTAGAGGTATATTGTGACAATTCTAACGAGTGCATCTGAGCTTGCAACATACCTATCTAGAGCGTATTCCATGTGGTGGTCTTGCTAATTTTGAACTCTGCCATTTGGCCTGCCACAGTGACTCCATACACTCCTGCTTCAAGTCTCCAAGTATTCTCTTGATCGTCCCAGTAACTACAGGCCACGTCGAGGTCCATCTCCACATCGACTTGCCGACGCTCTCCTGGTTCGAGCAAAACTTTACTGAAGCCTTTCAGTTCTTGTTCCGGTCTCCATACCTTGGTCGTTTCAGACGGCCTAATAAAAACTTGGACAACCTCCTGGCCAGCGACGGTACCTGTATTCTGGACATCCAAGATACACTTGAGTTTCTTTGGCTCGGAAGTCTCATCCACCAAAGCATGCAATTTGCTGTGGTTGAACGTTGTGTATGACAAACCATAACCAAAAGGCCATCTGACTCGATCCATAGAGCCTAGGGCACGGTAGCCAACCTGGACACCCTCAGCATACCGAAGACATGGGTCTCCGTCCTCTGTGTCTTTGGCAGGAAAGTTATTATAACTAGGCGAGTCTTGCAGGGTCTTAAACCATGTCGTGGCTAGACGTCCACTGGGGCAGATATCACCCAGGAGAAGCTCCACAGTTGCGGCGGCACCCTCCTGACCAGGAAAGTGAGCGAGTAGAACACCGTCTACACTGTCTATGAAAGCACTGACATCGATCGGGTTTCCACAGTGCATGACCAGTATGGTCTTTTTTGCAACTGCTGCCACTGCTTTGATCATTTTTGTCTGATTCTCCGGCATTCGGATGTCATCTAAGTCAAAGCCTTCTGACTCGTATTGCTCATTTCTTCCAGCGTAGATAACGGACACATCAGCAAATCGCGCAATCTCGACAGCCTCCGCGATGGCAGTATCTTCGGAATAATATTCTTCGAAGCATATGGCGGCGGCGTATGGAGTGGGCTCGCCAATTTGAAGCTTTTGAGGGCCATCCATGCTCAGGGCGATATCGTACACTACCCCAGCATCCATGGAAACTTGAACCTCAGACTCCAATAGGATGTGGTTGAAGATGAACTGTTCGGTCGTGACCTTTCTTTCTTCGCCTGAGAGTACTTCTCTGCCATTGACAGATAAACAGAATGCACCTGTACATCTTACGGCCAAGGTATGACTACCAGAGGTTTCTGGCTTCAGCCTGGTCACTATTTCTATACGCGAGCCAACAGGCTTCAACCCTTTCTTGTCAAAGTCGCCAAGCATCCAAACATTGGCTTCTTTCTGGAACTCTTCGAGTACTGGCTTGGCATCATGTGCGTTGAAGTATCGAACGGCGACACCGGGGTTTTCTTCAGATGATATAAGCTTCTCGTGTGGTACAATTGGAATTATTCTTCGAGTCCGCACACCCGGAGAATATTGCACCACACCGGGTAGCCTTTTCTTCAGAATATCCAGAGGAGAGTGTCGATATTGAGGGATAGATGATGCGCTGCCACCTCCGGTGATCACCGGGTCAGCAGCATACTGACCTATCACAGCTATGCGAGAACGATGCTCTTCTCTAATCGGTAAGGCATAGTTCTCATTCTTTAGAAGTACCATTCCTCTGGTTGCAACTTCTCGAGCCAGTTTATTTGTCTCCTCATTCACCTCGGACCGTTCATCTCTAAACTCGAGAGCAGCTCGGGCTCGATTGCGAAGTTCAAGAGCTCTCAAGACCAAGGTATCGATCTCATTCTCTGTCACCAGCCCTGATTCCAATGCCTTCAGAAGTTTATCTCCTCTGAAAACAGGGAAAGGCATTTCGATATCGAGCCCGGCCTTGACTGGCTCGGTCGTAGCATGAGTGCCGAACCAATCCGACATGGTTAAGCCTTTGAAGTCCCATTCGTCTCGCAAGATACGTTGTATCAAGGAAGAACTCTGGCTACAAAAGTGGCCGTCAACCTTGTTGTATCTGCTTATCGTCAGTCTGAGGCAAGTTTTGATAGATATCGATTTACCTACGCAGTCATAACCCCCTCGGGATTAGATGAACGCAGTAGATGCTGCCATGCCGCAAGATAGATCTCGCGAAGCCCGCGACTATCGACTGATTCTTTCACATTGTAGTATCGTCGCAAGGTCTCTGAGTCGTTGCACACGAAATGCTTGGGACAAGACGCAACACCTAAAGACTGGACACCGTTCACAAGCGCTGCAGCCAGTTGTCCAGAAAGCAGCGGGTCCTCGCTGAAGCACTCAAAGTTTCTGCCGGCTCGGGGGTCCCTATGTATGTTGATTGTTGGCCCCAAGACAACTTGGGCGCCTTTCATTCGTGCTTGTTTGGCAAGCTGAACGCCAACGCGATGCATTAGTTCAGCATCCCATGTTGATCCATAACAAGTTGTATTAGGGAATGACGCGGTTGTGAGATTCGCTTCAATGCCTGAAGGTCGAATTCCAGAGGTTGAGTCAGCAACCTAATAAATTTGTTAACAGTGATGATTTGATTTCCTTCGGGAAGAATGCGACTCACCCTGATTGGCGGGATGCTCAGTCTGGATACACCAGCAATCGTGGAGAAGTCTTGGCCAGATAAGAGTGTGATCTTCTCTCGAACGGTTAGCTCGGGGAGTAAAGAGCAAAAGTCCCCGTCGATTGATGGTAGAGAGCCCATGTTTGGTCAAAGAACGATGTTTTGTCTGTCAACAAGAATTGCAAACGATTGTACTATCACGACAGACTGAGGTCGCTTAAGTCTTTTATTCCGTTATAAGATCTAGTTCGACGTGCTCTCACTAGGCATAATATCGGAATGGGGTCGGAACATCCGAACTCGGGATGCAACAGAATCCGGGATCATGAGTCGGCACAACTTGGCCCGACGTTCCAACCTCGGATCATCCAGACTCGGATCACAGGCATTAGGTTAGGCGAAGAGTCGTAAATGTATCAGACACCATCCTCATTGGCGTGACTCGAGTTCTTTGGCTTTAGCTCGCTGCACAGGGACACTACCATAAAACCCCATGGGGAATGTGGAGTCGGAAAAGCCGAGAGAACATCTCCAGACCTAAAGACGACACCTGAGCTTCTATAAAACAAGACTGAGCTCACCAACATTCTAGCCCCAGAGGTTCAAGCCAATACATGGGCAGCATCCAATAAGCACACCCTTTACCAATCCCTGGAAGCCTTCGATATGGCCGACAAAAACGATATTCTTGATGGAAAATCTGGGGTAATTCATGATGAGCACGTCGTGATTCAAGAAGACTCGGAGACGACCTGGGAATGTCTCAAGGCTAACCCAAAGATTGTACTGTGGACTCTATGGGCAAATAGTATGTGAAAAACACCCTTGCTGTATGCCAGAGTACTTACCATCTTAACAGTTGGTCCTTTAATGGTGGGATACGAAAACCTAGCCATGTCGGTCTGCTTGGCTATGCCTGCCTTCCAGTAAGTAGTATACAGTAGTCTGATTCTCTATCATCTGTTCTCGTGCTCACTATTTCTTGATAGAATGAGATTTTCTGTCAATGTCAATGGCGAGCTCATTATTCCTGCTTACTGGCAATCCCTTTGGAGTTCCATGTACAATGTCACAACTATGCTTGGCTCTGTCGCGGCAGGTTATTGTTAAGACCGCTTTGGCCGGCGATCAGTCTTTCTCGCCTCCATCATCATCGCATCAGCCGGCATTGCGCTGACATTCCTTTCCAAGACTCCAGCCGAGTTCCTTGGTGGCAAGATGACCTCCGGTTTCGCGATGGGTTTGATCCTAGCTGGTACCCAGACTTGGGTCTCCGAGATTGCACCACTACCTATGCGGGGCATTGCCCTCTCAACATATGCAATCATGTTGGTGCGTAATTTCCTCCGGCCATCTATTCACCTAATAACCGATAACAGAACCTCGGGCTCCTACTTGCTATCTCGGCAACCTTCAGCCGAGTGTCCATCATGAATGATTCGGCTTTCCGTCTTGTGTTTGCTGCAGCCTGGACCTTCCCTGGCTTACTAGCCCTTGGACTTCCTTTTATGCCCGAGTCACCTTATTGGCTAACTTCCAAGGGAAAACATGATCAAGCACGACGATCTCTTGTGCGCCTTTCAGCAAGTGAGGAGGGCATAGATGCCAGATTAGTCCAGATACAGCATTCTATCGAAACCGAACGCCGGCTTGAGGCTGAAAAGACATCATATGTTGAGCTGTTGCGTGGCACCAATCTACGTCGTTCTCGCATACTGCTCATATGCATGTATATGCCTCAGATAGTTGGAACTGTTCTCTCCTCCAACGCGCCTTACTTCCTCAACCAAACTGGCATGGACAACCATACCACCGTTATGCTTTTGCAGATAGCTGTCAGCTGCGGTGTTGTCTCGGCTATCATGAACGTCTTCGCCATGCTGAAGTTCAACTACCGGACACTGATGTTCTTTGGGGTCAGTGTCTGCCTCGCTATGTACTTGGCCATGGGTATTGCGGGCACCATGTCACGTACACCAGCAACACTGACTGTGATTGGCGTTGCGGTTGCGTTTCCCAGTCTTTCGTATGGGCCTGCTGTTGGGGCGTCCATGAGCGTAGCTGGAGAAGTGTCCTCTATCAAGCTCCGTGCCAAGTCACTGGCTCTAGGTCAAGCCTTTTCGTCTATTGTGTCAACTATTTGGCAGATCATTTTGCCATATCTGTTTAATCGAGACCAGGCTGACATGGGTGGAAATATAGGCTGGATATTTTTCGGCATGGCAGCCATCTACTTTGTGGTGCTTTATTTTGATGTTCCAGATACAAAAGGTCGGACTTATGAAGAGCTGAATCTTATGTTTGAGAAGGGGGTTCCTGCGCGGCAATTTGGCTCCTATAGGCTAGATAACGCGAATGAGCTTGCGGTATAAACCTGCTTGCCCTAGTATCTATCTGGTTTGGGGGTTAAGTAAACAGACTCTCCTTTTTCTTCTTGCTATGTCAACATCTACACCTCTATCTTGGAATGTTTAAGGAAGGATGCAATGGTACATCATCCATGTCGCGGTATAAAAGCGTACGCTGCGCCATCAAGACAGGGCATAGCAGCTTCGTATGTGAAGCGTGAATGAGGACGAATGAGCCTGTTCAAAGATGTCTGGTGTTAGTGTCTGGACCTCGGCGATCAAGTGCATATTTAGTTTAGATCCGCTATCGGCCGATGACGTTGAATCAGATAAGATCATCTGTCCTTGAGCGATTTTCTCAAACCCACTGAAGAATTCGAAACCACCAATCATATCATTCAAATGTGACGATGCCGATTCAGGGTCCCCACGAGTTCCTGATCCAAGACCGAGGTATCATTTTTGAAGAGAATGTGAATATCGCGATAATGAACAAAGTAAAGTGAGGTGTCTTGGGCTATTACTGGACATTTAGGACAACCTATTACAAACTGCCATATCATATTCTCATGCATCCTGCAGTGTAATCATCTCGGTATTGGATACCATCTGGTGATATGCACTATTAGCCCACCTGAGCGGCCCACCCTCATCCGAAAGAGGCGAACAGAGAACAGACTATAAGTACTAAACAGGCAGCTCAATCCTTTTGTTCTTCTCGTCCATCAGCACAACAAAATCATTCAAAATGTCTTTATTCATTAATGGCAAGATCCTCTCCAGGAGCGTCGCCAGCTTGGCAGACGAGCCCACCTTTGCAGAGAGTATGTACATTAAAGACGGTATCATTCAAGCCATCGGTACAAAAGAGCATGTCGCAGCACAGATCAAGACAGAAAATACCATCGAGACGCAAGATCTGAACGGAAAGACAGTTCTCCCAGGCTTTGTAGATGGCCATATGCACCTCCTCCTGCTTGGCCAGTCACTTCGCAAGATCGCTCTGGAACACTGCAAGAATCTGGATGATATTCTGCACGAACTGCGCACCTACGCAAAAGCCAACCCGCATGTTCCCAGAATCATGGCCAAGGGTTGGATGCACTCCATGACCCCTGACGGCGTGAACTACAAGATTTTGGATGAGATTGACGAGAGACCAATTTATGTCGATACCAAGGACATGCACTCAACGTGGTGTAACTCTGCAGGTCTGGCAGAGATGAAGGTCGCCGACATGGCGGATCCTCAAGGTGGAATCATTGAAAGAGATGAGAACGGTCGTCCATCAGGAGTTCTCAGCGAAGCGTGCATCTTGACGATTGTCTGGCCTACCCTTGCCCAGCTTGCTTCCAATGAAGAGCGTATCGAGTGCATGCTCGCTGCGTTCAAAGCATACCACGCCTCTGGATACACAGGAATAATCGAAATGGCCATGGATGAATACTCATGGGAATCCCTTGTTGAGCTCAAGAGACGACATCCCGATGTCGCTATGCGTGTCACAGCATACTGGATCGTCAAGCCTTCTGAAAATCCAGAGGAGCGTGAACGACAAGTGTCCCGGGCAATCGAGTTAGCAAAGCAGTACAGCAAGGAAAACTCACCCGATCTTCGCATCGCAGGTATCAAGATCATCTGTGATGGTATCATTGATGCTTGCACTGCATACCTTTCCGAACCATACTCCGCGGCCCCATCTCCACCACCGTTCTGGTCGAGAGAGGACCTCGAGCCTGTTGTTAAACAAGCAGCCGATGCGGGAATACAAATCGCTCTTCACGCTATTGGCGATGCGGCCATCACAATGGCTGTAGATGTGCTCGAAAAGCACGGCAAGCCTGGTGCGCGACACAGAATTGAACATCTGGAAGTGTCCAAGCCTGAAGATGCGAAGCGACTAGGCGAACTAGGTCTCACAGCATCCATTCAGCCCGTTCACGCTGATCCAGCCATCTTGCGCGCCTGGCCACGCCTCATCTCTTCCCGTCGGGACCGCGCCTTTGCATACCGTGAATTCGCGGATTCAGGCGCTCTCCTCGCGTTGGGCAGTGACAGTCCCACTGCGCCGTGGAATCCACTGCACAACATCTATGTCGCAGCAACACGACGTTCCGCCAGAGAACCAGAGTGTGAAGAGGTGGTCAACGAGCACTTTAAGCTCGGTGTTTGCGAAGCGGTGGTTGCAGGTTCGCAGGGTGCAGCGAAGAGTGTCTTCCAGGATGACAGAGTTGGCAGTCTGGAGGTGGGCAAGATTGCTGATCTTGTCGTGGCGGATATGGAATGGGATGCAAAGACTCTGCTCAAGGCTGAGATTAATGAGACTTGGTTTGCTGGCAGGAAGGTTTGGAGTTTGGGAGATGACAAGTCGAAGCTGTAGGTGTTGATGCGGTTGTTGGTGTTTGGGAGTCTAAAATGTGAGAGAGTAAATACAATGTACACTTTTGATACTTGAATATTCCGTCATGACGTATTTCAAGCCACTATCTAACCATTGGCCCTTCAATCATGCGATTTATTTTCTATCTCTATCCCAATATCATGGCCAAGATGATTAGTATGTGTCTCAATCTGTGATGCCATCCTATCTCGCTTTCAAATTCTAGCCTCCGTAGTACCCTATTGAGTTACTACCATAAGTAGTGAGTGCTATAGGCTACCTAGTGGTGTAATCAACTTTCCCGCGGAAAAGTCCAACCATCCAATTCGGTAAACTTTGTCCGTCTCGCTTGATAGATAACACACACCCTACAGAGTGACCATCAGCCCATTCTATCCCCGCATGCTGTAGCTATCTCGTCTAGCGGTATCTAGTATCTATCACTTCTCCACTGTGACTTTATCAATTCAGTATCGTCGTATCCACTACCCTAGCGCTTCCCCGGATCCAAAGACGAGGGTCAACCATGAATCGCGACAGCTTGTTTATCGCCCCCTCCTCATGGACGAGCTCCAAGTTCAAAAAGGGCCCCTTGCCGCCCTTTTTTTAGTTTCTTGCAATGTCCAGGCAGGTCTTCTAATCATTTCCCCTGGTTGAACACCTCTACATCTCCTCATCATGGCAACCTTTACAGCTCAAGATGCATTGGACGTCAAGAAGATCCAACCCTTTGACAATCATGATGCTGAAGCCGATCTTAAGCAAGGCACCATCGAAGACCTTGATGAAGCTGAGCTGTTTCTCCAACAACATGGAATTCCTCACTCTCGGTTGAACGAGCTCATGGCCGATGAGGAAGCTCTTAAGAAACTCCGCCGAAAAGTCGACTGGAGTCTTATGCCGCTTCTCTGCGGTACATATCTCCTCCAATATGTCGACAAGCAGGCTCTAGGCTACTCGGCAGTCTTTGATCTGTTCACAACCACAGGAATGACACCTGACGAATACTCCTGGATGGCATCAATCTTCTACTTTGCCTACCTGGTCGCCGAGTGGCCAGCCTCGTATCTCACCCAGCGTCTCCCCACGGGCACAATCGTGAGCAGCTTTGTTATCATCTGGGGTTCCATCCTCTGCCTCACAGCAGCATGCCACAACTTCACAGGCCTCGCCATCTGCCGTTTCCTCCTAGGTGCCTTTGAGGCCGTCATCACACCGGCATTTATGCTCATCGTGTCGCAATGGTTCCGCCGCGAGACGCAGCCCGCCCGCGCAGGTCTCTTTTACTGCTTCAACGGATTCGGCGCCATGTTCGGTGGCATTTTGTTCTACGGCGTCGGCCAGGCAAAGGGCTGGGCCGTGTGGCGTACCATCTACGTGCTCTGTGGTGGAATGACCATCTGCTGGGGCGTCGTGCTGTTCTTCTTCCTGCCCAACAACATTCTTACTGCTAAGCGGTACACTATTGAGGAGCGGGCCATGCTTATTGCGCAGAGCGCGAGGAACAAGACTGGTGTGTTTAACCGCAAGATCAAGTGGAACCAGATCCGAGAGGTTTTCTCCGACACTCAAATCTGGCTGCTGTTCTTCTACGTACTACTTAACGAGATTATCAACGGTGGCATTGCCAATTTCTCAAAGCTCATCGTCAAGGGCTTCACACATGATGCGCTGCTTACTACAGCATACGGTATTCCTTATGGTGCCTGTAACGCCATCTTCATGTTCACTGGTCCTTACGTGGCGTCCAAGTTCAAGAATGTACGAACAATTGTGATGTGTGTTTGGCTTATCCCTACACTCATTGCCGTAAACCTCTTCTGGCAGCTTCCTCGAAGCAACAAGGGTGGTTTACTCGCTGGATACTACATGGTATGTCTCCCAAACCAATCTTTCCCTCTACATATCACTAACATACTCAGTGCGCATCTTTTGTCGGTGCCCTCATCGTTGCTCTTCAAATGCCCGCTTCCAACGTCGGTGGCTACACAAAGCGAACCACAGCCACAGCTTTCGTCTTCTTGGCCTACTGTATCGGCAACATCATCGGTCCTCATGGCTGGATTGGCTCCGAGGCACCTATTTACCAGACCGGCTGCAAGCTCATCATTGGCTGTGTCGCGGGTCAAGTTGTTCTCGCCATTATCCTGCGTTTTGTGCTCATCCGTCGAAACCGTCTTCGTGATGAGCAGGGACCTGTTATTGAGGATGAGAATGCCGCGTTGCAGGATCTCACTGATTTCGAGAACCCCAACTTCCGTTACTCTTACTAGAAGTATATTATGATGATGTCATTTAGCTAGCAATTAAATTCGTTTATGAGTAAATATCTCTTGCTGTGCCTCTCCTCGTGAACCCCATGTTCAACCCCAGATTCCGTCGGTCAACGTTGGGTAACTGGATTCATAATCCGGGGAATCCCACTGTTGTGTTGTATTTTTACGTAAATAGTCTCTATAAAATTAGCAGGCATACCTCGCTAGTCTAGTTGATCCTGGGTTTAGTAGACAGGTCTCCTTGGCGCATCGGGATAAAAGCCGACAACTGGATCCGACAATGACATCTCCGGACAACTTGATCATCTTAAGTGTATTCTTTTGCAAGCTATGCCTCGCTGTTACATTTCTAGTCCTCCCACTTACTGGAGACTCTCCACCAAAACTCGCACTGCTCATCCCCCCATGTAAAATCCACCAATTCAGCCGCCTTTCCAACCCCAACCCCCCCAGCCCTTTCATCATTTCCTCTCCCAAGAATCATCGTCTTGCCTTTTCCATTCTCAAAAGATGTCCAATCTGGTCTATGCGCAAATCTTCCCTTGATAGCATTTGGGTCACCCTTTGTGATAAAACTAGTACAATACGCATGGAACTGTCCCGATACATCCCTCTGAACAGGGGATATCTCGCGTACTTCTTTGTTAAAGGTTTGATAACGCATTTGGTCACCGTGATTAGCGCCGAACAAAGCAGTCTTGTTCAGAGCCCAGTGGTACAGATATGCTGGCTGTGCGGACTCATGGTATGTTGCCCATATAACTGTTTGGCGAACAGGGCATGTATACGCGTAGTGTCCATAGGCAGTTTCGAGTCGTTTGTACTGTGATCCTACACCAGGAATACCGCGTGTATCAAGATGTGGCGAATCAGGGTGTGCCAAAGGATCAGGATACAGCTTCTCTAGCTCTGCAACTTCAGAACTCGTGAGATGCGGCAAAAGACTCTTGAAGAATCCCGTAAATTCTTCCGGTTTATCAGCCTTGAGAGGGACATAATAAGCACCCTCGTTCGCGGCCGAGCCAGTCAAGATAGGCACTCTGTGAAACTTTCCAGACTTCCAAGCCTCGATCGGTCGACGCGAAATGATATCGTTGTCAATGACAGGTTGCCAAGCCCAACGAATGGAAGGATCTGAGCGTGTAAATACTTCTTTACCTGCGTTGTCTACCGTTTCAGAGGGAAGACCGCGCAGACAAGTCAAGATCTTGGGGTCTTTGAGGTTCTTAAAGTGCGAGCACGGCGTCAGATCCAAAAGCTCGCGGAAGTGCTGTGAGTTGAGAGATGCATCCGGGGGATGAACTGCACGCGCTGTGTGAGCACCCGAGTCCATTATCGCTTTGTGGAAGAGCTTTTTTGGTTGGTTTATATCCATGATGAGGTGTCCAATCTGTCAAATTTTAGCCACTTAGTCTTTCTCCCTGGAAAAAAAAAAAAAACCACTTACACCATGAGCAGCAGCACTCAAGCCCATGATTGTAACATCATCGGAATCACCCCCAAACGCCCCAATATTCTCCTGAACCCACTCAAGCGCAACATACATATCCTTCAATCCAAGATTCAAAAGGCCTTCTTTGGCGGTCAACTCAGTGTTCATGCCGCCGAATACACCAATGCGGTATTGCATGCTAACAGCAATGTATGGCTCCTCTGAGAAAGCAAGCATAGTATGCGAATTATGCATTCGTGCTGCACCGCGATTGAACGCACCGCCCGGGACCAGAACGGCGACTGGTAACTTCCCCTTTTCTGTAGTATGGCCTTTCTTGCGCCAGACATTGATGGTGAGACAATCCTCTGATTCATAGTCGGGACCAAGAATGGGATCTTTGAGGAAAGGGACGAGTTGCTTTCCGGGACACCTTTAATTGTTAGCATCGATACAATACGTATTATTGTAAGGAACATACCTAGGTCCCAAGTAATAAGCTTCAATGGTTTCATTATTTGCACCCACTGGTTCAGCATGCTTGAACCTCCGTTCACCTACAGGAGGAACAGCATAAGGAATTCCCATGAATCCTTCTAAGGGCTGAGGAAACGTGCCATCGTCAACGAATTTGCCAATGATAGTGCCCTGCTTGATTGTCACAGAAGGCGCAGGTTCTGGTCCTGATGTGCCAAACCCATTAGGATACGCTGTGAAGGCAGCTACGAGAAGAATAGGTAACGCAGCCAACCAAGTTAGCGAAACGCCCTTCTGGCCTTGTACTTTTTCAGCCATGTCGATATGCCAATACTATGCTATCAAACATACCAAGAATCCCCAGCCATGGATACTATTTATTATGATAAGCAAGACTCGAATCTGCACACAATACATGACTTTTCCGTTAATTGCCCGTGTCTAGTTGAGTATCCTAGTTCCCCGAAACACCGGATTCCCTATCACTTCCCCTGTAGGATAGTCCACAGCACATCAACGTCAAGTGGGAACCAGCAGGGGTAGAAAGCAGCACTACGGTAGTTGATTTAGGGCCCGGGGTGGCTAATCGGGGGCTAAGCTTGACCACCGAGACTCATGATAACCTTATCAAATGAGGGGAAAGCGTAGTTGTCCGCGGGAAACTCTTGGTTAATGGTGTATGTATCAGAGTGGATATCTTGGCGCATGTCTAAAATCCGGGGTAAGCTGTTCGGATGCATGTAGGAGCTATGACAACAGTTCACGAGTGGTGAATACAGCTCAAGTGACGGGAACACGGCAGACTAACAAACGCTATGTTATTGAATATCAACAAAACTAAACTAGCATATGCAATGTCATGTACGCCCTACCCACGTATGCTGAACTGATCCGATCTATCAAGAACGCCATTACAATGCTTAGAGGAAACTAGATGATGATTCCACGCTGCGACCAACCCCCTCTACCCTTCCAAGCCCAGAGCAACAATCCTACAGCAATCCAAACGGTAATAGTCTCGGCCCAATATGTCGGAGCATAGCACTGCTCTCCGTAGCAGAACAAGTCATCCCGGTCGTGACCCTCCGGGCCTGCCTTTGGGTTGTTTGCGCCGTTCTGATACGTCGCTGAGTAAATGAGTCCCCAGAATGTCGATCCGGCAGCCGGCAGCATGCCAATGAGACCATAATTGGTAGCAAAATTCTCAACGCCCCAGATAATCGTCACAATAAGAGGTGTAAGGCTGAAGATGGCTCCATAACCTGCACCCACAAGGCCAGAAACAAGCCAGAAGCGCTCAGCATGGTTCTGGACCAGACCTGAGGCTAGAATGAGAAGACCGACAGACAGCATGGTTGCGAAAAATGCCATAAAGGCAATTCGGGAGATGGAGAACCGACTGCTCACTGCAGAGCGTGTCTGAGGTCCTTGAACATGCTGTGTCTGGGGGTACGGTGCCAACAAATCTGTAAGTGTACCAATGAAAATTCGCGAGGCGGTGTTGGTGATTCCGAATATGGAGACATGCGTCGCCGCAGAGGTACGATGGCTTAGACCCTCCATTTCAGGGGGCGTAAGCGTTCCGATAATTGTTCCAAGGTTGTTGATGAATGCCTCGCCTGGGCCAACAATGAGCAAGAAAGCGAGAGCGAACGGCCACATGGTACGGTCGGAAAGAAACGAACGCGTTTCAGCGTTGAGAACCCAGTTCTTCTTCCATTTGGCATTGTCTTTTGCCGGGTCAAGTAGTGCTGAGCTCTCTGTTTCTTCGCCAGTTGCACCGTAGCTCCGCTCGGACCGGCCGAGTAAAGAGCTGCCGTCGAGTAGACCGCTCTGTTCCAGCTCTTCGATAGCCTCGTCGATAAGCTCATCTTCATCTACGACACGCAGTGTAAAGGTACCGAGGATACCCATAGAAAAGGTGAGGATCCCCAGGAAGAGGAAGAAGCGGAACACATCCAAGTCGCCTTTGCCCCCATCCGATCGTGTCTCAGAGAACAGACGAGTTCCCGCTTGACTCAGCCACATGGGACTCAAGCCGAAACAAGTAATGGGTGTAGCCAGCGCCAAACCTCTGTATCGGCCCTTTCCAAAGTTCTTTGCGCAAGACGACACAGCAGCCATATAAAGACAGCAAGTCGCCACACCGACAAAGACAAAGGATATCATCAAGAACGGAAGCGACCAGTCGTTATCGACCCGATATTCAGGATGACTACGACACTCAAGATCCAGCTTCCTGTAAACACCCGCTGCAAGTCCATAACCGCTACCGAACAGGATTCCTCCCGTCAGTGCAAGCGGTTTTAGACCAACGCGATCGCATATATATCCGACGCCCGAAATAGGAAGGTACAATGCGACAGAGCCCGAGATGGCGACTGCGTTGACCTGGAACTGTGAATAATGTAGACGGGACTGTAGAAGAGGCGCGTAGAGGGAGAAGACGACGATGGAACCACAAGCGAGGGCGATGATGTTGGCTGATATGAAGGCGAGAAGACGGATAGCTTGCTTTTCTTTATTGCGCTGGATGCGGGTCTCGGTAGAATCGGTGTCGTTATCTGAGGCGTAGTTTGAACTGCGCGTCGAGATTTGATCGGCATCGAGGCGCGAGGCCTGTGTGTCGTCGGGGGCTGAAGACGACATGACAGGAAGGGTCATAAGAGTTGAAGAGTTTTAGGAAGAGATCATGTCGGAGGTGAAGAATAAATAAATCTATCTGACAAGGTATACGAATAGTTTAGTGTGAATCACGACACGGCCGAGGCTCCATCGCGATCCCACGTCATGGGGTCATGCTTCAATTCTACCCCACAATTTCTCTCCGAGACCGGTTACAGTCATATTCTCGTTATCAATCTTATCAATCGCTCTTATTCGTCATAGTAATCCTCAGTCTTCTGCATCAGTAGAGTCGGGAGACCATTGATCAATGGAAGCATCAATCCGAGGTGAATCTGGCCGTCCTCTACTTCTCTCATTCCGCGTTCTCAGCCCACATCCCGTTTCGTTGTGCTGCAGCTCTAGCATTTCCGACATGCTGGCCAAGGAGTATAACAGTTGCGAAGGCGTCGCTTGGGCGAATTCCCAGCTGTCATCAATTATAATGCCATCTGATGGTGTTTTTGATGGCTTGTAAATAGTCAAACCACCCAGAGTGGGTAGAATCGCAAAGTTATCATCCTGGAACACCTGGTTCGCTCCTAAGTGAAGTATACACGAGACACGCACTGGTGCCCACTGTGGTGACGGTGCTTGATGACTTCCCACAGGGTGAAGTGTCTGCAGGTAAATCTCCGATTTGTGGTCATCAAAGGTTTTGGTTGCTGCCAACAAGAGGTCATTGTTCCAGAAATGCACGTTCTCCAACTTCATCAGGTTCCGGTCCACGAGAGGATTCCTAGTGTCCGCATCCCATAAAACATCAAAGCGTGTCGACAAGTACTCGTGCTGTTGAAAAGTTTGCGTCAGAACATTAAATGTGACGGCACCCCAGTCTCCCTTTCTTGTCCGTGGCTCACAGCAGGGGCATAGTTCGAGTCTGCTTGTCTCTGATTTTTGGATGCGATACAGCCCAATACAAAAGGTACCGTGATCGTCAGACTTTCGGCAGATGAGCGACACCACGGCCCAAGAATAGTCTTTACAGTCTGGCTTGGGATTCTGCAGTGGGTTTGCTATGGATTCAGTCGTATGCCAAGTGGCCTTACCGTCTTCGAACTTGGTCACAATAAAGCTGCATAGACGTTCATCTGCGAAAATCAGTCCCCGAATTACCACCGCAGTGTGAACAACCTCACCTCCACAGCCATGATAGAACGCTCTAACGACAAATACCACATTTTCCTTTGTAGGATGCAGTAGAACCTTGGGCTCCCCACCGATCATGGTCCCGGCGCCAATGGGGTACTCAAGCTTTCTCGGATCAAGTTCCTTTAGAATGCCACCCCATGCAAAATACATGATCTGTGCAGTTGAGGTCACAAAGTACACAACCTTTGACTCCACATACGCTTGTTTAAGGGCGGCTGGTAGGGTAAGTTGCTTCCATTCGCGTGTCTGTAAATGGACGATATATCTGGAGTATGTTAGCATTCGCAAATACTGGGCGAGGTCTACTTACATGGTCCGTCCCCTTGAGTTCACCTGAAGCAGAACAAGAAGATTTTCACTGATAGCCGCGGATTGAAACTCTGTACCTGACATGACACTTCCGGGTGGGAGGAATCGCAGTCTTTGCCGCGTTCGTAGATCGTCGACAATGAAAGTACGTGAGGTAGATTGCCATACCAACTTGTCTTTGTTGTAGTGGAAGTGCCATGGGACGTTGGTACTTTTCCTCGCAGGCTGAGCGAACTCGGGAGGATCAATGAAGACGTCGCTTGCACCCATGTTCCATGGAACCCAGGTGTAACTGCAGTGAGGTTGTCGCCATTTGACATGTTTCTGCACCTCACGCGCATAGAGGGCTTGGGGCGACATATCCGGATAGGTTAATTGAAGGCCTGGGAAGAATTGGCGCAGCGCTTGTGTGAGGACGGTTCCTTGTGTCCACCTCTCTCTCCATTTTCGACACACTCTTATGCAACATTGATAATCGTCGAAATCGAGGTAGAAGAGAACCGTACAAATAAGCTCTGGTGGAAGATCTTGGAAACCCGCGAACGTGATTATGGTTGCCTGAATCTTTTTGCGAAGATATAGGATATCCCACGGTGATAGAGAAGTGAAAAGACGATCAAGTTCTTTTTCTCTTGAGTTATGAACGTTCATGATTGCCAGATGGCCTGACAGTTACTGATTTATGTTTAGGCTGTGTCGTAGTGAAACGGTAAAAGGTGATGGCCTCATCTTCTTGTCAGCAATTGATTGGGTGGATCATGTGACCAGGCATCAATCACTGGAAGGAGCATAACAAGGATTCGCAGCCACTTCCTGATATCCCGTCAAAGTATAGCCTTCTTAATTTGCTCCGTTCTACCGTTTATGTGAACAGAAAAGAACGCTTGTATACGGTCGCTTACCCTACATCCAACCGTCGAATTACGATGGATGCACATAAGTCCAGGGCGCGATCTTATTAAATTGACTTTCTCACCACGAAGGAAGCATCTATCAAAGGCTGTTTCATAAAGAAGTAGTTCACCAACTCAACTTTGTGCTTCTATGCTTTCCGCGCCCTGTGACCACCAAGTCTTGATCCCCTCTACATCACACCAACCCATCTCGACCGGATTATCAAACCACCACCGTCCATACTGACGATCACTTTCGTACTTCTTCAAACTACCCCCATCGAACCTATGGTTCTTGACACCCACAAGCAGTACCGCGCTTCCCACACGAGGGTTGAACTTCTCCGGGTCAAGAAACACCGTGAGATGTACATGCTTGGACGTAGACGGGTCGGCAAGCCGTGCTGTTCGCTGTTTGTAAGGTGGCAAGTTGGCTGGACCGACATCTGATATGGAGGCGATAATGGCGAGCACGTTGCAGGACCAGTTCTGTTTGTAGGGGAGATGGGGAATCGAGCGCAGGGTGGTCAATTTGAGGGGAGTTTGGGGATCGTGCCAGTCACGAGGGAGCGCGACAGGTTCACCGGGTTGAGCAGATGTGGATGTTTGTTGCGCTTGAGCTGTAGATTTCTGTGGTGTTTTGGGTTTTGGAACGAACGCAAGTGTCTCGAATGCTTCGAATGCTTCTTCAGCGGCTGCTTCGTCGTCATCAAACTCATCCTCGACAAACGGTTTGGGAGGCCATCTTGCGGTATCGCGCGGAGGTTCTTTGGGGGACTCTGTTGAATGTTCTTCAGAAGACTCGTCCAAAAGATCCTCTGGAATCTCTTCTTTAACTTCGTCTTGCGGCTCAGGTGGATGCTCAACAGGTTTTGATTTTACGCGTGACCGAGGAATTCGCTTTGGTCGTTCCCGAACCAGAAGCTCATTTTCTTTCTGCAGTGCACGATACGACTCGTTCCATCCAATAGTGATCATATTGTCCACGACCAATGTCACCATTTTCCCCTTCCCAACGTCTTGCCACTGGATATGGAACGTTTCACACCTCACATACGCCCCCAGCGCAACATCGCCCATCTGAACGAAGCGATGCATGTCGCTTCCCAAAAGTGCCTGGATACATAATTCTCCATCACCTAGAATCAATCGGATAGCATGCCATCGTCCTGAACGCGACACAGAAACCCGATCAATGCCCTCGATAAGAAAGATGCTCCCGGGTACGCAGTACCGTGTACGTAGAATGTCCGATACTACAGGCGTGAGCACAAAAGGTTCGCCCAAATATGTGATGGCGGCTGAGTCCAGCCCCAGCGATTTGTCAGGCATGTGCGATGATCCATTGGATGTTGTTGATGAAATCATTGGATGGATCTCAAGAAACGATGAAGTCAGTATGCATTTATCCATAATTGATCCAAAGCGGGGTTCTTGTGTCACTACAATCGCCATTTCCTTCAACACCAGCCCAACATGGACAGTGCTTACAAGCGAGAGCTCTCTGTAGCCATCGGAGCTTTGCAAAAGGCGGCTCAGGTGAGCCAGTCAATTGTCGCCAACAAGGATAAGGGCGCCATCGAGAAGGATGACTTGAGCCCTGTGACAGTCGCCGACTTTGCAGTCCAGGCTCTTCTTACAGCAACTATCAAGAATGCGTTTCCTGAGGATAGAGTGGTTGGAGAGGAGGATGCGTCGGACTTGAGACAGAACTCTGTGCTTATGGAGCGCGTGTGGGACCTGCTAATGCGTATTGCTGGAGATGAGGATACGCCTTCTTTGTGCCAGCTACCTCCAACACGAGAGCAGATGTGCGATCTTATCGATGAGTGCGGAGCTAGCAGCCCTGCTTCGACTGGACGCACCTGGGTGTTTGATCCCATCGACGGAACCAAGACATATCTCAAGGGTCAGCTTTATGCTATCAACATGGCTCTCCTGGTGGATGGAGAACAGGTCGTTGGGATTGTTGGCGCGCCGAATCTTTCAATTGATGCGAAAGCGCCTCTCAAAAATGAGGATGTTGACCTCAAGGGCGAAGGATGCATTTTCTTCGCTGTCAAGGACCATGGTTCATACATTCGACCCCTTGGCTCCGATCAACCCAGGCGACTATCCCCTCATGCCGCCAACCAACAAGTCAGCTTTGTCACAAGCTCAACAGTTGATTCAGCACTTGACGGCGTCCACGAAGTCGTCGCATCACGTCTCAACGCTGAGTATCCAGGCAATGACCTCCTTCCATGGGTTCTCCGCTGGGCGGTCTTGGCTATGGGCCTCGGTAACACGACAGTCTGGGTATACAAACGCCGTGACCGCTACGCTAAAGCATGGGACCATGCAGGAGCTATGCTTCTGTTTGAAGAAGCTGGTGGAAAGATCACAGATGTGCATGGGAAGAGGATTGACTTGACAGCTGGGAGGAAGATTAGCGCAAACTTTGGCTTCGTGGCAGCGCCGCCAGACATTCATGAACGGGTATTGCAAACTGTGCATGACGTCCTGAAGGAGCAGGGCAAAGAGGAATTTTTGAGCTAGTGAGTGGTCATTTGGCCGAAACAAAAGGAGGATCGATGCTGTTGCCTTCGCTAGAGAAAAAGAGCAATGTTTTCTTGGCCAACTAGTTTCTTTAACAAAGACTGCGACGATTCTGCAGACCGTTTGTCACAACAATTTACAGATTATTGCCAATATTGAGATTTCGGTCCATTTGTAAGAAAACGGACATGAATACGTTTGGTTGTTTCTATCAAACACTGAAGGAAACCGGTAGAAATCCGTAAACGGCGCCGATGATTGTTTCAACACAACTTCAAACCTTCAAATGTATAAGAACAATACAATCTTGTCTCTTGATTCAGCAAAAGCATAGCTTCAATAAACAATCCTAGTGGCTTGTACGGTGCTTGCCGGTCGGTTATAAATTCAGCAACTGGGAATACCAATCTTAACTCGATGTTTCTCCATCCATGCAACAACTTGGAAGCAAATTCTATCTTGTTGGAAACTTTCCGAGTTCTAAAAACACGGGTGAAAAACTGTCACCTTCTATCAAATCATTCGTTCTGCACAGCACCGTCGTCGAAATGCATTACAACTCAAGTAATGCCGAACAGGTCCGTTTCGATCGCATTCTGGCTCGCGAAAAGCGTATGTCCTATTTTGCCTTTCCATAATTACCCTGACGCTAACTCTTTCGAAGTCATGCCTGCTCAAGTCGATATGGCTACCGTTCGGAACGCCCTTGAGGCACTTGGCCCCGTGATCCAAAAGGGGTCTCGGGGGCACGGAAAGGAGGACAAAAAGGTGCGATGCCAAGGTTGAGGATAAGAAGTGATCTGCTCTGATCTCAAGAGCCTTATTTTTGCACTTCGATTATTGGCAGTCGTTGGCTTTATTGGCTTGCACGGACTATGGTGTGGTGGTAGTCCAAAACCTCAAGTGCGAAATGGTTTCGTTCTACTCGACAAGGTCAAGGCTCGGGGAGGTAGGAGAAAGCAGAACGAAAGTCTACTTTGAGCGTCAATAAATCATCGTTTAGACAATAAATCGTGTAATTTTGTTCGTGAGAACTGAGTGTCCAATAATAATACATCTTTGTTCTCCTCGTACCTATTCCAAGAATCCTTCAAGTACGGAACAATCTTCAACTTACTCTTTTGTTATTGCTGATAAGAACAAAAAAAAAACAATCCCATTTTCCAAGAATGCATAGAAAGCTGTCTCTGTTTTGTAGAAACAGCTCCGTTGATGTTACATATTTGTTGACTACCTCTCGTCAGAGCATGGACTGTGATCCCGTACAAACTATGCAACGGCGAAATATACATCCTCAGTATTAACATTGCCAGCTTGGTATTTGTTATATTTTTATGCTGCCATGTATTTAAATTGCCTATAAAGCTAACCTAAGGAACGTTCTGGAACTCTAGCCGGGTTATGGAAGCCCGTGTCTGAACAACCGATAATCACTGTCACACACCTGGTCTATCGTTCATTCACTTGCGCTACGTTATAATAAATACTCTGTGAGCAAGATCAACAGACCCGCAAAGTCCATACGCCCATCTCAATGTGAATAAAGCGATACATATGCTTAATAGTGGAGCTATCTACTAAGGCCGTTTGTTTTCTTCCCCGTTCACCCTCCAGGCTTCTCCTTTTAAGATATTCCTGCAACAACCAGCCACTATATATGCTTCTGCTGCCATAATTAAACATCTGTTTACTTCTACCAGCCTGCCTCTCAACTTCATCCCACATTACCAGATGATGGCAGAAAAGACGCCCACCGATTCCCGTCTCGAAGGCCTCCCACCTGAACTTCTTTCGGAGGTAGGTAGGTGCATGCCACTTGAGGACCTCAAGAACATGGCTGTGACCTCAAAGAAAATGCGGCGTTACTTTTCCGAGTGGCTATTTCATAGCGTCGCTATCAAGGGCGATCGATGTGAAGTGGTCAAGAAAATGGAAACCCTGCTACCGCTTATCAACACCGAGATGGGACAGATGATGGTTTCAAACGTTAAGTGAGTAATTAAAGAGGCCTTTACAGCGATATAAAGTAGCTAACGGGGATATATAAAGGCATATAGAGCTTCGTATATTCGAAGATTATCTCATATGGAGACAGCAAGTTACGGAATTTCCAGTACTCTTGGCAACAATGTTACGAGAACTGAAGAACGTCTTTTCCATAAATCTGCAGATCTCAGACTCACTCTCCGAGAATGAGAATGAGAAATTGGACGATCTCTTTTCCCGGCTCCCTATCTACACTCGACTTTACAGCCTCGAATTCAGCACAAAGAAGAATATGAACCGGCTCATCAGCAAATTTGCGAGAAACAGCATGAAATCCTTGAAATTAAACGATTACCATAATGACGAACTACTAGAAATCGCACAGGTCGCATGCCCAGACCTTCGCCGACTTATTCTTAGTCGGAGACACGTGAATCCGCCCAAACACCCGCCTGTAGCCAAAGAGCGGGAAGCAGTAGGAAAACAGGTCGCTAAAGCATTCCCTGAGCTGGAGTGGTTTGTAATAGATCACTACGGGGTAGTTACTCCGGATAAGTGTGTCGATATCAAAGTCAGTCAGTCCTGCTATTATTGATGTTGAAACTGAAATCGTACTTTGCATCCTCAAACGAAACACGCTAACATGAAGATATAGGAGCATCTGAGACCCTTGGCCTACGCTATTAACGGCATGACGAAACTTCGGGGACTATCTATCAGACTATCAAGCCACCTGATGGGTACGATACTCCCCGAGATCTCGGTCAAGCACCTTCCCAGAGAATTCGCCGTCGTAATAGACGATTTTGGCTAGATTGCGCCAAGACTAAAACAGATTTGCTTCCCCGTGGATGAGTCTCTCGCAAGGAGGTCTCGAGAACTGTCGCTGGCACCTAGCCCCAATCCTGTATCGCGGCGTTCGAAACACTGAGTCCGAGAAGATGGTTTTCGAGTGTATTCCGGTTCTAAGCCGACACAATTTCCCTCATGGACTGATGCACTGAATGTGCGTTCTTGCTTGACAATGCCTAGATACCGAATCTCCTCATTGAGTTGATAAAATTGACTACATACTGCCAAGTATGCTTTAACCTACATATTCTTTTCGTGCCTCTTGAGTCCAAACACTTGTCAGACTTTTCCTCCTATATTAACGTTGTTGGCTTTAGACCGCCTCCGCTAAGAGGAGCTGCTTCATGAACAAGCGTACGAGTCCTGTGGACACCTCACGCTGAGCATGGCAACGGGAAAGTTTAGAGGCTGCCACAAACATGACCTTTATTCTTCTCTTGTCTTTGTCTCCCATGGGATCCGAGTCACTTATTGTTTCTGTATACAAAAAAAAAAGAAGCTGCCGAAACAATAAAAAGTGAGGTTCTGCCCGGGCTCGAACCGGGGACCTTCTCGGTGTTAACGAGATGTCATAACCAACTAGACCACAGTACCGTGTTATCTTGTATATGTGAGAGTGTCGTTATTCGTATTATGAAGATGGCAGGGACCTCGTTTTTTCTTCCTGTCGACATAAACCTGAAGGGATCGTCAGATCTGGCTTGGGTTCCTCCGATCGATTACTTGAAAGGCAAAAGACTTAGACTTGTAATATATTTAAAATGGCTTAAGAGACATCTATATAAAAGCTTCCCTTTTGGGGAAGATATATTGGCATTTTTCAGTGCTGAGTCTTTGGCTAGTAATCATTGCCGTATCTTCACTTTGATCACTAACCCCCATCCTGTCTTTCCTTCCCAGATGCCCATCTCGTTCTCTTTCCTGAAAGTAACCTCCTCAGCCTTGACAATCATAGTAACGGGATCTTCCTCCTGTACCTTGGGTTTTGGTGGTTCTGGGGTCTGCGGCTTGTTTTTCTTGAGAAAACCCCATCCTGAAGACTTCTTGGTCTGCTCGACATGCGCTTTGACGACCTGTCGATCAACTCTTTCGGGCGATATGTACTTTGCTAACCGGATAGCCATATCGTGATCTGACCACCAGAGGACGTTGTCTGAGGAAGAGTCTTGAGTGGTGTTGTCTTCCCATCTTCCCCAGTCATCAAAGGCTCTCTCCTTGCGTGGTTCGACCTCTCGCTTGGGCGGTCGTTTCTGATCGCCTACTAACTTGGGATCTTCTCTTACACGTACAACTGTTTGGGACTCATCTTCATCGCTGAAGAACCATTCTTCTCCGACAGCGTCCCCTGGAACCAAGATTGTTTCTGTCAACCTGGGAGGTGAATCTTTGGCTGCAATAGACGAGAGCATTTCTTCGACATGGGGAACGAGAAGGGTGAGTATCTCGCTGTCGCGTTGATCGCGCGCTGATGTGCGAGCTGCTTGAACAGAATGAATACGCAAGGGAAGATTTTGGAGATGGGAATGGAAGATGGTCGTTACTGATTGTCGTGGTTCAGATATGGGTGTTGATGTTGATGGACCTGATTCGGTATACGGGGGAGGAAGCTCCCCGTCGTCAAAGACATCTTTTTGGGACATGTTGATGGGATAGTGAATGAATGAGCCAAGTCTTTGAGATGAATGTAACTGAATGGATGCCCAACGCCCGAAGAACATATACGTGAACAAGAAGTAACGTCGTTCTAGTCCAGAGTCAGCCGATAATAAATGACTGTGAGTTATGGTTGGTTAGTAGTGAATTAGCCTTGCATCGATATCCTGAAGAGTAGCATCGATCTAATCAACCAGGCAATCGCCGAGAAAGAATAAAGCCAAATCACAGCCTTGGGCTGCACTTTGTCTCTCTTGGTGGGAACTTGGAGTGGCGCAGTAGTTATCAATCATGCCAAACTTTAGTATAGGGAGGCTTGGCAAAGAGTGTTTAGTTGTAGACATTCCAGCTGTCGAATCATATTTACAGCATGTGATCAATGGATTGGCCCCTGCATTCTTGCACTGCAGCTGGGCGTAAGACTTATCCCCGCAATATCATGATGCCAAGGGTCCGAGAAGACGGATTCGGATACCGGCAGGAGAAGAATGTCTCAGTCAAATGATATCATGAGGTTACTACTAAACTAATGACCGGAAATTAGACGGGATCCATCAACTTAGTGTCAAGTCTGTGCATGCGGCTGGCTTCAAGTCATGATCAAACTGAATAATGCAGGAACTGAATTCTAACCTTGATGATCAGCAATAAATTTCAAAAAGTAAATATGGTTTAGGAATGAATCAACACGACTTTGTGAGTTCAAGAATGCGCAGTTCTAACTCGGAGTATATCCTGATGCTACAGTGGGTGTCCGGGCGATTAGTGATGACCCCACTATAGATTCAGCTGAAGGACCCCTAAAACGCCCAACTTGAATGACACCAGCCCTCTAGACTCACCGAAGTCAAGTCGGGTATTTCGGCTTCATTAATGACAAGATATCAATCAACAATGCCTCTCTAGTGGCAATACCGCAATTTAATATGTCCTAATTGATGGTACCCAGCCTTATCAACAAGTCACGGGATACACATCCTGCATACCTCTTTAGGAAGAGAAGACTTCTGGAAACAAAAGACCCCCACAAGCGATCGCCCAGGACAGGGGTTGTTGCTGTGTTAGTTGTACTCCGCCGCCACCTTTTTGCATCTTGAAGCATTGCAAGCTCCAGCTTTGGCTTTGAATTGGCGCAAGGCACCTTGATAAAACAGATCATGCGATGATAAACCTTGTAAGGCAGCAATCCGTATATATGCATATTCAACGTTGTCTTGATCAAAGGTCTATATAAGTATGCCTTGCTCCCTTCCACAAGCCACATTCTCTATCATATCATACAAGTCACAGCATTCTCTAGCAACTAACTAATAGGTTCTAGGGATTACAACACATTCTTTTCAAACAACTTCTACTAATTCTTTCTGATACACAAACACCAAGTCTCGACGACTCCAAACCATCACAATGTCTTACAGAATCTCTGCCCCAGATGAGTACCTTGCCATTACTGGCATGGGAATCAAGACTGTCAAGATCACAAAGGCAACTTGGGTCTGGCCTCTCCAACGATGCACACGCTTCAGGTAAGTTCCATAATTACCCCGATCATCTATCCTGGCTAATTCCATGACAGTATCCGACCACACGACTATGCTATGGACTTGCAGGCCATGACAAAGGAGAAGCTGCAATTCTCTCTACCTGTCGTCTTCACTGTGGGTCCTGATATCAACCAGCGCGGGGCCAACCAGCGTGGTGGTCCCGATGATGAAGCAGATGATCTCGTTCGCGAAGATCGTGGAGATGCCCTGATGAAGTATGCTATGCTCCTGACCAACTCTGAGGAGAAGGAGCATTCCAGTCAGAGCCAGCATGTCGCCAACATTGTCAAGGGTATCATTGAGGGTGAAACCCGAGTGTTGGTCTCCAGCATGACCATGGAGGAGATCTTCACCGAGCGAGAGGTCTTCAAGAAGAGAATCTTCAGAAACATCCAGAACGAGCTGTCACAGTTTGGTCTTCTCATCTTCAACAGCAACGTAAGTGTTCCCAGTAACCTTGGTCAACGTAACCTAGCTAACATTTATACAGGTCAAAGAGTTGAAGGATGCCCCTGATTCAGTCTACTTTGCCTCCCTTTCCCGCAAAGCCCACGAGGGTGCTACCAACCAGGCTAGAATCGACGTAGCTGAGGCTCAGCTCCGCGGAAACGTTGGAGAAGCCCAGCGCAAGGGTGAACAGGAGCGTGAGATCGCAAAGATCAATGCCGAGACAGCCGTCCAGAAGACAGAGCGTGATATCGAAAAAGCTCAAGCTGAGAGCAAGCTAGACACTAAGCGAACAGGTCTCACACGAGATGTCGATTTGGCTCGCATTCAGGCACAGAGATCTCTCGAGTCCCAGGATGAGGATCTCAAGAAGGAGGTCGAGATCAAGCGCGCTGCCGCTGAGATGGAACGTCTTCGTGCCACAGACGTTGTCAGGGCTACTATTGAGAGGGAGAGTAAACAGCAAGCTGCCGATGCTTCCGCCTACGAAGTCGAGGCCGATGCTCGCGCTCACCAGGAGGCTAGTCAACGCCAGGCTGATGCTGCTGCCTACCAGACAAAGATTTCCGCCGAGGCTGATGCCACAGCGTCTTATGCCAAGGTGACCAAGAACACAGACGCTGCGGCCTACCAGACTCGCAACGATGCTGAGGCCTACAACTACGCTGCCCAGCAGCGAGCTGAAGCCCAGCTCATCGCCAAGCTTCGCGAAGCAGAGGGTATTTCTGCCATGGCTGACGCCTACAGCAAGCTATCCAATGCTTTTGGCGGCCCTGCTGGCCTCCTTCAGTACATGATGATCGAGAAGGGTACCTACGTCGAGCTCGCCAAGGCCAACGCCTCTGCCATCCGGGGTCTTGAGCCCAAGATCAGTGTGTGGAACACTGGTAGTGCCCAGGGTGGTCAGGGTGCTGACCCTACTGAGACGATGCGCAATGTCTACCAGATGCTACCTCCTCTGATGAGCACCATCAATGACCAGACTGGCATTACACTGCCTGAGTGGCAGTTTGGCAAGATGAGCGCGGGTGTCAACGCTGTTGGCCAGGAGGGTGCCAAAACCAATGGACACAAAGGCCATTAAATAAATGACTTGTTGTGTGATGTGGGAGAGTTAATGGTTGCGGGATTGATGAACGATCTTTATGGTTGATGCTTTTTTGATATCCGGCTTTTGCCATGCTCGTTTCTTTTCTTTTGTCTTAGACTGTTACTTGATACCAATTGCCTAGCTTAACTAAATTGACTCCTAATTAATTAATCCTGTTTTCACGGTGAATGTTGAGTATATGTCCTCACAGCATTTCTTGACCTTGAAGGACATCGCTACAGATGTACTATTTCAGGTTTATGATGAGACCAAGAGTATTTCGTTCTACCGTAGATTCTTCAACAAACCTAAGGTGGATGGACACTGATGGCGATGGTATAATGATGATAATCGAGACTGATATTGTGGTCAAGACTGGCTTGCGATAGAGGCTGATTACGTCTGAAAGTGACCCCCTTCATCTAGTCAGGGCTACATCCATACTTGCCTGACATGTCCAACTCACACTCAGCTCTATATGCCTACACGGTGCAGTGATAGCATTATGCCAGCCGGTTTCTTTAGAGCCGTAATCCATGAGTATATAGACCGTCAGTGGGTTCTTGTTAATAATTTGGTTCACTTCAAACTTTTAAAGGGCCTCTACGCAATCCAATCCTGCAGTCCTCAGCCTGTCAATCACGATAGCCAATCTCAACTGTTGCTAGAAGCACAAAACACCGTATATGGCTGCTCTCATTAGCGACACCTAAGCTATGACTTACCACGACGATGATGAGATGTCGATTAACTGCTGCTCGTTGTCGCACCTTCATTTACAACTGAAGGCCTAAATCGACGATAATGGCCTTCTGGCCTCACCACAATCCAAGTCTAAGGCCAAGCAGGCACTCAAGCAATACCGAGCAATCATCAAGGCGCAAACTCTTCATCACATGGTCAGCCTCCCAGATGACCAGAAGTCCTCAACATCCAGCCCGGCAATACATATACTATCATTATTATCATTACCGTCACCATTAAATCTAATACTGCTACCAAAGGGTTCTGAAACCGAGACGTCTTTGGTTTTTCGGAAATTCCAGCTTTGTAGAAAGATGGGAAAAACCCAAAGGTGCATTGCTACCTCTGCAAGCGTGACTCAAGATGCATTCGCCATATCATCTGCCAAACCATCGCTGATCCCTGGTGGATAACACTTGTACCTTGGGCTGCTGCCGGATCCTGAGAAGAAGACTCCATCGACCTCGATGGGGACGACCAAGTCGTTATCTCAGATGACGATGACCTCGAAGAAGTCGCTAGGCACTACCCCTGGGAGGAAGATGGAGCCGACTCCATCAAAGACGACGAAGACAATACGAGTCCGGTCATCATTGAGGACGGACCCGCTGGTCAAGGCACTGTCAACGACCCCAGGGCCAGCGTAGAATAGGAGCATCGGTGCGCCCATGTTGCTCTTGCCGAGACTGGTCTAGGTGATATTGATCTCACCCCAGAACAAGCTGCATGCCAGAGAGAAAATCTACGACGTCGGCAAAATGAATAAAAAAACTCCACGATCTTAACTTTCCAGAGCTGGTTGCAGCCCAGAACAAAGCGACAGGAAACAGGGCTCGGGCAGCCCAGCAATATCGCTGTAGCTTATGCAACTTCAACTTTTCTACCAACGCGGGCTTGCGTTACCACATGCAAACCAGGTCGCATATAAGGAGAACGTCGCAGCTGAAGCTGCCATAGTCCCCAGAATTCTTACTACTGTAGCTTGCCCTCAATGTCGCCATCGTTACAAGTGCAAAAGAGACTGACATCTGCTGGTCAGATGAGGACCTTGACATGTCTCGCAAACGACTTGCCGTTCTCCGCTATGCTTTCGCGTGCGTCCTCCTTGACCACATTGCTTGCGAAGGCGAACGGTGCACTCGCTCGGTCCTATACGCCAACGACAGATGCACTAAGCACTATCAACCATGCGACCACAGCCCGGGATGTATTATCTATGTCACCAGATACAAAACCTGGGATATTTTTCTCGTTATAAGGTTGCATTGAAGCGTTGTCATCGCGATTAACCCATGTCTTTTTGTTGTCGTAGGCCTGGTAGCTTCTTGTTAAAATAGACTAGATAGCAGATTGTAATTTTACAACATACCTGATGGATTAGGTTGATTACATGGATGCGCAATTTTGTCAAACATTTGAATTTCTTCTCATGGCATGGCATTCCGATTACACGACACACATATGGTTCTTTTTACCGGCAGTTCAGGATCAGCAGACCACAGCCAAAGGTAGCCTCATTAATTGGACAGGCATTGCTTGACTTATCAGTATGTGTAAGGGCCCTTGTCTCTATAGATATTAAGGCCATGATATGCATCTCTAACATCAGAGCAAATAGCATAATCTGAAAGAGCAGACCCTTAGATAGCGCATCATGCCATTATAGGCTATGCCGTAGGCTCTTGCATTTAGGTAAGATCAGTATTATAAATAGGTATTAGAGCAGGATAAGCTGGGTAAATTAACTGATATGAGGACTTAATATTCCAATAGTAATTTATTTAGTTATGCTAAAGGAGGAAGAAGAAGAAGGCTGCTTTGTAGGTATTGCCTTGATATTATATTAGAATGTGGTTTCTCTGTAAGCCGTAATCTCCATAATGAAACGTAATTTTATAGCCAACATGTTCATTTCAGCTAAGCTATACTCTGAAGAGGCTGAGATGTGACTTGAACTGGCCACTATCCATGCCAGGATTCTACGCAATAGAGAGTTATACCTGCACCTACCCAGTTGTCCAGTCGATTAGGGAAGAGAAGAGTGCCTTAGGAAAGAGAACTAAACGGGCATTTGGGGAGGGGAGATAGGATGGGAGTTAGCGATCAAATTGAAGATACGGCAGTGAATCACGACTGTTAGATAACAGAAACGTTGACCTCATTCAGGGTATAAAATAAATATCCTAAGCATTATGATCTAAACAGCATAAACCAGTTCACTTCTTTCGTCTCTTATGCTTCTGGTGGCTAATGTTTCTGATACTCTGAGGCATGATACACGAAAAGAGAGGATTTGCATATCAGGCCATGAACCGAGTTTAAGCTCAACATCAGTGACACTACATGACGTCTCTGGCCAAAACTATTACTATTCAGTGACACATGTACTCTCTCGGAGTTTTATCAATGCAGTGAATGTAATACAGGGAGTTTACCGGAAAGTAGTCTAACAAGACATGCATAGGTACTTGGGCATTCACCACCGCCAGCCAACTTGAATTCATTCAAACTCAGCAATCAAGTCATTTCCACTTTCACTATTCACTGCATCATTCTTGTATTCATAGAATACCTAGTCATAAGTTTGTTCGTAAATAGCTGGCAAGCTTGGTCTTACACCGTTGTCGTGACACTCAACCCGCTTAATCTCACTTTCACAGCGACATGTCACAACAATACTGTACTCCCATCTCACAGCATCACAACCACGCGTTCTCAATCCCTTAGTTTTCTCTCTGATTAATTAATGGTTGATGATCTGATTTACATTTTCTGTTCTCTAGTGCCTGACTCACTCGCCGTTTTTGACCCCACCGCCTCCAATACAAAAACGGCGACTCCATCACCACATTTCCCTCAACACACCACGCATTCTCTCTCTCTTTCTTTCCTATCCTAACCCCAGGAAACTTTCTTCTCATCATGCCTTATGACGTCCTGGTAACCGGTTCATCCGGTCATCTAGGCACAGCCTTGATGCTTTCTCTCCCCAGTCTTGGCTTCACACCTCTGGGAATTGACATCCTCCCCTCAGAGAACACTCACCATGTAGGATCCATCAACCATCGCTCTTTTGTCATAGACATCTTTGCAAACAATCCGATCCGTCACGTTCTTCACGCAGCGACGCTTCACAAACCACATGTTGAGAGCCACTCCAAGCAAGACTTTGTCGACACAAACATCACAGGCACCCTCATGCTTCTGGAAGCAGCAGCCAAGCTCGGTGCACAAATCGAGAGTTTCATCTTCTTCAGTACGACCAGCACTTTTGGTGCCGCGCTGAGCCCGACACCTGGTCAGCCCGCCGCGTGGATCGACGAGACGGTCGTTCCCATTCCAAAGAACATTTATGGCGCGACAAAAGTCGCAGCAGAGGATCTCTGCTATCTCATCCAGAAACAATCCGGGATGCCCGTTCTCGTACTCCGAACAAGCCGTTTCTTCCCCGAGCAGGACGACGATGAGGATCGTAGAGCAGTACTCTCAGACGACAACCTCAAAGTGCTCGAACTAGCCTATCGCCGATGCGACATGGAAGACATCGTCCGCGCAGCTGTCTGTGCCATGGCGAAGGCGCGCGACATCAAGTTCCGAAAATACATCATCAGCGCACCTCCTCCGTTTCCAAAGGACGCTCACACGCTTGCGGCTCTGGACAAGAATCCTAAGGAGGTTTTTGAGGCCGTTGCGCCTAATTGCACACGGGTGTTTGGAGAGAAAGGGTGGGAGCACTTGAAGAGGATCGATCGGGTATATGATTCGAGCAGAGCGGTCACTGAGTTGGGTTGGGAGCCTGTTTATACATTCAAGCATGTGATTGATCTGATTGCGCAGGGAAAGGAGTGGAAGAGCGAGTTGACAGGAAAGGTCGGGAAGAAGGGGTATCACGATGTCAGCCATGGTGTGTATACTGTCCGATGAATTGCGAGACGGTTGTGATTGAGATAGCGAGCACATAGCGACTTGCTTCATAACGTTTTTGAAACGGGGAAAAGATTCTCAAGATTAATAAAGAAGAATAAAATGTATCTAATCAGCAACCATTCGCCTTATATGCTATGTTTTGAACACAATTGATCGCAGTCCCAATTTATATTGTGACAGTTTCCCAAATATATGTATCATTCATTAGCCGAACTTGATCCCAGAGTTGGGATTCCATGTACCAGGAGCAGGAGGTTGGCCGGAACCACCAGACGACTGTCCAAACTTGATACCCATACCAGGATTCCACGCTGCTTGCTGTGGCTGTACTGGTTTGGGCTGCTGCACTGTCTCTCCCCAGGATTGGATGTTTGCCTGTGCTGGGCTTTGCACGGGTTGAGGGGGCTGCTGCGGTGGAGCATAAGAGTGCACAGGTTCTTGGTGCGAAGGCATTGGGCTCTGAGCATGAGCATGAGCATGAGCCTGTGCCTGAGCCTGAGCCTGTGCCTGAGCCTGCGCTTGCGCTTGTTGGTGAGATATGCTGAGATTCGATAGCGTGGGCATGTTGATTTCCCTACAATTCGTTAGTATTCTATCATTCTTCAAGCTCGTGAGAACATACTCTTCTAGTGCCCTCGCCTCCATGCGACGCTGAGCGACCCAATTGCGAATCACATCACGGAAGCCTTGACCAACAATCTTGTTCAGATCGTTGTAGAACTTTCGTCCGACCTCGAGGTTGTTGATGATTTCCTTGTACTTAAAATAGGCGTTATCCAACCTCTGTAGGGCAATCTCGCGTTCTCGGTTTCCACGCTCGCCCATCTGTCGCTTCTGGGCCTCGAACTCGCGATTGATTCGTTGGACATCCTGTAGAAGACGATCCTGGTCTTGCGCTTCCTTCTCGATAGCCTCCACCTCTGGTTCGTATAGTTTGTCCAGGCGCTTGTCGAAGAACTCCTCAAAGTGGGCTGGCACAAGTGCTGTATTTGGGTATGTCCGTTCCAATCGAGCAGCTTCCTTGAGAATATCGGGCTTGATATCGTCGCGACGAGCGTTATCTCGCAAAGCCTCAACCTTCTTGCGTCGGCGGCTTTCTAAACGTAGGACGTCATTGTATGCGCCTCGCAGTCTTCCTATAGCCGGCTTCAACGTCTCGGGGATGTCAACCCGTCGACTCGAAGGTACAGAGTCCATCAAATCTCGATCGGGTCCTGACAGAATAGCAAGTAGATCCTGGATAGCGATGAACTTCTCTCTTACTACGCCATCACTGCTGACACTGCTTTGGAAATAAGATTCGATTTCCGAAGCGTGTTGCCAGAGCTTCTGGCCTTGAGGATCTTGTCGGCTCTCTGGTCGTGCCCATCGATCCGTGCCGTATCGCATCCGTAATCTTTGATCTTCTTCTTCCTCGGAAGCCAAAGCTCTCTTACCCTCCTCAAAAATATCCATATCCCCTAATCGCAATTTGTCGATATCGGCAAAGCTCTTTTGTACTCTGTTGATGGCATCTGCTTGTCTGATCTCCTCGGCATGTTGAACCAAGCTGGGTGGTAGACCAAGAGGTTTCTCCAGAGCTTGTAGAGATCCGGGAAGTCCAAGCGACGCCAAAAGCTCATGGATCTTTTCCGTAAGTGATTCCAGCTCTTGAATAATATTCTGGCTGACCATACGGTCTCGTCGTTCCTCGTAAATCGAAGTCGCAACGTGTACGGAAAAGGGAACCAGACGAGAGAAAAGCGCTGGTCCAAACTCGGCTCGGTCGCCGAAGTAGTCGTAAGGGTTGCCGATTTGAGGAGGCACGCGAGCCACGGCCATGTTTGCACGATCGAGAATCTTGAGTTCCGACTTTGGGGGAACAGCGACTGTAGAGTGTTAGTTGACTGCCATACAAAGCAATGGGCGCGCATACTTAGGTAAATAACATCGTTATCCTTCTCCGCGCGCTTCAAGTCTTCCTCAACCTTTCGCTTCAACCCATTGAGATCGTCAACCACGACCTTGCCAAGATACCCGTTGCGGGCCTCCTTAAGACCCTCGATTGCACAGGAAACAGCATCTCTCAGTCGCGCAACTTCCTCTCCATATTTCCTTTTCTCGAGACAATCGCATGCAGCTCGGTACTGCGCGGCTGCAGCAAAATGGTGATGCTTGGCGCTCATGTGGTGAATCCATGCACTGCTGATAGCTTCACTCTTCATAGCAGCTTCGCCAGCGAAGTTGTACAGGTCGGATACTCGAGCGGCAAGCTTGGCGATTGATGCATCTTTGTAGCCATCCATAACGGCTTTTTGCCAGAAGCATTCTTGGCTTTGCGCGAGAAGAAGTTGGGATAGGGATTCGAGGGTGTCGTGGTCCATGTCTTCGGGGGGATCGGACATTCGTAATTCGGGGAGGATCTCTTTTTGCATGTGGGTGAGAACACCAGCGGCGAGGGAGAAGTAGTTGGCTGCGGACTTGAGGCCTTCGGTATTGCCTCGCGGTGTGTTGATTGCAAGTTGGGAGTAGAGGGAGGCAAGGTTGTAAAGAACGTTCATCAGCTCGTACTTGAGGTTATTTCGCACCATAGGTCGTTCGGTATTATATCCAAGGGCAGGATACCACGAGAACTCGGCTCCGATCTGCTCGTTGTCAGGTTGATAGTAGGTTACCATCGCGTAATACTCACATCTATGGGGAACTTTCCACCAACCCAAACAAGCTGACCCGCGTACGCTTGCAGCTTCTTAATTCCGCTAGGATGCGGCTCTCGGACGTTGACTGCATCACGACGAAGTGCATCAATGACCTCGAGGTCGTGCTTAAACATGTCCGGGTGCTGGTCATATTTGGTGTTGATATACTGCCTTATTGTCGAAGCGAGCGAGAGCTGGGTCGACTTGCGAAACGGGAGGTAGAGAATGTTTCTGGACACCACTGTTAGCAGCTAGAAACTTGAGACAGTAGTAGTTTCTGGAGCTACTTACGACGACATGGCTTCGTTTGTGAACCTCGGTCGCAGATTCTCAAGCCACTTTGTAAAGTAGGTTGTTTAAGCTTGGCTTCGCTGTTGCTAGAAATGACTTCATCAAAATTGTCGACCGCCACGTTGGAGGGGCAATGACGAGGGTGTGGCGCAGCGCAATTTATACTACCCTGCACCTCAACAGAAATATGATTCCAGATGAGTTAATTTGCGTTCACATGTAAGAATTTACTTTTTTTCTTAGTCAAGGCTATCATGTTCAAAAGTCAATTGTCGTCAATTTAATGCGAAATAATGTAATTTTGACTGCTAACAATGCGAACTTAAAAGCTATCAGACCATACAAGCTCGGTTTTCAGGTGGTATCTCGTAACTCATCAACTCTCATCTCCTAACGATACTTGACATCTCCAACCTCAGGTCGGTGAACTCCATCATCAACATAACCAGGGGGATGGGCCGCACCAGCACCAACGCCTCCAGAAGCTACCGGCGCAGAGGGGTCGACAGAAGGTCCACCAGTGGCATTTGTCGGTGATACTCCATCCTTACTGTGCTTAACCTTGAGCGAACCAACTTCAGCTCCCTTGAGAGTCTCGAGGAGGTTGCGTGCGCCAGCAGGCCACGTGCTGTTTGGACCCTGTCGAGGAACCTCTCCCCTGATGATCTGCTCAACGGAAACACGCTCGCCATAGAATGCGGCGTTAGCGTCCTTGCGTTCCACCACGACTGTACCATCAACTTGGATACCGGCGTAGAAGCCGCGTGACTTGACGTATGAAAAGACAGGCTTGAAACCGCTAGCACTCAGCGAGCGACGGTTCTTCTTCTTCTCGTCCGGCTTCAAGTTCTGGTTGTCCTCATTAGGGCGAGGAGGCTTAGGAGGAGCCTCTTCATCCTTGGCCTCCTTGGACTTCTTTCCATCCACACCCGCACCGATCTCAACAGCACCACCAGCTCCGTAAGGGCCAGCAACAACAGCAAGATCACTACCAAGAGCAACACGTGTCTTGGCGAAAGCGTTGAGCGCCTCTCTGCTATTGATGACGCAAACGCAGTCGTAAATGTCAAGACCGATCATGAAGCCAGCACCTACAGAGTGCACCTGGATACCTGAGGGAGGGCCCCATGATCCGTCAGGAAGACGCGAGATAAGGATGCCAGAACCGGTAGCACCAGAGAATGCGTATCCGGCACGGAGAGTAGTGAAGATGGCGAGACCCTGGGCTTTGGCGATGACCTTAGGAGGGATGTTAACAAGCACCCGCTTCTTAGGCTTCTCCTTAGTAGGATCGATAATCTCGTCGTTAGTCGCTTCTGCCTTGGGGTCTGTCGATGTGGGAACCTGGCTTGATTCAGGATCGGCATAGACACCGTTTTCTATAGATTGTAAGTAAGTGGCATTTGTGAATATTGGATGATGACTTACTGCAGAAGGACTTCAGAATAGAAGCTGCCTTGTCGCACTCCTTATCAATAGTCTCTGGGAGGAAACTCTGGCTACCGAACTTATGCGCCAAGCTGTTGATAGGCGCCGCGGCCTTGATACCAAGCTGGCTAAAGCGCTCACTCCAGCCAGGTTTCTTGTGTTCCTCAGGAGGCACGAATGTTGATGCGTTTCCTGTATCATTATTGTAGCCATGTCCAGAGCCAAAAGCATGTCCATGCGTCTGATCATTACCGTGGCCGAGGGGTTCACTGTGAACAGGAGCTGTGGTGGTTGGCTGGCTGGACTCGTTTGTAAGGTTTGTAGGGTTTGTAGGAGGAGGCGCGAAAGTAGGATGAGCAGGATCGTATTGTGGGATGGCGTAGCTCTGCTGTTCCTTCTGGGCATCGATGGGTTGTTGAGTCGCCTGTTGCTGTTGAGGTGCAATTACTGGGTTACCCTGGAGCGGGTTTGGGTGAGGGGCAGATTGCTGATGTTGGTCCTGCGCAGGAGGAGGACCAGGAGGAGGAGGTGGGAAGTACTGCTGTCCCAACCTTTGCTTCTCATCCGCGGCAGACTGTGATGGTTCGCCTCCAGGGGGAGGGGCATATTGAGGAGGCTGCTGTTGCTTCTCATCGCTGGGGAGCTCGGCTGTTCCTTGCTCGTACACAGGAGGGGCGGAATTATCGTGAGGGGGATTCTCCTGACCTGGCTGGGCGGTAGGCAATAAACCGCCTCCGTGCTGGTCACCAGCGGAATACATAGGAGCTTTCTCAGGATTAGACATCGAGGCTAAGATATGTAGTAATTGTTGTTGTAGTTGTAAGGTGAAAGTCGTAAACAGGTAAGTCGATGGCGGGGTAGCTTCGTATCAGGTATAAGATGTTAGGATTGAAAGGATAAAGCTGTAGGTTGGGGTGTCAAAATAGGATGGACCCTTTTAATAGAGTATTGATAGATACTAATAGAATATAGTGTCGAAAGAGGCCTCGTCACTTAGAGTGGCGTGAAACAATGCGAAACCGGTTCATGAATGCGATGTCCCAACGTGCGACATGTTCACTAACAGGGAATTGATGTCATCATGGTGGCTTGGCTGGAGACGATTGCGTGGCTGAAGCTCAGGGTCCTGCACAGCCTTGGCCTTGACCAATGGGAGATGTTCCATCGTAAAGGAAGAGAATAAAATGCTGGGGAGAGGATATAGCATGTGAATTTATGCGAATATTAACTGACATGGTGATGATGGAATTTATTTCAATAATATATTGGGTCGTTATCGTCTTTTACTTATGATATTGCCATCAACCGTACGCATCTCGGAGTCCGAATGCATCTGACCGGGGAATGTGACTGGAAGCTTACCCGAGCCCTTGTGATCGTAGCCTGTATTATCTTGTACCGAGGAAAACGTAGTCTTGTAAAAACACCAAAATCTATATCTCTGATACCCTTTCAAAGTCCGATCAGTAGCTTGGGAATACCACTGATCAAAATGACACAAACACAATCAACCGACAACCCGGAGACCCTTCATCTCCCCCGCATTCTTTGTCTACACGGCGGCGGCGTAAATGCAGAAGTCTTTGAACTACAATGCCGAGTTCTCATCAAGCATCTGAGATCTTCTCTGCGTTTTGTATTTATGCAAGCCCCATTTATCTCGGCTCCTCATCCAGACATTGTCAGCGTTTACGGTGAATACGAACCCTTTCGGCGTTGGCTCCGATGGCAACCCGACCATGAGGAGATTGAGCCCGAGGCCGCCGCCGAGTTGATCCGGGACCAGACCCGCCGAGCCATGGATACAGATCCCGGGACCGGAGAGTGGATCGGCATTCTGGGTTTCTCTCAGGGCGCAAAGATTGCTGCGAGTTTATTGTGGACGCAGCAAAAGATCACGGAGCAATTCGGACCAGATGAAGCCTTGACTCAATTCAAGTTTGGTGTTCTCATGGCTGGAAGAGCACCTCTCATCACACTGGACCACCGACTGCAACATCCACCACCAATTGTTGACGCGGCCATGCTGAGCTCAGAGTTCAAGGACTGGCCTGAGTCGAACAAGGGTGACCATATCTTGAGTATACCCACACTACATGTTCATGGACTTCGAGATGGTGGTATGGAGCAGCACAGGATCCTCTTGAACAACTACTGCGAGACTGGTACAACAACTTTGATTGAGTGGGATGGTGGGCATCGCATACCGATCAAGAGCCATGATGTAGGAGCCGTGGCACAAGAGATCTTGAGGCTGGCAAAGGATGCTGGAGTACAACTGCCCAACTAAGGAATCCATTCTTGTATCACTTTAATTTTTTAAACCGCGCGAAGTTTTGTTCAGACGCGATAGATGATTATATATGGTTAGTAGGTATCAGATCCTCTAAGCTTTAGAGTATAAACATAAACAGCCTAAGAGGGTAGTCTAAATAGCATAAAGTGACCTGTTGATTTCGTCCCTCATGCTCATAGCGGCTAATGTTTCTGATACCCCAAGGGGTGGACATGATATTCTTGGTCATTAGAGTGTCTATTTGCTCAATTCATCGTTAAATAGTTGTAATTTTCTGTCCTCTTACAGTCTCATCTGGGTATTTGTACACAGCCGACTATCTTCGTCGAGTACGTGGTGCAGGCGCAGGTGCTGGCTCAAACGCATCATCATCTGAAATCTCATCATCGCTAATCTCAACCGCCTTGCTTTGCGTACCGCTCTTCTGTGACTGTGAAAAGTTCAGCTTAGTCTGCCGTGTGTTCTTGGCCGCTGGTTTAGCTGCCGTAGTCTTGGCACTGCTCTTGGTCGCAGCAGCTCGTCGTGTCTTTGGGGGTGGGGGAATTGGTTCATCTTCTGATTCCATTACCACATCCTCCTCTTCCTCTTCCTCGCTATCCTCGAATACCTTGCGGCCTTTGGCTTTAGGAGGTGCCTTTTTGGCCGGTGCTGCTTTCGCTTTGGTAGTGCGTGCTGCTCGTTTGACCGCTGGCTTTTTAGCAGGCGGCTCATCTTGGTCCATCAGGTCTTCATCTTCCTGTGCTGCTTTGCTCTTTCCTCGTGCAGCCTTCTTAGCTGGTGCAGGTGCACGCACGCTTTCAGCCTGCTGATCATCCTCATATGTCCATGCATCTGGCTCTTCTTCCCAAGCGCCATCAAAATCGCTGTCCCAAGTTGAAGGCTTTGGTTTGAGAACTCTCTTCCTTTCTGTTGGTGCAGTGAGTAAGCCTCTAGCCTGCTGCTGCTCAATTCTTGTGCGATAAATGTCCATGGCACTGTTTAAGTCTTCGTCGTCTGATTCCAGACCCAGCATGGATTTGACTTGACCTGTTAGGTGTTCCGATACAAAAAGTTCCATGGCGTGCTTGTCATCCTTCGTCACAAACTGGGTTACGGCATCACCAAAAGGCCCCTGAGGCAGAACCTTGAGAGATTGTGCTGATAGAAAGTCTTGCACCAGATTCTCGACCTTGACCATGTCATCAGCACCCTCAAGTGCCTCAAGAGATTCCGTTGGGTTGGCAGCATTTGCCTTGCCTCCTATGATGTGTTAGTTGAGTTTGTAGTTGACCACCATAATGACTTACGCGACACAGTCTTTTTACGGTAGAAGTAGACCACATCATTCGTGTTGGCCACTTTACCGACAAATCGATTTGAGAATCTTTGGGGGTTCTCAATCTCGAATTGACCGCCATCTTGTGCCGTATACTCAACCTTGAGACGTATCAGTGGAAGAGGTCGTTCTTCCAAAGCTTCGTCGTCTGTTTGAATTGCCTCCCAGTCTGCGTTGGCCTCCTCAATCATTTCCTCAACCACTTCCATCAATCTCCGGGTCACCTCCTGACGGTTGTCCTTCTTCTTGTCCAGACCCTTGAAGCGCTTGTCTTGGGCAAGATTGAGTTCTCGTGTGACGAACGGACGCACAGTCTTGAGAGGGATCTTGTCGACCTTGAAGTCTTTGCCTGTCACACTGACGATAGCGACATGCTTCTGAACAGCCTCACCAGGCACAAGAGAAGTCGCGACAGAGGAACCGGGCTGCATGACGTGAAATCCAGTTTCAGGGTTCTGTGTAGGATCAATCAGACATTCGTGTTCGTGACCCCAGACCACTAAATCCAACCAATCTGGCAGGACATTCTCCGGGAGATAAGATGTGGCTGTGTGTGCATGGTGATTCTGATGGACAGCCAACAGATTGAACCAATCTCCCAACTGAGCACCTGGTCGGAACCATTTGACTTTGTGGTCTCGAAATGTTCGAAACATTCTCTCGTCTCGGACGTTGCTTATTCCAAAGAGGGCCAGCTTTGTAAGTCCCTTCTGCAACAGAATCGGCTTGGCCTCGATGTTGTCTGCCTCGGGTACTCGGCCGTAGTAGTTCAGTAGTCCGCTCGCTTGCAACAAGTCTAGTGAACAAAAGTTGCCCTCGCCAGAGGGATCGTCATGGTTGCCATGGATGGAAAAGACAGGAATCGAAACGTTGATATCGGGGTCCTCGTAATTGACATGTGGGAAAGCACCCTCGAACACAGTTGCAGCATCAGAAAGGAACTCTAGCGGACAAGGTTTCATGCCTAGGCAATTTTGTCTGAGAGTACGCATAACCTGGTAAAGGGATTTTCGGGAGGGTTTGTTGTCGTGAAAGAGATCACCGGCGAGGAGGACCATGTCGACCTAACAAGTCAGAAGTTGTCATGGTATAAAGGTGATTGATGGCTTCGTACATCTTCAGTTCGAGCAAGGTTCAGAACCTCGTCAAAAGATCTCCAACTGTCGTCCTTGCGGATAGGATCACGCTCTTCATAGCCGACATGATTGTCGGTCGCAACAAGGATGCGGATTGTGTCCACCTCTGCGGCCATTAGTAAGAGAAGCTAGCGCTTAAGTCAGATTAGGATCTTACCGCTAAACTCTGGCATCTTTCGGGCGTTGAACGGCGGACAATTCGTGTGACCACCTCCAAAGTTGTGACTGCTGCAACGTGCTTTACGCGGTAAGCATGTCTTGGTCCAGTGAGACGCGAGTGGTAGCCTAGAAGGTGACGCGACCAGGTGCGAGGTCACGTGCACTTCATCACTCAACTGTGTCAAATGTTTCTAACCAAAAATATGACGGCTCATCTTTTCTCAACTGTCAAATGTGAATTTGTTCTAGAAAAGCAATCAAAACGTTTTTAAAAAAAAAGGCCCGCCGACGTTGAATGGAAGCCGGATCCTGCAGCCAGTTTGACAACTAACTTTAGATAACCACCACGAGTCAGGTCCAACGCTGAAGTTTAATTAATTATCATCTTCATTGAACTCGTACCTATTTGATCAAACATCAGGCCATGTTTCCAAGTCTAGCAAGGTTCTCGGCCTCGTTCCGTTGTCTGTGTTCTAGCCCTGTCATTCCTACACCTTCACTATTGCTAGATATGGAGAAGCGAAGGGGCTCGATACGCGAATGCTACAACCCATGACCCTGAGCCTGTCATCATTGAGGACTTTAGATTACTTTATTGGAAGCTTGGCTGATCAATAATGAGGCCACTGTGATCGTGGAATGTGGAGTGTACATCACGTTTTAGTCGACTTGCAGCGACCTGATACTTTGCTCCTCGCTTTCTTAACCATCTAACGTTAGAGTAAATATCCCAGAAGCATGGTACACTAATGTTTTCTTTTCTTTTTTTTCTTAGGTCGTCATCCAACGGTTCTGTCTCTGTATTTCATGATGATATCTATTAGCTTCTCCTCTTATAGTACTACGTATTATAAACATCAATGCTCATAGCTTATTGCTTACACCAGCCCATTCTCAGCCTCTCCGTACGCCCGAAGCTACTACCTTCCTAGATCAACGCACATATACCCAAGAGGGAGTCAAGGACGGAAAGACTATTTAGGCGTGATCCTTGTCTTTCATCCTTGTCTTTCATCCTAGATAGTACGTCCATGCCGCACCTGAAGGTTGCTTCTCGGTGTAAAGTGGTGAGAGCAACGTGAAACACCGATTGGCTTAATCACAAGCTTCGTCTTCGATCCTTCTAAGGATTTCTCCCGACCTATTGCGACTGGGTAAACTTCCCCGTTTCTTCAGCGTTCAAGGGAGGCCTGCTTGTGAGGCGCCATCGTAAGATAGGTAGGCAGGTCGTGGATGAACCTGCGATCCACTCCCTCTCTCAAATCTGGTTCAAGAATCTCCTATTATTCGTACTTGGCCACGTTTGATCCCAGGAAGGTTTATATCGATTACTTCCCTTAATAGTCCGTGTTACGTTAAGACTGTCCAACTTTCGCTGTTCAAATACTCGCTCTTTCCGGCCTTATAATCCCATACAAGCCTTCATCCTTTACTGGCCGTTATAACCCACGTCCTTGAACATACACTCCAAAACCCACTACAATCATACCACAATGCATCTCGTCGCAAGGATGGACAGGGATGTCCTCCAGGGAGGAGCATTCTGGTCTCCTCAGCCGATATTCCAAGCCGATGTTCCTTTCTTTTGGTGTAAACGACACTGCCTTTCCATAGAGGATCTACCTGTTGAGATCTTCACTGCGATCTGCCGCAATCTATGTGTGCATTGTCAGCATGCACATGTTGTCGATCTCCCGCCTGGCCAGATTGACCACGCCATCGAGGCTCAGCAGGCACTGTCGCGGTTAAGCCGCACATGTCGACGCTTACGGAGCATAGGGCAGCCTATTCTATATCACTGCTATCATTCCGGAAGACAGTCAGATTTATCGAATAGTCCTGACTGTTTAAATGGCACATACACCAGAGGCTGCGAGGTTCGGAATTTGAGGGTGTTTCTTCGCACACTGCTTCAAAGACCTGATCTGGCTAAGAATGTGCGCGCACTAGCACTTTTTGCATTAAAAGAAGACACTGTGGGAAATATATCCCCGGATATGCAAGACTTGTATCGACAAGCCGGTGAGCGCGCTGGCTTTCGTGCTCTGCCTTCGTATGAACGAGTTGACTCAAAATGGTTGCAAGAAGCTTCCATCATGGCTACACCCTTTGTTGAACAACTTCTCATTTATCGATCTTCTTCAGAGGGGCTACAGTACATAAGAAACTCGCCCTTCTACCTACCGAATCTCAAATATTTAGTGTTGCCGGGCCAGGTCAAGAATCCCGATGAGTGTTGTCACATTCAGCAAATGCAAGATGTGTTAGTCAAAGCCCAGAACCTAGAAATATTGGCAGCCAGCGATGCCGACTGTGGGACGGATATTCCTCTACGCGAGCGTTTTCGAGCAGAGCCATGGGAAACTGCCCTCTCAAGTCTTCGTCGACTCTCTCTCCACGGCTTAGACCCAGATAATCTAGCCAAAATCCTTCGCCGCAGCCCAGTACTCGAAGATCTCGAGTATTTTTGCGACATGGATAAGTACACTGTTCTTCAACATAATCACCTCGCCCCTGTGAGTCACTCATTGCGGCGGTTATGTTACACTACCACGACGTGGGAACACACGTCTGGCGGCGTACAAGATATCATAGAACATGTATCAATGTTCCTCCGCTGGGACTCTTCGTTACGAGGCGATGCCAGCTTCGTTGACTTCCCGCGTCTTGAGATCCTGGAGATTGAGCAACTTCTTCTTTATGGGCCTGTATTCGACGACGAAGAAGAGCGCAAACAACGGTTTGAGGTGATGAAGGATGTCGGCCCGGAGATATTCATGGCGAGCCTTCCTTCATCGTTACGCATTCTTCATATAGGAATGGTATTAGCATGGCCAGAAATGCACCGCGACTTACTAGGCATGGTAGGGAAGATACATCGATTCCCGAACTTGAGTGTTGTTGCAGTGGATCCCTATGAAGCGCCACCGAAAGAGCAAGTTAAGAAGCTTGAGGATGCATTTGCGGCGATGGGGATCATATTCCAAGTAGGGCAGACGACGCAGGAACCATTCGGTAGGGGTATGTTGGGTGTGAGGCCAGGTCATCCAGGGAGGTCAAGTGAGAGGGATCTCAGGTTTCCGTTATCGTAGGAATCAGTCATATTCTCTAGATAGAATTCCAAAGTGTTGAGATAACTAAGAAAGAAATCAATCTCATCCTATTCACCCCTTGGGGTATCAGAGAAGCTGCTAGGAGCATAAGAGACGAAATCAACAGGTCACTTTATGCTATTTAGACTATACCTCTTAGGCTATTTATTTTTTATATCCTAAAACGACTGTTCTGGTACCTAATAACCACCTTCTCTGACTCCTGTCCTCTGACTCCCATTCTCCGACAACGCTTCTACCTTCGGAGCCGAAGCCGAAGCTGAAGTACATTGAATCGAGCTGCGGGCCGCAGACTGCGGGGTAGCATTTCCCAGCTGGTCTAGCTTCCTGCGGCTTCTCACTTGTCACTACTCGAATGAAGAATTATCTTACAAACCAGATGGAAAAGAGGCGCCGAGACACTGTAAGTTTAAAGACAATGTGACTGTGTAGTAATAGCTCGATTAGTTGAATTGACTGCCCCGCTCGTTGCTGCATCATAACATAACATAACTCCTCGTCTTGTCTTGTTAGTCTGGCTTGACTTTGTATATATATATGTACAAATCCTATTCCACAACTGATCATCTCACTCTCAATTTTCTTCATATATAAAGATCATATACAATGGCGGCAGCTGGTCACATCCGTCTTGGCTCTGCCTCCCCCGGCACCGCATCTTCCACGGCAGAGACAATAGCCCTCATCGACACCCTCGCACAGCGCGCCGCATCCGAGCACATTGACATTCTCCTCCTTCCTGAGGCCTTCATAGGCGGCTATCCTCGAGGCAGCTATTTCGGCTGTAGAATCGGCGATCGCAGCGCCGCTGGTCGCGACGAGTTTGCTCGCTACTTTGACCAGGCCATTGACCTGGGCGATACCGTGGGACCAGGTGGTGGCGGCGCGGGCATCAAATGGGTCAAGAGGCAGATTGGCGAGGAAGATGAAGTTCGTGGTGATGGTTCGCGCGAGGAATTAGAGCGCATTGCCAGGGATACAGGTGTCTTTGTAGTCGTGGGATGCATCGAGAAAACGGGTGGTAGCCTGTACTGCTCTGTTGTATATGTTTGTCCCAATGAGGGTATGCTAGGAAAGCGTCGCAAAGTCCTCCCCGTACGAAACCTCAACTTTCTTGGTGTCTCTTGACTAACAGTCTCTTCCAGACCGGCACTGAACGTCTCATCTGGGCACAAGGCTCACCGAGCACCCTCCGCGCCGTGACAACCGTCATTCGAGGCATTCGCATCAATCTCGCCGCTGCCATCTGCTGGGAGAGCTACATGCCCCTTCTCCGACAGAGTCTCTACTCTCAAAATATCAACCTGTATCTTGCCCCCACGGCTGACTTTCGCGATGCCTGGCTGGGTCTTGCGCGCACTATCGGTGTTGAGGGCCGTTGTTTCGTTGTCTGCAGCAACATGTGCGTTCCCAAAGATGCGTCCGCTGAGACGAATGGTAACGGCAACGGTCCCGTCGTGCGAGAACGTCGTGGCTCGTGTCTCACGGAAGAGGGTTTTGAAATCGCCCTTCCCAAATCCCCCACTCGTCAACGCCGTCGTAGAAAGTCTGTCTTTGACGAAGATGGAAATGAGATTGTTCTCGGATGCGAAGACGACGGCGAAGCTCCTCCTCCTCCTCCTGCTACACGACCACAAGTCGCCGCTCCAAAGACATCAGAGAGTATCTTTGACAAATCTGACTACATCTCGCCTGGTGGCTCGTCAATCGTATCGCCGTTCGGAGATGTCCTTGCTGGACCTCAGTGGGGTGACTCTGACGGTTTGATCTTTGCTGATGTGGATTTCCGCGATTGTATCAGAGGTCGTTTGGATCTTGACACTGCGGGAAGTTACTCTCGAAATGATGCATTCCGTTTCAGCGTTGAAGGGTTGAATCTGGATCCTCTGCCTTACTGATGAAGCGTAGGTAGAGGGGTCATAGTGTATGAATAAATAGTTATCAGATTGTAACGCTATATATGACGCCTATATGAGATGCCAATGCTATTGTCCGTCTATGATTATCCTAACGCCTCGCCACTTGTAATCGTAAAATAATGCTATCATTGCTTGGACTCATCACCGGGTGGTGTCTGTCGTCCTCGTTGCTCCTCCAATACCTTGCGCTCCGTCTCAACTTGCTTCCGCTGTCTTTCAAGAGCTGCTTGCGCGAGGACTTCTCTCCTACTCAATCCAGCAGCAGAACCACTCGAGTTGGTACCGCCTAGCACAAACTCACCACCTGTCCAACCGCCGAAATCCTCAGGGTAATCCTCCTCATCGTCTTCGTCATTTCCAGAGATGGTATACCGCGACGTCTCACCGATGGTGTGTCCGCCAGACTTCCAATCCGCAGCATCGACCTCGCGCTCAATCTGGTGACAGAGGTCCCAGAAATCTCTATTATGCGGACTGTGCACGTTGTGTGCTAGTTCGTGGCACAGCGTTTTGCGAATGGTCTTGTAATCGCGATATCCATCATGTGCATCGGTTCGCAAGCGCAGTTCGATCGCCTCGCCATTATTTCGGTTCAAACCGAGGAGTCGACTCGTGCCCTCGTGCGTCGTCTGCGTGTTCGAAAGAGGTTCCATCTCTGTAAGGATTCCGACGGTGAACTTATGTTTTGTCATGGTGGCGCGAATGCCAGGGTCTTCCTTGAGGCGCATGAGGAGCTTCTGGCTGCGCTCTGGGTTCGGGAGGCCCTGGAGCGGTCTCACTTGGAGGAAGGTATACTGCGATTCTTCTGGTTTTCGACGGGGCGTCGCATGTCGTGCTTTACTGCGTTGTGCCATCCTCGCAGCGTTGCGCTGGGCCACGCGCTCGGCCATATCCTGAACCTGTTGGATCTCGGCCGCCGGTGATCCCATAAGCGTCAAGGCCTTGCCCTTTAGGTCTGTGAGAGGCATATCGGGGTTCTTGAAGGGTGCTTTGAGGAGGGGAGTTTTGGGCGCGATGATCTTCTGGTTTGCGACAGGTACATCGAGGCTGGCTTCGATTTCGGCGAAAAGGTCTGTGATGGTCGCATCCTCGGGGAAGGATAGTTCGTATGTTACTTTTCTATGTGTGATGGAGAGCGTGAGCCAGGTTTGCTGCTCGTTGTCGGACATGGGAGAGTCGTCGCAGTCGGCCATGTTGGTAACGCAGCGAAGTGGCGATGGGTTCTTTAGACAAGTTATGGTTACGGTTTATGCCAATGGCAAGAATATAAATTAATAGATAGATAGATATAAAATGGGGCAGATATGAGTGATAAGAAATGATAGAGGCGAAAGGCCTTATTATATGATTTTGGATATTGTAAGCAAGTAGGCAACATTAAGTGAAACTATCGTGTTCGGAAATGTTCGGTTTTTTGCTTTGTAATACGTCACTGCCACCGCCTAAACGCCACTATAATAAGCAGACTTGGACTTGGTGATGATTACATAGTACAAACAGAGGTATTGCAATTCTTGGTAAATCCCGATAAGTCCGGTTTTTAAATTACAATGAATTTGTCTAGAATTGAATAGAAAGCTGTAGTGATCAAAGAAGAATAACATTGCTGTGATTTATTGTATGCGTACGGTTGAGTCTTGTGACTTACACGGAGATATCAACCGTCAATCGTGTACTCTTGCAGGCAATTTCAACCAATATGAACTCTTATCTGAATCTAAGTTTTTGAATGATTAATCAATAGAAAATTTTATCATTATTGTGAGTCGATAGCAAACGTAAACCACCACGAGATCAATTATTGCAATTGAGTATGATTGATTACCCTAAACCGCTCCTCCGAAATTGAACATCCAAGCGTATACAGACTTCGCCACGATAAACCTAAGTATATCGCGTACTAACTGGATCTAAGATCTAAGCACGACTAAAGGAATCTCTTGGCTCGCTTGTTAGAACCGTCAAACAAAGCACGACCCATAACAATGGGAGCCTTCTTGTGCCACAGGAACCACAGACCAGGTCTCATCACCAGCCTCACCTAACCAAGTATGTATAGAGTAACTATCGGTAGATCTCCCGCGAAGCGACAGACTAAGTTACAGAAAAGCCGTTGAGATCTTCCCTCGATCCAGGACCGATCATACCTTAGCTCCCTTTTTACCATAGCGTAGGTTACAACTGAGACACATCGATCACCTGAACTAACTCAGGTACTATCGTTTGACAGGAAGTTTATTAAGAGGCAGATAGATTTTGGATCACGTCCTCACCCGAACAAGTGTCACGTATCACACAAGACCACAAAGAAACTTAAAAATGACTCTTTATTTTCAATCCTATATATACACAAGATTGTAAAGTAAACGAAGAATGAGAGAAGCCGTTACTTCATTCATGCCCAAACGCCGTCAAACATATATCGTCGTTTCGTCGCCTGGATTATATATAAAACAATGGATAATAATCATAATGATAACAGCAAAAAGCGTCATCTCGCTCATGCTCCCTCCCTGCGAATTACATGTCACTATTGGCTATGCACTTTGTCAGATGAGAAGGGCGGACAATAAAAGCAAGGGGTCCGCAACTGGGGGTAGGATAGGATAGGGGATGATTGGGGAGTTGTTGACTTACAGTAGTGCCAATGTGAGATCACCGTGGATTCTCGCCTTGAGTTCGATTTCGATTTCGAGGTTGAGCTCCAGATGCAGACTGAGGGCGTCACTCTTACCGCCGCCGCCGCCCTGCTGTTGTTGTTGCTGCTGCTGCATCTGTTGCTGTTGTTGCTGTTGTTGCATCTGCTGCTGTTGACGCTGCTGTTGCTGCATTTGCTGTTTCTTCTCGTCGCTTGCGGAGAACTGTTTTCGACCCTCATCGTCAGATTCTTCGTCGAGCCAAGCTGGGCGTCGACGTCTTACGTCGTCTACCTTTTTGTTTCCTCGCCTACCGCCTCGGCGAGCGGGCTCTTTTTGCTGAGGCGGGGTAGCCGGCTCATCCTCCTCCTCCTCGGACTCAGACTCGTCGTCTTCAGAGTCCTCTTCCTCCTCGGAATCATCTTCGGAGTCATCCTCAGAATCAAAATCGTCGTCGTCATCGTCTTCAGACTCAGACTCGCTCTCCTCCTCTTGCTTGACAGGTGGCTGTCGCTTCTTCTGCTGGGGCTTGGCCTCTTCGGACTTGTTGCTGGCCTCAGCCTTTGCCTGCTCAGGCTTGGAGTTGGCGTCGTCTTCTTCCTTCTTCACCTCCTCGGGCTTCTTGTCGTCAGACTTGGCCTGCTCAGGCTTGTCTTCGGGATTGTCTTCAGGCTTTGACTCTTCAGGCTTTGACTCTTCAGGCTTTGACTCTTGAGATTCGGCTTGCTCAGGCTTCTCGTCCTTGTCACCGAGTGTCTCAGCCTTTGCGTTCTCTGTGTCGGGCTTGGACTCGTCCTTGTTAGAATCATCCTTGGACTCGGACTCATTTTGACCTTGCTGCTGCTGGTCTTGGTTCTGGTTCTGGTCCTGGTCCTGTCCTTGTTGCTGGTCGTTGTCATCGCCTTGCTGCTGACCGAATGGGTTGTTGTCGTTGTTGCCCTGCTGGTTCTGTCCAGGGGACTGAGGGGAGTCCTTCTGCTCGTCCTAGTGGAATTTAATTTCCGACCAGATACTCTCACTTACAATAGAACTTACTTGTTGGTATGATGTAGACATGGTGATTGGTGTTTTCCTTTGATGTTTTGCTTAGTGTATAGATGGAGTGAAGTAAATGCAATGGCTTGCTTGAGATGTTTTGCTGACAATCAATGAAATGAATTTTCTATGCTAAATGTTCTGCGCATGAGATAGCTTTTGAGATTTAAGACGTTGCAGATAGAAAAAACCTGTTGACGAGGCTTGACTGACGCAATAAGTGTCATTCTATCCCGTTCCTCGAACTCGACCCATAAAGAACCGGTTTCTACTTGTATGGGTTGTAAGGCAGTTGCTACCTGGACAAATCAAATACAGGTCAAGGTGACGTAAAAAATGGCATGCAAACCCTGGCCATATGACGTTGTCACTCCCTCAAAATGGATTGAAGGTGTGGTAGGATAGTTACAGGGATCATGCATTTATCGTGTGGCTGGTGTAAATGGAAACTGGGTCCCGATTCTACAAAGTGGACTGAAGTCATGCAGTGATTGAGTGAGTCTTCATCATCCTTCACCTATTATCCAAGAAAAGCAAAACAAGAACAGGAACAAGAACAGATACCATGGTTATCGGATTACTCGCCATCGCGGCTATCCCAACCGTCACAGGCGTGGGTAACGCAGTGAGTGCGCAAAAGAGACAAAATGAGAGCATGAGCAAGGAACAAGAAAAGTTTCATCTCACATTTATGCTAAGGCAGAATGGAAAGATAGAAGAAGTTGGACAAGGTGTTTTGGTTGACAAAAAGGTGAGCCACTCATCATTCTATTCTCTCTCTGTTGCGATACTCATGATATTAGATGTATCTCAACCTCTCAGACGCACCAGTTCAAGGCTACAGGTTTCTAGGATGGTTCTTCAAATATCCAAGTGAAGAAGGCCATCTGGGGCTGGTGAGCATGGTGTCTGACGACCCCCCTGCGCTCAACTGGATCTTTGTCGACAAGGACACGCGTGCCGTGACCTTTGGGGGCAAGAAGGACACCATTGACCACGTCATAGGACCCTGGGGATGGACGGCAGATGAGAAATTCCTGACTCTAAAGGGCGACCATGATTCGTTTGTGGCGGTGCGAGACGATGATGGGAAATGGTCTGTCTACTGGGACCCGGAGGGTGATATCGAGGACGAAATAGATGATGAGGAGAGATGCCAGCCAGTGAGGCTTCGAAGAAGACCGCAACTTGGCATGGAGAGCAGCTATGTTAAGAAGTGATTTACAGCAGATATTCCCCCGTACAGTATAATTACCGGTAATAACAGAGATATATGCGTCCATAATCACCCAACGTCAACTAATAAATGGCTGGGGTTTTCAAGTCCGGGGGGCTGTCCATTGTAATGCATTGCACTGTAAGCCCAAAGTTGGAGGAGGGCTGCAAGGTCGGCCATGGTCATGTTAAAGTGGGTTGCCTTGAGCAAGGGTATCCGACTGGATTTACCATCTCGATCATGACCTCATGGGGGTCCAAATCCTGTTATGAGGTTTTGGAGTGAAAGAGTAGCTCAAACTTATATCACCTTGGCTACCTTGATTTCTAGACTCGTTTCTTCTTAGTGAGAAACCATCAACTTTGCCTGCATTCATACAAACACCAACTAATACACACACTACATCTTTGTACTTCACAACCAACTAGCCAGCGACTCTTTTATTCCATCCATCATCATGTCTTCTATGGAAAAGGACCGCGTCGAATCTGACGAACAGACCATGTCCAGCGAGGAAGCTCCCCGACGAGAGCGCCGCAGCAAGAAGAAGAGCAGCAAGTCTCGCCGACAAGGCACTCAGCAGCAACAGCAAGGCGGTGGTGGTTCAGGACCTCTTGACCAACTCCCTCTGGCTGGCGACCTCGGCAACACAGTCGGCGGCGTCACAGACGGCGTGAGCAACACCCTGGGCGGCGTTACAGGAGGCCTTGGAGGTCTCACAGGCGGCCAGCAGCAGGGTGGCGGCGGTGGTGATGCCGGCAAGGACACTCTTCGACTTCGTCTAGATCTCAACCTCGATATTGAGATTCAACTCAAGGCTCGTATTCATGGTGATCTCGAGCTCTCTCTACTGTACGTATATGTCTCTTCCCTTTTCGTCCCCCTCTTCTCTTCCCCTCCAAAAATCTGTGGCCGTTGTATCTTACTTGGCTTGCAAATCTCCAGAACGGGATAGAATCGCCGCGATGAATATCTTGATGCAGAGGCTAATAATTGCTTTGCGCTGTGCAGAAACTAAGAAGCTGGTTTGTCTTGCTGGCTGCTTATCGTTTTGTTATTCATGTCATGACGGTACCCATGTAATGTTATGTTAGCTACTGTTTTCACAACAGCTCGATCAACAAATGGCGGCGCAACATGGTGTTTTTATTAAATAATGATGGTCTTTTATATATATTTTTGGGAGAAGGAATAAACACAATACAACACGGATACTACCATACCAGTACAATTTCATATCATTATTCGCGACTGTATGTATAACTAAACAATAAGTGGTTAAAGAGTGACGAAAAGTATCATATCATATCGCCATGACAAGAGAATATGACACGGCATGACATGATATTCTAAACTTAGCAGGGTTAGACGGTTCCAGTTCCAACGTTATATCCCGAAACTCAAAAAGACACATCCAAGAAATCAAGGCTGCCAAGGATCAGAAGCAAGCCACAAAATAAATCAAGGAGAAATGCCACGCAAGCCACCGTCACCATCCTCATCAAGTTTAGTTCCCTCTTAGTTTTGTCCTTGTTTCATACAAACTCGTTGTTCCAGCACCAGGAACCAAGCTTCGAGCGATTAGACTGGCACCAAAGCTTGGTCTAGACACAAAAGAACACTGCAAGAAAAAAAAATAGGGACTAGCTTTGGACTTGCTTCCCACCAATCAGAAGCTCCATATGTACAGTTGCCAGGGTTCAATTTGTCCTGTCTCATCTTGTTTATATCCCTGCTAGCGTCGAAACCCCCCCTCCGAAGTTCCCGCCATCGCGATGAGCAATGACGATCAGAGATTATCCTGTTAGTTACTCTACGGTAGTATTTTCATTTATGCGGCTCTACCCGTATTCTCTGTAACAACTACATGCCAATAATATCGTCACTCTTGCGTGTCTTTCAGGGGGCGTTGCTGCATAGAAGAATGGCAAAGGATCCTTCAAACGACCCCTACAGACTGTTCCCCTCTCTTTTTTTCTCGGGTTGGGTCCTGTCAGTTGGACTAGTCTTCCCTAGCTAAACACTTAGGCTCTACTGTAGTCGGATCTGTAGGTAAGCTAAACGAGGTCGGGTTTCCAAGTTTATGTATCTTATCTGTCGTCATGTCCCCGCACAAACCATAACTCGAGCCACACTCACAGCACATAGCAGCAGCCCTTTTTGGCATCTTGAGCAGTAGTGGCAGTGGCGGTGACTCTACTTTTTCTCTCTCACTCCCTCACTCACTCACACACTCTCTGCCATCTCCATACTCCAGCCATATTTCTCTTAGACCCAGACCCCCCAGCCCAGAAGATCCAGGATCAGTCCCAGCCAGGATCAGCGACAGCCGCAGAAGTTGCCACAAGGACCACATACCGCTTACACCAAAGAATAATAGCCGCAATGTCCAACCATTCATCCTCATCCTCCACCCCTGAGGGCGATCCTACGCACAGCACTTACGAGGTCAATGTCCCAGTCCGCAACGGACGAACCTCTGAGCCAAAAGTTGAGAACCCAGAGATCCGCATCCCCAGGATAAAGCCAGTCTCGGATACCAGCAGTGGCACCACCACAGACCAGCAGCAAATGCCACAGCCACAAAATCAAGAAATGGATCTTCAGAAACTCGCGGCTGGCCTCGAGGGCAAATACGTCGACGAGTTCGGCAACATCCTAGACTGGGATGGCACCGTCCTTGGTCGAGTCCAAGGCGACCTTCCTTCCATGGTAGGGCGACCAGTCGCAGCTGACGGACAAGTTCTCGACGAGGACGGAGAAGTGGCTGGTCAAGTATGCGACAACTATATCGAGCCAGAGCCACCGAAACTCAAACCCTTGGCCTCAGGAGGACTCAAAGTCGATGATGAAGGCTACATCTACGATGACCAGGGAAACAAGATTGGCAGACTCGATAAGCCGATAAAAGACGGAGCCGACAAAGTTTCCGAGAGGCTCAAAGGCGATCAAAAGCAAGGTCAAGGTCAACAGGGCCAGGGTAGTGGTGGAAGTACCGGCACCACAGACACTAATAACGGTGCTCCCAAGCCACCGAGGCCTGACGAGCTGTTCCTGGATGTCAAGTCGACATATGATGGTATTCAGCTCACCATCAAGATTCCCACTGTCTTTAACAGCAGAATGATGCGCGAGACCAAGAGCAGTGGCAGCCAGACGACTGAGACAGCAGTGGCAGAAGTTAGTAGCGACAATCGATAGTGCAGTACTTACGTACATTTTTTTTTTGGCGCGTTTCACAATTGTCCAACCCATATCCATGTAAGTGACCATGTAAGTCAGTAAGCCCAGACCCAGCCCAGGAGCAACGCAGGCCATCAAATCATAGACTTACATACATATGAATCATATGTATCTATTCGTATGAGTGCAAGTGCATACAGTACATCAGCTTTCTTCTTACATACCTGTTCTTCACTCCTTACTCCTCACTTTCACTCCTCGAATCCCATTCCCAAACACCCCCTCCACACCTCGGAATACGTAAACCTCATAGGGTAACCCCTCCCCGTTGGTTTGCATTCACGCTAGATTTACCTAGTTCATGTTCATCATTCATTCATTCACTGGGACTTACACTTATCGTGTACCTTTTGCTTTTCACCTGCCTTTCTGGCAGTTAGAACCTGCTACCACAGTACACTATCTGCTCTACTGCACGTGAAGTCCACGCAACCACATTTCTCATCTGCCAAAACCCCAACTCAGGCCAGTTTTCTCATCTCGATCCAAACCATGAATGTGCAAGATCGTCTGCATCTTCTACATCGAGTGTGGCAGCCTCTGCCCCGCAAGCCTGTTTTTCCCAACCGTTCCTCATTATCTTCGGGACAGTCTAGACAGGGATAGCATCAAACAAGCAGCCTCATCCTTGTGGCTTGCCTGCCTGTACAGCTTGAGCTCTACCCTTGTGTGCCTGTTACGCGCCTAACCCATGCCTTGAGGAGCTGTTTATAACGTCATATAACAGCTCTCGCCACACCATCCCGCGCTGCCCATCCCCATCATGACGTGTGGCTGTTGCAGCTGTCGTTCGACAACAGGTGCGGCGCAGGCAGCTCATAGGAAGAGAGTAGCTAGATGTGGTGTTCACACTGACGTTGTGATTGCTAGTTGACGTGATTGAAAGATGCTTGAACGGTTGTTGTAAAACTTGTTTTGCATTAGCTCTGCGTCTGTATAAGTAGTCTAAGATGCGTGGTGGTTGCAGCTTTCCGAAAGAAAAGTATCAATTCATCTTATAATTTTGGCCAACTTACAAAGCGTTAATCAAAACAAAACTATACCTATTCCCCATTGACACTACGATACCCCTCAATTCCATCTCTTATCTGAAAGATACCCTTTTGTTATATCTTGAAGGAGTTGAAGAAGAAGAAACATACCATCATCATCATGTCTGAGACCAAAGATCTTTCCTCTCAGGTCCAAGACACAACAAAAGATACTGCTTCCAACGAGCAGCAATCCTCTGGTGCGTTTGGCAGTCCCCAACGAAGTTTGGCGCTTATCGTCCCCATTGCAGTCAACTATGACCAATCAGTCCCTAGGAGTGGTGTTGTGAATGATGCTGGTGATATCCTCGACGATGCTGGCAAGACTGTCGGCAAAGTCGCTGACACCGATAACCTCAAGGACCTCGTAGGCAACACCGTCAATACCGCTGGCGAAGTTGTCAACTCTTCAGGCGATGTCCTAGGCAAGACACTGCCAATAAGACAAGGAAAGCCTGAAGAGGAAGAGGACTCCCACGACGAGGAGAAGAGCGAATACACAACCCAGACCAAGGACAAGAAGTCTGGTGGTTTGGGAGACGCTGTCGGCAGCGTTACCAGCGCTGTTGGAGGAGTGACAGGAGCGGTTGGCGACACTGCCAAGAGCGCCACGGACACTGTCGGCGAAACAACCAAAGGCGCTACCGATGCCGTCGGTGACACAGCCAAGGGTGCTACCGACACTGTTGGCGACGTGACTGACGACGCTGGCGCCAAGTCAGAAGCTACATCCCAAGCCACCGACACCAAGACACCCGCAGAGACCCCCAAGGCCCCCGAAGTAAAGGCAGAGACACCTGATGTTAAGGACGAGGCATCTGATGTCAAGGACGAAGCATCTGATGTCAAGGACGAGACGACAGAGCAAAAGGACAACATCACTCTTGAGGATCGAGAGGCACCAGCCGATGCCGATGACAAGCTCAAGGAGGTTGCTCCCGAGCCCGAAGAAGCCAAGGAAGCCACCAAGGACGCTCCTGAGGAGGCCAAGGACGCTTCTGAGGAGGCCAAGGACATCCCTGAAGAGGCCAAAGAGGACGTTACCTCCAAGGTCGACGAGCAAGATGTCCCCAAGCCCGAGGATGTCGAGGACAAGCTTCAGGAGAAGACTGACGTTGCTAAGGACGAAGCTTCCAAGTCTGAGGTTCCTGAAGCTGATGTTTCCAAATCCGAAGCTCCTGCCGATGAGATCCCCAGCGGTGAAACTCCTGCAGATGACGACAATTCTAAGGCACCTGGTGATGATCTGAAGTCTGTTGCTCCCGGAGAGGATGCTGCAGGTGTCACCGACGAGGTCCAGAGCAAGGCCGCTCAGGGCGAGGATGCTGCTCAGGACAAGGTTTCGGAAGCCGAAAAGGCTGCTGAGGATGTTCCTGAGGACGTCCCTGAGGACGTCAAGAGCAAGACTGCTGAGGGAGAGAAAGCCGCTGAAGATCTCCCCGAGGATGCCCAGAGCAAGATTTCTGAGCGTGAAGATGATGCTCAGGACAAGCTTGACGAGGGTGAGAAGGCCGCCGAGGAGCTCCCTGAGGATGCCCAAAGCAAGGCTCCAGAGGGCGAGCAAGTCGCTGGCGACGTCGCCGATGAGGCCAAGGATAAGGCCGCGGAAGGTGAAGATGCTGTCGATGAGAAGACCGCTGAAGCTGAGGACGCTGCCAAGGAGCCTCTCGACTTCTCCGTCCTCAAGGGCACCACTGTCGACAAGGAGGGCAACCTCGTCAACGACAAGGGTGACAAGATCGGCAAGATTGTCGAAGGTGAGCTCAAGCAGCTCATCGGCCTCAGCTGTGACGACCAAGGTCAGATCTGGGATAAGACTGGCAAGCAGCTTGGCAAGGCTGAGCCTATCCCCGAGTGGGACCGCGAGCAGAAGGACTTTTCTATTCTCAAGGGCACTACCGTCAACAAGGAGGGTAATCTTGTAAACGACAAGGGTCACCTCATCGGACGTGTCATTGAGGGCGAGATCAAGCAGCTCGTTGGCCTTTCTTCCGACGACCAGGGCGTCATTTGGGACCGCACTGGCAAGCAGGTCGGCAAGGCCGAGCCCCTCCCTGAGTGGGAGCGTGGTGAACAGAAGGATTACAGCATCCTGAAAGGCATGACTGTCGACAAGAACGGTAACCTCGTCAACGAGAAGGGTCACCTCTTCGGAAAGGTCGTTGAGGGTGAGATCAAGCAACTTATCGGTCTCTCCTCTGACGATCAAGGTGTCATCTGGGACAAGACTGGCAAGGCTGCTGGTAAGGCCGAGCCTCTTCCCGAGTGGGAGCGCGGCGAGCAGAAGGACTTCTCTATCCTCAAGGGGGCTGTTGTCGACAAGGAGGGTGGTCTCACTAACGACAATGGAGATACCATCGGCAAGGTCACTGAGGGTGAGATCAAGCAGCTCGTTGGCCTCAAGTCCGATGAGAACGGTAAGATCTGGAGAGACGGCAAGGTTGTTGGCCAGTCTGAGCCTCTGGCTGAATGGGAACGTGTCCAGAAGAAGGATCGATCCATCCTCAAGGGAGCTGTTGTCAATAAGGATGGTGGTCTCACTAACGACAAGGGAGATACCATCGGCAAGGTCACTGAGGGTGAGATCAAGCAGCTCGTTGGCCTTAAGTCCGACGAGAACGGTAAGATCTGGAGAGATGGCAACGTCGTCGGCCAGGCTGATCCCCTCGAGGAGTGGGATCGCGTCCAGAAGAAGGACCGATCCGCTCTCAAGGGCAGCAAGGTTAACAAGGTCGGCAAGCTTGTTGATTCCAACGGCAACGTTGTCGGAAAGGTTGTTGAAGGTGACCTGAAGGAGCTTCTCGGCAAGCGTTCCGACGAGAACGGTGATATCTGGAACGACTCTGGAGAGGTCATCGGCAAGGGTGAGCCTGTCTCTGCCTCCGAACGCGAAGAGAAGTCCTCGGCTCCCTTCGAGAACTTCCCTGGTGCCACCGTCGAGTCTGATGGACGTGTCATGTACCAAGGCGAGCAGGTTGGCGAGGTTATTGAGGGTAACCCCAAGGAGCTCAAGGGCAGCAAGGTCGATGAGGATGGTGACATTCTCGACCGCCGCGGTAACACCGTCGGTAAGGCCAAGCGCTGGGAAGCTCCCGAGGCTGAGGAGGAGAAGCCTGTCGACAACTCTGCTCTTGCTGGCAAGCGTGTCAACAAGGCCGGAAACCTCGTCAGCGAGTCAGGCGAGATCTACGGTCGTGTCATTGAGGGTGATGTCCAGAAGCTTGTCGGACGCATGTCTGACCGCGATGGAAACATCCGAAGTGAGTCTGGAGACATCATCGGCAAGGCTGAGCTTGTCTCTGAGGGCGAGCGCGGTGGCAAGAAGGATGGTCCTTTCGCCGAGCTCAAGAACTGTACCGTCGCCAAGGATGGTAAGGTTGTCAACCAAGCTGGCGAGACTGTTGGCCGACTTGTTATTGGAGATGCTAAGGCTCTCGTCGGACGCTCTGTTGATGATGACGGCGAGATTGTCGACTCCAATGGCAATGTTATTGGCAAAGCCGAGCGCTGGGAGGAGCCTGAGAAGGAGAAGACACACAACCCTCTTGCTGGCCGCAAGGTGAACCGTGAGGGCAACGTTGTTGACGCTGACGGTAACATCATTGGCAAGCTCACCAGCGGTGAGATCCTCGACTGCCAGGGCAAGGAGGTTGATGAGGACGGCGATGTCTTTAACCAGAAGGGCAGCGTCGTTGGTCACGTCTCCCTTCTTGAGGACATCCCCAAGGAGGAGGAGCCTGAAGAGGCACCCGAGCCTGAGGGTGAGACTGAGGAGGAGCGCATCAAGCGCGAGCAGGCCGAGGCTGATATCAAGGCTGAGAAGGATGAGGCTGAGAAGAACAAGAAGCTTGCTCAGCAGCTCTCCTACCAGATTGAGCAGACTCTGGAGCGACTCCGACCCATCTGCAAGTCCATCAACGACAAGATCAGCGCTGCTGAGGCTCAGAAGCCTGAGGACCGTGACGAGGAGGAACTTGTCCGACAGGTCAAGCCTCTAATCGAGGACGGTGGAAAGCTTCTCACTGAGTGCAACGGCATCATCCGCGGTCTTGACCCTGATGGTCGCATTGGTCGCAATGCTAAGCAGAAGACTGCTGCTGGTGAGGCTACTCCTGAGGAAGCTCACCTTGCCAACGTTCTGAAGGAGCTTTCTACTGAGATCCAAACCTGTATCGATGAGGGCAAGCGCAAGCTCGAGGGTATGCCCCACGCCAAGAAGGAGATCAACCCTCTCTGGGGTCTCCTTGCCGAGCCTCTCTTCCAGATTGTCGCTGCTGTCGGTCTCCTGCTTAGCGGTGTTCTCGGCCTCGTTGGCAAGCTTCTCGGTCCCATCCTTGGACCTCTTGTAAGTTTCATTCACCCATTCTACATTTCTTTCATCTTGCTAACAATGTCTCTAGCTGAACGGTCTTGGCCTTGGTGGCCTCCTTGACGGTCTTCTTGGTGGTCTTGGTCTCAAGAAGATCCTCGGAAGCCTTGGTCTTGGTGACGTCGTCGGCACTGTTACTGGAAAGAAATAATCAAAGGAGTATGATTAATTGAAGGGTATCATCATTTAATGAATTATATCTTTGGGGATTTTATTTTGTACAATGATTTTTAGCTAGGAGTTATGTTAGCTTTATGAATTTCACGAACAAGTTAGGCCAATAATGATGAGTTTTGGAATGAGGTGCAGAGTTTGTGAAGAATCCGATTGCGGCTTAGCTCAAGTGTGCTGAGTCAGCATTAAAATTCTCGACTACAAATTTCTGACTTTTTTTTTTCACAAGCTTCAATGTTTCCCATCTTTCAACAAACAACCATGACCAGCTTGTTTCTGGCGTGGCCTTCCTGAACGATGCAACGATGCGTCTCTTCCTCATTCGGCATGGAGAGACAGTCGACAACGTTGCAAACCTCTATGCTGGCTCGCGCGACTCTGCCTTGACTGCCCATGGCGTTATGCAAGCTCAAAAACTAGCATCTCACCTTGCTGGGCACGTCACCATTGATCGCATCTTCTCTTCAAACCTCAGCCGTGCGGTCTATACCGCGCAGGCTATCCTCGATTCGCAGAAATGCGCAAAGGATCTGAAATTGGTCCAGGTGCTGGAGCTGAGGGAGAAGGACTTTGGTACGGGCGAGGGCACCAAGTTTGGATCGGCGACCAAGCATGAGGGTTCCGAGACGCCGCAGGCAATGAGAAAGAGGATCGATGTCTTTGTGGACGAGCATTTGCCTCGACTACACGAAGACTCGACCGTCTGCATCGTCGCTCACGGTATTATCCTCGGGACTCTATACAAAGCCCTCCGCGACAGGATTTCTTCCACGTCCGCTGAACCCGATGCCGCACCAGAAGGTCGGACAGAATCTGCTTTTGTCCGACCCACCTGGAGCAACACCGGATATGTGGAGGCATGTATCACGGTCGACGCATCTGCCACAGATCAAAATGTGCAGATGCGCGTCGTGAAAATCAACAGCGTCGAACACCTCAAAGGTCTGAAAAAGACCCGAGGCGGAATTGGCAGCGCCAAGTTCGACGCCAAACAGAAGACGATGGACTCGTTCTTCAAGCCTGTCTTGCGAAAGCGCAAACTTGAAAATGAGAACATCGTCTCGCGATAAATGGTACGTTACAATTTTTTCTCAAATTATCTCAACACATCCCCAAGCTTTATGATGAAGAAGCATTATACACAGACCTGTACCGAAATACACAATGTGGAAAAACTTTTGTCCAACCGCTGTCTGACAGCTTGTTCACAATCATCTTCTGTCGCCATTACTTTTTGGTAACACTAGCTAACATTGAACTCAATAGGTTTCTTGCTACTGCTACAATAATATGTTGGCCTTCTAGAATCATTAAATATAATACATCCTATTCTAAACATCTGTGCTTGTCTCGTCCACTCCAGTGAATACTTTGTACATGCGTCTGCTCACAGCCGGCCCAACTGTGCGGTCCGAATAGGCACCGTCTTTGTTAGCCAATTTTCTTACACCTTCCAATCGCATTGGTCCAGTCGTCTCGAAGCCCCGAACTAATTTACTAACGGTGTCGAACTCCTTGGCCACTCCGTGTGCAATTGGTGCTGTGACCCTCACGATCTCCTGCAGCATACGAACATAAGTGTCTTTCGTATCCTCGCCTGTCTTGACCTGCCCGCTTTCCATGCAGAATCCTGCTCCGAGCGTTGCTTGGTCTCGTTGCTTTCGGTAAGGAATTGTCGAGATGTGCTGGGTAAAAGTGAGGATCTGCTCAGCAGTCTCCATAGGTGTTATAGTGTGGTGGATCAGAACCTCGTGCATGACCTGCAGTTGCAGAAGCGCATCCTCGATCTTCTCTTCAGGTATGTATTCTTGAGCAGGTTTGTTTCGGCGGTTTGAAGAAGTTGCGGCTTTCTGGGCACGGACGTTGGAGGCAAATTGTCGATTGCGAAGATTTCGGTTCTTGCGTATCCAAGGTGAGAGTCCTTCAATAAGGTAAAGAATATGATGCTCTGCGAAATCCTTCCGCACCTGCTCAACATGAGAAGAGACATTGTCGTCTATTGCAAGCTTTACAAAATCATCGGTATGCATGACAACAAGTGCGTGCTTCTCGTCTTCAAGGCGAAGGGGTATTGGCTCCCAGAGGCCAATATCATCATTATATCGACTGCGGACCTTTCTACGCCACTTGATGACATTCTCAACCGGGCTGTCCCAAGTTGTGTACTGCACATCAAAGGGTTCCAGCATTGTCTGGAGCGCAGTTGTGACCGTAGAGTCTAGACTTGAAGGGATGTCGACCATCATTTCTGGTGTTGAGATCTTCTTGTCCGTTCGCAGCTTGTTGACCTCGGCCAGTGCTGCATTGCGCTGCTTCTCTCGGATCTTGGCTTCCTTTGCTTCCTGTTTCTCACGTCGTTTTGTTTCCTTCTCAATTTCTTTAGCTGCTGCCTTTGCTTCCTTTTCTCTTGCCCGATCGACTGCTGATGGTTTGTTCGAGGTTGTCGGTTTCGCTCGGGACTTAGATGACAAGACCTCGCTTTGTGAGCGCTGGAGCTGCGATCGACGTCGCATTTTTGTTACATCGAATGCCGCAATGTCCGGCAGTTCGTCTTCGGAGCCATTCTCGTCGTTCGAATCATCGTCAATATTAATGACGGCCCGTTTCTTTCCTGGCGGTGACGAATCGAAGGAGAAGGCCTCGGGGGCCGAACTAGATATGGGATCCCACGTCGCATTCTTTTTGGGCAGCGGTTTGGTTGTTGGTGCAGGTGGAGAAGTTATGATGATATCGGGTTCTTTTGATGTTGTCGGTGCTGGCTGGGGAGAGCTGGCGAAAGGATCGGACGACTCGATGGGTCTTGCAACTGTCTTCGATATTGCCTTTGATACTGGCTTTGGTGGCGAGCGTCGTGCTACCACGGGTGAACTTGCAAATGGGTCTGAGTCTTCGGCCTCAATTATCTGCTTTGTAGGTTTTGCAGATACGGCAGCGGAGGGTCTCATCTGACCAGGCGAGATCAAACCAGGAGAACTGGTAAGCTGAATAGGATCTTCAACCGCTTGAAGTCGACCGTTTGGGTTCGGGCGCACTGGTGGTAAGATCGACTGGGATTCAGATGTCGGAGATATTCGCTTAAGAGGTGGTTGTGCTGGAGGAGGCGACAAACGCCGCCTCTTGTTTGGATTTTCATGGACCAAAATGGGTTCATCTACATCTATCGTTGTGTCGAAGTCATCGGACAGAAAGAGTTGACTAGACAAGGGCACACGCGCCACCGCATCCGACTTTGTCGCATTGATACTTTGTTGCTGTCCATTTTCTTGAGTGGCATCATCGAGTTGGGGTAATTGGGCAGATGGCGGTGGAATGCAATGGCTCGGCGGACTCGATGATATAAGATCAATCACGTCGTTCGCCATTGTGCTACATTTGCGATACTTGCACCAGCAAAGATTGAATGGTGGTCGAAGTTTTCGTAATTGATGGCGGGGCAATTTAACAAGGTCCTCTTGCGCGATGTGACGCGACGACCATTATTCGCATGAACACGAAAAACGCCGAGTCACGTGGGAGGTACCGGGTAAGTTGAATCATTAGGAATGATACATTCCAGCTGGTTTTGTTTTACCTTCCTTCAAACTATGTATCTGTACTATTGACGATAAATCTCTTGGTAAAATGTGCTAATTAAATAACATATTACAAATACGTTTGTTTAATGTTCTTGTGGTAAAGGCACAACATGAAGAAGGTCCTGGGCAATCACGAATCGGTCATCATGGCCAAAACTCCGGTGCGTCATTGAGCAAGTCAAACTAAGACGCCGTACATAAACGCATGGCCAACGCTAATGCGAGACGATTTGGGCTGAGAATTCCGTCAGAGGCACGAAACCGTGCTCTTGTTTGTGACCATAGAGCTTGCAAACATGCATATCACTTGTGCTGTATCACCATGGGGTTCTGCAATTCATGCCGTGAAGACCATGCATATAAGCATGTCATATTCGAGGTAGTGATAAACATTCAAGGTCAGTCACTAGACTAGCATTGTTTCAAAGCCGAGCAAGTGGATCAAAACATATGTATGCTCGGTATATCAGCTGTTAGTATGACAAGGGCCGCTGTCAAAATAGTCTAGCTGGCTCCAATACTATCACTTATACTTCACATTTGTTCGCAGTTATTTTGAGTGAATTAAGGAATCGCCCTAACAACGTTCTATCTTAAGAGAATCGCCAACTAAGGTCAAATTCGGATACTATACCAATGCTTCTGCCAAGACTATGTGGTCTTTGGGATGCAAAGATAATCATCCTGAAAGTCAAGTTTCTTAACAACACACGCAACACAAATATAATGAAACGTCGATCTACTATGTATACTGACCATAAAAGCCGCACAATGTCACATCGTCTCTTCGAATAGTCTACACTAGGTAAGGCTCTGGCTGAAGATATGGATAGGAATGCCCCCATTCCGCGCCTTGCAGTAGGCCTGATACTATACTAGGGTAATAATGGAGACCTCGCTTACATGTCACGGTCTACAGTAACATCGTGTTCAAGGTTTGAAATTTAACGAGGTCTGTTGACTAAATGATATCAGCAAGGTTTTTGTGCCGCCCGGACTATTTACAAGACAAATCGAGTAAAAACTCTCTTCGGATGATTATACCCAGTAACCATCAGAGTAGTCTTGGTGTTTAATAGATCAATGGGGCAAGTTAGGTTTCACATCGTAATGTCCGTTCTTGAATAAAAACATGCAAACCCTTGTCGAGGTCGTCGTCACATCATTGAACTTGAACAATATTAGAAACTGACCTTGACCGCCAGGATAAGTCAAGGGATCACCAACCTCGCTGATTCGAAAGTGGATATGCAAGACCCTGGCCTGGCCCGAAGGAGGAAAAAAGTTGACCGCGACATCCAGTAAAGAGGTGAAAATATTTCAGCAACTTTGTAGTAGTTATACTAGGATATCCGCGGACTTGTTGAACTGTCATAATACCAGTATAGTTCTTTGAGTCTCAGAATGTCCATATTCCGTTTACCCCTGACCTAGTCATCGGCAATGACTGATAACGGTCAACGGAGCTCTCACTGTAAGACTGACGAATGGCATTGGTTCAACATCGACCGTTTGTTCATGTTATTTGGTGATGAACATTCCATACCGGTATTGGCTTTCCTACGGGGGAAGATGTCTAAGACAGGCGCCCATGTGCTCATGTTGATGTCTTGATTGGTACGGATAAGGCTTCCTTGGTAGTAAAATCAGCTTGTTAAGGTGACAATCACGAGGAAGAGTTTTGCTGCGTATGATATGCCGTAATAGGGGCAAAGCGAAAAGGAAAAAGAATGACAGCTCATTCGCAACCAACTATATCACAGACGTAAACGATAAAAAGCACAAAGTCTCAAGGTGTCATTGGGATCACGACTGGGGTCTGAAACAAACCGTGGCCAAGCCGCCGAGGTGAGTTTAGCCCCCGCGATTTGCCTGCTGAGAGTCAAATGACAGACCAAACACGGACGGAAGACAGGCAGAAACCATGCCGGTCACGTAGGAGTTTCCACATTTTACCTCTGATGTCGCGAGATGGTGCCATCCCGCGGGTCTTGATGGAGGGAGGAGTCAAGGATGGTTAGATGACTTGCAACCAGAGTGGCAACTGAAGCCGCTGTGACAAGTTGGTCTCAGGTATCCGTACGTTGGGAGACGAGATCGTTAAGGTGATCCCTGGATCTTATTACCGTGACAGGAGATGGGACGAAAGTCATGGATTCGACAGGATATGGCCAATCGTAAGACTCGGAACGGGTGTCGCATAGATAGTATAGTTTATTGTCAGCCACCAGACGGACAATATAATGGGCACGGGGCGGTTGCTGGTGCAATCCGTGTTACATTGTCTGCAGAACGATACGTGTTGACTTTCAAGATAAAAGTGATGAGGCACCTACCTACCTATTCAGGTGCTATGAGCGTATGGTGGTATTCAGTCTAACAGAATAGAATATTTAATATGGTGGGCCGCTTTAACCGCCAGGTTGGTCGATATGGAATGAGCCAACAAGTTGACAACGCATCAAAAGTTGAGGGGTTCGAGGTCAGTTTACTTTGAAGAGATTTCCGACAGCACAACGGGCTGGTTAATGAGAATAATTTCCTCCACTGGTGGAATCGTCTAGTGGTCTTCCATTCAACGGTAACGTAACTGCCATGAAACCGGTCCTGTTTGTACCGTTCTTACATTGGTTTGATAGTAGACTCCATGGCAACGTGATGGCTTGCGGCCGCTAGTAACGACATGTACGCGTCGGTTGGAATCAGCCCAGCCCCTGGTTTATAATTAAAAGATATAAAATGGAAAGATCGGCTCGGGATATGAAAGGGGAGAGGCACTTGAGTTGAAAGCTCGGAAGCTAGGTAACTACTAATATTAGAGTGGTAGATATTTAGGTGGTTGGTTCTACAAAAAACAATTCAGTGAGAAAAAAAGGGCCTGATGAAGCGGTACAGAGACTGGGATACAACCCAACCTGGTGGGATGGATCGCCTCGCCTGCCCGACGTCCGGGACTAGGGACCTCACTGTAGAGTTAGCGTACCTTGACTTGTACAGAATTGGCATATAATGGGATTCATGAATCAGGATATAGACAATCGTATTTTAATAAGATGAGATGCTTGACTCTTGCGGCTTAATTGACTTGATGAAAGATTATCACCAAATATCATTCAGATTATAGGTAGGTAATAGTTAAGGGTCCAAGCAGATACTACAAAGTATTAGGCCGACAAACCAGGCCTGAGGGTTCCTGCCCACTACTGGTTGCGCGGGCCAGGTACGAGCACCGGGGATGACCCATTTAAAAGATGTAGTCCAACCAGTAGGCGCCATCTCCGTCACGATCTAACGGAGCTTGTCTCTAGCGTCCAATCCAAGATTCAGGGGTCAAGCAATCAGGTCCATTAGACGCGAGGTACCTGACAACGTTGGCCCAGCACTAATGTACCTCTAGTCCTTAGGGGCGGACTTGACAGCCTTTTGATGCCCCTAAACTGTGTTGGACTGAGTTGAATGGAAGCATGGAATACTGAACCCTCTTGCCTCTTGCCCCTGGGTGACAGTGCCAGTCTACTAATCTACGGGCCAGTACTGCTGCTGTAGTGGTGGTGGGCTTGATTCCACTTCAAGGCTGTGCCGTCCCTTTTTATTTTTTTCTCTGTGCATTTTTTTCTGCGACTCCTGAAAAGTGATTAACTAACTCCTCGTCCAACATCGCGACATTCTGTCCTTTCCCTCTCAATCATTGCATTACGGTCAAACTTCTCCCACCGCTTCGTTAGTTTCTTTCTGCGCTGTTTCCTTCCATCGACCGTCACTTTTATCTTAGCCTTTTCGACAAAAAGCCCAGACCCCTCCGCTAGCGACCCATCCTCGTTCCGCTCCACCGCTGCGCTGGAACGTAGAATTATCAATAACTAAGCACTCGACAACTGCCCGATCGCCCCTCGTCGGTCGCTTGTTTAATTACGCTCCCCCTACACCCCTGGTCGGGATAAACACTCGACAACCGCCTCGTCTTCGCTCATTGAAACTTCTAAGAGTCCAGCTATCGCACGTGAGACCCTCTGGAACACTTCGCGATCCCCTCATCAACGACGACTTTCCGTGCCGCTGCGATCATCTATGACGTTCTGAACGCCGACAGCTTCTCCCTCAGTGGAAGACAAGACCTTAAAGAAAGCCCTCTGCGGCCTTCTAAGCTGTTAAGCGACGTTCGTTTTTGCCGCCGTTGCCGACTTGCGATACCTGAGACACCGCGCATTTCGTCCGCACCTCACAAACAGCCATCATGGCAAGCTCACCCCCGGCCTCGCCGGGAGGAATCCAAAGGCCAATGAGTGCCATCGCCGCCAGAGCCCAACCTAGAAGTACCAGTAGATTGAGCATGTCAAGTAAGGCGGGAGGAGGAAGCAGAGCCTCAGATGATGACAGCCGAACCGCTGTCAAAGTCGGTATGTCAGCCATTGCCTCCAACATTTCGAGATGCTAACCTTGGTTCTTCCAGTCGTTCGAGTGCGGCCACCGTTAAAGCCGGAGGACCCTGGCTATGACCTTATTCCCCAGCGATTCCAGAAGCCCATGGTTCATACGACTTCTGATACCAGCCTTGCCATCGATTCACCTCAAGGTCGCAAACTATTCGTTTTCGACCGGGTTTTCAACACCGATGTGACGCAAGAGGGTATTTGGGATTATGTTTCCGACTGTATCAACTCGTTCATACAAGGATACAACGTATCTCTGATGGCATATGGCCAGTCAGGCGCTGGTAAATCATACACTATGGGCACATCCGGACCTGGCGAACAATATGATGAAGAGTTGATGGGTAAGTTGGACAA